GGGCCCCCCCCCCCCCCCCCCCCCGCGCACGAACGCTTCATTTGAATCGTCGGAGTGCTGATTTTTTTTTTTTGAACGTGAACGCGTTCAGTGGCGACGAGTTCCACGCTCGCGCCTTGAGGGCTTACATCGGGCGCTTCGACTTTGTCGGTGACCCTCTGGACATCGCGCTGCGGAAGCTGCTGGTCGACGTCGGCTTGCCGCGAGAGACGCAGCAGATCGACCGCGTCATCGAAGCGTTCGCCGCGCGGTATCTGCTCTGTAATCCGGGCCTTTTCACGTCGGAAGGTGAGCGCAGGATCGACGGTATCCCCTTCTCCCCCCCTCTCTTGACTTAATCGGGCTGCTCACGACCTCCTTCATTTTTTTTGCCCGCCCAGATCATCCCTACATCCTAGCTTTCAGTTTAATCATGTTGCACACGGACGCATTCAACAAGTCGAATAAACGCAAGATGACCAAGGCCGATTATATTAAGAACACCCGTCTTCCCGGAGTCGCACCTGATGTACTCGACGTGAGGGTTTTCTTCTCCTCTCTTTCTCTTGGCACCTTCACCGTGGCTCACCGGGTGGCCTGCAGTATTTCTACGATAATATCGTATTCGCCCCTTTTATTTTCATCGAAGACCCGCTGGACGTCAACGGCCAGCAAGGCGTCTTTACCGAGAGGACGGCCCTTCGATCCATGTCCATTTTCGGCCCGCCGTCCGGGTTCAGTCCGAACGGGAGCAACCAAAATGCGAGCAGTACCCTGCTGGGCAAGAATAACAGGATAGATCCGTATTACCTCATTACCCGGGTGAGTGTGCTCCGACTGATGACGCTGGTGGATTCTGATGGCATCCGATTGCAGAACCTCCTCGACCCTTTACGAGTCGACGTGGAGGCGTACGTGCCGCTGGAGAGCCCCTTCTCGTATTCCGGAACGTCGGACAACTGGGACCACGAGGCGCTGCAGAGGGCGTTCGCCAAGGCGGGCCGGATCGAGGTCGACGCGGGCGTCTCCCGCCCGGTCTCGAGCGCGTTTTTCGGGCTGGCCGTCGGCGGCGCGTCGACGCCTATCATGGGCGGCGGCGGGAGCCTCAGCCACACCTCGGGCGCGTTCCCGGATATCGCGCCGCCGTCGCGGGACGTGTGGACGCTGAAGGTGACGAAGATCGGCGTGCTGTCCCGGAAGGACGACACGGTCGAGGGCGGGAAGAAGGCGTCGAACCGGAAGTGGAGGGAGTGGTGCGTGGTGTTGACGGGCTCGCAGCTGTTGTTTTTCCGGGATCCGACGTGGGCGGCGGGCGTGCTGGCGGAGGCGACGGCGACGTCGGCGGACGGGCAGACGACCATCTCGCATGGGTCGATGCTGCGTCCGGACGAGCTGTTGTCGGTGAAGGATGCGGTGGCTGTCTTCGACCGGACATATACCAAGGTACGCGCTGGGTGTCATCGGTCATTTTCCCGAAATACTGACCGTCGTGGGGCAGTACCCCAATACGCTACGGTTTGTCATGGCCGACGGCCGGCACATACTACTGCAGACGTCGGACGAGACGCAGCTGAACGAATGGATCTCGCGGATCAACTACGCCAGCGCGTTCAAGAGCGCGGGCGTGCGCATGCGCGCTTTGGGCATGACGGGCCAGGAGATCGAGCTCACCGGGATGGCCGCGGCCGCCTCGCATCTCAAGGACCTGCACGGGCCAAATCATGCGGTGCCGGGAGTTCGGAGGTGGGGTCAATCCGTCGACGAGACGGCCAACGGTCCACCCGTGCCCGGGTCACGGAGCGATTCGTCTCTGCTTCCGAGCCCGACCAGCATCCATCTCACTACGGACCGTTTGGACCTCGAGGTGCCGGTCCCGAATCAGGTCGAGAGCGCGACACAGTTCAAGGCGACCTTCGACCACGTCAAAGCCGACCTCGCCTCCGGGCGGTGGATGCGGGCCGACGACGCCGCTTCCGTGGTGGGCGGACGTCCCCGGTCGTACAGCCTCGAGTCGACCTTGCCGTCGCCGACGACGGCGACGACGGCGGCGCACAGGAGTCGCAGCGGCACGTCGGGCAGCGGCTCGCGGCTGCCCTCGCGGGGCCAGATCATCCAGTCGAAGATCAGGGACCTGGACTCGCGGCTGACGGCGACGCAGACGCAGCTCGACGCGGACATGCGGCTGGTGCGCCATATCGCGGTGCTGACGCCGTTCCAGCAGAGCACCCGGGACCGCCTCCGGGCGACGGTGCAGGGCGCGGCGAAGAAGATCGCGCTGCTGAGGCTGGAGCTGGAGAAGCTGGCGTGCCATCGACAGGTGCTGGCGACGGACATGTCGGCCGAGGTGCGCGACTGGCGGAGGACGAAGAAGCTGGCGTTGAGGGCGGCGACGGACTCGTTGCAGAGCCGGCTCGAGCGCGGCGTGCCGGAAATCTCGATACCGGCGGAGGAGCCGCCCGAGTCGTCGCCCGAGTCGTCGACACCGGATAGGGATTCGGCGGAGCTCACGCATCGGCATAGGGACTCGAACGTGACGGATTCGTACCACTCGGCGATCGACTACGGGGTGGATTGGGCGTCGCGCAACTCGAGCGACGTTTCGGCTAACCCGTCGGGCAGCGGGAGCACGCTCGAGGTCGGACGGATCGTCGAGTCGCCCGCGATGACGCCGAGCACGAGCGACTCCCCGCTCGAGCTTTCCTTCACGAACGCTTCGCGTAAGCCTACGCTGGAGGCGTCGTCGTCTCCCGGCGCGTCGCCGGAACAGAGCAAGGCGTCTCTGGACGCCGGTAGCGCCGAGGGCGGTTTCTCGCACGAGAAGTTTTATACCGCGATGGAGACGACGCCGGAGCAGGCGGAAGAGTGGAACAAGACGAAGGCGGGCAAGCGCGTGTCGCTCGTCAAGCTCCCGACGGATCTCCGGATATCGACCGTGTTTGGGGTGCGGTCCCGGGCGCGGTCCGATAGCACCGCTGCTCCCTCGCGACGCGATAGCGTGACGAGTGTTCATGCTGCTGGTCGGCAAGGGGGTACCTCGTCTCCGAGCCCCATGCCATGATGGACATTTAGACTTTTCGTGGAGTCGCTATCTACTCACTACTCCCTCTTGCATGACGTTCTGTATATTTAATGCGCTATACTTATCAACTGTACATTGCTATGGATATTGTCGCTTTCTTCTCGCCTACGATGCAAATGACGGAATGATTTCAAACAATGCGTTCAACTTCAAGGGACCACGATGACCGTGCGGACAGGGAAGGCCGAGAAGTCGGGATGGCTGTGTCCTGGCAGCGGCGTTGCCGTCCCGTCAGGTTGCGTGTGTTGATCGACTGCGACCAGGCTGAAGTTTTGAATAGGCTCTCGACCGTCTGACTCTGTATCACTGATGCTCCAAACATACCGCTGATCGTCGGCCGTGGACTTGGAGACAGTCAGTTGTCAGAGTCTGCGACTCCAACGAACAGATACCCGCGCTGCTGGCCGCCGCCCCCGCCATGCTGCAGGCTGCGCGCACGACGCTTTCTGCCCTCTTTCCATCCTCCCCCACCACGTCTCGCAGCCCCGAGAGCGCACCCGCGTCTCCCAGCGCGATCGCGACTACTGGAGAAGCTGAAGGACGGCCCATGGCAACGCCGGCATCCCCGCTGCGGGATCCGACGTTTTCCAGCGGTGCATCATCGTATGCCCATGCGTCCTCGACCGAGTCCGCCCACACCCCCAGCACCCCGCTCCTGCCCGCCCCAGCCATGCGCGACGTGCCCAACGACGCGTCGGGCTGCGCGCCGGCGGTTCAAGAACAGCCCGCGCCTCCCACGTCGAACGGCGGCGGCGCGGAGAAGACCAAGCTTCTCAAGAAAGCCCGGAAGCTCAGTCGCATATTCGGGGACTCTCCATTATCGCCTCTTACTCCCGTCTCTCCTCCGCTGGAAGCCGCCTTTCCTCTGAGCAGGGATGCTGACGGACGTGGGTTGAGCGGCGGTGGTCATCGTCTGCTGCCGCCGTCCTCCTCTGCCTCCTCATCTCCGTCCGGTTCTTCATTTGCCCTCGACCGCCCATCTCCCCCTAGCATGCAGCACAGGCACAAAAAGCTGACGAGGAAACCGAGCGCCCGCTCAGCAGGCCCACCTCCACCTCTACCCATCGGTCCGCCGCGCGTCAACCCGACCGTGTTTTCCCGCCCCGCGCTGCTGACGCCCGTCAGATCGTCTCTGGAAGGCGTTGTTCCCCCCACCACTCCTGTTCCCAGCCTTCCCCTCCAAGGCGATCCGACTGCAGCGCCCAGCGCTCCGCCGTCTCCAAACCAGGACTCGCATCCATCTATGATCATCTCTGCTCCTGATGACACCGTTCGGGATCTCAAGGACGACGCCTCGATCATCTCCACCGGCACCGTATCGTCATCCAAGTCATCATCCGAACAACTCCAGCGCGCCCGACTAGCCAAGCTCTCTCGCCACCTCGGGGAGGCCATCCCCGAAGAACTCGTCCTCAAACCGGTAGTGGCGGCGGTCCCTTCAACGAGTTCCAAACCCGCCGAAGCAAGCCGCCGGCAGGTCACGGCATCGCGTCCGCGACGCCCGCGTCCTGCGCGAAGGATGAGCCTAGACCTGACCAGCTTGATCAAGTCCTCGACCGCGTCCACCGCCGCTGCGATCCCCACGCCTGCTATCAACGCCACTCGCTGGGGCCTCACGCGGTCCAAGTCGCTGTTCACCGGAAAGGCGGAGACTCGTAGGACCCTTCCCGCGCGGCAGCCGCTCAGCACGGTGTTCAACCAGCAGTCCTCGTCCGACGTGAAGCTCGAGGCACCCGCAGCAGCCTCTATCGAAACGACCTCGCACGAGCCCCTGTCTGAGCGTGACCGCGCGTTGAACGTGAAGCGCGCGCGCAAGATGGCCCAGGTACGTCTGTTGAGTTGATTGTGGCGCGCCTTCACGCGGACCTTGTCGCTGACCGGCTGCTCGGTAGCTTTTTGGCTCGGACCCTCCGCCGGCGCTGTTCCAGATCACGAATCTCCACGGGGTACGGGACGACGCGCTGCTGACGCCGCTGTCCAAGCGCGGCTCGCTCGCCACCTTCGTCTCCACAGAAGAAGGCCTCCTTACTCCCGTGCAAGGAACCAACGGCAACAAGCGCGCTTCGTGGCATTCGCAGACGAGCGCCGAGCGCAAACGGGCGTCGCTGATCACGTTCGTGTCGAGCGCCTCGGCGGAGGACGCGCTGTTGCTCGCGCCGCTCGACGCTAAACGCTCGTCCTCGCTGCACTCGGCGGACAGCAAGCGCGCGTCCGTCATCACGTTCATCTCCACGCTGGACGAGGTGCCGGAACGGACAGCAGCCTCCCCCCGCGACCTCGCCGCCGGGCACGCCAACTCTTTCTTTTCGCTCACCATCGACACCCAGGCCGCCTCGGCGCACGTCCCGTCCTTCGACGACCCGCCTGCTTCGGCCCCGTTCGCCAACACGATCCCCCTCGCGGGCGCCGCCGCCGCCGCCGCCGCCGCCGAGAAGAGCTCGCTGTCGCGCGCGAACACGCTCGGCTCGCTCTCGGGGCGCTCCTCGCGCTCGCTCCGGCGCTCGGCCGAATCCTCGTCCTCCTCCGCCGCGCCCGCGCCCACCGAGGCGTGGGCGCTTCGTCGGCGCGCGGCCAAGCTGTCCCAGTTCTTCGGCGTGGAGTACAACGACCTCGACCCGGCGCGCGTGCGTCCCGCGTCGCCGCCGCCTCCCGTCCCCCCGATCCCCGCGAGGCCGCTCGAGATCCCTGCGCCGCCCGATTCGCCGCCGCTGGTCGACGTCGAGGTGCAGCACGTGGGCAGGCGGTGGGGCGTCATCCCGAGCGCGTCGCGCGATCGGGTGCAGGACATGAACGACGTCCGGAACCGGTTGAGGCAGATGCGCGCTGCGTCTTAGATACGTAGCCGGCTCGTCGTCGTCGTCATCATCCGATTTGGCCCTTCCCCCCCCCCCTTTTTTTTTCGCGGCTTGGACCCATCGCGGGGATGTGTTCTCCGTGCACGACGCCGTGCTGCTCCAACCCCTCCCCCCCTTTCACTCTCTGCAGAGCACTGGATTGCTCTTTCGTCATTTTCTGATTTTTTGTGCAAAGTCGCTCTCTTTTTCTTTCGTTTTCTCTCTCTTCGCCCGCTCCTCGTTATCTGTAATATGTGAATACTAAATTAGCTTATTTGCGATCATGTACGTACCGGGCTTGGACCCTACGCATGTATCCCCCCATTGCAGCCGCCTGCTACATAATATTATATCGAACATGACCGCAGGGGCGAACGCTTGCAATGAACTCGGGGGGCCAGGCGCTGAGCGGGCTGTGATCCGTCTTCTTCCAGATCGGGATGAACCGTTTCCTCATTCGGTCATACCGCTGCGTCAGTTACGATGCGTCGCCGTACAGGAGCACTCAGCAGGCGGATGTTGGGACCATTGACGTCAGGATTTCAGACCGCTACACGTTTTTTCAAAGTCGAAGTGAGGGACCACGGCATGGTGCGCGCGAGTATATAAATCCTCGCCGGCGACGACGAAGAAAGCATCATAACGCATTCGACGCACTCCTCATTCGCACCGTCTAGCCAACACTGCCTAAACCACGTAAACCGATTTAACCAACCTATTCACGATGGTCAACCCCGGAAATGTGTGTGCGCTCCAGCCTTACGTTGTACCGCGCTCACACTTCTCCTCGCGCGCAGGTCGCTGGCGGTCACAAGGCCAACATCAACAACCCGAACACGTCTGAGGAGTCGAAGGAGCACTCGCGCCAGGTGCTATCCGAGATCGAGGAATCCGGCATTCTAGACCAGCCCAAGCACGGCAAGAACCCTAATAATGTCGCGGGCGGTCACAAGGCCACCATCAACATTCAGTCTTTCTCTCTTCTTAACTCGCCACCCAATATTCAATGAACGGACTGCGCAGACCCAAACGTTTCGGAAGAGGCTAAAGAACACTCTAAGGCTGTGCTGGAGCATGACGATGTTTACGACGAGGCTGACGCATCTTTCGAGCGCGACATTACATACGAGCGCGACTGATCTTGCCTAACCTGCAATACAATATCTCCATGACTGTAGCAATAACATTGTAATCTGTTCTCGCACCATTAATTGATTCGTTACAGCTTTTGCCAGTTTCTTCGCACGCTGCTTCCAAATCTTGTGAAACCGTCTGTGATGTCCATCAACACGTCTGCAAAGTAAATCGCAAACGTGAAGTGCTACCGAAAGATGGCCTTCAAGTTGATACAAAGGTCGTGAGAATGGACAAAAACAAGCAGTAGGAACAATCTCGCTCTTGTAAAGCGCGGACCGTTCCTCGCAGAGAGCTAGCCTAGGCTCTCGTTCTCATCTTACAGGTTCCCTGATGGAAATCTCCGTCTGTCGACCATAGCTGGTTACCGACCCCCACGCAGTACGGCGAAACGCTCTCTGAATCCGGTTTTTTGGGTAGAGTCTCCCCCGCTCGATCCGACCACCCAGCTCGAGTTCCCCGTCGACGGCGACCGCACCCCTCGCTCAGCACCTCGTCGACATGCAAAACTTCTTCCTCCACCGCGGCTCGCACGACGGTCCAATAGCTCTATATACGGCCCCGTGCTCGACCTCTTCCTCCACGGAACCGACGCCTGGAATCGACAAGAACCGGATCAGCGGGCTCCTCTTGGGGCCCCCCGATCGCCCGTTCGAACCTCTTACCTGAGGGAGAACGCCGCGAAGAGCCTACTCTCCGCCGGCCCCGACAAGTGGGTGATGGGCACGCGCGGCTCGCAGACGCCTATTTTTTTCGGGGTTTACGGTCGTCTTTCATGCTCCGCGACGTCGTGTCGCCACCCAGCTGTGATCCGTGAAGAAGCCCGTACTGTTAGCTCTTGGAGATACAAACCGGGGTTCGTCAGCATGGCGCAACTTACACAGCGAGTCGGGGGGGGGGGGGGCCGGGGCCGATCCCACTCACTCTGGGCGTTGTGAAAAAGACGGTTTTTCCAGGGCCGCGCCTCCTCCTCCGTCCCCAGCAACGAGAAGAAAAAAAAAAAAACTCGTATTGTGGCGCACGATGTACTGATTATTACGAGGCGACGCCGACCCGAAGGAACGCATGTCCTGCTACGTTACGCCCTTCTGCGTGCATTTTTCTCCCCCTAAAATGACTCGCTGAAAGGCGGCCTGTCCTTGCCACGTTCACGCCGACGCCGGCGCGGGTTTTTTTTTTGATTCCTCTCTGATCCACCTTCATTGCTTCCGTGCCAGCTCGTTCGCTCGTCCGGTCCGCACTGTATCTTCTTAGCGTCTCTTTCGGGAACGAGTCCGAGAAACATCGCCGCTAGCCTAATCTCGATTTGTTGCCGGCACCCGGTGACGAGTGGTCGCTTCTTCGCGGAGACTCCGTTTGGCAGGAGGTTTCACCGCACGAACTCCCTGCCCTTACCAGGCTTGCCTAGTTCTCGAACGTGGACGAGATGTACCACACATTCTGACGATGACGACATTGTCTCACTTTGACGTAGTGAACATGGGTAGCGATCGAGCGAAGGCTTTACATGATTACCGGCTGCCCTGGCGAAGATTGTCTGTCGGCTATTATCTGTTCGGGCTACATATCCAAGACTCAATGCTCTGCACTCGATTGGCGGACACCACGGATCATGAATCAAATTTCGCTTTGATATACATTCGTACATTTAACAACGTCCGACACAACAATCTACTGCTCGTCCAACTCGTCCAAAACCTGCTTGGAATGCTCCTTGGCCTCCTCCGAGGTGTTCGGGTTCTTGAGGTTGGCCTGTGCTCGGAACGATCTATTTTAGCGGGCATCTCAATGTATACGGGATGACGTACCTTGTGACCGCCAATGACCTACGGAACGAGAACGTGTGTAAGGAAAATATGATGATGATAACAATGAATAATGCGCGCGATACTCACATTGCCCTTGTTCTTCGTGGAGTCACGGCCAGTGCTCTGAAGCTCGCCGGAATCCTCGAGCTCATCCAGGACCTGGCGCGAACGTTCCTTGGACTCATCGGAGGTGTTGGGGTTGTTCAGGTTGGCCCTGCAGTCATGACATCAACATCCTACGGGTTACTATCTGACGGCGGCGACAAACTTGTGGCCTCCAGCGACCTGAGGTCACGACATCAGCTCCCCTGTCATCAAAGGATACAAGACGCTCACGTTTCCGGGGTTGGCGCTAGACATCGCTAAAGGATATGATTGTATGGTGACTGGTTATCGAGGGATTCAGTGGGTGATTGATGCGAGTCGAGTGAGCTGCTGGCACTCGACGCGATTACCCCATACTTATACGTTTCCAGGCCGCCCCGCCTGGACGCTTTCGAGAGCATGCGACGTAGGCTCCGAACGCGGCTGTCAGCGAGAGAGAGAGAGAAGAGCGGCTCCTGCTCGATTGGGATGCGCGTCCACTTCGATGGAGGTGCATTTCATCACGTGTATATCCTTCCAAGGCCTGGATATTCCTTCGACGGTTCGACGATCGCCGTGCAAACATCAGAAAAGGTTATGCAGCGACCTCGGATGCGCGTTATCGCGACGTCGAGGGTCGAATGCTATCAAGGATGCGTCAACACGAGGACCGCAGAGTGTCGCAGGTGCTGCGCCCACGACGTAATCCAGGATCTTCGGTGGGGTATTGTCGCCTTTCAGTTCTGTCCGATCTCATCCGCTGCAATGACGACAAGCACTGCGCGTATGATCTAATCCAACGATGAATGTTTTCCGAGTCCCTTGTTGCGTCAACGAGCGGCTGGTTGTGTTTTGGAGAATTGGCGAGCGAAGTGAAACAGTCTTCGCGGTGATGCGGGCCGTACCGAGGCGGTTCAAGTCGGGGAACTGGCAAGGGCGACTCCTCCCTCGGGCAATGGTATCGAAGGTTCCTGCGCGGATCCGCCGGTCTGCGGCATGCACGTTCGATGGCATACGCTCTGAGGCCGTTGCGCCGCCGAACTGGGCATTGTCATGGACAAACGCGGCCGCGTCTTCGCGCGAGATTCAAGCAATGCGCTCTCTCGAGCGTACTCCGGTAGTGCCCGAGCTCGTTATGTTTTCTCCTTTCAAGCAGCGTTTATAGCCCCGACTCTGCCCCAAAGCGAGCGAGGATCGTTGGTTCTAACGGTCTTCTATGCTGAACAAAGCATGTAGACAATTCTGTCGAGTATGTCAGGATGCAGCGTTCCTTACGGAAGGAGATCGTGGCGGGAGACCGAGGACAACCGCCCACGGCAACATCTGAATTCGCTGTTCACATCAGGAACACTGTTACCGCGCGTGTAAGAACAGCCGGGACGGCGACATCGAATTTAATGCGTCAAAGACTATAGGTACAGGCAGTGTCAACGTCGTTTATGGTCGGTTGTCCGCAATGTATCAACTATCACTTACCGGTTTAATATATGGCTTATCGCAGGCTATTCCAGAGGAAGCTTCTGTAACGCTATCTGGTACGACGTGCCAAGTATACAAATAACCATCCGGCGTGACCGATCTTACTCTTCACATCGTCCGAGTGTACGCGGCAGGCAAATGGCAACGAGTTGGGATTGGGAGTGTCAGGCCTTCCGTCATGTAGCGTTAACTGTCAATTGCAAGGGAGCCCGGCTCCGGGCCGCCAACCGGTCAGAGCACGTCTCTTATGACCCGGTCCGTGAATAGCCGCCCGAGATTCGCCCGGCCCGCTCTCTCGCCATCTCTATACCCCAGCCGCTACTTAATGCCATCCGCGATGAAGGATCTGGATTACCGCCGCTCCCTTGTTTTGCTGTCGATTACTCCAGTATGTCCAACGAGAAGAAGCTCAATGTCTTGATGTGTGAGTGTTCGCAGTTTGCATATAACGTGCCAAGATACGTCTTGCCTGAACCAGCGTGTCTGCTCGTTCAGGTGGTACGGTGCGTGCGGATCCCGAGGAGATTGCGAGATCTGAGGAGAGATCGCTCACCGGTGCGTGCAGGGGGAGTACACGACGGGATGGACAGGATCAGGCGCTTCGAAATCGGACAAGAAAGTACGGACGACGGTTTTAGGTTACGTGTGGATCTTTCGCTGACAGCTTCGTGTTAGATCGGAGTGCGTTAGCATTCGTGCGGCGTTCGCGATCGCCCACGACTGATGTAAATGCATGTTTACCAGGTCGTCGGCCTGACGCTCTTCGATCTGCGAAGGCGGGAGAAGGTGCGTGCTTCCAGTCGTGGCGTGTTGGAAGCACTCCGCGACGCTAATCACCACGATGCACGCAGGTCGACAAACTCAGCATGGTCGGCGTGAACGGATCGAAGTTCCCCGCCATCCGCCAGCACCTTTCGGAGAATATCGCGGGCGTCTACAAGGACATGGATGTCACGTAGGCAGCCTGCCCTTCACGCCGCGGCAAAACAGCTGATTTTCGGAAAGCTTCCAAGCGTATCCTCCGGAAAACAAGGTTGACCCCGACGCATGTACGCAGAATCCCCAGCCATCTCCGTCCGATTGACATTTAATCGTCGTTGCTTCCCAGACAAAGAGGCGATCGACGCGCTGTCGGCAGGAGACGCGGTCATCATCTTCACGCCGGACAGTAAGCTCACGCAGCCTTTTCGGCTCGACCACGCTCGATCTAATCTAATCTGCAAAACGAAAGACACGCACTTTGCTATCGCGATGTACGCGATCGAGCGCGGCATGCATGTGCTGGTCACGAAGCCCGCCGTGCAGACCCTGCAGCACCACAACGAGCTCATCGCGGCAGCCAAGAAGCACAACGTCGTCTGCTTCGTCGAGCACCACAAACGGTTGGCACTCCCGCGAAACCTCTTGCCCGCCCTCTCATCTAAACGGTTACACTTGCACCACCAGATTCGACCCGGTCTACAGCGACGCGAAGGCCCGCGCGCAAACTCTCGGCCAAATGAACTTCTTCAGCGCGTGGATGAGCCAGCCCAAGAGCCAACTCGAGACCTTCCGCGCATGGGCCGGCAAGGATTCGGACATCAGGTGAGCTCTCCTAGCCCCGCCCCCAAGGACCCGGATGATATCTCTCGTACTTGCACTTATTTCGGAATCGCGGCAGCTACTACCTCTCCTCCCACCACATCGACATCCACTGCTGGATCGTCCAAGACTTCGCGGTCCCCACCCGCGTCGTCGCCAGCGCCGCCACGGGGATCGCAACCTCGGAGCCGTACAACTGCGTGCCGCAGACGGAGGATACCATCACGCTTCTCGTCGATTGGCAGTCCACGACGTCCACGAAGCACAAAGGAACCGCCGTGTACACCGCATCATGGACCGCGCCGCTCAAGAGCGGCGTACACTCGGCGCAGCACTGGTACTACATGGCGGAAAAGGTCGGCTTTGCATCAAAATCGCTATACATCTCCGTTCCCCATACCTTTTAGGCACGAGATCACTGATTGGCATAACATTAATTTTTTTGGGTCATTATCATCTCAGGGCGAGATCAACGTAGATCAGGCCCACCGTGGATACGATATCGTCGTCGACGACAGCGGAAAATCATACTACAATCCCTTCTAGTGAGCGTGACTTTATTTTTCCGTCCCCTTTCTCACAGGATGTCCATCTCTCCTCACCAGCATGAAGTACTCGCCATCGGAGAGCGGGCACTTCGACGGCCAGCGCGGGTACGGGTACGTCAGCATCGAAAAGTTCATCGACGCCGCGCGGTCGAGCAACGCGGGCACGACCCAGCCCGCCGACTTTGACAAGCACGGGCTGCCGACGATCGCCAACACCGTGCTCACCACCGCCATCCTGCACGCGGGCCGCATCAGCCTCGACGAGAAGCGCGCCGTGGGCATCAAGAAGAACGGCGACGAGTGGATCCTGGAGTGAGCGCGCGCCGCACGTTCCCGGGCGGGCGCGTGCCTGGAGCTGGAAACCGAGGGAGGGAGCGTCCGTCCTGCGGTGCTCTGTGTCCCCCCATCATCTGCGAGCGAGGAAAGAAAAAATGTGAAGGGTCGGAGTGGGGTGCGGCAGGATCGGGCAGGAGATGGCGGTTAGGATCAGAAAGAAGTCGCTCGGGTACAGTGACGACCCGCTGTTCTCGGGAGGGAGATGAGAGGGGGGATGGGGCCCGGAACCAAAGCCGGGAGTATTGTATATGTATATGTATATGTAAAACCCACGCAGTTCCCTTTCGGTGCTCTTCGATGCCGACTCTCGCGGCTGTCATATGCGCGAAATCAGACGACTCTTTGAATTGCGAGATGGCCAGAGAGAACCAACGGACGCCACCACCTTCCGAGCGCCATCGCAACGGCGCCCCCTTTGTTTTCGTTCCATGTATCAGCGGACAGAGGTCGGACATTTCCCTGTGCTTGGGAACGGCGAAGCCCAAGCGTAAGTTCATACTCGCATGCCACCTTATCCGCGAAGCGACCAACGACACACGCGCGCGGTAGAACGGCACAATCTAATAGCAATGTAACAAAGTTGCGCAGACAAGGGACTTCTTTTTGACACTACGACTATACGGACTCTACACGGTCTTCTTGGCCCTAGGATCAGATTGCCCTTGAGGCGGATGCAAGGGGGAGAGAGAGACGACAACGAACAAATGCGATTTGTGCTACGCTATCGAGACCAATGATTTGCTGCAACAGGAGACGAGGATGGAGTTGGAACAGCGCGCCAGAAGAAAGCTGGAGGGGGAGGAGGAGCTTTGAGGGGCTCCTTGGTGGGTTGGGGTAAAAATATAATAACCCGCCATGCGAGTTCCAGAGGTCGACGACAGAAAAGGGAATCGGGAGAGAGGGACAACTATGTAAAGGGAGAATAAGGTGAATGAATAAGATAAGGTATGAAGGGAAACAAATGCACAGGAACGGAAGTTTTAAGAAAGGGAATGTAATCGACCTCATCGCTGCGGTGGGGAAAAAAAACGGATTGGGCGATGCTGGTTGCATAAAGTAACAATTGCGAGGAGGGAAAGAGCGTGGTGTTTGTATGTTGTTGTATAAATCGACAGGGTTGGAGACGACCGAGAAGAGGACGAAGCGTCCGGGACGACAAGAAAATGTCCATAATACAGATGGGATTCCGGTCTTGTACTTTCGTCGTTCGCCGGTCGTCCGCGCCGGTCATTTGGGATTGCGGGAATTGGTAGTAGGGATGAGAGAGACAGAGAGAGACAATTGCAGATGAGGAGGGATGCATGGTTGATGAAGTGATGCCGAGATGATGCGAGAGAGAATTTATGCTGTCGACAGACGTGTTTGCTATGGTAGTACATTTTGCCAGGGGTGCGGTTGGTTGGATGGGTTCTTGTGCGAAAGCGGGAGATGCGGGGTGGGGGGCATCTGCGATGGATGAGGAGGCGTGGGACGAGAAGCGATAGACCGAGGTTTTGAGGCCTTATGACACCGCTGCGACGCGAGGGGAAGCCACGTTCATGTTCGAGAGCGCAGAACGACCGAAGGTGACAAAGTCGTGCGGCAAGAACTGCTCCGGCACTTCCGCGTGGTGCTTTGTAAAGACGAGGTCGCGCGAGGACCGCACGTTCTCCTTGTCCGAGTCGGCGAGAACGGCACTGATGAGCGTGTCGCACGAGTAAAGCGGGGTCGTCGGGGTGACGGGCATGTCGTCCGAGATGTCGGACGCCGTGGTCGAGACGCTTGCGGGGGTGCTGGCAACCGAAGACATCGGCGAACGCGTTGGCGTCATCGGCATGACGAGAGGCGCGTAGGTCTGGCGGACGAAGCGGCCGCCCTTGAGGTAGAACTGCACGACGAACGTGGCGGCCTTCGAGTAGAAGGCGTACGAGTACTTCTTGACGAGGACCTCCGACAAGTCGTTGACGTGCTTGGCAAGGCGCTGGTCGAGCAGATCGACGATCTCGAGGCACTCATCGGTCTCCTCAAAAATGCGGTGGCCTTTTCCGCACAGGAATCGCGCCAGAGTCAAGGAACCTAACGCAACGGTCGAAGGCGGGAAGCGAACAAATTCCCGATGGAACAGAGTGATCTCCATGACGAAACGCGCGACGTGCTGCACCCGAGGCTCTTCCATGCACGGACCGTGGCACATCAGCCGTAGCCACGCCTCTGCGGTGGGGTGGCCGAGTACCCATTGTATGGTGGAGAGGATATGCTGCTCCATCTGCACGAACGCCGACTCCTCGTACGTATCGCGACAGACCTGAACCAGATCCTGCACCGTCGGCACGCGCTCCTTCGCGTCCTCAAACTTGGCAGCGATCCAGAGAGCCGTACATCCCACGAGCTGGTAGTGCTTCACGTACACGATGCGCCGCGAGACGTATCGGTCGATGATGTTGAGGGCGAGGTAGAGTGTCTCCGGCCGAAGGCGGAAGGTGAAGTGCAGTTCGACGAGGAAGTCGACGAGGCACGGGCGCATGTGCCACTTGATCTCCGGCTGCTGGTCCATTGATGTCATCGACCCCATCGTATCGTGCTTTTTGATATGACAAGGGAAGAACTGAGCATCATCCGGGGTGCAACTGGATCACAGCCCATCACTGACCTCCATCTGGTGCATATAGTACCTGATGTCCTCTCGATACTCTTCTTCGAGAAGGACGCCCTGGCGGTGCAGCGCGAGCACTTGGGCTTGGCGCTGGGACCGCGCCTCCTGTTCGAGGACTATGGCAGACTTGCGGCCCGAGCCGTGCTGCAGGTGCGAGTAGGTGGGCGATTGCTTGTGCGCCTTCGAGATGCCGTATGGAGACGGTCGTTTCTTGGGGTAGACAGCATTGCGTGCGTGTCGGGAAGAGGCGGAGACGTCTTTCATGTCGGTAAGGGGAGCTAGAATCGATCCAGAGGCCTGCGAGATCGATGTAGAGCTAGAAGAAGAAGGACGGGCAGCGAGGGTGAGCGACTGCCGCGATGATATAGACGACGCATTGTCAAAGAAGACGGAGTGGGCCATGGTCGGCCACGTAACGACGACAAGGCGAAGAAGAGGAAGGAGAGATTGCGCTCAAACAATGAAAAGGAAAAGGCGGATAGAGGCCGGGGCGGCCAACCAAGTTTTAGGCAGCCATCGCCGGTGCACTGCTGGAAGGGTGATGCTCGTAAAGTGACCCGTGCGGTGGCAGCCGCGACAGGCGAGAGTGCCACACGCCCGGATAAGGCCACCGGCCCCTCGAAAGGTGGCGGACGATCGCGACGCCGCAGGACGACGCGCGCAAGACGCGTGCAAATCTCGGAAGTACTGACTCACCGACGTCGGGGTCCGGATCATGCGAGGAGACGCGAGACAGGCGGTGGGGGGCTCGGGGCTATCGACAGCGAAGTCGACGGCGGGGCGGCGGGGCTAGTTTTGGATCGTCAGCGTGCGGGTCGTTACGGGCGAGGCGGGGAGGAGGGGTGCGCTCGACGTCGGACGCGACGACGAGGGAGGGCGAGGAGAAAAGAGGACGAGGGAAGCGAAAAGCATATAAGAGGCCGGTAAATCGGGACGTGGATTACTACCAAATCAGGAATGTGAAGGGGTCTACGACGACAAGCGGACTTGGGAAACAAGGGTCACAGTGACGCTGTGAAAGGAGAGGCAATCATCATAACAACCGCATGATCCTCTTCATCTAACCCCGTATTTCCCACGCGAAACACGTTCTACGACGACCACGACATCTAGCATAGATCCTCACCTGGGCGGGCGGATTCGTCGAGCTGCGTGCGATCCCTGTTAGCCATGATCGACCCCGCAAAAAGCGACTGTGGCACACGGCGCACTCACCCAACGACGATGTGAGATTAGGCCCGGGGGTGCTGGTATTAAGGAGAGCGGACAAGGAGCAACAAAACGAAGGACTAGGGCTAGAAACGGCTGATTGTCTATAGGTTGAGAGACGAGCGGACGACGAGCGGGGCAGACGGTGTCAGTGTCCACGGGCGGCTCTGCTGGCAATGCCGACTCGGTGCGATGCGACGACAAAGGCCTAACGAAAGGCTAGATGCGTCCGTGACCCTTTACGAGGCCACCACCGGGAATGAGCGCTGCAGAGACGACGAGTGGGGGGAAAGCTTGGAGCGACAAGACGTTCCAGCGGTAAGCTTTGAGGACGACCGCCCGCTCAAAAAACGAACAAGGGGCGAGGCAGCCTTCTTAGTCTCATACGCACGCCCCCTGTGCTTTACTCGGCAGATGGCCCCACGAATGAAGACCACGTTCCCGCCTGCAGGCAGCCCATTCAGGCATTTACGACACGGACACTTAGATAAGCCGGTGAACCCCCTTCGCCGTAAGTAAACACCCAATCGATTTCGAGAAACGACCCGCTCGTCCAGTCACAAGAGCCCAACATCTGAGACTGGGCCGTGTCTTTGCTTGTCTCAATGGCCCCCTCCTCGAACAGCGACCTTCGCCTTTGTTGCAGTCTGCTCGCGATCACGAAGAAATGACGCAGGATCACACTAGAAACTGCGCCGCCACTGGCTAAGGGGGTGTGGGTGTGTGTCTAGGCAGAAGACCCTCGCATCAGTCACTGCCTATCGAAGCGCCATCAAGTCTTCGACGTGAGGCTGGGGGAAATCACTTTGACGTCACTTAATAAGACGTGTAAAATGGTATGCGGCCCGACCGCGGGCCCCAGCTCATTCTATCTTGTTGCCTTGGGGTCGGCCCCGAATATCAACGATGATAATAATGGTCGTCGTCCAAATGGATGTGGAGCGTAAGTATATGGAGGTCACGGCCAAGGTACGGACCGATCGAGCCAAAAAAAAAACAAATACGGGCCTCGGGTTGCCCGACCGGTTCACAGCCACACGGCGCGATCGCGAACAGGTCTCGGATATCTCGTCCGGTCCGCTTGGGAAACGCAAGCGAACAAGTCCAGAGATGCGCCGCGTTGTATAGAGAGCAACACGAAAAGATGCTGTCAATAATGAGACACATCTGAGAGAATGACTGTCGTAAAAGGCGGGATCTGAGGGATTAAAAAGTCGATGCGCACGCGCCAGGAATAAGTGCGGGCAAGTCTCCATTACATGAAGAGAACTCACGTAGCCCATATGGCGAATATTGATTGATCGCGCGTCCTGGGTAACGGGACTTTTATACAGCTCTCTCTCTCTCTCCAAAAAGTGTTGTGCCTTCTTCTTAAAGCCTAAAACGAATTCAATCGCCTGGGCGGTCCGTACGGTCTCCCTTCACGCGCAACGTATTTTTGCACCAAACCCAATTGCCGAACCCGGCCTCCGCGTCATGAGTAAAGGGAAGTTTCGGGCGAGGCCCCCCAGCCGTTTATGTGATTCGCGCCGCCAAGAATACGACCTATACACAGTCCGCCGCAAACATAGCCCCGAACGGCTCCCACCGCCTTCCACCCTACGCTCGTATAGGAAACCCGTTCGCATTCGCGTCGGACCCGACCGGACAGACTGGAGAATGACACGGGAAATGCGAATGCCATAGGGCTGCGCCACCGGCTCAGGTCACGTGCATTTCGCGCGCCCTTCCGGCGGGTTTTCCCAGAGGAGAGGGGGGGGCGATCAGAGATCTGGAACGCCGATCTTCTCGAAGATCCCTTCACAAGATACGCGGCCCAGGGGCCCAGCCTGTCTTGCGCCTGTCTGTATGTCTTGCGCCCCAGGCGTCAAAACCAATTATACGCGTTGATTTATCGTACTGACATTGTCTGCCAATGTTCCCGCCCCATCGGATCCTCAGAGCCCAGCGGGAATCTTTCGTCTCTATGAATCTCCACGAGGCCCGCGCGGCGATGCGCTGGCAAGCGACGACCCCGCACGAGATCAGAGAACGCATGGGAGATTACGCAAGTGGCGCTGCAAGCCATCCCCCCGAGGGCGCCCGATCCCGATAATGGAAATGTCCCGACGCACGACGCAACATCGTTGTCTCGGCGAGCGAAGAGCAAAGACAGAAGCAACAAGCCCCTAAACCCCCCGTGAACGCTGTCCAAAACTCATGAAACTCGGTCAAACAAGCGCGCACGGTACAGAATGATCATCGTTTTGAACAAGACGAACGGAGCGAAGAGACGAGGGCAAAATAGAGAAGAGATAACGCGCGCGATCGCCCCGCAGACAAGTTAGTTCCTGTTGCCCATGAGCAGCGCCATCAAATCGTGCGCTTGGTCCGAGCCCTGATATCCGCCGAGCGGCTGCTGCTGCTGCTGCCCCAACAGCGGCCCACCGATCCCCGGCGGACCCGCGAGCGAGTGCGACGGCGCGCGTTGATGGAGCTGCTGCTGCAATTGCGCCTGTCGCAGCGCCATCGCGTTCACGTTCAGGCCCGCCTGCTGCGGCTGCTGTTGCCCAAGTGCGCCGGGGCCGCCCCGGCCGAGGCCGAGAGCGAGGAGCTGTGCCTGGCTGATCCCCCGCAGATCCGGCTGTGGTTGTTGCTGCTGTTGGACGCCTATCGCGCCTACGCCAGGCCCCAGGTCGCCTTGCATGTGATGCGGTGATCCTCGCATATGCTGAGGGGGGCCGCCGAGGCCGAAGCCAGGTCCACCGATATTGCCGTTATTGTTGTTGTGATGGGTGCTGAACCCGTTCTGGAACCCGGCGTTGGCGGCGGCGGTCGGAGGCAGGCCCATACTGGCGGCGAATTGCGCCGGGTCGTGCGGCGGGCGGTTGCCGAGATTGGCGAGCCCGGGGGGGAGACGCTGCTGCCCGCCGTGAAGCAGCTGCGCGGAAAGCGGCGAGGGCGCGTTTCGGAAATGCGGCTGCTGCAATGGGAGCCCTGGGATGCGATGCGGTTGTTGCTGGTGGTGCGGGAGCTGGTGCGGGAGATTGTGTTGTTGGTGATGCGGGAGCTGGTGCATCCCGCCGCCCTGCGCGAGCATCTGCATCTGCTCGAGACGCGCCTGCTCGAGCTGGCGCTGCTGCTCGAGGCGCGCTTGCTGTTCGAGGCGCGCCTGCTGCTCGAGGCGTTGTTGCTGCTCGAGGCGCTGGAGCTCGAGACGCTGCTGTTGCTCGATCTGCCGTGCACGAGCGCGCAGGCCGTCGTCGAACTGGTCGTACATCGACAGCTCTCGCCCACGGGGCGCGGGCGCGGTACGCAGCCCCGGCACCATTCCGTCTGGCGTGAAGGTCCGGTCGTCGAGCCGATCGTTGAGGCGATCGTTGAAGTCCCGCCCACCGGCAAGCATCAGGGCCTGCTGCTGCTGTTGCTGCTGCTGGAGACGATGAAGGTCCCGCGCGTCAAGCCCGTTCAACTGAGCTTGTGGATGAACACGCGCCGTCTGAGAGGGAAATAATACGTCAGCATCCTGTTAACATTCGCACGAACACAAGCCTACCTGTCCAGAGGTGTTAAGCATAGCATAGAGATGATCCATCGTGCCACCTCCGAGCGGCGGCGTGGGCGACAATCCCTGGGGGCGCATCATCTCCTGAGGCAGCTGCTGCGGAAGCTGAGACGGTGGCGGCACCACCTCTCGCCCTTTGTCAAAGAACTTGGCGAACCGGCTGCCCTTCGGTCCGCCTGCGCCCGTATCGGAGGGTGTTTTGCGGCCGTCGGCGAACGGCGGGGTCGCGCGAGCGGGGAACGGTCCTGGTCCTGGAGGGCCCGCGTCGTGGAAGGCTTGGTGGTACGCGTGCGGTGGGAAGCGGTCGAGCGGGTCCGGTGTCGCGCTTGCACGCGACGGAAGGCGAGGCGCGGCGGCGGCGAGGTCGGCGGGAGTGGGAGTAACGAGCGGTGGGCCCGCGCCGCCGGCAGAAGCAGTACGCCCGCTGAGGGCGAGCAAACGCGGCCCAGGGGGTGGCGTGAAGCTTTGCTGCTGTTGCAGTGGTGGCTGCTGTTGTGGTTGTAGTGGTTGCTGTGGTTGTGATTGTGGCGCCGCCGCCAAAGGCGCTTCAGAGTGAAGCGGCTTGGAGAAGAGGCGCGAGCCCGTGCGGTCTGGAATGGGGGCCGGAGCAGGAGCGGGCGCGAGCTCTGCGCCGGTAAGCAGAGTGAGCAACGAGCGTGGGCCATCCGCAAGGGCGTCGGGAGCGTTATTGCGGGGCGGTTCCGCACTGGCCGACTTCGTGTCTGCAGCCGGCGAGGGCGCGGGGAGACCCGGAGGCGCAGATGGGGCTATAACAAGTCAATAGTCAGGCTGACGAACCAAAACCACAATCGATTGACCACCCACCAGGTAGTTCGGCTGGAGCCTTCACGGTCGGAGCGTCGGGTGCGGCAGGAGCCTCGGGCGACCCTGCCTTCTTCTTCTCCTCTTCCTTCTTCATGATCAGCTTGAAAAGCTGTATCTCGTCCAGGCCTGACGCTGTCGCCTCTTTGCCTGGCTCACCCTCCACCTTCTCAGCCTTCTTTTCCTCACCCCGATCCTTCCGTTCCTTCGCCTCTGCCCGCTCGCGCTCGCGCTGCTCCTTCGCCTTCATCCCCATCTTCCACGCCTGCAGCCCATCGAGCTCGCCCTCAGCCGACTTGCCGCCAAGGATTCCGCTCCCAGCCGACGATGGCACGTAAGCCTCCATCCACGCCGGCTCTTTCTCCTTCTCCCTCTCTCCCCTATCTCTCTCCCTGTTGTCTCTCTCCCCCCTCTCCTTCTCTCTGTCTTTGTCGCGTCCGCCTCGCCGTTCGCGCTCGTCCGTGTGTTTGTCGCGGTCGGAATCGCGCTCACGTCGCCGCGCCGCGAGTCGTTCATCACGCTTGCCGTCGTCCCGCCAGTGGCGGTCGTCGTCTTTGGCGGCGGCTCCGGCGTCGCCACGGCGGTCGCGGCGCCTGTCCCGGTCCCGCTCGCGCTCCTTGTCTTCGCGTTCCCAGTCGCGCCGACCGGCAGATGGATCGCGTCGTGCTTTGGAGGTGGCGCGGCCTTTGGAGCGCGGGCGGTCACGGTCATCACGATCAGCACGCCCATCGGTTCCTGCATCGTCCGCGTCAGTTCTACGCGCATATACAAAGGGCACGCATATAATCCGACGTACGTTCATCACGGCCTCGCGGCGGTTCGGCACCTTGCCGAACGAGACGAAAGTGAGCCTTTTAGGACCAACTATGTGAGGTGCCCACGTTACCTCTCCGCCAGTCCTCGGTTTCGCCGGGCTTCTTCTTCGCCCCGTCCCGGTCGCGGCCTTCTCCTCTTCTAGGGGCAGCGCTGGTGGCGGATCCCGTGGTGGTGGTGGTCGAGGACGCAGCGCCCAGTCGGGAGGGTGCGGCCGAGGTGAGGTGAGGAGCGAGGTCTCTTTTGGCGCCGCCGCTGCCGCTTGTGGCGAGCGTGAGGCGGTCGCGGTCATACTTCTCCGATAGCTGTAGGCGGTCCACAACGTCGAGACGTATCACATGACATGATCATAAATGCAAAGGGGAGGAGAGCAGGAGTGAGCAAACGGAGATGCAGGTCAGCAGGGCGTCTGAGGGAGGGAAAGTGGAGAGAGACGGACGTTGCGCAGCTTCTCCTGGCCCTCCTTGTCGCGCTCGCGCTCCTTCGCCTCGCGGTCGGTGGCGCGGAGGGAGGAGTGGTGCTTGAAGTTGCCCATTTGCGAGGGCTGGGTGAGCGTCGCGCGGAATGCGGGGCGAGCGGGGAGGTCTGAAACGGACGATAACAAACATCAGCCCGGCAATCAATATCGTAAACCGACCAGCAGGGCGAACGGGTGGGCGCGGGAGGATGGATAAATACCTGAGTCTTCTGCGTCTCTGCGGAATCTGCGACATGAGAAGAAAGGGATGTTTAGCATGGAAGGTGGATGGGGTCGAGAAGTTGTCTGAAAACGAAGGTGCTCACCGTCTTTCTCGGGCTCCGTTCGCGGTCGATGAGGCGTCGGCATCCTTTTTGCCGGGGAGCGAGGAATCGTTCCAATCACTGAATTGGGTCCATCAGCTTCGATGACTGGGTCGTCGTCCTTGCGGCACGATAAACGCACCCAAACCATTCTTTGAGAGGTGGCAGGCCAGGCGGGGGCTGCACGAGCGGCGACTTGGACAAGCGCAGGAGTTGAGCACGGGTGTACACTCTATGGGGGCGTGGAGGTGGTGATTCGGTTGGTGGTGATGTTGTTGTTGTTGTTGAGACTTGGGATTGAGGTTGTAGTGCGTCGGGAGATGGGGTGTCGGTTTCGGTCGTGTCTGGCGCTGTCGTCGAAGCGGGCTCGACTGTCTCGTTGCTAGGACCGTCAGGGTCTGCGGGCGCCATCGTCGGGCGAAGGCAGAGAGAGGATCGTTGGTATGGAAGGTCGAGGAAACTGTGAGCTGTGGTGGTGTCGGTGTCGGTGTGCGAGTGGCAAGCCACCGCTGTGCGTCTTCTTCTTCGTGTCTCGCTCGGCTCTGGCCACCTCTGTTTCTCTCTGTTACATACAACGTACGCACACATCGCGAAAAACTGTTTATCGGGCACAAAAGGAATAGAATAACTAGTACGGCATGCTGCGCGAGCCGAGCCTGAAGCACTTCATCCTCCGCCAGCGGGCGCTGCACCTCTACCGGCACGCCATCCGCGCCTCGCGATGTGAGCATTCGCCATGATCCTGCTCGCCGCGCTTGCTCGAGTGCCCTCCTCTCCTCGTTAGACGTACCGGATCCGCAGGCCAGGAAAGAATCCGTGCGCTGGATCCGCGATGAATTCGAGCGCACGCGCCATCTCGAGGACGTGGTACGCGGCCCTCCCTCCTCTTCAGTCTCGTGACACCCGGTGCTGATGCAAGCTCTTGCGATAGAAAATGATAGAGGACCGGCTGGCCGTCTGTCGGCGGGAGATACGACAGATCTTCCCTACGCCCAACTTATAGCGACGGTCTTCAAAGAACACACGAAGCGAGGCGGAGGAGCGGAGGAAGGCGATAGAGATATATTTACCGTACGAACCACAGTGTAATAACGCGCAACAAGCTCAAGGTCTCATCTACACACATCCGCTCGCCGATACCATGGACCCCCTCGTTCCATATTATCTTCCAGCAGAAACGACGATAGCCGCAAGCCACGCCTTTGCCTGCTGCACGTTCCCGCCGGGGCCAATACCGCGCCGGCATCCGCCGGGCTGTGACGCCATGCGAGGAGGGCGCCGTGGAGGGCAACCTCAAGCATAACATAAAGCTCAGCGCCAGCCACGCCCGTCGCTGGCGCTCACCATCCATCCTTAGACCATGGCCACACCGCAACCGCAACCTCCCCCGCCGTCGTCCCCGCCCCTGCCGCCTGCGAGCGCGACGGCGAGCGCAACCGGCCAGTTCGCCCCGAGGCGCGAGTTCCTCCGCTCGCCGCACACCTTCTCCACCTTTGCCCTCCTCGCCCTCTCGGGGGCGGGCCTTGTCCGTCTATGCAGCTTTCCACAGGCCGTGCACGAGGCCCTCCGCGCGCATTTCGACGCGCGCAAGCTCACTGCCGGCGTACGCGAGGCCCCTGCGCAGAACCTGCTTGAGATCTCGCTTCACGGAAGGCCCTGGGCGACCGCGAAGAGCATTCGATCCGAAAAGCTGCTCGTCGAAATAATGACTGTCATCTTCCAGCACGGATACGACTTCCTCTCCACTATCGACTATGGTCGCGAGCAGGACGACCGCCTCGCCATCGCGTTCTCCAAGCCTGCGCCGCCTCCAATGCCAGCAGCCCCGGGATCGCGCTCCGGCTCGCCCATGCCACTCACAGTCGCTCCCTTGCCACCCCCTGCGACCAAACCTGCCCGTGTGCCAATAGGCATTTCCTTTGCATCGCCGACCGTGCTGCGTGTCATCAACCCACCCCTTCATTCAACACCTGCTATACTCCAGGCAGTGCGAGGCGCCTGGCCACGTGGTGTCGTTTCCGAAAAGAAAATCGATACCTCGTTCGAGTTCCGCCTCAAGGGCTACCGCTGTGCGTCATCTTATCCGCTCGCGCATCCAAACGTGCTAACATACACGAATTACTATCGCAGGGTTCCAAGAAGACACCTTCGCGACCGACTCGCTCCAACATATCCTCGCCCTCCTCTCCTCTCTCGACGCGCATGGATTCGCCCTCCTTGCCTCCCTCTCTCTCGCCAACCGCTCTCGGATCAAAGACCTCTGGATCTTCACGGGCCCCAGCGAACAGTCATCCAACCTCGACTCAGCCCCGAGTACACCCAACGCCTCTCGAAGTGACCTTCGTCGACCTGCGCAGGCGCACGGGCAATACCGAGGCAGTCTCGACGCCGGCGCAAGCTCGGGGGGCTCGTCAGGCAGCCCTGGGAGCAACGGGCCGTCGCGCCTCGCTGCAGTACCTCCCCCGTACCAGAACGCCGCTGCACGGAGCTCGGGTCACCTCCGCTCCGCATCTGAGCCAGCCACAAACATGCCGCCCCCACGTGGCTCCTTCGCTGCTGCGCGCGCCCTGCTCAGGAAGCCAGGCCGTGCCTCGCAGACCACCGTCCCTGCGCTCTCCAACCTCTCCAACAGCGTCAGAAATGGTGAGAATGCCGAGGACTCGCCCCAGCGGCCGATGGCCGCGCTCCCGCCCGCGCTATCACGCACGGAGGAAGAACCCCTTCGTGCGACGCTGCCCAGCGAGGTTGGTAGCGTCGTGAACATGACCGGCGTCGGCGCCGGGCACAACCGCAACTGGGATCTTATCGGCGAGGAGGATGAGGAACTGCCGCCCGTCGAGGTGCAGAATCCGCACCCGCAGGCGAGCGTGATCTACGCCACGCACGGACAGCAACAAAGGGGCACTCCCAGCCCCCGCGAGCACGTGTCCACGATGCGCTCGTCGGCGGGTATCGAAGGCTCCATCGCGATGTACTACCAGAACGAGAACGCGGCGCTGACCCCGAGCATGCTCTACACGCATTCACCCTTGGATGTGCACCCGCGCACACCCTCGCCGCCGCGCACACCGGGCGTGCACACCCCTACGCCGCCCCGGACGCCCGGCGTGCATACTCCGACACCGCCGTTGCCTGGTGCGGGCACGTTTGACGAAGCCTTCCGCTCCTCGTCCTCACCACCGGACTCCACCCACCCGACCACGCCCTCGCCGCCGCTCCTCGGCCCCGAGGCGTTCCGCGACACGATTCGCTCCTCCTCTCCTCCACGAGATACCGTGCGGGATTCTGCTTTCACATTACACACATACAAGACGCACGAGATCCCCATTGCCTGGACAGGCGCAGGTCCAGAACCGCGAGCAGAACCTCAGACAGAAACAGGACGTCGCCCACCTCTGCCTAGCGCGTACGCCAGCACGGGCCCGCCCCTCCCCGGCGCGTGGCAACCGTCGCCGACACCACGAAACGAGAAACCGCAGTGGCAGTGGCAACAGCAGCAATCGCCGCATCACCTCCCGCCGCTCGTCGCGCAGAACGCGTCCCCGTCCGACGCCGAGCCCGCCGCCCCAACGGTGCGTCACCGCCTCCATCCCGCGTCTTCTCCTCCTCAGCTGCCTCCGCTCGCGTTCTGACCCTTGCCCCTTGCTGCTGCAATTCTAGGAGAAGGATTTGAAGGAGAGGGGGAGAATGCCGTCGCCCGAGAGGAAGGCGGTCAGCGCGCGCGCGTTCACGCCGGGTGTGACCTCCCCTACGCAGAACGGGCGCAAGAGCCAGGCGGCGGAGGTCGGCGTGCTGCCTGCGCAACCGCGTGCCAGCCGGCGCGCTAGCGATGGCTGGATCGTGGTCGACGTCGATAGCCCCGGAGATGAAGGCGCGCCGACGCGTCCGGGCCTGCGTCCGCGCAGCTCCTCGTATCCCACTTTCACGTTCTCCCAATCTGGCGACGAACCAGGGCGGGGCCAGGCGGCGGCGAAGGCGATCGTGATCATCGACGCGGTCGACGCGAAAGCGCAGAAGGGGTCCAGCGGATCCGCGTTCAAAAAGCTATTTTCGCTGCGCAGGACGGAGGCGGAGGGGGGCAAGGCAGCGGGGAAGAGACGGGAGCGCAGCGCGTCCCGGGGTAGGGGATCTGAGAATGAGGGTCAAACCCAGAAGGCGACCAAGGGCTGGTACCGATGAGCGCGTATCGAATTGCTGGGATCTACTGTTAAAGGACGGTGTTATGGGACAAGTCTGGAGGACTATGGAACGGAAACAGAAGTTGGATTCTTTGCTTGCTAATTCGTTTAATAGCCGACGTTCTTTGCTGTGCTTGTTATTGCTCATGCCTGTCCTTTCACTGTTCGCTTCCATGCTCCGACGAACCTTTAATTTCTGGTAGCGACGTTGAAGCCGCGCTGCTGTAGAGTATAAAGTAGTACCACCCATGTAAGATACGAGATGAAGTGGGTAGACAGCACGTTCGATTGGATGACAGTAAGTAGGATACAGCGCCGACGGTAGTACTTGGGGATGAAGCCAGTCGACGTTGTCGAGGACAGCAAGTCATGTCAGAGGAAAGCGAAGCCCGCGCAGAGGTTGGGAACCCTGTCGCGCACGCATTATATCCCTCTTCGCAGGATGCTCCATCTCGGTGCTGGCCATTTAAACGACCGTGGTAGGTGACTGGACGGCCGCCATAGTAAACAGACCTGATGATATGTAAGTGGGAGAAACGCAGTCTCGCCTGTGCAGCAATTTATTGTGTGGGTTGAGGGCAGGCTGATTCGTGCCTTCGCCCGTGAGATCGTGCGCGCGCCTGCCCTCTTCGACGCTTCAAATGAAACAATGAATTTTGTGTTCTGCCATCCTGGCTGGGAACTCAAATACGTGGGCCCTTTTCTTTAGTCTTACGTGCTGAATAGTGGGTGTAGAATATCTATGCCGACGTAGTAGCCATTTCAAGAGGAATCTTATCCCGTGTGACTCGGTGATCTTGTGCTTTACTCTTACCTTTACCAACGTTGTTCTCGCCGGATATGCTCGAGAATACCGTCAGAAGCTGTCCATGGGAGGGGCGGGTGCGCGCCCTGGCTCAATTTCCGTGATTTTTGACGAGCGAAGTGATTGCGCACGAGGCTGGGTCCGAACCGGGAGGAGGGAGGGAAGGGGGGTCGAACCTCGGCGTGCGATGGCCACGGCAGGGGGCCCCGCTGGCTGTTCGTGCCAGAGAGGTTTCCCAACCCGGACCCGGCGCGCGTTTCTGGTCCCCGTCCTCCTCCCCCTTCCCCCCCTTCTTCCCCTCGTCCACCGCCCGAGGCCATGCCCACCTTCCGCCGGAAACGCGTCGTCCTCGTCGAGCCTTCCGCCGCGCTCCTCCACGCCGCCAAGACCCGCCCGGAGAAGGAGGTGTACTACCTCGCGCAGACGGGCGAGATCTTCGAGACATACGAGTGCGCGGCTCTTCCTATGTGTTCTAGCCACGGATCGCGTGGGCTCATCTTCCCTCTGGGTTCTTCTGCAGGGAGTATGCCGCACGGCTGTCCTTCTACAAGCTTAAGCATTTTCAATGTGAGGTCTCGGGCAAGAGCAACCTCGACTACTTCCAGGCCTTGGACAGCGAGGCCCAGGAGGCCCGCACGATGCATTCGAGGTTCCCTGAGCAACTCAAGCCTGCGATCCTCAAGGCCGTTCAATGGCGTGAGTCCTTCCTCTACGCTCTTTCACAATTAACTTGGGTTGATATACCTGATTCTTCTCTGCTTAGAGGTAATGGGTCGACTAGACCATCTGGTAGAGGCGGTCTATGAGCGCTTCAAGGATCGGTATTTTGCTGGAGAACGTGAGCCGTTCTCGTCCGCTACGCCTCAGCATCCCTGTGACATCATACAATAGGCGTCCTCGTCGAGATCCAGGGCGACAAGTACGTGTCAAATATCGTGAAGTAGTGCGACGCGCTCACAACGTTCGTGTTCACAGGTTCCTCGCCCGAATAGCCCAGGTCTTTCCCCCGCGCCCGACGTCACCCATCAAAAACAACTATCTTCCGCACAAGTCGCCTTCAATGAGCCGACGGTCTCCCGGACCGGAAGAGCGACCCTGCCACGTCGTCCTGGGCGACCTCAAGATTCCCGTCAAGGACGCCGACATCGACGATCCTGCTGCGTACATCTACAAGGTGCAGATCATCGAGGAGGAAAGCGGGAAGGGCGCCGACTCGCGGAGCGACAAGAAGCTTTCCGCGAAGGAGCGCGATGCGAGAGAGGTGAACCGGCAGAAATGGAGCGGCAGCATAATGGAAGTACGATGTAACGAACTGAGGTCGGTGCTTCGTTCGGAGACGCGCCAGCTCGCTGCTCACATATATGCACATATGCATCCTAGTCGAGATCGCCTATCGTTCTCGAAATCTATCTTGCGGCGTTTCATTCGCGATTGCGTGGACCGGGACGCTGCCGTTGCCTCGCCTTGGACGGTGAAGCCATCTATCGCTGAGCGATATGGCGTCAGCTCCGAAATGCCTGAAGAGACCCGCAAGGGCGTCGATGCCATCAAGCGCAAAGAGAGCGACAAGCGGCGGAAGGTCTTTGATGACAAGGAAGGACCGCCTTCCAAGAAACGCAAGTCGGAGGAAGGCACGTCCCCGATACCCAGTAGTTTTCTTTAGTACTTGCTGAGAGTTTCAACCGTGCAGGTCCAGATGCCGTGCCTCCACTACCTGTTCCATCTCCAGTTAAGGTCGAGGAGGTCAAAAAGGAGAAGAAAAAGCCCATACGCTATCCAACCGAGGACCTCGACATCAGGTTGACGGACAAGGAGATCAAGAGCGGGATGAAGGTGCGACGACCGACACCCAGTCGCAGCACGTTACCTTTTGGCGAAGATCCCGCCGCTTTCGAAGGATTCCTCATGTCATACAACTTTCTTTGTGTCTACGGGTTAGTCCGAGTTTTTTCGCCTCCGTCGTCCTTTAACGGTCGTTGCAGGCAAATATTGCATCTCTCGGCGTTCACGCTGGACGACTATGAACATGCTCTTCGACATTCGCTTCAGCATCCGGTCCAACTCATATACGAGATCCACTCGACCTTAATCTACAACCTGCGCACGGTACCCTTCGAACGCCATAGTGCCGTGGTATCATTGCTGAACTCGAAAGACGCCGAACCTGAGAGATGCTTAGGCGTCACCATCGACCAGCTGACGGCTGCAATGGCTGATATTGGCAACAACTGGGAACGGGTACCATTGCGACATAGCGAACAACGAGAAGGGTGGGAGGACGCTCTCGTTGGATGTCTGAAAGATGTGAGCTCCACCACTCGTGAAGACCGCAACAACTCACGCAGACCGGAATTTACAGCACGCCACTACCTCCGATTTTCCGCGCCTCAGGGAGATTCTGACCCGATTGTTGTTTGCGCCGGACATCTCCATCGATTCGCCGTCATCGGGCGAGTCGCCGTCAGCAGCAAGTAGCCCGCCGCCTACGACGTTGAGCGTTCCTTCGACACCGCAAGAACGATATCACACACTGCCACCTGCCGACAAGATCGCCATCTTGTCCTTCATGTGCGGCCTGGCGGTCTCCAGCAAGACCATACATGCTCATATGGAGGCCTGCGAGGAATCCCTCACCGCGCTCCGGAAGGAGAAGATTGAGGTCAACCGCACGAAGAAGCAGCTGTACGCCTGCCCCCTCACAGATTGTCTACCCCTTCGCTGACCACATTTTGCTGCCAGGTTGGAGGACATGGCAACTCTACTGGGCGAAGCTCAGGAGGTCGTGGAGAGCGCTGAGGCCAACGGCGGCGAGCAGTCGGATCACCCGCCGTCCGCGTCAGAGGAATCGGAGGCCGTCGCGTCGCGGAAGAAGCCGAAGAAGAAGGCGCAGGGCGGGTCGGCGAAGCAGCGTGAGGCGGCGCGGGCGAAAATGACCGCGGCGAAGCAGGCGCTGGCCGAGCGCCGGCGGCTGGATGAGGAGGTGAACAAGCTCGAGCGCAGGCTGGAGGGCATCGAGCGCGAGTTCCGCAAGCTGTTCGGCGCGATCCGCGTCAAACCGATGGGCCGCGATCGGTTTTATAATCGTGTGTGGTGGTTCGATGGGATGGGATCTGCGTCGTTGTTGGGTAGTGGCGGCTCGGTGCAATATGGGACCGGCCGGGTGTTTGTGCAGGGTCCGAGCGAGTTTGATGTGCTGTTGTTGGAGAAGGTGGAGGGCGATTTGGCGGCGAGGCGACGTGATGAGGAGGGTGAGGAAGGTGTGCTGGGCGTGGGGCAGTGGGCGGTGTACGAGAACGTTGATGAGGTCGGTTCCCCGAGCTCCTGTCAAGATTCTGCAACAGTGGCCTGACCATATATATGCAGGTGGAGCAGTTCATCGCCTGGCTCAACCCTAAGGGCGTCCGCGAGCTGGCGCTGAAGAATGCAATGACCAAGTGGTGGACGCATATCGCCCCGGGGATGCGAAAACGCGCAGCGGTGGGTTCCTCTTTCTCTCCGATGTGTTTTCCCGTGAAGAACCGGCGCTGATCTGGATCGCAGGACCTGGAGACACATGCGAAGCTCCCCGACGCCCGACGCAGCCAAAGGAAGAGCGGTGGGATAGGCGAGCTCGGGCGCGAACCGTACATGCAATGGATTAATCGCCGGGCGAGCTCCGGAGCATGAAGAAATGTTGCATAGCTATTTATCGTATTAGCACGTTTAGTGTACTAACCGCAAGAAGCTCATTGGTTGTAGAATCGCCGTCGTTGTACATGTTCACTACTACTCGTGTTTGTTTCCCAAGCTTTCTCAATGTATCGCCATGACGTCACACGTTTACCCCTCGATAACAACAGGATAACACTTCTCTTTCCCGATCACGCTTGAATGTTCTTCTCCCATCGACCCCGGAACCACTGATGTGTCGCTTATCTCTCGGAACAACCACTTGACGGTTCTTATCTGTCGCCTCTGCGGCTCAGCCGCTCACCGTCTCTAACGCGCAAGGTTTTCACGACTCATCATGACTTCCCTTCCCAACGTCAACAACTTTGTTTTCGGTTCGGCGGCTAGCGCGTACAGCGTGCGCGATGCCATAGCCTCTCGTATGTCTGCGTATATGCCACTCGTCCGGGAGTGTTGAACTGAACTTTTTGCAATGCAGACCGTCGTGCGCAATACCTGGTCACCAGTACCAATGTCGCCTCCTCTGTGTCTGACTACACCAGCTCGCTTGATGGAGAGGAGCACGAAGACGAGGACCTGATTCCCGAAGAGGATGACTTGGAAGCAGGGACGCCCGAGGGCGAAAGACCCGGCACGCGCCCGATTCGCGGCGCTACATGGGACGAATTGCAATGGGAGGACGACCTCACGCCAGTGCCCAGGGACGACGGCGGCGACCCGGGAATCTTGTTGCCTGCGCCGGGAGCACCTGGAGAGGGCATCGTCCGGTTACCCTCGACGACCACCAGACCTATCCAGCAGAGCCTGTCGGGAGGGTCCGAGACGACACCCCTCCTGCGGAAGACCATCTCGTTCACGGAGCAGCGCCCGCCTGGCTCGGGGGTCGCGCACGCTCCTTCTCCCAAGGTGCAGGCCACGCGAAGGCCCTCGCATGCATCTATGAAGTCGGTGCATCTCGTCCACGCCGGGAGCAGCACGTTTGGGCAGACGCTGTTCAACACCGTGGCGATCTTACTCGGTATCGGGATGCTCAGCGAGCCTCTCGCATTTGCGTGCGCGGGATGGGTGGGAGGATCGGCGCTGCTATTCTTCTACGGTATCCTAACATGCTACACGTAAGTACTTTTCTCTCCGCTTTTTCTCGTAATACGCGAACCTGAACCCCGATACAGTGCGAAGGTGCTAGGGAAAATCATGCACACGGATCCCCGGATCCGTTCTTACTCGGATGTTGCCCGCAAAGCGTTTGGTCCTCGAGCAACGCCGTTCATTAGCACGTTGTTCGTCCTGGAGCTCTTTGCGGTTAGCATTGCTCTCGTGACGCTATACGCTGACTCGCTGCACTCGATTGTCCCTATTCATTCAGCAAGTACATACAAGCTAATCGGCGCTGTGATGTAAGGATTCCCTATGAAAGTTTATCGTGCCAGAGATGATGTAACAGATTTTATCCACAGTCTAATACCCACGACGTTCATGCCCTTACGACTGCTATCGTTCACGTCCTTTGTCGGAATATTATCGACTATCTTCATCGTTATCGTCTTGTTTATTGACGGATTGGCCAAGAAAACGAGCCCCGGTAGCCTCTGGGAGCCAGCCAAGACCTCGATAGGTCCAACTTCTTTCGGTGAACTAGGCATTGCCTTTGGTGAGTACATCCGGCAGTTGTCGGTCTAAAATGCGATGCTGACCTTGACCGATGATGCACATAGGTTTGTTGATGGCAGGCGTAAGTACGTTTCGTGGAAATTGTCGAAGCCAGACTAATGCCTGTTTAGTTTTCGGGGCATGCCGTAATACCCTCACTCGCTCGTGATATGCAAGACCCATCGCAATTCGATACCATGGTAGACTGGGCATTCGTACGTCACCTGTGCTTGCAAGTGGCTTGTGCTGACCGAGGCACATCGCAGGCCGCAGCTACTGTCATTTATTTCTTGATTGGTGCCGCAGGTTTAGTCGCTGTGTCACCTTCGCGAACAAGTGATCTGATGTTATCCGTAGGCTACCGCATGTTCGGACACAGTGTATATGACGAAGTCAGCAGGAACTTGATTTCGACTCCAGGCTACAATTCGACGCTCAATAGGGTAGCTCTGTGGACCCTTGTCATTAGCCCCTTGTTAGTCCTCCCTTTTCTCGCTACTCGCTCCAAGCTTACGCGGTGATTCCAGATCGAAGTTTGCTCTCACCACCCGACCTGTGGGTTTTCTTGACTCTCGTCATCTCGAAAAGAAGCTGATGCCTCTCGATCTGCACAGGTGAACTACACCCTCGAGATCATGCTCGGGCTGGAAAGTTTTGCCACCACAGACGAGCACCGCATCAAGCCGCTGTCTGCTATCCAGCACACGCGCCATTTGCTTAGTTGGCGGCAGTTCTTCATTGCGCTCGAGCGTATCGGCTTCACGCTATGCTCCATTATTGTATCGATACTGGTACCGGAGTTCAGCGCGATGATGGCCTTCCTTGGGGCGTTCTCAGCTTTCATGCTATGCGTGATAGGCACGTCCATTGCACCCCTTCCTGCGTCGATGAAAACCTAACACGCTTTCGACGACTCAGGACCGATCTGCGCAAAGGTCGCGCTAGCGCACAGATGCTCCGTCATGGACGCAGCAATCATTATTACTGGCGTCGTAATGGCTGCATGGGGTACGGGAGCTGCGATCTGGTCCACCGGATGATGAGCGGAACTCCGTTTTCAGCAATGCATTGGGGTTAACGGTCACATTCGTCGCGAACAGTGTCCGATAATAGGCAATCATGATGAACCTGATCATCACATCTGACGACGTGGCCCACAACAACAATACAAGGAGCCCACCAGAGCACAATTGGTTGGCACATGCAGCATATAAAATCGGAAATTCACCGAGGGCTGAGGGCTGAGTCGATCTGACCACATAGTCATTCTGTGACCAACCACACGCACCGATGCGATATATCCTTGATTCAAGGACGTAGCACGCGGAGTTTCTAGGTTCCTGTTCTCTGCATCTCACTTGCTTCAGTCTCATCGAATCTACCCTGAATGGCATTGCCTCTGCACTCCTCACTCATTCATTGCCACTATCAGGAGCTCGGAATGCTCAATTCATCGTCGACGCTCCCAACGCGTTATGTCTTCAGGTTTTCAATGGAATGCAAGAGGCATTGCTGTATCGTACGAGAGAGCGTGATGGTAGATGTTTTCGTATTTGGAGCCGCGATGTTGATGCAGAACTCCCTGTACCATACCTGCTGTCCGCACTCCCGCGGAAGTGCGCTTTTCAAAGTTGCAGCTGCGTGGCAGGCAAATGGGTGCGACGATCAGACACGATACAATACCAGTACATCGATACAGAGATGATCATCGTTCGCCGTTGTGGATTGGTGCCGGCGTAGCTCCTTTTCTTGACGGTTTAGTGCGCCGTAGCCGCGTGCGCGATGATCTTCGTAAGTTCTGCACATTACCGAGATCAGCGATTGTCAGGCTCGTCGAGGGGAGAATACATACGGGGAAGCTTGATGTCCTCTTGTACGACTGTCGACGAGATCTGGTTATCAGGGTTCACCGGAATGGTCACGACACCGGTCGTGGCATCGTGTTGCCATCCCAGTTTCGAGAGGAATGCCTCGTAATCAGCGCCTGAGCGTAATGTTCTTTTAGAGCAGAATTCAACGGGCGAATATGATGAGGTACACACCCTCGAGATCGAGATACAAGCTCAGCCGCGCGCTGCTGATCCGCTTGAAGGCGGCCTTGACGGCACGGAGGACTACCTCACGAATCGCGTCCTCGAAGCCGACGAACTCGACTGTGTAGTTCTCGCGCAGCGCCTCCAGCTCGTCCGAGCGATAGTACTCCCAAAACGCCGGGAAGCGGCATTGCTTCAGGAAGGTTTCCAGCTGGGTGAGCTGGGGGAGGAGGGTCGGCAGCGGGTCAGGCTCTTCTGCGTTGGCGTTGGGCGGTCGGTCGTCGAGGAGGGCGAGCGCGAGGTGGAAATCGGGGTGTGGGGAGACAGAGAGGGATTTGAGGAGGATGTTAACAACTACATCGGCATTGTAGAGGTCCGGGTTGAATTGGTACCTGTAGAATGAGAGGTCAAGAAAAGAATACTTATGAGACTAATGTACACGCACAACTTGAGGATGGCGAGGTTTGCAAGGCAGTCGTACTCCTGGCTGCGTATTTGGTGATAAAGGTAGTCCTCCAGGATGCTGACATTGGAGGGGTTGTAACGATCTGTACCGCGGCGGTTAAGGAATGGGCATAGATATTTCTTGGCTTCGTACCAACGCCGGACACGAGGTTCTCGATAACCTCAGTCCTGGTGGGCGGCGACAGCCATGCAGATGTAGCAGATGCCATGTTCAATGAGCGTCCGTTAGCCGATATGGTGGGAGGTAAGGAAACCGAGAGGGTGCAAGTAAGATGGATCTGAGGCAAGGACCACAAACTTTTTAGCGCCAGAAGCAAGATGGAGGTTGACGCGGACCACGATCAGCCCGAGGCCGGCCCATCCACACCTCCGTTGAACGAGGCTCCAGAAGTAAAACCTGAAGATTTCCCAGACAGCGCACCTCCACCAACCCCTCAGCTACAAGATGCCGCCTCCGAACCTGCTATATCTTCGGCGAATACCACATATTTTGCGGCAGATGCTGGTCCTCCGAAGCCGAACTACAAATGCCGCTTCATCCTGAGCGGACATACCATGTCTATATCGTCTGTTGAGTTCAGCCCGGATGGCAAAGTGCTTGCTTCAGCCGGTATGCTATCGTTACGGCTCCCCATGCATAGTCGAGAATCCTGATGTACCAGACATTTGTGGAGGAAAGCGGCCGATAAGCTTGTCAAACTATGGGACACTGCGACTGGGGAGATTATCAAGACGCTCGTAGGACACACCGAAGGTATCTCCGACGTATCCTGGTCTCCTGACGGCGAATTCCTCGCGTCTGCGTCTGACGACAAAACCATCCGGATATGGAGTCTGGAGACAGTGCGCATGCCCATTCATCTTGTCGATGTCCCTGATTGACATGTTGATGCCATGGTAGGGCTTGACGGCGAAGGTCTTGCTGGGGCATACGAACTTCGTGTTCTGCGCGAGCTTCAATCCCAAGTCAAATCTCCTCGTTTCCGGGGGATTTGACGAAACTGTTCGTATATGGGATATCGCTCGAGGTATGTTTTGTGACCTTTTCGGTCATCTTGTCTCCCTCGACCTATGGGCCACGCAGGAAAGTCCATCAAGGTTCTCCCGGCGCATTCAGACCCTGTCACCGCTGTGGGTTTCAGTCACGACGGGACACTCATAGTTTCGTGCGCCATGGACGGCTTGATGTGAGTTGATCGCTCCATGTAACTCTCAACGCTCCTTAACACGCATTAGACGTGTATGGGATACCAATTCCGGCCAATGCCTCAAGACCATCGTAGACGACGACAACCCCATCTGGTAAGCGCCACCGACTATCAAAAATGGTCTTCATGGTTAATGGCTCGAGTAGCTCGCACGTTCGGTTTTCGCCTAACTCGAAGTTCATTCTCGCTTCGACGCAAGACTCCACCATTCGGCTATGGAACTACCAGACCGGACGATGCGTCAAGACATATACGGGCCACACAAATCGGACCTATTGCATCTTCGCGTGCTTCGTGACGACGCCCAACGCGAAGTATGTCGTCAGTGGCAGCGAAGACGGCAAGTTATACATATGGGACTTGCAGACAAGACAAGTGTTACAGACGTTGGAGGGCCACAGAGGTGCGTCGTTCGTTACTACGAGCGATGGGCAGCGCTTACTCTCCGTTTCAGACGTTGTCTTGGCTGTGGCGGTTTGTGTCCGTTTCCCTAAACCGTTGACAACGTGACGTTGACCGCCTTTTCTTAGACCAACTCTGCCCAAAATATGATCGCCTCGGCCTCGCTGGAGAAGGATCTCACAATCCGTTTATGGTACAACGATTCGTCGTAGTTACTGCCCTTGGCTGCTGTACTAGCCAAAATCATGTACACTATTGTGCTATATTGCGCGAGCCATCGATGCTGTTCTATTGTGACCGAGGAGATTCTTCCGTATTCCGTGCGGCTTATCTCTGTGCAAAGCTGTGTGGGCGGCGGGCCCAGAGCTGACTCAGTCGTGTCGGAGTTTGAACTACCCCGAACGTGCCATATAAGAACTGGGCGGCGCGCCACGGGTTGCCTTATCTCCCTACTTCATCCACCGCACTACCGCTACACCCTCTCAACCATGCAGATCTTCGTGAAGACGTTGACTGGAAAGACCATCACCCTCGAGGTGGAGTCTTCGGATACCATCGACAATGTCAAGGCCAAGATCCAGGACAAGGAGGGGTACGTTGCCTTGTCACTGCCGACCGAAGTCGCCGGCGTCTGACTCACATTTTGCAGTATCCCTCCCGACCAGCAGCGCTTGATCTTTGCGGGCAAGCAGCTCGAGGACGGTCGCACCCTCTCCGACTACAACATCCAGAAGGAGTCGACGTTGCACTTGGTGCTCCGTCTCCGTGGAGGCATGCAGATCTTCGTCAAGACCCTCACGGGCAAGACGATTACTCTCGAAGTCGAGTCTTCGGACACGATTGACAACGTCAAGGCCAAGATCCAGGACAAGGAGGGGTGAGTCCAGCTGATCGATCAATTATGCTGCGCATGTCCTGAGACATTTGCGCAGCATCCCGCCCGACCAGCAACGTTTGATCTTCGCTGGCAAGCAGCTCGAGGACGGCCGGACACTGTCCGACTACAACATCCAGAAGGAGTCTACCCTCCACCTCGTCCTCCGTCTTCGTGGCGGTATGCAGATCTTTGTGAAGACCCTTACCGGGAAGACCATCACCCTCGAGGTTGAGTCATCCGACACCATCGACAACGTCAAGGCAAAGATCCAGGACAAGGAGGGTATCCCTCCGGACCAACAGCGACTTATCTTCGCTGGCAAGCAGCTCGAGGACGGCCGGACACTGTCCGACTACAACATCCAGAAGGAGTCCACCCTCCACCTCGTCCTCCGTCTTCGTGGCGGTATGCAAATATTCGTCAAGACCCTCACCGGGAAGACCATCACCTTGGAGGTGGAGTCGTCCGACACCATCGACAATGTCAAGGCGAAGATCCAGGACAAGGAGGGTATCCCTCCGGACCAACAGCGACTTATCTTCGCTGGCAAGCAGCTCGAAGACGGTCGTACTCTTTCTGACTACAACATTCAGAAGGAGTCGACTCTCCACCTTGTCCTGCGTCTGCGTGGCGGCAACTGAGTTGTGGTAGCGGTCATCATCCCTGTTATGTATTATTAGTTGCATTACTACGACATCACGCGCAATATCATCACGATTCTTTGCATGCAATTACTGTTGAGTGTGATTCCATGAGTGGTGAAATCTCGCTTGGGGCGATCGTGCCGGTGCGTCCCGCTCGACGATCATCGCGCTCGCGCTAGAACGCCTTCGGGGCACTGCCACTCGACCGTCGGCCTCGATATGGTTTCATTAGGGCCCTTACTCCGCCGATATTGCATTACAACTTCACGGCAGAAGCGGATGGGGCGCTAGCACTGGCGGACCCATGGGTCGCTATATCAGTCTGGGAGCTGAGCACTCGGCGCGCCATATCCCCCGACCCATAGCGTTTCTGGGCGCTTGCTTTGGTGAGCAACATCACCGCCCGAAGCCCCTTTGTTGAAAACTGAGCGACCCGCGTGTCTCTCGGAACGATAGCGCGTATATAGAGCGGCGTTCCGTCTCCTGTAACCTTCATGCTGAACCAGCAGTCCGTCGAACCGGGAACGGTACACACAGAGATGCGCAATGCGGACGAAGTGCTTCGGATGGTCAGGACGGAGTGGCCGCAGGAGTTCGACCAGAAGCCCGAGAGAGCTGTGAGTGTCCTTCTGGAATTGCGTGTACATTAGGGTTGACGCGGTAATTCTGCGTATGAAGGGGCTTCTGATCACGGATGAGCTTGCGAAGGCCACGAAGAGGTGCAGGACGAAGGTAGAAAGGATTGCGAAGGAATGCCGGTCCGTTGGTTAGTCGGTTAGATGACGAAAATCCTCGCTGATCAGCGGTGTCAAACACAGTAAACGTAACCGCCGATTTCGGTGAGCCCATCAAGACACCTGTGCATGCCAATAAGTATGCTGATTGTACGTATCGACAGTGATATCGAGTTCGACATCGAAGAAGATCGCGCTCGCTGCTTGCACGACCTCACGCTATCGGACGAGGACGGGCTGAAGCCCAGCGACGTTCAACGCGTCTCGGAAATATTCAGAAATCCCGCGTTCTTCATCGACGGCGCGACATCCGGCGATATCGTGCAAGGCAATCTCGGGAACTGTTGGTTCTTGTCCGCGCTTGCGACCGTCAGCACCATTCCCGAGCTCATCGAGAAGATCTGTGTCGCGGTAAGCCATATGCGGTTAGCGCCTCGAGGAATTGTACCTCTGAACACGGCCATGCAGCGTGATGAGATCGTTGGCATCTACGGGTTCATTTTCTACAGGGACTGTGGATGGTCTGAGGTCATCATTGACGAGTACGTCTAATCAGATGCGACGATGAAGTCGTTGTCTCTTACCTTGAGTTACCACAGCCAACTGTTCACTCGCATCCCAAAATACGAGGAGTTGAAGCCTAGCGTACGTTCCCTTGCACCCTATTTGTCTCGGACATAGTCCAATCAGCCTTACAGGAGCAAAAGTTGTACAAGAACGATAAGGATCTATACAACAGCACTGCACGTCTTGGATCCAAGGCGCTATACTTCTCGTCGTGCGGATCGGACAACGAGACATGGGTGTAAGTCGTCTACGTCTCGTTCTTCTCGTATTTGCTCATATTCGCCAGGCCCTTGATAGAGAAGGCATATGCCAAACTGTACGGGGATTACAACTCCATACAGGGAGGCCAAGCTTCATACGCTATCGAAGACCTGACCGGGTACGGACAGCATCTAAGATGTCTGACATACATGCACTTACGGCGTTATACAGAGGCGTTGCCAACACATTTCATCCGGCCGATATCTTGGATACGGACCGGTTCTGGAGAGAAGACCTCATGCGCGCGAATCAAGATCGCTTGTTTGGGTGCTCAATCGAGAAGATGAATGGAGAGGACGCGGATGATAACGTTAAGGGTATGCTTTCAGTCTTTGAGCACAGGTGCACAACTCAGCGTCGTATTCTGATAGGCATTCTGACGTGTGCGTGATCATCAAAGCACACTGATGGGACAGAACGACTCATGATGATCCTGTTTTCAGCTCATGCATATTCCGTGATCCGCGCCATTGAAGTTCGAGGTTCGTATAGCAGACCGTAACACCTGAGATGTCCTGACAGATGCTTGCCTTAGGGAAGCGGTTTCTAAAAGTTCGCAATCCTTGGGGAAGGAGTGAATGGTCCGGTCGTTGGAGCGACGGCTCAAAGGAATGGACACAAGATTGGCTCGCTGCCCTTCCAGAACTTGGTCATAAATTCGGTGACGACGGCGAATTCTTAATGGAATGTAAGCACGTCTTGCGGTCCATTCCTTCTTCTACGAGGTTACTGATCCATTGTTTAGATCGTGATTGGCTTTCTACGTTCACCTTGATCGACAAGACACGTCTCTTCGATTCTACCTGGGCGATGAGCTCTCAATGGCTGAATGTCGCCTCTCGACCCTTCCCGTGTAAGGTACTCGTTGCATTGCCGGGCCGTCTTCTGACACTATGTTGCCAGCTGCTTGGCGATTTGGGGACGTATCGTGTGAGCAAGTCTTGCATGACACACAGATGGCATTGTTTCATACTTCTGTTAGTTACGTTTTCCATCCGCGAAGATACGCCTGCCGTCATCGTCCTGGCGAAAGCCGAAACGCGATATTTCAAGGAGCTCAACGGCCCATATGAGTGGTCGTTGGAGTTCTTGGTTTTCGAGAGAGACGGAACGGAGCCCATTATCAGCTCGGTGCACGATACGCTGTGGGGCCGCAGCGTCACGGCGGAGATCGACCTGCATGCAGGGGAGTACGTGGTACATGTAAGAGGATAATCCGACTTCGTTTGCCAGCTCAGCAGCTGACGTCGCCGAAGGTTCGGTTGGATAAGCGGCTGTGCAAGTCGCCGAATTTCACGCATGAGGGTATGCCGAAATGGAACGGGCGCAAGCGGACGCGCAAGCTCACCGAGATGGCGTTGAGCGCCAGTATCGCTGCGAGTAAGGACTCAAATCCAGTGGCGCGTCTTCCAGTATACTGACATCGATTCTGAAGACTTCGATGCAACGCGAGTATTCTCCCGCATCATCGACGATATCTATGGTGGCTGACGGGACTGAAAACAGGGGTTGGATTCAGCAGCTTCCCGTCCCAACCGAGTCGTTCATCGGGAAGGATCTCACCGAAATGGAAATCAGCTTTCACCGCGATCTCGCGAGGAAAACCGCGCAAACTTTGGCCGCCGCGACCCACAACTTTCGAGAGCGAGGTTTCCCGACCCAGGCGGACCGTGTCCTCGACCGCCATGCGCCGGATGACGGGCCCGAGCCGATATCGCCTGAAGGCGATCCCGATGCCTTGTGGGCGGAACGGCCTGAAGATCCACTGACGCCCGTCGTGCCACACACGCGGGAAGACACTCCAGCTTCTGACGCTCATGATGTGGTTCACGACCTTATTATGTGCAACATATGCACAGTGAGCCTGAGTCCTTTCAACTTCCGGCCACACTTCCTGATCACGATCGCTGCATAGATGTATCCGTTGTTTGGGCCTCGCTATCATTGCCTTGAGTCAGTTCCTTCGCTATCATTCCACGTTAAGTTTTACGCTGACCGTCCCCTTGCCCAGTGCTGAATGTCCCGACATAGACATCTGTCACGAATGCATGAGCTCAGGTAGACACCCTGCAAGCCACAAGATGCTACGTATCAACACCCCAGCCGAAGCGGCGTCATTGGAGGTACCGGTAAGCACGCCCCATGTGTATGTCGATTGTTGGCCATCCTGATGCTGTTTAAGCATGACCCCCTGGAAGATGTTGTGATAGGATTGAAGGTGTACACGAAACGCACTGCACCGGCGACTATCAAGGGTCAGTTAAGGCACGGGAAGGTACTGAGATGGGTGAAAGAAAACAAGAACAAGTCAGTTTGAGGTCGTCCCATATCAATTGTCCATGCACTGCGAATTCGACGAAATTTACTTGTGTAGGGTATGCTGGCATGTCGCGTTGCACAAGATGTCATCTTTCTAGCCTGGCTCCCAGGCATTGCGGTTCCAGAGAAGGTGGCCGTGCGCGCTCTGATCCCAGTGGTTTGTGCGCTGCCGCACTTGCGAAATCTGTGACAGCATCGTAGGTTATACAAAGCTTTCGATCAGAAAGTGGTCGCAACACTCTACTTCCGGTTACCGGCGACAAAAAGTTGAATATACACGCCGATCGCTCACGCATGACACCTCCGCGATCAGATGTTTGACCTATACTTACTCCAGGTGTATTGCTTGAAGTGCAACAGACAGCCGGGATCGATCCAAAGGGAATGGCTGTGGTGCATGGCACTGCAATCATCATGAACGCCATACATTGTGCACTGGAGGATATCAATAAGTCGTGAGGTGCATTGCTTACGAACGCAACTGGCAGTCCTTGCGCGATTGCATGCCGATCTCTGACCAGACGACAGGGCTTCATAAATCATGCCAAGCATTCCGAGGCGTTGCGCTTGTTCTCCCCATTTCGATTCTGGATACTGCAACTTGGTTCATCTGCGTCAACGAGCTTCTGTCACTGCATTGCTGCTGACACTCCGCGCTTGTCCAACATCGAACGAAACTCGCGTTTGCCATGGTTTCTACCTTTCCTGGCCTTGATACGAGCCTGGGCGCTCTGTTCGTTGGCTCGTTTTTCACAACCGCGCTGTGGGGTGCGGGAGTCATTCAGACATTCATTTACTACGCGCACTATCGGGGGGATCACATCCTGCAGAAGGCTTTCGTGAGTTTCCGGCCAAGAATTCCGTGGTCTGCGCCTGATGTGATGACATGTGCCAAGGTCGCGCTACTGTTTCTTTCTGACACGGTTATTTTGCTATTCACGGGACACGCATTGTACCATTACCTGGTCAGCCACTTCGGAGATGATCTGGCGCTCTTGGAAATTGTATGGTACGTACGAGCACACCCTGGTCTTGAACCTTATCTCATAGATGACAATCGTACAGGAGCGTCAAGGCTCAGATTATCATGACATGCACTGTGGTGCCGTCGGTTCAAACTCTATACGCTTATAGATTAGTGAGAGGTGCGCATGTCTAAAACAGCGATGACAATTATCGATGCTGTTGTTAATTTTTCAACAGTCGCCGAATCGCAGCGTCTTCTCCCTATTATCGTTGTGAGCCATGGACAGATATTGGCAAATTATTGGCGACTGAAGCATTTACGGGTAGATAATTATGGTTATCGTGGGATGGGGTACGCGAGTCAACGTTCTTTTGCAATTAAGAAAGCCTTCGCTTACACCTTTCGTTATCCGTTCAAACTAGCTCTTTCGCTAAGTGGGCCTTGTTTTGCTTTGAGTGTATGCTTACCTACACATGACCTGATTCACAGTCACTGCAACAAAATTGTAAGGAGCAGTCATGTCTTGTACATTCATGGAGCATGCAGTAGTTCTCACCCAGCATGATTATAGGGTTCTCTCTGAGACATGGAATTTCCCTCGTGTGAGCACTAACAGCGCATATGTTGTTAAGATGTTTCACTAACCTTACACCATGCATGTCTTATTCATATAGCACATCGCGATCGCAGATTTCACTCAAGAAGTTATCATAGACGTCACGATATCCGCTTCAATAACCTATCACCTGCGTCGGCGGCGCCCTGGATTCAATAGGTACGCGATCCTTTTACGCGATCTTTCAGCATGATCTGACTGAGCTATACGCACTACTGATAACATCTCCCCAGCAATTCATCTATTGTCAATATGCTGTTATTATGGGTGGTCGGCACGGGTGCATTGACGACGTGAGTCATGCTCCACGTCCACTACGATTCGAGCGCTAAAATCACATTTAACCAGTATTTGCGCATGTCTGATGCTGATAACCGTATGTGTTCTCGCCTCTGCATATATTGCGTGCTACATTGAAATTTGCATTCAGTGTGTCACCATGCCACAAAATCTCATCTTCCTCGCGTTCGAGCCGCTGCTCACCAAGTTATACGTGAACAGCGTTCTCGCCATGTGCGTGTCCTCTCGTCGCGTGATCAGAGCGTGCCGCTTGAATATGACATACCCTATGTTTGCAGGTTAAACGTGCGGCAAGGGCTACGAGAGAAAAGTGGCTTGGTGGTACCTGCTGTCTGAAGCTACATATATTCAGCAATCGGGGTCCGAGATGAGACTGCTCGAACTGAAATGCATGTGTTTTTGATAGAGGAGTGTATTAGCTGTATACCTTGTATATGTATGTGTAGATACACGCGCCCCAGTGCGTCGGCCCCGCGCCCACTGGAACCGTGAAACTTCGGGGTATGTGGGCCGTTCCTGTTTAGGGACCTACGCATGTAATCCACCACCACCACCACCACCACTTGTGATGCAATGGCAATGCTCCACGCCATTCAGCGCGTATGAAATGCTTGCTTGTTTGGTTCACCATGCGTCGATTCACAAATCGTCTATATCCATCAAGTTGGTATATACCGCGAAGTACAAAAGAAACGTGCCATAGGACACTATAACGATATTTCCCTAAAGGACTACAATATAACGAAAAAGAGGAAACAAAGGAATACACCCGGCGGGAGTCCTGACGACGCCCGATTAGCAGATATCTAAGTAGACGCGGAGGAGATCCAAAGACAGGCAGGAAGGGGAGCGGACGAGAAGAGGGGGAGTGGGTGTGAAGGGTGTGTCCGAAGCATATACAGCATATCATACGCAAGCGGCAGCAGGATCGCCGTTACGGGTCGTGCATGAACCATAGTCAGTAGTAATGGATATATATCGCGTGTTTGGTGATGTTGTTCATGTCCGGGCACGGTCGGGGGTCTCATGACCAGTCGATCGAGAGTCCACCGGGGACGGGACCGGCCAGACCGATGCCGCGGTCGGCCTCGCGCTTGAGCCACTTGAGTGCGCGGGCGTCGTCGCGGAGGTAGGGCTCGAGCAGCTCGTAGCAGCGGCGGTTGTGGTCCTGGGTACAGCTGTGAGCGACATGCAAAAGTCACAGCGAAGAAAGGGATAATCACCTTGAGCCACTGCTTTTCTTCCTTCGTGAGCATTTTGTCGTTGACCATCCTGGTCTGGATAGGGACGCATGTGAGACGCTCGAAGCCGAGCCATGTGCCGGGGTTAAACTCCCGCTTGGTCTTCATGCGTCTCACGACCAACGCGGACTCGATGCGCATGCCCCAGTGGCCGGCGTTGTCTGCGGAGTCCGATGAGTACGCGCGGAGCCGAAGGGATGCGGACATTAACTTACAGAAGCCGGGTTCGTTGGTGATGACGTGGCCGGGGACGAGAGCGACGTCCGAGGAGAACCCGTGAGGTCCCTCGTGAACATTCAGGAATGAGCCGAACCCGTGTCCGGTGCCATGCTGTAAGCGACAGGGTCAGAGCGCGTCCCGTTGACGATAATCGGATTGCCTTACCAGATAGTTCAAGCCATCCTTCCATAACGCCCTGCGAGCCAGGACGTCGAGAGCAGCACCAGAGGTACCTTCGGGGAAAATCGCGCTGTCGATCGCGATCTGCAGGTGAACAGCAGGCTGTCAGATAGACGCGTGGAAAAGCAACGTGATTGTACGTACATGACCCTGCAGCACACGTGTGTACGCCTCGCACTGCTCGACGGTAGGGCGACCGAAGTGCAATGTGCGAGTGGTGTCGCAGGTTCCGTCCCGGTACTGCCCCCCGGAGTCGCTGCGGAAACGTCATGAGCATACTATCACTAACGAAATGAAAACGTAGGTGGAGATCTACGTACTTGAGGTAAGGCGTCACGTTATCGATCATCCGAGCGGTTTGCTTGGTGGGAGAATAATGAGGTAACGCTACAAGAAACAAGTCAGCGACCGTCCCGAATTGGGGTATACTTGGCATGGACTGAACGTACCGGCATTCGGTCCGGCCGCAGAGATGTTCTCGTAGGCCAATCCCATGAAGTTCTTGTTATGCCTGCGGTATTCCGTCAGGCGGTAACCAGCCTCGTATTCGGTGATGCTATATCCCGAGTTGATCTTGTGCTCGAGCCATGCCATCCACTTGACCTATATGAACGTTGTCAGTGGAGCTGATCGATAGCTGCAGATGAGCGGCGATAACATACGAAGGACGCTCCATCGCGGAGGTACGCGCGGCGCATACCTTCGATCTCCGTCTCGTTCTTCACGGCTTTCATCTCATCCACCTTCGGTGGAGCGACCGTGTACCGGAAGTGGGTGAGCATAAGGGAAATCGCATAGGATGTCGTAGGCGTGATCAACACCTTGAAAGAAAATCACGTCAATAAACAAGATTGGCGGCTTGCTCCAGAGTTACTCACCTTGCCTTCGCCCATTTCTCGGCGGCGAAGGAACGTCCAAAGATCATTGTACTCTCTCCTGGAGACGCCGATGCTCTTGAGGTACTCATCGATGTCCTCATTGACCTTCTGCGGCTCGAGAAAGAGGATCGCATCGGTCAGGCCGACGTAAAGATATGCCTGAAAGACCGGATTGTAGGGCACATCGTTGCCACGAAGGTTCAGGAGGTAAGCTGCGGCCACCGAATGTCAGCCCGATGTTGTCGGCGGACGAGGCGACAGAAATAACGTACCGATGCATGGCAGCGAAGTGATGAGCGTGCCGATGTGCTTCTGCTGCTGGGTTGGCGCCGCTTTCGAGTAAGAAGGCACGGCCGGCGGCTGCGCCTTGATCCACGCGCGCAGCTCGGCCAATTTGTCAGTCGCCTCCCGGCCCGTAAACTCAATGTCTTGGACGTAGACCGGCTCTTTGGAACGCGAGGGCTTGTCTTTCCAGACGAGGTCGACGAGATTTTGCGGCGGGTAGACGAGCTTCGAGTTCTTGCGGGAGAGCAATGTGTTGAGATGCGTCGCTTTCTCGTGTGACAGCATGCGGGCGTCTATGCCGATTCGCGAATCCCTTGCACGGTCCTAGGGAGGCGCATATATTCAATATCACCGGTCAATTGGGCCAAGGGCGGGGATGGACATACCACAATCCAGTCGACCCAGTCCTTGGGTCCATCGGGCGCTCCAGCTGGTATCAAGATCCAGTTGGAGTCTAGCTGCACCTGGGCCTGAAGCCAATAGCGCGAGTCGGTGATCAGGTAGGCGTTTGATCGCGAGACCACAGCCTGTCCGGCCGAGCCAGTGAACCTGTGCATAACTATAAAAATTTTCACGCCGCCGTGAATGGCGAACGCAACTCACCCTGAGACCCATTCGCGTCGTCTATCGCTGAGAGCGACATATTCTGACCCATGAGCGTCTTCGCTGGGTACAACACTGAAAGACACGTCAGGATTACCCACGGCAAGATAGACGGATGACACTCACTAGTAATCCAAGTTATCCTTCTCCATCTGTTTCCTCAATTCTTCCAGTCTACCGCTGGTATCCGGCTTCTCGCGGATAGACTCTCCATCGTTGATCTTTCGTTCGAGGGCAGAGCCGACCAGAGTGCTGCTCGAGTCGGTTTGCCAAAACCCGGGACGCTTGCTGCTAGACTTGGATGACGTCCGGGTGGGCATCGAGGGACGACTGTCGGATGTCTTTCTGCTGGATTTGGAGGACGTCCGGGACGGGGCATCGGGTCGCTGGGATCCACTGGATCCCCCGGAGCGCTGCGAGGCCGTCCTCTCCAAAGACCCGCGCTCGCTGTACTCCGGCTCCATCTGCACAGCCCTGTTCCTGTTGAGCCCGAAGCCTCCCCAGGAGCGCTTCGAGTCGGAACGTTTGACCTCGACAGCCTGGTTCAAAGAGGGCACGTTGTATGACTCGGTGTCGCTCGAGAAAGTGAGCTTCTCGACGTCGGAGGTGAGAGTGGCGGTGGGGGAGAAAGAGCCCTCCCTCTCGTGCTGGGCGATGCGACGAGAGGCATTGCGGCTCAGGACGGCGCGCGAAAGATCCTTCTCGGAGTTTTGGCCCTTCGAGCTCTTGCGGGTGAAGGGGAAGCAGAGCGGCGGTGGTGGCGGGGGCGGCGGGGGAGCCATTGCAATATGAGGCGGGGGGGAGGGGGACCGTACGGTCCGCTCAGGCGGCGGGTATCGTCGTGGTAAGTTGCAGAAGACAAAGTCCGGAGGAGCGTACGTATATCTGGCCGGGATGGGGATGAGCGTGGTAGCGCAAGCTGACCCAGTCGCTTAGTCAGCGGCTCCCAGCCTCAAATCAGCGCCTCGTGCCCGGCCGCTCAGCCCGACTTGCCATCTTCGGGAGGTTTCTGGGCTCTGCTCACCAGCCTCCGCGCGTCTCCTGGCCGGGATCCCTTCGCGGGGCGTCCTCCGCATTTCCAGAACTCATGTAAGAAGGGCGCTCCAAAGGTCAACATTTAATTATCGGAAGCGCAGCAGCAGCAATCTTCAGGGTCCGCGTTCCCGGTCTTCTCATGCCTATCTCGCCACACCGACATACAAAGATGACGCCCAAAACATGCGCTTTGGCGTTCCTGATCACATTGTTGGAGTTAGGGCATCATGTCAGTGCATCCCCACCTTTGAGATGCGGTGGCTAAGCACGACTGCACCCGGAGTGCGCGCTGAGGTCATCCGGTAGATCCTGGAACAGGCTGGTGAACCAAGGATGGTCCGGGATACATCGAGGAACTGACCCGTGACGCCGCTCTGGACCGAGATCCGGTCGAAGACGCAGCATCCTGTACATTCGCCAGAGCGTGGGAGGGCGGTAGTCTGACAATGCCCCCAAGCGTGCCGCTCAGACCTCGAATCCGTACGAGCTTCACGCGAATTATTCTTATCGTGAGGATGGACCACCGCTCGCCCGGGAAGATGCTGGGTGCCCGAGAAGTGCCACGAAGGTCATGGGTTACACGTCCGTCGGAGGACATCGTCCGTGGATCACTCGACAACCCTGAAGCGACTCGATATCACCCAGGACCGCGGGTTGATCTTCTAGGTGGACGATCTGCGAGGCCAATCGCAAACGTGCTGCGCTCGACCAGGCCTGTTCAAGCGCTATCTCGGCCGCCATGGTGGTACATGAGCCATCGATGAGCCTGAGATACCATTACGGAAGGCCGTCGAGGCATCTGCGGTGTTTTTATCAAACCTAGTTTGGGCACGCAGAAGACGGACATGCAAAGGAGCTTAGCTTCTTCAGGTCCGGGGACTCTCATAACATACGCTGCCCCCCCCCCCCCAATGAATGTATAACCTTGGCTTCGCTTCCAAAACATAGGCCGCCTTCGTCGACGCCGGCTGACCTGCTCCGAAGGTCATAGAATGTGCCCTAGGCGCGCCATGGCACGCCACCCCTTTCTTTGTCCAACGCCCGAGAAGGGGTAGGGCGGAATTTCCCGCTGATATGATGGGCGTGTTTGCAGTGTCCTGGCCGGCCTTGCGTGCTGCGTTCCCTAAAGAACGGTCAGAAGTCCTATCAGGAGCGGAAAGATCCACTCTCGGTCGAACGCGAACACGCCGCCATGCATGAAGATAGGGTTCCCCGGTGTCTACTGGCTGCGGATATTTACCACACCGATGGCGCGCGGACCATCCGTTCGACATGAATTTGACGCACGAAGGCGGGTCGCATTGAAACAGCTGTTTGATCGTACTGCAGATGCAATACAGAAAGAATACAATTGCCTGGTGCCCACCACGCGCTCAGTTACAACCGCCCATCGGAATACCAGTAGTGAACGCACATTTTTACACAAGTCCGTCCGCGCGATACTTCTTGCACGCATTTTTGTCTCTTCGAGAAAGTCAACATGGTCGCTGGCGACGGTCCAGACGATGCCCGAAGACCATCGCGAGGGTGCTTCACAACACGATGTACAATCTCTCACCGTTGTGGAATCCATGTCCCATCGGCATGTCTATCGCCATGCCAGTCCCGAACAGGTGCAGCAACTTAGTCGGAAATATCACCGCCAGGCATGCGCTTGTGCATCTGGTTTGTCCATGAGTGATTGCCGTCGAAACAGGTCAGTCTAATGGTCACGCCACAGCCGCCGCCGATCTACCACTGGAATATGAAACTTCTTGCCGGGCTGTATGGGACGACCTGGTCATATAAAGCAAGCAGAAGCAGCGCTAATCCCGCACAGAGCGCGCCCACTCGTATCTCTGCGAGGTTTCATAGACCGCCAGAAGGTGCCATCTTCGCCCTCGCCGAGGCACAATGGACGAAGCGGCCGCTCCTGGTATCCGGCGGGACAGCCTTCGTGCGACATAGTCTAAACTCGGGCTTCCCCCGCGCCGCTCATATGCGCCGGCGATTGCGGACATTCTTTCCGCAATATAGTCTAAAAATCGGGCATCCCCGCGGCAGTCCGACGCACCGCTTGTGGCGGCGGTATGCATGGCTGGCGGGCACGACGTCCCTGTCCGCTATCGACTGGGGCAATGGATGTCGTGCCGACGGCCCACGTACAAATTCGATGTTGACAGGGCGGGCAACGTGCACACCCTCGGCGGCGCATAGCGAGGTACGGAATCACGGGTCGCGCCAGCACCTGGTCCATCACGAGCAATAGATCGAGTTCATAGGACGATAGATTGAACATCGCACCCAAGTTCTCTGTGTCAAGTACACGCCGTGCGTCGTACCGGACCATATGGCGCCGGCTCCATTCCGCGGCACCCCGGAACGGACGATTGCACGCCCCGTACGGGCATGTGTATCATGAAGCAGCCTCGCCCGTGTTTTGTGTCGTCGGCGCCGTTTTCCGCCGCCGCTTTCTCTTTCTCCCCTCGCCCTCTGTCTCCCTGCTCGGAACGTCGTCGCGATGATCCCCGTCCTCCGCATGTTTTCGTTTCTCTCCCACATGTCGTTCTTCATGCGCGGTTTTCGGTTTCGTCGCTTTAGCATTCGCACCCTCGCCCTCTATCTTCGCCTTCTTCTTCTTCACGCTGAGCGGGTTCGGGCCCTTGGGCCCCTTGCGCTTCTTGCGAGGCGGGCCTTCCGGGGCTGGCTCTAGCTTGGAAGTCGAAGCGACCTTTGCCAGCTCCGGCTCGGCTGCGTGCAATGTCTGTTCTTCATTCTGCGATAGGCAACAGGAACACGTTCGTCAGTAGACTGGGTCCGGCCTAATGTCGGCGAGAGGAGCAGCGCACCGCTTGTTTGACTTCAAGCGTCGCGTCGCTCGGAGGCTCGAGGATCATCACCGATCGATTGATATGCACGATGGGGACGCCCGGGACGGCGCGCAGCCGTGCACGGAGGGGCTGGGACTGCGTCGCGATGACGTAGCGGTGCTTGTTTGTGTCGCCTGCGCTGAAGATGAGGTGCAAGGACACCCGATGTAGAAGTGATCGCGCTTACCGACGACGCTGGCGAGGCACTCGTCGCCGGGGATGGCTTCGCGGTGATTGCACTTTCTCCGCTCGAAAGACTTGGCCAGGTCCACGGCGGGTTGTTGGGACTTCCCTTGGAGATAGAGTTCGTGTATGCAGCATTGCGTGATCACTGCAAACGAGCTTCATTGTCAGAGTGCTCCACTCAGCCAACTTTTTTTTAAAAAAAGGGTGGACCGAACCGAGACTCACTCAGCTTCACCGTGCCTTGTAGCACAACACTGAGCTGCTTCGGGACATCGGTATTGAGGCTTAGAGCAGTCTTGCAGAATTCGGAGTCCACTGTCTCATTCCATGAGATGACCATTCGCGAGATGTACGTTGGCGTTACTTGCCTAGCACTTGGTACGGTTGACGGAAGCCGAATACCAAATGATAGGTATGCATGAGCTTCCGATATGTCTTTGCTCGTTTTTGTCGCATTTCTATAACCCTTCCCGCGCCTATTCACCAAAAAGCAGAGGTATCACTCGAGTGAGCTGGGCACGGTAGTTGAAGGACTTCGCAAGGGCTACTGACAGTTACCTGAGGATTTCAGGTTCAGGAGGATAGGCCACGTGGTGTATTCAATGTATCGGTGCCCAAGTTCAAGTTGGGAGTATTCATATGGTCCGCGCACTTCGTTCTGTATACTCTTCGACGTCCAGCTATATCAACTTCAACGAGGTGTTGACAGCAATACTAGACATCACGCTGCTCGGAATGACTTGGTACTACACGACTTTGCCAAAGAAATGGTTCTACGCCGAACAACGTATACGAAAGCAGCTTCCGGATACTTGTCCTGCGATTTATGAAATCCGCAACTCGCGATGAACCATGGAACAGCTAATGTTATGATGCCCATTGTTGTGATAGTTTACATGGCTCGCAACTGGTCATGTACTTCGGGAGATTGAACGATCACATGGTCGTGACCGGCAATATGGCAATGTAGCTGCAAATGTCGAGGATCTAGAAAAGTGTCGTCTCCGAAAATGAGCTTCAGCTCCTTCGATTCCTCGCATCTAGTGGCGACGAGGAGTTCTAGTGCCGGGACCAGAAGTTGGCTAGGTACGTCGTCGATGGTGATATAGATACGTCGCAACCTTGGGAGCAGGGGGGAAGAAGTCGCCCGCTCCTTCACAAGAAGTGGGATTACGCTCTCGCAAGTCATGGCGTTGTCGAGCCGAAGCTCCACGGCAGCCTCGCAATGCTGAAGGACAGGTGAGAGGGCCTCTTCTGGGTCAAAGTCTTCACGGTCCTCCACTTCGATGTTGAGCACCTCGAGGCTGCCCAGCTGTAAGGTGCGGAATACATTCAACATGGGTGCTGCGTCCCGCACTGTTAGACGAAGGGGATCCGCCGAATCCGTCAAAGAAACCGTGAAACTGCACAAGTCAGGGTAGTCGAAGTACCACAAGTATCCCACAGAGGGGCCATTGTCGTGACATGTACAGTGTCGGTGCAGGAAGGTTTTGAGCCGCCAGGAATCACTTTCATCAGGATCGAAGAAGTCGAATAACAATTGAGTGGTGGGAGGGACTGTGATATACTGCAGGGCGTAGGAGATGCGCCATCCTGCAGCGGTCATGTCCATTATTTTCAGGTGGTTCAACGTTGCGATCTGTAGAGGTGCTGCTTCCTCCCGCGCTAATGGACGGTTGACTGATCCACTTGCCTCTGCCTCCGCGTCTGCGATTTTGAGGATTTGCAGCAAAGGCATCAACGCCAGCGCATCAACCAAACATCTCCCGTTTGGTAAGATGTCGCCGGGCATACGGATCTCAAGGCTGGTCAAGCTTTGAACAACCGAGGGAGAGCACAACGTTTCCCATTCCAGTGCTACGTTGTTGATCGCAAGCCGCTGCAAGTGTGGGGCGAAACGACCCAAGAAGGTCTCCGGAAGCAGGCCTACCAAGTCTCCTGATGCTGAAAGTGAACAATCGACAAGGAGTGGGGCTCTGCGAGAGAGATACTGCGCATTCAGGAAGAAGGTTGATGGTAAAGCGTGTAGATGAAGCATCTTCGTGCGCGGCAGGTGTGCTAGAACCGCCGTTACGTCCGCCTCAGGTAATCGCAACGTTCGGTTCGACCGCAGAATCCGCGTAGTAGTGCGGAGCGTTGACTCCTTCGATCTTGCTAGGAACACCTCGGTCAGGCCCGGTGCAGCCCGTGGCACATCCGTCCATAAATTGGCGGTCTGCAAAGCACGCTCGCGCCAATCTCTGCATACGTGGCTGAAGACGTGACTCTTCGGAAACTGGCGGTCGGTATGGAGGTAAGGAGTGCAGTAGAGAAAGATCAAAGATAGAATTTCTGCGGGAAGCACGGATATTGGAGCTAGTCGGTTGCGACGTTCTCGAAGGGAGCGCACTTGTTCAAGCAACGTGTCGATTTCTTGGTCAATCCTTTGCCGAGCATCGAGGATAGAGGTATGACACCGAGCGTTATCGTTGCGCGAGTCGCAACTTGAGAGGAGATCATCCGTCATTGCTCTATATGCAGGTGAAAACTCGAGCCAAACTCACGTATGCGCGTACATGAACTCACAACCAAGCAGTCGTGACAGTGAAGCACCGGTACTGGTGGGCCTGACTTCAACGGAACAAGCGTCGCCTGACAGGAGGGGTGCTCACAGAGGCTGTTCGACAGGATGTTCTTCTACTTCACCGCGACAGTATGTCGGCGTGGTTGTTGGCGACGAGCCTGAGAGACGCATTAGTGGCGGCTGGCAGGCATGTGATACACTGAATGTGGGCATCTTACTCTGTCACCACTGACAGAAGACCGTCTGCTGTATACACTCACTCGAATGTTCAGGTCTTTTGTTTCCGCCTGCCTGCTGAGGTGTGTCTTGTGCTCGGACAAGGGAGTGTAATGGCTCAGATGGATACAGCTTTGTAGGCTCAGCTCTTGCCATAGACATCACCGGCAGGATCAACTGGAATGACGTCTGCCCGGGTGCGCCGTTGTATCTACTCCTCACAAGGAGGCCATCCACTCACGCTCATCTCCTGGCAGACATCGCTGCCCTCGGTCACGCAAAAGCTGTACTAGACGACGGATATACCCACTACGGTGGCATCACGCGAGATGGACACTTCACCATGTACGTCCCCACCCAGCCGCATCACCATGCCTTACCGAGCGATCTCTCGATCACAGACCGAACGTAGAACCGGGAACATACCTCCTATCCATATTAGCTCATGACCATGCATTTGACAAGGTACGCGAACCACCGAAACACCGGGTCCGCTCTCCTTCCTTTACTCATTCACGAATCTCAGCTGCGCATCGACGTCCCCGCCGCAGACGGGTCCGAGTCGCTGCCCGAAGTGCGCCCCTACATCCCGGGCACGGTCATTTCCAACTCGGCCGCGTCGCTCGCGTCGGTGCCGCTTCTCGCTTACCCGCCCACGCTCGCCGCCAAGCGGCGGAACGACTACTTCGTCGAGCGCGAGAGCTTCAACTTGGTCGGCATGTTCCAGAACCCGATGATGATGATGATGGCCGCCGCCGGGGTCCTCATGCTCGCTACACCGTACCTCATGGTGAGCACACATGCGCACTTTCCAGTGGGTGGGGAACTGGACGTTTGTTGACGTCGTGCATTCAGAAAAACATGGACCCCGACTCGCTGAAAGAGTTCAACGAGCGCCAAGCCCAAGTTGCGAATATCCAGAGTTCGTTGCACAGCGGGGACATCAGGGGAGGGTGAGTTCGGCGCTATTTTTTCGGCGTATTCCGCAAGTGCCGACATTGGAATAGATTGTCCGCTCTCATGGATGTGGGCGGCGCCGGCGCGAAAGGACCAGAATCCGCACCTGCCAACCCCGGCGTGAAGAGCAGGCCCGGCAAGGGCAAGCGTAAATAGACGAGGGAGCTGTATAGTACATATTCTACAATGCTATGGATACAGGAGGTTGCGATCGCAGAATTGCTGATCGACTATGTGTCCAGGCGAGATATGGGCTGGATCCGATCCCCAAGCTACCTTCCCCTTCCAGAACGGAGCCTCTGTTCAGCATTCACTGAGGTTGGACGGGGCCTGTGATAGATTGAGGACTGGACACTCCGTTCGGCGCTTCCTTGCTGATCTGCGTTTTACCGTACTCGAGCGCACGCCGCAGGACGGCGTTTCTGACGGATTGATTCTGTCAGCGGCGCGGGCGGGGCGTTGCCCAGAATATAGGCAGTGGCGCACGAACCTCTGTTTATACTGTGCAAGCAGTGCATGGACGTTGCTGAAATCAGAATGCGACGTCTCCAAATTTACCCTTGAGACGCGGAAGATGGAATGCCAGTTAGAGAGAGACAGTACTATGAGTACATATCATCAGATTCGAGCGGGAGTATAACAGACCTGTCGTCACCGGCTGCGGCCTGGGTCGTCTCGATGATGTACATCTTGTCGTTCTCCTGCGCCTCCCCCGCGCCGGGCGCATCGGCGACCTTGACGCCCGTCACGGCGAGCGAAGACGAGATGCTCTTCACGCCCGGGTTGATGGGGTCCGCCGGGTCGTAGTCGAGTATGAGCACCTGCTCGTCCGGGTGGCGCGGGAGGAGCATCATCGGCGAGTCGTCCGCATAGTTGTATTCTATCGCTGGGTGCGAGAACGAGGAGACTGTTGCTGAGGAGCCTGCGGCCGGGGCCGTCGGATGCGAGACGAGGATGTAGCACGGTGGTTGGCCGTTGGAAGCCATTTGGGCCCCAGGATCTGATGGGCGGCGACTGTCTCAGTGTTTGGCCAGCCTCTCTGCTCGCCGTTCCAGGCTCTTTTCTCGTCAACCGCGACGATGAACAGACACCAGAGGCGATGCCGCACCAGCCAACGTTGGGCTGATTGCTTGTTCCGTTCGCCATCACCCCGCCCATTCGGTTCCATGCCCCGTGAAATCACCGACTGTGGTCGCCCCTGGTCGCCCTGGGTTGGTCGCCCTCGAAACGCGTGATGGTCTCATGAGACTCAAATAGCCCAGCGCCTCTTCTCTCCACTTCAATTATATCTTTCTCCTGGCGTGTTCCGTGTTCATCTTGCTGCTGCTGCTTGTGCTCTAGGTCTCCCGGATAGCGTACTCGAATCTGCGCCGACCAGCGCGCATACACTCATTCTCGCCACTTTCTTTTATTGTTGCTAATATCATCTCGACATGACCCGTCTCTCGCCGCTCCTCACTATTGGTGTTGTCCTCGCTGCTGTCCAGGGTGGACTGGCTGGCCCAGCCTGCGCGAGTCGGAAGTGGGCCTCGCAGGAGGAATGCATCTTAGCGTGCAGTGGGCGCTGGGGATGGCCGGGTAGCGCGATGGGTAGCGACCCTTGGGGGGTGGTGATGAAGCCGTCCTCGGATGATGACATGGACGCGATTGCGTCGAAGGCTTGCGGAGCGACGGTCGCGCCTACATCGTCAGTGTTTAGCTTTATAACGTACGGACGTTGCTTGCTTAATTACAGAAGCAGATCCTCCGCGGCTCCTTCGTCTACCAGTCTTGTGCAGAACGTTGCACCCGACCCAACCTCGCTCCTCCTCGCGACCACCACCTCCGCGTCTTCCTCCGTGCTCTCCACCTCCAGCACGCTCTCGAGCTCTTCCCTTTCTAGCTCCTCTTCCTCCCGTGCCTCGTCTTCCTCGAGTTCTTCCGCAGCTCCTTCGAAGACGAGCAGTACGTTCTCTTCCGTCAAAACGAACCACGCGATCGCAACGCATTCCACAGCGTCTTTCACGCCCAAAGAGACGCCGACCACCACCTCTAGCACGCACAAGGAAACGCCGACCACCACCTCCACCCCGCCACCGGCTCCCACCACCACCAAGCCGCCGCACACGACCGCCGCGCCGACGACATCGAAGGCCGAGCCGACCTCGTCCGCGAGCTCCAACTCCGGCGGCTCTTCCAGCTCGGGCGGCTCCGTCTCCGCCGCGGAACAACAGGAGTACCTGGACGCGCACAACTCGATCCGCGCCCAGCACGGCGCATCCGCGCTCACCTGGGACGATACCCTCGAGGCCGCCGCGCAAAAGTGGGCGAACAACTGCGTGTTCAAGCACTCCGGAGGTACCCTCGGTCCGTTCGGCGGTACGTAAACAAAAGTTAACCCACTCCGTTCTACACATTACTCTCTCTGCCTGTTTGGGCGGGGGGGGGGGGGTGTATATGCGTCGTTCCTTGCATCGTGTGCTCAACGAGTATGTTTCCACAGAAAACCTGGCTGCGGGAACCGGAGACGGCTACACCATCACCTCCGCCGTCAAGTCGTGGACGGACGAAGTCTGTAAGTCACCCCCGCGTCCTATTTTTGTACGATCGCACGCATGCTAAGGATCCCAATTTCATCTTTCCTCCAGCTCAATACGACCCCAACAACCCACAGCCCAGCCACTTCACCCAAGTGGTCTGGAAGGCGTCCACCAAGGTCGGCTGCGCGCACGCGGACTGCAGCGGCATCTTCTCTGCCAGTTTCGGAGTGCGTATTTAGTTTTTATTCTTATTATTATTATTATTATCATTTCCTTCTTCCTTCCCTCCCCCATCTATAAACGCTCATGCTCCTCTCCTCCGTCCCTGCAGAAAGCCCACTTCCACGTCTGCGAATACCAGGTGCAGGGCAACGTCATCGGTCAATTTGCGTGCGTCTCCCCCCCTCCTTCTCGCTTCTCCCATACGCTCGGTGTACTGACGTAAAGTGCAGTCAGCAGGTACAGGCCTGAAACGGGCGTGTCGCCTTCTCGTTCATGTAGCATAAATTTACCCCCACCCCGTTCGCCTTCCGCGGAGCATCTGCGATGCCGCTCGCCCTGTTCCTTATATACCCTACACTGTATCCATGAAATCTACGCGTTTCGGCGCTACTCGTTAGTGGAATGGACCGAAGGTAAAAATGCAGGGTCTGTTTGCTGTCGTCCCCATTCATACTCATAACTGCAGCGAGAGTGGGAGATGCGCGTTATGCGTTCGAGATATTTAGTTAATTACTACTATGCTACAATGATGGCCGTTCGTTCTGGAAGGGATCTGTACTGTAATGATGCGATGCTACTAGGCGGCGGTACGCTGTAACCGTAAAGGGGACGGATGAGCGGAGGCAGTTGGGACATGCGATGGAAGAACCAAACGTTAATGCGAATGCGAGAGAGCCAATAACTTATATATCGATATCAGAAACGTTACCAAGTCCTCGATTAGCCGGGCGCGATTGTCCGAGGCGCAGCCAAATATTACTTTGTATCCAAGCGCAGAGAGCAATGTCCTATCTTCGAACTTTGGAATACAATTTCATCCTTGATGTTGGGGATACAGTCGTCGTCGCTGTTGTCGTCACTGCGGTTCGATACCGCCCGGCGCAGGATTTGGGGGCTCAGCCCTGTCATCATACAGCGTGAACTTGTCGCGCCACCTATCCAGAATCTGCAACCGACGAACTACGTATGACGTATCATCAGACTCGCAAATCTACGATCGAGGTGATCAGACTCACTGTAGTCGGTGCGAACATGCTCGTCTGCGCTCTCGTCGTCAGAGTCCACAAGTGGGTCGGTCGTCGCGATGATATGCCACGCATCTGTTACCAGAGAAATGAGCCGCCAGTCCCCAGCAGGTACGTAGATTCATGGACGACACACGTTGCAGCATCGTCCTGGGAGGAGGTGGCGGCGCATACTGCACCGGCACCGGCACGTTGTACGGCACAGCGGGCACGCCTCGAGATTGGCGCGATGACCGTTGACGCCGAATGCCCGGCCTTGACGGCGCATGATGCGAATGCCCGTGTGCTTTCCGTTCCCGCTCGACGTAGGCATTATCCTGAGCATCCATCACGGGCTCCACCGGCTCCCTCTTCGCCACGACCTCGGGCGGAGCACCGTAAAACCGCTCTTCGTCATATTCGTCGCCCGAGATGGATGCATATCCCGAAACCGCTCCTGGCGGCAGGGCATCCTGTGACGTCGGCGTGGACATACCGGCCGTTGGCGCCGTCGCGCGACCCTTCGACGACGGGCCCGCCTCACCTCTCGGGCGCAGATCGAGATTCTCAGGCGTAAAACCGCGATACGAGTTGCGCTGCCGCTTCGGCTTAGGCGGAGACGGTATCGGGGAGGATGCCTGCGCGCTGAGCCGACGCGCAGCCTCGGCGGATAGCGCCTCCAAACCCGTCAGCGGCGGCTGCTCGTCGGGCTCGTCGGGAACAGGCGCCTTGCGCTTACCCCTCCCCCTCCCGGCACCGCCGCCACGACCTCCCCGACGTGAAGGCTTGCCTGCACCGTCGCCAGCGACGCTCCCGCTGCGGCTCGCGATGCTGATGCTTGCGCTCGCGGTGTCGAGCTCACCGTCGTCGACCGTGCTCGCGCCGTCGCCGAGCACGCTCTCGTCATCCTCCGCACCGCCACGCGCAGGCTTGCCCGGCAGCTCGCCCTTTTCTCGGAAGAGCCGCCGCTTTTCCGCCATATCCGCACCCATACGTTGCTCGTCCTCCGGGTCAACGTTCTCGGCCGCGGCTTCCGAGGCGGAAAGCGGGGCGAGCGGCGGGCATGCACGCGTGCCTGGGTCGTCGAACGGATTCGGCACGTTCGGCGTGCGGTAGGATTGGAGGTAGTGCCAGCAGAGCCAGAGGAAGACGCGCGCGCGCGAGGCGGAGGAGAGCGGGATGGGGGTGAAGAGATCTAGAAAATCGTATTGGGTGCCAGGCGTAAAGTGCAATTGGGCGACGGACTAGCGGCAAGGTGTCAGCGGGTTCATTAATGTGGCGCGTATAGTCAACAATTTAGGCTTACGGGTGAGTTGTTGGCAAGTACGAAGACGAGGTTGACGATGCTTGTGACATGTTTGCCGGATTTCTGTGGATAGTGAGGGGATGATCGGGGTGATGTCGGTGACGGCGCGCTTACCTCAAGAGCGACTATGTCGGCGAGGGTGCTCGGAGGAGCCAGCTGTTCCGTTTCGGAAATGGCGGCTTTGAGTATATTCTTGATCCGCGGAGCGTCCTGAAGGTTCCCACCCGAGTCGTGCTGCATCAGCGCGGGCACGGGATGATACGAGCGCAAGTTGGTACGCGACTCCGGGACGACTGGCCTTAGCTGTCAACGGCAAACGAGCGTAGATCGAGGCGAGGCGACTCACAGCAGGCGGTGGTGTTGATACGCCCCACGTTGGCGAGTAAGGCTATTTTTGCAAAGTCAGTGGCAAAGCCGGGGCTCTCCTTCATCCGGTCTTTAAGCACGCGCGACGTGCGAGGGCTGGTGAAGAGCGCATTGACGTAGAGATCGCGGAAGGTAACGGGTGATCCTGCGGAGCGGCCGTCGAGGGTGGGATGGGGGTCGACGAAGGCGGCGGGGGCGGCGGGGTCGAAGATGAGGGCGAGGAGGTCGTACTGGATGTCGGCGCGGGTGAAGGGGGTGCCGTCGGGGTGACGGAGTGCGAAGCCCTTGCGATGGGCGACGGTGAGGAGGTTGGCGGGATGGCTGGGCGCTGCCTTCCGGGGCTTGCTCACTGCGGAGGACGACGTGCTCATGGGTGTCGGAGTGAGCCCGGAGATGGAGCGACTGTCACATCGGTTCGGCGGACGGGAAGCGTCATGGTCTTGGAGTCGCAGGCCACGTGACGCCGACGCCGGCCACCCATGCAGCCTGCACGTGATCCGAGAAGCACCCTGTCAAGAATAGGACGGAGGACATCAGCAGCGTCGCGGGGCGCACAGATGGACTGGCTCTTTCGCTTTCACCGACGTCGGGCGGATGCTGGTCGTCCTGGTCTTGCCCCTTTGACATGTTTCTGCTCCTTTTATTTTCTTTATGCGCTTTCCTCGCGCTCTCTTCCGCCCAGGCGAGCCCTAATGTCACTGCCGGCAACAGTGTGACGGACACGGAGACGATCCCGGCCAGCGGCCCTTCCGTGCACCTCTCCGAGACCGACCACTGGTCATGGTCTACGTCCAACAGCGCCGTATTTACCGCTGTGTCCGACGACCCGAACGCAAGTTTTGACGTGATACTACCTCGTATGTTGCGCCTAGTACTTGCTTGCATTTCTGCTAACACGACGATCGCGCAGTCAATACAACGTCGCTCTCGGTGCTGGGTCCACCTCCAGCGCCCGGGGCTACTTATGGCGTTTGCGTAGACTGTCAGACCAATAGCTCCGCTGAATTCCAGACGGTCACCATTTCCAACACCACCACGGATGCCCAGAACCAGACGACCCTCTTCTCCCTCCCGGTGGACCCCTCCACCAACCACACGCTTCTCGTCGTCAACATGGCCGCGACTCCCATCGCCTGGAGCTCCATTAAGGCTAACGTCTTAGCCGCCGAAGGTGCCCACCATCTCCCCATCTTCCGATCGCGCGATGCTAACAGCCGCCCTGATACGGTAGATGGCAGCAGCAGCACAGGATCTGGGCAAACAGGCGGTCCCCTCTCTCCCGCACCCGGCGGGGGCAACGATCCTTCCACAACCGCCACCTCGGGAGATGCCACCACTACCCCCGCCCAAACCCAAACGGGAACTGGCGACGGAAGCGGGAGCGGAACCGGAACCGGACAGCCCACAAGCACCGCTCCGAACACATCAGGTGCCGCACAGCCCACCACGCCCGCCGGCGGTCCTACGACGGGCGCTTCTCCGACCCAATCCGGCAACCCGGGTGCCTCGAATCCATCTGGTTCGCCTGGTACTACCGCAGGCGTGACTTCAACGGGCACTGGTGCTGGGGCGACGAACGGTAGCTCGAACCCGACAGGTACAGCTACTAATGGAGGCGGCAACCAGAATCCTACGGGCACCGATGGCACCAGTGCTAGCCCTACAGGTACAGGCGCCAATGGACAACCCACAGGCACCAACGGTACAGGTTCTCCGACTGGATCTAACGGCACCGGGACCAACGGCGGATCCAATCCTACCAGCACTGGCGCAGCCGGTACCGGTGGCGGATCAACGCCTACCTCTTCCGGTGCAGGTGGATCGACCACGTCTTCGGCTTCGTCGTCAACTCACAGCGGGGGAAACGGGTCCGGAAACGGCTCAGGTTCAGGCAAGGGTGGGAACGGCTCAGGAGGCGGATCTTCCCCCGACAAAAGTGACAACAACGGCGGCGGTGGCGGTGGCGGCCTCTCCAAAGGCGCTCTCGCGGGCATCATCGTCGCCGCCGTCCTCCTGCTCGTCTTGCTCCCGCTCGCCATCATCGCCTTCGTCCTCTACCGCCGCCGCCGCCAACGCCAAAACCAGCTCACGCGCGTGTCCTCCGCCACCGACTCGGAAATGGCGCACCCGACGCCGTCCAACGCCTCCCTTCTCGCCGCCGTGAGCCGCATCGGCAGCGCCTCGTCCGTCTCCCCTCCTCCTCCGGCGATGTCCTACGGCACGATGAGCGAAACCGGCGGCGCGCCGCCGAGCGTCCGGAGCAGCTTCGGGCCTTCCTCGGCCTACGGCTACGCGCGCTCGGTCACGGCCTCCCCGCCTACGCGCACTATCACCCCGAGCCCCGTCGGCACCAAAGGGCGCACGATACCCTTTATCACGCGCTCCGTCAAGCCGCTCAGCGCGCGCCAAGCCGCTGACCGTGAGTCGTTCGAAAGCCCCGGAGGGGAAGACCTTGGCCTCCTCGCGCCTCCGCAGCCCCCGCCCGCTGCGATAGGATACGATATGCCGAGAGCTATCTGAGCTGTAACGCACGGACCTGACTTCTATTCATTACGGACAATCGCATTCATTGACATTGCACTCGTTTGCTCCCCGGCGGATCGGAGCACCTTGTTATATTTATAATTTCGTTATTCGACCTTCTATAGAGTAGATCGCCACTGTAGCCCTCAAAGCACCCACGTTCGTTAGGGAGTACGTATCCCATGTAGCCAGAGCCACCCAACTCAGATAATACAATCAGTGCTCGGAAATTCCGCACAGTCCATTATTCGTTGATACATGCACACACGAGATAGTAAGTATGTCAGAGGAAAGGCCCGAAAGACCGGAAGTATGAGCCCGAAGCAAGAGAGTGACGTGTTAAACGAACGTAACCAGAAAACGAGTGAGCGCGAATGCGAAACATTGACTAGCGAGGGTAGAATAAAAACAATGGATATCATACAATGGAGGTAACGGTATAATCCGATCGAATAACGTAGTATATGTAGTGACCCAAATGAAGGCAAGAATAATCAGGAGAAACAAAGGCACCATCCTTTCAGCTCATGGATCCAAGCTCGCGGAAAACATCACCGCGCGGCATTCCCTCCTTCCACCCATCCGCGATCTTCTCCAGTACCTCCACCACCACCGCGCTGTTATACATCAACCCGTGGTCCGCGCCTTTGACGACCTTCACCCCGCACCGGTCCTCGCCCATATTACGCTCCATCCACCGCACTGCATCCTCCGCGATCTTCTCGTCCCGGTCGCCGTACCACACCCTCACGCGGTGCGGGTACGCGTGATACGAGAACCCCCACGGGCGTTCGTCGTGGTTCAGGATCTGGAGCAAGTCGCCGTGCGTGCCCTTGGCCGACTCGGCGTGCGAGGCCGCGATGAGCGCGTTGCCGAGCGCGGCCTGGTACGCGGTGCTCGCGGCGTACGGCGACGACGGGGCGGACGCCACGCTGATTGCTGGCGAAGGAGGCACGGATGGCACGGAGGATACGGTCGATCGCATGCTGGCGCCGAAGGAGATGGAGCGCCCGCCGGCCGCGCGAGCGGTCGTCGGCCGGGAAGGTGTCGGGGTTGGGGTCCCTATGGTGATCGACAGCTCGGGTTTCTCCTCCGCTTGCTTGATCGCGTTGGCGAGTGCTCCATCGAGATCAATCCCGAGCCCGTCGAACTCCGCAGGTTGAGGCAGTACAGGCGAAGTGACCTTGGATAGTGAAGCGGGAGGCGTCGTGGAAGACTTGCCCTTGAGAGAGCCTATGGAGCGCAGCGCTCGGAGGGTACGACCGGAGCCGTGCTGAATGTTCGGGCTGGTCGGTTTGGTTGGCGTACCCTGCTGCTTCAACGATGCCGGCCTGAACCTGCCCAGGAAGCCAGAGGACGTCTTCCTCTTCGGTTCGCCCGCTGACGCCGTCTGCGGACGGTCCTTGTCCTTCACATTCGACGGCCTCGCACCGAGCGTGCTCCGGCTTTCGAAGCGCCCGTCAAAATCGCGCAGGTCGTCGTAGCTGGATGTGCTCTTGCTCGACGCCATGCTTTGTCTCGACGCAGCGGGACCACGACCGTACGTGTACACCGACGGCGGATGGCTGCCGAGCCCACGCTGCACGTCCCCTCTGTTGAGACTGCGACTCATGCGGCGCGGAAGCTCGGGCGAAGATGCCACCGGCGCCTTGACGCTGTAGCCAATACCCTCGAAGGCGATTTTGGGCGGTTTGCCGATCATCCACGCTTGCACCTTCCATTCGGCCGCTTGGGCTGTTCGCAGGAGACCGTTGGGCACGTACTTGAGCCATTTGTAGCCGGCTATGCACGCCTTTAGCACGCATATCTCTCGAGACATATTGATTACGCACAGCTTTCGCCACCGCCGACCCAGGGAGCGAGGAGACAAAGATCGCCGTGTATCCTATCCGGGAACGTGTTCGCGAACGATAGCGCGTACGGCGCACCTGCGGAATGCGCCATGACGCTGCACTTTGAGATCTTCAGACGATCCAGGACTTCGGCTACGACGGAAGCCCACTCCGGGATGCCTTTGGCACCCTTTGAGCGCGCTTGACCGGTGCGACCGAGCCCCCACCTGATTTCTACGTCAGATAGCTAGAGAAATCACTCGCATGACTTACCGATCGATGGTGATCAACCGTAGTCCCAAGCATTCCGCCATTTCGTCGTACAAGCCCATGATATGTCTGACGCAGCCCAGGCCCAGAAATACGACCAGAGGGTGTCCAGTCGGGCTGCCCAAGTCTGATAAGCTGACAGTCAACGGACGGTCCCGAGAGGCATGCGGGGATCGAGTGAGTTTGAGGAGCGTCGTCAAGCGCGTGGAGCGGAGATAGGTAGCGATGGCATGAGATGGCTCGTTCATGGATTTCGGAAGGATGTCAAGGTCGAGAGGTGAGGGAGGTGGAGGAGCACCGGAATGTCCGGACGATGAGTATAAGGATGGTTCTCGTTGGCGTTCGGATGTGGGAGTTCGGAGGGGGTCGTTCAGGATGTAGGAGTTCTGGTTCGGGAAGGAATGGGCGTGGTGAAGGGCGGGCAATAATAGCGTTTGCTGAACTTCGGCTGCGACGCTGTCTACGGACGATCTCGAGACCAAGTCTGCGTCTTCGGTGGTTGATCCGGGTTCTGGCTCTTCTATGATGGAATGGGCGACGCTCTTCGGGCCGTACGACGAGGACGTTCTGGAAAGCGATGGCCTTGTACGCGTGCTTGACGTTGGGGGAGCATGCTTGCGTATAATCTCCGAGATCGAGGGAACGACCGTTTTAGGTTTGGTTGCCTGGATATGTTTCTCCAGTATCTCGTCCATGGAGGGCACCGACGCGGGGAACTCTACGAGGGGATGCGAATCCGGTGTCACCGTGGCTGTCGAGCCTGTGCGACTGGTAGCAGGCCGCGGCGACCTGCTTTCGCTCGGTTGCGAAGGCTGGGGACTGTCGTCATCTTCGTCGGCAGAGTACGACCTCCTCTTGTTCTTCGGTGACGACTTGGACGACTTTCCAGACTTCCTCGGCTTGCCTCCCCCCAATACGACACCGGGCGGGGGAGTCGGTAATGGAGGCTGATACAGAGGATGGTAGGGAAGTTTGCCGGCTTTGGTGCTGGCGCGGTTGGACATAAAGTTGTCGTCCGTTCCAAATCCATTCATCCCATCGACCAACGCATCCATCGTCTCCACGCCCGCAACCGGAGCAGCGACTACGATGTCGTGGAACGCGCGCGAGAACGATTCGCTATCGCGAGGAGTCTGGGGAGGCGTCTCGAACTGGGTGAGGGTGGACGCCGCGGATATTCGTAGAGTGCGATTGTAGTCCTCCTCGTCGTCCCACTGAAAGCGGTCCGTAGTGGGGCTGGTATGTGGGCGGGCGCTGGATCTCGATACGCGCGCCGCCCAAGCAGCTGTTTCATCGTCCCTGCTGCTGGACGCTCGAGAGTAGGTGGGCCTCGCGCGTTGCTTCAGCTTGCCCTTGCCCTGCTCGAACGAAGAATCGTCGTCGCTGGGAGAGCTGTCCGGATGGGTCGTGTAGGCGGTAGAGCGTTCGGAAGTGTAGCTGCCAACAGTGTAGCCAGGGGTGGATGCCTTCTTCGCGCGATGGCCCTGTTCGGCAAAACCTTTCGAGCTGCTCGCCGATGTCTCCTTGGGTGTCCGAGGTGATGTAGGGGTAGTATAGCCCCGCCTAAACGCAGTGGGGATCTTCTTGTGGTGCGAGGTCGCCGGGGAAGACGGGGGCGGGAAGGTCGACATGGTATCAGAGAACCGTGTAGGGACTGACTAGGAGCTGAAGGACTGTAATAATGTAATAGTGTTCACAACGGAGGCGCAAACATTCCGTCGGAGTGCGACGCCGGCAAAGTGACAAGGAAGGCGGGCGTGGCGCGGGCGGACTGTCCAACTCGGGTAAAGCGCGTCCGGCGTTCCGGCCGGTCGGCACGCATATGTACCTCTCCACCCTTTTCGTGCGTCGATCACCCACTGAGGGTATATTGTGGGCGAATCATTCGAAGGTGAATCCCTGACCACATCGGGCAGGCTCATCCATGGGCTATGAAAGCTTGAACCGAATGTTTACATGCCATCACTCAATATAGACATACGCGAAGGTATGGATAAATGCTCGGCCAGAACAACAGGGCGACGCAAGTATCGTACAAGAGGAAGCTTGAAGAATGAAAGGCATTCCTCCCTCGTCGGGAGAGAAAGGTCACCAGGTTCGCCTGAAAAGAACTACGGCTGGCCCGTCGCGCGAGGAAACTCGAGTTGCCCAAACCTCTGCCGAGCATCATTTTGTGCTATGTGCCGGAGTGCTCCTTCCATCACCGGCCTACGGGGTATGGCCCAGCGCGTGTGGCTCGGCGTGGTGTAGGCCTATATCGGCGATCGCCCCATGGCCGGGTATCACACACGGCGCTACGGCGGCAGTGCGAGCGCACGCCCGATCTCTCGAAGTTGATGTTGCGTTGAGAGGGCAGAGTCTCCGGTGCTCCTTAGCTGCAGCAGAGCCTGTTCCGCAATGCTCATCGCCGAAGGCGGCATGCCCGCTAAACGGGCGACTTTGAGGCCGTGACTGTCGCGATTGACGCCCGGCCGCAGGCGGTGTGAGTACGAGATCAGCCCATCCTAACAATGTCATTGAGTGGAATCGCAATAAACGCTCCGTGAGATGGATGAATACCTCAGTTTCGTCGACGTCTGTGCAGAAGAAAGCGACGTCCGGCAGAGTGGGTTGTTTCTCTCCGTCTTCGCTGTAGCCGACCATGTCCGCTAGCTCATGAAAATGGGTGGCGAACAGAGCGCGACAGCCGTTCACGTCATGCAGGTGATGCAGGGTGCTGAAGGCGATCGCAAGCCCGTCCTTGGTAGTCGTTCCTCGTCCGACCTCGTCCATAATCACCTAGGTGGGTTTTCCACAATTAGCCGCGGCTTTAAAAAGATGCTGGAAGACACGACGCACAAGACTGCGGGGAGTAGCCCGGCGGAGGATTTCGGCAGTCTCGAGCATCTCCACCATGAAAGTGCTCCTGTCACGGAACAGGTCGTCCTTGGCACCCACCCGGGACAGCACCCTGTCGACGACTCCCAGCGTCGCCTCGTCGGCGGGGACGAAGGAGCCCGTCTGAGCCAGGATCGCGATGATGGCGACGCTGCGCAGAAGCGTCGATTTACCGCCCATATTGGGACCGGTTATTATCTGCACGCGCGACCCAGAGCGCATGTCGATGGTGTTCGGGATGAATACGCGTCCGGCCTCGAGTAGCCCAATTTCGACGGTAGGATGACGGGCGTTCACGACGTGATAGGCCGGGCTGTTGATATCAGTCAGTATGGATAGCATGATCAATTCGGCAGAATTGACATACTCGTCGCAGAAGGCTGGTCGCACGAGGTTCAGGTCCACCGCTAAATTGGCAAAACCGAGAGTGACGTCCAATTCGTCGATGATCCTTGCGTTACGCCTGAGAGAGGTGGTATGAGCGACGACCTGTAGATGTGTTAGTGATTAGGTGGTGAAGGGGACAGGTGCAATTGACCTCTCCGCGAAGGCCATCGAATGCCAGTCGTTCCTCGTTTGAGATGGCAGCAGTAGTGTCGAAGATCAGTGTGCCGATGCGCGACCATTCCTGGTGGAGTAAGGCATGGTTATCAAGACAGAGTGACTGAGCTGAGAAGAAGCTCAAGTACCTGCAAGAAGTAGCTGGCGGTCGAACCGCTTTCGGAAATGAGAATGAAAGACGGGGATGCCTGCAACTTAGCCTTGTCCCGCTTTCCTTTGGCCAGATGGACGTGAAGACCGTGGCTCCGCGAAGCGCGTAGAGTCAACGACGGTGCATCTGGTCAATCTTTTGAGAGTATGCCCACCCTCAAGGATGGATGACAGACCGTATTGGAGCTGTAGTCTTCGCTGCAGAGCCTCGCGCTCCGCGTAGAGATCTTGCAGTTTACGGTGCAACTTGGCTAGCTCGTCGGAAAATCTAAGGGACGGGCCGTTGAGGCGCGCTTCAGGGCCAGATCTCAGTTTATTACTCACTCGGGCCGTATCGTCCATTTAACCCCGACGCCGTGAACAATATCGTCGTTGAGCATCGCGCCGTCATCGGCGCCTGCCTGGAGCATAGACTCGCCGTCTTGCTCCTCCGCATCCGCGCCTTCGTCTTCACGCATGGGCTCGACCTCTCGCCCACGCAAAGCACGGTCTATCCGAGACGCCAAGTCGCGCAACTCGGTGAATCTTGACAGGAGGATGTCCAAGCTGGTCCAGTCGTCGGACCTGCCTGGGACCTCTTCGTGGGCATCCATCTTCTTCTCCAGCTCCAAGCGATCCTTGATGGAGGACCATATGCCGATGGTGGCACTTACGGCGACGAGGTCGACAAAGTCGCCGCGGCCGGACAGGAACTTTTGTACTATGCGCGTGGTGTCCTCGACGCGCTGGAGGGCTTCGACAAGGTCGGCACGCAGGTGCGGGCGCGAGTGGAAGAAAGCTACGAGCGATTGACGAGCGTTGATTTCGTGGAGAGACGTGCTGGGTGAGCAGAGCCAGCGTGCCAACAAACGCGTCCCGCTACTCGTCACGGTCCTCTTTACGACGCTGAGCAGACTGCCCACCGCACCGCCTTCGCGCATCCCTTCCCGAATCTCGAGGGCTTTGATGGTATGCGAATCAATTTGCATCCTTCCTTCTCCGACTTCTCTGCTAGGAGAAGAAAGGCGGGGCATGTGTTCCATCAGGTGAGCGGAAAGGAAAGAGGTGAGGAGGTTGATGGCAGCCGTTTCTTGCGCGTCGCCACTTACGAGAGGAGCAGGCGTATCGAGGTCGTCTGCGACGGCATCGCTCATACCTGACTCAAGTGGGGGTAACGGGGTATCATCGGCAGAGCGCGCGGCGACGGAAGCGAAGGACAGGAAATAACCCTCCTCACGTATCAACCTGTGCAGGCGTTCGTCCGGCTGCGGCTCCAGCAGCTTGTCGAGGACCACCTCTTTTGGGCCGATACGCGCTAGATCGTCGCGCACTGTCTCCAATGTGCTTTGTTTCGTGTAAAACTCTCCCGTAGAGACGTCCATCCACGCGAGCCCAAGCGAAGTACGTTCTCCGTCCTCGTTCTGAGAGCTGCCGTCCGGAGAGGGGTATCCGATTGCGAGCAGGAAGCTGTTCTCGTACTGGTTCAGGAACGGCTCATCGATGAGCGTTCCAGGAGTGACGACGCGTACGACGCGTCTGTCGAACGCTCTGCCGTTGAGGGGCTTGGGGAGGGGGAACTCCTCGCACATAGCCACGAAGCGGTGGTTCTTCTGCACGAGCACTTTCAGGTACTTGTCGAGGTGCATGAGCGGGAAGCCGCACATGAGGATAGTCTGCCCGCCCCATTTGCGCGTCGTGAGCTTGATGTTGAGGAGACGCGCGACTTCCGCTGCTTGTTCGAAGTACGACTGCGCATAGATTAGTCTTGCTGACTGATTTCTTTTGAGCTCACTTACCTCGTAGAAGGAACCGACTCGAGTCAAAAGAATGCAATGGGGAAACCTTGCCCGGTTCTCCAGAATCTCCATGGCGAGTTGATTACGAGGCTCTATGCGCTCGGTAGGCTGGTCTGCAAGAATCTCGTGAACTAGGGACCTCGTGGTGTCCTTTATGACATCTCATACCTGCTTCCTCCGTGCTGACGATTTTGCGCTTCCGTTTTCGTTTCGGTTTATCTACTGGCCCCGATTCTGCAATTGCTAACTTCGGCAGCGGTAACTCATCCGGTTCACCGTTCCAAGGAGGCAAAGGAGGAGCAAGCGTTCCATCTGGTAGGACGAGCCGTGTAGGCAGCTCTTCATATTTCTTCCTTGTCCGTCGAGGCTTGCTTGCTGGAGATGCGCTTTGGGACGAGCTGTCCTTGGTCGCGTCGGACTTGACGGATAGTTGCGTCGCGCAGGCATGGAAAGCGCGTCTCACGAGATATCTCTGAGATATTATACAGCCGACATGGTGAGGTATATGTCCAGCCGATAGCATACGGCACGGCAGCAGTGATATTATCGAGATTACTCGGTCCTGGAAGCGAAGGAGGGATTGCGTGCGGTGTGGCGCGTCGCGTCCGCCTTCCCAAATTGGTCCGTGGGAATCAATCCGAAAACGTTTCCGGCGGGCCCAATCCGCGCCTGTCGAACCCAGACGACGACGGAAGCCTTGGCCACGTCGTAGCCCGCCCACCCGCTACCTGTTTACCTCCTCTACACTAATACCACAAAAATGTCGTTCGCTGGAAGACGTCGCGGAAACAAGGTCAAGAAGGGCGTGCAGTTCACGGTCATGGTTGTCGGTGCGTTACCGCCTCATCGCGGGCTTCGGGCTACGGGGAAGAGAGGCTGATGGTATATGGCGGCCGCGCCGTTTTCTTTTGCATTCTTAGGTGCCTCTGGAACTGGGCGCACTACCTTCGTGAACACGCTCTGCGAGTCCGAGGTGCTGAAGCACAAGATTGTGGACGACCCGAGCAGGGCGCACATTGAGGAGGGCGTCAAGATCAAGCCTGTCAACGTTGGTGAGTCTACGTGCTCGGAGACTGCGATAGGGGTGCTGGCTGACGTCCTGCGCTCGTGTTTGCAGAGCTCGAGGAGGATGGCGTTCGCATTGCGCTCACCATTGTCGACACACCCGGCTTCGGCGACAACATCGACAACGAGTTCACGTGAGTTGCGTTTGTTCGTGGTCTTGAGAGATCGGGACTTGGACGACTCCGTGCTCATCTTCTCTATTTTCAGCTTCCAAGAAATCATCGGGTACATTGAGCGCCAATACGACGACATTCTCGCGGAAGAGTCCCGTATCAGACGTAACCCTCGCTTCCGGGATAACCGTGTCCACACGCTGCTCTACTTCATTTCGCCCACCGGTCACGCGTATGTATCCTCGTCGCGCGCTCGACTGATGCAGCTTAATGAACGCGGGGTTATGCAGGCTTCGTGAGATGGACATCGAGCTGATGCGCCGCCTGTCGCCGCGCGTGAACGTCATCCCCGTTATCGGCAAGGCAGACTCTTTGACGCCGTCCGAGCTTCGGGGATTCAAGAAGCGGGTCCGTTGCTCTTTTCTTGTTGGTGCCGTCGTGATTTAACGCGATATGGGCAGATTATGGAGGACATCGAGCACTACGATATCCCCATTTACAACTTCCCGTACGACATCGAGGAAGACGACGAAGAGACGGTTCAGGACAATAGCGAGCTTCGCGTGAGTGCTATCGTGTTTCGCCCGTTCATTCGTCCACCTGTCTAAGCAACTACTCCGCAACAATACAATAGTCGATGCTGCCGTTCGCGATCGTCGGATCCGAGGAGGAGATCGAGATCGAGGGCGAGCCCGTCCGCGCGCGGATCTACCCCTGGGGCATCGTCGAGGTCGACAACCCGAAGCACAGCGACTTCAGCCGCCTGCGCAGCGCGCTGCTCAACACGCACCTCGCGGACCTCAAATCGCTCACGCACGACGTGCTGTACGAAACTTACCGTACCGAAAAGCTCTCGCGCACGGTGCACCCCGACGGCGCGGCGGACTCGAGCATCCTGCCGGAGGAGCTCGCGACGCAGAGCGTGCGGCTGAAGGAGGAGCAGCTGCGCAAGGAGGAGGAGAAGCTGCGCGAGATCGAGCTCAAGGTCCAGCGGGAGATCAACGAGAAGCGCCAGGAGCTGCTCGCCAAGGAGGAGTCGCTCAGGTGAGAGAAAGCGCACACGCGGATTCGCGTGAACGGCTGGGCTGACGTCGGTTTGTAGGAACCTCGAGAGCCGCCTCGCTGCGCAGGGCTCTGCGGACCAGTAGGGGGTGGCCCGTCCGGTCTGGACTGTGTTCTGGTGTTGTTATCGGGTCGAAAGAAGTCGTGGATATTGTATACCCAGCTCCTCGAAGACGTCGTGCTCTCGTGGACCCGGTCGCCTCGCATCGGCATCTCGGACTGGCTGATCTTTTTATATTCTCGTTACTAGGATACGTTCCACGTTCTGCTGCTCTCTGAATTGACGTCGTAGTCGGTCCGGGTTTCAGTCACAGGACCGTGGACGATCGCAGCTGTCCCCTCGTTGCTTCTGGAATATGTTTCTCTATACGTTTATCACGCATAATGTTCATCGGCGAGTGCGATATAGGGTGGTGGTGGGGGTTCGATATCAGTTCTCGGGGTATGAATTGGGGTGTTCGCGATGGCATAGGTGGTGATGGAACGCTGAGAAGGCGGGATCGGGGTTGAAACTGGGAGAACAAGAGGGGACAAGTGAGATGGGACAGGAGCTGTGTTGATGCGCGTACGATGCGTTATCTGCGGGGATAGCATGGCCACGAATGCGAAGGCGTCGCAGATTGCGGTGCTGAGACGGTTATGGAGGGATTAAGCAGAAAGCATGTGTGGAAAGGGTGTGCTTGAACGCCGGGAGACGCAGCGGCAAGCGGGTGATCGCCCAGCGCCAACGACTCGAGCAGTTGCCACGGCCGGATCGGGGCTCGCACCCGCCGTAGCAGAGTCTGGTCTCCATCATCATCAGTCGTCGCGGCTTGACTGCTACGCTCGTCCAGTGCTCTACAGTGCCCGGTGCCCCATCGTCGACGACAGCGACCACGACGGCCCGCTCGTCGTGTGCAGCCGCCACGGCCTCCGCCGCCCCGCGCAGCCCACCCGATTAGGCAAGCGCGTTCAACATCCCGCATTCCGACCTGCTGGGGATCCAAGGAGACCCTCCATCCCGCCCCCGCCGTCCCCGAACGCCGTCGCCATCGTCCGGCGCCTGAGAGCGCGCCGCGCGGCACGATCAGCTCGAGAGCCACCGTCAACGCGCGAGCGCCTGGGTCAGCCTCCGCGTCGCCCGCCCGCACGGATCCGTCCCACCCATGCAAGTCGGCCTGGAGACCCGCTCGGTCCACCTCCTGCACACGATGCACGAATGGGACCAGCAGCAGCACCAGCAGCACCAGCAGTCGCCCCCGCCCCCGCTGTCCTCCTCCGCCTCCGCCGCCCTCTACGCAACCCGCCGCCGGTCCCTCGCCGCCGCCGCCGTCCCCCCGAGCGTCCCCCCGCCCAGCCAGCCGCTCCCCTCCCTCCCCGTGCTCTCCATCACCGAGTCCACGCTCGCCGACTACTCGCCGGACGGTGCCACGCGGGGGTTTCATCCCGCCCTCGCGTCCCCGCCCCGCAGCACCGCCACGCAGAGCCCCAGCTCGTCCTTCGCCCGCCCCAGCGCGTCAGCCGGCCTCGCCGCCGTCGCCGCCTACCAGCAGACGCGCAACGCCTCCACGTCGTCCAACGCGAGCAGTTTTCTCGGCCCGCAGCCGTCGCCGTCCGAGTTTCCGTCGGTCGACAACATCAATTTGTCGGACGAGCCGCCGCCGTCCATGCTCCGAGCCATCTCCCAGGCGCCGGCCGCTACCGCGACCACCTCGACAGCCCCTCACAACGCGGCGTCGTCAAACGGCCGACTTTTATCGCCGCAGGACAATAACAACAGTCGCTCGACGTCGTCGTCTGGGAACCGGCCGTCGTCCCGGCGAGCGTTGACACGCGCACTCGAGCTCGCGCGAGAAGCGGTGAAACTCGACTCAAGCAACGACGATCCACAGGCGGCGATAGCAGCGTATGCGAGGAGTGTGGCGCTTCTCAGCGAGGTGATGGAGAGGGTGATGCGAGGCGAGGATGGCGATCGGCGAAGGCGACGAAGGAGTGTGGTAGCCCAAGAGGAGGAGGTCCGCAGACTGAAGAACATCGTAAGCCCCCCCCCCCCCCTCCCCGCATACACGTTTCTGGTTTTTCACGCTTTGAGACAACGTTGTTGCAGCACGATACGTACGCGGAAAGAATGCACATTCTCAGCATGGCCTACAACGTTGCGCCCGGCTCTCCGACTGCCACCTCTGCGTACGACTCCTCAGCCACCGCATCAACCGCATCAACCACAAGCTCCACTCGGACGTCCTCGCCGTTTGAGACACCGCAATCCGAGCGCGGAGATCCTACGACATCTGAGACACCCTCGCTCGCGTCAGACGACGACTCGGGCGACAGTCCGGACCAGTATGTTATCGACGGCGGCTACAGCGAGAACGTTCGAGACTCTACCGCGACCTTCAAAGCACCCATAGACCCCCACAGCGCCTACTCGCAGCCGCAGCCCGCGCCGCGGTCGCCGAGCAGAAACGTAACCACTTCGCGCACAAACTCACCACATCCCTACGCCACCGCTAGCTCGTCGCCAGAGTTACCGTCTGCCCCGCCGCCCGGCTATGGCGGTGGCCGAACATCCGTCGTACCGGCGCCTACCCGCGGCTCGCCTTCGCGAATGCCGTCCGTAGGACGCCCGAGGGCATCCTCGACCCTCCCTCCCCTCGCACCGCCGCCGCTCAACGCGCCACCCCCTGCACCCCCGATCGCGTCGGGCGCGTCTCCCGACGTGCCGGCGCCCTCGGCACAGCAGCAGCAGCCTTCCGCAGGCCACAGTCGGACGCCGTCGGCCGTCCGGCTGGCCGCGTTGGCGGAAGACGGCGGCCAGACCCAAGCGCCGCTGCAAACCGCGTCTTTCACGGACCGCGTCGTGTTCAACGAGGACCCGTTCCGGGCGCGGTCGAAAAGCGTCGCGCAGGGCGCGGGGCGGTATGGCGATCGCGAGCTGCCGCCTATACCGTCTTCTGCGGGATCGGGTTCCTCCACTTCCCCCGTCACCCCGCGCAACCCTGCATATCGCGGCGAACCCGGCTCCCCTGCGAGCAGCCTTACGGCGTTCACGACCCCGCGAGCGCGAACGGGCTCGCAGTTATCCGTGCACTCGGAGGGGCATGCGCATCCGCCGCATCCGTACCAAGCCAGCCAACCGCTGATCATGGGTACCACCCACCAAGGTACCATCTCGCAGCGGAGAGCCAAGCAAACGGCGGATGGCACGACGACCAGCGGCGGGACCTCGCCGACAGAATCTACGACGTCTGCCGGGAACACGCCTCACCCCGCACGCCTCACGTCCTCGTCGCTGCCCGCGAGCACCGCGAACAGCTTGGGCCTCAACAACTCGCGCGTCCGGTCGTCTTCGCAGCCGGGCAGGAGGCCGTCCGTGGCCGCGGCCGTCTCGCCGCCGCTCCCGACCGCGAACGGCGTGCACGCGAACGGCCTCTCCCTGCGCAAGTCGTCGGTGCCGTCCAAGCTCGGGCCGAACGCGCAGCCGCCCCAGCTGTCGATCGTCACCGGTCGTATCTCGCCCGGGCCTGCGACGGCGCCGCTGTCGCTCGTCCCGCCGCCGCCGATACCGCCGAGCAGCATACCAACCACGCCGACGTCCCCGCTGCCGCCTGCCGTTCCGACGGAGCCGTTGCGGAAGCCGTACCACCTCATGAACCTCCTCCGGCACACGATGACGTCCAAGTCGGGTGGGTATATCACGCCGCGCTTGCACGTCCCGCAGGAGGTCTGGTCCCAGGGCGGGGCGAAGCTCGCAAACCTGCCCGAGAAAGTGCGAGCCGTGGAGGTACTGTGTTCCGCTCTGGAAGAGATCCAGAACTCGAGCCAGGAGTTCTTTGGCTTTGGCTCGCTCACGGGCCAGGGTATGACCGCGATCGCGAAGAAAGAGGGCGAGGCGTGGGGTGCTAAGCTCGAGGACTTTGCCACGGTCTGCGACGGGATCGTGGGGAGCTTTGGGAAGAAGCTTGGAGTAGGAGAAGGACTGATCACGAAGAAGACCGGGGGTGTACGTGTCTCGCTCTCGCTGCAAGGGGTGCCACATACTTAGCGTTTTCTTGCTTGTTTAGGTGACGTCTTGGGGAGGCAAGCTAACCCGCCAGCTTGACAAACTCACAAACACAAAAAAGTACGTGTAATGCCGTCAATAGACGAAGCGTGGTATTTCTGACACACGGGATTCTTAGCTTGGACTCCCCGGCGTCATACGTACAGGGCCTCGCCAGGCTCTTCAACCTCTGTCAGGTCCTCGACGAGCACACGAAGGCGTTGTACTCGCAACCCGTCGCGCCTGTGTACTCTTCCCTCCCGGTGAATGTGCAAAGCATCCTACAGGCGCGGCTGCGACACACCTCCGAGTTCTTCGCGAACGTCGTGCTTACCTTCGTCATCCGAGACCTGTCCCTCCTCCTGGACAAGTACGCGAAGAAGTGCGAGAAGTGGCTAGCCGAGTGACCGAATCCCGTCACTCTAGACCCTCGTCGCCTTCCGCTTCCTCGCCTTGTCTACATAATATGCATTCCACTCGGCCTCCGGACCCGTTGCAGAAACAATGGCATGTGCACGCCCGGCCCGTATTACTCACTCATCACTCAGTCTGGGCGGAACGTCGTTGGGAGTGTTGGAACTAATCATCATCGTCAACAACTGTATTTTATTGCCTCAGGATTAACTAGAATGTTGTCTTCGCGGGAAGTCTTGATTTTCTTCTTCTTTTTTCTTCCTTTGCGCCCCTTGGCCGCACGTCTCTTTTCTTCCGTCTTCCCCCGTCGTTCGACTTCGTTTGTCTCCGTCGATGCGTTGTTTTGGATCCTCTCTCTCTCTCTCTATTGTCGCTTCTTCCGTCTGTCTATACAAACCAGTTTTGCACATAATGTAAAAATAACATGCTGCTCGAAGCTGTATATAATCACAGACCACCCGCGCACATGTCATCAGCCTCGGTGCGTGATTTTAGCAGGTGAAGGGCTCCGGCACGATGTGCGTTTCGTATGCCACCGCGATGAGCTGTTCGCGAATGCATGTGTCGGTTAAAGCGACCACACTGCAAAGAGTAGTATGCGTACCTTAATCGAGACGTAGGTACCTGCAACGCAAATAAACGCGCCGATGAGGACGGTGAGAATGGCGATAATGGTGCCCGTCATATCCCTCCGCAGTGCCGCCTTACCACCCTTGAGGTAGTAGGTGTCGTGCAACCAAAAGAAGCCGGCTATGCCGTAGGTATACCTGCAATGCACAGATGTCGACCTATGAATTGCGGCGGACGGTATGAATAAATAAATATGACGTACCATGACGCGAACAGCGACGCGGCGATGCCAATCAGGTACGAGAATATCGGCACCGCAATGGCGAGCACGAAGGCGATGGCGACGGCTATGAAGCAGAGGAAGGTCCACACCGTCCAGCCGAGCACGGTGTGCGTGTGCAGATGCTTGCTATTCCTGAAGAAACGGATGAAGAGCAGTTTGGCGGCGGTATGCGCGTAGAGGCCGCTCGCGAGGAGGAAGTTTCCAAGCGCGATGCCGAAGGCAACTTTCGCCCAGGTCGGCGGTAATCTATTCAGCGATCCGTCATAAGAACTGCTAGAATTCAAAATCGAATCGCGACTGACGAGAGGAACGCGGGCGACTGAACGGTATTCCCGATATAAACGTAGATGACGACACTTGCGTCCACGCCGTCAGTTTGCAAGTCCAGGAGCCATGAAAGAAGCAATCACTACCTAAAAACTACGTAGAATATTGTGGAGAAGCCTTGAAGACACCAAGCAGCCTATGTAGTGATCAGTCTCTTGCGCTGACTCGATTGAATGATTTGGCGATACCTTCATTGCGTCTTGCGGACGTTTCATTTCGGATATGAGGATGAAAAACCTAATGAATATGGTTGATGAGCCTAAGCAACCATTCGTTCTCGATGGAACATCTTACATAAAGTGTCCAGCAAATGCGAATACAGGATTCGTAATGGCCACGAAGGCATTGAAGAAGTCTGAAGACTTGGCGGCATCGATAGTGCGGCCTGGAGTTGGGTTAATGCCTGTGTCGCAATGTTAGGGTCTCAGAGACATTCTATGCGGTGAACGCCGTGGCTTACCCGCTCCTATCATGGCGACGATGCCAGCAATGGCGATGAACGAGACGCTGACCAGCCCGAGATAACTAAGCCTGTCCAGTGTGCGAGGTAGAGCGACGAAGAAACTCGCGACGGCGAAAATCAACACTAGCAACATCGCGCAAAGCCCATTGTCCGAAAGCGACGACAACGCTTGTTGTCCCGAGAGCAGCTCCGATCCGGTCGCGAAAATGGCAAAGATGATGGTACCCATGGAAAGTACTTCCCGGCCGATGGGACCAGCCTGAACTAGGAGGTAAGTTGTGAATGCACGGATCTCCATGTCGTGCAGGGGCTTACCAGGATGTATCCGGCATCACCCATATTGTGAACTTCGGGGTGGTTCAACTTGAAGTCGATGAGAAGTTTCGCTGTGAATAGCGCGAATGTTCCCATGAAGATGATGATGATCACGGCGGGGACAATTCCGACGATCGCGAGAGCACTAGGCAAAGACAGCATGCCATTGCTGAATTGTCTTCAGTCGGTGAAACGCATTCACGGCAGAGCTACTGCACGGACCTGACAATTTCAGCGATCATAAGCACGCTCACGAACTGCGCAAATAGAAAGGTTGTTCAGCGCATATATGCGACATATTTTAGTGCGAGGATCGTACCTGCCAGCTGAGGGTCTTGTAGCGGATCTGAGCCCCTTCTTCTCGTCCAAAGACATCGACATCGTCGTATGCATCGGCACCGGATGGCCCCTTCTCGTCCGCGACCTTAGCGTGTTCATCTGCGCCATAGGTGACGCTCATTGCGAACCAGAAGACGTTCGAGTACGAGTCGGCGCCATCGAGCTTTAACCTGTTATTGGACTTGGCGCGGTCCGGTGGTGTACCTCGGGCTAACTTAGTCTATCGGGAAGTGTCCACACTCCCGTGCCGTTGATAAGATGGGTAAAGAGTGAGCGCGCACGGCAAAGTGATCGTGGGGGTCAGGGGCGCGGGTGCCGATTGCGTGCTCAGCCGTCAGTAGAGTACAGCAAGCCCTCATATCGATGCGTTTGCATCCTTTCACTTTCACTCTGTCTTGCTCGTCGTGCTGTATAGCGCAGAATGCTCCGGGATGTTAAGAACGATGCTCGCGGCCTTGGAACGGTCGACGCTCGTTCTGCGGGAACAGTCCTGTCTCTTAGGTGATGCCCAAACCTTGTACGTCTATGGCCACGTTCCTTGGACGTCAATTCGGAATTGGCTGCACTCCACGCCTCCGATGCGCCCCTTGTCAACGAGCTCGCTACGTGTCGCGTCCTTCAAGGCGTATATACTCAGCAACTGACCCTGGTAAGCTCAAGCCAATCTGTAGCGAAACAAAGAATGACCTCACATGACTGTATGGCTCGCAGGTCTGCATTCGGCATACTTATCATGTCTGCGATAACCCACTCACCTCGGCTTGTCGACGACCTCGTACCACTCATCCTCGACAGCAATGATCATTGGTGGCCGCAGGATCTGCAACGTCTCGCCCTAGTATCGCCTTGCTGGCTCTGGGAGGCCAGGCGACGCCTATATGCGCACCCTCGGGTATCTTCATTCCGCGCCTGCAATCTGCTGGCACGTACGCTCTCCGGGAACGAGCCCCTCAAACGTCTCCTCCGGAGCCTTTACCTCAACCCAATATGCGAAGGTGCATTAACAGAAAAGGAAATCGCGAGCCTTGAAATCATACTCGGCTTGCACGGTCTGCCACGTATCACCCTTGGTGGTGACCTGGCAGTGAAAGCGGAGCGGTGGGCGAAAGCCCTCGCCTCACCCCACTGCGTTACGGAGTTACATATCGATGGTTACATGCTTGCCTGGAACCGCCATGTATTCAACATTTATCGCCACCCCTCTCTTAAATGGGACGACGCCATGTCCCGCAATTTCCACTCCCTGCGCAAATTGCGCCTCTCCAACCTCGATCTCGAAGTCGCCCCTCAAGCGGGCCCTATTGCGCTGCACGAGCTCGTGCTGGATAACGTCTCTGCGGAACATGACTCGTTGAACCTCTTTGCGGCCGTGTTACACCGCCTTACGGTCGTTTCACCCACCTCTGCTCAGACCGACGATAGCGTCGTCTCCTTGGTCGCGTATTGCAGCAGCACGCTCGAATACCTCGAATACGAAGTCCACCGCAGTCGCCGAGACGAAGGCACCATCTTCGACTTTCCCACATCCACATCTCTCCCGAAGTTGCGCACGCTTATCATCAACGGCGCTAATGCGCATTCCGGATCTTTCGAACGCATGGGAGAATTGTGCCCAAACTTGGTGTCTCTCGCGCTCCAAGGCCGCATGGTCCAGATGACCGTAGAGGAATGGGTACAGGGCATACGTTCCGGCGTATTTCCGTGCTTGAAACAACTTGGCACTCCCCTCGGAACGTTCGGCCCTCCTTTCCGTTATTGGAACGAGAAGGGTCTTGCGAACATCAAGGCAGCGTGCGCAACCCGTAATATCATCATGACCTAAGTCCCGACTGTTTTGTTTTCCACCCAGGATCGCCTTGCTTAGATTTCTTGCTTGTCCGCTCTCTCGCAATGTTCTCTAGATTCAACTCTAGTCAAGTCATATACCTAGTCCCTCGTCGGATCCACTGTATTATATTCAGCATGTACAATATCGGATATGGGTACTTTTGTCACGCCATCTGCGTCTTGATGTGATTGAGCGCGGATCCTGCCTTCAGCCATTTGAGTTGATCCGCCGACATCGTGTGCCGCGTCGGGATTTCGAATACGTCGCCGTTTCGCTTCGTCACCCGCACCTCGATGTCGCCCGTGCCTTTCTCGAGGAGGTCCTCCAGTCCAACAGTCTCGAGCACGTCGCCAGAGCCGATACGAGAGTAATCGGACTTGTCGACAAACCACAAGGGCAAGACGCCTTGCTTCTTGAGGTTGGTCTCGTGTATGCGCGCAAATGAACGGGCAATGATCATGGCGCATCCTATTGTGTTTGAATTAGCAACGGCAATGATCTAGCTCGAGCGGAAAGACGAACCGTAGAATCGGGGTTGCAACGCTGCGTGCTCACGAGCACTACCTTCGCCGTAGTTCTCGTCGACGATCAACGCCCAGGGCTGCTTCCTTGCCTTGAAACGCTTCGCCACGCCCGGAATAGTATCCGTCTCGCTCTGCGACGGCTCGCGGTCATGATCGAACGCAACGTTCACATCCCCGCCCTCGTCGTTCGTCGCCGTGATCAGCAAGTTTTCCGAGATGTTTGTTAGATGTCCCTTGTACTTCAGCCACACGCCCGCCGCGGATATGTGGTCCGTCGTGCACTTGCCCCTGACACGCATGAGGACCTTCAGCGGCTGCAGCTCGAGCCCGCGCGGGTTACCGCTGCCCTCGCCGAAATGGCTTGGGAACGGCTCGAGGATCTCGAGGCGCTGACTATCGGGCCGGATGACAATGGTCGTGTCGGGCTGAGGCTCGGGTGTGGGGGTCGGGTAGAACTCGGTGTTACCCGCAGCGAAGCCGGAAGAGGGGAGATCTTGGCCCTGCGGCGGCGAAAACCTGAATTGCTCGCCTGATGGAAGCAGTAGACTGTCTCTCGTGGGGTCGAAGGAGAGCTTGCCGGAAAATACCATAGCAGTAACTGTCGTTGGAGACGCAAGGAAGTTCATGGTTAACGAGTTGCCGTCGTTGCGCGCCTTAAAGTTCCGGTTGAATGAGGTAAGAATGGCTATGGGAACCAGTGTTAGCGTATCGTTGGCAGTAAATATGGATGGTAACATACCATTCTGTTCGCCCTTCTTGTCCTCCCGCTTCCATTGACCGATACAAGGTCCGCAGGCGTTGGCAAGAACGACTGCACCAACATCTTCCAGCGTTTGAGTGATACCGTCACGTTCCATGGTAGCCCTGATTTGCTCGGAGCCGGGTGTGCATAGGAAAGGTACCTTGGCAGTCAGCCCAGCTGCCTTCGCTTGACGCGCAAGGTCAGCCGCGCGAGTCTAAAGCACATAACATCAAAGGTTGCCTGAACCTGAGCGATTGACGATACACACCATGTCCTCGTACGAGCTGTTAGTGCATGATCCGATAAGACCAGCCGATATCTCGTCCTTCCAACCTTGTTCTTTCACGAAATCGCCGAACTTCGACAATGGAGTAGCCAAATCGGGGGTAAAAGGACCGTTGACAGTAGGCTCGAGCTCGGACAGGTTCTGCGTCCGACAGTTGGCATCTTCTCCGGGGGTCAAGTAACATGACTCACGATATTGATAACTTCGTCATATTCCGCATCTTCGTCAGCAGCGAGGAAACCCTTCGCAGCAGCCTCATCGGCCGCAAGCGCAACCGGACCTCGACGTGTCGCGTGGAGATATGCGCGCATGCTAGGAGTATACGGAAATGTAGAAGTCGTAGCACCAACCTCGGCACCCATGTTTGCAACGGTGGCCAACCCTGTACAGGATTGGTTGAAGACGCCCGGACCAAAGTATTCAAGTATCCTGCCAGTGCCGCCCTGATTCAACGTAAGCCAACAATTGTTGTATCATCGGGAAATGGCGAATGACCTTGACCGTGAGTTTCCCTGCAAGGTGCAGGATGAGATCCTTCGGCGTGGCCCATCCACTCAGCTTGCCGGTGAGGTGCACGCCTACGTGCGTGTTGTATCAGGACCTAAGGGGCTAAACTAGGTGATATCCGACATACCGACAACCTGCGGTGCCTTCAGCTCCCACGGCGTCCCAGTCATAGCATCTACCGCATCCGCTCCGCCAACTCCGATGGCGAGTAAACCCAGGCCGCCCGCGTTGGGTGTATGCGAATCTGGAGTATTGTGTCAGAAAGCGCTTTAGGACCGCCAGTTGGTTATGCTCACCGGTTCCGAGCCTGAAAAGATGAAGGGAGTGATGGATGTCACCCTGTCTGTCTTAAGAATCCGAAATCTGAAATTACTTACATGAGCATACCTGGCGCAGCGTAGTTCTCGAGCACTATTTGATGAATAATCCCGCTTCCTGGCCTCCAAAATTCGATGCCATACTTCTTCGCAGCACTCTCCAAGAAGTCAAAAACTTCCTGATTCGAACTAATAGATCGCTTCAGGTCGGCTTCGGCTCCGCTCGAGGCTTGTATGAGATGATCACAATGAATTGATGTAGGCACAGCACACCGCGTGAGGCCAGCTGACATGAACTGCAGCCTAGGGACACAGGGAGATAAGCGATAGTAATACATGCTTAAGCAAGGTCACGTACAAAGCCATTCTACAATGCAGGTAGTAACGTCAATTGGGAGATACATCTGAATATGGGCATGCTGCAACTCACTGGGCAGATGCATCCTGCATTGCTACCCGTTCAGGATTCAGCAGAAGATACGACTCTCCTCTCCGAATGGGGCCATCCGCCAGCGTCCTTTCGGGATCGTGTAAATGACTGTAGAGGATCTTTTCGGCGAGCGTGAACGGCCGGTTGCCCGACAAATGTCGTACGCGCTCGAGCTTCCGGATCAGTTGCTCGTATGGTGGTGTTATCGAGGAGCAATCCTTTTCAGTGACCGGTGCATGTAGGCACCTTCGTATGCTGCCTATATGCTTGGTCGCCCTCTTCAAGGCAGAGGACGCAGGCATTGCTCCGGCGATGTCGGTAGCGAATTCCAAGAGAGAATTGACCTCATCGGCCGACGGAGGCAAGTTAGGGGCTGTAGCTGACGCGCCTAGTGCACCTGATTGGTTTGTGAAACCGCGAGAACCCGCGAACCAGAAGGTGGTGAAGGCCTGCGACCTGCGCTCGTGCTCCAGGTCGGGCTCAGAGTAATCTCTTTCCTACAGTTCCTACAGTACTTAAGGCATGCAATCTTGTGCGTGTTGACGCGTGTGACGCGAAACGCACATCGATACAAAGCTAGGCCCTTCGTTCCACTGCCGCAACCTGCTCATACGATCCATTCAGAGCCAATACTACTTACTGGATTTGGTCTACTGGGGCAACCTCGGCTCGTTATAAATACGTATGCGAAATGGGCTATGTCGCAACAAACATCACTTTGTCGACCTCCTCACAAGTCAATACCTACGATGCTAGATCTCGACTGTTGTACGACTATTCCATGAGAAACAGCTCTTTTACGGCGCGATATCAATCTTAACCTGCGGGATTTAATTCGGATTAACACGGGTGCAACCTCCTTGACGTACCTCTGACACGCATTTGCAAATCTCCCGAGCAAGAGATCTTGTAAGAGTAGCAATGCACCTTCTGTGAGAGGCAGGCGGGGACATGCAGCGCACAGCTCCAAGGTCGCTCATGGCGGCTGCTTCTGCATTTCCGGGGCGTTCTTTCAGCTCCTTGGCCGCGCGGTCGAAATACACGTCCCAGTATCGCCCATTGGATGCGCGATCGACATATGTTGAATCCCAGTGTCGCTCAGGCCGAGGCGGCGAATCCGTTTTGGACGCGAATGTCCCTACACAGATGCACCACGTGTTCCGCGCGCTGTACTTCTCAAACCAGGCGAGCTTAGAGAGTGTGCCCCATGCTGCATGTTCACGGCATGCACGGTGGTACGCCAAGAGGCGACGAATGCATTCGCAAGAGACAAGCTCAAGCCCTGATCCCTCCGAAAACGCTTCTAGCTCGGCCACGGTAAACTTAAGTGCCTCTTTGGCCGATAATTTTGCCTCCGGGTTCCATCCTAGGCAGCATGCTGCAGCGTAAGCCGCGAGGGGCTGGTCACGCGCGACGGCGAGCAGGCGTTCACGCGCCCAGTTTGTGACAGCAGGTAGATGATACTTGTCAGCCGTGATGACGAGTTGGTATAGGTCCATTGGCTGTGATACGGTGGGGTCGGGGATTGGATAGCAGATGCGAAGTAGAGCATTGAGTATCGAGCTATTCTCCGTCACGGGTATCACGGACCCTTCAGGATCGCTATCAGGGGCTTGGGGGAGGCCAAACATGTCTTGGAAGAACGGGGAGGCGATGGACAGGACGACTTTTGAGACGTGAAACTTGATTTTGTCTGATGACAAGAGAATGGCGTCCCATGGCGTCTCACCGTCGAATGGGCTCCCTGCCGTGAAACCTTGTGCTACCGCTAGTCCTTCCTGTAGCCCCGCACTGGATCCTCCGCTTGCTTTTTCGGAGGTGAAAGACTGCGGAGCAATGTCGGCCCTTAGATACTGCAGAAGGCGCAAGTAAGACCGAGGGGGAACTTGACCCCAATTGGCAGCCTCCAAGAGTGCTTCCGCATTCGTTGCTTCCCGCAACCGCGCAGCCGCGACCTTCGCTTCGTCTTCCAGTTGGCACGAGCAGGCAATGACGTACACCCACGCGGGAGCCCTCGCGAGCCAATCGCTGATGAGTTTACTGCGCACAATAGTGACTGCATGGTCCATCTTGTATTTTCGTAGAGCTTGCAGGAGGGAACACATCCGTGTTATCGTAGAGGGCCACCGATCTGCCATCGGATACAGGAAGCTCAACAGCATGTATAGGTCTGAGTTGGAGTGCGGCAGGGATAGAATTGGGATGGTCTGGTTTTCCGCGGGTTTTGCGCCGAGCACTTGCATAATTTGGTCCTTGAGTACTGGGGATGCAGCATAGATGACGCCTCGATAGACTCTGAAGTCCATGTTTTCCGACGACCGCAAGATGAGGTCAGCGTCCTTCTCTGCAAATGGGGCTGGCGCCGGGGAGTTGCTTGGCGGTCCTCCCGCAGCCGTGCTAGCGGCTTCAAACGACATCGGCGCTTCCGTCTTGCGGCGCTATCGTACTGGTGGATGGAGAAGGCTCAAAAGTATGTGAGTCCGCAGGGACCCCCGCGATACACGGATTGTGAGTGTTATGCAAGGGATGAGCCAAGCTCGTGGTGCAAGCGGGCACACAACCTATTGGTAGTTGGCGGAAGTTTGCAAGGAGTTAGTGGAAGTTCGTGAGGGAAATAGGGGCTCCAAGTTCTGACCCTAACCTCACAAAACGTAATGGTAGGTATATTTCCGGCGCGGTCCCGAACCGGTTGCCGTACCTCACGCCAGGCAGGCGCACGCAGTGCATCCACGGTTCCCGTGAGCTGTATAACAGCCGACACACCGCTTCAGCACTGGCGCAAGTAGGGACCTGGTTCGACTTCGGAATCACCGCGTTTATTAGCGATCAGTCTTACAGCCGGAGCTCAGAATGATACACAGCGCTGCTTACTCTCAGACGTCAAGAAATCACCAAATCCGTCAACGATGGGGCAGAATATGGATAACTTGAAGTGACAAACACGCCGAGAACATGATTTGAAGTCGAGGGCGGCCAGCCCCGAGGAGCAGCCAGAGGGCGAATCTTGAATTACGATCATCATATATGGATCCTACTTACTAGTTCGAGTTCGCTGGAGCATTTCACATTTATCAGATACGACGACTTTTGCAACCCCCCGCCCCATGCAGGTTCAATTGGCAATGGAACCCGTAAGCCTGTGGTCTCGACTGCTCGCTCCCACCGCAACACCAAAGGATCCAGACGGAACCTCCCAGCGTTGTGTCTCGACGTTCCAGATGGACAGGTCGAATCGCGACAGCTGGAAGGTCACCGTGGTAGAGCTGCCTGCAGCTAAGTAGATGCTGTCAAATCCACGAAGCACTTGCGGCGGCTCGTTGGCAGACGCAGGGAATGTGACATAGAGCTGTGGAACCTAGAAGTCACTTTTCAGCGACTGGGAGCTTGTGCTGCAGGGGTGGCAAAAGGTACCTCATGTCCGGCGAGTGTTCCGTTGTTCGCCAGAGTGAAACTGACTGACACGACGTCTTCGTGCAGCCTTACACGGAGGTAATTGCGGTCAACACCGGAGGAAACGACGGATACAAATCTGAGCACTTACGATGGATTGAGGGCGGAGCCTGGTCCGGAGACCGGGGTACCTCCGGCAGGAGATCCAGTCACGGTCAAGGCAGAGTAATCGAACGTGGTGTACGACAGTCCGAAGCCGAACTCAAATCGTGGCGCGATCCCAGCCTGTACAGCCCGTGAACAGGTCAATCAGAGACCGATACAAGATAGACCCAAGGATACGGACAGAATCGAAGTGCCTATAGTCGATGTTCAGGCCTTCCGTGTACGGGATTGCCGGGATTGATTGGCTCGAGGTGTACAAGATTTGAGCCGGATAATCGGTGATGCTCTTCCCGATGGTGTACGGCAACCGGCCACTGGATCCCAAATACATGAGTATGGGAGTATCTAGCGACCCGGCAAGACGTACCTCGGGTTGTAGGCGCCGTAAAGGATGTCAACGAGGGAATCGCCGGCTTCCTGACCAGCGAGCCCACTCCATACAACAGCGGTGACTATGCGGATACGGTCCAATGACACGTTTAGAACGTATTAAGGTAGTGCTAACCGTTCGCGTTAGTGATCCATGCCTCCATCGTGATGGGGCCGACGCTTTGCACAACAACGATGGTGTTTTTGTTCACGCTGGCCACTTTCTGTACTAGCGCGTCCTGAACACGGCTTTCTGTCAGCTGTATCACCAAACACGAGATGGCATGACTGACGCCGCTATGCCAGGCTGAGAGATCGTTCCTGTCTCCCGCGTTGCCTTCTACGGTCAAGTATCCTTCACCACTGTCGGCAGTAATGAAAACGAATGCGACGTCCTTCCCTGATGCGGTGGATGCGGCGGCGCTCAAATCGGTATCAGAGAGGGACGAGGAGATGGTTGTGCCATCTGCGCTGGAGCGGTTAGTGATCGCATCGACAGGCTGTGAACAGTTTGAGTCAGTGGAACGGTATGCACATAGGTCGCATGCTTACGGTTGTCAAATAAGGAAAATCGTCCGTCCTGCAGACAACTTATTAGTGGCAATAGGGTTATGCACAAGCACAGCATCTTACCCGCTTCCCCATCCCATAGCAAGCACGCCGGAGTCGCAGGAGCGGTCGGTGCATCCGTTCGGTCCGTTAGGGTTTGGTCCCGCTGCGCTGCCAATCAGCGCAATGCTCTTCGGCTTGTTGAGAGGCAGGACATGATTGGTGTTCTTCAACAGAACAGTAGACGCGGCGGCGATGGTACGTATCAAGCTGTGACCTTATGTCAGTCTCTTCGGGAGATTTGCGCACGGGGAGATGCATACTTGGCATGATCTGCTTGCACGTTCACGTGGGTAGCAGGACTCGCGTTGACGTTCCATGCGTTGAAGTTGACTGCGGGATACCCGGAGTCTTGCCCGACTAAGTACCACGCAGCAAGAATTCGGGTCGCCATGTCCTGCAAGGACATGAGAAAATGATCATGGCAGAGAGTCGCCCAACCGACCGTGATCCGCGCTTGGGAGACAGAGCCGCTGTTCACGGCATTGATGAGATTCTGGCCGAAATACGTAGTACCCGAGTTGGTCGTTTCGTCTCCGGCTGTGCATGGTGTTTGGGTAGTCTGCATTGGACGAGGGTATACGTCACTCACGCATTGTCATCTGTTTGACGGGTTATGAGCGGCAGAATCACGGATATAATATGGTTGTCTCACATCTAAGCCTCCATTTGCGGAGGGAACCGTCGAGTGCGTAGCCCACCAGTCTTCGTGGCATGTGAGAAGCATACTACGTATCGCCTCTCGAAGAACGTACCGGACATGACATCTATGTGACGACGGTCATAATTGACTTCCCAAACAACAGCCGGGGCCACTCACATCCAGGGAAGCCAAATTCTCCCTTGAGTAGGCCATTCAGAGTTGCCGAGTTCTCACAAGAATACGTGCCGTTGACTAAGGCAGAGTCTGGGTAATCTGGCAAGCATACATTCAAAGACTTCACATACTTTGATCTGACCGGCCGAAATGGTCAATCCACGATCAGGAGAAAAAAATCGAAATCGACGCACTGTAACTGCACATCACGGCGGCGACGTTGGCTTGAACAGCTCGGAGGAACTAGAAAGAAAAATCAGAACGTTATAGAGTACAGGTAGAGGGCTGCACTCACTGGCACACTGTATAGTTCGTGTTCCTACCGGAAATCAAACATCGATACATGTGGTTACGGGAAAAGCCTTACCGTGCTATTCCAATGCGAGTCAGTGTCAAGTGAGAAGCCTTGAAGCACGCGCCGACATACCGGTCATCTACATTAGAGGAGCTCGAATCTCTGAAGTGTTCCTGAAAGTTATCTAGTGTCACGGAGTGCCTTGCCAAGCTGCTACTTGACTTACTTGCTCGTTGTTGATGTAGTGCCTATCAACCGTTGTGAGAACGGATACCGCGATATGAATTGAACACCTACTTAGCGCAAGCTTGGACACCTGAGACTTTCTCGTCAGCATCTATTCTAGGACAGACAATATCGCTGACCTTGAGACTGGATTCCAGTCACGGTCTCGAATGCACCCTCTCCTGAAAGATAAGGGTCGGCTCCGAACCTTCGATAGCCGACCGAGATGAGGATCAATGAAGTAGTAGTTTGAATGCGCGAACTTACCCTTCCCAATTTCTACCGGCCGCAGGGGCACGCATCAAGTTCCTGTGCGAGACAAAATTCCATCAGCTTAACAAGTAACAACGTTGGGGGAAAAGCGACAGCATACATCATAGGCCCAAGTTGCACATGTATTCCTTTCCCCCGAAACTCGGCTCCCATGGCTTGACCGCGGAGGTTCATCAACGTACGGTTAAACCTATAGAGGACCGCGTCAAGCTCTGTTAACGATTCACGAACATTCGCCTTACGTGGCAGCAACGTTGATTTCTCTAAGCTGTCGTTAACGCGTTATCGGCAATAGCACGGAAAGTGCTCACGCGCCAAACGCCGACACCTTGTCAGCATAACGTGCACCCACCGGCCCATCTACCAATAATTGTTAGCGCCTCATTCTCCCTCGGAGATTACACAACTGACCTTCCAGGCAAAGAGACGGGTAGCCGATCGAACTGACTTCGTACGTGTTTCCCACGCAAGGGCCTGAAAGAAGTGGTTATGAGCCGCAAGATCGAGGCAGGTGTATGCGCGAAATATTCAACCATTCTCCCAACCAACGCCTGATGGTTGATGTCAGATCTGAATCAAATATTGTAATGGTATACCTACCGGTCACGATGTTCACCTTGTCGCTGAGCGACAATTTTGCGACCGCCGCTTGCGCCTATCGACGTTTTTCGCTTTGCTCGCATGTGGAATGTCCGTGGTTTGCTTACCTTGGTGTATGCAGCTTGCCATTCGGGGGACATGTTCACTGTCCACGCCGTCTCAATAACGGCCTCCGCTTGGAGTGGTACGGTGCATACCAGGTGTCGGGAACGCGGATCCGCTCGCGGTACTGGTCGCGCTACTCGAGGTCGTGGATGCAGACGTCGACGAGTGGCTCGAGGACGTGATGGTGCTAGACGAAGCGCTCGATGAACTCGCGCCGGGCAGACCTGCGAATGAGATGATCAGAAAATAGCCGTCCTCGCCTGGATGCTACTGACATTGGGAGTAGTATGAGTTCAGTTCCTTGCAAACGGCATCAGCATGGCGTAAGTCACGAGAACATAGCGCATACAGTGCACGTCCAACCGCTGATGCAGGTAGTAGCGCCGGTCCTGGCAGGAAACCACGTGAACGGCTTGGCTATATGCACAAAGTATAACCCTACCATCCTATACCACCGCATTGACCGTAGCCGGACTGTTGCGCCGTGCTCAATATTGCACCGAGGACCGATAGCAGGAGCGCTGCCAGGACGGCCATCTCGTCGGTAATCGGTCGAGGGGGTGCGAACGCGCTCTAACACGATTGCTCTTGCTCTTTGTAGCATGAGGTATGAATATATGTGCTACTTTGGAGAAGTCAGCCGAGCAAGCCCGTCCCGAGGATATGCATGCGGGACCTACTCGCGTTCGACGTTCGCTCTCGGAATAGATGCGGGGTTATACCGGCTTGACGTGAGCGGTCTTGGCGAGCGACAGGATACATCCGAGGATACAGGACCGACGAAGCTCGTGTTCGCCGTAGATCAAAGCGACTGAATGATTGTTCACCGTCGAGGCCACCGACAAAGACGCGCAGGAAGTCGCGTTGACGACCTTGCTATCCGAAGAAACGCAAAGAGAGCGTTGGGCGACGAGCTCACAAAAGAATACGGGCGTATTTCTGCGTTATCCGCGTCTACTACGCTCCGGCGGATATAGAAACAGTACGCGCCCATAACAAACGAGAACGGCTCATAATACTGTACTTTTACGACCATAAGTTCAAGCGGACCCCTTGGGGACAGGGGACACGCTGTAAGTTCAGAGCCGTGGGAAGTTCATGAACTGATATCAATCAGATTGCTTTGTTCTCACAGTAAGTGTCAACAGCTCTCACGGTCAGTAAGGTTTGGCCGAAATGGGAGGGGACAGGGGACAAAACCCTGATTTAGGTAGGGGGGGAACGGGGACGAACTTATGGTCGTAAAAGTACAGTAATCCGCGCGATGAGATGTGTAGCTCCGGCGGCATATCGCGGTTAGCGGTTGCGGGGCAAACCGAATCAGACCCTCAATAGCCTGGATCAGCTTCGGGAGAAACCACGGTTATAGAGACATTGCTAGTGTCCTTTTCGACCAGCCCTTCTGCGACCGGAAGTCGCGAGAGGAAACAAGGGAATAAAGGCACGTGGTGCCAGACCCTTTTCAGGCAAGCTCACCTGCGGCTGCTCGTGCGAAAGTCTGCCTCAGGCAATCGAGCTTTTGAAGCCCGGGGAAACCGGTAGACTCGTTAGACCCCGCGCCCGCTCAGCGAGACTGGCCGGGAAACACGAAAGAGCTTGCGCGGCGCCGGGTCGCCCGAAACAGGTGAGCGAGATAAAATAAGGAGAGGCCAGATTTACTTCCGCACGGGTATGTGATGCCGCCATACTGCGTTTGGTAAGCGCGTCAGGGGAAAGTGGCCCTTGGATGTGCGCTTGGCTTGGACGCCCCTCCTCCATGTTGCCATATCGGCGCGGCTGGGTGATGGCGGCGCCTCCGCCCTCCCCCGCAACCGTTTTGTGGAACCGATCGAGGAACAAAATGCAAAGCCTCGAGGGTACCGTGCCGGCGGTCAGGGCCTTCACGTGCGGCTGATCTCGAACGTCGCCCCTTTCTCGCCCGTTCCGTGATCGTACAAAGCGCCGGGCGCCTGCAGAACGGGACGAGGCTGATGTTCCCCGCACGTCAGACGGGCGCGCCCAGCAGTTTCCCGCGACCCAGGAGCAGCAACGTCCCGCACAGCCTGAACCCGCCCGAGTCGAAGAGCCGTCTTTCCTGCCTGCGATGCCTGCGACCCCGTCCGGCCTGCCGCTCGACGCCGCCTCCCCGGCTCTGACACCCGTCCCCTCAGAGAGCAGGTCCGTCTCGCCATTCGTCGTCTGCCGTCGCGTCGCGTACAGCTCACCTCCGTCTCAAGCACCTCCACCTATGTCCACCGCAAGACGCTGCCCATCAAGCGCGCCGACGCCGAAATGCTGTCCAGGGAGGACGTCCAGTTCGACCTCCTCCACCACATCTTCTCGGATCCCACGAAGGCGTTCGACGACCAGTCCCCAGCGTTCGGCTCGGGCGTGAAAGCTTCGGGCAAAGTCACCTTCGGCGAACTCTATACCAACATCCTCTCTCACTCCTTCAAACTCTCCAAGGTCATCAAGGACAAGATGGCGGAGACCCCCGCGTTCGCGACCGAGTTTGCCAAGTTTGCATTCCTCACTAACGTGGGCCGGATAAACACCACGATGGCGTGTGCGAATCCTCCGTTTCTTTTTACCCTTACCGAGCCCGGGATGTGACCCAATTCTCATGCGTGTTCCCTCTCTCCTCCCTCTTCTCATCCAGTTTTCCCAGAGATGAAGACGGCGCTAAGGTCTTATCACCCCGTCCCATCGCTCCAGAAGACGGACGGGAACGTCCAAGACGCCCCTCGCATCAAGAACTGCCTGAAAGGCGCCGTGCTCCCGAACGAAGTCAAAGTCTTCCCACCGTCATCGCCAGCCGAAGTGCTCGATAAACTCGTACGTCCCCCGCCTGTCCGTCGTCCATGTCCCAGCCTTCACACAAAAGTCGATCTCGTTGTGCGTACGCGTGTTGTGGGGCACCAAAGAAAGCAGGACAGAGGCCGCCGACGAGCGTGGTCAACCTCATCTTCGTCCTCGTCGGTCACGCAGCGGTGAGCCACGCGATCGATCAGCTCATCAGTGGCTCACTGGCCGGATGTTGTCGCGCCAGTCCCTCGGCCAACAGCACTTTGAGCCAGGCGTCGACGTCGTCGATCTCTTTCTGCCCATCAACATCCCCTCCTGTTCGTGCCAATCCACAATCGTCCGACCTGATCACCACATCCTGACGGCAAACCGTCGACGCAGCTGCCCGAGCGAGAGCCTTCCTGTGGCTCGTATACCGATACCTCGAAGGCCCAGACGCCATGAACCCGTTCGACGACGACTACTCGCGATCCAATCCCGGCAAAGCACCCCAAATGCCACGCATCCCCGCCGAAGAGGCCGCCAAAGAGAACGTCGATCCACCGGAGGAGATCGAATGGGGTCGACAAATGGGCGCCCGCCGGAGCAAGTTCCTCAAAAAGCTCGTCGAGTCCGAGAAGAAGGGCCGGCGGCCCCCGACCCCTCCGCCGCCGCCAGAGACGCCGGCAGGTTAGTATACCGTCGCTGTTTGCGCTTTTTCCCCTTTCTTTCTTTCTCTCTCTCTCTTGCGCAAGTTTGTAGGTTCGGTTCGAGCGACGCCCGCAGTTTATTGATTATATTCCCGTGGTGGTGGCGCGCGCGCTTACAGCTTATGTCCCTCCTCCCCCGAAGCCGAGGCACCGTCGTCCGCCCGCCCATGCACCTGTAATGTCGAGCCGAAGCGTATCCTACCAGCCATACCCATGGCCGCCGCCGATGACACCAGGTTCGCGCCGCGTACTCGTGCTTGTGTAAGGTTACGTGCTGACATGTTCTTGCAGGCTCTTCCCAAGCCAGCTTCATACCTCCAGGACAGGAGCGTACTATGCTCCAACGTACGTAGCACTTCAGGTCAGAGCACTCTCCGGAGACTTACGTTGCGGCATCAGAGGCTTGGTATAGCGTCATATCCACCGATCCGTTGATAGACTCCGACGAGGAGGAGTATCCAGACGAGCACCATAGACTTGACTACCGTACGCTATCTCAGACTCTGCTCAGCTGGCGCGTGGCTCATGCGTGCGGTATCTTTCTAGAACGAAGGTTGCACATCTTGTCTCGCTTACGAGGGAAAGCACCCACTCCCGAACCTGAAATGGGAGCTATCGCTACCACATCCGGGAGGTGACTGCGCCATAGAGATCGACGCAGGTCCCTTTTCTTCTTCTCTCTTTAGAGTGTATCTTTTCTTGGGATGATCTGGGTAATCGTGTCTGTATCTGCTGCTGTCCACGGTGATATACGGGGCTTTCCACTCTCCAATGTCCGATGTGATAAGAAGGGTCGCGAATCAGTCACGAAGTTCGCAGGAACAAATGAAGACGACAAGAAGCTGGTTATTTGCTACACGTAGAAAAGGGCAAGAAAAAGACTCCAAGAAGAGTTCCTAGTCTGCTACTATCCGCACAGCGGTGGCGAAAAAAATGGTGGTGGCGATGGTGGTTTGGCGAAGGACAGTGGGCGCGTCGGGGGCTGGCGATTATGCGGGTGCCCAGCGGCGCAGCCGGAGGGTGACGACGATTAGGCGGGTGTGGCTGGGGAAGGCCGAAAGGCGAGTAGGGGGTGCGAAATGAGAAGAAAACTCTAGATATGTGTTTGACACAACGGCCCGTCTCCAGTCGGGGGTTCCCAACCTCTGCCATATCGTACACCTTTCTTTTTTCACCTCCTTCATCGTACACGACACCTCCGCAGAGAAAGAAGAGAAGAGAGTAGAAATATGGCGTTGTAAGGGTTTTTTTTTGCGATGTTTGTGTGTGCTGTTTCTTTATGAGTGTGTATGTTGTATATGTGCGGAGTTCCGCGAGGGATCCATTGCCGACCAGACCAGAGTACGAGAGATTAATACAAGAGCCGAGGAGGACGAGATTAGAACGCTCCAGGTAACGCGAGGACGGGATGCGCAAACCCGCAGCGTTCGCGCTTCGCGAGTTCTGCCGGAGCGCTGTGGCGCTTGAGGTGTTTCCGAGAGTCGTCGCGGTCGTCGTCGTGGCCCGTCAAACCGTTCTGGGAGCTCGCAGGGCCAGCGGTACGGCGACGCAGAGCCGAAAGCATGTCACGGGCGGTACGTGCCCGGGAGTTGAGAACCGAGAGGTTAGTCTCCGTCAGATCAATCTGAGCCCGGGATGTCAATGACGAGTTTGACCATCTGTGCAATTGATGGAGCTTACCGGCGATGTCGTTGACGAACGAGGAACCACGGTCGTCGTGATGCGCAGGTTGGGTGACTTCGGTGCGCCGGGCGACTTGGGCATGGGCGCCGAGATGGCGACAGGGTCCGTGGGTTTCGTGGGGCCAGAACGAACAGGCATGCGCAGCCTGCCTACGCCGATGGGCAACGGTTGACGCTGTCTAGGCTCCTGCGCAGGAGCGGTGACCACGATCGGAGGAGGGCTTGGCTTGCGCTGCGGCGCGCTCGCACCGCTTTGCAAGAACGCAGGCAGGCGGCGGTTCGCCACGTCGTGCGCAGTTGTCGGCGCCGTAACGACGTGGCCGTGTGCACCAAGGCGTGCGGTGATTTCCTCGAGGGAGGGGATGGACCGCTGACGTCTGCTTCTAGGACTCGCGGGGTCCCTCGCGCGCGGCTTATCGCGCGGCATCTTTACGCCTTCTGGGAGGCGGAAATCGACTTGCTCGACCCATGGCTGGCGGACAAGGCCCGGGGCGTTGTTGTTCGCGATCGATTCGAAGAGGGACAACGGAGAGACGAGTCCAGGAGACGGGAGAGTGTAGTGGAAGATGGCGGGAGACTCGGGAGGAGTCTTGGGCAACTCAGCAGCAGAAGGCGAAGGGGGTGCCTTGACCTTGGAGAGGAACAGTGCACGACGCTCCACTAGAGCGATATGAGTCAGAGAGCGAGAGGTATAAACAGTATTACACACGCTGCTTGCTCTTATGAGCCTTAAGGGCGATCTCCTTGCGAAGATCAGTAGCCTTCTTCGCGCCAACCGACGCATTCCGTTCCCGTGATGCCGCCAGGAGGGCGTCAAAACGCTCTCGCGCGAGACCCTTGCCAGCCGGTGCATCATCCGGGCGGAGTGGGGACAGCTTTCCACCGCGACTGCCAGCCGACGGGGGCGGCGACAGCAGACTCGGCCTGTATCCATCGTCGTCCGCGAACTTGGGGCTCAGGCATCCGAAGGGGGACTCGGGTTCTTCAGCAACCTCTACGTCGGGGGCGGGCGATATGCAAATCTCCGGGACGGGGGATTGGGGGTAGTCCAACATGTTTGCTTCTGCGGTTTGAGGGAGCGTAGTGTAGGCGGCCAGCACCGGTGTAATTGTGTGATAATTGCACAGGAGATGTAGCTCGCCCGACAGAGAAAAGGGGGAAGGAGAAATAAGAGAGAAAAAGAAACAGCGACACACGCACAACGCCCTAGGAACTAGAGAGAGAAGAGGAAAAGAGGAAAGCAGTGAGTAAACTGGTGGCGCCCGCGTGTCCGGGCACGCGCACTACGGTCTCTCACTTTATCGACGCCGGCGCTTGCCACGACTTGACGACCGCATTGATCGACCAGGATTTGTTGGTTGATCAGAATCTAGACGACTTCCATCAACTGGGATTGCCAAGTTTATGCAACTGGCGATGGCGCAAAAGCCCTGGTCAATCCGTTCATCCACTGCGCTACCTCCTCGGACGCCGTACTGTACAAGGACGGAGGCCTCAAGTGATATGCGCAAATCCATGCTGTACATCCGCAATATGCAGCGGCCGCCTTAGGACACCGTAGTTACAACAACGACGTAAAACGGTCGCTACACATGGTCTCCTCATTCCAATTCTATTCGACTTGTTCTGTGACCGCACAAGCAATAGGAAGGAACCTGCTGAACAACTGCACCCATAAGCTGGACCGGACTAGACTGCAGCCAGTTCTTTGATTTACGCAGATCTCGACCGAACGGAGATCAACAGCTTCCGGCTCTCATGTCCGGTTCCTGAGCCTCTGCTGTATTTCATGCGCCTCACCACTCTTGTTCCCGACCTGTTTGTTGCTTGTCCATAGGTCATCGAAGAACTGACGACAGTCGGTGTCTCTTTGACATTCGTGAGTATGTATCATCCCCCTTGCATCACCCTGAGGCCGGAGCGCTGGATGCAAGGCGGGGCAGCATGGGAGTTGCGGTGGTGTCCCTTGCTTCTTAGACAACTCGGGGCCGTAAGCCAGCGACGAGCATCACGGTCGGCAGCGCACATACCGACGACCGTTCATTGCGTGAACATACTTATAACCAGTGCAACATTGCGAACCCCGCCTTTTCTGCGATCCACCGCCTTGTCCCACACTAATCGCCATGGTCGCCAGTTCGAATTCACGAGATGAATCCTTCCATCGTTGAGCAACGTTGATCCTGCCCGTTGAGGCCATGATAGAACCAAGGTTAGGGTCAGAAGGACGGCGAAATGATCTCGGCCGAGCTGATAAGATGAGATTGCTTACTGTCGAGTCAAAACCCCCTTGGTTTTTCGAGTCAAGGCAAGTAACTGCATTTATATTCTCTATTCCTGCTTCACGGCGCAGCACTCTCGCTCGAAAACATGCCTCGACAACCTCTTTGGCTTCGTTGTGAAAAGAAGGAATTCGAGCGTCGCGCGGCGCTGACCCCGACGACTGCCAAAAAGCTCATCGATGCCGGCTTTGACATTTATGTCGAGCGCGATCCCCAGCGCATCTTTGACGACGAGGAGTACGAGAAGTGAGGCTGTCGCCTACTGTCCATGCTGTATATCGTCCTTACGCTCGTATGAACAGGGTGGGGTGCACACTGGTAGAACACAACTCGTGGCCGTCCGCACCGGTGACCACGCCCATCATCGGCCTGAAGGAGCTCCCCGCGTCCTCCGACCCGCTTCCGCACACGCACATCCAGTTCGCGCACTGCTACAAGAATCAAGCTGGCTGGGCGTCCGTCCTCGGCCGCTTCGCACGCGGCGGCGGCACGCTCTACGACCTCGAGTTCCTCACCGACGAAAGCGGACGGCGGGTCGCCGCTTTCGGGTACCACGCCGGCTTTGCGGGTGCCGCGGCGGGCGCGCTCGCCCTCGCGGCGCAGAAGGGCGGGAAGAAGCTGGGCAGGCTCGAGCCATACGAGAACGAGGCAGCGATGGTGGCCGACGTGAAGGAGAAGCTCGGCGGGTCGGGGAAGGGTGTCAAGGCACTCGTCATCGGTGCGCTGGGCAGATGCGGACGAGGGGCCGTCGACCTGCTTCGCAAGGTCGGGCTCGACGAGTGCGTCCTGCCATCTCATTATCTCAGAACTGGTTTCAGCTGACGCGGGCACAATCAGGGATGATATCCTCAAGTGGGATATGGCCGAGACGGCCAAGGGCGGACCCTTCCAGGAGATCCTCGACGTCGACATCTTCGTCAACTGCATCTACCTCTCCTCGCCCATACCGCCCTTCCTCACAGAGGAATTCATCCAGGCCGCCGGTCCGTCGCGTCGCGTCGCATGCGTTGTCGACGTCAGCTGCGACACAACGAATCCACACAACCCGATTCCAATCTATAGCATCAACACCACCTTCTCCGAACCGACGGTCGATGTGCTCGTCGGGGGCACACCGGCTAACCCGCCACTGACTGTCGTATCGATCGACCACCTGCCGACGCTACTCCCGCGAGAGGCGAGCGAGCAGTTCTCGAGCGATTTGCTTCCGAGCTTGCTGCAGCTCCCGCAGAGGGACACGGCACGGGTGTGGACGGACGCGAAAAAGCTGTTCCAGGAGAAGCTGGCGCTCGCTGTCGAGGCGGAAAGCACCGCACAGTGAGAACAGTGCGCCTAGTTCTGCTATACAGAAGGCAAAATATCGGAGGCGCCTCCGACGTGTTTGAACGGCATCTGCACGTCATGCTGGTGCTGGTTCAGATGTATACATATAATTCAGTTGTCGACTAGACAATGGAGCTGAATCGCTTCCGCATCGCCTCAATATCTTCAATCTTGCCAGCCTCGTTGTACTTCTTGTAATTTTCGACCACATCTCCGGCAAAGATGTGCAGGTTCCCCGTCTTGAGCCCGTCTACCATCTTGGCCGTGAATTCGTCGAGAGGCATCCAGATCCTCGACAATCGGTCCGTGGTGCCTTCATCTGTTTGACATCACGAAATCAGCAATCCCGCACAAAGGGACATCGGCAGCCGAAAACGCACGGTCATGCAGCTCGCTCTCAACCAACGGCGGGATGATTTCAGTGATGTGAACATTCGTGCCGTAGAGCTGCGAGTTGAGAGATAACATGAAGCTGTGGAGGGCCGCCTTCGTGGCGCAATAGTTAGGGATACCCGGTAGGGGGCGCAACGCGAGGCCCGAGGTAACTGGGATGATGAACGACGGGCGACCGCTTGCGCTGAGCTTGAGGAAATGCGGTAAGAAGTAGGTGATAAGTGTGACCGGAGCGGTGTAGTTCGTGTTCAGCTCGCTCGCAAAGTCTGGACGAAGGCTATAAGCATGGGACGGCGGAGGACGCGGATTGCTTTTCGAGGACTCACGAGCGAAGTTGACGGACTCCGGGTTTGTGAAGTCGAACGCTCGCTGGATGCCGGCGTTCAAAATAACAGCGTCGATCTAATCCGCGCATTCGTGAGCTTCTGATGCCGGAAAAGTCATCGGTGCTTACGTCTGGAAACTTGGCAATCGCGCTGTCCACGAACGCCTTCAGGTCCTGGGTGTTCGCGTCGATGTCGACGCGGAGGTGCTCGAGCTTCTTTCCCTGGTGCTGTTGGGCGATCTCGCGAAGACGTTCTTCCCGCCTGCCGGTGATTATTACCGTGGGCGATTGAGGCAGGTCGAGGAGGGCGAGGGCAAGGGCGCGTCCGATGCCCGACGTGGCGCCGACAACGAAGATGCACTTGGCGTCTTGGATGTTCGGTGCCATGGGTGCGTAACGGATTGGATGGGTGGAACAAATCGCATGGCTGGTATTTATGGTCCGTAGCGTGGCACCGACTCAGAGGCTTCTCGGCGAGGATCGGTCAGAGAATCACGTAGTAAGTACCAAGGATCTCATCGGCTATGACGAAATGGATAGGGTGAAATTGGTGCTGAATACTCGATAGACATCTAGCTTGCATGAACGCGCACAGCGGTCCACCCGTTGGTAGATGGATCGTGGGTCTGTGTGGATTGTTTGCGGGTCTCTCGCATGCACGCAGGTGGGTCAGAGCAGCTGTTTGCAGAAGGTGAATGCTTCGGCTCTTGCGCCTTCGGCATCTTCCGTCTCCCGTTACTTACCATGGCCAGTCCAGCTTGCGCAGTCCCGCCTGTAGCATCCACTAGCACTAGCGATCCAACCGCCGAGCTGACAGAGCAGGTGGCCAGTCTATCAGTCGAAGATGAAGAAGCTAGGATCAGGGTCAGTGCTCAATTTGGTGTGCGCCCAATGACTTCGTGGCTGATCGGTGTTCTGCATACGGCATGTAGGCATGCCTTAAGGACGCGGAAGGGCTGAAGCAGCAGGGAAACGATTACTTTAAGGCAGGGAAATGGAACGAAGCTCTGGCAGCGTATCAGTCGGCGCTGGGGCGGCTGCCGAAGCGGCCGGTGAAGGAGGAAGAGCGAGGGAAGGGCAAGGGAAGGGAGGTCGACGATGAACCCAAGCTGGATCAGGAGCCGCAAGAGGATGCCAATGCGGAGGGTGGCACAGACGTAAAGCAGGACCAGGAGGAGGAACCGGAACCGGAACCTACTGAGCTGGAGAAGGAGTGTGCTAAAGCGAGAGCGGTCATGAATGCAAACGTTGGGGCGTGCCATGTCAAACTTGTGAGTTGGGTTGCCGCGATCCTTTCGTTCCGGTCTTGATGGCCTATAATCACATTGCAGAACGAGTACAAGGAAGCCGTAGCCGCATGTACAGAGGGTACGTTTCAGCACTGCTTTCCTCAATGTTTACATCCTCTCAATTCACTTTCGTGCAGCGATCGCGGATGACCCACTGTACATCAAAGCAATACAGCGTCGTGCCGCTTCCAACGAGCAAATCGGAAACTGGTCGGCCCTCGCCGCTGCACAAGAAGGTGACACCAGCTTACGCCCTCTCCGCCCTCATCGCGTCGCTGATCAGTCTTCAGACTATGACCGGTTACTGGCCCTCCTTCCGGCGTCTTCTGCGCAAGCAAGAGAGGTGCAGTACAAGCTGCGGACGCTGAAACCCCGTGTCGAGGCCGCGCAAAAGAGGGAGATGGCCGAGATGTGGGACAAGCTGAAGGGCGTCGGGAACAGCATCCTAGGTGCGCCTCCGTCTGCTTTCTCTTCCTCATGACTTGATTGTTTGTGCACGTTGATTGCCCGATGGCTGACGTTGATTGACTGCGCAGGCAATTTCGGGCTGTCGACGGACAACTTCAAATTTGAGCCGAACGGGCAGGGCGGGTATTCGATGAATTTCGTGCGATGATGCTCGATTCCGATCGGAGATCCCGTGTGCAGTGTCCGGACGTCAGATGTATTATAGGCGCGCTTCCATCAGCGCGCGGTGAATATGTAGAGTATGGCAGATCCCATGCATAGAAACGCATCTAGTCGGTCGTATTATCCCAGAACCTGACGTAACTCAATTAGTAGATATCCATGCCATTCACTACATGCGGCATCAATGCGCGACGCAATGTACTGTATGTGAGACAAACCTGTCTATCAATCGATGTAAGTCGTGTCGTCCCAGAAGAGCTGGAAAGCGCTCAGGGGCCAGATCTGCGTTCAGCATCCGCATCAGCCCATCACGTCAATCCACCTGAATGTGCAGGAAATGCCCACTTTTGCGACTACAGTCCCCCTTAGGAGCGCCATGGTCAGAGGCCCGTAGTCCCGCGAGTCGCGACTCCATGACGCATTATCGCCGATGACCCAGAGATGCCCGCGTGGTACGACGACGTGTTCCGTGCTGGGAGCCTTCAGTCCCGTCGGGTCGACGCACACTATGTCGCCGGGGAGGCCGAGCACGCGCTTGCACACGATGCGCGTCGGGTCGAGCGGGGAGGTGAAGGTGACGAGCGTGCCGCGCTTGATGCACGCGGGGTTCAGCCGGTATGAGAGGCAGTTCTCGAGCACGAGCTCGCCTTCGTTGGCGAGCGTGGGCAGCATCGAGGGGCCCGTTGACTGTTGTGTTTCGTCAGACGAGAGTGAAGGCAACACGAAGATAATATGGACTCACGAGCTTAGGGCCACCGACATATTCGCAGAAGAGGTGTACCGCGCAGACGGCGTTGAAGGTGTGTGCGGCATAGTACGCGCCTATCTTAGCACTGCCGGTGGGATCGTTCCGTATGGCGGTCACGACGTCGCACGCGGCGGTGCGGACGGTGCCCGGAAACCTGCATATCCTTGCCGGAGCATCACGGATGGTGGTGGCGGCATTGGCGAGGCAGAGGCGGAAGTAGCGTCCGAGCATCGACTCGGGTTCCGCGCATTGGCTCTGGGTTGGCAAAAGGATGAACTTGGAAGTGACACGGGCGCCTATTCTCGCGTCACGTGTCCCACGTCGCCGCGAAGATAGACGCCCGTGGTAAGATCTTCCTCTTTCTGCAGCCATGTCCTCGTTCAAGCGCAGGGTCACGTCTAAACAATCGGCCCTACCGCCGGGTACGAAAGCTTCGCCAGCGTCGACCGCGACTCTCATCACCTCGACGGGAGTGCCATCCCTGGACGATATCTTGGGCGGCGGACTACCGCTGTCGTGCTCGCTGCTCGTGCTTGCGCCGGACGTACACTCTGCGTACGGCGAGCTCGTATGCAAGTATTTCGTGGCGCAGGGGCTCGTTGCTGGTCAGAAGGTGGTTATCGTGGATGAAGTCGCCCGAAGCTTCGCGGAAGAATGTATGTGGACGCCTCCCGGAGCAGCGTCTGGGGTGCCGCTCGCGGAGCCGGATGATGAGAAGGACGAGCCACAAGGAGACGATACCAAGATTAAGATCGCGTGGAGGTACGAACGGATGAAGCAATTCCAGACAACCGTAACCAGCCCCGTATGTGAGTTCCCTCCATCCTCCTTCGGTGCCGCACGGAGTAACGCTCAACATGTCGCATCTACAACACTCTCTCCACCTGTCATCGTGCTATAGGGTCAAGATGAATTCTGCGCGACGTTTGATCTCACACAGCGCGTTCCATCCGGGCTGATCGAAGACAAGCTCCGGGACGGAGGGTTGGCGTGCTTTGATCTTTCGCAGGAGCCACTGGTCCACGCTGAAGCCGACATTGTCCCGCCGGCGGAGGCCGTGCTCGATAGACTGCGGGCGTATCTGGAGACCACGATCTCGTCAGGGCCAGGGCCAGGGCCAGGGACGCCGGTGAGGATATGTGTGCCGCAGCTCGCGTCCCCGGCGTGGGGAGAGATGAGAGCACAGGTAAAGCTTCTCTCTGATGTCGTCGTCACAAAGCTTAACTTAGTTCTTCTCTGACCTAGGACGTCTTGCTGTTTCTGCACAGGCTGCGCGCTTTACTGAGAAGGTATCCAACGGCATGTGCGGTGCTCGGGGTTCCACCGTACGTAGCGTCCGATGTCTGGGGCGGGATCGGTTGGACGCACAAGCTGGGCTGGGCGGCCGACGGTTGTATCAGCTTTTCCGCCTTCACCGGTAAGTCGGCGCTCCACTCGAAACGATGATTGCGCGATTCCACGCCGTGATTGATTGCTCGAGGTTGCTCACAAACCCAACTTGTCTCCCTAGGTGACCCGGCGCTGACGGAGACTTTCCCGTCGCACCACGGCCTGGTCCACGTACACTCCGTGCCGGCGCCGCACACCTTGCTACCCCCGAGCGATCGGTTCTCGACATTGCGCGGGCTGGCGGCCGGCGGGGAGAACAACCTCGCGTTCAAGTGCATGCGAAAGCGGATGGTGATCGAGACGCTGCATCTCGACGCAGAGGGCGGCGTGGGCGAGCGACGGACGGCACCTGCGAGCGCGAGCGTGGCCGCCGCGATGGAGGAAGCTGTTGCTCACGGGCACACTTCGGCAGCGGAGCCAGTGGTCCCGCGCAAGTCCCAGCCGGACGTGGAGGTCGAGGTTGAGCACGGACATGTGCCGACGGGTATTGCACCCGGGGACGGGGAGGTCGTCAAGGCGATCAAACCCAAGCCCAAGACGAAGAAAAAGGTGGCCTTTCATTCCGAGAGGCCGGATCTGTACGACTTTTGATATGGCATTTTGATGATTCTTGCATTGATTGGCCCGATATGAGCCACTTCGTTGTCGTGTTTCTCGGGCGTATACCGTTCATTTGATCTTGATCGTAATCAGTCGTTTGGCCTGCGAGTTGTTTTACATACTACGGATGGCAGTGCTCCGCCGACATCATGATTGCAGGGCTTGCGCGTAAAGGTCGAGACAAATTTCGAGGGGGTCGGTGGTTTTTTTGTCAAAGCGCGAGGCCGACGACAGACGTGAGACGTGACGGGATTGCAACTGGCCGACGTTGTGCTCCCTGGCCTGCTCGACGCCGTCGTCATTGTCGTCAACAGCGAGCGAAGAGTGTTTATCCGCGGACGTGACAGGCGCGGACCCGAGGAGAGACACGAGCACAGTGTCAAGTACTGCGACGGCAGCTCGCCTCCCTCCCTTCCTTGCTCTTCCCCGCGCCGTATCGCTGCAGCAAGATGGACGGGTCCCTCAGCGCGGGCAGCGGCTCGCCTGGCCGGACCACGGCGGGCACGACGACGACGTCGAGCGCCCCGACGTCGTGGGTCGACCTGCGATCCTCCTGCGACTCTGAAGAGCTCGGTGAGCGCCTCCCTTGCCACGGTCATCGAGCCTGAGAGCGAGCCATCCAGCGAACTGACAACTGCCCCCGGACCGCCCTTAGACCTCGAATACCTGCGCTCGCACCCCAGCGCCGCACTGCCGCCATCGCCGTACTCGCCCTCCGACTGGCGCACGCGTCCGTCCGCGCCCACCCCGCACGCCGCCAAGCTGCCCATCCCCACCGACGACGCCGACTCCGACGCGTGGTCGCCCGTCGAGGGCCCCGCAAGGCCGCCCCTGCCGCGATCCCGCCTGGCCACCGCCGCAGACCTATCCGAGTGCGTTTGCATACACTTGTGGTTTTTCGGCCACCGACTCACGTAACGCTGATGGCCTCCTTTTTTTTCTTGCTTTGCGCTTCCCGTGTTTATTAGCATGGTCTCCAACGAGGACTACTACGCCGCGAACGAGGCCTCGGACGCGCCCGCCTCCGCCCCCGTACCGGCCACCCACTCTGCGCCGGCACCCCGCGTACCCAAGGCACAAACACCTCTTACGCTCCCCGACCCGTCCCACTTCCCTGATCCGTACCCGTCGCCCCACCCTATGCCTGGCCTCATCTCGTCCGCAGACTCGTCGTCGGCATCCACACGCTCGTCGGCCTACACGAGCTTTGGCAGCGCGCTCGCCCAGCATGACTTTGTGCACGTCCACGCCGGATCGGACGAGAGCGAGCACCCGCACCCGCACGCCGCGTCCGGCGTGCTCACCGAGGCCGTCCGTCAGGCGTTCAAATACGACGGCAGCAGTCCGACGGCGTCGCCATTCCTACCGAAGTCGACGATGGAAGGGCGTTGGTCAGGGTCCGATGTGGACGGCGGTGGGACAGGTCTCCGCTCGCGCTCGTCGTCGTTAGGCCGCATGAATCAGGACGGCGGAGGTCACCACCCGCTGAGGTTGATGCCGAGCTATGACACGAGTTGGCAACCCGTAGACGAGCGGGACGAGTTGTTGATGACGAGCGAAGATGAGGACGGAGAGGACGTGTTGGACGAGTACGAGGAAGACGAGCGGGGAGACGATGACCGGACGGCGGCGATCGTGGTCGCCGAGCAGGGACGAGGTCTCATCGTCCGTGCGGATAGCACGCCCATCGTGCAGCTCCAGGTGCAACCAGGTATGGCTCTCCTCGTTCTTCCAGGAACATCCCGCTCAGCGTTTTCGCGCAGGAACCACGCACTTACTCCTCGGATCATCATCCACCCCCAACGCCCTGCCTGCCTTCCTGACCTCGACGCTCCCCCAGATCAGCCACTCACTCCTCGCCCTCGACATCTCCGCCAACTTTCTGGTGGCGCTCCCGCCGGCCCTTCGAGCGTGCACGCGCCTTGAGGAGCTCAACATCGCCTCCAATCCCCTTCGCGCGCTCCCCGTATTCCTCTCTGAGCTTTCCGAGCTTCGTGTCCTCATCGCGGACGCGACGGGGATTTCCGCTTTGCCACCTGCCCTCTCCTCCCTCGAGAGGTTGCACACGCTCAGCATCCGCCGCAACAAGTTCAACGCGCTACCATCCTGGCTTTGCGCACTTCACTCGCTCCAGAGTCTGTTGGTCAATGGAAACCCGTTCCAGGGGCCGTGGAAGGCACTGGTCGAACCGCTACTTATGAAGGAAAAAGACGGCGCTATGCCCCTGCAAGCGCCGCTGTACACACCCGCCACCCCCGCGTTCTCCATCCAGTCCTCCGGCGTGTCCAGCATGCAGAGCACGAGCACCGCCGCGCACGACACCGACACCGACGGCTCCTCGTCCGACCCGCCACTTTCCGCCGTCCCGCCCCTGAGTGCGCGCCCCACGTTCTCGCCGGAGGACGAAGATACGCTCGTACCGCCTCCACGTGCGCCGCCGCTCGATCGCAGCGCCACCGCGCCCTCCCCTCTTCCGCCACCCCCGCGCGACGCGCCCTCGCCGACCCTTTCCACGCTTTCCCGGCGCAAAACGGCGCCCAACCGGTCTCATTTTGAGCGCACGCGCGCGGCGTCGAAAGGCGCCAAGGCGCCGCCTACACCTCCCTCCGCGTCCCCCGCCGGCATCCCGCCGGCCCCGTACGCTCCCACGGCGGAGCACCAGATGCGCAAGATGAAGAGCGCGGGCGACCTGCGGCGAGGAGCCTCTGCCGCTGCGATCGCGGATCCCCCGTCGCCTGGCTCACAAGTACCGTATACCCCCGGCGCTCTGCCCATCCGTCCCGCACTCTCCCACTATGTGACGTCTACCTCGAGCGCGAGCCTCTTACGCCCCGCGGCGCAGGCCCCCCCGCAACGGTACGCAAGCCTTGGCGCGACGTCCGGGCTTGCCGCGTTCTCGGGCAACGTGCCGTCTGGCGTGTCTACGCCCAATTCCGCGCGATCTTTCTCGCGCGCTGCGCTGGACCAGGCCATGTGGGACAACATCTCCGCCGACGAGGACGACGGTGACGTGCCGGAGCGCTCACCGTTCGCGAAGGGCCCTGGACCGACGGGGGTGCGGGAGCGGCCGACCTCGCCGACGCGCTCGCCCCCATGGGATCGGGACGGCACGGTACGCGCCTCCAAGGCGGAGAAGGGCGAGAAGGATAAGGACAAATCCGGCCGCTGGGGATTCTTCAAGAAGATGTCGATGGGCAAGATGAAGGACGCGACCACCCCCGGGCGGCATACGCGGAGGCCGACGACGTCCAGGCCTGGGACATCAGCGGGTTTGGTTGCCGGCGAGATTCCCCAGATCGATGTACGGCTGTCGACTACGGGCACGATTAACGCACCGCCAAGCCTGCTCCGAAATCCGTCAACGGACTTGCTGAAGCAAGGCGCAGGCCTTACGAAGAAACCATCGGTAGACGCGCTGCGGATACCACCGAGCTCGGGCGACTTCCTGATGCCGTCACCGCCCACTCCTCGCTCAGTCAAGCGGAGAAGCTTCCTGATGCCAGAGGCGGCGCCCTCGCTGGTGATCCCATCGGCGTCGTCGTTCATGCCCGGGCTGTCGGCGACAAACGGAGGCGATTCGGACGACGCGGCGAGCACCCCCAGCACGCCGTTGCACGACTCGTCCGAGGCGCGACGACGTCGAGAAGAGGAACGCGCGCGGGAGGCGTATACACGCGCGCTACGCTCTGTGATGGCATACCTCCGCGACCTGAACGACCTGAGCCTGCCCGTTGGGCCCCCGAAGGTGCCCACGGTCGGCGAAGGTGCGCGCTCGCGGCGACCGACGCTCGCCGACGGCGGTCGATCGATGACTACGGACTCGTCGATGGCGTCGGACGCCACAGACGCCGGGTCGCTCTTCGGCTCGACGCTCAGTAGCGTCGTGTCCGGCACGTCCAGCCAGCTACGCTCTCCTGACTCGATGACGCTCTTGCGGAGCGTATCGACGGCGAACACGCTCAGCATCGCGACGACGGACAGCGAGGAATCGTCGGGCCCGCACGAGCGCAAGTTTAAAGACGACAAGTCGAAGCGATCGATGATCGTGCGGGAGATTATAGAGTGAGTGTTCAGTCAGTAACGGCCTATGAACGTGGGCTTATTTCGGTCGTAGAACGGAGAGAACCTACGTGAAGGGACTGCAAGAACTAGTGGATATCTATATAAAGCCAGCCGAAGCACCCGTCAATACGCTCGCGGGCAGCTCCTCAAAGAAGGAAACGGTTGTTCCTGCGATAGAGAGGAAGGTGGTCTTCGGCGGCGTTGAAGCGTTGTTCTCCTTCCACAAGGAGAGCTTCTTGCCGGCATTGGAGCGGGTCGCGAGCCCGCTGATGCAGCCGAGTTCTGCCCTCGCAACTGCCGACGCTGACGGATCCCTTTCGATGGCGGTGGCGAGAAACGTTGCGCAGACATTTATCTCGCATGCCGCGTTCATGAAGATGTACTCCACATATATCAAGTACGTCTCACGCAGTTATACAGCCTTCTTTGCGATTGACGTCCCTGTAGCAACTTCGACAACTCCGTCAATCGCCTCAAGCAATGGACAACAGATAGACCTCCTGCTGCGGGGACCATGAGCCCGCCTTCAGTTATGTCACCCTCCTCGTCTACCGGCTCGCAGCTAGCTGGGCTTGGATTACGGATATCGGCTTCGGTGGCTGCTGACAGCGCTGCCATTGATGGCGCCACATCAAGCACCATCTCCCAAGCGCGCCTGTCCTCGGGCCAGCGCAAGCGGATTAAGGCGTACTTGAAGCGGTGTCGGACAAATCCGCGCCACTCGCAACTCAATTTGGAAGGTTACCTGTTACTTCCGGTACAACGAATCCCACGTTACAGGCTTCTGGTGAGTGCCACGGATCCTGCCCGACTGAATGTTGCTAACTCGGCTATCACAGTTAGAACAACTCGGAGGCAGCACGGTGCCCACGAACGACCAGATGCAAGACCCACTCGACAAGGCGGTGGAAGAGATCTCATCCCTGGCTACGAACATGAACGAGGGCAAGCGGGATTCGGAGTCTCGGCGCAAGCTAGTTCAGTGGCAATCGCGGATACGCGGCAAATTCCCTAGCCCGCTAGTCCAGCCTCATCGGTAAGCTTCCTGGCTGTTGTCGAGAATACGCGCTAAAACCCGCTGCAGTCGGCTGATCATGGATGGGCCCTTGCGATTGACCCGCGTAGTACGCAAGACCGCGGTCTCGTACGAAGTGGTTACGCCGCAAGGAGATGCAACAATGGTCCAAGTGGAATGCCTTTCACCCGAAATGACACCCAGATCTTTGACCGGAATCCTATGCAACGACCTCCTCGTCCTTTGCAGAGACCCCTCCGAGGGTCAGGATACGACGTCTACCGTTGATCTTTGGGCTGTGCTACGTATGCAGACTCTACCTCAGCCTGCGAGCATTGTCCATGCCAACGGTAAGAATTCGCTCGTCCACCCTTCTATCTCTTGATTCTGAGCATTTTCCTCCAGTTCTTCGCATCGTGGACAACAAGGCTGTGCTCTATTTCGATGCTCCTTCGCCATCGGATGCTTTGAACTGGTATAGAGGTTCGTCCAATGCGAACGTCGTCCCTTCGTCACGTTGCTGAGGCTTTGTGCAGCTATAAACACGTACATACCGGCGTCCAAAACTTGACCATGGACAAGCCAGCTTCGCTCTGAAACACCTCCGCATTCGCGTTCGACACTCGAACCATCGCTCTTCACTCGTTGGAACTCTCTCCTTCCTTCTCCGGCCGTTATCTCACCTTGCACAACCATACCTCTCGCTCATCTCATTCTGTACTTATCGTCGTCCCTTTTATGTTCCACTAGATAGAATGTCTTTCCTTCTTCGGTTGATGCCGCTGTATTGACAGCTACAGCTACATGAGAATAAATATACTACTACATCGCGAGCTGTGGGGATCGACGGAGGACATCGTCGCTTCATCGGAGGGTGAGGGTTTAGGCCTTCATCGGCAGAGTGCTGCCGCTGCTGAGCCTTGCAAGGCCATTCTTCTCAGCGCTACGGTCCCAGAATTTGAACGCACGTAGGATATCCGACTGCGTTCCGAAGATCACAAACGCCTATGAGAGGAATTAAGCGAATGAGCAAAAGGGGAACATGGTTGTAACATACCATGACCGGCATCAACGCGATGAAAACGTTGGGCAACGGCGAGAAGATATGGGTGACAAACACCAAAGATGCTCTGTAAGGCAAAATGTAAGCCGAAGTCGGTCTTTCCCGAGTCCATGAGCAACTCCGTCGACGTACCCCACAGCCAGAATGCTCCAGAAGCTGAAGGCAAGCACGCGCACCAGCATGCCTACGGATGCACCAGTGTTTCGATGCATTTTCCAGTTACGGTAGAAAGCCACCGAAATGAATGCTTGGAAAGGGCGTCAGTCAACCCTCGGGCACTGCTTTCGAGTTCATGATGGTACCTTCGAAACCGATGGTGAAGACGGTTGAGAGAAGCACGATCGCGACGCTAATCTTCCCCCTTCAAAAGTATTAGCACAGTAGACATTGTGTCGGGGTTTCCTCTCACATTGGCCCGAGGATGATACAGTAGACGCCGCTTCGAGCCCTCGTAACGTCTTGCGGATTAGATGCTCCGGACTAGTCATAGCAAGAGCATCAGGATACGACAAAAAGGACAGGGGCAGGTTGATTACGCACCGCAACGGACACAATGATAAGGATGGCATAAACGATGTACGGGACCACCAACAGCTATCGATCCAGTTCGGCCAAAGCGACATGTCATGGATATATGCCCATCACGTACTGAGTATCTCAACCACGGTCCATGTTGGGACTTCCTGTCGTTGGAGGGCGACATGCAGTGGAGATTGAACCATAGCTACATCCAGGTCAGCCCAGTCGTATGTAAGAAGAATAGATAGGAAGGTATACCTGTAAGACGAGCGCTGTCGTGGTCAACGCCGTTCTGTAGGATGGTGAGAAGAGGGAGGAGGCTATCCTGATGAATAACATACAATGACGGTGCGCCATAAGCAAGAGATGCTTGCCTATGTCATGTTTATATCAGCGAGTTGTCAAAACGGAACGTGTTATAGCGCACGTCAGGCACAACCCGTAAGACGGTGTCGGATTGTGGTGCTGCCCTCCGATCAGCCTAACGACAAGTATTAGCTGACAGAATACAACACGACTTGATGATCGCCGCTCACAGAAGGCTGTACGTCCAGGCGCTGATAAACCAGGACACGATAAAGCTGACGAAAGTCGGATGGCGTTGAACTTTCAGGAAAAGGACGGCGACCAATATGAACGACATCCCGACGATCCCAGCAAGCTGAGCGGCGACGAAGAAATCAGGAAGCCACGTTCCAAACGTGAACTTCTGGTTAGGGACTAGTGGATCATCGTCGCCTATGGTGAATGAATCGCGTAAGTCCCCATTGCACAATTAAAGCGATGTTGCGAGGACTGACGAGAAAGTAATGCGAGCGACGGCATCGTAGGCAGAATCATTATACACCGGGAAATTTAGAGTACGAATGGACCAGCCAGCGGTGCGAGAACGAAAGCCAGTGTAGCGAGAGCGCGTTAGCAGACGCTGCTAGAGCGTTGCCTCGGACGCGGAAGGTCGAGGGCGCAGGAGGTAAAGATAGACGAGTAGGGTTCCTGCCCCGGGCTTGGGGGCACCTATCGCTGCGATTGATGATCTTCATGTTCTTTCGCATGGCGTTGTCGTGATAGATGTCGTCGGGCTGTGACCGTCTCCTGATTATTGCCAAGGAGTCGCGGGAGATTGCCTCATATGGTAGTCGAAGTTGATGGGGACGGCGCGCGAGGTTTGCTCTGGGTTTTGCTCTGGGTCCATGTTGGAATGAATTGGTGCAGCGTGTATTGTACCACTTCGGTCGTGTGTCGACACAAACCAGGTGGGATGATCAAGCCTATAAGAGCATGTTCTACTTATGTATAGCTGAACTCTCCTGAACCACGTGGGGCTCGAGGAATCATTGTCATCGACAGGCACAGCGAGTGCGGCTCATGAAATTGGCTGGCGCTGGGTCCGGGCAAGACGGATCTGTGCCTGCCACCGCCAAGCTCGTAACTATTCGTAGTTCCCGGTGCCCTTCGACTGGTACTCAATACGGCCGTCAAACGCTGATCTGGCCTCACAAGTATGTTATATACCTGGATCTAAAACACAATCAAAATCGTGCGATCCGTTACTTGTACACCACAGATCATATGGAATGAGATCCGGATATCTCCTTCAAGATGTAACATTATACGAACATGGGAGCAGGCGTTTACATCTAGAAGACAACGAAGTTCAGCACTCATCCACAGCTAGCCGCTTATTACTTACCAGCCAGCCCCAGAAGCGTTCCATAGCGTTCCGCGGGGGAGGGTCGTCGTATGTATCCCGTTCAATAGCTTCCAACCCTGCATGCACGTTAGTCACTTTGTGACGGCGATGGTTGGTGAACCAAGTACCAGTGAAGAAATCCATGTCCATCGGTTTCTTGGGCGGGATTTTCGTGACGAAACGGGCCGATAGATATAAAATCGGGAAAAGGGCGCTTTGTATAGGGAATGAGACGATAGCTGCAGCAAAGGGATGAAAGCTAGCTTACAAGGGCAAGTAATTGGTGATGAAGCTATTCCAAACGTCATTCGTTTCAGTAACGCGGAAACGGGGAGCTCCAGCACAGGAACTCACGTTGCAGTATTCCAGTGACCATGAATGAAGACGCTGAAACCGCTGAACTGCAGTGATCGCTCAACCACTACTCCATCATCTAAGGCAGAGAAGCCGTGCTCACGAAGCAGATGATGAGGCACCACACCATCGACCACCAGGCTGCGAAGGGTTGCAGCCTCGAGGCATACGGCAACGTTGACCTATCCAGACCCTGTGCCTTCCAGCCTGCGTGGAACCGGAGGTACGTGACGGAGATACCGAACCATCTAAACGAGGGGAAGACGGATTCAGCTGCATCCCTAGCTTCAATCAGCGCAGTGATATTCACGTCATCAGTCCAGCGACAGCTGTTCGCGAGGCCGTGTTAATATAATACGATGGTCGAATCCGGAAATTATCCACTCACAAGTCATGTTCTGGAACCATCCGAACACGGTTCCGGCGCCACTGTTGACACTCTACGTACTTTTGTGAATATTTGGACGTCATCTTCGAGGTGCAAAGGGCTCACCATGAAGGCCAGCGTGGTGAACAATGCACAGGTGACGAGTGCTAGCCAAGGCAAACCCCGTTTCGTGGTCTTCAGGAAGATACGTGGTGCGTTTCCGGCGAGAGCCAGACCATCTGCAGGGGGGGTTCAGCTCGAACATCTCGCAAGCCAGATAAAAAACGGACAGAGGGCACGAGACGATGTGTACAGGTCGCTGGAAGCAGCGGACCAAGCGGAGGTAAGCAGCGCAGCGTTGATGACCTATCCGCGATGTGACATCAGTAGATAGTAAAACCGAACGCGGACATTACTCACAGAAGGCAAGCCGCTAATGCCCGCGTTCTTGATGGCGATGACGAACGGACTGGCGTTGGCGGTTCCATCTCCTTTCGTCAAAGTCTTATCGTTGGAGGGGACGAGAAGGCCGATGATGATAACACCACAAATGTAGAATAGCAAAATTCGGATGTACACGCGCTTGATGGCCTTCGGCAAGTTGCGACGGGGGTTCTTGGCCTCGCCAGCGGCAATGGCGACAATTTCCGTTCCGATGAACTGGAAAAATATAGGGGTTCGCGCAAGGACACTCGGACACTGGAAACTAGACTTACGGAGAAGCCGGCTTGTGTCATGACGGCCCACCAACCAAGGAAGCGACCAGTAGCACCACTGATGTTGGCGTACTGACTGAACGGACCAGGATGTTTCCTGCGAAAACAATTAACATGCGCAGCCATTGTCTGCAACGTAACTCACCAGTATCGGAAGCCAATTCGATCGTGGTTAGGACCGCCTCTGGAGAATACAGTCAGTTGTGGTGCAGGTCATGCCGGCGGAGGCACATACCCGAGGTCAAGTACAATACCCAGGATGATGAGCCCCGTGATTGTGATCACTTTGATGGATCTGCAGCGGTGTTCAATCGCGTATATATGTTTGGCTAACGGCGTCACGTACGCAAACCTATATCCGTGTGTGAGATATCGCTGAATGAGTGACAGGGAGAACACGTACCAGAACTCTGCTTCGCCATATGCGCCTGAAGTTCGTCGCTTTTTAGTACAGGCGACATATCATAAGCCACGCGAACCAGAGCTCACCAGCTCCGAACATGTTAATGGCAATCGTCACCTGGTAACGAGAATGAAGGACTATACGCAAAGAATGGTTCTCAGGCACTTACCACCATGCACATGACAATCCAAACAGCGGGGCTAGTCGATTGATCCCAGAATCCGATCAGAACAGCGGCTGCGCTCAACTCGGCAGGCATCACAATAATCCAGTTGAAGCTGTTCGCCCGTGTCAGCAGGGAAATAGCGCCTTAAGAAGGATCTGGTACTGACACATAATTCCATCCCATCGCGAAACTGAAGGCAGGGTCCACAAAACGCTCGGCGAGCTTGATATGACCACCAGATATCGGCAAGTAAGCAATCATCTCGCCCAATGACACCATGACGGCTGCCATGGACGGCGTCAGTTTCAATCAATACGCTCCGATCCGTTGTTCGGGCTGCTCACCGAAACAAATAGTGCCCATGATAGAGTAACCCAGCAGCAAACCAACAGGACCGCCATGGGACAAAGCAGTCCCTGTACCCAAGAACAAACCCTAGAACCAAGGTAGTCAGTAAAATTGCGACGACATTCCCGTTCAGCCGTGCAAACTCACTGTACCTATAACGCCTAACGACCGAAGTCAGAACGGCGCAGACGCAGATTTGTATATTCTGCTCTCACCTCCAATACTAACAACGAGACATTCTCAGCGCCCGCCTGCGAGAGGAGGACTCGTCCACGTACCTTATCATCGCAATGTGTCGGTTCTTCAACTGGCGTTTGAGAGGTGGCTCAACGGCCACCTCCTCATCGACGGCGTACACATCATCGCCTTTGGCCCTGTCTGCGTACTGGCCAGGTTTCTTCTCGGAGACCTCAGATTGCGACATGGCGGAAGCAAGAAGAGTCCGGAGTGGGGGGCACTGCGCTTCCGTGGCGCCGGATATGGGCGCTGAGTTAGGTATATATCGTGTGCGTGAGCAAGGAACTGGGAACCGGTGGGGTATAAATCCCGGCGCTATCGGTTCTGAGCCCTGGGTAGCAGCTCCTCTTTCCGCACCCCATGCGGAATTCCCAATCGGTGGTGCAGCGTGTTATCGCGAAAGAAGCGTCCAAGTGTTGTGGATATTTGATCTTCCCAGGTTCTTAGCCGATCATCGTACTCACGACGGTTATATAGATGTCACAGGCCAAGGGGCAACAACAAGGGGGCACTGAATTCAAGAGGCGCGAGCAATCGACTACGACACTACAACACACAAATCGCAAGCTGAAATACGAATACAACGAAGGAAAGAAACGAAATCAAGGTGCACGTGGTGCGGGAGCAAAGATCCAATTCAAGCAATGACACAACTGCGCCACCCCGCTGGGCGCTCTTCCTCCTTGTCCACCCGCAGCAATTCCTCCACCTCTTTCATCTGCACGTCGTCCGGTATGTCAGGACCAAAGGCGGTGTGCGCTGTCAACGAAGACTGGCGAGTAATTGACAGGCACAGGCGTGAGGGACGACGTGAGACACCACGGCCGGATCCAGGCGTCTGCTGTCGTAAAGGTCGTACAGAGGAATGCCGTGACGCAGACGGACGAGCGAGAGCGCGACCTCCGACCGCCGGCGAGGCGCTCGTTCGGGCCGCCGGGGCAACTCCTGCAGCAGAAAAGCCGCCCACAGCACCGCAGTCTGTCCTCCGCCTCTTGGCACCTGGCATCTCCAAGGTCTCGAAGTGGTCGCCTGTCAGGGGTCGCTTTGTCCGGAACATCGCAGCCCTGGCCCAGTACTCGAACAACAAGGCATGGTATTCCATCCGCTTACGCGCGAGTAAACGGTCGACGACTTTGGAATGGACCACGTAACCTCGCGGACCATCGTAAGGGATATACGCATAGTCCCGCGCAATCGGCGGTTTGGGCGTCGGCCTCTGCTCCGGAGGGTCATGCGACGGAGCTTCGCAGGGTAACCTCGCAGCGTCCTCGCGCGTTGACTCCTCCACGTTGATCCGTGGAGGCCGCTGCACTGAACTGTGCCCTGGCGACTGTCGTGCCTTCTTCGCAGATCGCGGGCTATCTGCGCCGGCTTGGGCCAGACGTTTCGTGGAATCGTCCTTCGTGATATCCTGCAGCACGCGCGCTCGCTTCACAGCTTTGGGCGCCTCGTTCTCAATCACGTCCGCAGCTTGACGTTTACGCAGGTTATAGCGGTTCGGTGACGAGGAGTGGTTGGTCACAGCGGGTGTGAGGGCGACTTCGGCGGAGTGGTGTACGGCAGCATGCTGCTGAATCGCGAGCGTCCCATTCGGGAGCTCCGAAGCTCGCTCGAGTGACTCCAATGCCTTGTGCAGCTGAGCGTCGGCGACCCTCGGCACGATGAACCTTCGGGGGGCTCCGTCGGTGGCGGCAGGAACCCAGCTCTCGTTCCAGACCTCCAGGTCCACAGGAACGACAGCGCGATCTTCGTCAAGATCCGGGATGAAACTGCAAGATCCCGGGGGAATAGATCCGTCACGGCGGCCCTGCAGCTGGCGCCGGTTCTCTTCATCGCGTTGCTGGCATCGCACGAGCTTGCTCTCCTCCCGCTGCCGAGCGTCATCGATGTCCAGGAGAAACTCGACCTTCCGCCTCTCCATGTCCACCGCCGCGCGATCTTCATCGGAGGCGGCATCGGGCCGGAACAATCGGCTTCGGGCAAAATCCACGACCCAGACTTGACCGAGCGAATTCACAAGCATGTGGCGCAGCTGCGGATCTCCGTGCAGGACGCCGAACGCGTGTAGACGAGCGTAGGCGGCGAGGCAGTTCCGCTTCAGCGGAAGGGGCATGTCAGCCGACGCTTCGACCCATATGGTCTCGTCGTGGAGCTGCATCGCGATGCTTGCTTGGTTGTCATGTCGGAAGACTCCAAGAACGCCCGGAACAACCTGGCCTTGGACGGGTCCGAGCTGAGTATAGGCTGCCAACTAATCGTGATTGAGCAATTGTTGGGACAAGGAAGCGCTATATAGCATACCTCGGCGATTAGCGCCTCTACATCGTTCTCGGTCTTTCCAGGCGGCACAGTATAACTGAGATAGATGGACTAGCGTAAGACACCAATGTAATATCGCGGAATGACGAAATCCTACCTTTTGCTGATATAGGTCAGTGGGTTCTCTTCATCACGACCGAAGGCGTCCTTCAGTTGGATGTGGCATTGCGAGTCTTGGCTCACTGAGGGTACCATCTTCAACAAAGACAAAGACAGGACAAAGAACATACGACTACTCACCTGGCAGTTCTGCTAGTTCCACGACTGACTCCAAGTCAAATGGCCGGCCTTCACCAACGATATGCGACAGAGGGCTGTATATCGCAGTGATCGTTTCGTCGTACTTGCCGATAGGGCCGGATTCGTATTCTGCGCGCGAGATTCGACGTGCAGGTCGTTTGGATCGCAAAGTCTCGATGAACGAGGAGATGGGACGGAGGATCTTCCGCAGCGTCTTCATCGCGGGTGGCAAGCTCTTGCTCTTGCCCCTCTTTCCCTCCGAGGGCTGCATCTCGGGCGTGGTGTCATCAGAAGACTGAGACTGAGGAATATCCGGAGAAGATCTGGAAGAGCTGCTGTGGTTGCTGGGTGACGACGGTGTCGGCGATCGCATCCTTCGAGTTGCGGCGAGTATTCGAGCGGATCGTCTAGGTTGCGGTACGGGGGAATTGGGGGCCATGATAGTAGTGGCCGGAGGAAAGGGTGGTGAATTGCCTCAGACACAGAGTGCCGCACATTTTATGGAGAGTGAGATTACACAAGGCCACACAACGCAGATACCTTGTCGAGGTGATGCTCGTCCCGAGACAACGCGCGCCACGTTGGGACAAGGCCACAACGCGTGAGAACTCGGCCTTGCACGCTCGAAAAGCTCGAGCTGTTGAGACCTATGTCGGATATGCTGGAAAATATTGACCAAAGCTATATCTGCTATAAACTGGCGGTGTACAGGCGAGGACTGCATTGGTTAAGACAATAATAAGGAGTGATGATCATGGTACAGTGCTGTTCTACAGACAATCAGGAGGAATTAGGACACATGGTAGGGTACTGGGAGTGCAAGGCAAAATCCGTAATATCGGAGTACGATGCCCTATTCTAGCGAACTACAGCGAGTTCGCAGTCATGTTTCCCAATGCGCAGGCGGAGAGGCAGTCCTGTGCTCATGCGTACCGCATTCGGGTATCCCGCAAAGCCACTGGGTCCCGCTAGGGCCTTGCGTCGCCCTAGCGTTCGCCACCCAGCTCCCCCTCCTCTCGTACTCTTCCAGGTTCATCAAGGCCCCCTTTCCCTCCGCCTCCGCTTCGAACTGTTGCAGCGAACGGCGCCTGTTTTCTAGCCAGATCTCCAGGGCCGAGCTTCCGGCTGAGCGAATCGACAACGAATCAACCCACGATTCCGAGAACGAATTGCGGAGACTCGGTAGTGGTATGGGGGAGTTGATCAACGACGAACGGAGTTCGGAAGGCACATTGGACGACGAAAATGTGAGGTTGGTACACACGGATGCCGGACGCGAGCCAGAGAAGCAGAACATGCGGGCAGTGCGGGTCTTCAACCGAAGCCTGCGAATACTGCTTGCAACGCCGTGCAAGCTGTATTTGACGATGCCGACAACGCCACGTCGACGAGATCTCGGGACGGGACTGGGACTTTGAACTTCCCTGGGTGCGATGCCTTGCCCGGAAACGACTACGCACGATTGCGTGGGCTCGGGTGCTCTCGCGCCACTTCGCGAGTATGGGCGCGAGTATCGACTGACGTTTGACGCCATGCTGGACCGCCGACGACGATGGGCGGCTAAGATGGATCGCGAGGTGGCGGTAAGCGCCGAGGTGAGAACGCGCGACCGGACGGAAGCCGGCCAGGGCTCGTAAGGATTCCGAGAGATGCGGATAGGCGATCTCGGGGTGCTGGCTATAGAAGAGAAGCTGCGCCTGCTTGCGGATATCGCATGCGACGATGGCGATGGCAAGGGTGATGAAGGGCCTGACACTGCTTGGAACGACGTTACGGTCGATAGCGTCCTGAAGGAGAGGGAAGATATACGGCGACCATGTGAATGATTCCATTGCAGTTCCAATTCCGACAACGCAAATGACGCGGAGAATGAGTTCAGCCCAGGGACGGGACCAAGAATTCCAGCGTCCGCAGGTGCAAGTGCGGGTACGGGTGCTATGCCATGACGATATTCGGCATCCGAATACGCGCATCCCGATGCTCGCGGGTTGTGCCGAGGGGGAATCCTCATTGCGGCTCTGCGGCGCAGTTTCGCGGCATCTGAGGACGTTCCGGGTAATGATGGCTACAGGAGGTCGCTGAGATCAACTTCCGCATATTTGGCGACCAAGGCCGACTCACCAAGTTTGCGTTGGGAGACTTGTCTCCTAGAGGCGTTCTGCACAACTCCATTTTTGCTTCTCGAGTAACCGAACAAGTAGTTGACAAAACAACCTGGCAGTGTCAGCCGCTGACCAGAGCAGCACGAAGGAAGGTTATGCAGAGGGCGACAAGGGACGGGAGTAAACGAGGGCAAGAACGGCCAAAAGGTGCATGCGAGGCCTGAGCAATGAGCACAGTATGTACGGCATTGCTTCACAAAAGTACGTTGCAGGTTGTCAAGTACACAAACACCGATACAAAACGGGACAAGGTAGCTTCATTTGCGCCCGTGAGCACATGACCGCGACCGAAGCTGCTTCAGATGCCGTTTATTGGAGAACGCCGTTCTCCCACTGCTGTATATCGGTCGTGGGCCGTCCAACGAGTCGGCCTCAAGTATTTGAGTGATGTGCGTTGGTCGGCCCAAGGAGTGAAGACATGGCCAGGCGCCAGTCATCGGGCGTGACGCAGTCCAGCTCAGCCAGTCGATGCGGAGCGTATGCGGGTGTCCTCATATCCACTAAGGTTGTAGGCATCGCCAGGCGGCCATGACAAGAAGTCAGAGCGTGTTCTCCGTCAAGGATGGACACAACCTCGGAGGAAAGATACTGACAGCGGGGGCGACGGTGGAACACGTGCGGCATCCTTCGGTCATCATCGACGCTGGGTCATTTGATCACTCACCATGACCATGACATTCCTTGAGCTTGCCACAAGGGAATGGATACCTCTACAGGGACTCAGCACGACACCGAAGACAGATGCAGAACGACGATCGAACTGATATCGTAGTCTCTCTATATCAATGCTGGAGTTTCGCTGCGGCGCTCTCCCTTAGTCACTGTTACAGGATGATTTGCATCTATCGTATTGATCAGAGGTGACGCTCAGACGACCTCCAGAGGTGCCGAGACCCGAGCTCGGGTCAGTCTCGGATCCTTCGCTTGCTCAGTATCCTCGGAATTATATCCTGTGACGGCGTGTTCTCGCGCTCAATACTCCTTCTGTCATGGTATTGCGCCTTTCAGCTCTCGTCTGGAGTGTGCCCGCCCGTCACAAGCGCATATATCTCGGCGCCAGCAGGCGGCCCGACCGCTCACCGCACCAATTTCGGAATCAAGCAAGCGCGTTCGGAAAACATACGAGCCCAATGTCCACACGTTACGACGTTCAACCACGAGCTAGAGTATAAGAGCTAGCTTGTTGGAAGAGAGAAATCTCATCACCAGTCCAAAGGTTGACAATATGCGTTTCCTTGGGGTCTCCGCGGCCGTTGCTTTGGCATCCGTGCCTCTAGTTTACGCTGTATCGTCTCAGACATACACATGGAAGAACGTGAAGATAGGTGGCGGCGGAGGTACGTGTTTCCCCACGGTTACGGCGGAAGGGATGTGCCAATGTATTGAATTCATCCTCAAGGCTTCGTGCCCAACATTGTAGGTTCCGAGATATAGAAGATGCTCGGATCGGTCCTGAAAACATCCTCAACAGGTATTCAATCCTTCGGAGAAGGGCTTAGCCTATGCTCGCACGGATATCGGAGGCGCGTACAGGCTGAATTCCGACGATACTTGGACACCCTTGGTGGATTTTGCCAATGATACGCACTGGAACTACTGGGGGATCGATGGTGAGCCCACCGGTGACTTGAGCCGTAACATCGCATGAACATGTATGTCATGTAGCTCTGGCTGCCGACCCTGTTGACACGAGTCGGGTTTACCTCGTGAGCAGTTCGTGTTGAAGCTTGCACGCATGCCCCTCACATGTATTCATTGTTTAGGCTACTGGGATGGTGAGCATGTGTTCCAATAGGCTCATGAGACCCCTTGGGCTGACCTTCGTCTGATCTAGTACACGAACTCCTGGGAGTCAGTTCGCGTTTGCGGTCCTATAGAAAGCAGCTCATCATATGTTCCATAGTCCCAACAACGGGCAAATCCTGATTTCCACTGACAAAGGTGCGCGATACCCGCCCTCCTATTCGACATTTACACTGATACGACCTCAAGGCAACACATGGACGGCCTCACCACTGAGCTTCAAGGTAGGCTAGCCCGTTCATGCCCGACGCGGACAAGGCTCATGGGAACAATCATAGCTTGGCGGGAACATGCCGGGTCGTGGCATGGGGGAGGTAACAACGGCACTCCTTCTCTTCTGAACTGCCCTCATCTCCTGCTAGCGCCTTGCAGTTGACCCTAACAGCAACAACATCCTCTTCTTTGGTGCAAGGTCTGGCAATGGTCTCTGGAAGTCGACCAACTACGGATCTACGTGGACCAAAGTATCAACTCTCCCCAACACAGGTTTGTGTGTTGTCTTTTCATTGACGGTACAGCGCTCAGGCTTGCGACTTAGGCACCTACAAACCGGACCCGACAGACACTACGGGGTAAGCAACTCGTTGAGTACCATGATTTTATGGAAGTAACTCCATGCAGTTACAACAATGATCCCATCGGCGTCTCGTTCGTGACGTTTGACTCGACATCTGGATCGTCCGGCACGGTGAGTCTGAAAAGCCAATATCAAAGCGAACCCTCAGCTGAACGCAGGAATAAGGCCACACCCCGGATTTTTGTTGGTGTCGCTTCCGTCGGAACTTCGAACCTCTTCATGAGTAATGACGGAGGATCCTCGTGGTCCGCTCTTTCGGGGACAAACACGTCCTGGATTCCCCACAAGGGTGTTCTTTCGCCCTCGGAGAAGGCTTTGTACATATCCACCGCCGACGGCGCCGGCCCGTACGACGGAACCCTAGGAGGGGTTTACAAGGTGAGAACGATCATAGGCAAGACTAAACCGATTTTGAAGCCCAACCCTAGTACAACATCACGTCGGGCACTATGACAGGCATGCTTCCCATTTCCCCTACAGGTGATGATACACATAGCTGATCACACCCAGACATCACCCCCGTTTCTGGCAGCGACTTGTACTTTGGGTGTGCAGCCTTCTTTGCTTTACTACTGAGACCGGTCATTGATCACGATGTCCTCAGATTTGGCGGTCTGACCGTAGACCTGCAAAAGCCCGGAACGGTCATGGTCGCCACCCTCAACAGCTGGTTAGTCCTTGATATTCCATAAAGAAGACGCGGCTAAGCGTGCTGCAGGTGGCCAGACGCAAACATTTTCCGGTCCACTGACGGGTGAGATCCCTTGCATGGCGATTCGTTGCCTTCCTCTGAAGAGGTTATAGCGGTGCGACGTGGTCGCGGCTTTGGGACTGGCAGTCATATCCGACGATGAACAGGTACTACAGCTACGACGACTCTCTGGCGCCGTGGCTGGGACCGGACGGGACTATCACCGGATTGACCATGCAAATCGGCTGGATGATCGAAGGGTTGTCCATTGATCCGTTCGACTCCAACCACTGGCTGTATGGCACAGGAGAGACCATATACGGCGGCCACGACCTGCTCAAGTGGGATACAGCGCACAATATCACGTTGAAATCTCTTGCCGATGGAATTGAGGAGGAATCGGTCCAAGGACTTATCTCCCCGCCGGTGGGACCGAATCTGCTCTCCGTGGTTGGAGACGACGATGGTCAGTATAGTGTTGCTTTACCACAACTCGCACTAAACGTTGTGTCTCGTAGGATTCCAGCATCTGAGTCTCGACAAGGCGCCCACATCCGAGTGTACGAAAATTCTTTCCTGAAGAATCTTTTTGAGTCGGGCTTACTGGCTTCGCAGTCATCAACCCATCGTGGGCCACGGCTTCCGACATCGACTATGCGGGCAACCAACCCACGAACATCGTTCGCATAGGAACCGGCGACAGGTAAATTGTGGCCTTCCCCCGCATCGCGGCTCCTGTTCACTCCAGGTCCTTAGCTCGACAGGAAAGCAGGTCGCATTATCATCTGACTCCGGCGCGACTTGGTAGGGCCTATTTCTATTACTTTGCACCATCCGGTTTCACCCGATATCCCCACTAGGAACCAGGATTACGGGGCTGCTGATAACGTTTCCGGCGGAAAAGTAGCGTTTTCCGCCGATGCAGACACCGTATTATGGCGCACAGGATCGAACGGCGTGATGGCGAGTGCTACCGCCCCTCAAATTGTGGTCATCTGCTCATCCAATTCAAATAGGTTTCCCAGTATACCAATGCGTTCACCGCAGTACCCAGCTTGCCTTCCGACGCTGCGATTGCTTCAGGTCAGTGGTAGCCAGTGATCCTTGTCAACAGCCATGGCTAATACTATATGTAGACAAGAAGAACAACTCCATCTTCTACGGCGCATCAGGCTCGACATTCTATCTCAGCACGGATGGCGGAAAGACTTTCGCATCCAAGGGATCGTTGGGAACGTCAACCGCGCCCGTGAAGGTCATTGACAGCCTGCATGTGCTTGCTTCGACGGATTGCTAACTCCTTATAGGTCATCGTACATCCTAACGTGACAGGAGACGTTTGGGTATCTACAGACAAGGTATTTGACTTTCCCTTCTGGTGCAACTTTCATGCCCTGATGGGATACAGGGTCTGTTCCATTCCTCGAATGTGGTCAGCGGGACCGCGTTCAGTGCGATCTCGGGTATCAGCCAAGCCTGGTCCATCGGTTTCGGAGCTCCTAAGACTTCCGGAGGCGAGTTATTGCGCTGTGTAGGCTCTTCTGGGGAATGACCCGTGTCACAGGTTACCCGGCGATATTCGCGGCAGCCAACATTGGAGGTGTAGGATATTTCCGCAGTGACGATGCAGGAGTCAACTGGGTGCAGATTAACGATGCGTCCCATGGTTTCGGCTCAGCCGCTGCCAATGTCGTGACCGGGGATCTTCGCATCTACGGGCGGTACGTCATCGGCCAAACGCGGTCATCTGTGCTGTTCCTGATCAGTCTACAGCGTCTACATCGGCACAAATGGACGCGGCATTTTCTACGGCGATGCTTCAGGTGCAGCGCCTTCTCCGACTGCGACCGCATCAACGACTACACCCACCTCCGCGTCCTCAACCTCCACCTCGAAGGCGAGCACAACTACCACCGTTTCCTCCACCACTTCCAAGTCGTCTTCGACGGTCTCCTCCACGACAAGCACCATAGCCAGCTCGACTTCGAAGACCACGACCTCCACATCGGCCACCAGCACCGCTGTCGCTGCTCAGTACGGTCAGTGCGGAGGGTATGTCACTGTGTCGAAGTATCTGGGCAGACATCGTAATGACGTTACCTTCAGCATCGGTTGGACCGGTCCCACTATATGTGCGAGCCCCTATAGTAAGCATGCTCTTTATCAAACGCTCTGCGCGTCTTTAATTAGAGTTGTCCAGCTTGCACTGTCGCGAACGAGTGAGTGTGCCAAGAATGCATACTTCGTACTTTCTATTCACTAACTCTTCGAAACAGCTATTATAGTCAGTGTCTTTGAGGCAGCCTTCATCATCTTGATAGTTCTTGAGTCTCAGTGGCGGGCATGTTGTTGCACAATATACCTAAAATGCATTCAGCGCCCGAGCTTCGCTCTCAATTTCGGGCCGCCATACAGAGTTTACATTAAGCATGCGAAGTACCAGCAGAACGGATATGCATGATGATATGCTATGGCACCAAGGTAAAAGAAACAGACCTCAGGAGGTTAGGCTAACGCTCGTGTGTATCAACGTCCTCACAATACAGGAGCTGCACTATTAGGCTGATGCTCCGCTAGTGAACGTTGAATATCAGGACAAGAGATTACACGACAAAAATATGTGGAACAGAGGTCCTCTGCCAGGAAACTAGTACTTGTCCTGAATGTACTTCAACGCCCTGGAGACCATCCCTATCACAGCCTAGTCGTCATGGTCATCGTCCACAGGAACCTCGATGACATGGAGCTTATCATGGGTGCTCTTCTGCGCCTACCTCTTCAGTTTCTGGTTCTCGGCGTCCATGTTCGCCTGAAACACGAGGTTTCTGCACCGCGCTTTATTCCTGATGATCTCTTCACCCGCATCAATACGAATACCGAGCGCCTTGTCGAGCTGGCTATTCTCGGGTGGCCACACGCGGGAACCGGGACGGGCTCCGTCTACCACTGCACTTATCACCTTCTTGTATCATTTGGTCCGATGTGTTCATCAGCTTCTATCATACACAGGCGGCTAAGTACTGAGGAAAGAACCGAGAACTCGCCTGGATGAAGGTTGGCATGATCACATCCGCGATGAACTTGGTGAAGCTTGGCATGGCTGGTCTGGAATCAGATTTCACTGAAAACATAGAGAGCGAAGTGCTGAGATATACCCACCGATGTTTGCGTTCAGTGAATCAAGAACAGAAGACAGATTCTTGCACTCGTTGGAGGTGGCATTTCCGAGTCGTTTATGGCCCCTTATGTACCCAAAGTCTGATGTTGCCCGAGAATGTCGTTCTTATCTCTAGTACTTGAGCATCTCGAGGATAGCATGGGGCGAACGATGATAAATTGAGGATGGCTTCCAGTCCACGGCCCACCAGATGAGTATGACAGTCTCCAGAAACCAGACGCGTGGATGTTCAAGTTCTCTGCTATCATCCTGGTACAGCCCTAGTGTGGGCCTCGCGCATTCCCATGCGATAATCAGGATATATGTACGGAGTCCTAAACTGTACGATCGCGTTGCCTCACCGTTGCACCTCAGGTTGTCGGAACAAGCCTGATAAACGGGGGTTTCCCGTCATGACTCAGAGTAGCGGAAACATGCCAACGACAGCACAGAGCAAGTGACAACAGCATGGAAGCATCCGCAGCTGCTAGCGAGCTATCCAGTACATCCCAAAAAGCAGGAAAAAACATGGCCTAGTTCTGATATGGCGTTCGCTGGATGCTGCATATTGCAAGGATTGTGAAACGAGAGATCATAGCAGTCGTAGCAGTGCAGAACATCGCCTTCCTAGCTTCAGGCATGAGTTGCACGGAGGCGGCGTGCACATGCACCTTGCGTGTGGATGAAAGCAGAAAAGCAGAGTGTCGGCCAAGTTTCCTGCATGACGTGATATGAACAGCATTCTTTCCTTCTCACGGTTGAACCTGCATACTTCCGACTCTTAAGTGCTATGATCGTCCAGGCTCATGATGCTCGTAGGAATACCTCGAAGAGCAGTGTCTTCTCTCCAGAATTCGCGAACGCTCCTTGGTCGCAAAACATCCTATAAGAAACCTACCACAGACGTGCTCGAATCGCTGATGTCATTTCGGTGTCTCTCGAGTACAACTCATGCGCAGGACCGGCAGTCCGAATACGACGAATTCTTTCGCTGTACGACCCAACGGTGGATCTGGAATGAGGCCCGTCGTGCGCTTGTCTCATAGCTTTGTGTATTCAAGCACTAATTCCTCGTGCAGAGCTCGCGATGCGGTATAAGCCGTTCAACGTTTCCGCTCTCAAGCGTGTGGCTTGCGATGCGACAGGTGCGAAGACCTGCACGTCAATGATCAAGTTCGCTGAAGGTATGTGTCACTTACTATCATTGCCGCTCGAACTCCAGCCCTCACGATGCTTCAGGGTCCTTCAACAAAATCTTCCTATTAAAATTCGACAACGGAGAAGAATGCATCGCTCGTATACCTTGTCCCGGTGCTGGCTCTGACAGGCTCTTGATCTCGAGTGAAGTGGCTACTCTGGACTTCGCGCACCGCCACCTCGGCATTTCTACTGTGCCCAAGATACTAGCATGGAGTGCCGACGGCGACGGCTCTGAAGTCGGAAGCAGCTATATGATAATGGAGAAGCTGCCGGGAGTGCCTCTTTCTGACCGCTGGTATAGTCTCACTGCCAAAGAAGCATGGGACGTGATGGACTCTACGATTCAGATGGAGAAGACGATGCGCTGTGTCCAGTTTTCGCAGATAGGAAGCCTCTACTTCAAGGAGGATGTTTCTGAAGAGCTCCAGTCTCGCCGCCTCTACGCATCTGACGTTCCTGATGACGACGCTTCTGACAGGTATCGCATTGGACCGACTGTTGAGTACGATTTTTGGAGGGGCGAGAGGAAGAACTTGAACATTGACCGTGGACCTTGTACGTCGTTTGGAGAAAGGCTATACCATTGATGTTGTGTCCTTACTCGCGATTTACAGGGTCTGACGTTTACTCCTACGCGGTAGCGGTCGCGGAACGGGAGAAACTATGGTTATCTTCCTTTACACCAGATCGTTCTGCTCATCTCAAGGGCCCTTATGCATCCCGCGATGCTCATCTTCAACTTTTGGACGACTTTCTTGCAACCATACTAAATGTCGATATACCCGCTCATTTCTTGCCCCTTATACTCTGGCATCCTGATTTACATCGACCAAATCTGCTGGTTCGGGAGCATGGACCCCTGGACATTACAGGCTTCATTGACTGGCAGCACGCGTGGGTTGGACCATGCTTTTTGCATATGCTCTTCACTCCAGCCTTCCGTCACCCCCACACCATGATCGAAACGGTCGACATCAAATCCATGCCCTCTCTTCCCGATGACTTCGATACACTCGAGCCCTCCCAGCAAGAATTCGCCCGCGAGGAGCTTCGAATGGTAGAACTCGAACATCTCTTCCACCGGGGCATCGCCGAATTCGATTCCCCTCGGTACAAGGTTATCCGCTCGCCGCTTTACCCTCTCTTGGCAACATTGTTCCGCCAGATCTCGGAGACATGGATCAATGGCCCTACCGAAGTTCTTCTCACGCTGGCGAAATTCTCGCGTAGCTGGGACCGAGTTGGAAAGCCTGGCACGAAATGCCCGGTTTCATTCACCGACGAGGAACTTCTTGCGCTCATCGAGGACCAGGAGCGCCAGCAGGAGCGCAATGCTTTCATACAAGTGTATTGCAAGAACGCTGGTATGGACCTCAACGGTGGAGTTGACCCGGAGCACTACGATAAAGCGAAAGAGTATCTCGCGTGGGTTCGGGAAAATAGATGGGATGAAACGCTTGGACAATGGTTTGCTGAAGATGGCGCGCGATCGACGTTACTATAGAGAAAGCACGTCCGTATCTCCATACTGTGCGTCCTAATGCGAGTATGACCGTCCGAACTACGGGACGTTGTTACATACAAATTTGTCTTGTCTGAGCTTTATTCTTTCGCTAAGCACGGAGTGCAGGCTTTTGGAATGGCACGACTGACCGGCACCCCCATGGGATCCTTACGGATCATCAGCGTCGATGTGAACAATATCGATACTCTCATCGATTCCTCCATTCTGATTCCCATACCTTGGCCAGCAAACATCATTCGATGGGAATGCTCTCATAACGATGATAATTTACCTCAAAGAACCGTCTTCGGTCCACGGTTTTGATACCGCGGCAGGACGTCAGGTCCAGTGTCTGCAACTTCTCGCACGCATCGATGATGGGGAACAGACCTGCGGCTGCAGAAAGGTTAACGGTGTCGTACATTCACGTCGTATCGCTTATGTGAATGCTTACGAGTGAATTTTGTGCCAGCAACCTCGAGCGTTTGAAGAGACTCGCAACAAGAGATATATTGCGCAGCTTCGTCGTCGACTGAGGTGTTGCTAAGATTTAACGTCTCTATCCGAGGCGGACCTTCGCCCTCGGATAACAGCCCAGCGAGATCCCCAGAGCGCAAGCCTGGGATCGCAGCCATATTCAACGTCTGGAGGTGTACCTCCGTCAGCGAGCCTTTGCGAGGCATTATGCCAATGGGACGCAATCACACACCTTGCATCGTCGGCCAACCTGGGCGATAAAGTCGCGAACTGCCGGGTCCCTGCTTCCCATACCGAGTTTGGTGTTACCAACCAAGGAGACGACCTCAAGGTCCGGACAACGTTCGGCAAGGATTGAGGTCAGCTCTCGGAGCATGGCGGGGGTCATAGTTAGCGCCGAAGAGTTGGAGAGGCTGGCCCTTCCTTGAGATGCACCCAGTGCGCCGAGATTAAGCGTCTTTAAGCGTGGTAGATGCTCCATGGCAGTTAAGACGTCGTCCGTGAACACCATGGTGGACGTCAGGGATAGCTTCTCCAAGGGAGGTATGGAGAAATCCGGGTCCACTTTAGGCAAGTGTCGTATGCCGGTGAACGAGAGGTCCAGCCGATTGAGATTAGGGACCATCTTCAGCAGTGGGTGCAATGACGCGTCCCCGAGGCCTAGCTGTCGCAGCTTCAAGTTGCGCAGTTTCACCAGCTCAAAGCCTTCGGTCTCGTTCACAGCCGACAGGAATCGTGCGAACGCGGCATCGGTCTGAATGTGAAAGAAAGCATTGAGATATACATATGTCTGCTATCTAGGGTTTGGACTGACCCAGTTCGGTTGTATGCCAGCAAGCTTCAGGACCTCGATGTCTCTGCAAGCAAGCACGAGGGCTGCTATCGACGCAGGGGTAGCAGAGGTCTGATTCAGATTCACGCTTGTAAGGAGGCGACATGATCGTGATATGGTGGCGACCACGTTGGCATCCACCTTCGTGCAGCCGCTTTTTGGTGGAGTCAGAAACGCAATGGTGTTACGCGTAACGACGCCATAGCTACCGTAGATTGAGCTTCTTTAGGGAAGGGAGCTTCTTGAAGAGTTGCACCCAGGTCGATTCCGGTATGCTCGCTTGCCCAGTTATCTCCAGATCTGTCAATTCGGCGCCCACTCTGCCAACGGCCTCGACCGTTGCTTTCTTCACGTGTAACAACTCGCTTGTGAGGGTGATCGAAGGACCGCGCAAGAGATACTATCCGGTAGCAAGGCAGGCCGTCAACATGTTGGCAAAACAAGGTCATACGCAGGACCAACAGTTGTCATGAATGGCGATGTTAACGCATCCGGAACTTCAGCGCGCATCATAGCGAAGAGCCGCGGGACGATGTGATCCGGCAGGTGTTCCAACCATTGTTTCTGAGACTCCCAATTACCCCCATTTGTTAGGAGCTTCAGGCTATGGATGAAGGCTCGAGCGCATAGAGTGGTCAATGCGGGGACATGGCTGGGTTGCACGGATCTCGTTGAGTACGCAGTGGAGGTTATCGTTGATGTAGTTCGTGCGGAAGGGAGGTCGTCTTCGTTGGGAGCACCAATCACTAGCGTGTTGCCTGCTCTGTCTGTCCGTCTCCTCTTAGTAGGTAGGCGAGCCATTGCAAGAATCGTTGGAGAGCATCTCCCGACAGTGTCCTAGGCTGGGCCTAGCGGCGGCTGAGACTCGACACTCAATGCAGCAACAGCTATGGCGTCATTGATTGCGAGCGAACCGTTATGCTTATATTAGGTGAGCGGCTTACTACCTACACTCTCTGTTCCCCGAGAGCACTCGTCGTGTATTGTAATCCGGATTCTGACCAATATTCATCTGCCTCAATCATCAGGACTGCTTTACAGGGGCGCGTACAGCATTTTCTGATCTCACCTTGTGTTTACTCGACATCACAACATGCGCCCACAATTCAAATGTCCAACCTTTCACTACTATGCTCATCGGAGCAGTCGGAAGAGCGAGTCTGCAGAAATCGGCGACATTTGTCAAACAACGGATATCCAACATTCACCCTAGGACTCGTCCAACGGTCTTTATACCGCTCTTGTTGCACCGTTGTCTCCTGAGTACAGCTCCGGCGCATGGTCACCCTTCCGAATACGATGAATTTTTCGGGTGTACGACTAGGAGATGGCTTTTCAACGAAGAAATGCGTACGTGCGTTCCTTACTTTTGACTGTACGTCCTTATCATCCGCACAGAGCTTGCAAAGCGGTACAAGCCATTCAATGTTCCTGCACTGAAGCGCGTGGCCTGCGATGCGGCAGGTGCGAAAGTGTGCAGGTCGATGACGAAGCTTGCAGAAGGTATGTGCCACCATCATACTCATCTCTGGACATCAGCCCTCACAGCGATCTAGGATCCTCAAACAAAGTGTTCCTGTTGAAGTTTGACGACGGAAAAGAATGCATTGCCCGCGTTCCTTGTCCCGGCCTTGCCTCCGAGCCCCTCGTGATCTCAAGCGAGGTGGCTACTCTTGACTTTGTGCGTCGCCATCTGGACATTCCTGCTGTACCCAAAGTCCTCGCGTGGAGTACCGACGGGGCCGACTCTGAGGTCGGATCTAGCTACATCATCATGGAGAGGTCACCAGGCGTTCCACTCACTGATGTCCGTTACTCTGCTGTCGGAGGGAGAGAGCTATTCGATCATGTCATAAATCCTGTGATATCAATGGAGAAAATCGTCGGTGGCCCCCGATTCTCACAGATAGGTAGTCTGTACTTCAAGGAGGATGTTTCGGACGAGCTCAAGTCTCGCCGTCTATACGCTCCGGACGTTCCCGACGACGAGGCGTCGGACATATATCGCATTGGACCAACTGTCCAACACGATTTTTGGAAGGATGAGAGAAAGGATCTGGACATAGATCGAGGCCCTTGTGAGTCGCCCGCACTGGCAGTATTGTCGACAGAGCTAACCTCGCTTGCGACTTGCAGGGCCTGACATCCATTCCTACGCGGTTGCGGTGGCCGAACGGGAGAGACGATGGATAACTGCCTTCGCGCGTGATCCTCCTTCGGGAGCCTTTCTCAAGGGTCCCTTCAGATCCCCGGATCAACATCATCGACTGTTGGACGCCTTCCTCGCCACTGTGCAAGGACTTGAGATACCCAGCGATTTCTCGCCTTTCGTCCTTTGGCATCCCGATGCGCACCGTGCAAATGTGTTGGTTCAAGAGCACGGCCCGCCGGAGGTCACAGGTTTGGTCGACTGGCAACACGCGTGGATCGGCCCGCGCTTTTTGCAGTTACTCGTTCCTCCAGCCTTTAGCCACTTTCACACTATGATTGATCCAGTCAAATTCGACTCCACGCCCTCTCTCCCACATGGCTTTGATGCGATGAAACCAGAGGACCAAGACTATGCCCGCGAGGAGCTTAGAATGGTGCAGCGGGAGCGACTCTATCAGCTGGCCCTAGCCCTTCACGATCGTCCTCGTTTCGATATTCTGAACTCACCGCTATGGCCCTCAATGGCATTGTTATTCCATTCGCTCTCCGAGACGTGGACCGATGGTCCTACTCACTCACTCCTTGCAATCGCTAAACTTTGCCGCAATTGGGACCGCGTCGGTAAACCTGGCTCGCCATGTCTGGTGACGGTTCCGGACGAGGCTATTCTGGAGTTGTGCGACGATGAAGAGCATATGCACGAGCGCAGAACGCTGATAGAATACTTCTGCAACAAGGCCCGCGTTGATTCGGACGGTGGAGTTGCCCCGGAGCATTACGAGGAAGCGAAGGAGTACCTTGAACAGGTCCGGAAACACAAATGGAATGAGACAGCATATGGTCCATGGTTTGCGGAGGACAGTGCACAGCCGAACATCTCGTAGCGATCACGGCCATGTAAACCCAGTTCCGAAATGTAATGGCTGTATTGTCTGAAGTCTGAGGATGTGAACACGACTGAGCTTGCCTCTGGGTGAATGGTAGCGAAACACAGAGCAAAACCCGAAGGATACGCATACAAACCATCTCATCTGGCACCTGAAAATACCCGACCTACGCTGTTCTTGACAGCCCCTGCGAGTATTTGCCCGCCGAATCCGCCCAGACCCATGTTCCAGCCACCGGATGCGGCGTTCGCCCATCGTTGTTTGGCGTCGCGGTCGCTATCGGGCATCAAACATCAGCTTCTTCCAGCATGAGTGCAGCTATTCCACTCACGCGTAGGTGAAGCCAATCACATTGGTCCTGCAAAACTTATTGAGTGAACTTGCTTCTCGACTAATCTGATGCGGAACTCACACGTTGAAAATAAGAGCGAGGATCACGATTGGGATGATACTGTAGCGTCACAGAATCTGAGATACGATCTGGAGGCAACAACAGACGGGACCACGCACGAAAGGTTAAGTCTGAGTATGCCTATGATAAGCAGCAAGACCCATAGCACAGGGAACGCATATAATGCGATCTGCACGTTCGACATTAATATGGCACATCTGAACATTCCTGATTGACCGAACCAACCCAGAACATTCTGATCAGATTGTACGTCAGCATATAAACAGCTGTGTGAAGCGTGGACATGCAGCATACCGCGAGTCTATGGGATTTGCGGGTCGCGACGGCTAAATTAAACAGTGAGCTGGCGCGTTACTGTTCCATGCAGCCATTTTTTTACGTCTCTGCTCTCGAAGACCCAGTAGCTCTCCCCATCGTCGTCAACTTGATTCCAAAACCGCAGCCCAACAAGCGTCCGCCCTGCAACATTCTGCGAGGTATTCAGAACCCGGTCGTACATATGGCAAGGCACTCACGCGACAATTCCAAAAGTCCATAGCAAGCAGCACGACGACTACCACGGTCTGAAGCATAAGTTAGTACAGCGGTATGAGGAGATCGCGTGTTCTCACAGCTATCACGTAGTTGCCGAACGTTCCACCTAGGATATATACGGTGATGGCTGCTATCCGAAAGAAATAAAGGAAGAAAAGGGCGACAGGATGCGCAGACTAGCATTGCGATGAGCAGAGACAGCTTCACTTAGCAGAGCGGCATACTTGTCTGAAAATAGCCCCGAGTCCTGCAGCAGCAGGGTACACGGTTGGAACGATCGGCGAACTGAAGCGTATGCGCTACGCACCGGATTCAACGTCGGTGGGCGCGGCCTCCGCGCGACTCGTGGGCGTCAGCACGACAGGTTGTCGCGCGTTCGCGTTCTGTATGTTTCCCTTCGGTACCTCAGGGACGCTGGGTTCATCTGGCTCGATAGTCTCCAATAACGGCGTAGCAGCGCTCATCGTGGTAGTGACCGCGCGGTGTAGTGGCTGTGTTACCAGCCGTTCGTCATGGACGGTCACCGCGTCGACGAGCTGCCCGACGAGCGCACCGCGCTGCTCGGCGTGCACAACACGACCGGCCCCAACGGCAACGGCATCGTCGCCGAGACTGAACTACCGGCTATCAAGCCAGCTGCCGAGCTCGTCCTCGCTCAAGGCATCCGGTTCACCAGCCTCGACGACCTCGCTGCACACGAGTTGAGCACGCGGACAGCGCAGGCGGCATTCACCTTGGTGGTCCTGCTCTTCGTGCTCCACGAATCGAAATGCAAGGCTAGCGAGGACGTGTGGGAGACTTGGTTGCAAGAGCAAACACGTTTAGAGGACGTGCATGAGCTGGAGCAGCAAGTCATGTATGTCTGGAATAACTTCCTGCACGCAGATGGGAGTGGTAAGGATGTGAAAGAGGTGCTATGGATGTCATTCCCAGTGGAAGATAACAAAGCACCCCAGCTTCGAGGTATGTTACTAGAACGCGTCAGGTTACAGCGCATTCTGACATGAGGGTAGTGGTGGACTTCGTGAGCCATGGTCTCGCACCAGACAGCCTATTCACCCATCGCATGCTCTTTCTGAGTTATGAGCATACTTGGAAGCATGGTCACTATGGCATAGAAGAACCCAACGAATCGCTCTCTCACCGTGCATTGAGTCGTTTGGATTCATTGGCATCCCCACGGTAAGTCTTATGCGCACCTGTGCCTCTCATAGCTGATGCACTACATCCATAGGGTCCTTCATCTTATCGAGCTTGCCTTCAAGCTGCTGTATCTCTTTCTTCTCGGCAGTTACGTGATGACTCCTCCCAGGAAGCCCGTCATCGTCGACGACCCACCTTCCCTTGGCTTTCGCGGCGTCTGTATCTTGCTTTACACAGCCGCCTCGCTGATTCGTCGGTGGTCGATGTCGACATTACCGTCCTCTCTTGTTTTTCTATCCTTCGTCTCCCACATCACGGCCGAACCGTGTCCTGGAGACATCGCCTTCGACGTACTTTTACTTGCCCTGATCTGGCACCTACTTGCTCTTCACCTGCCAGATTCACCTTCCCCTCTCCTCGTGCTAAGCGTCAGCGATTCCTTGCCGTTGGCTGCACTCTTCCAACGCGCCGTCACGCACGCCATCCGCCCCGCCGTCTTATTCTTCTTACCCATCTTCTTCGTGTCCTTTTACATGCTTTCTCTCTCCCTATCCGACACATTCCTACGAGCTACAGCTTCGTTTACAGATCCGCTGCCGAGCGCGCCCATCGAGACCCGAACATCGCTCCTCACGCTATGTCTCCTCGTCCTCGTCCTTTTCTCTGCCTCGCTGTGTATCCTGACCGTGACTGCAGCCTCTCAAGGGTTTAGTGCGACGCAGGCGATCGATCCTTGGGACCGCTTCGGCACAGGCGTCGGCAGGCAAGCTCGGCGATCCTTCTTCCACGCCGTCCATCATCACTACTCGGATCGCTACTACTTCCCGCCGCCGTTCAACCTACTGTTCATCGTCGTCGTTCAGGTACCGGCTTGTGCCATATGGTTGGCTAGCCGAGGCAATGCACGGTCTTGCAGAGCCAGGATGGAGAAAATCGTTTGGAGGGCGACAGTTGGGCCATTCGCCCTTCTCTTTGCGGGCACATCGTTATGGGGTTTATGGAGATAGTGCATACACACTTGTGGCAATCCATACGCGAATCACCACTCTCTCGTCCTAGGCTTAGCAAGGCACCGAATCGCAGTGAGTAGTCACCTGCTGAGGGACAGTGTATGTATGCATCGGGCGGCGCTGAGTTCGATCAAGTGTGCCAGCCAACAACCCGCTCTGCGGAGTAGCGGGTCATCTCATTGAGTACTTTAACGAAATGATACATTTTTACGAGGACGAGGCAGCTTGCAAATCATTGAACTCAAAGACATGGCCACAAAGTTGAGAGTTGAGGTTACAAAGAGACGAAGTGAACTCGGCGACGATGAGCCCACCGTCGCGACGATACGAAACACATAACATAGCATCTCAAGAGTGCCGAAGAAAATGAATGGTAAGGATATATACGTGCTGCGTGAAGGAGAAAATGCGGCGAAGTCCAAAGATGTCACAAATGAAAGCGAATGGCGTGTAAGCATTGCAGATAGAGAGTCCATCAGACGTGAGATACGATAGCGAGGCGAGAGGTGGGGTCGGCGATCAGCTGCCGCCGAACCAGCCGCGCGCGTCTACGCGCGAGCAGGCCGTCGTCGGCGTGGGCGGCACGCCTAGCCCGATGAAGGACCGCGTGCGCCCGTGCGCGCGCACGGTCGATACCTTGGGGGGAGAAACGAGCGGGAAGGGTACAGGAGCGGCGTGCGACATGAGGGTCATGGTGGACGGCGTCCGTGCGGTAGGCGTGGGCGACGGCGGGAAGACGAAGAGCGTCTGTGACGGCGTGTTGACGTTCTGCTGTGTTTGGGGTGAGTTTTTGTTGATGGGAAGGACCTCGTTCGAGAGCGAGCGGAGGAAGAGGGGAGGTGGAGTCGGGCGGCGGGATTCGGTGCGCAGGCGCGTAGGTACGGCGGGTTTGGCCGACTGCGGGGGCTTGGTGGTGATGGGAGGGCCTTTGGCGGAGGGAGGGGCTTCGGGCGATGAGGGGACGGGAGGCAGAATAGCGAGGGGCGCCGGACGGCGTCTGGGCTTGGCGCCGAACCTGCCGCGCGAGGGCAAATCGAACGTAGCACGAATTGCCGTGGCAGGAGGAGGCGGGAGCACGAACGCGGTCTTATGGGCGGGCGCAGAAGGCGGAGGTCTGGGCGTTCTTAACGGACGAGCGGTCATAGGCGTGAAAGGCGTGGTCCCTTCCCGGGGGTCGGAGAGGTCTTCGGGCTCCGCGCTCGATGCGCGCGACATGGGACTCTTGTCGTCGAATCCACCACCCACACCCAGCAGCTCCGCCTCCTCGTCTTCCTCGACTAAGTCCTCACTGAGGATGCTGCCGTTGGTGAGGTTACTGGCGATGGAGGCCGTTCTACGGCGCCCGCCGTAACGAGTCTTCCATGCAAGACCCATACCCAAGCCACCCGACGACGTGGACGAAGCCGACGCCTTGCGCGCCAATATGCGATCCTCCATCGCCTTGTCCAAGGCTCTGGCCTCCCGCGCAACCTCGATGTTATCCCGCCAATCATCGTCGGTATCTGACGACGCCGCCTCCATCATCTGCCGCCTCCGCCCCCACTCCTCCTCCAGCTCCGCAACATCGGACGACTTGTCCGATGGCGTAGGTGACGTATTTCCGGGCCGTAAGGTGCGCTCATAGTCCAACAACTGGTAAATCAGACTAGCAAAGCATCGTCAGACGGTGCCATGGCGACCCATAATCGAACGATAATACGTACGACATATTGGGTCCGACATGTTTGCTTTTGTTTTTCACGAATTCATAGGCGGCATGGTAGCCTTTGAGTTCCCACACTTCAGGGGAGACATGAGGCGAAGAAGTTGCGGCGGCACGCATAACAAGCGCGATCACAATGGTGGCCGACCGCGAGATGCCACATTGACAGCTGATTTAAAACATTATAAATGGGCGCATATATGCTAGAGATGGTGGTACGCACTGGATGAGGACGCCCTCGTTCCGCTCGAGAGCTTGGTCGACAAATTGCATAGCTGCAGGGAAACCCTGCTGGATGAGGTCCGACTGACCATGAGACCAGTGCAGCTTTAGATAGTGCATCCCAGGCCTGCCCGTAGGCACGTGCGGGGGGTAATAGGTGGACCGGGACGTGTCCATAGTTTCGCTCAGATTGGGCGTGGACGCGAAGGGCCGGATCGGCTGCGCCGATGCGGCGTCGAACGGAGAGGCGACCTCCTTCGCGACGTTGAGGATGGCCTTGATCCCACGCTGTATCAACCCTGCATAGTCCTTGGCGTTATCCTCTGAACCTAACCAGATGCCGGGCAGGATTTGGATGGGACCGTCAGCGTAAGGGGCTGTGGGAGATCCCCCGTCTTCCTCTCTGCGATGCAGCACCGGAAGCGAGGCCACGGACGGTCTGCGGAGCCGTCCCGTAGGGGGTTCTATTTGCTGCGGCGCTTCGGGCGGCGGCGGGAGAGCGAGCGAGCTGCTGGACGACTGCGCAGAGGGCAGCGTGAGCGAGAGCCGCTTCATATTCCTGAGGGCCTTGGGCTTGGTGCTGAGGGCGGGGTTGAAGGGAAGAAAATCGGAAGTTTCTGAAGTAGCGGAAGACATAGTGGAATTCGGGGCGGAGCTGTCGGTGAGGCCGAGGGCGAGCTGAACAGGTTCGTTTTGAGCCGGGGTGTCAATGCGCAGGGCGGGTGGTGGTCCTCTCCTGCGTGCCACGGCTGGCCGGGGTGTGGACTCGGGCCCGTATGGGTTCTGTGCGTCCTGCATGGCCGATAACGCTCACGCTCAGCGTAGATGATTGATCGACAGGCGCCGTGGGGGAGAGAAAAACGAGCAGAAAGAAAGAGAAACGAGAGGAAAAGACGAAGAGGAATAAGACCCAATGCCCGAGCCGCGCAGGAGGGACAGAAAAGCCAACCTCCTCGCTCGATCGGTCCAATGTCCCTTGACGACCGTCACGTGCTGCGCCTGCACGCGGCCGCAGGCAGTGGCCCACCCTTCTTCTCATTGCAACATGCTCATGCTTACAGCGTGTCCTGTCCTCCCGGAGCGCAACAATCCCAGCACCAGCCATGCTTGACACAGAATGTATTTGCTCGTCCAATCAGCCAGAACAAACAATCACCGTCGTGGTGGAACTGCTGTCGATCCGTATCATATATTGATGGATTTCGGTCTTCTCCGTTGCAGATCCCCCTCCGTCCATCAGGGCGGAGCGGGCCACGTACGCAATGGTTGACCAGTCCGCGCACGCGGAAAGCCCCAGCCGAACTCGAGTCTGGACGATCATCTCCCAGCTTCCACGCATCCTGATTACCGGAAGCGGTATGTCATGACGGTGAATCGAGGCGCCAGCGCTACCCTCGGTCCACTCTCTTGATCCGAGTGTAAATGAAAGTGCATCGGCGTCACCGATACACGCTGCTGAACACGCTCTCACCGATACGACACGGAGCACGGCGGTGCTGATGGCAGACAACTGATATATTGCGATACATGTAGCAAACATGATTCACTAGGGTAGCTAGTACACGACGAATGCCACGGCCTCCAGACACCACGACTCACCTTGAATGCTGGTTCGCAATAGGCGTCTTCCAACGGTCAACCTGATAGCGTAGGTTAGCCATGCCACGATATCATTCCGAGACGACATATGAATCAGCTGGCTGTTCTTAGTATTTTATCTTTCGGATATCCGCAGTGCCAATGGCCTCGGAAATGGTGGAAGTGTTCTCATCTCCAACACAAACAGGGCCATATGCTCACCTTACAGTTCATCTCCAGCATGCGCGTCGCGTCGAAGCTGGTATGGACGTTGTCTGGAAGCCATTGATTAGCGGACTGCAAGGAACGTTACAGGACCAGGGAAAGATCAGGCCGAAATGAAAAGAGTCTCCGCAGATGCAAGTGCATTGGAATTTGATGGTACACTCGGAAGCATCATATGAGGATGGATTCATGAACCGACAACTTACAAGACATCGTCATGCATTCCACGGGTTCGTGCAACCCGTTAAGGATTCATGCGACTGAACATCCTGAAATGGTACGTTAGCGCGTGAAACAGACACACGGAGTATACATCGATATGAAAAGTCAGAGGTGCAACGGTTTGGCTATGTGCTCGGCCGATCGTCAACGCGTGTAAGCTACGACTGGGGCGGCAACGAAATCATCATGCTATAACGAGGATCGCCGACACTAACCTCAAAAAGTGCATTTCCCCTTCAGCCCAAGGTGCCCGACGCCCGCACGCAAACAGCCAGGAAGTGGCATAACCGCACGTAAGCCGTATGTTGTATACGTTTCACGACATGACAGGCAGCATCAAGCACGCAAAGGCGGCTGTTTCAAGAATTTCGCGTCGTCGTAAGACGCGGTCGAGGTGAAGAGGACAACGACCAGCAGAAAATAAAGTCGGAGGCTACCTCACACGATCACATGATAACGGAGTCTAGATTCCGACGCAAGCCGGGCTGGGCGCGTTCTCCGTCGCCAAAACGTGCGGTCCAGCGCCGCGGAATTTGCGGCCGCTTGTGAGCTCTCCGCCCATGCCCAACAAATATCAGCTCACTTTCTTAGCTTCGTTTGTTTCCATCTTTACCGTCCTCGTCCTCGCCTCCCACTTCCTCAAGGCGAAACTCAAGGAAGCCGGATACGACCCCGCGCGCCTCATTCTAATTGGACTCGAGCCGACGACGACGGACGGAGCAGGCGCCGGCAAGATGCCAGCTGGCAACGAAAAGTTCACGATCCCTGGGTTCAAGGGCGACACCGCGCTGCTGACGCAGGTCATTGCGGGCTTATTGGCAGTGGCCACGACCGTGTTCATTTACACAAAGTTCGGGCAGAAGAGTAAGATGGATGCATCTACTGTGTGTATGGCGTGACGCTGACCCATGCTGCTCAGAGCGTAAGCCGGTACTGGACCCGCAAGTATGGCAGGAGTTCCCTCTGGTTGAGAAGATTGCCATCTCACCCAATACCGCCATGTACGTCTACCTACGCCCTGGGTAACCTCCGTTGACTGACAGTGTAATCTCTAGCTACCGTTTCGCTCTGCCGCACCCGGAGGATATCCTTGGTCTGCCCATCGGACAACACATCTCTGTGCAGGCCGAGATCAATGGCAAGGATATCATGCGCAGCTACACTCCGACCAGTAGCGATGATGACCGAGGCCACTTCGACCTCCTCATCAAGGTTGGGTCATCTCTCCCAACCATCATAATCTGCGCTTAACGTCCTTCTGTAGTCGTACGAGCAGGGCAACATCTCCCGCTGGTTCTCCCTTCTCAAGATCGGCGACAAAGTCCGCGTCAAGGGTCCCAAAGGCCAATTCACCTACACCCCGTCACTCTCGCGCGAGCTCGGCATGATCGCCGGCGGCACCGGTATCACGCCCATGCTCCAGATCATCCGCGCCGCGCTCAAGAACCCGCTCGATCGCACCAAGCTCAGCCTCATCTACGCCAACGTGAACCATGACGACATTCTGCTCAAGAAGGAGCTCGACGAGCTTGCCGCGAAGCACGCAGACCGGTTCAAGCTCTACTACGTGCTCAACAACCCGCCTGCGAATTGGCAGGGCGGCGTCGGCTTCGTGAGCAAGGAGCAGATCAAGGAGCACCTGCCGCCGACGGACCACAATATCAAGATTCTTCTGTGCGGCCCGCCGCCTATGATGACCGCCATGAAGTATGTTGTATCATGTTGCCAGAGCTGCCTCGGGATGCTGACGCGCTTTTTGGCCGTGCAGGAAACATCTTGATGAACTCGGTTACCCGGCTCCTCGCACCGTCAGCAAACTCGTTGACCAGGTTCGTCTATCTCATCTTACTTTTGTTTCATTGTCCAACTGTCATCGTCATAGGTGTTTCTTTTCTGAGCGCGCCTCACGATGGCAAAGGAATCATTACATCAAAATACACAATACATTAGATTATTGTCTCTCACATTTGGGGTTTGCTTGAATCTAAGTCGGTACTGTCTCAATGCAAGCTTTCGTATTGTCACCTCATCCCGATCATCCCTGATTCGCAACTAACTGCCGACATACACCTCAGCGTGTGTGTGCGACAAGAGGATACTTACCATCAATATCAGCCTCACCAAGCACTGTCACGTGAATGCCGCTTGCTGACTTCAGGTATTTCAACATCGATATCAAACCAGACATGTCGTGACTGCAACGGCGAAACGTTGGTCAGCGATGCGCGTCGGAAGTCGGAATTCCGGAGAGATGATCTGTATACAGTATACTGCGCAAGACCGCGGATAGTCGGAATTGCGCCGTACATGCGCTCGCATTGTATCGCAGCTGAGACGTGATATTATCTTGCAAAGCAGACGGCTCGTCGTGTACCGGATGTCGTGACCTTCACAGACACGAGAACGACATAAAAGCAGATAGGTCGACGTGGCTATGACATCCCCAACTTGTCAAGTTCTGTTATAAGCAGAGAAGGGTAACACCGAAGTTCCCAACATCCTCCACAATACACCACAGCGATGTCGTTTGGGAAGCCAGTTCTCTATACGTTCGGACCCTCCGTTTGGGCTGCCGTGCCGGCACTCGCGATGTATGTACATTGCATGCATTGCATTGGATGTTCTCGAAACTGTTCGCGTCGCTGACGTGGTGATCCTTGCCCTGCAGCCCGGAGCTCGGTTATTCGGAAGACGCCATCGAGATCAAGGTAGTCAATTTAGCCGAGGGACAGAACTTCACTCCAGCTTTCTTGAAGATTGTACGTCCGATCATGCAAGTGGGGCAACGAAGTTGGTAGTTGATCTGCGTGTGGTGCAGAACCCCCGTGCCACCCTGCCGACGCTGGAGGCGGCGGGCAAAGCCTACACCAGCACGAAGGAGGTTACTGACTACCTCGTAAAACATGCGCCTGCCGAGGTCGCGAAAGGAACGGACTTGATCGACATCGTCCACGAAGACAAGTACGACCCAAACTTCATTAAGCTCGCCGCGGTTCGTCTGCCTCTCATGCCTTCCACCTCTCTCCCCGCTGACTGGCACGGTGTTTCCAGAGGAGCGACGCAGAGCTCGCGGCCAAAGCTGACGGCTTCCCGAAGACTTTTGTCGCCAACCGGCAGAAGGCGCTTCACGAGTACTCCGCGCACCCGGAGGCCTCCGCACACAGTGCCTTCTACGGAGCCAAGAAGCAGGGCAACGGCGGTATCCTTGCCATCTACGAGGGCAAGTCGTCCGAAGACACCAAGAACGCGTTTATTGCGCAGTCGCAGAGGCACTGGGTCAACATCGCCCGCTTTGTCACGGACGTGCTTCCGGAGCGGCTGCCCGAGAGAGGCTTCGTCGGAGGCGAGAGGCCGGGAGAGGATGATTTCCATGTGGGCGCATGGCTCGCGCGCGTTGTCGCGACGCTTGGGGGTAGGAATGACAAGGATGGAGTTCAGGTCCTAGAGAAGGAGCTCGATGGGAAGAAGCTGCCGCCCCAAGTCGTGAATTACTGGGCATCCTGGATACAGCGCCCGAGCTGGCAGAAGGTGTACTCTGAGGGTCTGCACTAGAACGTCCGCGACTAGCGGAGGCATCTTGGGTAGGCATCTTGAAGTAGGTTTATGTTGTACACTAGAACGCGGATTCGTTGCCTTCGCTGAGGTCCGTAGAGGAGGCTTCTATGATGGCCTGGTGATATTCGAATAATCTGACAGCAGAGTCAGCTCTAACCTGCAGTGAATCAGATCATAGCCATTACATTCGCTTCATTTCGACAGCGGCAGTCATGCCCTGTTCAAACTCTTCCTCGGTAGGCTCATCGGTGGAGTACTTCGCCAGTTGAATGACAGCGTCGTAATGGTGCAAGCATCGAAGCCCAGATTCATCAGGCGGGAATATTTGCTCTATATATCGCAGGTGATGCAAGATACGGCTCGTCGGTTTGAGCGGTGGAAGCTTGGGAATAAGAAGCCTCGCCAACTCGTCTACGTAAGTGAAGATGAGCTAATGTCCCTGTTCGCAGATTGTGCAGCTCACCAATTTCCTGAACGGTGTCCAATAGATCGCGACGAAAGTATATTCCATCGTATCGAGTCCCTGTTAAGGCATGGGAATGAGCAAACAGGGAGAGCAGCCGCTACGAACCAGGACGACCCCATCCAGGCTGGAAACCATCTTTGGGCTCGGATTCGTACGCAACCAGACACGCACGGGCATACTCCTGGGCTATAAAGTAATGCACGGACTACTATGGATCAGCGCAAAATCAATAACAGATATTCAGTTGACGCACCCGTGGAACATCACCCCGTCCAAGGGCTCTATGTCCTTTGGAAATTCGCTGCAGCCGTCGGTGTACAGACGCGCTCCGTTTCACACAGAAGAAAAGCGACGCAACAAGCTAAGGATACACTTTTATATAATACTCTTTCCCGCGGAAAACATAGGCATACCACAGCGACATAGCATGCTCCAATGACGATGGTGTTGAAGTTGCCAGCAATGGTTCGTCGCGGAGACGTCCTAATCGCTTGACCGGTCAAGAATATGCTAGAGAGTGCAACCAGACATGCCACTAGTAACACGAGGGTCCAATATAGCAGCTCTGAGACCGTGCTCCATCCGGCCTGGCGTCGCAGGAGCATGAAAGCGGGCAGTAGAAGTGGCTGTGCGGCCACTGCAGTGGAAGTCCGGTTCCGGGAAGGCCGGAGGATGCCGAAATGGTCGTCTCGAGGTGTGGACGCCGGCACGCTCGAGTCGGGCGCTACGAAGCCACCTGCCCGTTACTGGGCCGCGCAACGACACTCTTTGTTCTTACCAGCACGCTCGGCAGCCTCTCCAGGTTCCATGGCGACGACGACACCCGTTCCAAGGGACACGGCCTACAGCGTGGAGATAGGGCCGAAACGTCCGTCACGGACGTTGGCTCGTACGCTGCAGGGCCTACTAGGGGCTATCGTGTTCGACATCGGATGTTTGATGATCAATGGCACGCAGTTCGCGTTCTTGCTTCCACTGAGACTGCTGCCGTTCGAGTGGGCGGACAAGATTTACGAGGATGGCATACGGTATACCAAAGGCGCTTTTGGCAATCTGCTCAGTTAGTCATTCGATTGCGAATATCAGAGAGTTTCGAATGTCGATGTGTGTTGCTTTCCAATCTACAGTCTTGATGTGCCAGTGGTTCTCGCCGACGCGACTTGTCGTCTCGTTCGAGACCGAAGGAGAAGGCGCTTGGACCACTGAGGAGCTAGAACGGATCGTCGTGCGGGACGGTACCGGGAAGGTTACAAGGCTCGACTTGCCTCGGAAGAGCGTGTTTATCGCCAATCACCAGGTGCTTGTGTCACTGGTGCCTGCGTCGTTAAAGGGTTGAATTGAATGTTAGATCGATGTGTGTTGGGTTCCTGCTCCTGCCAGATATATGCGGACTGGTATGCGGTTTTTTGCTTCCATCTTCTAATATGTTCGCTAAAGCATTTTAGGTGGTATGCATGGTGTTTCTTACATTACTGCGGGATGTCCAAGGACATCTTCATCGTACTCAAGAACAGCTTACGCTGGATACCTGTCGTCGGCTGGGTAAGCGCCGCTCATCTCGAATCCAGGTGAGACTGCTCAACGATGCATCCACAGGGCATGAGGTTCTTCAACTTCATTTTCCTCGCCCGTTCATGGAACTCGGACAGACTGGCCCTCACCACCTCACTCGCGAAGATCGGGCGCCGCGCAGAGACCGAGGACACACCCTTCGCATTCCTTCTATACCCAGAAGGCACCCTGGTCAGCCGTGACACTCGACCAATCAGCAAGAAGTTCGCCGACAAGGAAGGCATCGTGAGCTTCTGTCGATCCCCTCGCAGTACTTCCCGATTGACAAGATCTGCCACCAGCCTGATATGATACATACCTTATTGCCGCGCTCGACCGGTCTGCAGTACAGCTTACGATCTCTTGCACCCCGTATACCCTCTCTTCAACTGATCGACATCACAATGGCATACCCAGGTAAATACTAACGACCCTTCCTGTGTGTCAGCGTCTTGACCGCATTCGAACAGGCGTCCCACCGATGGGATACGGACAGTCCTACTATACCCTCCGCTCCATCTTCCTCGATGGCATCCCCCCACCGTCCATCCATCTCCACCTCCGGCGTTTCGACGTCCGGCGCGACGTCCCCATCGGCGACCTCTCCGCGACCGACCCGAGTTACCTGCCAGCACCCTCCAAGCACACCCAGACCGTCGAAATCGACGTGCCGGAAGCGGAGAAGATCGCGTTTGAGCGCTGGCTGCGCGACCTGTGGCGCACGAAGGACGCGCTGTTGGACCGGTGGCATCGGCAAGGTTCGCTTGTTAGCGATAGCAGCACCACGGTGAAGATGTCGAACGAGGTGATTGAGATCCCGCTCAGGCTGCGAAACACGTGGGAGGTACTCGACGCGTTCTGCTTTTTCCTACCCGCGTTGGTATGTTATGTTTGGTCCAGGCTGAGGGGCCAGTGACGAAGGAGTAGGTTGGGCTTTCACGACTTTTTCCATGATGTGTAACACAGAGATACTAGCATGTTATAACGTAGCAATGACTGTTGTTTGTTGTTTCTGTGACGATGTGCATTAACGTAGATGCTTATGATATGTCTTAGGCTAGACATCTCGTGATGCGAGAGCAAAATAACAATGGAGAGCAACGGCACGGTGAAAGGTGTCTATGAAAGGCTTCCACCTGGTCGCTGTGATTCAACCTTCCGTACCATGAACATGCTTGTGTCGAGGAAACGGTCGACGCAGTTCTCGAGGCAACTCCTCTCGCTTCGTGAGAAGCTGGTAGACGGCGTGCCAGTTACGCACCTAAGCACAAAATATTGGTCAACGACTGAGATCCCAGTCAATAGTCGGAGAGAATACGCACTTGTCCCAGCACATGCTGGTGAAGTTGTGTATGCTCGCCTGCACCTTCGCCTGAGCCTCCTGGGCCTGGAGGAAATCGCCCAGCTCTCTCTGCATAGAGCAGGCCGTCAACATGGCGCGCGTAATGCGTGCGTGTGCGATGAACGCGCCTGAGTGGCCTCATCAAATTTGAAGGTAGCCTGTCCTTCAGACATGTTTTTGTGGTAGCGGAAGCTTAGCGCCCGGACACGGAAGTGAGAGTGGAGGATGGTAACAAAACAAGCCTCGTACGGTGCCGCCCGCGGTTCAATGAATGCCACGTGGTCAGCGCACTTGAGTTCAAGGTATCAGCATATTGCGGAAAGGTTCCTGTGGGTTTACTCGAGGTGAATGAGCAGTGTCTCTTCTTTGACGCATCACCTCAATCATCCCATTTGCAGAAACTCGTCAAACGCATACGTTTTGGGGACATACCAATGAATCTGGAGCGCGACGCAGCGAGCTGGAATAAGGTCACTGCAAAAATCTCCTACGTTCTGACTCAGCTTCGGTCAAAGATCAAAAAGGCGGTGCGTGCACGATCATGATCCGAAAGGTTGCAACTAACACTTCTGACTCTCAGATTCAAGCCAGCCTCAATGAAGTCGAAGATGAAGACGATCGGGAGACAAAGCCTGGCCCTGCTGAAACTCATACACCAATTTACGATCTCGCGCAGCAGATCGTGGCGAAGTACGACATCCGGGTTACTGCTGGGTTTTGTGCCCGTCTCGCTGTGATGGTCAGTGATATTTGATACAGTGTCGTCTTTTCCATACTAAAATTGCTTCAGCGTCAGGTTTATCTCGAAGGCATGGAAGGAGACTTCTGGGAGGCCGTCGACGAGCGATTGGAGACAATCCGTAGCGCGGCGGATGGCAGTAAAGAGAAACAGGAGAAGTAAGTCCGTCAATGCACAACGGAGACAGGAGGCTGATTTTTTGACGCAGAGCCCTGAAGCAGATCCTCAAGAAAGATCGAGAGTTGCATGGAGCTCGAACAACCGAGCAAATCAATGAGATGCCGTGCACATTCCAAGACGAAGTAGATGAAGCACTAAGGAAGGAAACGTGATGGCGCGTTTGGAACTGCACATTAAGTGCACGGTAAACGTCTCCAATGTAATAGTAATACCTGTTGTGGGTGCGAGTATAATATCATTGCGTTTTATTTACCTGGAGTCTCGGTGGATTGAACACGGTGTGATGTTATCTTCACCTCCCGTCATCGCATGTTCAGCCAGTCTCGTCATGCAGAGCAACTACGCACAGTAAGCGATAACATTGTCAAGTAGCTATCTACACTATGTAGTTACCTCGCTAATACGTGCGCGATACACATAGCAGACAGCTCTATGAGCATGGGTGGCACAATCACTTATCGATTGATTGCACAACCTGGTGTCACAATGCCAGCGAGCAAACGCGAGCTGTGGCTCTCACCCACGACGCGTGAAGAATCCACCCATTTGTGAGGTGGGACCCAGTTGGCAGTGTACCCCTTGAAGAGAGCTTCTACGAAGGACTACTTATTTGATCGACGTGCAAAGACATAGTCAATTGCAAGATCTAGCATGCTGGACGAGTATAGTACACGAACAAGAGAATCGTGGAAGACAGGCGCGAAAGCTCGAACATAGCGGAGACACTGGTAACATCGAGAACATAGACTGCGATGAATTCGAAATGAACATGAACAAGACTGTTGTAAGGCTCGCATGGAGTCTAACAATCTCATTGTTTTCCAGACCACATCTCATTGTTTTCCAGACCACATGTTCTTAGCCGGGCGCCAAAGAATGATGAAGATAGCTAGATCCTGGGAGTAGTGAGTGTACACTCTTGCACCCGAAGGAGAGACCAACTTACGATGACTAGCGTGGATAGGCAAGGCCGCTGCCAGTACACAGTCTTCCCTTGAGGGTGAACAGCGACCTCGAGACTGTCGATAACTTCGTCGACTTCGTCGGCGGGAGGCTGCAGGGGCGTCAGGACGAAATGCGAAGGTCCACGCGGGCGTTCTCACCAAACGCGGGACGTAAGCTGGTAGGGCTAGATGATCTTCGTCATCATGAGATACTGCCTCCTGCTTCACTGTTAGCATGGATCCGAAGCGAGCCCGACGGTGTCCATACTGCATCCTGTTCAAGTCTTTCCCTCAGCGACAGCTCATAGCGGGGATACGGGTGGTAGCGTCGCTGCCAGGACCCCCGATAGGTGGGCAACCGCATGGAACACTCGGGGATCGGTCCAATGCTCATGATCGAGCGCGAGATTGAACTGAGTAGGGAGCGACAGAACTGAGAGACGAGTGCGCTGGAGCAGTTGCAAGCGCGAGGAGGGCACGAGGTCGGTGTTGCAGAGAGAGCGAAGTCCTGGTCTTAGAGAGCTTAAATACCCCTCCACCCAGCCGCCGTAAAATGTACATCATCGCGGGGAGGTGAAAAAAACTTCGGGTTCTGGGTCGCGAATAATTCCAATTTGTCGGCGGGGTCATTGGACATCCCACGCGAGTATCGGTCACGGTCCTGTCCGACGCCTCGGGTATTTTGGCGCCGTCTCGTGGAGCAAGCATGGCGGAGCGAATCGTGCAGCCTTCATGTTGCTTGCATTCGATGCTGACAACGAATCATCTTGACGCGAACCATCTTGACGCGAACCTCAGACATTTCTGTGGACATGAGTCTTGTTGCGGTCGTAGGCCTTCTGATCCTGGCGCAGGGAGTCTTGACGCGGAAACCTCCAAGGAACATCATCTTGGTCAAGTTCACAAGTGATCACAAATTCACGGTCTTCAGCCTCGGTTGTGTCTTGAGTCTTCGGAGGTCTTCATCACGAGTCTTGCGAAGGTCTTGAGTCTTGCCAAGTTCTTGAGCCTTGACTTTTGTCTTTGAAACAGGTTCTTATCGTGGGCTCGAGATTTGTGAGGCAGCATTGGCGAACTGTCCGCTACGCTGGAACAACCTGCTTGACTCTGAATATCTCTTGCCAACTTGCCCCGTGTACGAGAGTACCTGCGCGAACTGAATGAGCGAGCTGCCGCATTCTGACGACGCCCTGGGATTCGAGCGAAACGACGAACGAGGGCTGGAGTGGAACCTCCATGCACTCGGCCCGAACTACATCTCCTTGTAGATGATCTCAGTGCCCCGCTCCAAGGATTAACTTGAGCTCGCGAGTCGCAAGCGTTCGTGACTCCGCGAACCGTGACGTGACGGTACGTGACCATCACGCTATGGCGGATGGTGCACCACCCTCGACTCATGACTTCCAACCACAACATGCAAACATTGCAACAGTGCATTGTCCCAATCCGCCGTCCCAATGAACCACGCGATTGTGCGACTGAATGAAGCCACCACAAGATTGCCAGCTCCCGCCAATGCGAAGCTCAAGATACGAAATCATGTTGTCTGAACCGGAGAAGAAGCAAAACCAGAGAACCGACGACCATGCCCACAGAATGACGGCGCGCAACAAAGAATCAAGCACAGGAAGATACACACCTTAGGCTAGCTGTAAGACCGTTGCCCGACCCATCCTCCTGGCCTCTTGGCCTCCAGTCATGGTCTTGCTCTCATGGAACGGGTTTGATGTCCGATGACAAGATACAAGAAACGAATCCGCAAGGGCAAGGACCGGTTCGAGTCAAGCAAGATCGCTAGACCGGACAGCGTCGACCGTGAGGAGGCCGGCGTCGGCGACAATGTTCTGGCCGCAAGGTGCCGTCGTTGACCTATCGCAATTTCAAGCCGCTGCAAAAATTGTTCTTGTGTGCAAAGAGGCTCGTCTACGTATAAGAAACGTGAAGAACCGGCAGCGACGCTGGTTGCTCGGATGTTGGCGGTCTAGGACGCCACCCCTTCCCCCCGGTGGCTCAGAGATCGTAGGCTATCCAGCGGTTCAAAAATCTCCGAACCCTGTCCGTTGGTGTCCTGCCAGGTATAAAGCATGCCGGCAGCCAGAAGAGGTTGGGGATGCAGGTTACGACGAGGGTCAGCCGGAGGTCCGAGCGCGAGAGCAATCGGGGTCCACGCCCCCACCAGTGATAGGGGCTAACTCTCGTGGCCTCGATATTTGCTCGCCTAGGGCGCTCCGGCTTCACGAGCTAGCCGCCGACTGCCCAGGTCAACCCCGGATACGCTCTGGTTGACCCCCAGCGGTTTTTGGAGGTGCATCTCCCGGCGCCCCGGTGTTAGGAAAGCCGTTGGTGCGCTGAAGCCCAGGCTCGAGCACGCCGCGTGAACTCGAGCCAGCCCTGCAAGAGCTCCGCCGAACGCACCTCTCTTTTCTGATTTTGAAGGTCGGCCAGATTCTGGAAATTGATCCAAGAATACAATTTAGACGTGCATTATTCCCTTTCCCCTCGCACCTCCTTAACTGCGTATTTGTTCAACTAACCAGCGCACCGCATTGAATCAAGCCTTGTCGAAAGCACGAGCATCACGGCACAGAGAGGGCTAACATCTATATTTTCCAGAATTTCTTGTCCGTATCCGGAGCTCCAGCATGATCGCGGAGGCCCGGGCTCGCAGGTTATGGATGACTGTCACGCATACTGCATCTAATATTCCCATCGAATCGCAGCAGAACTGGTTCTCTTCGGTACGCGGCTTGCGAGGAGCTTGAAGCAGGGATCCGGATCGATGCGAAATAACCCGCATGGAGTTCCTCATCGACACGCGCGAGGCTACCCCGGGATCGACCATAGCAACTGAATGTCTCCATTCGTTCAAGTTGAAGGACGCCAGCCGCTGCGAAGGCGGCTTAGAATTCGGAGAACCGAAGTTTCGCTTGCACCCAATGCATCAGCTCAGAGCTACGAGAACACCCAGTTGCTCCCTCTTCCCATCACCGAGCCAGCATACCACTGCTACCATCCTGTGCTCGACTACTACACCACTAATTATGGCCAGGTCGACAGACGCTCTGGCAAGAACAGCGGCACCCAGCGCACGAGTCACGAGAATATAGGATGGTAGTAACTCCGCACGCTATCCAGACGTCGTTGTCTGACCATTACCAGCTACCCTTGTATGCACACTTCTCGTATCCTATCAAACTCCTTGCGCCAACGCGAGCTAGCGGGTTACAGCTTCACTGATCGTCGCAACTGTGCACAGCCGACGTATCAAGTTTCGATAAGTAATCTATTGACAAATCGCGCATTGCTCATGATTATACGCTACAGATTCGACTCGATCTATCGTCGCACCATCAATAGATCTCTCTGCATCTTGGAGAGATAATTCGTCAAATAGCGGTTGTACCGCGCCACCTCGATATCAATTGTCCGAAATACCATCAACTCCAGTATAGCTTGACAAGTGAGTAACCCGCCGGTCAGTGCTGCGGCAAGGCATTGATGCGAACTCTTTGAACAGGAAGACAACGTTATAAGCCAGATATCACGTAGATCGGATGTAATCGCGATCAAATATGAATATCCTACTACCATAAAGGTTGTATGTCCTTCCACCCTTTCGCCCGCTGTTCCCAATACCCACCCTTGTAAACCCAATCATCCTCACTCTTCTGTTGGAACCATCGCGGTTTCCTTTCCTTTCCTTCCTTCCTCCTCGCCCTCTGCGCTTCCTCGACTTTCACCTTCTCCACCTCCGCTCTGTCCATATCCCCTTCCTCCAGCGCACGCACATCGGGCCTGAACCGCGAGTCCGTGATGCACAGCACCCCCTCCTCCTTCAGATCCTCCGTAATCTCGTTCAGCGTGATCGCAAAGTACGTGAAGCCGTAATACTCCCGGGCATTCTTGGGGAACGGGTTCGGGCGCCAGAGCACTTTGAGATGATCCGTATCGAGCTTGCGCACGACCTGCTCGTCCCACTTTCCTTCGAGGTACGAGACCTTATGGCCGTTCGCGTCGAAAACGGTCCCGGCGATGATGTTCGGCGTACCCCAGTATCCAGCCTCCTTAAATTCGACGACGCACCGCTCGCCGGTCTTCACGTTCTGTATCGTCATCTCGCCAACGTGCTCGAGGTATTTGTTGCCCATCATGAGGTTGCGCATGAACGACGACGGCTTGCGCCATTCGAACGTGTCGTCACCGATGCGCGCGCGATTAACGCCGGATGGGATGATTTCCAGGCTCTTGCCCCAGAACTTGGTCTTCCCACTTGAGGTCACGTTGACCTCCCAGTTGTTGCCTTCGGCATGGTACGCAACGACGAGCGGCTGGTGACTGACTTTCTCGGCGATGAACTTCATCCTCGCGTCTTCGAATGTCTCGGCCAGCATGGGGTTGCTGTATACGATGGTCACTAAGCGCACCGCAATATAATGGGATGATATTAAGCCCGTACAAGCTCTTCCGTCCCGACCGCAGCTTGGTGCACGCGTATGCAGATATTGCGAAGGCTGCGACGTAGCATAACCGCTCAATGGGATCGTCATTCTTCACCGCTTGATCAAGCAAGTCGAAGTATTCCAGGTCCTCGGCACAGCGCTGGGTCAACGTCAAGGGTTCGTTGAATGACACCGGCATGGCGACGCTGGCAAGGTCCTGATAGTACCGTCAGAAATGGCACCACGCGGTACATCGCAAGTAAACGGAGGATACCTTGCCAACGTTCTTCTTGAGCACACCGAACAAGCTGCCCTCATCACCCACAGGACCAGATGGCAATTGCGTCCTCCGCACGACCTGCTTATGCTTCTGTGCATCGTCCTCCGGCGCCGTCTGTGCGGTCGCGAGGCTCTCCTCCTCCTCCCCCTGCTCGTCATCACTATCATCGACACCAGCGTCACTCGTCTGCGAGTCGCCGCTGACGGATCTCTGCACCTGCGACGCCGCCGACGACTTGCTTCCGCTCTCGTTCGGCGTCGTATCTGGGTCTTCCATCACGAACTCGAGCGCTCCCTCGGCGTCTGGGGCGTCGAACCATATCTCGCCTGCCGAACTCGCGATGCTAGTGCGCCCGGATGGACCCCAGTGCACGCTACTGCCTCGCATATGACCAGGGGTCCGCCAGGACGGGGTCGGGGTGGTAGCGGTCGTAGGAGTGGAGGTGTACGAACCCGAGCCGGAAGGTTCCTCTGTGAACATGGGCCCACGGGCCACAGAGGAGGCCGCGCCTGCCGCACTGTCTGAGGGTGGAATGAGGGAGCGCACGATGGTTGCATGTTGTTCTCGGAGCGCTTCGAGCGCGGAGAGGAGACGCTGATGGCTGTTGGCCGTGCTAAAGCCGCTTGACGTCGAGGAGGGTATTTCTACCGAGAGGGAGCTGCCTTCGTTCGCTTCATGGCCGGAATGATGAGCTAGATCGAGGGAGAGATAAGTTCCAACACAAAGGTGTGGATGACGAAGGCAGACTTACATCGTCTGAAGAAGAGCTTATGTGCGCTCTCCTTGACCTGGTCCCGGTGCTTGTGCTTCTTTTTCACTTCTTCTGGGAGCGAGTGCACGGCTTCTTCCAATTCAGCGAGGGTCTAGAATGACCACGGTACAGTCAGATGTCATCGCCGAGGAAATGAGAGCCCGAAGGACATACCTTGGTCATTTCGTCCAGTGCCTTCGTGGCCTGGTTGAGTAAGGGCGCCGACCGCGCCGTGGAGGATCGCCGTCCGAGGGTACGCTCATCGTGTGCGATGAATGTCCTGGACAATTTAGCATGCAAATGTGCGCGTAGATTGGCCTCGCTCACCGAAAAGCCGCCATCCACTTGCGGAAGTCATCCTCCTCGAGGCACTTGACATGGAAAGTCGCGTTCGGCGCGTCGATGTGGATATCCTTGTGACCTGGCTGCGTCGTGATCGCGGCGGTGGGGAGCAACAGACCGTCCCGGGGAGGTTTATCCGGTTGGAAGGAGTATTCGAGTAGGCCGGACTCGTACAACACGAACCACCGGCGCGCAAAGCCCTGCATCTTCTTCCTCCGTTTCTTGAGCAGCCATCCTGCGCGCGACGCATCACGCTGGTAATCGTCCGTTACAAAGCGCGCACCCACCTTCGCAGATAGATTTGCCGCGGTCGTCCATCGGGTCGATGCTGGCCGCGAGGGTGTGCGAGCGACGAGCGGGATCAATTCTCAGGGGGCGCCAGGCTGGCTCGAGTGCTCGTACGTGTCTCGTAAAGGCATGGTGGCTTGGCTGAGCCTCGCAGCACCGAACGTCACCGAACTGGCCGCGTTGGTGTACGACGCCCCGGCGAGATCAACGACACATCAACACGTCCTCGTGGCCGTCTGGTCTGACGTCGACGCACGAACAATGTCGCCGCCGTCGCAAGGCAGCGATATCGGACCCGCTGGCCCACTCAGACTCGGCCCACTCACGCCCTACGCCGCTTTTCCCGCCCTTCGTTGCCGAGACGGGTCCGTACACGGTTTATGAGACCCGATCCCGCAACATCCTCAGTAATCTGCCCCGGAAGGCAATCGGTACATTCAGCAAACGGCGAAAGAGCGAACAACCGGGGATAGATTTCCCTGGCTTCGGCACGTGCTCGGCCCGGCTGTGTGTCACCCAAGCGCTATAACTTAGCAATCAGGTAATCGCGTCCATCATCCCTCACATCCACCAACCTCGTCCTCCTCCTATCCAACGATAAACATGGCCTCACCCGTGTAAGTCTGCAGCGGATTTCGACAGCGCTCGCGGCTCACGCTCGATGCAGCGGCGATATCGGTCTCATCGGCCTGGCCGTTATGGTTAGTGTAGACTAGTGTTGCATGCAGAGATCGGACTTGACCGCCAGGACAGGGTCAAAATTTGATCCTCAACATGAACGACAAGGGCTTCACTGTCGTCTGCTACAACAGGACAGTCGCCAAGGTGGACAACTTCCTCGCCAACGAGGCCAAGGGTACGATTGCCGTTCTTGTCCGATTGACGCGCTCAAGCTCAGCCCGCCGCTGCAGGAACCAAGATCCAGGGTGCCCACTCTATTGAGGAACTCGTCTCAAAGCTCAAGCGCCCGCGCAAGATCATCCTCCTCGTCCAGGCTGGACCCGCTGTTGACAGCTTCATCAGCCAACTCGAGCCCCACCTCGAGAAGGGCGACATCATCATCGACGGTGGTAACTCCCACTACCCCGATTCGATCCGCCGCACCAAGGAGCTCGAGTCGAAGGGCCTCCTCTTCGTTGGCTCCGGTGTCTCTGGTGGTGAGGAGGGTGCCCGTCATGGTCCCTCGCTCATGCCCGGCGGTTCGCCCGCCGCCTGGCCCGCAATCAAGGAGATCTTCCAGGCTACCGCAGCCCAGGTCAACGGCGAGCCCTGCTGTGACTGGGTCGGCGAGACCGGTGCCGGTCACTACGTGAAGATGGTTCACAACGGTTGGTTCGATTTCTCTGGGCAATCGTCTTCTCATGACTGATAACCTTTACGCAGGTATTGAGTACGGTGACATGCAGCTCATTGCTGAGGCGTATGACATCCTCAAGCGCGGTCTCGGCCTCCACGAGGATGAGATTGCTACCATCTTCGAGCGCTGGAACAAGGGTGTCCTTGACTCCTTCCTCATCGAGCTCACCGCCAACGTCCTCAAGTTCAAGGACGACGATGGCGAGCCCCTCGTCACCAAGATCCTTGACCAGGCCGGTCAGAAGGGTACCGGAAAGTGGACCGCCATCAATGCCCTCGACGCTGGCATGCCCGGTACGCGGCCGCTCTCTACTGTATCCCCAGCTCCAGCTGATCCATTCGCACAGTGACCCTCATCGGCGAGGCCGTCTTCGCCCGCTGCTTGTCCGCGCTCAAGGAGGAGCGTATTCGTGCGAGCAAGGTCATCGCCGGCCCGCAGAAGGAGGCGTTCCGCGGCGACAAGAAGCAGTTCATCGATGACCTCGAGCAGGCTCTCTACGCCTCGAAGATCATTTCGTACACGCAGGGCTTCATGCTCATGCGTCAAACTGCGAAGGACGTGAGTCATCTATGATGCAACGATAGTTAGCGGCCGTTCCCTGATATCTGATTATCTGCCCAGCTCGGCTGGAACCTGAACTATGCCGGCATCGCCCGCATGTGGCGAGGCGGCTGCATCATCAAAGTAAATCACCGCTTCGACCCTCACACACCGAGGTCATCCTGCTGATTCCTTATCTCAATCTCAGTCGGTCTTCCTCGGCGACATCACCGCCGCGTACACTAAAACACCTGCCCTGGAGTCGCTCCTCTTCGACGACTTCTTCAACAAGGCCGTGCACAAGGCGCAGCCCGGCTGGCGGCGCATCATCGCCCAGGCCGTGCTGTGGGGCATCCCCACCCCGGCGTTCAGCACCGCGCTCGCCTTCTTCGACGGCTACCGCGCCGAGGTTGTCCCCGCCAACCTCCTCCAGGCGCAGCGCGACTACTTCGGCGCGCACACCTTCCGCGTCATGCCCGGTAAGGAGAACGAGCGCCTCGTGGCCGGCAAGGACATCCGTGAGTTGCTCGTTCCCGAACGTCCATCGCGACTACGTGATGCTTATCCCATCCGATTTTCTCCTCCTCTTAGACATCAACTGGACCGGCCGTGGCGGCAACGTCTCCGCGTCCACGTACGTGGCATAAACGTTCATGGTGCCTTCGCAGGAACGTGCGCGTCGGCGCGTGTAGTGAGCGGGGATGAAGTAGGAAGAAGTGAGAAAACATATTGTACTAGATCGCCCTTCCCCTTGTATCGTTCTTAGAGCGGCGGCGTGTAGCGGAAATGAAAGAGAAGTGTTTGTCCGCCTGTAGATCATCCGGGTGTAACCCGGATTACGGTGATCGTTGCGTTGATTGTCAGCACATAGGCACTGTGATTTGGCTACGAAGATGTTAAGAACAGGCCTAGGCAACTCACACGCATGTGCTTTGGCTGTTGTTATCACCGCTTGTTACTGCATCTGCACCTCAGGTGGTTTCGGGGGGAAGCTGAGCTCCGTCTTTATTACCTATGAGAATGCGATGGACCGCCCGGGCCCTTCTCAGTCGTTGACATGCACCTCGTTTCGCCATGCTTTTAAAGTGAACGTCCCCACGACAGCTCGTGAAGAATAGTCGCACAAAATCAAACTGGTTTATTCTGTACTTGGTCTTACATCTGACCTATACTCAAAGACCCTAGGAAAAGGACAGATATGCCGACTTCGCTCAAATGGTTCGCTCTCTTGCGGATGATCTGATAACATACGCACAATATACGGCATTCGGAAGCGCGGCTAGTCCATGTGAGTACTTCATGTTCAGGAGCTGCCCTGAGGCTGCTGACCACCGGTCTGGCCAGCAGCTGCAGCCTGCTGGTTGTAATAAGCTGCAGTGGGAAGGTTACGGTCAGCACTGGGCCTCAGAACAAAGGGAAGCGAACGCAGAATACTCACTGCTCCAATAGTTGGCATAGTACGAGCTCGCGTCCGCGGGCCACTGAGCAGTGCCCGCGGCGGCGGCGGCAGCAGCAGCGGTAGGGTCCGCAGTGCCAGCGGCGGCAGTACCATCAGCACCGGTACCAGTCAACCCCGGAGTCCCACCAGCAGCCAACCCGCCATAGCCAGCGAAACCATAGGAGCCGTACATGTTTGGCTGGGGCATGCCATACGCGGGCTAAGATGGCAAGATTAGCGGTCGTACAACAAAGGGACTGCTGCAACTGACCATGCTCGGGAAGGGAGAGCTCGGGCTAGGGCTGATCGGCGTACCGACGGCGCCGCCATCGGCCCGGTCCTTACCCCAGCTGCACTTGATCGGCCGCCCGTGAACCATCTGACCCTGAAGTTGGATGATCGCCATCGCGGCGTGCTCGTGCGTGTCAAGCTTGACGAACGCAAAGCCGCGGTCGGCCTGCATCCTGATCTCCTGCAGGTAGCCGATAGACTGGAAGAGGGGAATGAGGTCCGCCTGAGTGCAATACGGGACCAGGTTGCCAACGTAGACGGTGGAGTTGTAGGCGGGTGTCTGGGAAACGACGGACTCGTACGAGATCGGGCCGCCCTGGAAGTTCATAGGGGCCGGTGAGCCTCCCAAGCCGGGCGAGGGACGAGCGGCAGCAGGGGCAGGAGCTCCGCCTCCCATGGCGCCCTGGGTCTTCTGGTTGGCCCAGTTGACACGGATTGCGCGGGAGCCGAGCCATTCGCCGTTCATGGTGGCGATCGCCTGCTCGGCGTCGGTCTTGTCGCGGAAGGCGAGGAAACCGTAGCCACGGGACTTGCCCGAGTTCATGTCCCACATAACGCGGGCATCCGACAGCGAGCCGAAGGCGCTGAAGGCCTTCTGCAGCACCTCGTCGTTGACCTCAGGGCTGAGGTCGCCGACAAACACATGATAGTGGTTGGATGTGTCCTCCTTGTTTTGATTGCCCTGGTAGGCCCAGTTGACGCGAATCTCTGTGTCGAAGATCTTGCGGCCATTGAGCGTCTGAAGCGCCGTCTCGGCAGCGCGCATGTCAATGTACTCGACGAAGCCATAGTTGAGGCCGCCGTGCTGGTAGTTACGGTCGGGGATGATTTTCACATGTTGGACGGGACCAGCGACAGCAAAGATCTCTGTGAGCATATACTCGGTCACCCGCGGACTCAGGTTGCCGACGTAAAGGTGGGCCCTCCTCTGCTTGAGACGCGCAGCACAAGAGCAAATTGATAGGAAGTGAGCAGGAGGCGCAGGAGGGAGAACCAGGGGTCAGTATGTCGTGGGTCGTTAACCATTAGAAATGCGCTCACGGGAGCCTCCGCGACACCGCCGATACCAAAAGTGTTCATGACTTATAAGTAATAAGACCTGCGCAGAAGACGATGATAAGCTCGGGGTAACAGGGCTCATTTAGGGGGAAGCGGCGCGTACAGTAGAGAAACTGCAGATACACTGAGCGACAGACGTGTCCGTGAATTGAGACAGAGAGGAGAGGAGGAATGAGACAGAGAGGAAACGGAGACAGAGAAAGGAGACGACGGCAGGAGCAGACAAGCAGCAATCGCTCAGATCGCTGCCATCACTCCGACTCCGTCACCGCCATGGCCGGCTTGCCCAACCTGCTCTCGCGTGCCCTCGGTATGTCCTCCTAACGCCAACGCACCCTCGTTGCTCGTTGTAACGCGACCTTCCAGTGCCCGTTGCCCTTGCCGTCGGTGTCGCCCAGGCCAGCATTTACGATGTGCCCGGAGGCTACCGTGCCGTCATGTTCGACCGCTTCTCGGGAGTGGGGAACACGGTACGTCCCTCGTCGCTTCTTCACGCTGGAATGCGCTAACATCTAGCAGGCGAAGCCGGAGGGAACTCACTTCCTCGTTCCATGGCTCCAGCGTGCCATTCTGTATGATGTCCGCATAAAGCCTCGGGTGCGCTCACTTTTGCTGCTCTTTTCGACACGCCTCCGGCTTACATTCGACATAGAACATTTCAACAACGACGGGGTCCAAGGACCTTCAAATGGTCACTTTGACGCTCCGTGTTCTTTCCAGGCCCGATATCGACAAGCTTCCGCGTATTTACCAGTCGCTCGGCATGGACTACGACGAGCGTGTCCTCCCATCTATCGGCAACGAAGTGCTCAAGGCTATTGTCGCACAATTCGACGCCGCCGAGCTCATTACTCAACGTGAGGTAGTCAGCTCGCGTATACGCGCGGACCTGCTGCAGCGTGCCGGCGAGTTCGGCATTACTCTTGAGGACGTGTCGATTACGCACTTGACCTTCGGCAAGGTATGGCCCTCATACAGAGCATCTGCTACCAGCTAGTCACTCATTTTATTCCTCAGGAATTCACCCAAGCCGTCGAAGCCAAGCAAATAGCCCAACAGGACGCTGAGCGGGCGCGTTTCGTTGTTGAGAAGGTGCGTCCTCCCAACGTTCAAGGTTCAGCTCAATATGAACCTTGAATGTCAGGCTCAACAAGAGAAACAAGCCGCCATCATTCGCGCTGAGGGTGAAGCCGAAGCGGCTGCCAAAATCTCGAAAGCTCTCTCCACTGCCGGCGAGGCATTCATCACCTTCCGCAGAATCGAAGCCGCCAAGGCCATCGTCGGCTCGCTCTCGCAGAACGGCAACGTCACCTACGTGCCGAGTAGCAACGGGAACGTTCTCCTTAACATACCTACCCAGAAGTAATCGTCTCTTATGTGTGTCCCTCGTTGTCGAGCATTGCATTGCACTCCTCTCTCCTCAGTGTTGTTTGCGGCTGTGCGGCATTTGAGTTGCGTATTCTACCCTACAAGTAACGTCCCCTTCTTCTCTGTGGCACCACCTTCCATACGAGCCGAATGCGTCCCGAACTGCATCGCCTTCTTCTTCCTCGTGCTCACCTCTACCAGGTTCAGTTTTCGCGCCGCCAGCCTCAGCAGCATCTTATCCCCGATACCCGGGGGTGCCCGTAGATCCGTCTTCAGGTGCACCGGTAGGCCCGCGAGGTAGGATACCAGCGATAGGGACAAAAACGGATGACGTGTCTCCTTGCCATGTGCCGAGATGACGCGGTCGTCCCGGCCCACGTTCCGAGTCGGAATTCGGTCAATCTCGAGCTGAAGCTGCACATGCCGAGTGAGTCGAGGAACACGCGGACGGGACGGGACAACGTCAGCACCTCTGCAATGAGGGCCGGCCATCCGCCGGAGTTGAAGACGCTCCGATGCCGCCCGTAACCGCCCATAAGCTCGTCGGATCCGAAGCCGTTAAGGAGCACCTTCGCAGGACTGGTGTAAGGACGACCGTCAACCACGCCTACCCCACGCGAAGCAAAGTATAAGGCATTTGCAAGGCTCTACGGTTGCTGTTAGAGACAGACGCGCATGAGGGGCGAACATACTTGCCAGGTCCATAACAGTGCGACTAGGCCACATCAAAGCCTCCACGACTGAGCGAGCGGCTTGCGTTTCCTGGAGTTGTCAATTGAAAAGAGTGAATGCGTGCATGCTGGCATACTCACCTCGAACGGAACGTTGATTTCGACAAAGTTCCACGTACGACCAGGGCAAACACGCTTCAATTCTTCAACCTCTGTAAGGCCTGTCACCCTATCAGGGACCATGTATGCTCCACCTCCATTCGCAGCTGGCAGCAGAACATCTTCATCGACCTGGTTAGATTTTCTGTCTGGTTTGTTTGTCTTCGCAGAACGAGCCCGTTCTCTACGCGGGTTCTCGAAGGCGACGTTTAGAAGATCCACTGGTTCAGATAGAGGTAAATGCCTGCATAAAATTTCTAAGACGTAATACTCGAGACCAATTGTTCCAATACATACTGATGCGCAAAGTATGCAAGGACCGTCGAATCAATACCCCCACTGAAGAGCACGGCTACCCGCGCGTCGCCAGGCGATGGTCTGCATGCCATCAGCCGATGTACGGAGGCAACAGTAAAATTTACTCGCGTATGCCGAGGGATATCCCGCACTTGCAGCATGACACTTCTTTCTAGATGTCGTAGGAGACCGTCCACCGCAACCTGTAAATAATCGGGTATTGTATCGAGTGACGTCGGGATTGCTATATCAATTGACGAAGCTGTCCTGTTCACAACTCCAGGCGTAGACTACGACCTTCAGCGTCGCCTCCAGCAGCTCTAGTCGATAAACTCACGAATGGTGGACTGAATGGCGTTCGCCTTGAGATGGACCGAATATATGCGTTATGTCGTGTACAGAACTAGGATGTTCTGCGTAAGATGAAATGTCCACGGGTAGACTACCGAGGAACGCTCACGTTGTCAATGAGCGTTTCGGTGCCCCATTCTGTGTAGTGTATGCTTTCGGTAGATAACTCTTGAAAATCGTAGCACGGGTGTTGTCCGACCGAAGTCGAGGCCAAGATGAGGTATGGCGCTCCCGGCCGTGGTATATGCAGGAGTAGTGACCGACGGCCGAGGGGATCTCTAGCAAAGTAGAGTCGTCGCGACGATGCCTGGTAGTACACGAGCGCATACCTACACAGTGAGCGCGGATTAGCCCCCAGCGGCTTGCGATGAGGGCTGGGATGAGTGCACTTACGGGCCTTCGATGCTTCCTAGCAGCTGAATTATGTCCTGCTCACTTGAACAAGCAAAGAGAGCGTCGAATAGTTTCACTCCATCGTTCTCCTCAGGTCCGACCTACAGTCATGTTGTGACGGAGTTTGGATGCTCGGTCAAGAAGTGGACCAACTTCAAGGCCTTCGAATATCTCTTTCGAAGGTTAGAAAATCGACTCGTCGTTCGATGGACTCAATAACTGACCTCTCCGTTCCAGCACAGTACATCTCCGTCGGGCTCTTCGCGATGCGGCTGGACGATGGGCGTAGAACCCCTAAGTCGCAACTCGGACGCATAAAAGTCAAGCTTGACGCTCCGACGACAGTGGGCGGAATGGCAGTCGATGTTCCTCTGGATCCGGGCCTGCGCATGCGGTCCTGCGGGAAGCTGCAATTACCGGTATTGATGCAGACCGGTCGAGCACAGACCTCGTAAGGCACATTGCTGTTGAAGTGCAGCGTCTACATCGCCGAGATTTTCCAAACACTCGACGAACGAAGCGGAGAAGTATATGCCACACATCAGTATGTAATCGCACTCTAGATCTGCATTGCCTCAGATCAAGCTGGTCTCTGATTACGGCCGTGTTAAAGAATCTTGAGTTCGAGAGCTCCGAGTGTCGTCGTCTGTAGATGGTGGATAGAATTACAAAGCGTAGTAGCCTAATGCCTAAGTTTTACGTTCGAACACGAAACAAGTGCACAGAAAGCAATGAGATATGCTCAAACACCTGCTAAGCCAGACGCCGAGGAACCACCGTCTCCCGCGTTGTTGGAGAACATGTTGATCAGCCCGCAAGCACCGTTGACGTCGCCGCCAGGAGTGGCGCCGGCGGCCCCGGATATCGCGCTACCTGGCGCACTCGATCCTCCCTGAGCCGCCATACCAGCAGAACCAGAAACCGAAGAACCGCCGTCGCCTGCGTTGTTCGAGAACATGTTGATGAGCGAGGTGCAACCCGATCCGGACGTGCTGCCACCTTGGGCGAGGGCTGCGGCGCCCGAGTAAGCACTCGAGGCGACACCCTGACCGGAGCTACCCCCGGGAGTAGCGTTGGACTGAGAGCCATCTGCGGCTGGTGCAGCCGGCGCCGCCCCATTGCCATCGGGGGCCGCGCCGCCGACCGCATTCCCATCCCCATTCGCTGGAGGGGAAGAGGTAGAGTCATCGCTGCCAACATTGCCATCGCCAGACGGATCACTATCTGAGGCCGAAGGTGGGGGCGGAGGTGGGGAATTGTCATCCGGGTTAGAACCGTCGAACGTTGGCGGAGAGCCTTCCGTGTTGTTGATGCCGGAGCCACCGTCGCCGCCGCCGCCGTTTCCACTGTCGTCCCCGGCGTCGTTCCCGTTCCCATTTTCGCCGCCGCCGTTTAGGTTTCCGTTGCTGCCGTTGCCGTTGCTGCCGTCTTCGGTGCCGTTGTTGCCGTTGCCATTGCTGCCGTTCCCGCTGCCATTGCTTGCGCCCCCGTCAATGCCGACGCCGCCGTTGTCGCCACCGTCGCTGCTACTGCCGCTGCCCCCGTTGCCGCTGTCATTCCTGTCTCCGCCGTCGCTCCCGTCGAGATCGCCGTTGCCGCTATCACCGTTAGAGGACGAACCCGAATCGCCTACGGGAGTGGGTGCAGGATCGGAGGGATAGGCAGCTGTTGCATGGGACAGCTGGCCAGGGTCGATGTCGTCGTCGCCTTGACCGGAACCACCGGAGCCATTCGCTTGACCTGAGTCTCCGCTGAAGACCGGAGTAGGATTGTTGTTCTGGAGCGTGTCGCTTATGGCATCACCAGATGCAGAAACGCCACCATCGCCAGCATTGCCTAAACGATGATATGATTATAAGGCATAGAGACATACAGTGCCGATGCTCTAACCAGAGAACAATCCCAAGACTCCAGAGTCTCCGGCAACATCTCCACCATCGGCAAGTCCGCTAGCTCCCGAAAACGAGTCTCGAGAGTAAACGGAGGGGTTGTGGACCGACATTCCCACAGTCGTTCCAGAGGTTTTAGCTGGCGGTGAGGTTAGTTCAATCAGCAAAAGGAGGTCACTGTTGTACGTACCGGATGCAGCCTTGAAGTTAGTGCCGCTCGTCCGATCGTCTTGCTCTCCTGAGAAGTCTCTTAAACATCAATAGATACTCTAATGCGTGGCCCACACACCAGCTGAGAACGTCATTGACCGGCTGCGTAAACGCAAGCCTTCGGTTTGAGAATCCAAAGGAAGGGCAAGGAGGCGGCTACAGGGTACGTTAGGCACAATATGTTTGTCGATGGTTCATTGCTGCCATACCTTCGAGCAGCAAGTAGACTACCAGCTTTACCGCTGGTAGATGAACCTCCATCTCCTGCATTGTCTGTCGGAGTTGTCAGTATCAAGATGGGACACGATCGGTGGCGACGCACTGGACCACATGTTGATGAGCCCGGAGGCGGCGTTCACGTTGCCTCCTTGAGCTGCTCCAGATTGGCCCGAGTAAGCATTCGAAGTTGCGCCGTTCCCAGCGACCGAGCTCAGTCCTCCGGCTGGTCCAGACTGCGATTTGCCGCCGTCGCCGGCGTTGTCTATGGGAAAGTTATGGCGAAGAGCCGGACATGAGTAATGAGCGGCGGTGCTTACTGGAGAATAAGTTCAACAAAGACAGGGCAGTGCCGTTCACACTTCCGCCCTGAGCAGATCCTCCTGCAAACGGAGATTTTGAGTCAACCACAGCTCTTCAATGATAGAGAAGTAACCAGCCTGCCCCAGAAAACATGTCACGCCCGCTGGAAACAAGTTCTATCAAAACATGGGGTTATACAGTGAGAAAACGCTCACTGGATACGCGAAGGGACTCCCGACGAGCCGCTGAGAGAAGATCCGCCGTCGCCCGCATTGCCTGAACAGTTGTGAGTATAGGCCGACAGATTAGATCGAAGACATACCAGAGAAGAGGCGCAGCAATCCCGGGGTGTTGTCGACACGACCACCCATGGCTGAGCCAGCAGCGCCAGAGTAGGTGTTCGTCCTCCTGATCAGGGATTAGACGTGGTCACTAACCCATGATCATAGTATACCCACCTGTGAACGTGAGTGACAGCGTCCCCGGTAGTAGAAGAGCCACCGTCGCCGGCGTTGTGGGAGAGTATGTCGAGCAAGCCGAGACCGAGGAGGTTCAGTCCGTCTGCGTCCGCCGTGTGCCCAGTAGGAACGACCGAGCCTCCGTTGGCCTGTACGGTCGGCTTAGTCAAACAGCAAAACGCGAGATGGGCGGGTTTTCCTTACCGAACCAGCGGCTCCAGAGTAGGCGTTTTGCGGGACGGGGCTGGCAACCGGTGCCGAGTACACGAGAGTGGGGCTGAGGCAGAGCGCCGCCACGGAGAGGAGTGCGGGAGTACGCATTCTTGTTGTGTTGATTATTCGACTGTAGGATTAGCAGGATGTATCGAGAGATGAATAGCGGTAGACTGCGAGATGATAGATAGGACGTGGTGTGGTGAGAAGCGCGTTGAGGTGCCATTTCGGCGGGGCGGCGCTTTTGTACCGTTTTCTGAACCAACCAAAGACGCGATGCACGTCTGTCATGTATTGTCAAGTCAATGTCAATCTTGACCACCTTCCATTTCGGGACCCTGAGGAGCAGCATGAACACGCACGCCGATGCGACAACGGGATTTGAGAACTCACTAATTAAAGGGCTGTATACATCCGAAAGCATCCAAAATAAATAGATATAAAGCGAGCAGTTCTGAAAACGGTGGCCATGAAGCGAAGGGTCCGTTCATACCAGGTATTGTGATGCGCAGCCTCAACGCCTAATCGTCTGCGACAACTAGCCATTCGGAGTCAGATTCACGCCCTTGTCCGTCTGAGATCGTATCCCATCCTTCGTCTCCGCCGTGCTCGTCGGGTCCTTGAGCTCCCCGTTTCCCGACACCTGATCCTGATTCGATACCGCAGGCGTATCGCCGGCGTCTTGAAGCGCGTCAGACATGGCGGCGACGCCAGAGTCATCTCGCCAGTTGACTATGGCCTTTGTCTGCGATCGCATCTCCTGGTAAAATTGGTTCGCCTCGTTCATTCGGTTGACCTCCGCCTGCTTCGCATCGAGCCAACGCTGGAGGAGTTTGGCGTTATCCTTCTGCAGCGCCGCGTTCCTCTCCTCGATTTGGCCAAGTTCCAACTGGAGGGTGTTGATCTCGTCGTGCAGTATCTGGAAATCGGCGGTTCCGGCTTGAAATCAGCACGATGTCTTGAATCATAAGTCGAAAAGACGCGTGCCTGCGCCGTCCGATCCTTCTCTGCCATCAACTCCGCATGTTGCTCGACCTTCCGTCTCAACACTAGCACTTCATCGCGGGCTTTGCGATGATTCTCCCCCTCCATTCGCGCCTGCTCCTCCTTTTCACGCAACGTCTCGTTCATGGAGAGCAGTCGTTGCGCATTTTGCCCCTGAGTTTTGTACACGGTCGCGAGCTCATCTCGTAGCGATGATATTTGACTCTCCAGCGACGTGATGTACGCGGCTTGCACGGGGTTGCTTTGTGAGCTCGTTAGATCGAGAATGGCACGCCCGAGTGTGTGCGGACTTACTCTCCACCGGTTCCTGGGACGTAAACCGTTGAAGTGCTGGGGTTGGTCCTCACAGTACCCACTGCTTTCAGCAGGGATGCGTTCCGTTCCTTCAGCAGCTTCGTTTGCTGGGAAAGCCTGCGATCTTCTCAACAGTCAATATCGATTTCATTTATCCAAAAAAGAACGTAGCGAGCCGTCAAGGCCGCCATCTCATACATTGCTCAATGATAGGTGCGAACGCCGACTCCTTCGCGTTGCGTTCTATAAGCCGCTGCCGGAGCTGCTCCTGCCATAGGGGCTCGGCCATGTATCGCCTTGTGAGGGTCCGGAGGGTTGTATAGACAACCGAGGAGGACAGCAAGCGGAGAGCACGAATGATCGCCCGAAACCCGCGACGCGCCTCAAGGCGCTCAGCAACGTCTAGCGTCACCACTTCTGTCCTCTTGTCCCTCTACAGCAGCCACTGCTAGGGCGACTTCTCCGCGCCGCTACACTCCTCACCGCTAGACCTCCACCGCGTCCAGATATCGTCATGGGTCGTGTTCTTCTGAAGGTAGGCGTGATACGTTTCGGTGCAGAACGACTCGGCTGACGCAAGTCGCTGACCCCTGTAAGGTCATCATCCTCGGAGACAGCGGGTTCGTGGCGTTGCAACCCTGGTGGTGGTCTCATTATGTATGAGCTAACGGACGATAACATGCAGCGTCGGTAAGACCTCGCTCATGAACCAATATGTGAACAAGCGCTTCAGCAACCAGTACAAGGCGACTATCGGCGCCGACTTGTAAGTTCCGCGGTGTCCTGCACATCTCCATTGCACTCATCGACAATCCACAGCTTAACGAAGGAGGTTATGGTCGACGACCGGTTGGTAACGATGCAGGTAAGCTCGCTCTGTATATCCTACCCTGCTGCGCATGTGATGACCCTCGTACGCTCTAGCTGTGGGACACGGCTGGCCAGGAACGCTTCCAATCACTCGGTGTCGCCTTCTACCGCGGCGCGGACTGCTGTGTGCTCGTATACGACGTCAACAGCTCCAAGTCATTCGAGACGCTCGACAGCTGGCGCGACGAGTTCCTCATCCAGGCCAGCCCGCATGACCCAGAGAACTTTCCTTTCGTCGTTCTCGGCAACAAGATTGATGTGGAAGAGAACAAGCGCCAGGTATGTCTCCCCGGACTTTACCAGCCATTGTCCTTGCCGCTCACGCGCCTCGTGATGTATAGGTGACCCAGAAGCGTGCGATGACTTGGTGCCAATCCAAGGGCAACATCCCGTACTTTGAGACCTCTGCGAAGGAGGCCATCAACGTCGAACAGGCGTTCCAAACCGTCGCCAAGAACGCCCTTCAGCAGGAGGCGGAAGAACAACTGTCAGTGCACGATCTCCCATATCCCTCCATCAGGTTTGTCCGCTCGCTCACACCGGTTCCCGTCCCCACAGGTATGTTGACTACCCCGACCCGATTAGGATCGACCAGGAGTCTTCACAGAACTACGGCTGCTCCTGTTAACCGTGCCGTCCCGGGAGGGCACCCAGGATCGTTTAAGCCGCGTCATGTCGGACGGCTGCGCTTATCTCAGGCTATTTGACCCGGCGCCTTATGATACCGTGAGCGCCGCACCGTCATCGTACCATTATCTTACATGTTCTTCGCACCGCACATACCTTTTGTATATAATTTCTCTGTGCAACGCAGTTATATGGATGTACTCGAACTTTGCCCGTCGTTCTGTCAGCTCTCAAAGCCTTATCGAGGGTGAGTCGATTCGATGTTCGACGCCCGGTGCCGGAGCGCTTGGCCATTACGTAACATGGGATTGATGTCATTCGCGCAATATCTTCAAGCAGTAACCGTACTCTGCGGAACATATTCGCCTTTCCTACCTGCCTCGATCACCCGGGCACTGCGCCTAACTTATTCATTATATCTGCGACATGACCCAACAAGCCCCAGTGCTATACTCATTCACATCGCCGACCGAGCTCATCGACGCTCTGTCGGCGTTCATCATCAAGGCCCAGAAAGAGGCCATCGAGAAGAAGGGCAGGTTCGCCGTCGCGATCTCGGGCGGATCGCTCCCCAAGCAGCTCAACGGTCTCATCGGCAAGCCAGGCGTCAAATGGGATAAATGGTGAGATTTCGGAGATAAGTACACATCGCTCCGGTTCCGATCTAATCTAGCTCGGGCTCATAGGCAAGTCTACTATGCCGACGAACGTGTCGTCCCGCTCGACCACGAAGACTCGAACCACCGGCTCTGCACGGACGAGCTCTTCTCCAAGGTGCCTATCCCATCGGAGAACATCCACACGATCGACTACTCCCTCGCCGACGACCTCGAGGAGCTCTCGGACGCGTACGAGAAGGAGCTCATCCACGAGTTCGCGATGAAGGACGCCGCGCGCTTCCCCGTCTTCGACCTCATCCTCCTCGGCTTCGGCCCGGACGGGCACACCGCCTCGCTCTTCCCCGGCCACCCGCTCCTGTCCGAGGAGGACCGCTGGGTGGCGTACATCGAGGACTCGCCCAAGCCGCCCCCGAAGCGGATCACGCTCACGTACCCCGTCATCAACCACGCCGCGCGCGTCGCGTTCGTCGCCGCCGGTGCCGGCAAAGCCGACACGCTGCACACGCTCCTCGACGAGCCCGAGAAGGGACTGCCCGCGTCGCGCGTGCGGCTGATGCAGCCCGGGCAGGTGTACTGGTTCGTGGACGACGCGGCGGCGGCGAAGGTGGCGTACCCGAGAACGTCCTTTCAGGAGTGAAACCGATACCACTGCCCGATCGATGCTATAGACAGGGGACGTAGAATTGAATCTCTTGTATGATGCCCGAAAAGTCGCAGCCAATGTATTCTTGTTATGGCCATCTCTTCGTTTACGTACGCGATACGCTTATGATTACTTAACAATCGTATCTGGGTTCCCGAGACAGGCGACGACTTACGATGCGGAGCGTGATTGTCAGGGCACAGGCACTCCTAACTCAGGAAAGATCGCCAACAACACAGTATCCAAAATGAAGACGATCAGGTGCACATTGCATTCTCGCGAAGAGACCGGGTCAATCGCCGCGGCGACGGTCTCACGGCGGATCGCCGGTGTCGGTCCAAGGAGGCATGGTGCTAATGGGCCTGGAGAGACGGTGTTAACCGTAGCTCTCAATGTGCGTGTTGGAATACTCACCAGGGACCTTCTCCAAGAGCCTGTCAATGAGGTTCTCACGAATGGTGACCTGCTCTTCAGGGCTAGGATCCGGAGGTGGAGGCGCTGGCCATCCATCCGGAAACAGGGTACGCTTGCCGATCACGACGGCCTTGGTCACAGTGTCTGCAGATAACACGTAGGTCCCGAGAATGTACGAGAGCAAGTTGTCGAGAAAGGTCATTAATGCTACGACGACCGCGGTGAGTACTCCGAAGATGGTTGACGAAGTCAAACGGTTGTCTGCGCTCATCACAGTCCTAGCAAGCAATAACAATGTGAATGCGTAGCGTGGGGCGAGCAGCTGCAGTGGCTGGGCAGGTGGAACCGTGTCCGATGGAGTGCGGGACATGAGCGAACTAGCCGAAAGGCTTCGTGTCAGGCTCGGGGTGGGTTCAGGCGAGATCGCCGGTGGTGAGGGAACTCGGGCAGCTATTGGTTGTGAATCTTGGTGGTGAAGGTTGACCACCTTGACGAGGAGAAGTAGTCGCTTATAGCCGTCGATAGCGGCCAGACAGAAACCCGAAAGGGTTTGGATAGCCGATAGAAACAGCACAATCAAGGACTGGAAGGAAAACTTTCGCTCCAGAAGCGTAGGCGTGCTCTTTGCCTATTGAATCGTTAAGAAAGGCGTATTTACGCTTGCAGCTCGCACCTCACCTCCCCTGTACTGTGGGTTTGAACCGGACCTCCGAGGAGGTCCAATATCGTCTTCTGTATGAACCATGGTTGCGTGATCTTCGGTATTACACTGTCCAACAGAACCTTCAGAACAATCTCTCGGACGATGTAACGCTCCGGTTCTGAATTGTAATCTTCCGGGGGTAGACAGCTTTCCAATATGTGGTCCACGGCTTGCCGGACGTACTCCGAATGTATCTGTCCATCTGAGGACACGGCCATATGAGGCTGCATTTGATGGAACAGCTGCGGCAGAGACGCTGCCTTGCCAGACGCATAGGACGTGTCCACCTTCGACGCAGCATTACGGTAGTCCTTGTAATGCTGATCTACTAGCGTCGGTATATCGCACAGGATGAGGGGCGCGAGATCGGTGGCCTGCAGACGCGTCTCCAGCGCGCGCAACACCTGCGTCAGGATGCGGTTAATCTCGACGAGAAAGTCCTTGTCGTAGCGCGTGATCTTGGTCCACCAGGGATTGACGAACGCTCTGAGCGCGAGCGCGACGAAGTCGTACAGTTCCGCATGTAATTCCGGGGGCAATCCAGGGGTGGCGAGCAACGGCGGGAGGTCGGCGCCGTGCGGAAGTGCGGGGAACAGAAGCCGCTTCGCCAAAGATAGCGGCTGAGCGGGTTTCTTCGCCCCCAAGTCGGTCGACCTGCTCGACATCACTGATCGCGCCGCCGCCATGGCCGACGACGTCGGCGGTGTTGCTGGACGGGCCGGGCAACGTTCGCTGCGTCACTTCGATTTCCCTTGACGGGGCCGTCGACCCATGTCCACGTGACGGCTCGCCCGGGGGATGGTTTCAGGACGAACTGTTGCCCGTCCAAGGTCTTATTTGTGGATTATCTTTGGCCGTCGAAACGGCCGCTGCAGCGCTTGCCGTCGTCCCTCGCGGGCTCAGACAACCCAGACGCGCTCGCCGACGACCCGTACGTCCCCCGCACGCTCTCCGTCGTCGGGCGCTAACATGGGCGCTGCACAGGTGTCAATGCAGTGATCTCGGTCAGGCCGCAGTACACCGACTTCGACGACCGCCAGCCTTTCTTTTCCGCCCGTTCGTTTCAACCCGCCATGCGCCCTATGCGCCAGCAGATCCAGGACTCTTCTCACCGGCCCATCGCCCGACACTACTATGCTCGGCCGTACAGGCACCATCATGCCCGCGCAGACTCTTCCGGCGGATCGAACACGACGACAATAGTCGCAGTGGTGTGCGGTCTCATCGGCGGCGTCATCGTCATCTTTTTCCTCTTCCAACTCTCCAAGAAAATCTTCCGAAAGAGGGCAGCCCCTCTCCCTCCCGTACAACCGCTCGCGCATCAGCGTGGACGCACCGTCTCGGAGTTCCACGACACCATCGACGCAAGGAAAACGCGCGGCAACACCTGGTACGACGATGCGTATCTCCACCCCATGCGCACCCCGAGTGGGAGCTCCGCGTCCCTGATCGCCGCCAAGGAGCGCGACAGCAGCCTTCCGTCGAATATAGACACCGCCTCCAGCCTTTTCCTTCGCGACGGCACAGGGCGAGAGACCCCCACGTTCGAAGGGGGCGACTCACCCCACGCGGATGAAGATCACCTCCCCGTCCCTCATCGCCCTTTCGTCGACCACCGAGCATCGAGCGCTAGCTCGAGCAATCTCAGTTCGGATGGTCGGTCAGGCAGTCTGGAGGAGCTACGACGAGACTCGATGGACCCTGTGTCTCCTTCCACACCTCCATCGGCATCCAACAGCGGACTGGTTGCTGAAAGCAGCACGCAGCCGCTGGTGAGACCACGCGGTCGACCCAGGGACGATTTCCCCCGACCTCAATCTATGGCCTCCTCTCTCGCCTCCACCAGCAACATCCACGGCCGCCAAGGCGCTCCTCACAGCGCCCATAGCCGCATGCAAATTGTCTTGCCCGCTCCCCTCGCTCCTGAACTATATCCCTTCGGCTCGGAAACAGCGAGCGATGATGGTTCCGCGAATAGACGATTTACCATGGTCGGCGATGACGACGATCCAATGCGACACGTTCGACACAGGACTATCTCCGACGCATGGGCATCGCCGTCGAGCCGCTCGACTTCTCGTCCCAACGTTCCCGACGGCGCCCCAGGTACGTGCCGTTCTCCGTCCATTCGTTTAACACCGCAGTAACCTTCCCTGCGCAGAGGAGCACAGGAGATCGCGCAGCTCGGTGTCGCGACCGCCGCCCCGCCGGCAGTCCAGCAGCGACTCTTCGCGACATCAGCCGCGTCGTGAGAGCACCTCACGCATGCGTCCGCCTGTACCAGCCCTCCCCAGCGGATCGGGCTCTCAGGCCTCGCATTCCCCCCTGGCCCAGTCCCCTCTGGCTGTTTCCGATGTTGACCCCATGAACGCGCCAGCTACGGGGGAGGACGACAATGTCCGCGGGCGCGGCCAGCCGATCGTGCGGCTACATAAACAGGCCTCCGGGACGCAGTCCAAGTCGAAGGAACGTGCACGCAGCCAGTCCCGCGGGCGGGTGCTCAGGAAAGCGAGCACCGCCGTCACGACCGAATCCGAATCGTAACCTCTCCTCTCTTGGATTATGTTTTCTTGGCATCCAATGGGACCTCTCTGTTCATGACCGCGCAACGTACAATCTGACTCTATCACCAGCATCCATTTTACATAGACTCCTGGCGCATTTGACTTATTCGTTTCCTAGCATCTACACTAAACCCCCATCATACGTACTCTCGCGGCACACCTCGCTCCTACTTTCATGTTGGTCGTCGTTACATCTGCGTAATTTACGTTTAGACGTTCCTTCCCGTCAATCGCCGCTACGCGGTCCCCGGCCGACGCCTCCCCGACGGTCGCTGCACTGGCACTTGAGTCACCCTTGGTGATAAGCAATAGCGCGTCCAGTCGAGCGCCAACAGTACTAAATCGTTGACTCGAACGCGCGTTTATCTTAAGTGCTGTCGTAATCGTAATAGAACTCCTCGACGGCGGTGGCGGCGGATAATACGTTCACCATCTCATAAGCGGCGAGAAACACCGAGCTTTCGCACCAGCCGCTACCGTACTTATCAGCTTGCTTGCTCGCGACCATGTCTCTCGCGCTTCGTGCTCGGTCTGCCTTCCCGCGTCTCCAGGCCTTCAGGAATGCGCATGTACGATTCAACTCGGGCGTCGTGCGCGACCCCATGACGGGAGAGGTGACCGCGCCGCCAGACATTCAGGTGCCTCGATGCTTCGCAGTGACTATGCGGCATAGGTCATGTTTGTGCTGACCGACGTGCATAGCTTGGCCGGCTTGAGGTGGAGAGGACGAAGCATCCGAAGCCGACGCCTTCTTCGAAGGACCTGGTATTCGGACATACATTCGTGCGTACGCGCTTGGTTTGCGAGCGAAGGCCGATATTTGAACGCTGCGCTCTGTAGACGGACCATATGCTGACCATCCAATGGACGGCATCTAACGGCTGGGACGCGCCAAAAATCACGCCTTGTCAGTCTCGCAATCCTACGGGCATACCATTGATGATGACGAGCCAAACTTTCGGACAGACGGCCCGCTCAACCTCCATCCCAGTTGCGGCGTGTTCCACTACGCGCAATGTCTCTTCGAGGGTCTTAAGGCCTACCGGGACGCGAACGGCGTGGTGTCTCTGTTCCGTCCGGACATGAACATGAAGCGCATGAATTCCAGTGCCGAGCGCATCTCGTTACCTGTGAGTTTGGCCAAGCGTTCCCGTGCATACACCGAACTGAAACTGATATGCATGGGGTTGATCTTCTCAGACTTTCAACGGCGAAGCCCTCCAGGAATGCATCAAGGAGCTCGTCCGGATAGATAAGCACTGGATACCAGGAGAACCTGGACACAGTCTCTACATCCGCCCTACCCTCAGTGCGCATATGTGCCTGTCATCCACACACGATGATGGCTGACTATCACGTCCGTCCCCCCCATTTTGCTCCCAGTTGGCACCGAGCCCGCCATCGGCATTCACCCTCCCACCTCCGCGCTCCTCTTCGTCATCTGTTCACCTGTCGGCCCCTACTACCCGCAAGGCTTCAAGCCCGTACAGCTTTACGGCACCACCGAGTACTCGCGTGCGCACCCGGGCGGCACTGGCGCATACAAGCTCGGCGCAAACTACGTGCCAGGCGTGATGCCGCAGAAGATGGCGGCGGGCAAGGGATACGTGCAGAACCTCTGGCTGCATGGGCCTGAGCACTATCTGACCGAGGTCAGCTTTTGCGCTGTAATGCTTCGTTCCTTGCTAAAGTGAGATTGTCAGGTCGGCACGATGAACCTCTTCGTCGTCTTCAAGCGTTCGGATGGCAGTAGGTGACCTCATGCATGTTCTCTGCATTCGGACCTCACTTCTGTCCATAGCCCTTGAACTCGTCACACCGCCGCTTGACGGCATGATCCTGCCCGGTGTGACTCGTGACTCCGTGCTGACGCTCGCGCACGATCACCTCTCAGGAAAGGCGGACATCCCTGAGCTCCCCGACAAGCTCGTTGTATCTGAGCGTCCAGTGGCGATGAAGGAGGTGATCGAGGCCGGCAAGTCGGGTAACTTGGTCGAGCTCTTCGGCACAGGTAAGGGCATTTCTGCAGTGGACCGCATGTGGGGAAATCAGGTTGACAACGCATTGCAGGCACCGCTGCTGTCATCAGCCCCGTGGACAAAATAGGCTACCTGGGTCAGGACGTCCACATCCCGACTGGTGAGGACGGCATGGGCCCCGTGTCCAGGCCGCTATGGAAGTACCTCACGGGCATCCAAGTGGGCAGCATATCTCACCCCTGGAGCGTGGTCGTCACGGATTAGTGTCGCTGTTCAATCGGATTTGCTACAGTGTGCGTGCACGAACTGCTACATTAACTGTAGTGCCACCACATTCCAGGATACATCATGGTACATGACACGTCTACTAGTACAACAAGGATTGTTATGATATAAGAGCACAACGTACGGAAACGAGAGCCACTAGCACATTAGGTGCGTGTGACGTCGTCGAAGATCAGTTATATTCGGAAACGTGGATGACTTTGCCTGCCGAATGTAGATGAGCAAGCAAGAAAAGATAGATATTATGTCGTTATCGCGCTCACCAATGGCAGGCCTCCTCGGCGACCGCGTCCTGCGGCCAATTGCCTCCACCTCACCGCTGTCAAAGAACGAATATCCAGAAGCTATGCGCCGATAATCATCACTCTATTCGCAAACAGCATGGCGGGCCACTCACGGACGGTCTCGTCGTCATCCTCATCCTCATCAGAAGTGTGCCCGCCGATCTTCCTCCCAGTCTTGGAGTCACGAAGAACGCCAGAATGGTCGACGAAAGGCGCCGGGCGTTCGTTCACCGACAGATACAGCTGCACCAGGATGCGCTGCACGTCGTGCAAGTATCCGGAGAGCGTATCCAAGAATCGCCGGGTTTGGAGATGCTTCGAGGACGCGCACACGGAGATCATTTCGTCCTTGATGATGTAACCAATGCCATATCCGTCGGCTGCGACGGGGCCGAAGCCGAACAGACGCAATGCTGGATTGCCGCAGTTGGACGTCGAGAGGATGGAGGTGTTGAGCGTTGACCAACCCGGGTCGGTGAAGATAGCAGGCGTCGCAGCTTTGCCGTTGGAGCCCGACGTGGTGTCGCTAGCCGGGGACGTCGGACGGCCGTCGAGCTCGTCCTCGAGTATACCTTTGCGGAAAAGACAGTACAGAGCGTACAAGTGCCTGTCCTGGCCCAGACCCTTGGAGCATTCCCGGGTCAGCTTCACATGCTGCTCGCATGCTTTGCGGAGGGCGGCGATCTTATCTTCTCGTGAAGCGTCCGAGAAGAATGTCTGATGTACCAGAATTAACCGTTCATTCCGCCGTTTTGCGCAGAACACTCACCTTCACGAACGCAACGCTTTCCGGCTGGACGGTCCTGATAGCTTCCGTTCGACCGTGCAAGAAAGACTTGGTCATAGCAGGCTCGTACGTGCATTCAATGCGGCCTTCAGTGACTAGTGTCAGCACGGCGTAACATACTGCAATAGGCAACGAGGACCTCACCATAAAGCCCGAAATACGCCGCCTGGAACGCCATTTGCACGAAGGCATCGGGCGAGAACCCATGGCTCGTGATGAAGTTCTTCCCGTACCCTTTGAACTCGAGCGCCTGACAGTCGTTCTGGCAAATCAAGTCGCTGAGCCGCGTCTCGGCGAACCGGATGCCCGCGCGCAGCTCGGGGCTGAGCTCCCATTCGAGTTTCTTCGGCGAAGTATCAATCTGCTCCAGCACTCCGCCGGTGCCGTTCAGCTTGACGTCCCGTGAGGGCTTATAAGATTTGGCGTGCCGGGATAGCGGGGCGTGGAAGAGCGTCGGCGCAGAGGGGTTGATCGAGCGAGCGAGGAGCATGAGGCCCTCGGTGAAGACGTCCGCAGCATAGCGGAGAACTGTATGACCATCGACGCCGGTATGTTCGAAGTTAATGCCCGCGGAACCGTCGGCCGTGACAATGATTTGCAGCTAATGTTCCGGTTCTCAGAATTGAAATATTCGCTACCGTATATCGCAGGCACGTACCTTATCATACCAACGGTTGGTGCAAGTCCCGATCTGGACGCCGCTCTGGAGGTTATACGTGCCACAAAGATAGTTGTCGCATAGCTCTGCGAGGTTGTTCGGCGCAGCGTCATCCAAGCACACGATGAACAATGAGTTGTAAATCGTCTTGAGACACAAGGCGTTGCCCTTGTGCTTGCTTAGCACTTCCCGATGCGCAGACCATATCTTGCGGTTCTCTGTCGACAAAACGCCCACGGCGTTGCGTGCAACCTGCGCGGATGTTAGAAGCGAGCTCAAGGTCGGTGGGAAAGTCGGGCCGTTACCTCCTGAACCGGAATTTTGTCGGCATCTTTGACGATAGCTTGAAGGTTCCGAAGAATCTCGCGCTCTGTTAGGAGAGGTCGGTTCTCTTCGCACAGAACATCGAACCAGTCTGACCAAAGGCGTCAGAACCAATCCTATCCACTATCAGATAAAGAGAAGACGAGTACGGACAGAATTGGCCACGTCTCATCACGACTATGTGGCTGGACTGCGCATTGGTAACCATTTTGCAGCCATTCTTTTAGGATTTTAATCAGAGACCGCACAACTCTGGATGAACTCGTATGAACCTTGGTCGGAATTCGCGCCGTCCCGAACAGCCGGCTGTACTGGTCCATATCGAGGGGTATCCCGCGGACGGTATCAGGCTCAAGTATGCCTTCCCGCAAGTCATGGATGAAACCGAGGGAGGACATGATCAGGGAGGCCGCGCGAGGGAGTTGAGAGCCCCTATCTGGCGTAGGGTCATTCCTGCAATCCTGATTGGTGCATGTAACTATCAGAAAAGAGCCGTGCACACTTACTCGAGAACGAAAAACGGGTTCAAAGCCAGGACGACCGGATCTGAATGCGATAAATACGATTCATACCTGAGAAACATTAGAAACCATCCGGCTTATTGCTGAGACCGCTCACCAGAAATCCTCGATATAGCTATTGGCTATGTCAGAATAATTGTAAGCAGCATCGAGCTACAGTACTCGCCTTGCTTTGGTCTGGTCGAACCGCTTGAGGCGTTCTTGAAGCTTGGGACCTTCCTGGTGAAGGAACTCGTTCACGGCACGCTTGGTAGCCTCGTGTTCCTCAGGACTCTGCAAGCCCTCAAGCGCCCGGAGATACCGCCTGCACGTATCTTCGAGCGGCGGGATTGGAAGCTTGGGCAGCTTGTCTTGGTAGGCAAGTGTTCTTGACTTGGGGGAGCTGCGCTCGACTGTGGCCATGGTTGTTGGTACAGGCATGATCCCTCGGTCGCAGAGTTAAGTTCCGGGGGGCGCAGCAGGTATCGTGATAGGACAACAGCTGTGTATTCCCAATATATATTCCGTTAGCGGCGAACCAAATGATTGTGGCTAGATTAAGTTTAGAGCAATTCGCAACGCGGGGTCATGCGGGGTAGAGCGGGGGTGGGGTAGCTGCTGGTCGCCGATCACCCACTCAGAGCCCGAGCTGGCCCGAGTCCTCTATGACCAGTTGCGCTCGACGGCAAGCACATCCGGGTGGTTTAGCCAGAAGCCGACGATAGCGGCTGCTACAGTGGTACGGAACCACCGCCACCGATATTCCTGGCGGGATTCCGCTCTTCCTTCAGACTGAGCTCATGGAATACGCAGGGGCTGATGCAAGAAGCCATCCCTGTGTATCACGCGCTTCCATGCTTGCTGGCATCTAGCTTTAGCTTATTATCTTTGACATTAATAGAGCCTATCATTCGCAACGTCATTCGGGGAGCTCGTACGGGAATTTTCTGGCAAGACGCAGGAAAGCGTCTTGCTCGGAGTGGCAAGCCATGCGGCCCGTACGCAAGTTGCAACTCCCATGTTCTTCCACCCGCGTTCAGCCTGCGAACTCTGACGTGTCTGTTACCCAGGACTCGCAATTGGCCTGAACATAATGGCTTTCTGTCATCCTCCATAGTGCTTCTCGGGTTTCGCCCGTGGTCAGGGCGGAACCTAGCGGAACGCCGAGGTCAACCCGTCCAGCCTCGCCGAATGCTTGAATTCAACGCCGGTTCGGGTAGGACTTACAGTCGAATTGGTCGATCGGATGTCGGACGTTTCTCCCATACTTCTTGGCTACCATTGGTCATGCCTTCAGGAGCCAAGGCAGCTGCTCGGTCGTTCATACAGGTCATTGCAATCTGCAAGCAGCGTCACGTTCGCCGTAGCATCACATATGACAGCGTCACCTTACATTTCTAGTACATGCGACGCATCTGAGCTTACCCAGTTCTGTTGACCCTATAGTTGCCCTATAGTCAACATCGGTATGTCCTCAGTAGTCACGTCTGTCCCGCCTCCGGCTGTAGTCGTCATCTCGGCGGTCTTTAGTCCTGCCGTCGTCCCGATCCCTCTGCCTGCCTTCGTTTTTATCCTTGTCTCTGCGCTGAGGATGATCGGAGTCTCTGTCCCGACGGTTGTCGTCATTCCTGTCCCTGCGGCGGTCGTCACGCTCGCGCTCGTGCCGATAATGATCTCTGTCCCGGCCGTCACGCCGATCGTCTGAATCTCTGTTCCTGCGACGATCCGGCGAGGGCGACCTTGAGGGCCTTCGCGAACGGCGCTCGTTACGGCCGTCGCGGCCGGAGGGCGATGCTCGTCTCGAGCCCTCGCGAGAGTCGCTGCCCTCTCTCTCCTTCTTGATCACTGGCACGTACTTCATATCGGGCTTCTTCGAGCGCCTCTTCTTGGGGTCCCCGTCGTCCGGCACCTCACGTTCCTTTGCACCGATGCCAAGCAGTGCGGGCCTTGCTTGAGGCAGCCACGGCTCGACGGGCCCTTTCTTCGTCCGAGAGGCTGCTTGACCCTCTTTCCACCCCATACCGCGTAGCATGGCTGCGCCGAATTGGGAAACGGGCACGCGATCGTAGGCGTCGAGCGTGGCTACGTCAGGAAGCTCCTCCACGTCTTGCTTGTACGCCTCGGCCTCGGTGACGGCCACAGGTTGCCAGCGGTTGCTGGCTGATGGTATGGTGTCGATGATGGGTCCGCCGGCGTCCTCGCCTTTGACGGCGGAGTCGATGAGCGCCTTGATGGCCTTTTGCTCATCTGTGAGCTCTTCCTCCATCTTCTCCTCCGTCTTTGCGTCCTCCTGAGGCGTCTCAGTTCCTTGGAGCCGAGCCCTTTTGGCCTTGAGTTGCAAGCCACTGCGTTGAGGCCCCGAGTTGATGGAGTCCCTAGTGCCCAGCCCACCAACGCTGCCATCTGCGCCTGTGCCGACCTTCCCGCTCTCTGGGACGAACGACTGGCCTCGGCGTTTACGCGCAGCCTCCCTCCAGTCTTTGTTCTGGAGAGCAGGGATGACGAGGGGCCCCTGCGGTTTCTTCTCCTTGAGCCTGCGAGAATTACGTAGATGTACTGATGTTAATTGAGAACCCGAACGGTCGAATGTATGCGGATGGACACACCGCTGTACGCCGAACTGGTCAAAGCCGGTTACAAGTTCGTCCTCGAGCTCCTCGTCACCCTCGTCACTGCTATCCCGCTCATCAAAAGCGCGCGAGTTCTTATTGGACGTGCGCTTCGGCGCCGGGGAGGACGTGTTGCTGCGCGAGAGCGGACTGGGTCTTCTATCATTCGCCGAGAGATGCCTCGGAATGGCAGGAACCTTGAAAGGACCATTGCCATCGGCTTCAGGTTCGGTTCCAGACGAGGCCCCTCGGGACACAGGCGAAGGACGCCTGACGGTGAACGAGACGGAGGACATGGACGTGATGGTCAGTGAAAGAGGACTGAGTCGCCTGGGGTGGCGCGGCTTGAACATGCACTCATGCTCCGACTCAGTCGACCGGCTCGGATACTCTCCAGACGATATGCGACGGTCGACAGTTCGCCACTGATAGCTCGGCCACCTCCCGATCCTCCTACACCTGCGATATCTGAGCTCGATGCTCGCGTATTGTCTCGGCTGTACTCAGACCACGGCAAGAACGTCGGTCTTCAGACCTTGGTTCAGCAATACTATGATCGGTCCGGACGCACGCTGGAGCCTACCTTGCCCTACGAATCTAGACCAGCTGAGGGAAGACGCGTAAACGTAGACAGCAGTGATGATATACTTGTGCTGGTTCATTGTGCCCGTGATAAAGCGGAGCACAAGATAACATTGTCCTCTGCATTTGCCTTGAATGTGCCCGGCCTTCCCGAAGGCCAGTCGATAGTCCTGAGCTGCTCACATACGTTGGAAGAGGCAAGTGCGCACATACCCCAACCGATACCGATTGACCAGGAAACCGTAGATAAGGCATTCGTCGCTGCTTCAGCGACCTGACCTACTACAGTCGCGAAGCTTCCAGTCCGGATCATTCGTCCTCTCTCGTGCATCAGGAACGACGAAGTTCCACCCTGTAACGTCAATATCGTCGTCCTTGCACCACTCGGATCTTCTGCTGGCCACGGTGACCGACAACAATGGCACTCCGCGTTTACCCAATCTCCCGATTTCTCCCTATCCCGCACACCCTGGGACTCCCGTACGTGCCCACTTTGTCACGTCCGCGCCGCCTGCGGGCGATCCGACATGGATGCCATGGATCTTCGGCCTGTACAGCAAATGGGTTTCAGGAACGATCGTGGGGTACGTCCATCCCATCGAACACCGAGATGACGGTACTGAACTTGCCATTTCATGGCTTCGCCACGCGCTATCCACAGATACAGAGACTTTGCTGGACGTGAGGCGAGCCCCGGAACCGACGACGCCTTGACACACCTATTATTTCACCCCCCGCCCACGGCCGGATCGTCGGGCGGGCCCATTGTGGACCAAGAGAGCGGTGCCGTCGTTGGTATTATGCAAGGACATCGGATGGATTACGCGTCTCGCGTAGAGGGCATTAAAGGCTGGGGGGTTCCGAGCGAGGCCGTGTTTGAGGTCAGCCTTCCGTTTCCTTATATCCTTCCAAGGCTTAAGTTTCGATCGCGGCTGACATTCGTCTCCGTTACAGATGTTCAGCCTACCCGGCCTGAATCTGAAGAAATCGTAGATGGTGTACTACTATTGTTTTTAGGAAGCATACTTAACCTTGTATTATTTATTTTGCATTATATAGCCGTTGGATCGCGTCACCGCCAGGATGTCCCTCTCGTGCCAGTCCGCAGTGGCTGTGCTTAACCTTCTTGCCATGTTCTCCGCCTCAGCTGGTGCGACGCGACGGGTGCCGAAGACTGCCCTTACATGTGCTCAATGTATCTTACGGCGTAGCGCACTACACACGTTCTCTCGCAAACTGGCTTATGCTCCGCCAATTACTCCCTCATTTCTTGTCCGCCGATATGCGTCACCCCCGCCCCAGCTAAGCTTGAGGTATCCCTGCATTCTGGCGCATGCTACCGAAAACAGACGCTCATCAGGCTCTCCTATTCCCCATGCATACTCTCACACCCTTACAATCCTGGGTTATGAAGCTCAGCGCATCTACCTCTGCAACAGTACCATAACCTAGCTGATGCCACAATGGACAAGATGCTCGACTCCCTCGAGGGACTGCTAGACAATCTGGGTCGGGCTGATTACGAGGTTGAGTACTCGGTGAGCTAGAGACATCTTCGAGAACTGTCGCATCCTCGCTGATACATTCAGACAGAGCGGCGTGCTGACACTCATCCTCGGTGACAAAGGGACGTATGTCATCAACAAACAACCTCCGAACAAGCAAATTTGGCTCTCCTCGCCATTGAGGTGCGTTTATTCACTCTTCTCCTCCAGTCCGACTATTTCAACTAGCTTGTTGGTATATAGTGGTCCGAAACGATACGATTACTCCGAAGAAGCGGACGACTGGATATATGCCCGAGATGGCAAATCCATGGGCGCGTTGCTTGACGAGGAGCTCTCTGCCGCTGTGGGGCAAGAGGTCAAGCTTGGGCTCAGCCAAGTTTCTGCTCTGGCAGAATGAGCGTTTGTTTGAACCTTCCCTAGGCAAATGAGCCATGGCGGCAAGCGTATTGGAGGATTCATAGAACAAGATACGATGGCGTGCTCCGGGGGCCCGCTCGCGCGTTTCTGCGCGATCTTTGGTTTTCCATGAAGTGTATAGTGTACAGTGCGTCTCTAATCTCATGATGAAGTGCCTTTCGAGCCCTCCTTCGAAACCCAGTCAAGCCATGAACCGGAATAGTTTCTCAAGCTGTGTCTGCAGTCAACAATACCGTACGACACATCATTGAGCGCAACGTACTTAGTATAACCATTACGCTTGGCGACATCTGCCGCACTAGCGCTCCGTTTCCCGCTCCTACAATAGAAGGTGACCTCCTGTTTGGTGCCAGGCTTGTTGAATCCAAAGCGCTCCTTGAAGGTTGCCTTGTCGAGCGCCAGTGCACTAGCAAGGCTAGAAAGTGGTAGGTTGACGGCAGAGGGTATGGATCCTTGACGGACTTCGTCCGGTTCCCGTACGTCAATGAGATACGCGTCCTGACAGAATTGTTCAGTACAGACGGAACACGCCGGGTTAAGAGCACGTACAATTCGAGGAGACTCGCTCATCGCTTTGACTTCTTCATAAGTCACGACGGATGCAGTCCAGTCCTTCTGCAATTCATCGCGGGCGTCGAGGGCCGCTTTCCTGGCTGCCTTTGCCGCCTTTGCCGCTGCGTCTGCAGTTCCTGAAGCTGGTGATTGTGTCGAGTTCCAGCGAGCAGTCTGCACGATCCGAGGAGCAATGGCTGTAGCTATGGGTCTAGCGGCGAGCATCCTTGACGCCCTGAACGCGCCGCGGGCAGACTGTAGCGTAGCAGATAACGACATAGTGCAGATGTTCCCAACGTTCCTTTCGTCGAAGCAGGTGGATGAGCAATCCCCAGCAAAGCACGCAAGACTGAGAAATATACTTGCTCTGGAAACGAATTCCGATGATGACGACCAAATCAAGTCACGTGAGTGAGATGGTGGGAGACTATGAGGTGAGCATGAGCGGGATTCGCCATTGGTCAGATGTGGGTTGCGGCATTTCCGCGCGCTCGTCCGTTCCTCCTCACGACACCCATCGTCCGACCGCATCCACTGCTGCTTTCTTCGCTCTGCATTGAGTCTGGGGCTGCTAAGGACGGAAAAGAGCTTTAACAGAGGCTGGGCGGGAGCGTTCTGCTCAACAAGCCCAACCATTGCGCTTTTCGCTCGGCGACGTCACGGACGACCCCCTGGGCTGCCGGGAACACGAGAAGACAGTGGCGAAGAAGATCCTCAAACTATGGTCCTTGCGACTTTTCTCTGCAGGCAATGGATGCTACGTTCATGATTCTCGAAAGGACTACACGATCCACACCCATCTCGTCGCTTCTTTCCGCGTCATATGACTCTCGATGACCACCAGTTGCGGTGAAGAGACTCTGCCCGATCCAGTGAGAGCGTAGTTCTCGGAATCTGGGTTCTGTGGCGCATTGCCCTGCTTGCCTCGAGACCTAGCGGGAATCTTATTTACACATACCAATCTCTGGTCATAGCGGTCTGGTATCTGTCCCGAGCGCTTTCTCTCACACGCTACGATTTTCTACGAGATGACGACCAAATATCTCTTTCTTTCCATGAAGTACCCGATCACCAGTACAACCCGCGATCAACCTCTGGATTTTCACTCCATACATCATACACATCCTTGCGGTGCGTGGAGCTTATGCGGACCGAGGGCACGATTGTTGGCTGCCGTAGGTAAGCGTGATTATACACAACCGTGTTTTATGCACACGAAACTCGAAATCCTCGTTTCTCAACATTTCGTCTCCCTTCAACCCGCTCGCAAAGTGACTGGGGCCGAGTCTGCCGGGCCGCTCTCGGATGTTTAACCTTGTTTGGTTGGCTTCCCCGCCACTTGGGAACTGACCGTGATCGCGGTTCCCCAACTCGTTCCCAGCAGCCCCTCCACCTCCACTTATCGTATACACCATGGACAGGACTACGTCGACCGACAATACGACCGTTACGGTCGCGATGATGACGCCCTTCTTACACTTCACAAGTGGAGACGCGCTGTTCTTCAAGGCGTGGACGCCATCGTCAGCTGGCGCCCTCGCCGGAGCGTCCATTGGATTGTTTTTCCTTGCCGTGTTCGAGCGCTGGCTTGCTGCGATGCGAGGTGTTCTGGCCATTCACTGGCACAAGAGGTCTGCGGTATCTTCTCACATGAATCCGTTGAGGTTCTGACTCCTGTCGATAGAGCCCTCCAAATGATGTCCGAGTCAACTGGCCCATCGCAGCCATCTGGTAACGAAGGAGCGCCGAAGGGCAATGAATCGTCCTCCTCACTGTCGAGGAAAGGACGTGCTCGTCGCGCTCCAGCTTTCATTGCTTCGCACGACTTGCCTCGCGGAGCTATTTTCGCTGTGCAGGCGCTCGTGGGCTATCTCCTTATGCTGGCAGTCATGTAGGCTCCCCGCACTTTTGATGCACCGGCCGACGTTGACAGCGTTGCATACGCAGGACCTTCCAAGCTGCCTACATTATCTGCATCATCGCGGGTTCTGGCGCTGGCGAGATGGCCTTTGGCCGGTGGGGCACGGGCAATGGCCATTAGGGGTTACCTCGTTCGCACAATGTATCACCATCTTCATCGTAGTGTAGTTGCTGCTATGCGCTGTACTTCCCTCCTTGTCCGTCCAGCTAAGCGTAACGATCAGAACACGACATGTGGCATCAAGGAAGTAGTCCGTTCTTGCGCCGTGGCGCCGTGGACCAGTCCGCTACATCCGAGAGTTCGTGCCTATCTTTGCTCTCCTGCGAACTGGCTTTGGGAGGAGAAGTCAGGAACGTGCTTGAAACTGCTATTCGTAGCGTCCGACGGGCGGCACCCCGTAAGATACGGCTTAGCGACGACCGGCATGACCAGTAAACATAGCCAAAGGAAGGTGAAAAACTTTTTCGCCGGGAAAGTGCCCGCTTCCGGTGCTGGTGTGGCGGATGATAAAAGCTTCCCTTCTCCGGGATAGACCTCCACTGAAGCTCCTCGACGACGCTTTCCAAGCTCTTTACGACTATAATCATGCGCTTCGCTACCCTCGCCGCTATCGCCAGCCTGTTCGCTGCCGCGAATGCGCACTTCCAGCTTCAGTTCCCCACTCCTCGTGGGCCTTTTGTTGAGGACGATGAGCCTCACTTCTGCGGTAAGCGTGTTCCGAGTTAATACAGACACACGATTGATTCGTTGGGCTTGTAGATGGCTACACTGACGCTGTCAGCAACCGCAGCACCTTCCCGCTGACTGGCGGGTTTATTTCGTTGAACAGCGAGCACCCGAAGTGGACGAGTGAGGTTTCTCCCTAAAGACTGCTTTACTTGCGCCTGACAGCAGTTCACAGTTGGCGTCTTGATCTCGACTGTTCAAAACCCTAACTCGTTCGACAACTTCACAACGGCAAACAACCAGAGCCAGTTCGTCGTTCCTTTCCAGCAGAAAAACGGCGAGGGCCTGTTCTGCCTCGGCCCCATCGACATCGGAAACCTCGGTATCTCCGGTGTCAATGACGGCGCGAACGTTACCCTCGAGTTTGTCTTCGACGGCGGTGACGGCGATCTGTACCAGGTTTGCATCGATCACCTACGTCGTCGTATGCGCTGATACTCACATGCACAACTATCTCGTCCATAGTGCGCCGACCTAACTCTCTCGAGCAACTTCACGGTGCCCTCCGGTACTGCCGGCAGCTGCTCTAATGTCACCGTGACCGAGGCATCGTCATCCGCGGGGGCGACAGCGACCTCTCCGTCTGGCTCCGCAAGCGGGTCCGCAGCCTCGTCAACGCAGACGGCCAGCAGCGCCGATACGCTCAGGATATCGGGCTTTACTGCGTTCCTTTTCGCCGCAGGAGGCGTACTTGCTGCGCTCTGAGTTTTTCACACAGCTATTTGTGAGGGGAATAGGGGGCTTTGGGGCTGTGTAAGCGTCACGTTAAAACACATGGCTGTACAGTAATACGATCGAGGGGATGACGAACCTTCTTTTGTCTCGCCGCGTAGTGACTCGTCAGCGCTGCGCAAACATGTTGGGGCCGCCCCCTGACAGGGTAGGCAATTGCGTGTGTCTCGCTCGGAGGTACGGCCGGATTGCGGCCTGAATTTGACTCCTCTTCATAGAGTTGCTGACACCTTGCCGTTGACGCGTGTCCGATGGCGGCTTATGGCGGACGCAGGGCTATGTAATCCAATCAAATGGCACTGTCATTGCTGTTCCGAGCGTGGCCGATATAACATCTCCGCACGACACAAAGGAGGCCCCGCTTTGGATTGTGTACTACGCCAGCAGGCTGTCCATGGGCGACCGCTCCTCGAGACGCGATGCCAATAATTAAAATCCCATCCTTTATGCGCCGAAAACCGGAAGCGGCATGGGAAGTGGTAGACCATCGTATGGTAAACCCCGTGCCTATGCTTGACGAGGAAGAAGGTGAGCACTCATGGAGCGAACGTGGGATTGAAACTCATAGTGCGAGGATCTGCAGACGTCCTGGAGCTAGTGGACATTGCCGATGAGGAGCTGAGGGCAACATACCTCTTCGATGTCCACAGACTCTCCAAAACACAGCTGCGCAATGCTGTAGCGTTCGCTCAGCATCAACTCCGGGAGGAGTTGGAGCATAGCGGCGAGTTCAACGTCTTTATGATGGAGGGGTGAGTGGAAGGAAATCAATTGTGTTGTGACCAAGGCTGACACACGTTGTCCAATCCAGCTGGCAGTTAACTCTACTCCGGAAGGGGAAGAAGTTCCGGATCAAGATCCAATATCGCGGTCTTCCTGCGCGAGTGATAGGGAAGACGTCCCCGCCTGAGCCACCACCATTTCTCGACCTGCTATGTACCTTGGCGCTCAGTTGAGGAAATCCGAGGGAATGCACGACGTATTTATATCGCAGCATGTGTATAACAGTAGAACCGCACGTACCACTCACTCCATGTATGTCTGTACACAAGGTTGATGTCGATCCTCGCATGTAACAAGTAGCATTGAAACAAGTAGCCGATACATCTATGCAGCCTTCTCGATGACGCTGGATGCCCTCGATGCATACCCGGTCCAAGACTATTCACAATCCGTCAGCAATCGTGGTGAGTGGATGTACAATGACATACCTCATCGTACAGGGCGATTTTAGGAACCTCGAGAAGCTTCAAGCCGAGCCACAGCACTCCGGCCGTCATACCGCTGCCGCAAGTTGTGACGACGCGCCGCTCGCCTTGCTTGACCTGCCGCCCAAACTCAGGGCCCAGGACATCCAATAGCTCTTTTTCAAGCTCGGCAGGTGACTTGAATGTGGTGTACTTCTCATCCGAGTTCGAAATGTCGTTCGATTGGAGGAATGCGTTGAATGGTAGAGAGAAGGAGTTCGGAATATGCCCAGAAGACATGCCGGATCGTGGTTCAGGATCCGTACCTAGCCAGCTACCCAAGGAAAAGTCAGAAATGCAACCCGAAGCTGCATCGGGTCGTGCTTACCGACCACGAGACCGAGCGTCCAATACCAGCTCAGCTTCAGGACTCGCGGTGGGCTGTCGCTCCGAGTTCGCGACAATATCCTCATAACCTGCACAGGGATGAAGCGTGCCTCGTCGCACCACCTCAGTCGCGACTTACCCCGGACAACATGCTCGTCCAATGTTGGCGTCGGGTACGCAGTCTTTTCTGGGGTCTTGATAGGGCCGGATTCGGTATCATAGCCAGCGACTATCCAGGCAGGCAGACCACCGTTCAGGACGGATGAGTTCGCATGCCCAAATGCCCTGAACTGTTTCACCAAGAACCGTGTTGACAAGCAGCACGGCATTGCAATTGTAGGTGGCGCCTCACCATGTATAGAGCGCGTGGAGAGGAGAAAACGCCATGTGTATCATAACTGCAATTAAGGAATGTCATGGAAGAAACCAGCGACGAGGGAACTACGAACATAACTACCCGGGAAGAGGGCTCAATGCCGAACTCCTCTGTCGTAGTTTAAGCGATGTCGGGCTCATGACAATGAAGAACGAACATGACATACCGCACGCATCTGCGAATACGCGAGGAGCGGGCAGCATATGTTTTAATCCAAGCTCATGTTTGCTAGCCACGGCGTCCAGGTCCAAGAACTGAGCGCCAGGGATTCTCTTTGCAAGGAGTTCCTCTTTCGGTTTGCGAGGAGATCCTGGCATGAACCAGCTCGCGTCCAGCACCTTGGCGCCCGAGTTCTCAAGCTCCTTCAGCTCATGAGGGCTCACGAGAAGAGGAGCAGTAGACATGGCTCGGGTAGAATGATAGGACAGGGACGATAGCGATCGTCCAGCGAATTTCAGGCCGCGTACAAGCATGATGACAACCTGTGGCAGAGTGACGCGCTCGCTGGACGAACGCATGCGGGCTGCCTACCACTCGATCTTGCAGGTCTCTAGCCATGCCCTCAGATCAGTCCACTTGGCTCATATCTGCACCAAACGACGGAGATGCGGAGGGTCTAGTTCCCGAGGTTGCTAGTAAACTAGCCCAAGTATCGCGGTCCTATTCGAAGGGAAATGTAGCGCAGCTTACCATCCCAACATTCAAAGTCGGTTCCATCCGTATCGTGATCAACAGTGGATTCATGCCTGACACGTACTCAGACCGGGACATTGGACGGCTTGATATCTCTTTCCGAGGATCTCCCTAAGCAAGATAGCTATTTCACGGCTACTGTCGCGAAGATCGTGGATACGCTCCGCAATCTCCTGAACAACGACAACTCGAAGCTGCAGCACCACATTCTCGTCAATGAGAGGACAGTGGACGAATATCTTCTCAGAGACTGGCGATGGAATGAGGGTCGATACGGCGTGCAGAAGAGTCTGCGAGAGATGACAGATATATTGAACAAGGCGAGTCTAACCAAGGACGTGCCTACAATTGCTATCCCATGCTGATGCAACGATGCAGGAGATCAGCTCCATCGACAATGTCATGAAGACCAAGCTGAACAACTACAACATCGCGAAGGGTTCACTCGTCCAAATGCAGCGCAAGAGGACGTAAGTACGTTCCCTCTCGCGAACCACCCGAAGGCCGGGCTTATATCTATGATCCAAGTGGGAATCTGTCCGTGAGGTCTCTGGCGGATGTGGTCCAGAAGGACCAGTTCATACAGGACTCGGAGTACTTGGAAACTCTTTTGGTCGCTGTTCCGAAGTGAGTACTCAACTCGCACTCGATACGATTCCCGCTCACGAGGGCGCAATAGGAGCTCTGTGAAAGATTGGAATGCGAAATACGAGCGATTGTCCAGCATGGTGGTACCACGGTCTTCAAGGTCAGGATCCGACTTGTGGTGCCGTGAGATCCTGCTGACGCGTCGTTGCAGCGTGGTTGCATCCGACGATGAATACTCCCTGTGCAGCGTCGTAATATTCAGGCGCGTGCACGACGAATTTGTACAAAAATGCCGGGAGAATAAGTATGTTAAAACTTTACGCGTCCCGCAGGGTACTGACGTGCTCCACCCTCTGCTAGGTTCATTGTTCGAGACTTCGTATACACCGACGATGTTCTCTCGAAGCAGGAAGAAGAGCTGCAAATTGCGGAGGCGACGGAGAAGGAGCTATGGGTCAGTGCCCGGTTATTCACCTCATCAATTGGACTAGCTTACGATGGTTCCCTGCAGACCGAATTGCTCCAGCTCTCCAGGACAAATTTCTCGGAAGCTTTCCAGCTTCTTGTTCATTTGAAGGTCATTCGACTGTACGTCGAGAGCGTCCTTCGATATGGCCTGCCTGCGAACTATACTGGAGTTGTCGTGAAGGTGCGCCGATGCATCTCTCGTTGAGTTTTGCTCATTTGACCGAACCATCTTATCGCCAGCCCGAATCCAAAACGACCAGCAAAGCGTTGAAGGCCCTAATTGATCACTTCAAATACTTGGGACCCCGGTCCAACGGCTTGAAGACGAAGTCCAGCACGGGTACTGATGAATTGGCCGGCGAATACGCGCACCTGCTGGAGCAGGAGTACTTCGACTTCGTGATGTTTGAGGTGCGTCCACATTGATACTTCTACTAATAGAGCGCGCAATGACGACCATCGTCTTAAGGTCCCCTGGGTGGAGTACTGAGAGTGAGGTGAAGGGTATTCCGTGCACTCGGACAGTAAATAATCCAAAGGATCCCTCGCATTACAAGTTGAACGGTGATATAATATATAGCCACGATTTTGGACTATTGACAAACATGATCAATAATGAACTAGGATGAAGCGTCTACTATTGTCCTCGTCCATACAGCCGTTGAATCGCTACTGATGAGTGTACGCAGTACCATGGTTTGAGACATTTGAGACATTTGATAATCGTCCGTCAAGGCGATATGGCTTGAAAATTCGTTTTTGGCAGCAATGGAACACCTTAAAGACCAAGGTTAGAGATAACCCTCGAAACCTCCTCGACAGCCTCGTCGTCGAGAACACGTCCACCCCGCCGTATGGATTGCTGCGCGCCGGAGTTCAGCGACGACCGTTGGGACATGGGCTGCCCGTAGACGCTAGGGAAAGACGGCGCGGTCATTGACGTCGGGCTGCCGTTGTCGTCGCCGTTCGAGGTAGTGGGCGAGTCAGGGGGCTGTATGCTAGACGACTCGGTGATACGCGACAGAGACATAGTCGTGGTCAAGTCTAAGGATTGTGCACGGTTCTGAATCGTGCGGGGCTTGCCAAACTTGTCGCTCTTGATCTTTGACTCCAGCAAGGAATCCGACCCACGTTTCAATGCGTCTTCACTATGGCTATGACGCTGACGATGGTAACCCGTTCCCTGAAGAGCGCAGTCAATGTCGTGTTTTATCGAAAAACTGAACAAGACACGTACAATAGGAGGTAGCGGAGTCCAGAAGTCCTCGCTTTCCTGGGTTCCGGGGAATGACGATCGAGGCGAGTCCATCTCGTCGTGCTGCTCCAGATTGTACACATACGAAGGCGTGCCATTGAATAGCGCTTTCACATCTGGAGATGAAGCTGCCAATCGCAACCTCCTATCCACCAAGGATTCCGAGGGTCGCCCGAGATCCGCAGATTCTGGCCGAAAAGTCAGTACAGTCAACCAGCGTATATCCATAAGACATACCGCGAGTGCGCGTAGTTGCTAGCAACTTGCTGTCGAAGTGAGGGAAGGCCTCCGCGAATGAATCGCCGCGCTTGTGCGTGTGCGCTGTCGGAGACGGATAGACGTGGACATTGTGGTCCAAGAGGAATTGTTCCAGTAGCTCCCTTGCTGACATGAGAAAATCGGTATTGCTCCGCTGGCAACGGAACTTGAAGGAGCATTCCGCAGGAGATTCGGCGCCATCACGACCCATTCCGCCGCTGAGCGATTTGATATTGGGCGACACAACGAGCTGAAACTCTTGCTTGATGCGCTCAACGAACTGCGCAAACTCAGGAGAGGCGCAGAGTCTCGGAAGATCAGCGTGCGGGGGAACCGCCATATCGGCCTCGAAGGGGACATGATCCTGCGAAAGCGGTTAGATGGAGATGAGGAGGTCCTATCTGCCCAGTATGGAACCCACCAGGAGCATAGCAGATGCCATCTGTACTTGGCTTTCGGGACCAAAGATAGTGACCACGTCGGAAGCCGTCTCTTTATCTGGGAATCGAACACGAGAATTGGTCTTTTGTTCGATATCGTGTATGAAGATGCTCTTCTCGCCCAAGAGGATACGATGATACCGCCGCGGGATAGAAACCGTCTCGATTATGAAATCCTTGTCCTTCGGGTTCACGAGCTCCATCACGGACTGCTTAAGATGCTCTAGATTCGCAGCGTTCTTCGCGGGCGTTCTTGCGACCACGTTGTCTTCGTTATCGTTGTAGCCACCGAGAGCAGCGAACTCCTCGGCGTTCGAGAACTTGACGTACACGCCATACTTCTTCATGATACGCTGAATGCTCCTACCACCGACACCAATGATGCGTTTGTGGTACGACTCCGGTACATGGAAGGAAATCTCAGCGGGAAGCTCCTCCTGAAGCATGTTAAGCCCAGCGAGGACGTTTCCATCATTGCCGGCAATGTCGATTAGGAAGTTGTGATCGTTGAAGGTTTCGAATTTGATTTTCACGCCGGTGTTCTGCATGATCTTGTTGATTTTTCCGTTCTTCTTTCCGCTAATGAATTCACGATGTTCGTTCGCGAGTTCAATCTGAACGCGGATCTCGTGGTGGAAGGGCTGCTCGAGTATTGAGCATCGGCTCTGGAATAATAGTGGGTGGTTGGGCATCTCACCTTCACGACGTCAAGGTCAAGGATCATGGAGATAGCAGCACGAATCTCGTGCTCCATACCGTGCATCTCGAAGCACATGTTTTTGAATACAACCTCGGCGCCGGTGACAGAAGAAATGGATGGAAGCAGTGCAGCAACTTGTGCGGCTGTCAGAGTCGGCGGTGGCATGAGGGGGTTGAATTGTACAGGCAGAAGCCAGAAGGATGCGGTGTAGTATAGGCATGCCTGCACGTCGGTGATGAGTATCAAGGCAGAGCAGAGGCAAGGGACACGCACCAGCTGCATAACAGAACGGATGGTTCTGGAGATATTAACACGATGGTCGCCGAATACAGTGATTAAACTGGTCGAACTACCGATAGGTGGGAACTGAATGAAAGTCGCGTTATCGCTCATGATCGTCCGGAGATCGTCTGCGCGATCTGTGACCATCCAGTCCAGCTTGCGAGGGAGGATCGCGGTGTCTCGCGAGATGACCGCCGTACCCTTGCTGGTTGCGACTTGAAACAGCATGTCCCGGGCACGTTGTACGCCGAAGAACTCTCCGGTAATCCATATGGTGTTTGGGCTGAGGCGAAGGGGCACACCCGGCTGCGTTGACGAAGGGACTTCGGGGCCGATCAGGCCTTGGAGCGGAGATGGATAATAGATGTTCGTGCCCGTTTCCTCCTGGATGGTCTGGAGCATGTTCCGCTTTCGGCCAGCGATGATAGCGTGCAGTTTTCGGTCGATCTCAATCGACTCTCCATGCAAGCCACCAAATTCGTCGAGCATGACCAGGAGGCGAACCCTGGCCATGTCGATGGAGTCCCCTTGACCCGTGATGACGAGCTCACAAACGCGTTCCGTTTCGAGACCAGACCAGCCGGCACTGTTGCTGATCCCATCCGGTGGAGTGCGCGTTGAAAGAGAAAAGGGGCTATTGACAACGGCGATGTGTGCGCCAGTCTGGCTAGCGATGTCGTCCAGGCGCGTGCGAACTTCCGTCTTGATAGTAGGCTTTGTGGTCGGCGAATCGAGAATTTCGGAACGAGGGACTTTGATGGCGGCACGGCTCTGAAGGGGACGAGTTTGGGTGGCGGCACTCAAATGACCGCCTGCAGATACACTTACTGGGATAGGACAGTCCTTCAAGATCATACCTCGACCAGCCATAACCTGGTTATATGCCCCAGTCACAAGAAAATTCCATCCCTTGCCACCGTCGGCGATGGCGACCGAAACATGGCATCCACGTAAAGTCATGACCACCATCGCGAGATTCTGGACCGCCTCTGCATCTGAAGCAGAGGGCGCCAGATGAATGTCCGAAGCGAACCCGTTGCTCGGAACCTTCGTCAGAGGATCTACCGGACTCGCGGCGAAGTCGAGCGAATGCTCTTTCCTGGGGACGCCATGAGGATGCCTGGGGAGAGTGAAAGACGTGGTGTACACATCCATCCCAGCTCCCAGGTTTTCAAGAAATTTTTGGTTTGCTGACGAGCGCTAGAGCGACCTCCGGGAAGTGTCGCGGTGTCGTTGTAATACTAGTTGTGCAAATAGTGTGACAGCGTTAAATGCGAACAGGGACTGCGTTGAGTGAAGGGTATGATGGTTGCGGGGGGTATTGAAGATATGGTATCAGGCCCGTCCAGAGTTCAAGGTGCCGATATACTTGACCGGAGACGGAGCCGCAAGGGAAGAGAAGGGAGAGTCTGAGCAAGGAACGCGGGACGAAGCTGGATCAGCCTTGCATCACGACCCTCTAACACCCTTACTGTATAACAGCAACGTCAGCGACTACTCCGTTCCCCAAGTTCTAGGCCTCGGCCCGCCGCTCAGATGTGACACCGCTCAGCATTGGGAGCATGCCGTAATTTACAAAATGTCGAGGCACGGATCAGTATCATAATTCGTCTACAATCTCGAAAAGATCTACCGGCTCCCACTCGTTCTCCTCCGAGTTGAAGTCAAATAACTTCGAGAAGCACCGTCTGCCCGGCGTCGAGAAATGCACGTAGGGGTTAGAGGCCAAAAGCTTCTCGCCGCACCTGTAACAAAAATGCGTCTTACATTTGCCGCAAGTCATCTGGAGGAATAGAAGTAAACATGGGCGTGAGAGGAAACACACACAAGTGGTACTCACATGGTTGCAACCGTGACTCTTCTCGACATGGACTCGACATGTCGGGCATGCCATAGTGGACCTTTGAGTGAAGAGTATATCAGTTAGTGTATCTGTGGGGTATGCCAAGTAGCAGGGAAAACAACTCACGCTTCGAGCCATGCCCTATTGGCCTGATCTTCCTTGAACCTTGCAACAAGCTTGAGCACATTGGCCCTTCCATATCGCTGTTCGATCTCCAATCGCTTGCGAGAACCCTCGGATGCATTCATGTAATCCGACAAAAAGCTGTCAGTTACCGAGAGCGCGCATTCGGAAATCGGGCCATGCCTGGGCGCGAGTCGTTAGTCAATTCAAGGCTCATCGTTGGTCGACGATAATCTCTCACCAGGTTCTTCGACAATATGCGCAGAAAGAGTAGTTGCACGTCTGACATGTGCGTAATCGCTCCCAGCCCGTCCCATCCATTGCATCTGCGCCCTTGGGACCTGGAACGGGCGTCTGGCATACCGCCACCGGACAATGTATGATAGTCGGATCTAGATGCATGGCCGATGAGAATTGTGTCATACCTATGGGAGAAACAGGAAACTAACCCTTTTCCAGTTCCTGCTTCTGTCTCAGCCATTTCCACCGCGTCACCTCCTTGTCCATCAACACCCTCCTCACTTCCTCCTCATTCGCCGCTCTCGCCGCCTTCACGCATGCCGGATCCGGGCACGTTACTCTGCTGACATCTCCCTCCTCTACGCAGAGCCTCCAGAAGTCTTCCAGACACGATCGGCAGAATATATGTCCGCACGACAGCACGATGCATTTTGAGCCCTTTACGGACGTTAGACAGACTTGGCACTCGTAGGCGTTTTGCGAGAACCGAGTGGCTTGGAGAACGGAGTCATGATGTAGCAGCAGCGGCGCGAGCAACTGAGGGGCTGGGGTCGATAGACTGGCGATCAGATGAATAATTGCAGACCGCGATCATGTGTGTGCGCTCACCGTATGACACCACTCTCGTCTATCAAGTCGAGCGATCGCAGAAAGTCAGAGCTACGTATCCATTCTACCCATTCGTACAGTACGCCTTCCGGTGCGTTCCATTTCTGCAGCAACTTCTCTTGGAGAAGATGTATGCGGGGTAGCCAGCTCGAAGTGGCACGGATCCACAGAATCCGCGGCGGGGCATAGACAGGGTAATCTGGAGGGAGGACCAAACTCAGGAGCACCGGAGGGAGAGTCTTGAGAGATATTGATTGTTTATGTACGTCTGGTGTCGCGGAATCCTCCGAGATTAGCGGGATGGTGCCGTCGTTGACAATTTCAGCTGGCATGGAGCAGCCAAGATCGACGGGTATGTCGAGCTTCACAATCTCATTCGTCGGATCTCTAGACACGAAGTCCGGGTATATCGACTGTCCAATGACCGTTCATCAGTTTGGTGCTCGGTGATGCGCAGGTAGACGGCGTACCTCAAGCACCTCCCATTCTTCTCGCTGCAAATTCCGACAATTCTCGAAGTCCTCTTCAAACATTCTCCTTATGGATTGCCTTGAGTCAACTCGGTCGGTGGCGCAGGCAAATACAGGGACGAACAGGAGTAAGCTGACTCATGGCGAGCGAACTTGGATGGGAGGAAAGATGGTCAACACAGCCACTCGGTCCGGCGGAGCGTGCATATTTCGATTTGCAGTCACAGCTCAAATTAAGTTGAGTCGATTTGGCACAAATACCCCATAAAATACAGATAAAGGAGAGAGGAAAAGGTCTACTATGATATGGCGGGAGGAGTTGTATCCAGGATAGGTGTCAATGCTGAGGTATTACAATGCATCGTCGTGCAGAGCAGAGATCATTGGATGGACGTCGGAATCACGGCGAATCGATATAGTAACCCAACGCAGAACGGGGATGTGCTGCTTGAATGTGTGAGATGGACAGAAGCAAGGGTGCCGATGCTTGTAGCAGCCGGAGATATCAGGGTTGGGAGGTCCTGTCGTCGTGCGTCTGGACTTCGCGCCGGCGACTCAACACCAGCGATCGAAGCAATCTGTCACGGAATCGGAACGTCAATTGTATGCGCCAACAATACGGAGATAGCACATACTTGTTCGTGTTCTCATACCGCTCCCTCACGCGTTGGCTCTCGGCTTCATCTGCCTCTAACGGGCTCGTCTTCCTCTGTGGCGACAAGCCGCTTCTCGACCTCTCCGAATCCCACGAGCGCTCTTCGAATAGAGCATGTGCATTTTCATGCGAATGAGAAGGTCCACCGTGGTTTGACGCGGCGGATGCGGATGGCGGAGTCGCAGCCCTATGCAGTGGCGAATCTTCGATTTGCCCTAACCCTCGTGACTTAATATGTTGTTGCTGCTGTATGTGCAAGCTGTGCAAGCTATGCAACAGCCCGTTGGTTCTCCGGTACTGCCAGGCGTTTTCCATAAGGTGTTGCTGCGGAGATGTATCTAATGGCGTGCCCTTCGCCGTCTGCAACTGTCTCGATGGTCCCGCACGGGGGTGGCTTTGAACATCGGTATCGGCGTCAAAGCTGTCTTCGTCTTCGGGACGATGGTGCGTCCATCCTCGGAGTTGCCCGTCTAGAGTTGGTGCAAGTGTTCTGAGGCGCTTGGTATGACGATGGAGGGGATCCTCGATGGGCCCGAGTCCAAGGGGCCATGTAGACTCCGCAGGCGTCTCCGATAGTAAATGGGGTGGCGGAGACGAGGGCCGTTGGCGTTTCAGCATCATTAAAAGGTCTAAGTGGTGCGATGAAACGACTAATGTTGATGAGCCACTGGTGACCGTACGACGACGTCGTCGGTGTGGAGAACAACGGGCGTTGCGGCTTTGTGTGGCGGGAAACGCGTCCGTCTTACATGTGCGTCACGTGCCATCATCGCTGAGAAGCCACTGAGCCAGACTGAGCCGGCTTGAAAGCTGTAAGCTGCAGCCTGAGCTGAACGACCTATACGCCTCGCTTCACCAACAACTGTCCACAAGCTCACTCTACCGTAACTGTAGTCAAGATGGATGCAGAAATGATGGCGGCCATGGGCTTCAGTGGCTTCGGAAAAGCCCAGAAGAAGAGGGAATTGGACCCAAAGCGGTTTGACAAGACAAAACGGGCAGAGGTAGGCGTGCGGTCTCGCATACACCCTTAGCAAACCAACACAAAATAATGATTATAACCAGTCAACTGCCCCATCGCCAAAATCTCAGGACCACCTGTCTGTGCCGGCCACAACGGTTGCTTCGACTCGCAATAACGTCGAGGAGCCGACACACGACCCTGGGGAGGATAGTGACGACGACGTGGGGCCTCCGCCTCTTCCTTCAGGAGCGAATGCAGAGCCTGAATACGATCCTGACGAATTCGACGGCCCGGACGTCGGCGACGACAACTCTGACCTGCCTCAGTTCCCAACGACGCACGAGCTCGTGCTCAAAGATCACACCAAGGTCATCTCCGCACTGACACTAGATCCAAGCGGCGCAAGGGTGGTGAGCGGGAGCCACGACTACGATTGCAAGCTTTGGGACTTTGGTGGGATGGACCATAGGTGCAAACCGTTCAAGACTTGGGAACCTTCGGGGTCATACTATGTGAGTTCTTCTGATAGGTAGCCTGTTCCGACACTCATGAACACTCATTTAGATAAATGATATCAAGTACTCGAACGACGGCCACCAATTCCTGGTCGTATCCGCAACTCTCCAACCTAAACTCTACGACCGCGATGGAGAAGAACTGTGCGTACACTCTCTACCCATCCAGGGCGGGTATCTCGAACTGACTGGCAGGGCCACATTTATTAAGGGTGATCCATATATCCGGGATATGAAGAACACTGCGTGAGTGCTCAAACGCTGTTGAGCGCATACCCTGATTGACATGCTGTTCCGTCTGATGCAGAGGGCACGTCGCGGAGGTTACAAGCTGTGCGTGGCATCCAAAGGACTCGAACACGTTCATCACGAGCTCTGCGGATTCCACCATCCGGTACGCCCGTTCTATCCAAGTTTCGAGCGCCCACCCTGCGTTTTCCTTGATGGCTATAAACGTAGTCTTCGCGCAATTCCGGCAACACACTAGCAGTACAGCGCAGACCTAGCTGACCAACCATATCTTAGGATATGGGACGTTGAGAACAAGCGCAAGCAGAAGACGGTCATCGTCGTCAAGTCAAAGGAACGAGGCGCGAGGACGAAGGTTATGTCATGCGCGTACTCGCCGGAAGGGAACATGATCGCTGGAGGTCAGTCCTCTACCCAGACAGGTTCTGCGGCTTGGCCGCAGCGTTCTCTCGTACCCGTACGGGGCGGTGTGCTGACGTGGCACAATCTATTCCTGTTACAGCTTGCTTGGACGGTGCACTGCACTTGTGGAACACGAGTTCGAACTTCGTCAGGCCGAACCTGAGCATCGAGGGTGCGCACACGAAGAATACAGAGCCCGGATCAGTGGTGTTCTCCGTGGATGGCAGGACGATCCTAACAAGAGGCGGGGACGATACCGTCAAGTGTGCGTATTATGATGATCAAGACGGCAGATAACTGACTTCGTTTACGATTTCAGTATGGGATGTCCGAGCATTCAAAAAGCCACTCGCTGTTCGGGACAATCTGCCTAATCTATACCAGACTACAAACGCGATATTCAGCCCCGACGATAAGCATGTCCTTACGGGAGCCGGCGCCACCTCTAAGGGTGGGCAGGGCAAGCTCGTGTTCCTGACGAAGGATGGGCTGGAGCCCGTAAAGGAGCTCTTGGTGGGCACGACGCCCGTGCGTGTGGTATGGCACCCGAAGATCAATCAGGTCTGATAACGGCTTTGCTGCGCAAAATGCTCGTTCGCTGACGCATCACCCAGATCGTCACGGGCATGGCCAACGGACAGATATGCGTCCTCTACTCGCCCCAGACGTCGTTGAATGGCGCAAAACTGCCGATGAGCAAGGGCCCGGCGAAGAAGGCGACGATCGAGGACATGTCATACGCGCTCGCGGCGCCGAACATCATCACGCCGCACGCCCTGCCTATGTTCCGGGAGGGCGAGGGCATCGCGCGTGGCACGAAGCGCAAGCTGGAGAAGGCGAGGATGGACCCGCGGAAGAGCAGACGGCCGGAGCTGCCTGTCACGGGCCCGGGGCGGGGTGGACGCGTCGGCGCGAGCGCGACGCAACACGTCGTGCAGAACCTCGTACGGGATACGACGCGGGACGAAGACGTGCGTCATGCTCAACTTTCTCTGTTTGGCGGGCGGGAGAGGCGTGGCCTGGCCGCGCGTGGCTCCCGAGCGGGTCAATTTTCCAGATCAGACACATCAGCGCGCCTGTCTTGGGCGTCGTCATGGTGTCCCGCTCGCCGCGTCATTTTCGTTCATGGCGCGCTGTTGGATGAGCCCCTCGCTAATCTCTTTGTCCGTTTCTTTGTCTGCAGCCGCGCGAGGCCCTGCTCAAGTACGCGACAAGCGATCCGCAGTGGACGAAAGGTGCGTCCGCGTTTTGTCTCATTCGGCCGGAAGCGGCGTGGCCGTGGCCGCTGCCGGGGCGTGTGAACGTGATTGTTGACTGATAACGTGACGTGTTTTTTTTTCCTTCCCGCGGTTTCCCAGCTTGGAGCGCAACACAACCCAAGCCAGTGTTCGCCGAGGTCGAGCAGGAGAAAGAGGAGGAGGACAAGGCGTAGCGTACTGCTTATATACACCGTTTGTACGTTACATGTCTGCAGGCGGGATAGGGAACGAGGAGGAGAGAGGCAAACGAGAGCTGGTAACTTTCGCACGGGGGGTCGATCGATATAAAGACTGGACCAGTCATCCCGCGCCGAGCCACCCTCGCTGCCCCCGATTCTGCTCTCACTCTAAAGGTCACGTGAACAATGACCACCGTCGGCGCGCTCCCTGCGACGAACGGCCTCTCCGCCGACGGCTACACCGAATACACCGCAGAATCCCCCGCCACCCCCGTCAACAACGACGTCGACGTCAAGATCGACATTGACCAGTTCGCCGCCGAGAGCGACGCGCGCCATGAGCCCGTCCAGCCCGCAAAGGCCCCCAGTGTCACGAGCGCGTCGGTACAGCCGGAGGTGGGCACTCCGGTCCATCCTGGTGAACATGGCCCCGTCTATGCTTCAGTGGATGCATCGCTGACGCGTCTCAGACACCATCCCCATCCACCCGCCCACTGGTGCCACCCCGCCACCCCCGACAGGCCAGCTCTTGCCCGAGGTCGAGATGGCTGAACGAGCGGAACCCAAGACCGAGGAATCTGTTATGGACGATACAGAGCCAACCCCCGTGCCTCTCCCTCCGATGACCCCCGAGGTGCCCTCTACAGCCCCATCAGAGGGCAGCGCCATGGACGTGGAACCTGCAGTCAATGGGCATTCCTCACCCAAGCACGAGTCGCAACCAGACGCGTCGCCCAAACGTGACCCTGAAGTGGAAGCTGTTGCCTCGCAAACCAGCCTGCGTCGATCGGCGAGCGAGATGGACGACGATGAGCATCCGGCGAAGAGGGCGAGGATGACCTCGGACGCGGATCAGGAGATGAGGCAGACAGTGAGTTGAATTGTCGCGCTTGAGACGTGTTGCTGACCATCGCTTAGTCTACTCCACCAATAACCAATGGTCACACCGAACATCCCCCTGCGCTGCCTATGAACCCCATTCAGCACAGGTTTTGCCTCTCTGTGGTGCGCTCGCTCAAGAAGATGAAAGACTCAGTGCCGTTCGTGCGCCCTGTCGACCCCGTCGCCCTCAACATTCCGCACTACCCATCCATCATCAAGAATCCGATGGACCTGTCCACTGTCGAGCGCAAGCTTGGTTCTTCCAACCCCGCGAAACCTGACCCAAACCCGTCGAATCCCCGATACCGCAACGTCGACGAATTCATCGCCGACGTGCGGCTCATCTTCAGCAACGCTTTACTCTTCAACGGCCCGGACCACGCCGTGACCCTCATGGGCAAGCGTGTGCAGGACGTATTCGATAAGCAATTGAGGCAGATGCCCCCTGCCGACGAACCCAAGCTTATCGCGAAACCGAAGTCGCCGACCCCTCCGCCGCCTGCTGTAACGAAGAAGCCTGCGCGACGCTCCTCCACGACGCTCCCGGTCATCCGCCGCAATGAGGCTGAGACTGTTTCGACGCGTCCCAAGCGCGAGATCCACCCGCCTCCGCCCAAGGACCTTCCGTACGCGGAACCGCCCAAGAAGGCGATGCGCAAGGTCCGGCGAACGAAGGACCCGAGCACCATGGCACAGTTGCAATTCTGCAGCAAGCTTCTTGCCGATCTTCACAAGAAGCAACATTACGCTATCGCCAGTCCTTTTTATGATCCCGTCGGTGAGTTCGGTCCAGTCTCTCACAACCTGCCCAGTGGCTGAGCTGCTCATCGTAGACTGGGTTGCGCTCAACATCCCCGACTACCCTAAGATTGTGAAGAAGCCTATGGATATGTCTACTATGCGGAAGAAGCTTGACAACCATGAATACCCCAACGCGCAGAAGTTCTACGACGACTTCAAGCTCATGATCAGGAATTGTTTTTCCTTCAACCCCGCCGGCACCCCCGTTAACCAGGCCGGCATTGACCTCCAGCGCTTGTTTGACGACAAGTGGAAGAGCCTTCCACGTCGACAGGAGACGCAGGACGAGAGCGAGCTGGAGGATGAGGAGGAAGACGAGACCGACGATGAGCGTGCACGCCAGATCGCCGCGATGGAGTCCCAGATTGAGGCGATGCGGAACAATCTCGCAGCCATCAAGAATGGGGCAGTCGCGGGCCCGAAGCCCAAGGAGAAGAAGAAGAAAGAGAAGCGGGAGAAGTACGCTCCCGCGGCTCCTGTCGCTTCGACCAGCAAGGCCTCGAAGCCGAAGGCGTCCGCTCCCGCTGGGGGCAAGAAGAAGTCAGGCGGTGGAGGCTCGAAGAAGACGGCTGCGATTGCGGATGACGACGTGCTGTCGTTCGAGCAGAAGAAGGAGCTGAGCGAGGCGATTGGCGCGCTGGACGGCACGAAGCTCGAGCGGGTTATTCAGATCATACACGAGGGCGTACCCGAGATTCGCGATGTACGTCTTATCTACTTTCCGCATCCTCGCGCGTCTTGCTTAGTTTGTGATTGCAATAGAGCACCGAAGAGATCGAGCTCGAGATCGACACGCTACCTGCGGCAGTGCTCACCAAGCTCTACAACTTCGTCATCCGGCCCTTGAAGGCCGGTCCGAAGCGATCGCGTGTGCCCAAGGGTGGAGGAACCGGCGGGCTCAAGCGCAAGAGCATGGACGAGGATGTCGAGGCGGAGAAGATCCGTCAGCTCGAGGAGCGCATGCGGCTATTCGAGCAGGGCGCAGAAGCTCCTATGCCGGCACTCCCGGGCATCGGGCACGACAGCGACGCCAGCTCCGACTCGAGCTCGGACGAAAGCAGCGACTCGGAGTAGGCGGAGAGTCCCGCTCGGGAGGGATGCTCCTGGTCTTTGCGTAGGCAGGCCCACGGATCTTCTCCTTCCCGTCGCCATTCCGTTCGCATGCGTTTTTTCTCGTTGGGGTTGTTGCGTTTGTTCGAAGTTCTTATTCTATTCCAGTTCTCCGTGCTTTTTCTCGTCCCAAGTCTCGAGCCCTCGGTCCCTCTCTTGACCACACTGTAGCTTCCGATACTATTCCTGCATCGCACCCTCCTCCTCGCGTGTCGAGAGGGTCGCTCGAGGGTCGACTTCCAGACGAACATTCCTCAAATCCCAAAATTAAAGAATTGTATTGATGTAGTTAGTTGCCACCAGCCCTCCTACTCTTACCACAAAGCCGTTGTAAATAATTCGAGAATGAGTAGAAACTCGAGTTCATGTATACATTGCATGTACACAGCAGATCAGGCAAAGTCAAACCGAGATGCACAAGGAGACTACCCGAGGTACAATAACCGGGGAAACGCGGGCCAGTCCACTGATCCTCATTTTCGACCTGATTTGAACTTCTGCCATCCTTGACGTTGGTTCTCCTCGACGACACCCTTGGGCTTCTTGGGCTTCTTCGCCTTTTCCTCGCCCAACACACCCATCACTGGCGCCACAGCGGGTGTGGCAATCGGTGCGGGCACAACAGGCTGGGCCGGTGCTGGAGGTGGCGCAGGAGCTGAAGGGGTGGAGGCTGCAAGAGGGGGCCTGGGTCCCGGTCCCTCTCCAAACTTGGGCCAAGCGGGAGGTGCAGATGGCGGTGGGCCACTGGGTGCCGTCGTTGCCTCGGACGTCGCGCCAGAGACCTGGGGCCATGTGGCAGCTCGAGAATCTGCGCTGAGGGCTGACGTGGGCGCAGGGGGCGCCGCGCTCAACGGAGGTGGCGCTGGCGACGCAGCGGAGTCGGGAAGACTGGAGTAGCCACCGCTTTGGAAGCCGCCATTGGTCGTGCCTCGGCTCCAGCCAGCTTGAGGTGCGGATGGGATCCCTGGTGCTGGAGGTGCCTCTGTCGGCGGAGGTGGAGGCGCGGGAGCGGCGACCGCAGCCCATCCTTGCGACGTGGACGGCTGTGCCGGGCCCGCTGGGCCTGAAGAGGTTACTGTAGAGGAGACCTTGGCCCATCCCGTAGTTCTCGAGGCAACGGGAGGCGCAGACGATGATACCGCGGCCCATCCGCTCTTCGTGCCCTCTGCATCTCCCTTGGGCGCAGCCCCTCCCCCCAGCGGCTTGGGCGGCGCCGCGATCTTGATGCCCGCAGCCTTCGCCAGCCTCTTCATCTCCTTCTCCTCCCTCTTACGTTCCTTCGCCTTCCTCTCCTCAATGTCTCCCTTTGCACCTTTTAGGCTCGCCTTCATGTCCTTCTCGCGAACCTTGTGGTGGTGTGCGTACGAGTTCGTGTGTTCGTCGTACTGAGCAACATTCTTGAACTGTTTATCGCACAGCGAACAGTAGAAGGCGGCCAGTGCGTTGGTGACCTCGTTACGAATGGCGCTCGCGCGCGCGACTGCGTCCTACAATACCAGTGGTCAAGTGTGAACAATACGCAGGCGTTCGATAGAGGGAGGGTTACCTCTCGCGCTTTGCGCTGCTCTAGCGTCTCATTCTGTTGACGTTCGGCATCGAGGGCGCGGCGTTGAGCAACCGTCTCTTCGATCCGCCGCAGATCCTGACTCAACTTGCCGACCCCGCTAGTATCCGCTTTCATAGCGAAAGGAACAGGATCCGTCCGACCTGTGGACGGGTCGCTTAACTTTTTCATACTAATAGTACGGCATATTGTATTTACATACCGTCGCCAGATAGACCCAGGGGCTGTCCTTCGGACCACCCCATCTTCGCAAGCATCGCAAACCCCTTGTTCGACGCATTGATTCTTGTCTCGACAGTGATGACCTCTCGCGCTACTCCAGGCACGTATTCGTCGTACTTGTCGATGTCCATGTCGTCGGCCCTCTTAGGCTCCCTTCCCGGGCTAGGCGACCTCGACGCGATCAAGATGTCATCGTCGTCGTCGTCAAAGTTGGCTTGGTCGCGCTCAAACGGGTTCTGGTCGTCCGCCGATTCACCGGCCTCTTCGGCGATTATTTCCTCGAAAGTGCGCTAGATAGGAAAGGCAGAGGGGAATAGAGGCAGTAATGACTTCCACTCCTGGTGAGGAAGGCATGGCGCTAGAGTACCTTCATCGGGATTGCGTTCCATCGAGCGATCGACTCCGCCGACATCGTGTCGTCGATAAAAATGATGTTCGTTCAATTCGGTGGAAAGTAGTAGTGAGCTGATTTGGTGGTCAAGGACAACGAGGTAGACGCCACGGCCAGATCCAGTGACCAGGACGTGAAAGCCAGAATATTGCGGTGCACCGCTCGTTCATCCACACCAACCCCCTCCGCTTTTCTTACATGCTTTTTGACGCCGATTCAGAACCGAGTCTCAAGGCATGGCTCACTAGAACACTCGAGCCAATGTGCGTGCATATACGACAGAAAACAGAGCCGGCCAACTGATGTCTTTGTGCTGTAGCTGCGACGCCGATCCCGGCGCGCTTTCTGACTATGTCCTCGCGCTGCTAAAGCACAATCTCTCCGAGGCGGAGCTGAGAAGAGAGCTGAGCGCGCAGCTCGAGGAGTTCCTCGAAAAAGGCGCGTGCATGCCACTTCGTGATCGTGTTCCAAAGCTCACAAGCGGACTCGTAGATGGCCCGCCGTTCATCGACTCGCTCTTCAAGGCCCTCCATACTAAGTCCTATATTCCATACGCAGCCGCAGAGCCCCCGTCCAGTGACGTAGGCATCCCCATCCCTTTGGACGACTTCCTTACCTCGACGTCTTCGAGCTCGATACCGACGTCACCGGGCGGAGGGCGGCGGAAACGCTCGTTGGAAGACGATGGTCCACATCCACCTGCAAAAGGGCCGCGGATAAACAACGAAGGCCAGTTCTCCAGATACGGGAATGGGAGAGGCACGGGCGCCTGGGATGGCGGGCGAGGGGGCTACCCAAACGGCGGAATGGGCATGGGAAATGGGCGAGGGTCGTATCGGCCTCAAGATGGGAACAGGCCCATGTGCAGAGACTACCACAGTGCGTCATACATCTTAGCTGTATTCTGCACTACTAACCCGCGAACTTCTCTAGTAAAGGGTTACTGCGCCCGTGGTGCGATGTGCAAATACAGTCACGGCGACGAAGCCATCGTTCCACCGCCTATGATAGCGCCCACCTCCATGCCCTACATACCCATGGGCACGAACGGCAGCTTCAATGATGGCTACGACCCGCATAATGCCCGTATCGACATGTCCGAGGCAGGCCGCCGCGGCCAGGTGATGGGACCGGGCGCGTTTTACCGCACGCCCCGCGCGCCGATAATTCGGCGCGAACAAAACGATGACGGGAGCGGCGCGGCCGTGTCAGGCGAGCTGCCGGTCATACAAGACCTCACTCCGCAGGATCAGGTGCTTGAAGCAGGGGAAGCTGGGCATCAACATCGATCGAGACCCATCCAACCGTATAGTGCACCGCACGGGCGTGTACCACCGGGACATATGAATGGAGCGGCTCCTATGGGACACATGCCAGGGCAGATACCGATGGACGTCGACATGTCCGTCGCAGCGGGGATGCCCCATATGATGGGACCTATGTTCCCTGGCCCAATTCCATTCCGCAGCGCCATGCGGCAGGGCACCTTTGCCGGCCCCGCTGCCTCGTTTTCCTCTGACCCGTCCGACACTATACACCAAGAACCGCATTCGGGCCAAGCTGGCGGCCGCCCCGAGCGCCGTCAGGATAAGACACTCGTCGTCGAAAAGATCCCGCAGGACAAGCTCTCGATCGAGTCCGTCACGTCCTGGTTCAAGCGTTTCGGCACGGTCACAAACGTCGCGATCGACGCGCGGGGCGGGAAGGCGCTTGTCAGTTTCAGCGAGCACGAGAGCGCAAGGGAGGCGTGGAAAGCGGAGGAAGCGGTTTTTGGGAATCGGTTCGTGAAGGTGTTCTGGCACCGACCGATGAAGGGGCACGGGGAGGCGGGCAACAAGGCGTTGGCCGCGAGCGCCCCGCTCGTTGCAAATCTCAATAAGCCTGCGCTCACCCCTTCAAACTCGGGAGATGTCCCTATGGGCGATGCGACGACGAAAACTGCGGCGTCGACGCCAGTCAAGAAGGCGCCAGTATCTGCGACCGCCTCTGCGCTGGCTGCGAAGCAGAAGTTGCTCGAGCAGCAGATTGCGGAGCAGAAGCAACTCATGCAAAGCATCGAGAGCGCAAGCACTCCGCAGGAGAAGAAGGAGATCATGGCGCGGCTGCGGAAGCTGGCGGAGGAGATGAAGACGGTATCGTCCACACCCGCGTCCTCGACACCGAGCGCGAAAGAGAAGCTCGAGAAACCGAAGTTGGGCAAGGAGCTGGAGGGCGCTGCGTCTCCCTCTGCATCCCAGGCGGAAACCTCGAAGGAAGGCGGAGGTGGAGAGACAACCGAGGATTTGAAGGCCCAACTTGCTCGCCTGAAGGCCGAGGCTGCCTCTCTGGGCATCTCCGATACCGTCGACGTGTCGACCCCACCACCTTATGGATCGACGTCGTATAGGCCCTACAGGGGACGTGGACGCGGCGCTGCGAGAGGCTATTATCGAGCAGCGTCAAGAGGGGGACCTCCGAGGAGCTTGAAGCTTGATAACCGACCAAAGAAGCTGCTGGTGAAGGGCGTGAAGGAAGAGGGCGTGCAGGCGGTGAGGGACTGGTACGAGGTATGCTACAATCCCGCATTGTACTCGGGCAGACTAAGCTGACATGGATTTGCTTAGACCACTGGTCAAGTTGACAACGTCGAAACCCTGGACAGCGGAGATTTGCTTGTCTCTTTCAGGAGCCGGAGCGCCGCTGAGCAAGTGAGTGCTTATGCATGTCTGTTGAAACGAAACCAATTTATTGATGTTTTGTCACCAGGGTCTCGCCAAAGGCAGCCATATCCCAACTGTCGGGGCTGTCCAAATATCATGGCACGCGCCGCAGGCTCCCTCCGCCGCTAGCAGAGTCGCTTCAAGTATGTCTACATCCACAGTAGGCGAGGCATCCCTGGAACACGTCGTACGAGAACCATCACCGGAGCGGGAGCCTCAGCACGAGCTTGAAGAGGAGGCGAACAGAGGGTGGGGCGACGACGATAACGAAGGGATGGGCATGTTCTAAAGCCATGCTCGGCACTTGGTGACGATACTGGCATGTGTTCGATCTTATTGCATTGTAATACTCTGCGTCCTAGATGAGGTCAAGAACATATTTTGGCGACGGACAAGGGAAATAATCAACCCTGTCCGGCAGCATTCGAGCCTGTCAACGTGAATGCAGCTTCTAAGTCCTCCGTGACGCGATGCGATCTCGGCGCAGTATGATAACGAACAAAATATGCAGTATTTGCGGATCTCGTTTAGAATCCCGCGTGAGCTATGGTCAAATTATCAACGCTCATCTGGACAAGCTCCTTGACCGCAACATGACTCTCAGCTGGCCACAGGTCATGGGGCTTTCTACATTTTACCTCTTGTGCACCGAGAGTTCGAACACCTCGCATGTCTGCCGCCGTGGTCTCGAGTGTCCCGTCCTGCGTCTTATTGAGCGGTAAGGGTTTCCAAAGCTCAAGGATGTCCATCTCAGTAGCCATTGTCGGTTCTCCGAGCCACACCGCATTAAGAGAGACATCAAGACCGCTTATGAGCTCAAGCGAAAGAGAATTGCTGTCCGTACTGTAAGCAGCTAAGTGGAGTGCCATAAAGAGGGGGGGCCTGAAACCATCCATGGCTTGCGTAAACTCTGCTGTAAATACTCTGATGCTTATATAGCTCGAGGACTTATCTTCTTGTTGCATAGCGCGTTTCAACGTAGGATGTATAGTGCAGCATGTTTATCCTCGCTCTGCCGCAAAGGTAAGGCTCGCGGCAATCGCCGAACGCCTTGAGGGAATAACAGCCAATCGCAGAATTGCGGAGCGCTAAAATGCCTCTCGCCTATAAAACCGGCTTGCTGTGCTATCACCGAGCCCCGTTGCTCCCTCTCTCCCTCCTTCACGCAGCTCTCTCTCATCCATCCCTCTCTTCGACAGTCGGTCGACCTTCTGTTATACCTTCACTATCTCTTGGCTCTTCAAATATGCAGTCTAGGACCCTCCAGGCCATCGTACACAGGAACTTTTACCTCGACTACCTCCAGGCTGGGAACAACTGCGCACCGTCGTGGTGAACGATCCTGAGACCTCCCCTTCCCTTTCGACATCCTCAACTGTGCTCATCAAACTCAGCGCCGCTTCGGGCCGGCCATCCGATGCCAATGTCATCGCCGTTGTTAGCGACAGGCGCTATTCAGCCCCAGTAATAGCTGTCTACGACGTCCGGGGGCTTGCGTCTCGGCACTCAGCCTCACGGACCTTCCCCCTCGCCGCAAACCCTCTGCCCAGCGTGATGCCACGTATCGCTCTCACGGTCGATGGCGCCATATGCTTTCATATCAGATGGTGATGGCCCTCACCCTGGCTCGGGGAACGAGTGCTTTGACTCGGGGATTTCTGGAACGGACCTTGCTGCTTTGGGAGGGCAGTTGCGAAGGCCGAGTACACGTCCGTGCGCCTGACCGTTTCTTCAACCGACGGGATGGCCGGGGGCTATGACTATCATCGCCATAGGACCTGCTCATAGGACCTGCTGAAGGAAAAGTTGCTGTGGACGCATTGACTCAAGTGTCCTTCTACTGGATCATCGAGGAGCTAGCAGAGTGCTCCGAATTCGGGAGGGTTGAACTCCCCGCAGGGTCTCAGTAGATAATCAGGGGCTCACTACCGGAAGCGACAGCCTGTAGCAGATACAAGAATAAAGAGCTAAGACGCTTTCTGACACCGGGGTTGCAGCATTCCACATCAGCAATGCTAAATGCAGACGAGAAGGGGCCGGTGAAGAGTGATGGGACGATGAGGCACGTTTCAATATCGCCCAATGTGTCTACAATACGTCCAAGCGTCGTAGTGCAATAGATGTGTGTGGGTGCGGATCGTCATAGCTCGCTGGATCCAGCATACGAAATCTCCGCATCGTCCTCCACGACGAATGTGCCGAATTCATACTCGTCCTCCGATCCTGGTTCCTGAGGCGGAGAACTGGAAACCCCCTGCACGCGCCGACTCGACCGGCCGCCTGCGATACCCAGAGCCCCACGGCGCGCTGGTCGGTTCGCGAACAGAGGGCCACCGGCTCTGTTCGGTGCCTGCGACAACAAACTCTCGCGATATATCTGGGTCTGCTGGTAGCTCGGCGAAGCCTGGGTCTCGTCAGCCTCTTCCAGGAACTGACGATCGCCTTCGCTTTCGACAAGGAAGTCGTCGAGGGACGAGCCTTCGCTCACTTCGTCGCCGGAATGGTCCGCCTCCACCTCGACCCACGGGTTGATCTTGGCGAGCTCAGCAGTATCCTGCACTTTTCTCTTCTTCCGCTTCGCTTTCGGGGCTTCGGGGCTCTGGGAAGGTAAGCGTCGAAGCCGCCGTTGTGAAGGAGGTGGCATCTCCGACGGCGATGAACCTAGTAATCCTGGGCTCTCGAGCACTTTTGCCCGCCGCTTTCCGGCAGCTCGTAGGGGCAATGAGGATTCGAACGGCACTGGCGACTCGATTTCGGGCCTTCCGGAGATTCTCGCAGGTATATCCGGAGGTGCCATATCTCCTTTGACCGCCTTCGAGCGTTTCGGGGACATGTTGGAGGTAAATCCTGGCCCATTCGGTCGCTGCGGGGATCGTAGTGGTGCGGGCGCGTTGACTACAGCTTCATCTTCAGAGTCCTCTAGCAGCCAGCTGATGTCATCATGTTCGTGGGATGCCGACCGTTCACGATGCGAAGCTGGAGTCGACGGTCCCGCCGGAGATGAAGGTGGCATATCTTCGGCAGTTGGTGATGGTTCGGGGGATCTCGACCTGCTGGCGCTGGTGGATCTGCTCTTGGAAGGTCGAAGGGACGTGGGCAAATGACGTTTGTCGGGTGTCGTTAATATCTTCCGGCGAGGGGAACCTGAGTCACTCGCGGGCGAGGATCGTACGCCATCGGATGGATCCAAGTCGATGAACGACCTATCAACCGCGATCTTTCTGGATGGAACCGGCGAGGTGCGAGATTGAACACGTTGAGCAGGCAATGAGAACGCTTTGAGGGCTGTATTGAAAGTAGTCAACCCTCGTTCAATGTCTACATCATCGGAGTCGTCCTCGACGACACGGGGCAGCTCCTTGCCATCCGGTACCGCTAGTTTCTTGTTCTTTTTCCGTGGTGCGGTAACCTTGGCTTTGCTTGCTTTCTGTGCTACGCCTTCGGACCGCACACTGTCCGTCCGCCGCTTCTGTGATTTCTTCGCCCCGACAGGTGTCGACACAGTCCTACGCAACGATCGCAAGCCCTCTTCAATCTCTTTATCCGTGTCATCGTCGACGCCACCGTCTGGGTCAAACTCTTCCGGTTGCTTGCGTTTCTTCGTTTGTTTGACGATGAGGTCCTTGACCGAGACAAAGCCGGACGCTGCGCCAGCAGGAAGGTCAACTCCGACATGGCTTTTCTTCTTCCTCTTGTTCTCGAGGGCACGAATGAAGCCTTCTTCCTTCTGCTTGGCCCTCCGAGCCTGGGGCCGTTCATATTCCTCGATCTCCATGACCTTCTCCTCCGGTACCGGCTTGATGCTCTCCGGGATGAGACGCTCAACGTCCGCATACAGTTCTAGCTGTTCTGAACGAACGATGGAATCCTGCACAGCTGCATATTGTTCTTTGGCCTTGTCCCAGTTGGATTCCTCGCGACCCTCCGCGAGAAGGACGTGCACGTATCCGTCGCGCTTTCGTCCTGTCCGACCAATGCGTTGCAACTATTAGGACACGTCAGATTATCGTCGTCCTTCGAAGAATTGGTTTACCATGCGAATCGGAGTCTTCTGAGCATCATAGCAAACGATCATGTCGATTTCGCCAATATCTAATCCTTCTTCTCCGATCGAGGTGCATACAAGGACGTTCCATTCTCCTTTCTTAAAGCGTTCCATGACCTGCAACCCGTATCAGCTTCTGTATCGGCAGCGAAACTGTTCCTCACAGACATCCAGCTGCTTCTTCTGGGTGTATCCGCTCTTGCCTTTCTTATCCGTGCTCTGTCCTATGAACGGCGTCGCTCGGATAAGCGGATTTTCTCGGTTGAGCATTTCCACTATCTCATCCACGACTCCGCGGAAGGTGACAAACACCATGACTTTGGAATCGCTCTCCCCGCCTTCCCCGTCCGCCTGCTTGGCAAAATAGTCGATCAACAACGTCTGGAGCTTGACCATCTTCGGGTGCATCTCGAACCCTCGGTCGCGCTGTCCCTGAATGTCCTCCATTAGCGACACGAACGTCGGATCCTTCCGCAGCGTCGCCTGCGCCTTCTTCTGGCCCTCTTTACTCGAACCGTCCGCGACCTCTTTCAGGCAGCCATAGAACATTTCAGCGTTAGCCTCCACCTACGAGGCAGCAGCACTTTGAACGTCCCGCTCGCGTTGTCACAAGAACAAGTCCTTGCTTACAAGATATCCCATGGCGCGAGCCAGGGTGGACAGCTTCGCGAGGACAGGAAACGCCCACCTCAGCTGCTGTCCGTCTCGGCGTTTATGGATTTCTGCCATAGCCGCTTGAGGCCGATATGGATGCATGGTTGCGGGATCCACGGAGCCGTACATGATCCCGGCCTTGGTCACTTGCCTTATCAAGGGCTTGTCGAGGGTAACGTTAGCGTCGTGGATAAACAGCAGTGTACGGGGTTCACCTCCATCAGCTTCACCAACTTGTCTCGAATGCGAACTATGTCTCCGGTCATCCGAATGATGTGTTGTTTCAAGTGCTACGCGCTCAAGGTTGACCATACAATGGGCGGCAGCAAGTGGCCGTTCTACGTACCTTCTTGAACACGTACTGCTTCAGATCCATGCTTTCCTCGTTACGAATTTCGATGCGGCTGATGTGGAGAGCGTCGACTATGGCCTGCACGGCCTCGGGAGTGCGGCCCGGAGTCGCCGTAAGCGCGAGGAGACGGAAGTGGGGATTCTTGGCCATAAGGTACCGAACGCATTGAGCGTACGAATGATCTCCCGTGCCTCTGTGCGCCTCATCTAATTCCACAAAGTGAGTAGAAGCACGGTACAGCGCATGCTGTTTATTTACCGACGACAAGTAGAACCAGGTCGGTGGGGTCACAGGTGCCAGCGGCCAGGTCGTTCATGAGTGTTTGTGGCGTCATGTAGAACACCCGTCTTTCCTTATACTGAAATGAGTGTAAGGGATGGCATGCTACTGATAGACGGTGGCTGTAGAAACGTACCAGTTGTCTTCGCTTTGCTCGATTCACCTCCCCCGTCAATTCTGCCGCATGGCTGCCTGGGATTCCGCACACCTGATGAGATGCGTTCACTTGTTGATTTACGAGAGGTTTCGTCGGGGCCACGAAGAAGATTTTCCCGTCCGGGAACCAGCGCCAGACTATATGCAGGTTCAGTACTCCGACAGCCAGAGGCTGACGCCAATGACGCACAGTTCAGCATAACCACTCCGGCAATGAAAGTCTTTCCGAGACCTGTCGGCAACGCGACGAGCGTGTTCTCGAATAAGCAGTGCTGGACGATGTTGAATTGGTAGTCACGCTTAGGTCGGTTCAATGGATACACCCATGTCTGGGCTTCACTGATCTCGGGGCTGAGTTTCATAGGTGGTATGGGGCCTTCTGGAACAAACGGGGCAGGGAACTGTTCGAATTCGATATCCTCCTCGTCGATAGCCTCTTCGTCTTCCCTGTCATTGTCGGCGGAAGCATCGCTCTTTCCTTTCCCCTTCCCTCTCCCCTTATCCTGCCCCTCCTCGGATTTCCATCTCTTCCATCCCATCTTCGCGAACCTGCTGTGGTCCCATGTCTTGACCTTCCGTGATTCATGGCTGACACCAAAGTTGTTCCGCTGGTTCAAGCGAGATCGGGAAGGCCCTGCGTTCACAGAGCTGGGCGCTTTAAAGGTAGAAGACGTGGCAACGCCACCATCTAAGGTCGTCTGGACGGCGTTCCGAGAATTCGTGCGCGAAAAGCTTGGCCGGGCGGCTGGTGGTGCTTTGCCTCGGTACGCGTCTTCCACGATAGCGTCCAGTCTCTCTAGATCGGCCGAGTCCACGTAAAACGACATATCCACGTCGTCAGAGTCTAACTCAATAACGTCCTGTTGGCGAGGCGCATGCGCGGGGGCGATGGGACGGGAGGTCGCAGCAGCATTCTGGACGGGCGCGGCCTGCATGGCCTGGGCTTCCAAGATATCGACCTCCCTGAGGATCGCTGAGTCAAGATCATCGTCAAAGTATCCATCTGAGCTCATCGTCGCTGTCGTCGGGCAGACTTTCCAGAGAAGCGCCAGCCCACGGTTCGTGCGCACAAAGAAGGGGGACGCGAGTGAATGCAGAACGCCCGCAGACGCGAACGTTTCACTGCATCACACGATCCCACGTGATCTCAAAGGTCTCTCACGAAGTGATTCATGCATCTTTATGTAGTTGCTGTTACATAGGTCCACTATGACCGACCATACTTTGGTCTGAAATACGCAGGGGGGAGCCTCGCCAGAACATCCACTAACGGACGTTCCACCACGACCATCTCCCGCGGCCCAAAGAAGTCAAGCGCCAATATCGGCCTGTAATGCGTCACCACCTTGAAGTTCTGCTGCTGCTGGGAGATGTCGGCGATGACCATGCCAGCCTCGTTTGCTCCTCCTTTTTGTGCTCTCCTTCGTTTCCTGGAGAATCCGCCCCAGCCGGCCGGGCGGTCCAGCTGGACCTTGCATATCCACGTCGCGCCCCAGAACAGCGCGACCGCACCCTCCGTAGAAGCGGACGCAGGGTCAAAGGTAACGCCGATGACGGAGTCGTGAATGCCCGTAAAGCGTTTCGGGAGGGAGGCGCTCAGCTCGCGGGCCCAGTTGGGGAACTCGCGCGCGTCCACATCGTAGATTTGTATCGTGTTATTGGCGAGCGCCATGATCAGAGTTGTTGTTCTTGATGCAGAGGGGTTGAATGCCATAGCGTGTATGGGTTGGGGCATTGTTGGGACCACAGAATGGTGCTGGAAGACATCATGTCAGTAAGGAACAGATGATTCGGAATTGAATACCTACTTGTATGGAATCCAGGTTGAATATGTAAGTGCGACACCGGTCATCCGTGGTGGCAAGCCACTGCCCGTCCGTGCTAACACACATCCTCGAGACACTGATCCCGACAGCATCGTCGCCTGACGGAATCTGTTCCTCTTCATCGTCCTCCGAGCCTTCTCCATCGACGTCCATAGCAGCCTCGTGCCCACCCTGTTTGGTCCTCGCGGCTTTCCCTATGCCAACGTGCTCCATCCTGTGCTGTTCGAATCGTCGCACAACCCGAGGCCGTTCGGACGACAAATCGATGATCAAAATATATGCGCTCGTTGTCGACATGACGAGCTTCAGCGAGTCGGGCGTGAACACAAACGCCGTTCCACCAGTAGAAGGTGCAGCTCTCGACGTCGAAGGCAAAGACTCGACAAGAATGGCAGCAAAGTCGCGGACGCGCTTCGGTTTGAGGGTGCCGTCGTCCTGGAGAAAGTGAAGGATGGCCGCGTTAAAACTACTCCCTTCCGGAAGTATGCAGATGACAAACTGTAGAATGGAGCGCGAAGAGCTTCGTCTCGTAATGATCGGACACAACGATCCATCGACCATCTTGCGAAATCCCGCATGCCACGATGTTAGTGGTAAAGGCCAATTCCATCTCCAAAATCTTTTCCCAGCCACCGCGCTGGCCTTCAGGGTCGAAGCCATCGAGATACGCAGGATCTTCCTCGCTAGTTGAATTTTGAGGATGAACTCTCCAGATGGATACTCCGGACTCGCTAGCAGAAACAACCAGCCTGGCCAGCCTTGCCACGCAAACGGTCCGAGCGGAGTACGCCAACCTTCGATGATACGCGTCTTCGAACGTCGCCGTCACGCTCGTAGACAACGGATTGATGATCTTCGCCACAGACGTGCTCGGCGCCGAGGCGGCAGGTGTGAGTACCATGTTCATATCGAGACCACCGGAGACAAGAACTGGCGCGACGCCGACAGGGTACACGGGGCGATGCGACGGCGGTACGAGGGTATATGGCGGCCAGATGGCGAGCGCGCGTACATCGTGAGAGTGAAGGCGGCGAGAAACTGTGTGAACCCATTTTTGAGGCTGGTGCAGGAACGATGAGCCGGTTGAGGCGGTCCTGACTAAGGAGAACTGAGCGATTTTCTGGTCTACACCTGATGTATAGACGGTGCTGCCCTCCTATACGACCGCGTTCAGTAAGCCGATGGAGTATATACGGGAAATACGTACAGGGCTGATAGCCATACAGAGCACGTCCGCCCCATGAGCAGGGAAACTCTGTAGTTGCGTGCATGTCCTCGAGTCCCAAAATTTGACCATGCCCATAGAGTCCCCAGATATAATGGTTCCGTCCCCGAGCGTTTGCACGGCCCACACCAGCGTCCGCTCTCCCTTGATCTTGTCTGTGCCCATCCTGTCTACCACACGACCGGAGGCAAGGTCCCATTTCCGCAAGCTACTATCAGACCCACCCGCAACGAGCCACTCGTCTGCCCATTCATCCTCCTCCTCTTCATCATCACTGTCGGAGCCGTTTACGCTGTTCCGTTTTACGATGGGTGGACCCCATGCAAGGCTGAGTATGCGAGTTTTCACGCGGTCGAGTCGCCGATGGTGCTGTAAGGAGCCAAGTTCAAGCGATAGAATACGGATGGCACCGTCTTCGCATCCCAAGGCAAGCATTGTAGAACCAGGATTGACGGCCATGGACCAGATGGTTCCCCCTTGCGAGGACATAGTCCGCTATAGCCCCCATTCAGCACGGACAAACATAATGGCAAGGTAGGTTCGAACCAAAATGCTACCCGAGCTCATGTCCCATTCGATCACGTCTGTTCCCCCTCCAGCGGTGAATAACCTCAGCTCGGATGTGGTGGGCACATCTTCAGGTTTCGCGCGTTCCGGGTAGCGTAATGCAAGTGCAAGCGAATCCACCTTGGACGGTCGAGGACCAGGGAAAGTCTAGCAAAGCATTCCTCGTCCGTAAACCAGAAGTATGGGCATAAATGAAGGGTTGTCCGGTGACCTACCTTCCTCACTACCCATGCCTGCGGCGTCTCAACCTGTTGATCCCCCGTCCATTCGCACAGCTCAATATCACCATTCGCGCGGCCCACGACTAGAGTCCCGAAGTGATATCTCTCCCTCCATCGTGGTGCAGACGCCTTCTCTTTGCCTTTCGCACTGGGCGCAGGCAGAGGAAGCGGTGCGAAGCTGAGCGCCGTGATTGCAGCAGGCTGGAAGTCGACGAAGCGGCATCTGTGCACAGATATTGGCGTAGGTGCGCTTGTGTCTCCCATTTTTGTTGAGACTCCAGTAACTTGAGCAGCCCGAGGCACCAAAGCGGAGGAGTGGTATGCGAAGCCTGAACCAATCAGGGGATGACTTCACAAAATTTAGACGCCTGTGCCACAAGCGCGCTTCGGTCACGCTCCGCTCAAGTGCTTGCCTTCCAACTCGTCTATATACGACTTCGTCCTCGGTTCATTCTATCCTCAACCCCGGCAGGCTTTCCCTTAAAACAAACATGTCTTTTCTTGGTCGCGGAGCGGGACCCTCTGGCGGCATCAGCCCAGAGAAGATGGAAATGGCCGTTCAGGAGTGCGTACGCTGTCACCGCGCCCATGTAACCTCTCTGGCCACGGGGCACGAGCTTATTTTGGGCGTGCAGACTGGAAATGGTTACAGACATATTCAACCGCATTGTGACGTGAGTCCCTTCTTCTTTTGCAGTCTAGATTCGCCGCACCGCTAACACATGTACGTAGGTCGTGCCACGCTAAGTGCATCTCACCGCGGTACGCGGAGGGTGACTTGAACAAGGGCGAAAGCGTATGCATCGACCGCTGCGTGGCCAAGTACTTCGAGGTCAACAAAAAGGTCGGGGAGAAGCTGCAGACAGCAGGGGCGAATGCCCAGGCGTCGGGCACGTTCGGAGGCTCGTTATGAACGCTCTATCGCCTCTCGCATTCATACTCGGTGAGCCATTCAGACGTCGGTCTCGGAGGCAATGCAGTCATGTTCGCTAACTTACGTGTCGTGTGTAGGGACTGTCCGAACACGTATTCATTAGAGGAATGCACACGAGCACGAGAGAATGGAGAACTTGTATCGATATCAGTACGCACGCCTAATGCACACGCTGTCTAATGAACCTGCCCATTGCCCGGTGAAAGAAGCGAAGAAAAAAATTACAGGATACACAAGGCCGAACGGGAAGGGAAGCAACAGCAATGAATCGCTCTGTGGGTACAGCAAGGCGACATCGTCCGTCAGGACCGTTGCGCGCGGTCGATGGACCAGCGTTCAGTTTGTAGTTCGGTCGCGGGTGCGAGCGCTGACTACTTGGCGCCAGGGAAGCACTCTGCAGCCGTCTTGCCATGCTTGTCCTGAGCGTGCTGCTCGAGCGCCGGCAGCCGGGTGGTGGTCATCTACGCCGTCCGATGTGGCACATCCATCAATTCATGATACTCGACGAGACCGAAAAACGTGAGCGCACGAAGGGCTGTCTGCATGTCTGGCAGATGATATTCTTCGACGCCTCGTTCACCTTCAACTGGCTCTTGCCTCCCTTTGCGGCTTTGTCTTGGTTGCGCTCCCGCTTCTGCTGCGCTTTGGCCCCCTGAGCAGGATTGCGTGATCAGACAGGATATCCTGAGACGACCAGGAGGCGCGAAGAGAGATGTCAACGGACGTTGCCCATGCTGATGACTGTTAATGTAGACTGAACGCTGAGAATGAGTGAGGGCCGGGACTGAGGAGAGCAGAGACGCGAAGCTGTGCAGAATTTTGAGGAGGGCCGGAGAACCGCGCCACCCTGATTCTAGACTTGCATCCATCTTCGTTCGATATAACACGTCCTCGACACGCCCTTTACACGACCGAATCTGGGGGAATGCTTGGATGACCACGGTGCATCAGATAAACACGTCTCAGGACATCGTCCGCGCGCTCAGGGCACCAGTCGACCCGCCGAAGCCTGGCGGCCCATCCAAGATCGAAATCGCGCGAACCGCTTGGAATGATGGCTCCTTGAACTTCCCGCAGAAACGAGAGTTCTTACTGGAATATGTTCTCTCCCGCTTTCTGAAGGAGAAAAATGCTGAGGAGTACGAGGCTTAATTCCAGTTCAGAGCGGTCGTCCTGACTGAGACGCAATTTGGCATCGCAGGCACGAGTGTACGATGGATCCTAAATATTGGGCCCTGCTAGCAGATGTAGCTTCCATGCAAGAGGATACGTCCAGTTCCAATCAACATCATGTTCCTCCCTCGAAGTTCGCCTTCACGCCAATTTTGAACAAGATCCCTCTGGGTCCGATAGTTGCCTTCTTTCTGAGATCACTTTCCAACCCGCCGTTCAGCGATGAGACATCACAGCTGCTCTCGCTTTTTAGAAGGTGTTTTAGCTCTCTATGGCACCCTGCCTCGCCTCGAATGGGGCTCGACGTACTACTGGATTGCTTCGGCGCGTATCTGGATGTGCTTCGCGGTGTGCTTCAAAGAAGAACAGAACTTCCAGCCACTTTTCCTATTCACGATCTTACGAGAGTCGGTGGTATCATCGCAGGAACATATCGAACGTCGTTGTCGAACGCTTCGAGTAAGAAAAAAGTAGGTCCGTCTCGAGCACTCAGACCAAGTCGAAATCAATGCCGTTCACAGGTCTCCAGCACGTTCGTAGACCGTCACTTGCAAACATGGGTCGCATGCCTTGTACAGGAACCCATCGAAAATCGCGCGGGAAAATCGGAGGAGCATATTTACGAGGCTGGTGTGGAAACCCTCTTCGGCCTCGAGACGCTCCGGGACAAACAGCTTGTATCTACCCTGCAGGACCACCCCGCTTTCTTTGATCGCAGTTATCCGTCTTACCGTATCCTGCCTCGCCTCTTCAGTGCGTATGTTCAGGCTATTCGACGTCATCGCGGCGCGCTGTTTGGAGGGGGAAGTGCTACGGATGCGGCGGACAAAGAATCTCAGTGGAGGACCACGTCTCTGGCATTTCTCGACGCATCTAGACATATCCTGGCTTCGCTTGGAGGGGAAATGGATACCCTCGGATCCTGGCGCGTTGCCTCAGAGCTACTAGAGATTGTAGAGCGCGAAAACCTGTTCCGAACAAGCGACGATTCCGCGCCAATTTTTACCGCAATTGCTACGTGGGTGGTGGAAGGGCTCATTTCTGAGATAGGGCCGAATGGTGAGCATAGGTCATATCAATGCATATGCGTTGACATCAATGTATCACCTCACCAGGACGATCAGAGCACCAGGATGCGATCGTAGTTGCGCTAACGCACTTGGCCGGCATCGACCATGATATTGTTTCACCTCACCTGGCCACTATCTTGCCAGTTCTGCTCGCTGTACCCTCACCTCACCTTGCTTCCCGGAGCTCAGACAAAACACCTGACGAGCATGGCGCGGCATTATCGCTGCTAGCCGTACTTATTGACTTCCACACCCGATCTCGTACGATGCCTACCTATTTCCAAGCTCTACTTGAGTCAACAACCAGGTTGTTGGACACAAGCGACCTCTATACCACCACTTTGTCCTCCGTTGTCGTCAGCGCCGCACACCTCGATCTACTCGCCAAATCCACTACGACTTACTTGAATCCAGGTCAGGTCACCGACACCACGGAACAGCTCCTTAGATTCCTCCAACAGCAGTGGAGCGCGTATCCCTCCACAACAGGCGATATGGCCTCGGAGGACCCCATCGTCGCTGCGACCGCGATATCCGTCACCTGTAGACTGGCAGCGACCGTTTTGACCTCCCTCCCGCTCAAGTCTATCCTCCCCGACTCGCAAGCAGCGATAATCCAGATACTGCAGCAAGCACGGTCAAACTTCTTGGGTCCCGCGCTCAGTAAGGCGCTCAAGCACATCAACTCTGAGAAGAAGTCGAAGCGCTCAGAAGAAGCAAACGACGTCGGATGGAACATTGTGACCGCCGCACTCGTTCGGTTCCACTACACGTTGGCTATGTCCACCATTGGGCTTACGTGGGAAGTTGACGTGGGTGATAAAATCTGCACAAGGATGCGACGAGTTGTCGTCGCCCCGAAGGGAAAGCCAGCATCCTGTGAGGCCGAGGTCGAATGTGTGAGTGTGCATTCGTTGTCCCTTGGTGAGCAGGAGATGACGATGGTCCCAGGTTCGATACTTGTTTGCGCTGTGTGCAGCTAACAGGTTGGAAGATTCGTCGCAGCTGCTCGACGCCGTGCTTGATCATCTTGATCAGCCATCCAATGACTCCAACGCACTGGAGTGGAACGGCCTTTCGTGTCAGCTTGCCACGGCTCACGGTCCCTATCTTGCCCCGATTGCTCTTTTGCGCCTGATATTGGATAGGTGGCTGCCGCTGGTGGAGTGAGTCTTGTTGCTGGTAACCTGATGCGAGCTCTGATCCAAGGCTATTCTATTTTCCCTCAGGCTCCTTGCCACCGAGGAGCAGTTGAAACGTCTCATACAGTCCTGCATAACCATTCACTGCAACAGCGACGCAGAGCATGGAATCACGTCGCGAACCGTGCTCTCGGTCAGCCTTCGAACGGCGTCGATATGGGAACTGCCCAGATTGCGATGTGAGTGCATGTCAGTACTTTCTCCCCTGGCAAGATGAGTGAATCTGGACTTCAGCTGCGTTGCAGTCCGTATGCGAGGAGAAGACCGGCTTTTTCAGCGGGCTCAAGGAAGGTCCCTCCCTAGAACAGAGATTTACGGGTACTTCAACGATCAACAAAAAACAAGTCAGGACTGCTACGGCCGTGTTTCATATACTGCTATACGCCCCGGCAGAGTACCTGTCGCGACCCGCTCGGATCGAACTGGTGCAGAGGGCACTCGCTGCAGATTATGCTACGGGTTATCTATTGCTATCACGACATGATGACAAGGACATTCAGGACGAGTTCTTAACCCATTCGCTAATCTTCCGGTCGTTTGCTTCGTATGCCATGACCCAGTCAGATGAAGTTATGCAGGTGAGTCCGGTTGTTCCTTCTCCATCTATCCTAAACCTGACCTCTGAATCACAGCTTCCGAGCACCATAATCAAATATCTCATCAAACCGTCGTTTACCAAATTTCAGTCTTTCCATATGGCGCGGACTGAAGTCGTGAATGCGCACGCTTCCGCTACGCTGCAGATCGTGGAAAGCCAGATGACGTATGTATAGATACGCATGATTGCTTCCCGTTCTGATTATTCATGCACATGCAGAGCTCTGCTGCGACGATGCCAAGACGGAGACAGCGCGGATATGGAGCAAATAGTTCGGTATCTGATCCAGCATCAACCCGGCCAGGTGACCGATCAACTAGCACCCCCTACGATCTTCGAGGAGAGTTTGGTTCGCTTCATGGCCCTGACCAGTACGAAGTACGCTATCAGCAGGTGATAACAGACTCAACCCTTTCCCGTGTGTCTGCTGATGAAAATACAGAATGCCGGCGACGGTTGTCAATCTGTTCAAGGACTTGTACGATGCGAGACGGGCATTGTTGGAACCAAGAGTGCGAGACATCTCCACGATTGGTGCTCGCGTGCAATATTTGTCAGGGAGAAGCAAGCTGATACGTGCATGGGCGATCCTCAGCGCGTTTGAGCGGTGGCTTGGAAAGGATGCGGATGTACCTCGATCCGGAGCAGATTCCAGTTTGGCTGCGCTCCTCGCCCACGTCGTAATTTCGAAGACGGCGTTTCGTGAAGATGCTGCATTACATGCCGCCCTCGCGGAATACTGCTCAGCAGTCCTGGAGGTTGCAGTGGAGGAGATGCATAGCGCTCCGAAATCACACAGAAAAAGGTATATGGAGATTTTGCTTGCCATTTATGTCGCTCTGTACGAGTACAGCGATGCGTCAAGTAGGTCCAGTATCCTGTTGTCTTATTTCTATACTGACAACTCTTTGCCATACCAGATGGGTTGTTTGCTCCGATTTCCAAAGCCATCAATTCACTGTCCGTCGAGGAGTTCAATGCGGCTGCTCAGCTCATTGCCGAGGCTCTCGAATCACGAGCGCATCGGGAAGGTTTCGTTCATTTATCGCAGATCCTAGTTCGGGAAGCTCCTGAAGGTTCGTCGAGTCCTTCCGGTAGTGTTGTCTACGTTCCGCTTAGGCTTCTCCCCTCGGCAGGCACTATGCGACTGGTTCAAAACCATGTTTCGTCGTGTCTCGTGACGTTTATCAGTGACCCGGATTTCTGGCAAGGGCCAATTTCGCTTTCAGTCCAGGCGCTGAGATTGTTGTCGGCACAATGTTCGAACAAGGTTCGAGTTCATCCCGTCGATCAAGGATCACACTAACGCTACTCATCTAGCCGGCGTTCATCCGACAACAGGATATGGATGGCATCTGGGCATTCCTAGCCAAGTTCTTGCAGCCATCTGCTGAGCATCTCCCTACAACATGCGTGGACGTCTTCGAGGAGATTGTTTCGATCATCAACTCACTCATCCGTCTCCGGCGTGACTTAATAAACACTACTCTCCCCCACCTCGGTTTCGCTCTGCGGTTCCTCGTCTCGTCCCTCCGGAATGTCCGTCCGGAGCTGGGCCCTCGTCAAACGCGGATGGTGACAAACACCCTCCCCCGCTGGCTCAGCGTACCCGCGCGCCCTCTCGGTGTACCCGAAGCGGCTACGCTGGCTCGGCTCCTGACCGGGTTGACCGCGAAGACGATCCCGCGCAATCACCTCGGCTCGGGCGAAGACACGCAGCAAGCAAAGTCGATGGCTCACGCGTTCTCAAAACACGCGGTATACGTGATTCAGTCGTACATCGAAGTTCTCGACGACCCCTTGTGCGTGCTTAGGGCGGACATGCGCAAGGCATTGCAACCGGGCTTGTTCGCTCTGTGCGACATGACCAGCGAGCATATGCGGGACTCTCTCATGGTCTCGGCCCTGGACGCAAGCGGAAAGACGATCATGAAGGCACTTTGGAAAGAGTACGAAAAGCAACGCTACGTGGGCAAGGGATAGCATGTATCTTACATGGTCATCTGTTTCACTGTAATCATGGACACAAAAGTAGGAGCACGAAGCTGTATCGATCTCTAGTCTGCATATATGTATACGATAATAACTGATAATCAGCTACTTCGTTCTGCGCACGTAGACGTCCTTGTAGATGGACCCATTGGGCAGATCTTCCTTGATGGCAGGGGGTACGAACCCGGCCTGCTTTTTCTCCTCGGCCATCTGTCGGATGAGGTTGATGAAATCGTCGATAGCTTCCGGGGCAGTCTGGATATGGACCACGAGGCGAGACCCCCCGAGCTTGATGGGTTCAGGTAGCTGGGCTGCCCGGTCCGCGATCTCTCCGTAGTCGAGGCCCAAAGGGGAAGGATCGTAAAAGACCTGGTGAGAATTTAGCATTTGGGTTTCCCCCACAAAACACCCCCAAAAGGGGCGGCTATCGTTGGGGCGTACCATGCACGTCTCGGCCGGGCTGGTGATCTCCGCGCCGATCTGCTGTAAGCCCGCCTCGAGCTTCCGCGTCAGGGCGTGGACCTCGAGCAACCGCGGGAAGTTGTAGGTCAGGGCGTACGCCGCGGAACCGGACAGGATGCCGGTCTGGCGCATACCGCCGCCGAAGAGCTTGCGGAACCAGCGCGCCTTCCGGATGAAGTCCTTGGGACCGACGAGGCAAGAGCCGATGGGAGCCCCGAGGCCCTTGCTGAAGCAGAGGCTGACGGAGTCGAACGGGTCGCAAAGCTCCTTGATCGGTGTACCGGTCTCGGCGGCTACGTGCCAAATGCGAGCACCGTCGAGGTGCATTTTCAGTCCGACGCTGTGGACGTAGTCGGAGATGGCGATAACCTCCGATTGAGGTATTATTGTCCCATTCAGCGTGTTCTCGAGCTCGACGATGGAGGTAGGCGCACTGCAGAGAACAGTCAGCTCAAGTATTCACGTTGCATTGGCGGTACGGAGGAGGCTGACCAATGAACGTCCTGGCTGAGAACGATGTTCGCCTTGACATCTGCGAGGGTAAGGTGATGCCCTACGAACGTTTCAATATTGCCTCGTGTGATACCCGGCGGGATCCGGCGAAACGTACCGTTTGAGGGAGTGACGAGTGTCATCGCCGCGCCAGAGTGGAATGCGGTACCTCCAGCTTCATACTTGTTGATATGAGCACGGACGTCGCAAAGCACGGAGTAGGGCGGTTGCGTGAGCCACGTTCGGAGCGCAATCTGATTGGACATCGTTCCGGACGGCATAAACAAGGCAGCTTCCTTGCCGGTGAGCTTCGCCATGTGAGCTTCCAGAGAGAGAGTGGACGGTTCTTCGTAGACGTCGTCTCCCAAAGAGGCCAAGGCAGCGTAGGCATACATCTCCTTCGTCGGCACTTCCGGGGACACGTTGAAGACAACGATACAACTTGGGTCAAATTGGGCATACCAGTGATCGTATCGGCTGAATGTGTAGCGTAAGCTAGAGTTCGTCGGGTGCGCGTGTCAGGGCAAGGCACTCACAGATAAAGCACCGGGAAACTTCTTTCCTTTGCCTGGCTGAGGATCAGCGCGAATCCCAGAGGACCATGGCGCCGAGGACCGGGTCCGCTCACCGTTCATTGTCGGCAGTCTGGTCCTCGGTCAAGATATCGAACTTGACCTGCTCGGCGATCCGCTTCCGGTTGTCCTCGAGCGACATGGCAGTAAACCGTGCGCGAACTACGAACGAGGCAAGACGTGGAACGTCGTGGGCACAAGTCCGACCAAGCCGAGCGAGCAGCATATAAAACTGTGCCGCAGGAAGATAGAGGTCATGCTTTGTGTATCTGAGATTAGATGACCATTAGCAATCGCCCTGCCTTCGAGCGGGCGCGTGGCCGTGCAGATCCGGCTGAAGGGTTGCACCCATGCCGGGGTACGGCACACGGCGGGAGCTTCGCTGTCCTCAGCTGGCCAAGAACGGAGTTCGTGCTCCATCCTCCTCCGCTGCAGCGGCCAGGCGGGGCTCTCTCGCCGTGCCATATTCCGTGCTGGCATACGTTGGCTTGCGCGATCAAATCGGGCGTCGAACTCACGCACGGCGGTATTTTATCCAGTAGAAATCGGATGTCACGTTGCTTTCCGGTACTCCGGCCAGAACATATATATTCTGAATTCTTTTCGCGTGCCCTTGTTAAGCTCTACGGTTGTCCTTTGACACAGCACTCCCATCGACTCGTCTGCGGCTCATCCTGCCCATGGATCTACAGCTCCCGTTTTTTACCAGCCCAGACCTCGTCTCGGACCCGCTCCCACCGTCCAATCATCTCTGGCTCGTCTGGTACTACGCCCCGACCGCCCTGCCCAAGCACTGGGCACTCATCCTCACCTACGAGGCCGACGACGAGTCCTTTGGAACGTCCTACCAGGTACGGGTCAATTTTCTTGAGCAGCCTTTCCAGAAAATTCTAATACGATCGGACGTATCGATGGCTCTGGCTTAATCAGGTCGAGGAGGCCGGCACCAAGCTGGTGTACAGGAAGGATCGCGGGGTGCCGCTTCAAGGGCCCCACGGCATCGCCGCGTACGACGACCGCCTGCTACTGGGCATGATCTCAGATCGCGTCCTCCAGTCGCTCGACGAATATTGCGAGACGGCGACATCGATGATCAACGAGTGCAACGAGCAACGAGACGTTGCACAGCATCTCAACTCAGTCGACTGGTGCCTGCTGCTCATCCGCTGCCTGGAGGACTCGCGATTCATCCCGCGCGGCGCGCTCGAGGCCGCAGAGGGTTGCCCCCGGGTCGAATAGATAGGCCGCTCCGGCGGCGTTGATGGCGCGCGGACGGACGTCCGCGGGCGAGCGGCGGGGGGTCACGTTCACCACCCCCACGTCTCAGCGGTTCAATCCGCGACGGCGATGTCGGTCGCTCGGCGGCGAATCAACGGTTCGATTCTCCAACCTAACGACGGGGGCGGGGGAAGGGTCCTGCGAGGCCGTCGTCGACGGAGTGCGCATGGGAGATAGGGCGATACGGACACGTGTTTGGATGGAGAAGATCTACTTTAATATGCTGCGGCATCGCAGGGCCTATCATACACACTAGACCAAGCGATTTAGTAATGGGGGCTGTCGATCGAACGAGACGGGGCGTACATAGGATGATTACTGGCAGGCGTGGGGCTGGGCCCCCACCGAATACATTACATTGATTGTAAACTTCTGTGGTCTCTCCGCTTCCGTGCTCTCTATTTACTGGAACACTTTCTTTCTATCTCTGACGTCCTTGAACTCCTGCGAACGGTAGGTCAGAAGTGCGCCTGTCGTTCCAAAAACGCGACCGGTCTCACCTGTTTCTTGTCCTCCAACTCGGATTCCCTGGATCATGTGGGTTCAGCGGCAGTTCAACGGCCGAGCCAGTTGGGACTTACTTAGCGTTCAAGATTGAAAGATACAGCGTCCAGAAGATGCCGCAAGTGGACTGGAAGGGGACGCGATAGGGCAAGGGCATGAAGCGGAAGTTGACGAGCTGGGTGAAACAGCGCGTCAATGCCGTGGTTCCCACACTACAAATGAGCTCGACGGACCTGGGCAAGCGGCCAAACCTGCCAGTTGGCGATGACGGCAGGTCCAAACATATCCTTGTATTTGTCCTTGATTTGCGCGAAGTTCCGGCCTTCCATGATGCCCATCGAGCCAATAAAGGCGGTCAGACCGATGGGAGCCCTGCCAAGAAGTCAACGACGCAAGTTTGGTCGGAATTCAGCATGGTTACGAACATGATAATTTGGTCGGCGGCAACACGCTTTCCTAGGGCCTTGATGCTGACTGCGCCTGCCTTGCCGCCGGAGTCGTTAGGCATGATGGCTCGGAGGGGGAAACGACGTTCTAGGATGGTGTTCCACTTGCCAATGAGCGGTCCTGAACATAGCAAAGCCACAATTAGAGCAGCTAGGGATTCTCCGTACGACCCAACGCACCCATGGCAAAACCGAAAACGAAGAAGCGCGCCGTACGCGCGAAATCATAACGCATCGACTCTTCCGAACGCCTGCCTGCTCTCTTCCCGCTCTGAGGTGGCCACGTCAGATCATGATACGCGACGCGATACGGACGCGACTCCGTTGGAAACTAGGAAACTCACTACCTGCGTCGCCAACTGTGCTACTGCATCCCCTACGGAGTTCAGGATCCCGTTGGTGACCGAGAGCGTTGCGTAAGGTCTATGGTCAAAGGACTGCTGGTAAACGCGCATAAGGTTCATCGCTGGCGCAGACATGTTCGAAAATTCCAGAAATTGCGTGGGGTATAGATAACAGAACGAATGTCGGGGATGAGGTCGGTTGTTGTCGTTTGCTGTCTAAGTCGTTGCTGTCTGATCTGGTCGAATTGGAGTGTTTTGAGATATATGCGCTCTAGCTGAAGGATATAAAGGACACTGTACTCCACAACAGGTGCATCGCAGGTGGAGAGCAGAGGCAAACGGTGACGTAGAAGCACGTGGAACAGTTGAGAAGCCCGTACGGCCTGTACAGCCACCCGCGAATCGAGGGATTCCTCGGCGATGCGAGCGTAGCACCACACCTTCGTCAGTGCAAGCCATTCAATTCCAAGTAGGTCGCGCCTTCGTCAGAGACAGCTGCGTTGGGTTATATATGAGATTTCCCAATCTTTTGCTACGTAACTCATGACATCGCGAGCAACAAGATCTCGATGTGCGTGGTGCGACCCCGAAATCATGCATCGTCTAGCTCTCATCACATGCATCCGCAGTCAAACGAGGGGACGAAGCATGTACAGCTACCGGGTCCGATACACCCTCAAAGCAGTCGAAGTTTCCCTGTAACCCGGTTGACGAGCTCCACAGGACCTGGTGACGATCACGGATGGTCAGCGGTCGGCAGAGTTGGGGTTCATCGTCAAGCACTCACCAGGGCCGATACCAAGAACGGTACGCGTTCCTGCAGCGACTTCCGTCCGACCTGCGTCGTGGATGGCACGCGCGCAGAGATTGAGGCTCTTCGCCATGGCTTCGAGCTCTTCTAGCTGCTCCTCCGAGTTCGCTTTAAGCGCTATCTTCGCTTGGCTGTTCAAGAGTGTTTATCAGGACAAGAACGTCAAATTCATATTGCGGCGTACGAACCCCGTGCGTTCCCAATGCGCCACAAGCTGGTACCCCGTTTAACGCTCATGTAAGCTGCACTACGACCAGCGCACCTTGGGGTTCTTCTTGACCAAAGCCTTGTAGCACGCCAGAGTGGCATGGCTACATTGTGCAGCGATTTTGCCGGGAGTCATTCCTAAGTCCGTACGGACAACAAGTACCTAACCAGAAAGCGTATATTCAGCATCATTGCCTCTCAGCTGGACCGAACGATGACTTACGAGTTTGCAAGGCTCGGTCCATCCAGGATTCACCGAGGAAAGATCTCCATCGGCAGCCTCTTCTTCCTCCTCCTCACTGTCTTCGTTCTCTACCGGTGCTTTCTCTGGGGCATTTGCGGCTGAGGCGCCCGCGGTAGGTTCAGTCTTGGTTTTGGGCAGCTGGCGACGCCCGAGATGATAGCCTAGAGTCCAAGTACATACTAGCAAAGTCAATCCAGTGGTGACTGTCCTAGCATGACGCTCAATCAAAGCTGCCTACACGATTACGCGAGCATAATACACTACTGACCATGTCCGAGGGTGAGCAGGGAGGAGGACATGTCTGAGGCGCGTCGGGTTTTGCCGAGCAAAAGTTTCCTGCCCCAGGCCCTTCGCTTCTCCTTCGGCCTGCATCTGCCTCTTGCATTCTATCTCTGTACCGTATCTGTGGCCCGGTAGGTTTACCGCGGACCTCCCAAACAATATGTCGGGCGATACTCCGGCACCCGCACCTCAGCCAATTGCATCTACCTCCTCAGATCCGTCTTCATCCCGCAAACCGTTCTCTGAGCTCGACTTGTCCGAAAACACACAAAATGCTCTCAAGGAGATGGGGTTCACGCATATGACTCCTATCCAGGAAAAGTCTATCCCACCGTTACTCACGGGAAAGGATGTACTTGGTGCTGCGAGGACGGGCAGTGGGAAGACGTTGGCCTTCTTGATCCCGGCAATTGAGCTGCTGCATAGGATGAAGTTCAAGCCTCGTAACGGTGCGTTGACGCTACCTCATTCAAGCCGCATTCTGTACTTATGAATGTGATTATAGGCACAGGCGTTATCATCGTGTCCCCTACTCGAGAATTGGCTCTGCAAATCTTCGGCGTCGCGAAGGAGCTCATGGCGCACCATCCGCAGACGTTCGGCATCGTTATGGGAGGTGCAAACCGCAAAGCGGAGGTGGACAAGTTGCAGAAAGGTGTTAATCTGCTGGTAGCTACTCCTGGACGATTATGGGATCATCTTGAGGTGAGCTCAAACTACGAAGAGTCATCCCCAATTCTGTACTAAGCTCTGGTTTCTTTGAAAATTTTGCAGAACACGAAAGGATTCGTCTTTAGAAATCTTAAGTGTCTTGTGATTGACGAGGCAGATCGGATATTGGAGGTTGGTTTCGAGGAGGAGATGAAGAAGATCATCAACATGATCCCGAATGGTACCCTTTTTTCGCCGCATTTCCTGTGCGACTTCAACTGAAGCGTTTCATCGCAGAGAACCGGCAGTCAATGCTATTCTCTGCAACGCAGACCACGAAAGTTCAGGATTTGGCACGAATATCGCTACGGCCTGGTCCGCTCCTCATAGACGTGGATCACCAAGAGGCGACGTCGACCGTCTCGACGCTCTCACAGGGTTACGTTGTTTGCCCTTCGGATCGACGGTTCCTCCTCCTCTTCACGTTCCTCAAGAAGAACCTGAAGAAGAAAGTCATCGTCTTCTTCTCAAGCTGTAACAGCGTGAAGTACCATGCCGAGTTACTCAACTATATCGACGTCCCCGTGCTTGACTTGCATGTAATCGTCAGGATTCTCTTTCTCACGCTTCATGCTGATTTTCTTGTTCCAGGGAAAGCAAAAGCAACAAAAGCGTACCAACACATTCTTCGAGTTCATGAACGCGCCGGCTGGCATCTTACTTTGCACGGACGTTGCCGCGCGTGGTCTCGATATCCCGAAGGTCGACTGGATCGTGCAGTATGATCCTCCTGACGACCCTCGCGACTATATCCACCGAGTGGGTCGGACGGCTCGTGCGGGGAAGGTCGGGAAAAGTTTGCTATTCCTGCTGCCTAGCGAGCTAGGGTTTTTGCGGTATTTGAAGGAGGCGAAGGTCCCGCTGAACGAGTTCACTTTCCCCAAGGAGAGAATTGCGAACGTTCAGAACCAGGTAGGTCTAGCTAATAGTCCTCTGCCTCGGCGTGTGCTGATTAGCGCGGTGTAGCTTGAGAAACTCCTGACGAAGAATTATTTTCTCCACCAATCCGCGAAGGACGGTTACCGCTCTTATCTTCAGGTGCGTTTCCCGATTCCCCTCGTGGCGTGCAATCTGCTAACGTGTACATCCGCAGGCATATGCTTCTTATTCGTTAAAGAAGATATTTGACGTCAACCAACTGGACTTGGTCAAAGTCGGGAAATCTTTCGGCTTCGCCGTGCCGCCACGAGTTAATCTCAACATTGCCGGCTCCGGGACACCTGGTACCGGGCAGAGTAAGGGTAACAACAAGAGGAAACGGGACACGGGTGCCGGCTCGGATGAAGAAGTGGAAGGCGAATGGTTGGATATGAATGCGGGAAGGCACGGGGAGGGCAACGAGGAGGCGGACGGCGACGAAGCGATTAACTCGGAGGAGGTGTCGAGGAAAGAGAGGAGAGGTCCGGATTTTAGGCAAAAGCAGAGGAGGATCGAAGCGCTCGGGAAGAAGAGGGTGGACAAGGAATTTTACAAAAAGCAGCATGCGAAGAAAGGCGGTGGAGGTGCGCAGTGGACTCGATGATAATTGCTGTTCCGTCCACCGCCTTGACTTCACGTTTCATGCCGCTGCGTCTTACCATGCTCGTACCTGCTGTTTTTCTCGGGATTGTGTGCTGTTATGTCAAGGCCTGTGTATGCAGTCGCGCACCCCGTATGACCGTATACTCGTGCGTGGGAAACCGTGAGACGCACCTCGAGGACGTCACGCTTTGTCCGCCAGAAAACCCTTGCCAGCGACCATCTCCTGCCCCTACTGATCTCCTGAGTCCCGCAACATGGCGACCACCCAAGTACGCTCAGCCGTGGTTTCTACCGGATATTCGACACTGACCGAGGTGCTGCTGCCCTTACTCCTTGATGACACAGCACTACATTTGGGCCGCGGGCCACTTCATACTCCTGATATCCGCGTTCCGGTACTTGTTCGCAAGTTTCATGTTCCGGGGCCCTTCTGCGTGGTGGTATAAAAGTGAGCGAGCCGGTACTCTTTCGGTCTCATGTTCCACTGACTCTGTTGGCTTGCGTGGCGGTTGAACTTGACAGCTAGCTTCGCCGGCGCTATCGTCAGCTATGCTATCGTTTGTCACAAGGCTCTCGGAGTGCGTTTGCCCTGTCTATCATCAAAATCAGAATAGCATCTCATTGTTGCTTAGACTCCCTCTCCGAGTGGAGCTTGGATCAAACGTGCTCTGGTTGACGAGGTGAGCTCATACCACAAGATTTGAGTTGCTCCGCAATAACACTACGTCAGAATGTTCAATATCTCCTCCTCGCCTTCTTCTGGTGGTCGTCCAGACCAGTCGCTAGTATGTCTATAATGTGGTTACTCCAACGATCGGGAATAACCGGTTTTCGACAGTCGCCCTTGTCCCCTATGCGATCTTCTCGTTGTTCCACGCTCTGACCTTCACTCGTACGACTTTGATGCCTCAATTCCTGCACTCTGGTGCTCCTGCCACTGCCGGAGGCCCGCCCACCCCTCACCCGCTTGCGAAGAAACTGCAGCTTTGGGTCAAATGTGAGTCCCCGAAGGTGGCCAAAAGGGGTTATATTGGCGCTAATGCTGGTTCGTTTTATCCAGCGAACTACGATGGTGCTATGAGGGCCGTCGCATACACCGAGCTCGTCATCCTTGCACGCGTCATCATCGGCGCCCTCACCTTCCAGAATTCGCTCCTCACTCCTATTCTTTACGCCCATTTCCTCCGCCAACGCTACTACCAGTCCGTGTTCACCCGTGACTCCATCACAGTGGTGAACGCTCGCATCGACGGTTACGTCAAGAAGCCGGGCGCTCCCCCGGTGCTGGCGTCCGTCTGGACGCAGTTCAAGGCCATCCTGAGCCGGTGGGCGGGCTCCACCCTGGCGCCCCAGCAGCCCGCGCCCGCCGCTCGGTAGATGACGGAAAGCGCAGCCCGACCAGTTCCCATTTCCTCCTGCGTCGTGATCGAGACGTTGAACTCTTTAAGTCGATGGTTGCTGCTCCACCTAAATCTAGTTTTTGTTGTTCAACGAATAAAGCTCCTGCTGTCAAGTTCGCACTCGCATATCTTGAACGAGCCCTTGTACAGCTTCTACTCAGTTACTGCCTTAATCGTCTCAATACAAATCAATGACGTAGTCGCGACGAGGTGTGACGTCAACCAAATTGAACGTTGTACTGGAGAACGTTCTCCCTTAGTGCGTATAAGATGCGGGGTAAAGTTTATAACGAGTGAGACACGCATCTTATACCAACAACTCCCACTCGACCACGACAGAATGGCAAGCGTACAGGCAGCTCTCGCTAAATTCGTGAATTCCATCATTGGAATATTCGCATCTCTCCTCAACTCGATCGTTGCCGTTGGGCAATCCATATTTGCGCTCGGCCAAGCCGCGATATCAACGACCCTGCAGATAGTGCAGTCTGTCATTACACTGGTCGTGGACCTCAGTCAGGATGTTGTCGGATTCGTTTTCGGTAAGCGTCAACGTTTGATATGTTTGGTCCGCACCTGATAGTAGTACGGCAGCCAATTTCTTTGTCTTGCTCCTGTTAGGGGGTGGTTATTATTTGTACACGCAAAGGGGAAACAACACGATAGGAAGGAAGAGGGCTTAAGGTTACGGGAGGATGACGTAGGGGGACGTGTGCGAATGTAATGTCGAAATGTACAGGATCGCACCCATCTATTCTTCAACTTGATTGTCCGCTCCCGCGCGAAGCAGGCGTTCCAGGAAGCGTGTGACGCATCGCCAGAGGTCATCCGTTTAGTATGACCACACCAGGCGGAGGACGTGTTGCGGTGTGATAGACTAGACCTACCGATATCATCGGTTGTTTGAATGGTTGAGAGGTTGGCGCTCTAGTGAACGGGAGGTCCGTCTAGCAGACGTTAGGCGACCGCAGCGTGACAGATACATTGCCCGGAGAAGACCCGACGATCAGCGCTCAAGGTGTTGTAGTAGAACGAGTGTTGAGAATTTCTTCTCGGCGGTGACATGCGCGAGAAACGTTGGCCGGGTCGTATCGTAAGGGCCTGTCATTTGACGCGATTTCAGCCGATCGTGCAAGTGCCGGACGTATGGCATTGGCTTAGCGATCGGTACGCCATGAAGCTCTGCGAACGCATGGACAACACGGGTGAAAGCAAGCCGCATCCGCAATCAGCAGTGGAAAACAGAGTGATCGCCGCAATGGGTAGTGTTCTGTTCCTGGCGAGTGCGCAGACTGCGCCCGGTCATGATTGTACATCTTGATGCTGGCGTTGGCAGCCCGCAGCGGAACGCTCTAACGTTCGTCGATCCGTTGAGGACCGTGTCAATCTGGCATAACTTGGGCATAACAATCGTCAACAGACCAAAACCAGGAGATCTTCGACGGGCATCAGCGAGCATCCAGAGGCCGACCGACGTATTGTGATGAACAAGGAACAGTCCAAGTGACAGGAACGCGATTTTTTCCGGATAATGGCGAGAAGGCGATCAAAGCAGAGCGAGTATACTCAGTGCGTCCGGGCCCGCAAAGGACAGGTGATCATCGCCCGGGTATATCCACGGCTTCGAGAAGTGTTGATAGGTACGCCCAGCTGCTCAAGTATGTAAGCATCAAGGGCCCTGTCCGGAGTAGATTTCAATAGCATCACCAGTGAACACATCCTTGTAGTTTCGGCCTCTGCGCTGGTATACCTCGGAGCAGGTGCAGCTGTCATTGGACGCCATCACGTTGCGTTGATCGCACGCGCACAAGTTCGCCGATGCGGCACTGAGGCCAGTAGCAGCGAGACACGATTGCACATGAAAGGCCATACGCAGCGTTCGATGAGTCTGCGAGTAGCGATGGTTCATGCCCTTTCATGCCTGGGTTACGGGGGCGCTATGATTATTATTCCGCAGTGGCCATGGCATCGAGCCCCGGGTCGATGTCCGTCGTCACATGCGCCACAATGGCATGTCTCGGGTAACGAGCTCCGTCGCCAGCCACAATGAACAAAAAGCATGCAAAGATGGAGAGGGCACGACGAGCTGCGGGCTCGCCGTCAATCCATGTACACGGCAGCGCCAAGGGGAGTTTGCGTCCGTCGAGCTTCCAGCCGCGGGAGAGTGGGTCGGTCAAAGTCAAGTCAAAGAGGAATGATTAGCGTTGATGCGTTCTCAGGATCTGACAAGGTTTTTTTTGTTCGTCAGAAGAGCATGTTCGAGTAAAGCCCTCAGTCGAGCTGGGCAATCACCGCGGTTTGACCACGGTTATGATCAGAGACATCAAGAGAGTACAAGACGAAGCGAGAAAGAGCGCTGTCGCACGCGACACAAACACGTTATATCGCTGAACTCATTTTGCGGCCTACGCTGATCCGTGAAATACTGATGCTGAAGTGTGTATTGACGTGATGTAGTGTACAACAGTAGTGGAGGATGCGTGCATGCAATGAATACGAGGTACAACAGAACGATCCACGAATACCCGTAGCTATAGTAGAGAAGAAAGACAAGTCCGCAATAGTAATCACAACTTGCGCAAACCAGCCAAGACCTCTCTATAATCTTTCTCCACTCGCTTCCCATTCTTCTCTCGATACCAATGCCTGCTGTAGCGTTTCGCGTCCATCGACCCCGTGAGCACGAAAAGGCCAACCTGAGGCGACGCGAGATCCAGGGCAGGCTTCCCCCATCTCTCCTCCTCTTCAGGAGTCGGTTCTTCGTCTGCGACTTCCACCGTTCGATGAACGGTGATGGATGAGAAGACGCCATTCTGCGCCTCGTCATCCTCCTCCTCCAACGCAGGCATGGATGGCCTCCGTCCGGAGACGAGGTCGGAAGGAACATCCTCCCCGAGATAACGCGTGACTTTGTCAACGTTTCTCCTTAAACGTGTGTTGGGCGAAGGTGGGACGGGTATGACGGGGCTAGGTAACATATCCGCGGGTGTCGGCACGGACACCTGCAGTTGCAAGCCATGTCGCCTTGAGTCTGTGCGCTTGGGAAGCTTCGACGCAGGAATGACCGTGGCGGATGGTGGCGGCGACGACACATGGATGGTCGGGGTCGCGGGGAGTGGTCGCGGGGAAGGAGCAAGAGGCGAATGACTCGGTGAATGACCCGGACTCGGAGCGTCGGGGAGGCGAGGCAAGGGCCGGATCTTGCGCGAATCCCATTCTTCGCTCGAGGCCGTCAAAGGCGTAGGGGGTAGCGAGCTGTAGACATTCAGGCCCCTCTGTTCGGAGAGCGAGCTTTTTGCATAAGCCTGGTGGTCCGAGGCCGGTCTCTGAGAAGTGGATGCCAAGCCGATGTGCGAGGGGGTGGATGGTTGGGCTACGCTGGGGTTCGGCGAATGCCTGCTCGTGGATGCCTCAGGGGCTGTCTGAGGACGGCGGCTAGGCCGGGGCGGGCTGGTATGGGGCGAACGAATGAGCGTGGCGGTTTGGGACATGGCGAGAGGTTGAACCTCCATTCCCTGCGGACATGGTGACCCTTTTAGGTGTGTCTCGAAGGGCAAACAAGGGAGTTGGAATAATGGAAATAACGGTCATAGCTCGGCTAGCAAGCTCTCCCACATCAATAATAGAAGCATCTTCCCGATTGATGGCTTTCCTGGCGCCCTTTCTTCCTTTTCGGTCCCTCCCGGTTACGGCCAAGTCAACCGCAGCACCTCCGGCCTGAGAGAGACATACGACGTTTATCAGTCCTATCACTCTGCAATAGCATCATCCGGTGCACGGGATGCATAGGGCGCCGCAGGGCGCCGTGCGGATGCGGTCTCACATCTTTCGACGGCCGCATTACGAGCGCACCCGAGCTGGACGGGGGCAGGCAACGGATGTCTCTCAGTGCTGTCAACTCGCGCACGCATCTACAGGCCATGACCCAGCATGTTGCACCGCCCCATCACCCAGTTGACCCACGGCGGTCGGCTGAGGACCTCGACTTTTGTTCTGGCTACGGGGCAACGAACACGGTATTATCAGTTCTTGGTGAAGCCAGATCATCTCGCCCCCCGCGGAGACATCATCGACGGTGGCCAGACGGGCGGCAGCCGCTACCAGGTCGGTCGAGCTGCTGCGAGACAACGCTCCGAAGACGTCGTCGGATCTCCTCGTATCGGTGTCACATACTGTCACATAATCCGTGAACCGATGCGCATCATCGACGCGTCTGACTGCGACGGCGCATCGTGCCAGAGGTGTGCACTGTGAACCGCGCGCCGGAGTGGTGACCCACCCAAACCCATTGATATCGTGCTACCTCCTTTACTCCAAAGGATCGCTTCGCTTGCGCCGGGTGCTCTAACCGTATACTATCTTACACCTGCCCTAGTGACTCATGCGATATATTACAACTAGCTCGCGTTCGATGTCGTAAAGCGCTCCCATCATTCTGCTGTGGCGGCTCTCGAAGTGGATGCCTCCTATGCCCTTCGTAGCGCAGCGTCGGCACATAAGATATTCCCCACATCGCCGTACGAACACGGCGATCAGTCAGTCGATGGACTCAGACCGAGGAAATCGGCGGCATTCTTGATTATCCTTGGTGCCTTCGATCGTACTCTGCCCCCGTGCCTGGACGTTCGGATGACCGCATATGTTACAAGACGTTACACCGGCTGCAAATGCAAGGTTAGCAAGCCTCACTTGCGTCCATGAAATTGGCAAAGCTCGTTGATACCGCGTGCACGCGGCAATCGTCATGTGCAATTTTTCATAAGGTAGGGCTCATGCAAACTGTAGGAGATCACATGCTCAAATCTGTGGCGTCCCGAGGGGGGTTGGCGCATCCCAGACAGCAATGCGACCAATCACAGCGCTGGATTTCTTTGAGTTCCCACGATAAGGGGTGACTACACACTTCATTACACATTTCTTAGCACCTTGGCCATGATTCGGTCAGCATAGAGTTCTAGGAAAACAGCCGGGCAATCTTCCCATGCTTTTGGATTCCTGCAAAAATGTGTTATGCAGCCGGAATGAGACTGAGACGGCCGTATCCCCGCAAAAGTGGCCACGTGATCTCCTACAGTTTGCATGAGCCCTACCTTACCACTGTCGGACGAGGGTAACTCCAAGCGCGATCGGCATCAAAGCCCCCATTGTTAGAGTGGAGTTTACACTCCTTCGAACCTGAAGCCGACTTAGGGCGGCTCGAAGGGCCGTGGAGCCTGAGGCCTGAGGTCCGAGGCACTCGCGTGACAATGATAGCGTTTGCACGCTTCTCCTCGCAGTTAAGATGAGGGTAACGCAGCATTGTAGCAATCTTGTTTCCTTGGGCACGCACTGCACAACCGTTACAAGTCCGATCAAACAACGACTTCCGGCGCGCAAGAAGTTGTTTGAAGTAGACATACGAGCAACATATCATGGGCGCACTCACATGCCGTGTTTCGCGAGCGTGTACATATTTTCCTCCACAGTACGCATCGGATAAGTACGCGCCGGATGCAGTATGTACAGCCCGCGGAAGCAGAGCTGACATTGACGCTGATAACGACGCGGAATGAGCCATTCACGTGACGGTCCAAGTGTGCGTCGGAGGTGGTCGTACAAGTTGTTCGGTCGACGAAAGTCTTCATGTCGCGGATCCCCATCCCGGCGCATTCGCCCAACCTGAACCGGAACGTTAGCAGTCAGAACCGCGCGGGCTCGCCTATACCATTTCCTGACTCCGCGTCGCCTTCCCATTCCACCGGACATCGTACCCAGTCAAGCGTTTCGATGTCGGCACTCTCGGGACATACCTCCGAAACCAGGAAGAAGCAATCGAAGAGGGATGAGGTGAGCATTCTACCTCCGGCACACTCACGTATACGAACGCGAGCTGGGGGGCGCGCGGGGAACGCTGCGGGATGAGGTGACGATGGCCAACGTGTCACCTATTCCGGCACGGCCCGTCACGCGCTGCTCTTCTCATCTGGCGCAAATCCTCTCGCGTAACTAGTGTCTCACAAAGCTGATGGCGTCTTCTGCAGGCAATTCGTAGGAAAATAGAGTCGGAACTTGCCCGCAAGCGGACGATCTCTACTACGCATACGCAGAACCAGCGGAGCCGACGGGGCAAGCCTGCGGTCGCAAAGGGAACCGTCGCGGCCCTGAAACCCAGCCCTGCCCTTACTGTCCCGGAAAACATCACCGTTTCTGAAGCCAGTCAATTATGCGCGGCAAAGCGTACCGATTGTGTGTTAGTCGTCGATGATGATGAGGGGCTCAGCGGTATCTTCACGGCGAAGGACTTGGCTTACAGGGTGCGTACCTAGAAATCTAATCATGCATATTAGATGCTCAAATGAGATTAGGTCACTGCCGAGGGTCTTGATCCGCACATTACTCCGGTCAGCCAAATCATGACCCGCAATCCGATGGTCACTCGTGATACCACGAGCGCCACCGAAGCTTTGCAATTGATGGTGCAGAAGCACTTCAGACATCTTGTAAGTACTTGTTTTACTGTCAGTTTCATGCAGACATGCTGATCACCACCTATCAAGCCCGTGTGCAATGAGGAAGGCAATGTCGTGGGTTTGCTCGATATCACGAAGGTTTTCCATGAAGCTCTGGACAAGGTGGAGCGCAGCTCGTCCGCATCAGAGAAGCTCTACAGCGCGCTCGCCGGCGTACAGTCAGAACTAGGCCCCGGCGTGACCGCCAACCCCCAGACCGCTGCCATGCTCGCCTATGTCGAGAGCCTGCGCGAGAAGACGGCTCTTCCCGACTTGACCACGGTGATGGACTCGCGCACGCAGCCTGCCACCGTTGGTCCTCGCACCACTGTCAAGGAGGTCGCGAAGCTGATGAAGGAGCGACGAGTTACCGCCGTCTGTGTCATGGAATCGAGTACCGGTCAGGGGGCCACGTCTCCGCAGCGCATCGCCGGCATCTTCACCAGCAAAGATGTCGTTCTGCGTGTTATCGCCGCCGGGCTCGAGGCTGCTCGGTGCAGTGTTGTTCGTGTAATGACGCCGCATCCCGACACCGCTCCGCCCACTATGAGCGTGCATGATGCGCTGAAGAAGATGCACAGTACGTATCATTACGTTTTCCATAAGCGTCTACTAAGAACCTGTCCCAGACGGGCACTATCTCAACCTTCCTGTAGTCGAGACTGATGGCCGTTTGGTTGCCATCGTGGATGTGCTGAAACTTACGTACGCCACTCTGGAGCAGGTTCGTGCCTCTCACTACCTTTGTACCCAATATCGCTGAGTCAATGTCTGTACAGATGAACCAGATGACCTCCGAGGCAGCGGGAGAATCGGAGAATCAGGGCGGGCCCATGTGGGGTCGTTTCTTCGAGTCTATCGGACACGAAGACACGGAATCTGTGCTCTCAGGTTCCAACATGCCCAGCGAGCCCTTCCACACTCGATCTTCGTACATGAACCTTTCTCAGGTTCAACAATCTCCGTTCTCTGAGGTTCATCCCAATGATTCGGCATCAGTCGTGGACGACGACGGCCCTGCGTCTGTCTTGGACGGGTATCCCAAGAATGGCAGGACCAACGTCCCATCAATCATGGGCGCAGAAGCATTGGTACCTGTTGATGACGGCACCTATGTCTTCAAATTCCGCACGCCCAGTGGCCGCACCCATCGATTCCAAGCTCGGAACGATAACCTGGAGAACTTGCACGAGATCGTCAGTGGCAAGCTCGCTGCTGATCCTTTCTTCAGGGACTTCAAGCCTCAGAACGAAGATGACCCTGTCCCGGATCCCTCGGATTTCACGGTCTTTTACACCGACGCGGACGGCGACGCTGTGTTCATGACTTCGGATGCGGATGTCACCGACGCTGTCAAGATTGCTCGGGCTGCCGGAACAGACCGCGTCGTTCTCTTCGTGCAAGGTGGCAAAGGCTGGGCCGACGCTGGAGCAAGTAAGGAGAAGTCGGAAGAAAAGGCGGCAGAGGCGGCGGCGGCGGTCAAGGAAGAAGTCAAGCAGGTTGAGAAGGCTGAAGCTCAGCTACCGGAAGGAGTGCATCTCGCGCCTCCCACCCACGTTCATGTTCCTCCTGCCGAGGAATTGGTCATGGGTATTCCGAAGGACCTACTCCTGCCCGCCAGCATCGGAGCATTGGCTGTGTCCATCATTGCTGTTTTCACCCTTTCCCGTCTCACAAGGTAGATATTTTGCTTACGCTTTGTTCGGCGCTTCTGGCTCTTGAGCCGCACTTGTTGTCGCACTTTTCCTCCCTCATGCTTTCCATAACGACCTGACCGAATGAACGCGACGTTGCATAGATCAAATATAATTCTGAGGATTATTACCCGAACATCATCTACCCTCCGTCGGTGATCTCTCGCACCGTCCCGCACACATCGCCTGACGTTCCTCGTCTACTATGCATAAGTATGGTTCTTCTTGATCCATACCACAATATTTGCTTGATTGTCTTTGCTTCTGTTAAATGATCACGTGACTGTCAATGATGTCAACTATGGAAGTGCCCGTGGTGACGTTAAAGTGCGTTGAATTGAACCAAGACCAGCAATCCACTATAAGGCAGCATGAGCAAGGCTGAGCGTGAAGAGGCGATAACCGGCATCGTTTGAGTACAATCACCTGTCTTTGAGCCTAGCTGAACGCCATGTCTGAAGGCTGAACAATTATTTGAGACCATGCTCGACGAGCTGATCATGGACGTAGTGTTACAAGCCCATCGCGAGACCTTACGGTCAAGAGCCGTCTGTCATATCTGTCATACGAAGTGAGTGAGCAACACAACTTTGTCTCTGTTGTATGTTATGGACCTTCGTGCAGATGTGGAACCGGTCAGCGCAGCTGATCAAGTACAACGTTCGTTGGCATTGATGGTCTACAGTGCACGTACCGGGCCCTTCGTCCGTAGGGACATCATCACAGGCTCGGCCGCCTTCTAGAGCTCGCTCGCCTTCCGCTGACTCATCAGGGGGCCCATCCAACGGCAAAGAAGGCAATATATACCTCGAATGTTTGCAATGCAAGCGACAGGTGGGTGCGGCGTGAAATGAAGGCGAGCACTCTCGTGTTAACGTACACGTGTAGATAGCTTCTAATCGGTACGCTCCTCACCTGAGTGCGTGCATGGGACTTGGCACTGGTTCAAGACGGGCGGCGCCGAGGAATGCGGCCACAAAGTATATCTATCGTTGCCGTTACGATATAGAAGCTAAAGCCTGCACCCGCCTGGCAGGGTGTCGTCTGACGCAGGGCGTGCGGAGTCACCGTACCTGGGATCTGAAACTGGGAATGTCTCGGATGAGAGCTCTGTTACAACGCCGAAGTCGAAAGCGAAGTCGAAAGCGAAACGGAAAGGTGAGTTATTGACACAAATGTTTGATCATGCGAATCCTGCGCTGATATCCGTCAGACGACGCAGAATTCAACTTGCATCGCAAACGGGTATGCGCTTTCCTTAAACACTGATTTGCCAGTCCCTGATGTCCCATAGCCCGGCTCGCCGCAAGTATCTCCTCCCAAGAAGTCTCGGAAGGCTAAAGCTGCGACCGCTGGTAAAGAATCTGCTTATACAAAGTGGCCCTGATCTCATGTTCGCCAAGCTCTGCCTGTGGTGAAAAGCAAAAACGAGTCCGAACGGCCTGGAACACCACTAAACGTATTATGCATAGTTCCTGTCGAACTTTTGGCATGACTCATACTTAACCTATACAGTCTCTTTCTGGAAGCCAAACCAATTCGCAAACAAAGATACCGTCGAGGTTGCGAGAATCATCCATCGCCAACTTCGCTGAATCCCAGCGGGAGCGTTCCTCTTCTCCAGGTTCTTCTTCAGAGTCCGACGAGGAGCCTCCCACAGCGACGCCTGTGGCCTCACAAACTCAGACCACGCCGAACTCCTTTGCGTCGTTTGCTGCTGCAGATTCCAACGGCGTTGGACACTTGCCGGCTAAGCGAGGGCGAGGCAGGCCCAGGAAAGTTCAGCCGAGGCCTCCCAGTCCTCCTCGACCGACTGCGCCTATCAGGGCGCCTGAACCTGATTATCTAGGTATGTTGCAACATTAACCCGTGTACCGGGCAGTCCTTCATCGATTTGTAGGAGAAGGCGGAGACGAGACAGGGTCTTCCACGGACACGGACAGTGACTAACGGTGTCCTCGTTGTCGATGTGCTTGGCCTATCGGACATATCATAGGATTTATACCACTTTTCATACAAAGGAATCGGCGACCGATGACAGTATGCATTCTTATTTACATTTTGTTCCGCGTCTGGGTACAGCAGTAGTATACCAGACCTTGGGGATGAGGCATCGTTCAGACTGCCGAGTTGCGTTTCGCGGGGCGGCGGGCTGGAAAGAGGAACCAAAGAGCGCACAGGAAGGCGCATTGAGCGAAAGTCATTCGCGATAAGACGGACGCTCCGAAGTGGTTTGATAAAATGCCCGTCAGGAAGGGGAGAAGTGCTGCGGGATTGGAGCATCGTTAGAGCCTAGAGGGCGATCATCGAATGTTAATTCAGGGTACGAACCGCTACCAAAGCTCGCGAACCATGACCTACACCATACTACTTCAGTGACAGCATAGAAACAAAGGATATCGAGTACTCACAGTATGGCCATGGACACAAGCGTGACATCGCAGGGTAGGACATCAATAGCCAAGCCTAGGGCTCCCGGGAACATGGGACCGTAGACGAGACCGACGATCGAAGCTGCGAATGCATCTCCAAATACAGACGGAACGAGCCAGATGACGAGGTACATGGCCAAAGCCACGACTATATATCGGAGCCTCCGCCCATAAGCGCTCGGCCGAGGAAGGGTGGACCAGACTTACACAAGCAGACATGGATGACATACTTGCGATGGGTGAATGTCATCCTGGAGAAGGTCAGGGCTGGGAAACAAGGATTCGAGACAGGACCCACGAAGGTATGGCGGATCCCCACATGAAACGAGAGATTGTTTGTCCGGCCCAATACCCGCTGTACATAGCGCATCGCATGGAACAACGTTAATCAGTCAATTCTTAAAGAAAGCAAATGAGGCTTCCGTCCCGATGCTAACCTAGTTACATATCCGGCTGTAGACGAAGGAGCATTCTGCAAACGTCATTAATAAGCAGGAGTGCGCGATAAGTTAGTACAATACACACCCTGACTTGTAGAAGGTAGTCGACCATCTGAACGGAGAATCCGTATTAAAAGAAGTGACGTATGCCTAATCATAGGACGTACGAAGCCTTGCGTCGCTGTCTCACTGATCTAAAGGTTATTATAATATCCGAAGCTAATGAAGGAATATCTTACCATCCGCTATAGCACCAAGTAAAGAGCGCGAACGCCCAAAGGTATGGCATGCCTAGAGCACGCAACAGAGCTGGCATGAAAGGATGAGAATGATGGACGTCGGCACAAATCGCGAGCCTACTCTTCTTTGGCGCGAGATCGTCAACCAGTGTTGCCGACGATGTGAGCTGGGGTGTGACGCCGGACGGAGATGGCAATTCCAGCGGCGTCACAATCTTCTCTGATGGACCCACGGGGCAGTTCTTGGTATCACGGGGATAGTAGCCTTGTGGTGCGACAAACGTCGGCGTCGGCGAAACAGGTGATTGAGGTTCGAATTCCGGTTCTGACGCCGCCATGGGATCCGGGGTCTGGTTTACAGCGTGTGTTGTTGGCCGAGGGTACTGGCGGGTCACTGCAGCAGCCTTTTCCTTCAGTTGCTCGTCGACCGTTGGCCGGAACGCCAACGAAATGAATAAGAGGTTGATTGCAGAGAGGGTCAGAGAACCCCAGTAGAAGCGAGGCCAGTGAATCCCCCTAGCAATCATTGTTTGACAAACGAGAGGAGCAGCGAAACAGCCGAGACCTGTGCAAGTCATTGATGATGAACGAGTCGGAGATATGAAACGTACTCCAGAAGCCTAACAGGTGACCAAGAGCTCTTTTCGGCGTGGAAGCTACATAAGCATTCCTACCAAAGGAAGGTTAGGTGATCCCTTGACGGAGAATTCAAATGATCCCTCACAAGTTCGCTGTAACAAGGGCTCGGTCGTCATTGCCTACCCTGCGCCGAGGTACATCAATGCTCACCTGTTATGAAGGACCGAGCTAATGCTGCGACGGCATACGCAGCGAGTATGCTACCGAATCCTCGGTCAGAACCCATCAGTACGAAGAAGATCGCATGGATGCAGCTCGCAGAAAACAATGCCAGGTATCTCGCCTGAGGAAGCGAGTGGCCTATGCAGTCACAGCCCACGGAACGGAAGCGGATATGGGGCAGCACGCTCCGCTTCTCGGAGGATGCATCGAAACGGCCCAAGAGGTTCATTACTCTCTCTACAATGACCGTTCCGATTGCGAACCTGAAATTGGTTAATTATCAGCCGATTTATTCAATGCGGTCATGAGGAGTGCAGACCAACCCGACAGTACTGGCGACAAAACAAAGAGACGAAGTCATGTAGCTCAGGTGAAGTTCTGCCTGAAAGGCTGGACGAAGAACGGTCAGATTCAGAGAAAACGCGTGCAAGGGGTGGACCAACAAGGTAAAACGGCCCCAGTAACTGTTGTAATGAGAGATGAGATCTTTTTGTGTTCAAGTGAAGCTGATTAACTTGCCCCCATCACCCCATCCGCAAAGGAAATAAGCAAAAAAGGCGCTGGCGAGCCTCCATCTCAGACGCGGAAATAACGGGTGCAATCCATGATCAATGGGACGCGAAACCCCGAGCTCCGTAGGCGGCGTAGCGGAAGTTGTAGAAATGCGGGAGGAAGCCTGCGTATCGCCCAGGTCCATTGATCCGCGAATTTCTTCTAGTTGTGACAGACGCGGCTGCGTTTCCGCAGAATCCAAGGTGGATGAAGAGGCAATCATGAGCGAAGCAGAATCAAACACGCTGATAACCCCTTGGGGAAGATGGGGTACTTTCATCTTCCGACGATGTTTAAGTAGCGGGCAATATTTGCAGAACCTCTTCAACGAGGCGCTCCCCGTTGCAAAAATATGTTCAAATGTGTTATGACCCGGGCAAAGTATGTAGACAGTCTCGTCATCGTGTTGCCTCGGGCCGGCCCACGACCAGGATGTGGTACATGTTTGGGGCAGTCATGTATGTCGCAGAAGGCTCGTGTCCGTTGAAGAGGCCGAAAGAGCGGCGTATCGACGTAACATATAATGCTTGAGCCGGTCACCGGTCTGGATGGGATACCGGAGGAAGTTATGTTGTCCACAGTTACGTCTTGCAGAAAGCAAGAAAATGACTTTAGTGCCGATACGCGGGGAGAGTGGCAGAACACGTTTCCCCAAGATGCCCGTTCGGACGCGGCTCCCCGCTGGAAAGACCGAGGACCGCCGTAGCGCACATGCCTTTATTTTCCCGAGTATTTTGACCTCATATTACGGCCCTGGACGGCGAGCGGCGCTGGCATGGGACCGATCTCGGGCGTTGAGGAATAGCGCCTAATGCGGGGCGGCGGATGCGGTTGGCAACGACAAAGCTGTGGTGCTCACGTGGCTGCCGAGCTGAACCGGGCGCGCCGTGCTTGGCGACGTCGACGTTCACCAGCGTTCACCGCACTCGACCCCGACGACCCCGACGACAACCACACTCGTTTATATCCTACATACGCGCCCATATCTTAGTCGCAGGCCGGCAAAACAATCCTCACCATGCCCCCCGCAGTGGCATACCCCGCCCAGCCAGATTATCTCTCTCCTTACCCGCAAGATCCCTCGGAGTCGTCCCATGAGGGCGACTATAAGGCCTCCTACGAGGACCTTATAGACGAACACGATGCACCCTACTCCAAGACTACAGGCCATCAGACAATAGCCATCGATCCCACAACCGCCGCTGGCCACCGCCGCGGTCCTTCCTACCCTCTGTCCCATCAACCGACCTATTCCAGCGAATTCAATGCCACGCAAGAATCAGTACCACGTAAAGGCGTGGAATGGGGCTATCCGCCGTCGCCGCCCCAGCGAGACAAAGAGAAACCCAGCATTTGGTCTCAGGTTTGTGGTCGTCGTGTGAGCGGAGGATGAGCGCTGAGCGCCACTGCAGCTGGTGCCGGACTCGTTGGCTTGCAAGCTATACGTGCTCACCGTCTTGATTGAGACGATTATCGATTTGGCAATAGAAGGCGATCTGCTTCTCCGGGTGCACGAAGCAAAGAAGGACGGCGAAGGGGACAGTCTGGCCACCCGTAAGATGCCTGTATACTTGAGCGTATTTGTTTTCGCTCAGTACGTCTTTAATACCACGTCCGATATTCGTGCTGATAAATGTCAAAACCAGCGTCTTCCAGCTCGTGATGGCCATTGATGCCGTATATGCCCGCAACACGTTGCAGTTCATATCGTTAACGTCTGTACTCCATTCATCGCCACAGCCGGCTCGCAGCGCTTAACCGTATGATGACCGCCCAGGTTATTCAACGCCCTCTTCCTATTTTACGCCGTTATTCAGATAGGCGAGATCAAGAGGGCGGCGATTGACACCAATGGCATTGCTGGCATCCCCATCCAAGTTCTCACTACCATTATACCTATCGTTATCTCCGTTGCTGAGATAGCGTATATTGCACTTGGATGGAAGATCTACAACGAGTTCGGATGGAAGGTTTACAAGTTCCTCGGCGCGGATCGGACAATCAAGCGGATATATGCCACATACCAAATTTTCATCTGTCTTGTCAAATTTGACCTATTCTTCTGGGTCGGATTTTCCGTGCAGTTCATCTGGCTCATCCTTCAGAAGACGGATTGGGAATACTACGTTACCGTTGCTGCCCTACCGCTCTCGATCATCTTGCTCATCGAAGGGCATCTTGCCGCACGACATGAGAACAAGTGGATGATGTTCACTTTCATGTCCGGTTGCGTTGGCGCTCTTGTGTACTTTTTCTACAAGGTGCGTGTTCCGCGCTCAGTGTTTGCTTCATGCTTGCTTATCGGGATTGCAGCTTGTTCGCGTTTTGTCTAACCGGACAGAATCTGAGTTTGTGGATGTATGGGCCTCGCTCACTACGTTCTGTACGTCTCTTGAAGATGGAACGTGCTACCTGTATACTGATGTATCACATAGCTATCATAGCCATCTTATTGTTGATCATCACCTTCGTCTTCGCGTGCTTGGTGCTGAACAATTATGGGCGGGGACTCAAGGAACAGCGTACGTGACGTTAGTTGCGCTGCCAGATTCAATGCTGACATTTATGCTACAGTTGCCAAGAGCTCTACACACACACGATGGGGTTCGCAGTCTGTATCCCACAGACCGATGAGCGCGAATCCAAACCGGATGAGCATAGATTGAACGAGCGCGGTTGAAGCCTTTGCGCAGTGTATTCTCTATTTGTCACTCATACTCATCCCTTCACTTGCACATGGACGTTCTATCGCCCCCATTGGCCCGTCATATCTTGTACGTATGAGACCATGTTACCGCGGTTACTCGTAGCTCCGATTTCTATACCTTAACGTGCCACGCCTGCGAGCAGGCTGTTTATTTGCTCTTTTTGGCTGTGAGGGTAGAGGCGGTCTTGGCAGCTGGGCATCCCTTCCGCGTCCGCTGCAGATCTTTGTCTTCTATACCCAAGGATGTATTGCTAGAAACGAACCATTCTTTGAGCTACGCCCTCATACAGAATTCGCGCGGGAAGGATGGGGACACGTCACACGTGCCCCGCTTCTGGCTTTCCGTGCCGCTATGTCTGACGCTCATCGCGGCAAAGTTAACCGCCAGCCTTGTCAACTACTCCCATGTCCCAGCGGTCAGCCAGTCCTCTTGTGTGTATCCATAAGCTGAAGCTCTGACATGCAACTCCAAGATTTCGAGTGAACAACGGCGCCGGGTCGCTGCGTGACCGGACGAGCCTTCTTGGCACCAATGCTGCCTATGGCTTCACACCTCCGTCTTCTGGGCGCTCCTCTCCGTACCCAGAGCCGGGATCTCTAGCGGGACACCGATATGCCGACGACCTAGAAGGTCAGAACGACGAGCAGGTGAACGCTCTCACAGCGAAAGTCAAGCTATTGAAGGATGTGCGTGAGTTCATGGAGCTATGGTTCTCTTTATGCAGCTCCCAGTCTGATTTTTGTGCACCCTAAAAGATCACGGTGGGTATCGGGAAGGAGGTTCGGGAGTCTACGATACAACTGAGCCAAATGGTAGGTTTGCAGCCGTGGACCCAATCGAGAAAGAACGAGACTGAATAAGTTGCACAGAACGACGCCTTTGCGGAGACGTCAGGCATTCTGTCGGGAACCTTCCGGAGGATGAACAACATGGCAGAACGACAGGGATGCCGGTGGTTATGGTACATCGTCTTCCTGGTGTTTGTATTTTGGTTCTTCCTTGTGGTGTGGTGGTTTCGGCGATGATGCCGAACCTTCGCCGGTCCCTTCTTTACCATATGTTTCCACTAGTGTCGTTGTCTATATGTTATCAACACCCGAAAAATCGTTGCAGTCCGGATCCCAATGTGGATGGATGAGAAAGAAACAAATATGCGAATAAAGACAAATAATAATGAGGTAGGCTACGCGAGGATGAAGGGCGGGCAAGACAATTATGGAACATTGAGCAGTTAACTCTGAAGGATTGTGTTGCCGATCTCCCAGATCATCCGCTTCCGAAGATACGGAATGTTTTGCTGGGTGAAGTCCAAAGGTAAATCTTGAGCTAGGTAGTTGAGCACCTGGCAAGTAAATACGCCGCAGTCGTAACCGTTCTCCTGCTGGGGAGTGCCCTGTGTACTGTTGTCAGCGGCTGTAAAGCACCAAGAGAGGGTAAACCCTACCGTGGGTACATAATCCACCCAACCAGTAAAATCAAATGGTGTCTTCTTCTTATTGCGATGTTCCGCATCCAGGTAATTCCGGAGGTGCTGGTATCCGGTATCAGCTACACTGGCAGTTCAGTGCGTTTGAATGTTACCTTATACACTGCCGTCCGATTCATGTTCATACTGTCGTATGACTCAATTCGTTTCCGGCGGAAATTGATAGCAGCCGCTGTCCAGTGCGTATTGTTATGGTTCACTGGTATCAGGATGGCGTCTTTAGAGAAGATGTCGATCTACGATGCATGGTGAGCAAGGACCTTGAGATGGGAGTTAATTCTATACCTTCTTTGTCCACTTGGCCAAGCGACCCTTGTCGTAACCATCCGTAGTTAATTTCGTCCAGAAAAACGTGCTGAAATAATGCACATTCAAAACCTTGGCACCGCCAGCCTTAGGGCTGCCGGTGGCGGTATTCGGCACTGGATTCTCCTTGCTTCCCTCAGACCGACCCATAATCAATGCCCCATAGAAGTTGATTATTTCGTCATTGAGCCACTGCCCAGGCGCCAAGCGACAAAGGTCGCGATCCGAGACTTGCTCTCTGGCGTACTTCGAGATGACACCCCGTTTCTTGAGGAGAGCCTTCACCTCGGCTTCTTGGGGAGCAGGCAACGACTCGGGAAGAGGAGGCCGTTTGGGACGTAATCTCTGCTCGATCAACTCATCGAACGCCTTATGTGTAGTGCGTATCCGCTCGTGTTCTGGACTAAATGGCCGGGGCGGTTTCGGGCTGTCATACCATCAGCTCAAGCGCACCACAATGTCTATGACTACAGGATGCATACCTGTTCAATGTTGCCCGAGCGTTTTGGAGAGCACGCTGGAGGAACTCAGGCTGCAAGTCCTGGAAAAATATGAGTGATAGATCGGATGACAGGAATGGCTTGCTTCACTTCGTAAGAAGAATGCCTACGATTGAGAGTTGATGAACTCTCGTCGGAATAGGTGGAGCGTATATCGCTCATGGACCGTGACGGCGCTACAAACAAGTAAGCCCAAGGAAAACCGAGCATATTGGATAGTCTTACAGAGAATATCCTTGTGTTCCATGCGCTCCAAGCGTTGCTTATATGTGAGGAGTTCTGTATGTCCATTTCAGTTGACGAGCACTCTGATTGAGAACCCAATTTACCTCGGAAAACACCAATATCGGATTTGTAGCCTGAATCACCGTGTCATTCAGGGAGTTGCATTCGTGGCGTTATGACTTCTCACCTAAGCCTCGTTTAATCCGGTAAAGTTCGTGCAGCATTTCCTCCTGATCTCTCCGGCGGTCATGCTGGACTTGAGCACGGTGCTGGGCGGGAACAAAAAGTGAGACCAGCGCTTTGCACAAGCAGCTAAATCGCTCACCTTTTCCTGCAATATATGCGGTCGACTTTCTAGTGCACGCAGTTGTTCCCTGTATCTGAACTCTCTCAACTCCAGCGGCTCCGCCCTAGTTTTCCGAGGAGGTGGAGGACCCGGCATTCGGTCAACCGCAGTCGAACCACCAGAACTTGTCGAAGCTATATGCACCCCCGAGTCAAGAGATGATCTCGACGGTTCGTCGTAGAGAGAAGAGGTCGAGGCTTTAGCTGTCCCATTGGGTAGAGATGGTGGATGGGACCCGTCCTCGACGCCGTTTGGGACAGGAGGCAGCATGGCTTTTCCGTACTGTGATTGCAGACGTTGTCGCGATGGCATAGCGCGAGGATAACGGACAGGATGATGTCTTGCGTTGGGTATCTGAGGGGTGCCAGCCACCGGCAACACCGGGCCTAGGGTGACTTCATGAGTATCACGTCGGGTCAAGCCGTAACACTATGTGTGCTCACCGTCACCGAAAACCAGGTAGGTGAAAGTGTCCTTCGTCAGATCTATGACTTCGTAAAGCACCCTCGTCCACCTCGACGTCACCGAATCCTCGTTGATGCCGAGTCGAGGCTGCTTCGTTGCCCGGTAGTCCAGGATTGCATCTGCAGCTGGACGCTTCCCCAGTGTTTTTGCCGTCCGATTGTGGCGCGTAGGGAGTATATCAGGTGCGGGGCGTGTGCCGTTCATGCAGGAAGGTGGTGGTTTTGAACACGGGCCACGCCGGTACGAGAGGGTCCGCGTCGCGCTGGTATCGCGAGTTCAATCAACAGAGAGTCAATCTTGCGGGATCACCCAGGTGATCTCAGTAACACGGTATTCGATTGGAAAGACCGAGACGCCTAGACCAAAGACGGACGGTGTGGAGGTGGATGAAGAGCAATGTCGGTGAAACTTCCCACGCCATCGAAGCGCGCTGTTAACGGTGCTGCCGTTGCAGTCGGGATCTCAAGTTCATCTGCGAATAATCGGAATACTGTGCATCCACCCCTAATGCAACGCGTGTTGCATTAGGGTTATATCTCTCTCAATTCACTCAGAATCGTCTGAAATCTACCAGTGGATAGTAATATGCTAGAAATGTTTCAATCGGCGTCTCAAATATTCTGGTTGAGCCACAGCTCTTCCAGAGGGATGCCGGCGAGACACCAGCCAGATCATCACATGCGGTCACGACTTGCCGAGGTGCCGGATTAGGCCAGGCTGCAGGGCTCAAGCGGCTCAAGCCAATCAACGCAGGCGGAGTTTGAATTCATCCGTCAGGTTTGTGTTTGAACCTCCTCCTCCAGCAGCAATACTATACCAATCGCGAATCGGGCTGGCTGGCGTGGCGGATAGAATACAATGTAATGAGTAATACCGAATATTTGTATGAATTTTGTGTTACCGATCCGGCGACGCGAGGCCGTGGAGTACTCGCAACATGTTGCATCAACTTGCTCGAGCAGTTCTAATGTTGTTCTGTAGCCTGAACCAAGCCTCGCTCCCACCTCAGCTCTATCATACAGTATTTATAGATGCTTGAGAGTACATAGAAATGCTTTTGAGACGAACAATTGAACAGGAAGGGAACAAGAGAGGGATTTGCGTCGGTGTTGCTTTACTGGGTGATGTTCCATATCGGATGGATGCACAGTATGTACCTGGCTATTTTCTATAGCTTTGTCGAGGGTACGGAAAGTTTTTCATCTCATAGCAAAGCTACGCTCCGCTTGTTACTGCTTGTGTAGCACGTATAACTGTATCGTCACGTTTACTAACATGCGCCACGGCCAGCAGCTGACGTCTGCGCGATATATCCGGAGCAGGTGTAATAGATATGTGCGCAGATGATGCCGCACATATATGAGTTACCGCATTCCGACACTTTCCCTCGTGAATGTTCTGAGAGGCCGAGGGTCGCCCGAGTACAGGCATCCAGCAGAGTATTAAAGAGCAGTTGAATATGTCATAGAAGATTATCATGGCTTGATCTTGATCCGCTACATTGATCTTTTAGTGATTCTAGACTGGCATCCTAAGGTCCTGCAATCTCCACAGGGACAGAAATCATTCGGATACGTTCCACTGGAACGGGAACTAGAGAGAACTATAGCGAATGTTCAGAAAGACTGTTATACTCGAGGCTTGCGGTGATACGGTTTCGTGAATCCCAACTTTGGCAGCGATCGGGATTGCAGTTCGCGTCAATCAGTCATTCCTAAGCGTAGAGGGCGGCTTGACCTGGAAAGACTGAAAAGCGACAATAAAGGGTATGTGTAGCTGCTGCCGAGCGACGATCGAGATCGTCGCCAGAGGAGTTAGAGCGGATCCTGGAGGCCTTAATCACGGGCATGCCGAGCACACAGCGCCGAGACAGAAACCTGAGGCCTGGAGAAAGGGAGGGAGATGAGTTGCATGATCATGTCTTCCATCACCGTGGCTCAGATCATCCAGACAGGAGAGACTGTAACACGACATGAATAGTCAACTCGGATAGCTAGCTGAAGGTCCTTTGATTTTCCCGGCCGCCGATAAGATGCAAGCACCAGCCGCAATAGCGAAATCACGCACGCATATTCGCATATGCCAACCGTTTTGACTGACGTTGGGACTAGGCCAAAAACAAGGTCGCGCCCGGGTATACATAGTGTACAGATATGGTTGCGGTTGTCGCGTTTCCGCAGCCGTGGGCGTGGATTTGGGCGTGGATGGTTTCGTGAGCAAGGTGCCAGCCTTCGGAGCACTTGCGCAGAGCACCCATCACAGTAGACATCAGTTTGTTACAAATCCTGACCGGGGGCTGATTTCAGCAACTGAGGTCGCGATTTCACGTCGTCAGATTCTGGAACGAAGGCGGAACAGGAAGTGAGTGGTATGGCAGATCCCCACTCGGAGGATATTAGGAGATAGAGCGGCAGTACAAAATACATATCCTGAGTCTAGCCTGAGATCGAAAGTTCCAACATTTGTGCAAGATGATCGCAACCACGATAATGCCAATCATCGAGCATGTGCCGAAACCTAGAGAACGGCAAAGCGGTTCGGATTGCCGAACATGTTCATGGGGAGGATTTAGGATGTGTCGCGATATAAAGCAGACGGAAGTTGCAGGCCGGTGAAAACTGGAAGAGGATGGACGGTAGAGTCACGGAGTCCGGTCAGATGAAGGCTGATGGAGGCGTGGTAACTCCGCACGAGGGTCACGGCCCGAATGGGTGCGTCTGCGACCGTCCCCGCCGACAAGGAGGCCTTCCTAGCCGACCCGGACGTCCTTATCGAGCTCCCTCAGCCCATATAAACCTTTGATCCAGTCAGCCTCCCACATAGAGCTCTCCTCTTCCCTCTGACTCGGTCGTCGACGTCCACGACCACATAGCTTGATCCTGCCTCCCACCACCCCCTATTTACTCACCATGGGCATGCGTTACCGCCAGTATCTTGCCGGAGCGCGCATTTACGGCTGCTCGACGTGCAAGACACACTTGGCGACGATCCACTCAATGATTTCTAGGGTCAGTATTCAGGAATACCTCGGGCGGAGCCTCGCGCTGATACCGCTACCGCTTCCAGGCGTTCAATGGGCAGCATGGCCGGGCGTACTTGTTCGATGGAGTGTAAGTGGCATGATACGAATCATCATATTCGCACCTGATAGGTCTTTGCAGGGTCAATGTCATCGAAGGAGAGCCCAACGATCGCCCAATGACCACTGGTAATCACACTGTTCGAGATATCTACTGCTGCAAGTGCGGGACGACGTTGGGGTGGAAATATGTGAGTATGATATTGGGTCTGGTGTGGTCAGATGCTAACGTTGTGATTAGGACTATGCATACGAAGCCTCACAGAAGTACAAGGAGGGCAAATTTCTCCTTGAACGTAATCTCCTCACCGACGTGCAGTAGTTCCCCGCGACGTGGAGCGGCACTTATGTGCCACTCGCATCATGGGGAAGGGGGCCCAGGCCTTGACAACCCGACGGCCGAGCGCCCGCACTACACCAACCGGCACATCATTTGGGTTTCGTCCCGACATCGTCCTGAAAGACGACATCACTAACCACTCCCATGCGCGATGCGCGGGGTTGTACACTCTCTTCGAGGGACCAGAGGCATAACGGTGGACCTGGTCCTGATGCACAACGGGCGGCGTCATGTGTTCCCCCGATTAGGCAGCGATCAATCGACCACGGCTAGCCCTCGTGCAGCATTTAGAGCGGTCTTTGGAGCCTGTCCCTCTCATTCTTCCGTTGAATAAAGCATCACCCGGTTTCCGTCCCCGGTTAGGCTTGCCCTTCCTACGCCTTTCATCGGAGCATTCCGCTTCCAATGGACTTGTAAATGTACTAAGTACAAAGATCCCTTCCGTATTTGATATTAAGCAAGGTTACGCCTTTGCAGTCAAGGCGGATACGTCATGATGCATGTACACCGGCGTTGGAACCTTGTGGATTGATCTCAAGTGCCACTTACTATATAATATGTACCTCCACCGCACAATATTAAGTGACTCTGCAAAATAGAAACACGGGTTGCATTGAGAACAGGACAATCGCTCCAATGCCTGAGACGATGAACGTCAGCCCAACCTCGGCGGAGCGGGTACAGCGGAGGTTCCCGCAGGTTTCAACGGTACTTCACACGTTTCAAGGACAGCGTGCGTAGCAAGCAGGAAAAGGGGCGTTTGGACCTGAAGAGGGCTAGAATATGTACATCAAGCTGTTCGGAATATAGCTCGTTATATTGGCAGCTCTGAGGAACACTTGAAGACTGCGCAGAACACGGAGTTTCATATAGAGACAGTAACGAGATCACGTCGGCACATGGGGCTGAGACATACTACTGACATCCATTAGCCTCCTATCGCAGGCCCGATCTGCAATAGAAACCCGTTGTGAGGACTGACCCCCCGTTTGTCATGTCTATGTGCATGCTGAGCAATCACGTAGGACCGGAAGGAAGGATACGCAGAACGGGGTAGTCATCGGTGAGAGGCATCTTTTCCGTCGGTCCCATCGTGCTGGGAGAACGTGGAGCCTTGGAACCGATGCATATGCAAACGTCGAGGGTACCGTCGACGGCTGCTACAAGACACATATCTGATAGAGAGATATGTGAGCCACGGATCATAGCGAGGGTAGTGAGGTACGGAGGCTATCAGACCTCCTAGATGCGATCTATCGCTTACAAGCCAGCACAACCTTGGATGCCTCTGGCGGATGGTGCATATGCATGTGGAGAGTCCCAGAAAACGAGGCGAGCTAAGAAAGCTAAGACAAGACACAGGTCCGATTCGGGAGAGATGCCAGAGCCTTTCTTGCATGTGAACGCACTTCGAAGTGTGTGGACGAGGAGATAGAGGAGATAGATGCAGCTTGACAAGCCATCGGCATATGGATCAGCGTTCGGCACCACGCTTGAAGTCTTCGGCTTGAAGCCATGAAACACGGTCCCATCACGTGATCATCAAAGCGCAGGGCTTCCCCAAACTTGCCGCGGTGGTCATATACGCGCTCCCCATAAGAATGCCCAGACACGTCCTTTGTTCACTTTCCACCACCTCCCGAACTGCAAGTGTTGTCGTCTGCGCCGTGCAAACAAACGTTTCTGAAATCAAAACTTACAGAAACGTTCTCCGATCGACCTCCGACTCTTCTGACTCAAGTGTTTCGCCTGCATTCAAACAATGAGTATGTACTCATACTACGCAAGTCTGACACTATGTCACTCACGACTTCATGCTCCCCAGCTGCCACTATGCCTCCTGCGCCCATGCCGATGTTCAGCGCGCCTAAATCCTCGACGCCCAACGTATCCTCGCCTCTTGCCTCCGTGCGCCCCGTCGCGCCAGGCGCCAGCTCGCGGCCAAACCCGAGTCGCAAGTCTTCCTTCCCGACCTCGCGCCCTCTTCGTCCGTTCGCGTCTATCGCTCAGTCGCTGGCGAACGCGCCCAGCGTCCCGCGATGTTCATCGCTCGATTCTGCGGAGCCGAGGAAGACCGTGGCAACCGGCGGTACACCCATCAAACTGATTGAGCCGCCCAAAGGCTTTGAAGGATGTTTCCTTCTCAACCTCACGCAGGCGGAATTCAGCCGGCGCGACTGAGCCTGTTCGCGTCAGCTTCTTCGCGAGGGTTCCCCGCGCGCCTCCGCTTTCATCAGCAGAGCCATGCGCTCGCCGGGTCAAAGGATCGGTCGGGCCTCTCCGTTTGAACATCCCTTTTTCGTCATGGTGTTGTTTTCCGCTTTCGTTATTCGTCCATTGTATCACTACACGCACGTTTCGACCTTGTATATCTTGTGGTTTTGACCGTTCGTTGATTCTGATAAGAAACTGTAACCCACTGTCTCAGGACGTATATTTATCCACGTACCACCAGTCTCTGGACCTATCATTGTCGGCGAGTCTCGGCGAGTCTGATTGTGCTATTCACTGCCATTCTCATGCCTATCGAAAATCAAATTAGCCACAATCCCTGCTTTTCTCCCATGATTACCGCAGCCGAGCTTGAGCCTTGTAATCGCATTCACTGGATACGACGAGCAAGATTTCGAAAGTCCATGTTCCCGAGTGCTCCTGCAGTGGCGGAAAGAGTTCACTGAGTTGCTTGCGCCGAGTTGCTTGCGGTTAGCTCACCTCGGCGCACTACATATAGCGATCAAGTCATACTGGCGCCTTGACTGCCGGCCAGTTTCAGGAGAGATTGCGACGAGCAACAAGCAGTTTCCTAGCATCGGTGAGGGCAATGGTATACATGGGTCGTTGGTCAACAACGCATAAATTGCGTGAGCAGGAGCTTCTGTGGAAGCATGCGTGCGGCCGTCCAGCCTAGGCTGCGATCGATTACTAGTTACTAACTACGCACGGTCCGTATCTACCAGGACTTCTTCGTTTCTTGTATCTAAATGTCATCTGGAACAGATTTGTAACTTTCCTTGCCCTTCTGACTCTCGCGAAGCGTGCGCCTGACCATCCCTCGTATCGAGAGGCAGTGGTGTACGCACGGGTCTGGGTCTCGGAGTCGCAGGCTATCGCGGATTGCTTCAGGTGCTACGTTGGAAAGCTCGTCCTTCGGCTCTGCTGATAACGCCTTCAATGCAGTTTGCTGATACTTCACATAGTGTCACAGGTGACACAGACGTTCCACAATATTCGAATGCAGCGGAAGTGCTGTCACGAGCGTACGGTGCGATTGGAGCTGAGCATGTTGAGCGCGAGTCAAGCCCGTCGGGGTAAAACACGCCGGTAGACACAGCACCTGGACCCGCGTGCTCCCGACTTGTGCGATGCTTACATTACAACCTTAAGGACCCGTGAACTTGCACGTCTGTATGGCACGCGGAATCCCGCCTGTCTGGCCAGGTTGCTGTTCAACATCCGTCTTCATCTCCGAACAATCCTGAAGGGGAACCAGGTGCTTCGCAACTTCTTGCTCTAGGGCACCAGGAGAGTATCCCTCATGTGGAAGTCCGCGAATGGTACTATCGGGAAAGCTATCCTCACGGATGAGGCTCCGCGGCCACCGTGCAGTCTGCCAGACGCAGATGCATTGAGTGGAGCTTCAGAAGTCACTATTCACCGGTGATTATGCTACGGTACATGTTCTTTACCTCCGATGAGCCAATCACCTCTGACTTCGACACGTCTATCATAGCAGGCCTCAGGCTCCAGCAGTTCCCGTGTGTCGGGGACTGATTCGACGTGCTCATCGGATATTCATGCTTGCAAGATCGCCAGTGTCATAAAAACAGCACGTCGAAGGCCCTGTTTTGGATATCATCATCGACAAAATCCTGGCTATACATACAGCCAACTGATAAGTGTGATATCCGAGACTATACTATCGGGGGGGGGAGGGGGGGCGTCATGCCAGAGCTCGAGATTGTATCGCCGGTGAATCCCCCGTTTAGTACGGTCATCCGTGAGAGTAGGCTCGACTTGGGCAGGCCCTGCGTCCGCTATGCATGGTCTTGTGCTTATCATGATCGGATCTTTACCCCAACATAAACGGGTGTTGGATATCTTTCCAAACCCGTCTCAGACCTGACCAACCCTGACTTTGATGTTCATTATGGCGCATCGCCACGGGACCTGGACCGCCTGTCCTCGGGTGCGTTTCTCAGGAACGAGCCTAGTGTCAGTGTAACGCTTGCGTCGAGCATTGACAGGTAGGTAGGAAAATCTAGCCGTGGCCGGCCCTGACACGGTATCAGGTGGGTTGGGAATGCCGGTACTGGCTCAGTTGAATCATGCGCGAGTGATTCGCCTTGAGCGAGGCCTCGAGGAGGAATGAGTAGTGGGAAGAAACAAACCTACTCGGTGCCGAGTATATGCTGTATTGCCTCACCCGGGGCTGTATAACAGCAACTGGCCCCATCACACATGCGAACAGAAATATCCGGAAGATACCAGCAAAGCGCGAGGCTCGGGCAGTATTGGGGCTAGTCAGCGGTCCGGAGTCGGTCCATTGGCTCAGGGTGTCGCGCGTCGGACCGTGTGCTGGCGATAGCTATTCCTTACCGGCGGTCTAGGAGGAAATAGCTCAGAGCGGCGATGAGTGCAAGATATAGGCGCTTTGGCTAGAGATCCGTAGATAGCACTGGGAATAACCGCATTACCGCAAGCGGTACAATTTCGCATGGTAACATAATAGTAATCGAATGTACATGTGACGGAAGCTCCCAGGCAGGGCCACCCACAGCACTCTCTGCCCCCGACTTTACGCAGGCCTCCCGCCGGCTCTCTTCGTAACGACCTTGGACGAACCTTGCACGACGCCTCTCCCGTTCTGAATCTTTGACAATCCTCTGCTTCTTCCCTAACAGCCCCCATTGTCAACCTTCACGACTCGTTCACGACGACACTGTTCTTGTTCACCCGATACCTCCCAGGTAATAAGCTGTTCCTTCCCGACGGCGATTGTGGGGGACTCAAGCACGCGTTACCAGATTGATTACTTCCTCTGCCTCTTTCTTGAGACTTACATAGAACTTGTGAGGTGCGCCAACTCACTCGGGGATGACTGTGGGTCATGCTGATCAAGGCGCCCAAAGACATGGATAACTGGAGGGTTGCCGTTCTTGGCGATGGTGGTGTTGGAAAGACGGCGCTAGCTGTACAGGTATGTCGTTGCAGTCGTCAGGCGAGGTCCGACTGAGCAAGACGTTCGCAGTTTACCCTCAATTGCTTCGTTGGTGAGTCTTACGCGTTCCATTTTGCTGCCCATGATCTCATCAAGCTACAGAGGTTTGTGTTGTCAATCATGCCCCATCGACGCGTTATTGAACCCTTATCCAGACGTATGATCCTACGATAGAAGATGCGTACCGCAAGCAATTGGTCGTGGACAACCGGATGTGTTTTGTGGAAGTTATCGATACTGCGGGTCAGGGTACGTATACGAAACAGCATTCGTGACGATTCAGAAATCTTACGTGCTTTCAGAGGAGTATGCTACGCTCCGTGACCAATGGGTACGGTGAGTAACGCTGTATCTCCCCCAATTCGCTTTCGTCTCACGTAGCAACACAGAGAGGGCCAAGGTTTCATTTTGGTCTACTCGATCGCATCACGCCAGACGTTCGACCGCCTCGAAGTGTTCCGGCAGTCTATGCTGCGGGTCAAGCGGAGTCGGCCGATATTCATGCTCGTCGGGAACAAGTGTGACAAGTCGTACGAGAGGGAAGTATCACGAGACGAGGGAGCAGCTATGGCTCGGAACTTCGGATGCGGCTTCCTGGAGACGTCCGCGAAGACGGCGTACAATGTGGAAACCCTGTTCACGAATCTCGTTCGGGCACTACGACAGACAAAACAGGAGCCAGGCACACCGCCAACTCCTGCAATTACCAAAGCGCCGGAGGAGAAGAAGAAGTCGAGAAAGTGTATTATCTTATAGGGGTATTGTGGGACGGTTGGTTGTATAGATCCACTCTTTCCTCTCTCTCCCATGATGATACCACGTCCTCATTCTTTTCTCCGCGATTTGGCCATGCTTTCTACGAAGGGTTTCTTTGTCGCTTCATCTGATATGTTTTCTCCTTTGGCTTCGCCGATCATCATTGTTCATTGGACTTCACGTTGATGCGTCGTATGGAGCACCTTCACAACCCATTTACAGAAGCTGATGAAAAGAGGATGCTGTGAGTATACCCACATGCACGAAACGTTCGTGTAGTACGTTGACGCGCCGTTGTCCGAATGGAGCAACCTGTGTATATCTGCTCATGCACATGTCTTGACAACACTGATACTGCGCGCTGGACCCACGACAGCTCTGGAAAGATATACAGATATGAACGTTCTGACCCCTGAGGCTGCGGGGACGCGCATGACGATGGCAATGCTGGCAGCCACGTCGACCGAATCGCGATAGGGTGAGACTATATATATCACGCTTATCCTTACGCAGAGCGAGCCTTGAACACGATAACGGGGTTTTCGAATCCGATCAACTCTATTCGTCTCAATTCTACGACGGATATGTATGGCTTCCAAGCAGCAGAGCCAGACTTTGTCATTCGGTCCATCCCAGATGGTACCGATTTTGCAGTGGAGAAGCGATGTCTTGTCTCCGGCAGCCAAGTTTTTCGTAGGTCGCACATATATCGACAGCATTCGTTGAACTCGGAGGACCCGTATGCTCATACTTGGCCCCCAGACGATATGTTCTCCTCATGCCTGTCTGAGGGTGAACAGTTATTAAATATCGACGAAACTTCATCGACACTCTCGCTGCTGCTGAGGGTCTTGCACGACCCCCCTCCTTTGTTGTTGACTGGACATGCAGCCATCCACGATGGTCCTCGGGAGGCTTCAGAAGAAATCGTGATTCCCTTCCCTCTGTTGCCCATATTACTTCATCTTGCAGACAAGTATGCGTTACTCGAACCATCGTTGGCCGTTATACGCTCCCATCTTGCTGCCTACTCCGCAAGCTTCCCTTTGCAAGTATATGGCCACGCGGTTCGAATGGGTTGGCGATCTGTAGCCGCAGACGCGAGTGAATTTCTGCTACACCCTTTGACAACCTATTCGGCGGAGGATGTCGCAATCATCCCAACGGCCGATGCATATCACCAGTTGGTGGTACTGCAGGAAACACGGAGAAAGGCACTGAAGCAGTTTCTTCTCGGCGAGGAACTCTTTCCGCATGGTTATGGCTTCTGCACCAGACACGGAGCACAGATGACCATGCAATGGAATCATATGAAGGCCCAACTATATGAGCAAGTGGAAGCCAGTGGGTCTGACGTCTACCCAGTCATCCGATTGTTTCAACGATTCTCTCTCTTCAGCAACGAATGTACCTCTCGGCATGGGATCGATTACCAGTGCCGTCGGCAATTGTCCACACTGTCGCAAAGCTTGCGAGGCTGCTCTGGAGATGTTAGCGGTATGTCTCAGCGACAAACTGCTCGGAGCATGTTGTTTTGACGAAATCGTTGCGCGAAGTATAAATGCAGAAAAGCTCCGCGAAAAATTGATTATGCAGACGAGGATGACTAGCTCTCTACGTGTTGTGCCACAACAGAGTCCGCAAGTCCTGCCATCGCTCGGAGTCGCGGTACAGATATGTCATCGAATTGAACATCCCGGGTTGTATCGTTTCTCCACGGTTATTGAAGAGCCACATAACTGCGCCCCATGACAAAGCCGCGAAGATGGAAAATGCCCGCGCGTTGGGCGGTAGCGGTTTACCCGGAGGCTTGGATGATGCCCACGATGTATCACGCGGGATGAAGGACGCGACGACTCGGGAGCACACGTACAGGACAATCTGCGACCTGGGTTACTATGCTATGTTTGATACGCACCATCATTGCTACGTACCTGCTCGTTGATTGCTGTACGTTCGCCGAATACGATGTATCCTCCTAATAGGCCCGCAATGAACGTATCCAGGTCGCGTTCTTTCCCTCCGCTGGCCTTCTTCTGAAGTAGCAGCAGGGCCTTGTACAACGCCACGAACTTTGCTAAATTGAGCGCGTGGGTTCTGGTCGCTTTGAGTACCATCTTCAGCCGGGAGAGCCAGCTGTCATATTTTATCAGCAACATCTTGGGAAACCTTGAATGATCGTCTTACTCGCCGCGCCCAAACAGAATAGCCATAATGAGTGCGTGAGGGAATCGCACTTTAGCACCGTATACCAGGCCATTGCGAGCGCCCTTTACGATGGCGAGATAATCATGGTAATTCGGATTTGAAATAACGTGCTCTATCGTAGACATATGGACGACACAGAACCTCTAGACGTTGCAAGGAGTGGGGGAGACGGGACCAAGGCGAGACAGCAAGGTGGATATTCGGTCACGTGGTAAGCATACAATCACATGGTACGGCACCGGCCTAACCGTTGCGGAAGAAATCATCCTTGAAGAGGAAAGTCGTGGTTGTTGCAGCTTCAAGCTGTAACATCGTGTTAGTCAATCACAGCCGATGATACGCATGTGTACGCTCACTCCGGCGCTAAGGGCTCCTTGCTTCTCTTGTACCAGAACGAATCGTCTATGATGGTCCATAACCGCCGGAACCGTTTGCATGGCAAAGAGGTCCGCAACGACAGCGCGCCATGTTCCAGCGGCGTCTGCAACGATTTCAGATTTCTCCATGCGACTTGCGAGACACATCTCTAGAACTCCTCGGCTGCCGATGTTCCGTAGATGACATTGTAAGGAGGCCCATCTCATAGCATCCTTCGAAGATAAGCAGGGATCAGCCGCATTGTCCATAAGCAATATGTCTCCATCGGACAACATCTGGAGGATGTCATCCAGGATTGCCAGAGACCCTCTAAATCCAGCTTCAGTCTTGCTTCGTGGAGTGAGTTTACCATCTCACCGATCAAATTCGGATAATGGTTCCTCTTGACCGCAAAATTCGTTGACCACGATACCCACAACCCATGGAAGCAGGTAGACAGTCCACAAGGGGTGCTCTGCAAGCTGCCGTAGAAGCTTGAGCGATCCAAGCGGGTCCTCGATGATTGCCCGTGGTGTGAAGGTAACGATGCCGCCTGGGCATTTTGCTGTCAGCGGGGAAATACAAATACAGGCAGCAGCATGTACCAAGAGGGTATATAGGCCGAATACCCCATCGTTCTGGAGGAACATTGTCGTGGCTTCCGTAAAGGTAGAACTGGATCTCCGGGCGCTTGCATCGTCTATCAGCGAGTGCCTCCAGCTTGTGCAGGGTTGCCAGTGCACCAGCATGTACGAAAACTATTCTGACATCAGCTTTGTATCCGGCATCTCGGGCCCCATAGTGATCAAGCACGTTTCTTAGAAAGACTGTCTCCAAGCCAGGTCGCTCCGACGTGCCGTCTCCAGAGAAATACCAGATGCAATATGCTCGTCTTCCATGCGATAAGGTCTCATGCAAAGCCCGGGGAATCTTGAGCACGTAGGATGCTCTGCGGAAGGCCGGAGTGATGTCCCGGCGATGTTTACCGGGACCCAAGTCACCAACGACCATCAGATCCCCTGCGCTTCGCGGGAAGTCGGGTTCGCGAGTTGTTTGCGGTTCAAGAAGCTTCACACAATCGGCGCTGGTGAGAACCCATGGAAGCAAAGCGGCCACGAGACGACATTCACGCATGCGTTCTGGCACCTGGAATTGTTTGCAAAGCCCCTCGATCCTGGGCGGGAAGAGCAATAGTAGCCCCACGGGGTCCTCTCCGACAAAGAGGTCAACGGAACTGACCTAAGATGACCTGTTCAGTGCTGAACACATGCGGTCCGTATGACGTACCATTCCCTTATAGTACATGTAATTCGCGAGTAATATGAGGCTTTCGTTGTTCGCGTCATCGGCCGTTACATGTGCTATCTGTTGAACAGGGCGACATGCAGGGAGAATCATGGGCAGTTGGGTTAATGGGGTCAGTTTCTTGAGCTGAATGGACTCCAGGGAGGTGAAGCAGTAGTTGAATTTAAGACCAGATGGTAAATGCGGGTCGGTCGGTTCAGAAATCATCACGGAGCAGCATGTCTCGAACCCTTCTGCGTCAGTTCGCAATAGCAGGGAGCCAGACCATTTCCACTTCTTGGGGATTCTGCCAGAAGGATAATCGTGAAGTCATACAGCGCCTCGCAGGAGCAGAATGTAGACCTTACTTGTAAGAGCCTGATGCGACCGGTGCAGATCGTCGTTGAGGGGTTACATCCACCGCTTCCCTGATGAGAGTTAAACTTGAGCCTGTGGACACGTACGCCAGCGCAAAAGATCCGTACACAAGAGGAGCAGCAAGCCTGGAAGCATCATCAGTGGTGTATGCCTTGTGGATATGCTATTCACATACTCCGTTGGCATATTGGCTGCTAAAAACTTCTCGGCCTCGGCCAAAGGATCCGGTGATTGCATCTCGTTGGGAACTACGTTGAATGGCTTCGCAGTATTAATGGAATGAACGCCGGCCGAGGTCGATAGGGTGGGTGCTGGCATTTGCGTCGTTGGTCGGCGAACTGGCGCGGGTCTTCGCGTTTCTGGAAGCACGGGCGATGGTGGAGGCGCTTCCTCGGTAGGCGTTTCCGTTGATTTCGCGACCTTCTTCTTGAAGCTCAGGTTGGCAAGACCGTTCTTCTTGGGAAACGCGGCCGCAGCAGAGGTGGTTGTGGGGGTAGTTGTCGTAGTGGAGGCAAGACGATTTTTGGTAGCTAATCCACCAGCTCCAACAGCCAGAGGCAAGTTCCTGATTTTAGGTAGTTTGTGATGGGCCTTGACTTGCGATACAGGTACCTGATCACTAAGCCCTTTGGTCTTCTTTGGGAGCGTACGCGAGAGGGGTTCATCTGAACTTGACGATGATAGGGAGATGACAGAGTTATTGCTCGGTGATCCTGGCCGCTTGATCTAGGCGATGTTTAGTTCAATAGAAATGGAAACAGCGGTCAACTAATGGATGCTGCTCACAACTTCGCTGTGGCTGTCGGGCGCTCTTATTTTCCCTTCCTTCAACGGGTTCCTCAAAGATAACAGGGGTTTACCGTCAGATGTAGAATCCTAGTGCATATGACTTCAACACCTCATCAAATCACAGAAGGAGTCTTTTACCATGTCTTCGTCATCATCCAGGATCATAACCTTTCGCTGCTTCTTGGCCTTCTTTATTGAGTTAGCAAGTGGTTGATCATCATCGGTATCCATACTAGTATCCTGGATACAACCATTGAGTTGATGAAGCGAGTGGTCGCTGGAATACCGATGAATTACACGCCGTGTCGAGCTGACATTCTGTTCAGCCTTCTTGTTTGACCGCTTAGAGTTCGTTAATGGTCCTGGGAGATGAACATCCGACGATACGGAACCGGATCGCGACTTTGCCGCCTGCGCCTTCTGAACATAGGAAGGTGGGCGGTGAGTAGGGGTGCGTTCCCGGTTCACGGACGAACCTACGGCTTTCTTCTTCTCCAGCTTCCCATTGGCCCTAGCTGCTTTCTTCTTGTCTCGTTCTGCATTCAGCGTTTGTTGTTCCGCAAAACTGCGCGCCTTTTCCTTGTCTGTGCGATGATGGGTGGTTGAGGTCGGCTAGCAATTGTCAAAGGACCCTGCTTGGGAACGAACCAATCCATTCTTGCGGAGGTATGAGTTCCTGACCGATATCATAGTCCACGTCGGGATCAGGGAACTGCGCCCAAAAGCTGACAATGGTCAGAAAGATAGCTATGCATGTCATGGCGGGGGCAACCTTTCTAATAATCTTCGGCAGCTAGCAAGATTTTCGTCTGGTTCCCATCTACGTGAGAGGCAATATGAGCGTCCACCATGTTAAGTATCACTTCATATGAAGCCCACGTATTCTGATCCGCAGGATATCCGGCCCACTACACGATGTATCTCAGTGTTTCTACATTGAGACGACAGGATCACTGCTGACTTTGACATAGTATTCCTGAGGGCGCGCAATCGGTGTCTCGATCAATTAAGTAAGAGGGTGCGACATGGATCACACACCCATTGACTGTGTTCGTCCACTCGAGCTTTCTCGATGACCTCTGAAGTCGATGATTCATTGCATATACGTTTTTGATAGCCATGCACGTAGCTCACCAACTTGGTACAACTCATCTTCGGTCTCCTCTTCTTGGACCCGAACTTTGCTCTTTCGCCCCATATTTCGGGCAGCTCAATGACGATGACGAGCAGTAAGGTAGACGAGCAGAATAGCGGATTCGCATTCAAAGATGTGCGCGTTGGAGCCTGGAGGCGCGAAGCCGGGAATCGGGACGCGAGCCGCGACTACGGCGACGGGCGGCCAAAGCGTGACCGGTATGATCGTGTTCATTCTGTTACCAGAGCCATGACCAGCAAAGCCAAATCTAAGGCAGAGGAGGCCGAACAATTCCTCAACGACCTTGATACACTGTCTCCTTCGCCAGCACCGAGCGGCAAAGCCACTCCAGCGCCCGCAAACCAGGGCGACCCCGCAGACGTCCTCGCTTTCCTGGACGAGATCACTCAGAAGAGCTCGGAGCCGACTCGCATTGCCCACATTGATCGACCACTCTCAAGAGCGGGAACTCCTACTCTGAGGAAGAGCGGGGAAAGGGTCAAAGTGGGTGCTTCTGGGTCAATACAGAAGGTATCCTCTGTATCCTCGACGTCGCTGCCTTCGGCTGCGCCTGCAGCGGCCTCTGCCCCGAGCTCCTCGGAGCAACAGGAAGCCTCTTTTAAAGGTGGATGGGGATGGGGCAGCGTTTGGTCGAGTGCATCTGCCGCCATACAACAAGCGCGCACTGTTGTGGATGAACAGGTCAAGAACCTACCGAAGAACGAGCAGGCTAAGAAATGGAGCGAAGGCGCCATTGCGTATGCGAAGACAGCCCAAGATTATGCTAAAACAGCGCAGCTGGACAAACTCAGTGAGCAGAGCGCAGCTTTCTGCTATCGAACTCCCGTTCATGTTTTGTTAAGGCCAAGACTTCAAACGAGTCGGGCTATCCACTTTGACTGATATCTTGAATGTCGTTGCCCCTCCCATCGCGGAGCATGAAGTTATACAAGTTTGGTTGAGCTATGATATGCAAGGATACGATGGAGTGCAGTCCATCGTCTATCGTGCACTGGCCCGGGTATGGTCATCTTCCAGGATTCTCAAGCGACTATCGTAACAGTCTCCTTTCTGCAGATCATGGAGCAGGTAGAAGGCGGTGACCTGATTGTTAACAAGGGCGACGAGTCGCATCCCAAAGATGAAAACTCTGCTGCTCGAGACATGAATGCTGCCGAAGGTCTGGAGGCCGCCATAAAGCTTGCTCAGGTCAGTCACATAAACTGAACTGAAGAACCTTATGCTAATCTTTTGATACACATGTCAGGCCAACCTTGAGGAGCTCGTGAAACGAGATGTTAAGCCCACTGTCTCACAACATTCGTCTGCGGAAGTGCCGGTGACCTACACCCATATCTACATCCGCATACAACCCTTCACCACATCTATCACCGTCCCGGCTTCTCCCACCCCCGCGGATGCGGAACCCAATTCACAAGGCGAACAGTCGTCACAATCTATCTTGCAATTTCTTATACAACTTGTGGATCCCGGGCATAACCTCTCGCACGTGACTATAACGCAGAGCGTGCCTGCCCGGTGGCTGGAGATTTGGGACAAGTATGAATGGGTGGAAGATATGGTTGTCGAGACGCTGCGTCAAGGCGTCGAGGTTCTCGGACAAGAGTACGTCGTTGCTCGGATGCGATGGGACGATGAAACGAAGAACGAGGACGCGCCTGCCCCCGCGGCAGCTTGAGCGTGTTGGTCAAATCCGGCTCCTGTTTCAGCCATTCTGCTTGTGGGGGAGAGTGACCGGGAGTAGCTCTGTGTCATATTGTATTTTAACGCTCATTTCGGACTATCACGGCTGGAGAATCCATGACATATATAATAGCACGTGGCTAGAACGATGACACAAAGGGTGGTGATATGGGAAACCCAGTTTATTTCTTTTCCTCCTTCGGCGGCGGGGGAGGAGGGGCAGGCTTGAACTCGTCTGGCCTTGGCGGAGCCGTGCCCTGGCCGATCTGCTCCCAAGGAGATAACGACTCGAAGTTTCTGGAATGTTGATGTGGGTGAACTGGATCGTCCAGAAATGATGTTCGACATACCTGAAGGCCTGAGTGAGTTGAAGGGGTTCGTACACGATCCGTTTCCGCTCTTCATCGTAGCGAAGCTCAGTGTAACCCTATCATGTAAACGTAAGCAAAAGCGGCCGTCTTCTGAGCTACTAGTGCCGACCGTTAGGGGGAAGTCCTTCCTGAGAGGGTGTCCTTCGAAACCTATTGTGCGATTATGAGTATGACAGCCCTTCAGGAATATATTCGGGTGCCATTACCGTAGTCGGTCATGATGCGGCGTCTAGCACAATCATTAGATTTTACGTGGGTCCAGATAACATGGACAAGCTCACAGATCGGGGTGGTCCTTGAAGAATATCCCATATAAATCCCAAGCTTCACGCTCATACCTGGACCGAGAGAGAGATCAACCCCCGTTTCTTTACATTCCAGGCCAACATACCAGTCTGCACCCCGGTACACAGCAGTTGCGCTTGGGACAGTGTCGACTTCGTTGGCATATGTCTTCACCCGAATGCGCCCGCCAAACCGGTAGCTGAGCAAATGGTACACGATTTCGAACCTCTTCTCGCGTTCTGGGAAGTCCACGCCGCTGATGTCCTGGCAGCTCTTGAACTGGCACTGAGAATGGTCCCGAAGGAAGGTAAGGACCGGCACGACACCCGAGGGACAGATGTAGAGTGTGAGCTCGTCGCGGAGCACGGAGAATTGCTGCACGTATTTGGGCAGGCACTGGATCAGATACGAGCCGTAGTTGTGCAGCTTTGCCGCGGTCTCAGAGTGTACGGTCACAGAGGGATTGGGAGAGGTGGGCTCCTCAAAAGGAGCTGCAGAAGCTGGTGGTGCAGCTCAGTATCGGACGTGGCCCCTTCGGGTGCGGGTCGGACACACCTTTGGCAGATGGGGTGGAGTGCATACGACGGGCCCAGTGGGTTCCTGCCGTCGCTGCAGGCCGTGCAACGGCATTCTGCAGCGACCTCGTCGCCCGAGCGGCGACTCGGACGTACATCGACATGGTTCGGGAAAGAGCGTGCGGTGGCTGAGACGCTTTCGCTCCTCCACCATGTCTTCTGACGAACTACAACCGGCTCAGCCAGCAATATTCGACGCGCTACCGTACTACGACAATGAACTGGAACAGTTCCCCGCCTTAAGGCAGAAAGTAGAGCAGGAGCTCGCACGCGAGGGCAAACCGCCGGAGACGTTACATCCGCGCGTACCCCCTCCTGTCGAACTTTTCGTTGTCCGTGCGCGAGACGTAACATCCACGGCTTGTCTGGGAGCTGATGTGTTGCTCCTAGAACAACCCTTTGTTGCAGGAGGAGATTAGACGCGTGGAGGCACGCGAACCTTTACAACCTCTGGATACTTTGCGGTATCAGCTCCCTGCACCAACGTCAACACCAGGTTCCGATGAAGAATGGCAGGCTGCGTTGAAGAATGCGCAAGCGCAGCTTGAACATCAAAAAATACGGTATACAGGAATTCGAGATATGGCTGTAACGCATATGACCAACCCGCGTCCTCAGGCAGACCAACCTTGCCTTACTGCAACAATATGGCTCTAATGCATGGCGTATACACAATTACCTCCTCGAAGCCACAGCCAAGAAAGCTGAGAAAGACCTCGAGGAGCTTAAGCAAATGACCACTGAGCTTAATCGCGAGCGCAAGAACTTCCAGGTATGTTGTTCGTTGCAGTCCAGCACCGCGTTCTGTTGATAATTCTTCTAGACGAGATTAGGGGCTGAACTTACATCGCTGGAAACGCGGTGGACAGAGCTCATCTCCACGGTCCTCCAAATCGAGATGGCGAATGTCGCGTTGGAAGCGGAGCTGGAGCGGTTGAACAGGCAGGAGGTTCAACTCTCTGGGTCCTGATCCACCGGACTTGCCATTTATGTATGCTACGCCATATGATATAGTTGTATTCCCAACCTAAGTCCGAGTGGTTGCTCTGTTTCACCGCGTTGAGTGTCCCGAGCGCCCACAAGAAGTTGGTGGCAGAGAGGATCGTGGCGCGTGGCTGAAAGCTGTTTCGCAAGCTCCGGAGGTTTGAAGCATTCCTCCACACTCGCGTACGGGGCGCATTCGCTCGGTTGCACGCAGGTATACGCGCTCGGTATGTCCTCGCTGTTGTCCGTGCATGGTGTATCCTGACTTGCCCCATTCTACTTGGTGTAATCCGTCGCGTGGACCTACGTCGCTGGATGCTATGCGATCCCGCCCGTCGCTCGCAACGCTGTGTCGTCTGCCAACCTGCTGCGTATCGTCAACAAGAACTTTTCTGACTAACTGAAAACAACGGTTTTGCGTCCCTGGACGCGTCTATGGCCGATAACGAACACGCAAATGATGGGCTCAATGAACCGCTGCTGAAGGCGGAGTACGCAGAAGGGGCAGGCACGGGCGGGGCTGGAGCAACCTCTGATGAAACGAGTGCGGAAGAGCGGGTTGAGAGTGCTGAAGAGAGGACGAAGAATGATGATGCAAGCTCGACGCATGGAGCGGCGGGTTCGGACGCAGGGAGTACCGCGAGCGGAACGCCTTCAGCGCATGGCGCTGGGACCGCGGCACGAGTCGCCTTGCAACACAAGAAGTTTAGCGCATCGAATATCAACCAGCAGTGGCGGCAGAAGGCCTCGGGGCCGTCAACAGCGACGCACAGCGCGCCTCATCCTGTTGCAGTGAAGGCGGCTGCAGGGCCAGTTGGTGCGCTGTCCGCCTGTTTTTCACTCCATTCCTCTCATCGAGAGTCCTCGTAGCGAAACCAACGCCGATCGCGCCAACGCAATCACGGCTTGTTACAGCAAAGCTCACTGCTCTACCCCCGTCCGCTTCACCAGCGGGCTGGTCACGCCCGTCGTCCGCTGCCAGTCCGGCCGCCTTTTCGCCAGCACCCGGCGCTGCTAGCGCGAATGGCAACGCGCCTGGAGCCCCCGCGCCTACGGGTGTTGGCACTCTTTCGCATCCGCACGGCGGGAAGACCACTGATCTTCAAACACGCCTTGCTCCGACGGCCGGTGGCCCTGCACCTGTTGGTGCTAACAAACCGGCTTGGCGTAATGTACAGCCTGCTCGGGATCCTACAGCCTCAGATAACGATTTCCCAACCGCTGCCGAAGTAGCCCAGGGTGAGTCATGATTATTCGGTGCTTTCCGCATATATGGCGAAGATAAGCTGAAACTGTCATTTTATCAGGGCGTGTTCTGCGCGACCAAGATCGCAAGGAGGTAGAGCAAGCTCACGCAGCGCAACAACATGTTTTGCAAGAGCAAGCTGACGCATTTCGCGGTGTCCATCTCAATCCGAACGCACACCACTGGGACGAGGTGGGTTATTGCAAGCTATATTCAAGTTTGGATCCTGACTATCGACCGGAAATACAGATGGAAGAAGACGGGGACAACTTCCTGGACGACGTCATCGACTTCGGCGACGGACGACAGTACAAGGTCGCCGAGTCTCCTGTGACAGCGGTGCAACCGGGACATTTGACTGAGAGAACCTTTCGCGACGGCGAGGGCCCGAAGCATCCAGAAGGCCCTGTCAGCAAAGAAGAGAGATTTCAAGAGGATTTCGATCGAAGCTGGCCTCGGAGTAGAGAACATGCGCGTCATCAGTTCGCCCCGAGAGATGCCCCGCCACATGCATCACTTCCTCCTGCGCAGGCGGGGTCCCGAGCTCTGTTCAACGAGCGATTGAACAAACTTGAGCCGTACGCCTCAAACCACGTACCCTCAAGGCCGGCGGCGCCCTCCGCGGGCCACCGGGACGTAGTGCCTTCTCCGACGGAATCAAGACATAGTCGCGACGAGCCACCTCATGCGCAACGGAGCGGCATGCAACTGCTGCAGAAGTCTGATCCTAACGTCCTGCTTGAACGCAGGGGCCAGCTTTCCAGCGGTCCTTCGTCCCGGGCATGGGGGCAACCACCGGACAGAGATTTGAGTCGGCGCGATGGTCTTCCTGCACTGTCCCCCACATCACCTCGACTGCCTCTGCAGAGCCCAAGAGACCAGCGTTCGCCGTTCCAGACCGCGCACTCACTCTCAGACAGCAGGTTCCTGCAGAACGGTCGCGAGTCTCGACCTCAAGCTTTAGAACCGGAGCAACATGGAGCTGGACGTCAGCTGCCTCCTCACTTGGCAATAGCTTCTGATACGGCTTCCGCCGCCCTTCAGCAACCCGAGCCCTCGATTAAGTCGCCAGCTGCATCCGAGGCTTCTGCTGCGCCAGCGCCTCCCGCACAGCTAGCACCTCCTGCACAGTCGGCACCTTCCGCGGAACCAGCACCCACTCCGGTTCCCGAGACAGCCCAGGAGGCTCCGGCCCCACAAGCCGTCACCGTGATTGACTACGAGGCCGTTAGTAAAGCTGCGATGCATACCGCGGCGGAGCGAGCAAGGCTTCGGCGACAGCAAGAGGAAGAAGAACGGGCTCGTGCGCAAGAGCGAGCACGGAAGAAGGCAGCTGAACTAGAGGAAAAGCTGAAAGCTGAACAAGCTGCTAAGCAAGCAGCCAGCCAATCGCAGCTCGCAGCCTCAGAACGAGAATCGATGGTGCGTGGGGCGGCGGCCAATTGCGTTAGTTTGGTTGTGCTGAAAATTGGTGGGATAGGATGCGACTGTTGTCAGTATCATAGAGGAGGCTGCCAAGTCCGCGCAGGTTCCGAACGAGCAGGAACCTCGAGAGCGCTCTTCCTCTTTCACCCGATCCACAGCCGCTCCGCCCACTCGCTTGACTCGCCCCCCCTCCCTACGAGGTGATCCTCGGACGGGCATGAGTCAACCTCGACCGCCAGCACGAAGGCTCCCTTCTCAGGTTTCGACTGCAAGCGAAGTATCTTCGCCTGCTATGGCGGTGGAGTCGTGGCGTTCGAACGCCCATCCACTTCCTTCCGCCCCTGCTACCAAGTTTCCCACGCGCGCAACTGCATCGGAAAGCGTACCGCTACCACCTCCACCACTGATGGATGGGCTTGACTCCCTCTCAATGAAGCCTGGAGAGGACATCGAGGAGGTCGACTTTACAGAGCTAGGCAAGTTTATGGATGCCGATCAACAGGGAGATGCCCCGCACGAACACCGAGCGCAGAGGCCCATAGCAAGTGACTTCTTCGAAGATTCGCCTACCACAGCTTCGAATGATTCCGCGACATGGAGGCGACATGCCCCTGTTAGGGAAACCAATGATCACTCTGCGATCATCCCTCCACAAGGTGCACTCCCTGCTACCATTCATGCGACGAGCCAAGCGAAAAACTTGGAAGTCAATGCGGAGGCATCTCGCAGGCCTGCTCCTCTCCTGCCATCCTCAGTTCCTGCGAAACCGCCTGCGAACGGGAACCACCTTCACGCACACTCGCATTCGCAGACTACCGTACCCGATGGCTTCTCCGTGCAGAGATCACCACGATCGGCCACTTTCCGAGATGCATCTATGACGGCGTTGGATGACGCCATGTCTCGAATCAAAGGGGCCATCGATGGCATGCACCAAGAGACAAAGCCGGGATCCGACGATACTCCAGAGCATGCATCGCTCCAGGAAGACGCCATAGGTCGTCCGCCAGTCCCTCAAAGTAGAGAGAAAACTAAATGGGTCCCCCCTGCACTCCGCTCCAACCCACCAGTCTTCAAATCCCGTCATCATTTCGAGGAACCATCCACTCCGCGAGAGGAGTTTAATGTCACCCAACTCCCACCTCCACCTTCTCCCAAGCCGGCGTGGAACACCTTCACAGTCCGTCTTGCAAAGCGCGGCGTCCTTCCTGAGCCTGTATCCAAGAAGCAGATTAACTTGACTAAGAATGCTGGTACTCAGGTTCGATGGGACATACTGTCATTTGTACCGCCTGTGGAGGGCATGACGAGACGAGATCTATCGGTCAACGACGTGCTATTCAAACCCCAGTTCTTCAAGGGCAAGATCAGCTACAAAGTCCGGTTACCGAGACCTTCCCCTCGAATTGCGAACCTTGCTAGGACTTCAGGACAGGGTGTAGGCCCTCGTGTCAATTTACCTGCAAGCAACGTTGGACTGAAGCCTGGCAGCAACGGGGCTTTCGGCAAGCCAAAATCCCCTGCCGACGGCGCGTCATGGCGAAAACCATTATCAAACACGCCAGTGGACGATTCTGGACCCTCTCAAGAGGTCCTCAACCCTGTCAGCCGCTCGCCGCCGCCAGAGCTTCAGAGGACAGGTGGTGCTACTGATTCTAGTGAACCGCCATCCGTTAGCACGGCTGAAACGTCGGGCTCGAGGCGAAACTCACAGCCGAAGATGCCGGAGGGTTCCTCAGTAGCCTTCTATCGGGACTCGCGAGTGGCGACTAAGGTGGCAAGTACTGTGAACTTCACTGTGTTGAGCGAACTGGAAGATGGTGCTGAATATCAGCAACCCGATCCCGCGCCGACCGCCACGCGTGTGGACATCGACCCGCCTGCAGCTTCTCGACTACCTTCGGCTCGGATACCCCTGGCTCCTCTTCCGTCTCGTACAGAGGGCGCCGGGAGCGCGAATACCGAGGGACCATCTGACACCGCCCCCCGGCAAATGGACCACAAAGGTCCCACCGATAATTCAGTGAGTGTTCGTACCAGATAGAAAATGCATAATCTCATGCTGCCATAGGCAGACTCGCGTGTCATAACCCCAGCTGCCCAGCCAACGTCCACTTGGACCAAATCGCCCATCGCGTTCCCTGTCAAGGAAATGCTTCCTCGCGGGGCAGAGGATGAGCGTTTAAAGGCAGTCTGGTCGCAGGCGTCAGATAAGGCGGGGTTCTCGGCTGCTAACTCTTTGGAGAAGATCGGTGATGATTTGACTGGATTACCCTTCACCTTGCACGATGTCAAGTCAGAGCAGGGCACTCCCCCGCCGACATCCGCAACCAGCGGTCCATTGCGGATGTCCCTGTCAGACGTAACCCGGGCTTTCCAGCAAGTACCACAGTCTTCGGGCAATCCGCCGGCGCAAAACAATGCAACTAGTTCCCCATCGGGTAATACGTCGAATCAGGCGCAATACCGTCCAATGACCAGCTATCCCTACGGTCCGCCAATGCCTACGGGTAACCTCCGACCGGTATACGCACCATATGGTTCACCTATGCTCAGTTCGGCGAGTCCCACCATGATGTACCCCCCTCCAGTGGCTTCTAGCCCCGCACCACGACCGATGAATGGCCAAACCCCGTATGCTCCACCGTTGTGGATGCCGGTTTCATCCGCCACTGCGGTGCCGAACGGCGTAATGAGACCTATGCCATCCCCATACGCGCAACCCGTCATGGCATATCCGGCCCCCGGATCGCCAATGTACCCCCAACCGGGAATACACCCGCCTGGTACTCCGATTCATGCACATGGAGCCACAAGCAGGGGACGTGGCATGCCGATGGGCAGCCCAGTAGTCGGGCACGCACACCCGCCTGGCAGTGTACCCATGTACGCGGGCAGCCCCGTTCTAATGCAACCGCCTATGGGCATGACCCCAAATCATTCCCAATCTTACCCCTCGCCAGTCTCGGTCGCACGGGCACCCGCTCGTCCGTATGACGCCCCTTCCGCCATTCCACAAGCTGGACATACGCCTTACGCTCCCGCCACGGCATCTTTCGCCCGACCAGGGTGGTAAAATAACCTTGTCACGACTCCGATCCATGACCAGCGTTTCGTCGTTTTTATTGGGCTCGTCCTCTATGCATTTGTCTTGTACACAGTCCCCTGCATCAGTTTGCTGTCACTCCGATATTCTAGGTATCATGCTGTCCAACCACGTAAATCCAGGATCAGCTGTCTAGAGGACCATGCGAGAAAGGTATCTATTATGCATACGACTACTGTGTTGCTAACTGGACGGCACGCTCCGCGGCATCGTCGAGGCCGTCAAAGGCGATGATCTTCAGGCCAGAGTCAGCTATCATCCTGATGAAAGTATATCATGAGCAAGGCCAACGACAGATAAAACGCGTACTCACTTCTTCGCTTCGTCTTCCTTCGTGCCCTTCAGGCGAACAACGAGAGGGATCGTGAGGCCAAGTTCCTTGGTCGCCTTGATCACACCCTCCGCGATGTAATCGCAGCGCATGATGCCACCGAAAATGTTAATGAATATGCACTTGACGTTAGGATCAGCTAGCAGGAGTTCGAACGCCTTCTTCACGGTCTCCGGTGTAGCACCTCCACCGACGTCAAGGAAGTTGGCGGGTTGACCGCCGTGGAGGGACAGGACGTCCATGGTGGCCATGGCCAGCCCAGCGCCGTTCACCAAGCACCCAACGTTACCGTCGAGCTTGATGAAGTTGAGGTTGGCCTTGGCTGCCTCAACCTCGGATGGCTCCTCCTGCGAGACATCCCGAAGCGCGAAGACGTCCTTCTGGCGGAAGTCCGCGTTGTCGTCGAAGCCGAACTTGGCATCCATGCTGCACGGATCAATCAATTTCAGGGCGACAAGGACAGCAGCAGACACGACGAACCATAGCACGGCTCCGTCAGTCGTCTCGGCCAGAGGATTAATCTCAATCTGAGTGGCATCCTTGTCCTTGAAGATTTTGTAAAGGTTGATAAAGATGTCGGCAGCCTCGTCCTTCGCGCTGCCCTGGAAGCCGAGCTTCTCGGCGACGCTGAGCGCTGTGGCCTTGTCCAAACCCTGCAAGGGGATCGAAGTAGTGATTATGGCCTCAGGGTCCTTGGCGGCAACCTCCTCGATATTCATGCCACCCTGGGCAGACGCCACGAGAACAGGGCCGTTCGAGGCACGGTCGTTGAGGACGGCAACGTAGTACTCGTGCTTCGGTTGACGCCGCTCGGCGAGCATGACCTGCACAAGGGTCAGCAACGAGTATTCCTCAAGTGCACTTCGTACGCACCGCGTTACAGATGCGTCCGGCAGCGCCTGTTTGCTTGGTGATGAGCTTTGCACCAATCATCTTGCTAGCATAGTCTTTGGCTTGCTCAGGGCTATCACACTTTCAATCTTGAGACTGCTGCGCCCAGAGTTGATCAACTTACGATGAAACCATGTGTACACCTCCCTGGAGCCCATTATCAAACTTGCCCTTGCCGCGACCGCCCGCCAGAACCTGAGCTTTGATAACAAGCTGGTCGGTACCTGCGTGCAAAGCGTAAGGTGACGAGTCTAATGCCAGCAATTTCAGTGAAGTATAACCGAAGTTTTTGGCAACGTCATAGGCCTCTTCCGGAGATTTCGCGGGCACGCTCTTGGGAGTAGGAATGTGGTACTGATATCGTGTAAACTGTGTGCACGCGTGCATGACATGGGAAAGGCGAGCCCACCGAGTTCAAGAGGCCCATCGACTGGTATTCATGAATGGACAGGAACCGCTTCTGGCCTGCAGAGGCATTCTGGATCACCAGCGAACGGTCATATCAGGAGGGTTCGCATTGCAACGCGACATGTATACTGACACGAGCCAAAGAACCCGCTTTCCTTAGAGTGGCAAGCATGGCGAGAGTATTCCGGTATACGTGCAACTGACCGCGGCGGTTATAACCTGAAAGACAGCAGGAGAACGCGGAGGACGGAGGACCGCGGCGAGGACCGGTCGGAAGTAGAGTGGCTATGGTGTCCCGGTGCCGCGCCGTCGAAAAACACTTGGACCAGAACGCCGACGACGGCTCATCTGGTTTGCTGCTCTTTGCCTGTCTCGACACCCCGTCGTCTCATTACGAGATGATGGCGGTTATGTTCTGGAAAACTAAATTCGTCTCTCCTTGAGTTCGGACTGCTTATTTTTGCTTGGGCTGTCCGAAATTTGGCTGAGGTACAATGCTCGCGGTGATGCACGTGTATATACCGCTCCTGTATTTATCTCATCGTTCCCTCTGCAACCTCGATGTTGCCGCGTTGCGTCCTGGCAGAGAATATCAGAGCGACCGAGCATGTCCGAAGCCTGACACCTGCGTTCGTCCTTGCTCCACACTGAGCTGGGCATATCCCTCGCCGCATTCACGCTTCGATTCTTCGTCTCACACGATGACGGCGCTGGAGGAAACGGCTCAACAGGACGAATCCGCGAAGCTTCAAGAGCTCCTGCTCGTATCCATCACAGTGCTCGAACAGGGCGTGGACCTCGTGGAGAACGTTCTTAAGCAGGATGAGCACTTGACAACTCACTCTCAATACTTACCCGGATCGACGATAGGTGAGTATTGCGCTAAGTCAGCCCCTAGGAGAGAACCTGAATCGTGATAGGAAAACATTTGCGGCATGCATCCGATCATTTCAATTCTCTGACGGACAGTTGGGCCCAAGAACCCCCTCGCATCATGTCCTATGACACTCGAAAACGAGGCACAGCGATGGAGTCGAACTTGCTGGCAGCGAGCGAAGCTCTGAAGCAGTGCATATCCCAACTGGAGGATGTCGTTCCAAAAGCCGCGATGGACGCGCCCATTACGCTGCAAGCCATCACTCCCTACCCCCAAACAGTACAGACTAGCTTCGGCCGCGAGGTGAGTGACGCGACCATACTATGTTACGTTCTCCAAACCAATTGGTATCTAGCTATGGTTTTGCGCGTTGCATGCTGTGCATCATTGGGGAATGGTACGTGACATCGGGCGTTACGAATATCGCATGACAGCTGAATCTGACTTGTTACCAGGTCCGAGTGATAGCGGGGGAGCTTGTGCGTTGCATCATTTGAACAAGCCAAAGCCAGTATTACTCACGAAACTTGTAGGGTTTCAAACTCGAAGAATCCTTTGGCTTCGCCCCTTCGACCCTAGTTCATCAAGGAGCTACGGATGCACCTTTAGGGCGCAAAGCCAAGATATGAGAATTACCCGTTGTTGTCCTGTTAATGATACTGTAACGCTTAATTCGATATCTCTGTTTCTTGGGTATCGTCCCTCTGGACGCATTTTCCTGTCGTTTCGACAGAGTTCCAAGCTGACGTGAGACTACGGGAAAGCAACAAGAACTTGGATATGCACAATGTAAGTATGAGACGCGAGGTCCGCGCACGTGAACGAACACCCGCGCTCTTGAGATTCGTAGTTGCTCAGGTTGACTCCCAACGCTTTCTGTCCTCCGTTACCATGACGGAATCTGCACCAGCCCCCGCGTCCGAAAAATGGCTTTCCGTCGATAACGAGAAGAAGCGGGTGGTAGGTATTCTAGTTTTTTCTTGGTCCATGCACATTTCATGATATCATGCTGACCCGGCGCTTGCTGCCCAGTGTTATTTCTTCGATTCTGATATTGGGGGCTTTCATTATGGCCCTGGACACCCGTAAGGGCTGCCTTTATGCCGATTGACATATATTCAATTAACATGGACAATAGGATGAAACCAACTCGAATACGCATGTGCCACTCACTGGTCATGAACTACGGCCTGTACAAGAAAATGGAGATCTTTGTACGTCTCCGGTTTTCTGTGAACATTGAAAGATCTCCGAATGTACTCTCTGCAGCGCGCCAAGCCAGCAACCAAGCGTGAAATGACCCAGTTTCACACTGACGAGTACATCGACTTCTTGGGCCGGATAACTCCTAGTAATATGAACGCATATATCAAGGAGCAGCATAAATGTAGGTACTCCGAGCGACATATTCTTTGAATCTGACGAAGATGATGTTTAGACAATGTGGGCGACGACTGTCCCGTCTTCGACGGGATGTTCGACTACTGTTCGATATCTGCTGGTGGTTCAATGGGTTAGCATCCGATTCAAAACATAATCGTATCGATCCTTACGATAAATGTGAAAGAGGGAGCAGCGCGACTGAGCCGCGATAAATGTGACATTGCTGTCAATTGGGCAGGCGGCCTCCATCACGCGAAGAAAAGCGAAGCTAGCGGTTTTTGCTACGTCAACGGTTGGTACTAACCTACGTGGCGCATCCTATAGACTCATTCTCTCCACCAGATATTGTGCTTGGCATCTTGGAACTACTCAGGTATCGTCGATATTTTCTAGCATAGTACAGGGTGAACAGGAGCTGATGCATCCGCAGGTATCACAGCAGGGTACTTTACATTGACATCGATGTTCATCATGGCGACGGAGTGGAAGAAGCATTCTATACCACTGACCGTGTGATGACCTGCTCATTCCACAAGTATGGGGAATTCTTCCCCGGAACCGGTGACATACGGGTGAATCCACTCCTGCATGACACCGTCGCCTCGTCCGCTATTCTGACCGCGTTTGTGTCAGGATATAGGAATCGGCAAGGGAAAACATTATGCGCTGAACTTCCCGTTGCGAGATGGTATCACTGATGAAAGTTACAAGAGCGTATTCGAACCGGTGAATATGCCGGTCTGTGGGCCGTCGCGCTCTGCATTTACGCTACAAATACAGGTCATTCGACAGGTAATGGAGTCTTACGATCCTGCCGCGATCGTGTTGCAATGCGGTACGGATTCACTCTCAGGAGACAAACTCGGTTGCTTCAACCTCTCGATGAGAGGTGTGGACTCTCGTACTCGATGACGATGCTAATGTCTGACCACTTCTTCAGGGCACGCCAACTGCGTGAAATTTGTCAAGTCATTCAACAAACCACTGCTGCTTCTCGGCGGTGGCGGCTACACCATGCGCAACGTAAGCCGAGCATGGGCGTTCGAAACAGGGCTGGCAGCAGGCGTAGAGCTCGGCCCTAGTAAGAAGGATTCGCACAGATATTCGAATCAGCACTCATCATACCCGCAGATATACCGGTCAACGAGTACTACGACTACTTCGGACCTACCTATGAACTTGACGTGAAACCCTCTAATATGGAAGACCTGAATACGCGAAGGTATCTTGACCGTGTGAAGGGCATGGTTTTCGAGAACTTGCGCGCAATCGGTGGTCCACCGAGCGTCCAAATGCAAGGTAAGTGTGCATCTCCACATGATGGTACCTCTGCGCTCGACTAAAGGCATTTCGAGTATAGACATACCGAGAGTCCCTATAGACGACCACATGGACGATATACGGGCTGATGACGACTTGATTTCACCGGACGAGCGCCGGCCGCAGAGATTACTCGATTACCGACGACAACCTGAAGGGGAACTTTCGGACTCAGATGACGAAGGAGAAGGAGGTAGAAGGGACCGTACTTCTCATCGCGAAGGCAATGGAGAAGTCCACGCCCAGCCTGCAGGGCGTCCACCTACTGGGATCATGAGGACTGGATCTACTGGCGGCGCCGGTCCGAGCGCTCATGGTCAGGGCGTCGTCCTGACGACGTTACCAGCCACGTCAGAAGAGGTTGAGGAGACTAAACCTGAACCTATGGAGGTCGATGTGGAAGCTGCGATCGCCCCCGCGACGTGAACTCGCTGCGCGATAGCCACGAACCATTTGATTGAGGGTTGATAGAGCCCGGTCGTGTCGAATCATATCGGTCGCTTGTATGTACCACTCAAATGCTGATATCCAAAATCTACAAAGATTTAGTCGAATTCACCGTCAGCGACTCGTGCAAGTTTGCAACCATGGAACCTACCTACTTAAGTACCTACCGTCGGCGAGATCACGTGTACGCGACTCATATCCAGAACGCGTACCTGTCGATTACTTCAGCTCTCCGCACTTGCTCGCACTTCGCCATGACGGATATCGCGAGACCTGCAACTCCGCGGTCACAAGCGCATTCAAGATTAGACCTCACGCCAGAGCAGGTTAAACAGATTGAGTTGAACCGTTTACGAGGTCCGTCTTACAACCTGCACCCCTGAATGACCTCCTACTCATGCATAGCAATAACCAATACAGCGAAAGCTAAGCAAAGACAGAGAGAACAGGAAGAGTCGTCTTCTTCGTCTACTCGGACAAATCTAAACCACAAGCGACCATTAGATGTCGTCCCAGCCAACTCAACATCACCGACTGCCCCCGGTGCATCAAAATCTAGACCGTTGAAGCGGGATTCGCGTTTGGGAAAGTACTTCGATTATGATCTGTCAAAGATGGCGAACTCGAAGGCAAGTCACCCAGTTTCACCTTCATGACCCTGAGGCACTGCGCTGACAGCACACAGGGCGGGTTCTTAATAGAGGATGATAAAGAAGTGGACGAAGATATGCGGGCGAAGGAGAAACAACGAGAGCGGGAACGGGCCATGCAGAATCTAGACCCTCGTAAGCGCTTTACGGATATGTAGGGTATCTCGCCCAACTTACAGTGCGACGATAGCCATTTTCCTTGAGCGTTCCAAGAATCCGGCGTGTCAGGAATGCGGATCCATAGACATTGACCAGACGTACCGCAAAGTCCTTCGATGTCTTGTGTGCAACAAATGCAAGAACGATAAACCCGAAAAGTATAGCTTACTTACCAAGACCGAATGCAAAGAGGATTACCTTCTGACGGATGGTAAGTGCTTCTTCTCGATGCTCAGCCCGGCGATTGCTCATGCCGGGTCCTTTAGCGGAACTTCGTGATGAAGATGTGATGCCTCACATCTTGAAAGCAAATCCTCATAAATCGACTTATGCGAATATGATGCTCTTCCTAAGATGTCAAGTCGAGGACTTCGCTTGGAAGAAGTGGGGATCCCCAGAAGCCCTCGACGCAGAGTGGGAGCGGCGTACAGCAGAGAAAAAGAAAAAGAAGAACAAGAAGTTCGAGGAAAGTCTGAAGGATCTGCGACGGAGGACGCGTGAAGGCGTATGGCAGAAGAGACGAGATGAAGAGCATAAGCATGTGTTCAGCGGGGTGGAAAGGAGGGAAGCCGGGCGAAGCGTGCAGGTTTGCCATGAGTGCGGGTTCACGATTGATGTGGAAGAACTCTAGTTTTTGGTTACCGACCATGCTCACCATCTACTTGCGTGTACGTCGTAAATGAAACGGAAACTGTGGATCGTCAGTGGAATGACGATATCACGCGCTACATTCCTTGGTTGTTCCCGGAGCGCCGGTATTGCCGGCTTGCAACTACGAACGGTTTCGGAGAACCCTATAATTGCTTATAGGCACTGAGGTGGTTCACCTGCTTGGTATATAAAGGATCTACGCGTGCCGGATAGCTCTTGGCTAGCGAGACACTCCATCCAGGAATCCAGATGGCTGAGCCGCATAATCTATCGGACCAGCGCGACATCGCTAGCTCTCTCCACGTCGAACAACTGGACACCAGCCTGTTCCGCTCGACGTCGTTATGGACTCCTTACCGTGCAAGAGGAGTCTTCGGCGGCCAAGTCATATCGCAAGCGACGGTAGCTGCAACCCAATGCGTGTCTGCCGAATACGCGCTACATGTGAGCTCTCTGTCAAAATGTTATGCAGTGATGAGTTGACACTTTCGTACGGTATCGACAGTCTCTTCATGTAGGCTCGAGTCGACACAAGTCCTCCTTGAACTAATTCCGAATCTTTCAAGTGTTACTTTCTACTGAGTGCCTCCACGACTGTTCCCATTCTCTACTACGTTGAGCGCCTGCGGGAAGGCAGGTCCTACGTTACTCGCTCTGTCAAGGCAGTCCAAAATGGCAAGGTCATCTTCATGCTGCTCTGCTCCTTCCAACGCCCGGAACCCTGGCAGCCTTCTCATCAGTGGCCCATGCCGCCTAATGTCCCGTCGCCCGTCGCATGCGAGCTGGAGGAAGACAGGATGTGGAGGTTAGCCAAAGACCCCGCCACGTCCAAAGCACATCAACAAGTTTGGGCTGACTATGCAGCGGTGGGATCTTCATCGTTTTTGGAGGATGTACGTGCTTCCTGACCAGCAAGGTGACACAGGAACGAGAACGAAGCCCAGTGGCGATTAAGCTCGCGGACGTGCGCACTCAGGGCGATGGGACGAAGATCTACATGTACTGGATGCGTGCCAAGAACATCCCAACGCATGAAGCACCGTTTCAAAAGGTATTGGACGCTCGTCTGGCCTTCTCCGACCGTTGACCATTGCCATTGGACAGTGCATCCTTGGCTATATATCTGACTTCCATTTGTGAGTGACCATTTCCCGAACGAGATCGCGGCCCTGTCACTCAATTTGGCACTATACCAGCATCGGCGTGGCCTCGAGTACGCTAGGACTCAAGAGATTCAGCAAAGGCCCGGATGCCGTTAGCATGATGGTCCGTATTACTCTGCGCCGAAGTCGCATGTTCACATCTCTTACGCGTACCACCTCTCCAGTCCAGCCTAGACCACTCTATATTCTTCTACGAGTAAGTGCATGCATGGCCGGACCGGTTGTGCCGTATTGACACTTTTGCAGCGATCACTTCGACTGCGGCGAATGGCTACTCTATGTGATTGCATCTCCGCGGACTGGCTCTGGGCGGGGAGTTTCCTTCGGTCGGGTGCGTCCGTCAAGTCAAAGGTCATGAGGTACACGCTGATAGTCTCCCACAGATGTATACGCAAGGCGGGAAGCTGATTGCCGTCATGTCTCAAGAGGGCGTCGTAAGAGCAGATGTCAGGAAGCCAGATGGCAAGGATAGTGCGTTGGCCAAGCTCTAGGCTGACGTACTACTATCCAGGAACTTTCGGACACTGACCTTAATACTATACCCGTACACCATGCTCAGCGTAGCAGACAATAGTTAGAGAGAGCGACTTATGCATATGGATTCGGATGCATGGTTACATGACATGGGCACAGTTCACGCTTGTGGCGATGGAAAGTCTAACTACCACATATCCACCCACGGCTGGAGAGATAATGATAGATTGACGAATGTGCTACAACCAGGACAGTGCGGTGCTGACAGCGATGGAAATGAAGATACACAGCAAGGGAAAGGCAGTTTACGACTTTCGGCGGAAGCTGCAGCCTGCATACAATAGGTCAGTGCCGATCCCGCGAACGTGATGCAGGAGGATTACGCACCCTCGGTCAATCTTGCCTTACCGCCTGTGGGTTGGCAAAGCACGCTGGCGCACGAGCCGCAGATGACGACGGTCTGGGCGTGCGAGAAGACGGTGGTGATGGCAAAGCAGCCTAAAAAGAGTGATAATGTGCACATTAATTCCCCGATGGTACTGACTCGCAGCGGCGTGCGCTTTTTCGAACGGGGGTCGACATACCAGGGCACTTGACGTCCATAAAGTACGAGTTGGGCGACTGCACAAGACGCTTGAGCTTGTGCTTCCTCTTCTCGGCCTCGATGGAAGGATTCAAAAGGTCGACGGCGAGAGTCTGTGTGTTCCCCCCACGATCAGTTTTCTATCGGATGCGCGCAACACGCCCGAGCATATTCTCACCATGGTGATTTGCGGTGAGCGCGACTAACTTGCAAGGTTGACGAAGATGGGCGCTGGGGCCGCTTTTTGAGAGGGAGGAGGGTGAGGGTGAACCGGTGATGACTGAAAATAAGGTTCAGCCATATTGGGGGGTGCCACGCGGACCGTGTGAACTATACTCTGACTCTTGCGATACCATTTGCGATAAATCTGTAGTGATTTTTCCTCGCCTTTACCTGACGATGCTTGGTGACATACAACCCTGGGACGGTCGTACTCGTCTGCAACGTCTTGACGGACCTCCTGTGCCAGCATATTTCATGGATAGAACAAGGCTTTTGTCCGAGCAAGACAGTCAATTGTGCAATACTTCCCAGTCACACGATCATGAATGACATCTTGAGCAACATCGATCCCAGCTTGGCTTGCATCATTATACTCGTACTACTGGGATCGTATGTCTTAGCGGAAGCGTTTCACTGTGTCTCAAGTTCTCGTCAGGATGAGACTTGCTCTCATCTCCTCGAGGTGCTTCGAACGATATCGATTGACGACGATGGATGATCACGCGCCGAGGGCGCGGATGTTCGCAATCTGGGTCGCCTCTCAGCAGCTACCAGGAAGCGGTCCCGGTTTGCCCGGTTTGCTGTGCTAGAATGAGCGATGCAGGTTCCGGAGTCTTCGCCTGACTCCTCCAAGCCCCTATTGCTGGGAAATATGATGGTCCTGCTATAGGGCTGCCTGCGCCGACTGCTATTCCGCGGAGAGGCGGTTCAAGGTACCTTCGAGCGACGGCTCAGGACGTTCAGACGCTGTGTTCGCCTTGACCGCGCTGTGCATGTTACTGTACTGTGGCCGCAGCCAAGGGCATCCGTCGCCGAATGTCGGTCGTCAGCCTGAGAACAGTGTGGATACTCTGGCCAGCGATATCGCAGGTGTCGATGGACGCGCACAAGCAAGCATGTACGGGCTTGTACAATTATATACGTTCGTCGGCTACCAGGGTTTACTTCCGTACCTGATCCTGAAGGACGCCCCTCTCGGCCTCGTCGAAGCTGTGGCTGAGGGAGGGCCAGAGCGGACACTTGGCGACCACGTCCTTGTTGTTTGTGGACGCGAAGGGGACCAATTCGGTGTTTCACCGCAGATCCGGTACCACGTACGCTGATGTCGCCAGAGCCCTCAATATTGCAGGATAGACCTGGGAAGGTGGCTATTGTGTTGTGGGCTGCAGCATCAGAACGACCTTGTCCGAGTAGAGTTGTATTATTTGCAATTGACGGGTTCGAATGTCGTAGGCCGGGCTTCGTGGGCGGGGTTGGAGGCCGAATCGAGAACAACAATATGAAGAGTATTGTGTTTACGAGGGAACCGGCCGTTGCCGCTTCCGGTTTTGGACGGGGTCTCTTTGTGTTCGAGCCAGCCGGCGTCGCTTCGTCTGTCTTGCTTTTGTTGTCCTGTTGCGTGGCCTATACGCCGGGCGCGGGTGCATTGTCTCGGCCATCGGCCGCTTCCCTCCCACAGATGTATAAGAACTAGGTCGTCGGTGACTATGGATCCCTCACCCCAGGATTCATTTCCTCCGCTGCCGTTCTAATACATTTATCTATCCCCCATTAATCTTGCTAGGTGAGGATCACTGCCCAGTCTGCCGATCCTGACTCCTCGATCTGACTGCTGTTGACTCCTGTCCTTCCGCCTATTCTTTGATCCGTCCTTGTCCCGCCCCGCGCAGCTCGTTAGGTAAGACTGCTCTCAGCCTCACCGGCCGGCACTACATAAACCGCAGAGCTGACAAGCAAACTTTTCTGCTAGACCTTCGTTATCCTCGAGGAGTCCCTCCCTTTGCTACGCACCCAACGCACACGAGTCCAGCGTTCCCGACGATTGCCCATACGCACCGCCCATAATCTTTCCGCGAGCAAGTTAATCCCGCACCAGCCCATCGCAGGTCGATCCCACTATCAGCCAGTTCCATAACTTTTCCTTCTGCATTCGACCAACCGAATCACTCTCATTCTCGACTCCCTGATCATCGCAATGGCCTCGCCCTCTACTTCGCTCTCCGTCACCGTCGCGCACGCGATCTCTTACCTCACCCGCGGTCTGGCCGCAAGCTACTCCCAGGCTTCCATCGCCCGCCTGCAGCTCGTCCTCGAGGCCAATCTGATGGCGCATTACGCACCTTCCTGGGTCCCCACCGAACCGCTCCGGGGATCGGGCCGTCGCTGCTTCACCCTCTCCCCGAACGCACTGCCTCCACGCCCCATCCACAACGCCTGCATGTCCGCGAACGTCAAGTGGTCGGACTGGATCGCCGCCCTCGGCGGCGTCGAGTTCGATCTCTTCGTGGACCCCGGCTGCGTCTCAGTTCGTTTCGCGGGTGCCCAGGGTGCCGCCACCAAGTTCTTCACCGTGTGGTCGGAGGAGGTCGATGCCGAGCAGAAGCTGCAGGCGCAGAAAGCCGCCGCTGAGGCCAGACTCCGTGCCAACCTCGACGCCCACGCTGCGCTCCGCTCTAGGACATTCGCCCAGCAGCTGCTCCAGCACGATGAGGACGAGGAGAACGAGCTTTTCGCCCGCATCGCTCAGGAGGTCCATGAGCCGACGTTCAAGACCCCCACCGTCGACCGCTTCCCTCCCACCCTGAGCCTCAACGTCCACGTCCCTGCCCGCCGCAACGCCGTCTCACCCGCGATCTCCACCGTGTCCACCCACTCGCGCTCCAGTTCGTCCTCCTCGATGTCGAGCTCCGGCTTCTCCTTCATGTCGACCGATTCGTACGACTCGGACACCACCGTTTCGTCCGCTTCCTCGTCCTCGACCGCCGGCTCCAAGCAAAGCCGTCGCGAGCGCGCTCGCCAGCAGCGCGTCTTCATCGACTCGACCAGGAAGGAGGTCACCCCTTACGACGGCGGCAAGACCACGGTTCTCACGGGTGGCGTCATGCTCGGCGCGAAGCCCGCCGCTTCGTCGCACCGCAAGACCGGCTCCAGCGCTTCGGCCAGCTGGCGCGCCATCCGCGCATGAAGCGCTACAACGACCGCGATCCATCGCAACGATCTCCCACATTCGTTACCCTAGTGCCGTATAATCCTGATCCGCGACGTCCGACCTTACAGGATCCTCAACTAAACCCCTCGACGTCCTTCACGAAAACCCCACAACGCATATACGGCACCGTACCTCATTTAATACCGGGTTTCCTCCACCCGATCTGCATTGCATGCATCATTCTGTTTCCACTACGCAATTCCCTTCGTCGGCATTTCCTTCAACGCATTCTTCACTGGCTGTTTCGCAATTCCAATCCAATCCAACGCATCGAATGTGTAGCAATCTCACGAACTCGACTCCTGATTCCTGGGCTTTAGTGTACATGGTCTGTTGTTGTTAATCCTAACCCCTTTTTGCTGAAGTAACCCCCGGCTCTTCGTGTTGTCTCCGTACTACTTGCTTCATTGTCTACATACTGTACACGCATAACGCAATCGACTTGCCGAGAATGGCATCCTTATATATCGTCATGTGCCTTCTATCTGAGCTTGAGCAGCCCGCTGCATGATGACACTGACAGGCGGGCTGTGCTATCAGGACAACGACTCGTTTCCAACTCCTTTCGTGAATAACAAACTGCAACCAACCGCCCAAGATGCGCTTATATCTGCAGCTGGTATATATCTGCGTCTGCTGTGCATCGACATGGTCGCGCCGACAATCTCCGACGACTTCTCGCGCTCGCTCACAGCCTCATTGCCCAGGACAACGTTCGAGTCTCGTAAATCGCCCGGAAGCCTCTTATCACTTGCATTGTCGTTCAGTCCGTGTCTGCACGACCGGTCAATGAGTACCTGGCGTCCGCAGGGCCCTACGCGTCACCCCGCATTCGAATGTGCGCACACCATATGTCATTACCCTAAGCCTGTTAGTGTGTACACTCTTCTTCATATATCTCAGATTCAATACTAACACCTCCGAAAAAGCAACCGCGACGTCATAGAGAAGCGCGGACTGGGTGACATGGACGCAAACGTCTCCGCCGCTCACAGCCTCGCAGAGGGAAATGCAACCCTAGAAACCCGGACTGCGTGGTCGGAGTCTGTGATTGGATGCATGTGTCTACTGTGATGCGGGATGGTGGCTCTTACACTCCCACCGCACTCCGTTATCCTGCGCTTGGATTGGTTGCCGGTGACGCCAGCGTCAGTCAGTCACGAGGAGAAGACGCCCTTCCTCTTGGAATTGCGAACGTTGCTTCTACGGGGTCATCTGTGGACGACTCTCGGGCTTCTCAACTATCCCCCTCCGCGCGAAGACGGGGTGACCGCTCTCTGACGGATCCGAGCCAAGGCTAAGAACCTCTCTGATAGAACCCGAATGCGAATGGCGATGTCTCAAATCGGATATTTTCTTCGCATGAATATCACCGGCATGGCATGGTCCGAAAGCCTGTTGGAGACTATCAGGCTAACCCTCGTCTGTAGCGGATGCAGAGAAACATCCCCGCGACCGAATGTATCAGCATCATTGCGGGAACTCCACAGCTGTACACCGGAAACTTAGCGTGTGTAATTCATATGCACTGTAACTTTCCGGAGCCATTTGAGAAGATAGTGACGACAGTCGCGATTTGGAGCTGAAGACGAAGGGTAACTCCAAAACGATGAGATAAGTAGTCAGTTATCAATGCACTCTATTGTTACATGTTGCGATAGTTCCAGGTTAGTATATGCTACAGGGTCAATCTGCAAGGCGCGGTGTCGTGGTTCGCGTGATAAGTCATGGCGGCCATCGCATATAGCGCGTAGCGTTGTCCCGAAAGAATCCTATTTCCTGAGTCACAGACGCACCGTCGTCAATGATTCTCCAAGCAGGCGATTGCAGAACTTACGATGCGGAGCCAATATCCTTTAGTTCATTCGGATTGTGAGGGCTTCACTCGCCATTTCACCGTCTTCGCGAGCGACCGTAATCTACTGCCTGTACTCCTTTCCGGCAGTCAGCAAGTGATCAAAATGAGCCGATGAACACGTCGCACTGACCGTCGCGACCATTGGGAGACTTAATCTGTTCTTCAGGTACGGATGCGCTCGGCGGGCGTCCTTGCTCGGCGGACCTGCGCGCCATGTCGTACTGCTTCATGGTATATTCCGCAAGCTCGTGGGCGTAACGTTGCTTTTGGATGTTGACGGATTGAGCAACCATCGCGGTCAGCGGCGACGAGAAGGCAGTGGTTTTGTGGGGAGGAGGCGGAGGGCTGAGAGATATTCTTGATGACCACCTCGTAACGCACTAGAAGGGTCTTTATAGGCTGGTTTGGGGGCTGTAACATTTATGCCGCATTACTGACAGCCATTCAGTTCGCTCCCCGCTGACGTCACGACTTTCTTTCGAGGGAGCGCAATGCGTGCGAACGCCCGCATGTTATCGTGCGAAACCTCCAATACTACTTCCTCTTCCGGAAGCGATCGCCGCCCCTTCAAGGTTTAACGTGAACCATCCGCATGCGTGTCCTGCCGGTCCTGTCCGACGTTTCGATACTGAGTCGCTGTTGCTCGATCCAACAAGTCTAATGGGCATCATAATGCTCACACAAAGCTGATCTCTGAACTAAGTCGGCTATGCGTCGTCGTCGGGGCGCTACGTCACTCCAACACAGGAAGCTCCGTGATTTGACTTCCAGCTCCTCCTGCCCGTTCATTGATACCATTCGTGTGCGGCAGTAGCCATGAGGCATGCCGAGTCCAGGGCATCACGCCTGGACATTCTATGGCGCGCTACAATAGTGTGCCGGCGTCCATGGCAAGAAGGCCCGCCCCGCGAATCACGCGGGCTGCGGCGTGAAGCCACAAGATGCGAATATGGACCACGTTCCTTTCCTCTCCGCAAGGACACTTACTTACCGCGGCTGCTAACAGTCTAGACTCAAGGTCAGCCCGACAACTTCGTTATCAGCTTAGAAGGAAGTGAGGTTCAGCTGCAGGCTTCGAGATTACTGATGGCGCTGGTGGAGCAGTGTTTCGGTGGAACGGGAGTGTGTTGTGTCATCGCTCCCACTGCATCTTTGGCTTGCAACCTGTTTATTTGGGAAATTGCTCAGCCCGGTTACACTTTGTTCACGCCGCATATATAAATCAGTAAATTCCGATGGCTACTTTGGCTCCGCTATCTCAAGAACGAGGTACAGTCTCTACTTGGGTGCCGTTTGCTCCTCTGTTTCATCGCTTCGATTGAAAATGGATCATTGGAACGTGTATGCGCGATGGTTTCAACTACTTTTAGGCAAGAGCACTCCCCTTGAAGTTCGGCTAGCCCGTCGGCCGGTCTTGCCGGACACGGGCAGCCGGAAGTTCATTACTATGATCTGACCTGTAGAGTCCGCCTTATCTAATCGTTAGTTATGAGAGAGTGAGTGATGAAGAGCAAATGCTGTCATGCTTCGTGGTTGCGTATGCTCCACTATGCCTAGGTTCATTCGAGCGTGTGCACCAATCCATCAGTCTTAAGGCTAGATCTATTCACATTGCTATGCCTTATCTGCTTTAGAAAGGCGAAGGATACAATGCAACCAAGAAAACATCAGGGAAAAACGCAATTATCACGAGACTATAGGAGTTATCAATGACAAAGTAGTGGAGCAGGAAGTGTATCCCCAAGACTTTAGACGTAAGGAAGCCATCCTAGCTTTTGCTCATGTTCGTGCTAGCGATCAGGTGAAGAACCTAGCGTATGCCGATGGCGGGAGAGCACAAGGCCAGGCGCCCGATGAGACGGAAGTCTCCCAGACTGTCTGCGAGGAACGAAATAGATCGAGCGCTGCTCGCGCTTGCTCCAGCTGGGAGAAGCGCATTATGACGCAAGGTCTGAGACTGCATATCGGGGCGACTTACTGGGTGCTCGTACTCTTGGGGTAGCCTGGACATCTCACGCCGCATCAGACCATGCATCAGCGTCGGGAGGCTGACCAGGCTGTGGCGCTGTAGCGTTCTCCGGAAAGGAAGGAAAAGCGCAACATCGCGAGTGTTGATGGCCGGGTGAGGGAGCTCCAGTACCGACAGAAAGTTCCAAAGGCTGTGTCCAATGATGATTTTGCCCGCGATCCTCTGAGCCACCAAGGCTTTCACCTGGTTCAAAGGAAGGGCGTGCGGACCATAGAGGTGCTCCGCCTGTAAGCCGGTCTGGGCCGTGCGATAGTCCGTAATGTGTTGACTATGTAAGATACGATCAGCACGTAGTTCAAAAGCTGCATTTGCATGACTCACGTGGGCTGCACAAAGCAATCGAGTAATGCTTCTCCTCGATAGTTGGTGATTGATACACGACTATTAGGAACCCAGTTCAGATATGGCGACGAGGCACTAAGTACCGAACAAAGGCGTACGCGACGATGCACTGAGTACCGGCCCTGAATGAACGAAACGTCAGTCATGAATGCGGAAAGAAAGCTGAACCAAGTTTACGCACAATACCACCTGAGCTGCGACGGCTAAGTATCTACTTGAGCGGTCAGCAAAGATGCCCCGATACGAAGGACAATACCTCACTTATCATTCGAGTGAGAGCCGCCGGACCCACTCGATGCGACGGACGACGGCGAGTATGAAGTAGGATAAGAGGTCATGACTGCGAGTATAATTTTCGACTCAATGCGACCAAGTACGAGGATCGAAATGGCCTGGGGTTCGTTGGGAGGCGTGTCTCTGGGGATGCGCTCGGCGCCTGGACCTCCTCCATTGCAATGCATGGGTATTTAAAAGCATAACCAGAGTTCATTGAAAACAAGCAGGTTACTGACGGCGCGGGCGGCCACGGTCGATTGGGGGCATACTCTCATAGATCAGATCGAAGCCCGAGCTCCGAGGTCTCATAACGCGTAGGGCACCTGTCGTCGACGAAATGAGTAGTGCGACGACTTAACTCACGATCTCTCAGCTGCGGGGCGTGCATCGCCAGTCCGGGACCGACCCGCCACGCAGAGTTGAGGCAGGGGTTGGTTACCGGTGAATCTGTCGTTGAACTGAGGACTTCGATTGATGCTCCATACGCGGATCCGCAAGGTCGGGGCCTGAAGTAGACTTATCGCCCAAGCGAGGACGCCGCCGCACATGTAAAGTTCAAGCCCTCGCCGACGCGAAACGGTCAAGTCCATAAGGCAACGCGACCGTCGGCGCCCGCTTGCTCCGAGATGAGCGCGGACGGGGAGCTTCAACGAGCATGCAGTGAAATGGCGGGGGAGAGCTCTGCATTGGGACTCGGATCGCCCTGTTGTAGTCATATCATGGACGATACAGGCAATACGCGCCCCAAGACGCGGTTGGGCGGGAGCGACGTGGTAATTGAAGGAGGCGCAGCGGATCGCGGCTCGGCTACCGACGTCTTCAGCCACACCTTCCGCATTCGGCCCGGCAAGCACACGGTGATCAAATACGGCCCTTTTTATAAAGCTACATCTTATCTAGCAACTAATGGTAATCTGTTAACGACAGGCTGGCCGGTATATATCACAGAGCCTTCTGATAGCGTACGCTTGTCTAATGTCAGTGGCGTCCCGCAGCTCGCACAAAGCACCGAAGGCACAGCTCTAACGAGCCTCCTCCGTCGTTGGTCTCGTATCATGCGGTATCTCTCGCGTTTCTTTCATGGAGACCCTCTTCGATGTGAAACTGCGCATTCCTTCCAGACCCCAACGCGCCATCATCGCTTTATCCTGGATTCGCACCCTCAACGTTCGCGCCAAGAGCTCACATCGGAGATCCGAGACGTACCTCATCCCATGGAGAGCACGGGGTTGTGAGCATTTGTTCACCAGTAAAGACGGCGTTGGCCCCAGCCATGAAGCACATGGCTTGTTCGTTCTCTGAGAGCGTCTGCCGGCCTGCAGCTAAGCGAATGATAGTCGTCGGGAGCACTATGCGGGCGGTCGCGATTGTACGCAGCAAGGTTTGATATGCCACCGGCTAAAGCACGCATATGGTAGGTGAGTCCCAAATCCCAGAGACGGTTCGTTCACGTATTGCGCACCTCGTTATTCTCCAAGGGTGTACCCTTGATTGGAACAAGCGCCTATACGAAGACAAAAAATAACGCCTCCCGTACGGCGCGGGATGGATGGCTGTGACTCACATTGACAGGGAACGATTCGGGGTGCTCGGGCATGCTACCCGAGGGTGGTCAGCTACGGAGATGAACGAGAATGACAAATTCGACACACTTGGACACTTCCCAGATGAGGCCCACTCGATCTTCGTTGGATTCACCGAGACCAAGGATACCTCCGGAGCAGACGCTTATGCCGGCTTCCCGCACGGCGCTAATGGTGTCCAACCTCTCGTCATACGAACGAGTAGTGATGACCTGAAACTGTTAAATTGCGATCGAGCGATCTGCGGAACCTCCCATACCTTGGGGTAGTGTTCGCGCGAAGTGTCCAAGTTATGGTTGTACGCCGTCAACCCGCTACCGAACGTTGTCAACAACCCCATAAGTTCCGCGATGCAGAGAAACGCACGCTTCCTTGAGCATCTTCGCTTGCTCCGGACTTAGCATGCCTAATGTCGTGCAGACCTCCATGCCCATCCCGCGCACTTCACGGACCATGGTCAGAATTCGCTCGAAACCGCGCTTTCGCCCCGCGAGATCCCGCCATGCAGCCCCCATGCAGAACCGCGTGCTGCCGTTCTCTTTTGCCTTCCGCGCGGCTTCCAGTACCGGCTCAATGTCGACCAGCTTAGATGCCTTTGTCGCTGTAGAGTATCTTGAAGATTGGGAGCAGTACGAGCCTATTCGGAAAGCGGGATAGGCTGATCGAGCTATTTCGCGATCGGAAAACACTCACAGTCTTCGGAACATCCCCCAGCTGGCGAGCGAAGCAGTCGTGTCAAGATCGTGGCAATGCACTATTGAGATCGCCACACGCACTTTTGATGTTCATGAGTGTGCAGAGCTGCACTTGACCCGGATCGAAGTGCTGCCTGTGCACAGTTGCAGCTCGGAACACCAGATCCAATAGGGGGCTGTCATATATCTTCTGTATCTCCTGTTTGGACCAGTCATGTCGTGTAACCCCAGAGACCGGGGACACAACCGATGGGGCATGGGTCGCAAGCGCGCGACGGAGCGAGATCGCAGATTCCGCGGCGAAACGACGAGCGAGCATGGTCTACGTTCAGCGAGACAACAAGAGGGTGGTAAGGGTCATGCACCAAGCCTTGTTGGCGTCGATAAGAACGGGGACAAGCCTGAATGTTTTGGATCTCTCATCCTTTGCGCTTGTCGGTCGATCTAACTCCGAGTCCGCCGCCCCAAAGTGGACTTTGGGGCACACGTGATGCGGGAGTCCGTCGTCCAGTGAGCGTCGGTTTTTGACAAATATTGAACACCCACAGGTAGTACTTGGTCAGTACTTAGATTTTATTTCCAGCGCCCAGCGAGGATGGATTTGCTACATGCTTGCAAAGTCAGAGGGTCTCGGTATACGATAGCGTGCGGGCGATGCCGATGAGACTACCTGAGTACTACTGAAGGAAAAATCTGTGACAGGGTTGTCTTCTTGCACGTGACTCCTTGACGTCAGTTCAAGGCGCGTTACCCCGGTGTCTTATCGTCCTATACTGTACATACGCCCACAGATGCCGCCAACTGGCGCTGACTCAGAGGATGAGTACGATGCATATGACAACTTCGATGGCGTAGACTGGTCAACAATCCCTGGATTGGACGCCCCAACAGCGTCTGGTTCGGCTAATAATGGCTCTCAAGCAACCAGTTGTAAGGCGACGCATGGTGAAATCCAACCGAGAGGCTGGCAGCCCGAAGCCACACAATTGTGCTTGCTCGATCAGCGTGGCGACGCTGAGGATCGTCCCAGCTCACCACGACCCGATCCAGTGAAGACAATAGTAGACTCTTTCGAGGAAGAACTCACTTGCTCTATGTGAGGCATCTCCGATACTCTGAAACGATCCTTCTGACTAATGTCCAGATGTTACGATATATTGTACATATGTTCTGCGACTATGGCATTGCATCACAGACTTATATCGATCATCTAGTGCCGCCGCTCATTTGGGCGTTCCGTGCGGGCATAGCTGGTGCGGCGAGTGTGGCTTAGACTGGATACAACGCGAGGTGGGTGTTTAAGCACGGTTTTCTGCCGTTGTTGTTCCAATCTCCTTTCAGAAACGTGTGCCTAGATGCCCAATTTGCCGAGCCTCACTGTCGAAGAAGGCCCCGATGTCTCCAAATTACGCCCTGGACTCCATCGTTGAGAAGTATGTACAGATCCTCGGCGCCACTGGCCAGAATGAGTGGAAACCTGGCGGTGCAAAACATACCCAATGGAGTCTCAGGAAGCGGTGCGCACTTCCGTTGCCTCCACATGTTGGCGTGCCGTGACTCACAGCCCCGGTGATCCAGGAGGTGGAAGAGGGAAGCTGCTGCTCGAGAAGCGGCAGAAAAGGCGAAGAAGGAGGCCGCAGCAAAGATCGGTTTGTCACGCCGCGGTCAAGTCGTCCTTGATCTGACAGACTTCATCGTGCCCGATGACGATGATGATGAGGATTATGACGATCCGGAGGTCGAGGAGCTGGTCCCGATTGCGCCTCGGAGGCAGCCACGGAGACATGCCAGAGTTCATCTAGTGGGAGGATGAATCATGTCGGCCTCTCACGCGCCTCGCGTTGTAGGCATTGTTCTGCTTATACTAAAACTCTGATGTGCATAACTTGGGCTCCAACTATCGCGTGCACGCCTGCAATGAGGCGACCACATATGCTTAAGCTTTTACATAACTCGTGTTCTATCGCTGCATCTGAGACATTTGCTGGGAAATCGGCTTCTGTATGAAGTTTGATAGTGACACGCAGTGCTACACGAACATAGGTCTCGTGCCTCGAGGCTGGCTCGACCCCGGCTCCATCTCTGAGATCCACTTCGTGCTCCCGCGGCCGCAGATAGCGACTATATATCTCGGCCAGCAAGCAGAGAGCGCTTTCCAGGGCGCTACCTCTCCTACGCTCTGCTAGAACAGTAGTGCTATGGTCCTCTCATGCACGCCCGGGTTGGATGCGACGACGCTGGTCGCCATCGGCGTTGACCAGCCTTCCGTTCGGCTCGCGTTCACGGCCTCCTACGACTCGCAGGACGAGTATGCACAGGCCATCAGGGCTGGTGCGAGGCTGGAGATGTGGACGGACATCCCTCATCGCAGCCGGGGAGCGGGCGAATGGGGCGCGATTGCATTTAACGCCCCCGCTGCGGACGACACGACGAATAAGGCGGAATTAACTTTCTCGCTAGATTCTCCAAGAAAGCCGGCGTCGACGGACAATAGTTCGTTGCAGCTCGAATACGATATGCGCCTCCCCGACTGGCTCGCGACCGATCGGCCAGCGCGATTCTCGTACACCTACCGTCTCAGGTGGCCATCTGGAGAAGTGCGATGGCTCGGTCAGTTTGGTCGTAATGGAACGATCCTCGTCGAGCGCAAAGACCCTCGTTTCATCTTGGGCGACGGTTGGGTCAAGCGTTCCGATGGCAGCCTCACTCATACCGGCGAAGAGAAGGCCGATGGGACTGTCGAGGTCGGGCGGCTCTCTCGCGAGCTCGAATGGTCCTATTGGACCTTCGGCAAAAGGTGAAATTTCTACCGGCCAGAACGCGCTGGTCATATGCTGATTCATACCTTGCTCAGTGGTGCCCACCGATACACCCCCGGTGCCAAGACGCAGGCGGATATTTTGCTCTGCTTGCCTCGCGCTCCTGCGCACTGGATCATCAAGCCCCAGCCTCTAGCGCTGGCATTTTCTTTCGCAGCTGAAGGCACAGTGTCGGTCTCACCCTCTGGAAGCATCATCGTCGCGCCCGCCAGCGCGGTGTCCGTGCGATTGGGTACACCTGGGCATGGCGCCTTCTTCGAAGAATACCTTTCCAGTCGCTTCGGGGGCGCCTTCCGAAAGCTTGCAGTATCTGCATCGGGGGATCTCCTCCTCGCCTCCGTCGACGAACAAGCCCCAGTTCGTGTCTCCCTCGTACCTCTCTCGATGTCGAACGGGAAGGTTTCCCTCCCAGTGCGCACCATCGCGGGCGCGCTCAAAGACGATGTGCACGCCGGTATCATGTTCTATTCGGACTCCCTTCCCAGTGCCAAATACGTCGACGCCTCTGCCATGGATTCCACTATCACCATCCTAGCGGGGGGCGAGTTCGTTGTTGCGTCCGTCTATGGCATCGAGCCGAACGGTTCTGCCGGCCCTCAGATCGCACTCCTCACCCCTCACGAGCAGGTCGAGGAGCCCACGGTCGACCCCATCGCGACTCTTCCCTCTCCACCTTTGACTCCGCCCCTGACTATGACCAACCTTGCTTCCTACGACTCCGACATCCTAGAGCGCGTTGAACCGATTTCCTTGACAGCCGCTGTAAACGAGATGCTTGCTCCAGCTGCACCTGAACCCGAGCCGGTCCAGATGGAGGAGACGCCGTCCATCGAGGAGGATGAGACATCGGTCGAGGCCTCGTCTGCTTCACTGCGTCCTCGCAAGGATACCGAGCTCGCCCGCCGGCAGTACTCCCGCGACTGCGTGCGGTACTTCATGTTCTTCTTCTTCGGCATGACCACACGTTTCTTCAGGGCCCTCTTCTACCAGATCTTCGGTCCCAGCCGTTCGGCAGGGAGATTGTTGGCATCCCTTCAGTTCGGATCGTCGCGCAGAGTGACCACCACCACCCGTGCCGAGCCGATTCAACAGGCGGAGGTGGAAGAAGTGGAGGAAACCTTGCCTCCGTCGTTGTCGTTGGACACCGTGGTAGAAGAAACTGAAGATCAAGAATCCGAGCCGGAGCCGGTGCGGGAGCCCGAGGTCGAGCAGCCCGAGGCTACAGAGCAGCCCGAGTACACGCCACGGCCGCGGATCATATCCATCCGTCGTTCCTCCACTCCAGTCCTTCCGAAACCCATCAGTCGCGCCGTTTCCGCGTCCGTTTCCGCGGCGATCAGCTTCGACGTCAAGGGCGAGGTGGTGCTTGCCATACGTTCCGCACCCGGCCACAGCCAGTTGCGCTGGGCGTCCGTGCCCTTGGTGTATCTCAGCTTCAAGCTCAATGGCAAACCAGTTGAGATGGGCGAGAACGAGGAGATCGACGAAGGCATCTGGATTGTCAGGTTCCCGAGCGCGGACAGCGGAAGATTCAGTGTGCACCTCAAACAGGATGCATGATTTTCCCTGCCAACGCGAGTCAACTCCTCTGGCTTGCATAGAGGTTGGAAAAGGCGGTGCCACTGGAGGGTATCCCGCACAACGATGGGCTTCGATTTTTTCCTCGTCATCTTCTCAGTTGTCATTGCTATCCGTGTTGTTGTACCTCATTCACGTCTCGAAATGTTGTTCATTACGATTTGTATTCCTTCACGTCGCGTCATTTCACACACTATGTACGAACCCGATGATTCACGCATTCAATGGCAATATCAATTTGCACTGTGAACGATGGATGGTGGGTCGGAGATGAGAGCGCTGTGAACGTCTAAGGATGCGCGCGTCAATAGTCGTCGTCGATCTGCATATAGTCCTGCCGCCTGTGCGGCGGAGCCTCCCACATCCGAGATACATTGCGAGACAATCTCGTCGAGCATTTCCTGCGGAAGATCATATTCGGCGGTGCGTACCGTGATCGCGTAGGCGGCTGAACCGTAGTGACGCATGTCAGAGGGACCGCGCGCTAGGGACGGGAGAAGAGAAGCGGGCTGACCATCCTCTATCTTTTGCAATGAACTCGCGGTGACTCGCTGCTTCTTGCGCAGCTCTCGGATGTGCGGGGTGAAACCCTCAAAATCTGCCATACTGGGTTAGCGGGCTCGTGCCTTTTGGCAAGGGAGACGGAGCGCCGACCGACGGACCTGCTTTGATGTTCCTTACGAAACCGCAGACTTCCGAAGCTTTCGCGCGACCACTTTTCCGGGAGATGGCGGAGACGGCATAGCGCATGAGTTCTCCCGTCAGATCCGATATTCCTAGCAGGTAGTCATCCACAGGCAAAGGCAAGTACTGCAGAGTAACGTCAAACAGGACTGTTCTGACTATCTTCCACTTGTCGGACTGACCATAATGCCATCTTCGCCTGTCAGAGTCTTTTGGACGGTCTCATAGGGAATTAGGTTGCCATGCTCGAAATAATGGGCCAGGCTGAGGGCCTCTATGTATTCCTGTAGACCGCCAGAGATATTTTGCTTGTACCGCCAGAAACGCTCGTTTTGGAGATCTTCACGTAGGCCTGCGAACAAGCGCTGGATGTCGGCCAACTTGTCCTTGGCACCATCCGCAGCCCTCTTGGTGGGTGAAGCACCCTCGGCCACGTCCTCCGTCACAAGGCGATGGAGCAGAAAAATTGTTCTCTTCGACGCGTTGGTAATGTCCCGGCTCGCCTGTCGGATATATCGCAAGACACCACGGCAGCTAGAGTTGGAGCAATTGACGCCCGTGAACGGCGGCCGAGGATGCGGACCTTGATGATGCGCTCCCTCCTGTCGTTATGGTCGTCTAGCTCATCACGAAGGGCGGCAAAGTCGGCGAGGACGCCGTCGCGGGAAGACATCAGCGGCGGATATACTGCAAAGATCAACAAAAAAACCCAAAGGAGTTGGGGGGACGGAGAGGTCGTTTGGTTCTGCAATTAGCTCTGCGCATCACGCGCCGTCGCCCTCTTGCTGCATCATACGCTCTCGGACCCTCCTTTCCATCCATCCACCAGACGCTCAACTCCAAGTTACATCCGCGCATCCACCTCCTTCGCTCCATCCTTTCGCGATGGACTTCGCACCGAAACCAGGCTGCCCAATGTGCGGCATCGTCGCGTCTGCCCAGCGGGACCCTCTGGCTTCGCCGACCACCAGGCCCCGAGGCGGTACTGGAAGCCTTCAACCTGAGATTCTGTGGCGCGACGACAACTTCACGATCTACCGGGAACGCGCGCACCCGGTCTCCAGCAAGGGTCATATTATCATCGCGTTCAAGTCCGTGATTTTCTTTGATTGTTCGGTCGAGCGCGAGCTATCGATCGCTGAGACCCATTCTCTTGACCCAGCCTACACGTGCCGTCCATATACACGCTGGTGCGTCTCTTGTGGGAACGGCCAGGGGTGACCGTACTCACTGGAGCTCTACAGTCTTCCAGCGACCTGCCCCTGCTCGCCGCCGTCAAAACACTCGCGACAAAGCAACTCTCTGGGCTTCTCGCCGCCGGCAACCTCTCTACCCCCAGTTCGCCGCTGACACCTGGCACCCCAGGGTTGAGAAGTTTGGCGCTCGGATCGACACCCATCGACGCATCCCAGTTCAAAATTGGGTTTATTACGCCTCCCTTCAGAGATAACAAGATCCCTGTCACCGACCATCTTCACGCGCACGCATACATTCAACCCGCGGATTTGGCGGGCTGGTGGCGCTCCGTGGCATATGGGCCGCTAGCATGGTACTCCATCGACGACCTCATCGCCGAGATTCGGTGAGTGCGACTAATTAATGAGAAAGCGCCACATTATCTCGCGCGCGCGCAAACCTCCGTTCTAACCCCGCAACGGCAGGGAATCGACGTCGAACAACCGCATCAGGTCTGGATATGACGACACGGGTCGCGCTGAGCGTAAGCGCCCCATCGACCAAATACCGGACGCCGGCGCGCGGACTGGCACCGCGTACGGCGTCGACATGACCGACCCCGGTATTGCGTCACCTGACCTCGAAACGGGCGAAGGGCCTGTTACACCGCTCGCCACTAGGCCGCTCACGCCGAATATGCTTTCGCCCGTGCCGCACCTCTCCTTGTCGCCTCCTTCATGAAGGTCGGGAAGGCAGTTGTCATTCGTCCAATTTCGTCCCTGCCCGTACATTTTATACCCTAATCCATCCGCTCACTTTTGGTTGTACTGCAATAACATCATTCGAAGGGCCTCGTCATGCATTGCATTATTTCTCAACACCGAACGGCCACCGTTGTGTATCATAAACTATCGTACAGGGCAGATTATTATGTCTCGCGATTAGACGTGCTCCAGCAAGGTCAGATAAGATGATTCTGATGATTAGTTGTTTCATATCAGGCGTCTGTGAGACGTTTAGCATGCAGATATGCGACGGTCTGTATACGGGACTCACAGTAGGAAGACCCGGTCAGGAGGGTCGACAGAGCCGCCAACTGGTCTTCGTCAAATCGTTTCGAGTCTTCGTGCCAAGTGTCTTGGTGAGTCTTCTTGAAGTTGCTCGCGCATTTGCGCACGGTCGTTGAGATCGGCGGAGGGAAGTACGTGAGCTCGGCCAGCACGGTGGTGAGCAAAGGAGGCATCCAGCGCTCCACGGTGTATGGATAACTGTCCACCAGTGCACAAATGCCCAGTACACCCGCGTGCAGCTTCCGAACGGCATTGCTGTACCCAGCTTCCTTCTTGCCCGGGAGTTTGATGTTCTTGACTAGACGTACAAAACGGTCCTGTAGGCGCATTAATCAAGGCATATAAAATATATGCGCATATATCCGACCTTGAGCACGAGCACACTGCGTCTTGGGGAAAGTCTCAGTATGCCGGCGAGCGTTCTGGAAATCGACAACTGAGTATTATGGTGAGTTGGTGCACTTCTTGAGACTCACGTTGCGGCCATCGTCCGCACTTCGATGATCTCGTCATCAAGACATTTGCAGATCACCTCCAATATCTCGATGATGTGCAAGTCATCGATAAGCGGCATATGGCGGAAGTAAAACACTTTGAAACTTTTAGCATCGTAGGCACTATTGAATCGCGGACTGCCGCTCACCTTGAAGCAGGGGCAACGCCTTCAGTCGCACTCTCCATGACTGCGCAAGTGGGTCAGCATACGACGTATGCGGCAAAAGACGGGGCCTACAGTAGACGATTGGATCGCCTCGAAGATGCGGAGTAGCAAGGGCTTTATCAGTCGAGGCGGTGGCACAACGCCGCACATCCGTACGAGGAGCATATCTGCTCGCAACGACAACTCATCATTGTCGTGCACTGGCGTATGGTCAGCATGTTGGCAGCAATTATCAGAGATGGACATACATTCCGCAAATCGGAAAAGCTCTGGCATTAACGGGAGTATGTATTGGAAGGCTAACACCGCATGAGTGTCGTGAAGAGTTGAATGCAACCATTTGCACACAGCGATGCCAACCCTGAGAGATGAACTAGTTCAACAGGATAGAAGACGTGGTTGCGATATGCTCACTTGTCGTAAGTGGACTGGAACGCCCTGACACCAGGCAGTCGTTCTCCTCTCCATTTCTCGAACCTATCAACGAGCTCGTGCACTCTCCCTTCATGGTACCCATGCAAGATGCCCATGATGTCATCGTCTTCAGTTGACTGACGACATTCCACGACAAAGGCCTCCGCCGTATGAGCGTCAGCAGAGGCTCTTGGCAGCCACTACGGAAGCCGGGTCATGTCAGGCCCTCAATTGAGAAATTGGCCAGTGGAGTACTCACTTTCACTTTGTCGGAAAAAACAAGGATCTCCGATATGTAGGCGCGGACCTGGTCAAGCAAAGCATGAGGCGAATACGGGAGTATAGTTTGATCCAACATACGTCGTCATGTTCCCCTGGGAGTTCCGGCCAAATGCGGCCCATAACGTCATCCATCCATGCGAACGCCTTCCAGTTCAATTCTTCATAGAACGCTCGGAAGAAGCACAGGATCTTTACGGCATCGAATGACGACTCTGCATTATAATCCGTAGTTGTGAATTCCTCAACCAGATAATCCACTAAAGGCTGCACTCGTCGGGGGTCCTTGTTGGATAGCACGTACTGCAGTTTCGATAAGCCATTATTCCTTCGTAGGTGTGACGAATGAACTCGCCTCCAGGAAAGAAGTCCATACAAGAAGAGTGTCGGTTTTGATGCCTTTGAAAACAGTCCTGAGCTGAGGTATAAACCAGTCCCAGAGGTCATCTTGGGAACTTGTCGGCCAGTGCTTCGAACCACCGATCAACCCTGCCAGCAGCTCGGCTGCACCTCGCTGTTTATTCTTGTCCGAGTTCCCTAGGAGTTCCTCTAGGATCGGCTTCATGTGTACCAGAGGTTTAGGTCCGAGTAGCTGCACTGCAGTAAAATCAGCAACCGGGCTCACTGACACGGCTTCTGCTCACATATTGACTTCACGGATGACGCATGGTCCTGCGATATGGCTTCGGCATGAGTTTCTGCTGAAAAATGTTTGGTGATCTCCTTCCAAAATGCGGCGCTGTTCGCAAACTCTTCGATGACCGACATGCACTCCGAGCTAGAAGGATCCCAAGCGGGGAACGGCCATTCGGTGGCAGATGGCAGCAGAAATTTATCTTGATGCTTCGCCCATGCGATCCAGCCGCTGGTTGGCTTCTCACACAACAAGCTGATAGTGACATTAGCATAATACAACAGCATTGGAGCGATCCATCTCACGGATTCCTTCGTGCCTGGCACAAGTTGAGTTCGGATTTGAAGTCTGATAAGAAGCGTATGGTCGTTTCATTGCCCGGCTCCCCGACGGGAACCTTGAGACGTAGAGGGTTGTGATTCTGTTCTAAAGCTAGGTCAACTTGAGTTTGGCTGAGCGTCCTCAGCTTGATGTAACGAGAGCACTTCATGATCGCACGCTGCGCATACTATCTTAATCATTAGTAATCCGCGAAGTAGGGTGCTGTGTGATATCTCACGTAACGCTGTATTAGAGGCTTAATCAATGCTTTGCGAGTCCCGATAAATGATTGTTTCTTACCAAACTTGGATGACTATCGTACGTCTTCTCTAAAAGGCACCGGATATGCGCGGCTTTCGTCGGTCGATCCTTCCTGATGAGCGATCTTAGAATCCTAACGGCGACGATGCTATATCGCCAGTGTGTTTTCGAGGAATTAGCGATGTCGATGATGAGTGAGGTCTGTCCGAGGTATCAGTGACGGATTCCTATCAATGACCAGATTCCGCACCGTTGCATCGCTTGCGTCATCTATGAGGCTTGTACGCTTCGTTCGTTGCTCAGCGCAGCGCAAGACCAAATCGTTCCCTTCGTTCGAGAATTGCGTAACGGATCGCAGATCCCGAAGTGCAGCATCAAGGTCCGTATTCTCAACGTTGTAGACCACATGGTTTGGCTCGACGAAACTACCGAGACAATTGTCGGATAGCGTGGATACGCAAGACTGAATAGAGGGCTGATTTAGGAAGTGGTTAGCTGGTTACATGTTGAGGAAATCGCGTTAATAACCTTCTCGTTGTGTTGACAGGCAAACATCTTGTCTAGCAGTTCCCTCGTGAGAGTGGGTTCTGACATCGCATATTTTGCTGAAATTGATTGAGATGATGTGCCGCTCGCAGATCTCATGAGGATGCATACCAAAGACGGGGGAATTCAGTGTCCATAGAGCACCCTTCATGCGATCGTCTTCTGTTCCAGGCTCTAGTGCCTTGTATAACACAGGAAGACAGCGATTCCGTACACCGTCGTACACCTACGACCAATCCGCCAGATTAGAGCGAACGAAATACCATCAGTAAAAAGGACGTACCGAACACAATGACTCAAGGACCGATTGGCTAATTTCCCGCACTGTACATGATAACGTGACGTTAGAGTGCGATCCCGAGCCAGAACACACGCTGCGCACCCGACGCGTAATGCCACATAGCCCATTCTAGCAGATCACCTATCAGATGATTCTCTGTCTGCCCTCTTCGTCGCTCCAGCGAGTTCCAGCGAAGCCGCGCGGAGTGGTACAATCTATAGGGTTGTGAGCGTCAAAGCAATAGTTGATATTGTATGGAACTTACCGCGCGCGACGTACGAATACCGCACGAGGCCATACTTTCTGGCCGGCGTATTGTCGAGTGACGCTTTTCTCGCTCGAGAATTGCTCCCGCTGCAGGTAGTAACTGTCCCTGCTGTCGCCGTACTCGAGCATGTATGTACGGATGGATCGTACCTAAAAAAGAGTTAAACGCCATCGAATGCCAGACTGTCGTTACTTACAAGTATGGTCACTGCGTCGACTGTATTGTATTCACCCTGCTGGCGCAGAGAAACTGAAGCAGTATGCAAGAAGTTGCCAAAGCGTCGCTTCAGAGACGTGATGTACACATAACGCGGATCTTCAGGATCGACCAGGGGAAAGCCAGCGAGTAGAGGCTCGATAGTCGCAATCATTTCCGGTATTTCATTTCTGGGTGGTTGGTTAGGACATTTGTGGCGAGGTATCGGGCCAAGAACGCACAAGATATCGCTCTCCGCTACGGAGGCTGCAATCTCTTCCTTTGTCCGTGTCTCCTTTGCCAGTGTTGGTATGCCGGAAAAGGCGTCGCGCACTAAATTCAGATGTCTATTACGATACGTCAATGTACGTGATCGGGCAAGCAGCGAGAATCTCTCTGACCGGCAGAAGTCATTGCGCCAAACAGCGTCCCGCACGGGACCTACGACAGCGGGGGAATGGATTAGAGGGGAAAAGATAGGTAACCTGACGGGACTCACCATGCTGGAGGAGACCATCCAACGAATCCATAGCCGGCTCGACCACCTCGCGGAAGATGCGAAGAGCGAGATCGATTTCCTCTGCGCTAGGAACGTGCCAAGAGATCTGTAGCAGATGAGAGATTTGGTCCAAGGCGCTGGTTATGCCTACGGACCTTCACGTCTTCGGCCTTGTATAGTTTGCCCCAATAACGATGATGATTCTTTTGGAACTCTACCGGTTCGTCAGGCTGCTGCAGCGCTGAGTTTACTTGATACAGAAGCACAAACCTGCACTATCCCACTCCTCTGGATTTACGAACCTATTTTCCGTAGGATATGTGTGAGTCAAAGTCAGCAAGGTGCTAGACAAAAGTCTGCCCGTCCACGTCCACCCTCGCTTCGAGAACGTCTTCTCATGCAGAAGCTTGAGCAGTGCGACAAGTTTCTCACTGTACTTGAGCACGACACGTCCGTCACTAACGCGGACGTACGTCAGTTTCCACGTCTGTGTACAAGCTCAAAGAAGCTCACTTATACATTGCTCCGCGGAGGATGGCAAGATCTATTAATGAATCAATGACGGAAGAATCGAATCATAGGGAATGCATTACTCCAGTGAAGAGTAGTGTCGGAGGGCAAAGGTGTCGAATCCACGGTTGTTCTCAGAGAACTGGCGCCGTGTTCCAGCTCTATGATTATGTTCTGCTCTGCAAACGGGAAGAACTTCGCCAGTGTCTTCTCCGGATTCGCGTTTGCGACACATTCAACGAGTTGATGGATGGCGCGAACTGCGTTTGACCGGACGTTGTTGCTGGCAAAGTCGAAGACAATATTCAGGACCAGATCATAGAGAGGCTCTGAAAGGTGAACGCAGATCTGACTGAGTGCCCCAGTGACGGCGTCCACAACTTGCGCTGAGATGAATACGTTCAGTCATCATCCGTAAAAGAAAAGAGTTGTCCGTACTTTCCGTGGTGCCAGATGAACCGCTGGCACCTTCCTCCGGCAGGTTTTCCAGCAGAACCAGCACTCTGCGGACGAAGGCATGCACCCAGCTCGCGAAGCTGGACGTTGATTCCCTCAATAGAATATCTTCCTCTTCGTCTGGTAAACGTGGCTCAAGCTCCAAAGCTTCTTCGCTGCTGGAAGACCCGAAGCCATCAAGCTTGAATGATGGTAGCCCATTAGGTCGTTTCTTGTCCTCTGGGGCCTCGCTCAGTTGGGCATCCTGCGTGGTCTCTGGCTCGGGAGATTCTGTGCCTAGCTCGCCAATCAGTATATATTGCGAGATTTCCACGAGGAATGACGTGGTGCAAAGCGTCTTGGAGGGATCATTCTAGGGAAGTTTAGATGATTTCTGGGTGTAGAGTCATACGATGCTCACCAAGTCGATCCCAGGAACCAGCAGCTGCAGGATCGGAATGAGATGTTTGGCACCAGGGTAAAACACGTCTCGGCACACGAGCGAAGGAGCAATGGCGCCAAGAGCTTTGATAACTGCGAGCGTGCGCTGCGTCTCGACAAGCGCTTCGAGAGCTGGAAAAGCGCGCTCCAGCACGGGATAGAGGATCAAGTCTGGTTCCATCACACTCATGCTCTTCAGGCAACTCTGTATGTTGCTAACGGTCGTGGAGTCTTGGCTGAACATGGCTAGCAACGCCACCGTGCGCAAGGACTTGACCAGTTCGCGCTTCATATCACGCGTCAGACGACGGTGCTTTGGCGTTCGGCAATCTGGCTGCTGCTCTTCATGCCATCCTGCGAGATGTCAATATTAATATCGGGGAACGCTGGTATGACGTACGCTTGTTGAAGTCGTAAACGATATACTTGATGAAGGCGCTCAAGTCATGCGTCCAGCTTCCAGATGTGGATGGATGGAAGAAGCTCTCCGTCGATGCAATAAGGCGAACAAGCGAATCCAATGCTTTGGACCCAGCCAGGTAGGTCTTTACGCGTGAAACGCCCTTTCGGCTGAGATTGGCAGACAGGTAGTCCCCCAAAGATCCGCCATTGACTCCTGGGGTCGTAGGGGTCATCATCCCAGATCCGAATGGAGTCACCACGCCTGATCGCGGAGTCATCATTCCCGGGCTGAATGGTGTGAAGGGAGTTGGAGCAGACGACGGTGGTGCCGGTACACCGTCAGGTGCCATCGAGTACACTATGATCCGTGCTAGAGACGCTGTAGAACAAGCGAGGGTCAGCCCGAGTCGACATCTTGAAGCTCGATGAAGACTCGCCTATGCGCCAGCTAGGTTTAGGCAATCGTCCGATCTCAAAACCTGCTTGACCATCCGCAGACGGTCCAGTAGTCAAAGAACCGGAATCCTTCAACGATATTTCTGCCGGATTGAATACTTAAGCATCATGCATCCGTTCCGGCGTATCAATATGGACTAACCCATGGAAGCTAGGCACTTGCACATTATATGCGACCATTCTTGCTCCGTATATATGCCAACGTCCTTATACACACCGCTCCACCGCATACGCGAATCGTGTTTCAGGTCGTCCTTGTTCCAGTCCGGACGCTCCTCATCTGGTGATTTGGCGTCGTCGGGTATCTCCTCAATCCGCTTCGGGTCACTGACCGTGGGATCAACATGCATCTCTGACAGCTGCGCGAGGAATTGGAGCATGCGCTCATCATAGTTATACGAGTTGATCGACTGCCATATTTGAAAGAGACTGGGAAGGTATGACTGGGGGTGTGATTGAGGGAGGAACGTGAGGAGGTAATACTGAGAGGATAGCACGCTCTGTAGAAGTGTTCCTTCAGGGCAATGTTATGGTGGTAATGGGTGTGTAGGACTGACATCGAGTGATGTTCCATTCATAAGTGGCAGAAAAGTTGAGAGCATGTCCTCAGTCGCCGCGGGGTGGAAAAACCGTCGGCATATGCTCGCCAGGTATCCCATATACCATGACGTTTGGCTGCAAACACAGCATGAGAGAGACGATCGGGCCAGGAAATAGGAGAGGAATGTACCTGATCTCGAATTGTCGACGCGTTAGAAATAGGTCCTTGCTGAGAATCTTAAAGATGGGTTGCCAAGGTAGCCGCATATCCTCCACAGAAAGCTTGTGCTTGGACCTTGTCAGCGTTGATATCGCATCCGCGCAGTTCGCCACGATGTGCGTGGGCATGCCTGGCGTTGTGGCTACATGGAAATAGACCCTCGCCAATTGTACGCGCTTCTCCTTCGGAATGGGATACTTGAGCATGAGCCAGCTATAAAATAGAACACAGATTAACTCATTATCCGGCGCTGATGACTTCGGGGCGCACTAAGTCAACATGCTATCCCACTGCACAAGCCCCGGGTCGTAATCTTTTGCCTCCACGCATTGTGCTATCCGTAGCATAATAAAGTCGAGCATCTGCTGCATGTAAGAATTCGACTCCACCGAGTACGGTAACGCCTGCGCATAGTCCTTGAGCTTGAGAAGATACTTGTCGGTGGCGTGCCGAATGTCCTCCGGCACCTGCACGGTGCTCGTCGACCCCGTCGGCGGCGACACACCGGGGTCTATGGATAAGCGGGATATATCGGGTATGTTCATCGTCTTCAAACCCGATGGTCAAGGTAGAGGTAGAAAAAGGAGCAAGATTTTGACGCCGTCTCCGACGCAGCGACGGCGGCACCCCAGTTCGACCAGCATACCCGCGCCACAAACGGAACGCCACGGTGGGAACGACGAGTACGTCACCACAAGCACTGCTTCAATTGGCAAGAAGCCCGATGGCCTCGGAATCAAACCTCAATCTCTTGATTTCGTAGATTCCGTAGATTTCAAGACATGAGCAATAATAACAGCCGTTCCACACATGTGTCTTCAACAGTAGATAATAGACGCCCTTGTTCAAGCAGGAAATTTGCTGCGAAGCATCGGCAGTACGGTGGAGTAACAGCATTCGCATGATCTAGGTCCAGCTTGTTGTAGGAAAAGCCGGACCTGTATGCAGGCCAGCATAGTATACGCAGGGGGTGATTGGCGCAGAGCAACGCTGAACAATAACTGCGATTAGAATTACTTCAGAAAGACGGATTGCCTTACCAAACCTGGGCTAGGCCACTGCGGCAAGGGCCGCGCTCTCCAGTTCTTTGACAGCCTTGCTCCTAATCACGTCCCAAACTATCGCCCGTTGCGCCTTCATCTCCCCAAGCCCGTTGCGGATCTCTTCCAGCCGTTCAACATACTCCCGTCCATCGTCCGCCAACTCATGTAACGCCGCAAGGCTCTTCTCTAGGCTCTCGAGCTGCGCCTCCACGGGTACGAACGCCCGTTCCTGTCCATCTCTATCCCTCCCCCGGTCAGGAGGTTCGGGCACAGACTCCACGTGCCCGTTCACGCCGTTGATGTGTGGCTGGGAACTTCGTGCGGTTCCGGCGCTGTATGCGGGTGGGTGCTCGGTGATGAAGATCTTATGCGTACTCGGTGTAAGATCGGGAGCCCGTGCAAGGCGTCTGCGTCTTTCTCGCTCCTCCTCGTCGACGTCGCTTCCCGCGGTCATGTCCTCGTCCTCCTGCTCTTGCTTGGGCTCTACCAGGGAATCGTCTTCCATGTGTTCGTCGGGTAACGATTTCGGTATCCCGTTCGCCCCCATTGTTCGGGTTCCCTGCTGTTCGGTTGTAATGTGATGACGGAGATCAGGGTCCTCACTCATAACCTGCCACAGCCTTCCCAATGCGCGTTTCATGACGCCCTCCGCTTGGATAAAGCCACTCGCAGCCCGCTCCAAATCGTCGATCATATGACTCCGGAACGTTCGTGCGGCACTCTTGTCCATGACGAGAGAAGTATAGCTGAGGTGTTCAGAGTGTGGGTCTGGGTAGGGCCCCGTCAAGGGCGGGGAAGGTGAGCGAAGGTGGGGCAGTCGTGGAGGCGAGGGTGAACGATCTCGATCGCGGTCCTCTTCGGGAAGTAGCAGTTTGACTCGCTTGCGAGCCCGTTCTTCTGCCTGTCCACGTATTGATAACATACGTACACCTCAGTGTGAGGCAAGACAACATAGGTTGAACACACACCTCCCATTCATCAATGCCAGGGCCCCATGCTGCTATTTTACCTCTCCGTGTCCAACGCGAGCCTTTCATGGCTTTCCGACCCCAGTTCCCTCCCGGTAGTCCGGCAGGCAAAGACTCCTCATCGGAATCGTGACCACGAGATGGATAGTACCATGCGTTCTCGTCATTAGATGGCGCATGTTGTATTCTATATCGTCGTCGGAGTATAATGGGTGGGGTGGAAGTCGGTCAGTCACGATGGAAGGCAACACAAACGCGAAGGACACCGACGGAAGGGCAGATTCGAACATGGGCCGAATGGATCCCTCAGGGAACGGGGAGTGCATGGAGCCTGAAGGCCCGGGTAATCCAGAGAGTGAATTCGTCGAGGTGGTAGCCATGGGGTCGCCAAGTTTGATTAAGTGTAGGCTGGTGTGAGTATGCCGACTGGAGGAAGTACTAGGGCGACGAAGCTTTCGAGTCTGACTTCATCTGTTGCGGGTCACATGAACCGTGAAAGTGCCGCTTTGTGCTCAAGAAGTCACCTCCACTAATCCCGGCCCGTGCACACTACAATATGTACTAGTACAACATCGACCTAGATGTGAATGCGAGCAGACATCAGAACGACAGCTAGAGTGAGCGATCGATCACCAAAACTGAGGCTGGCCTCCATCACTCCTGCCTCTGCCCCTACCCCTACCATGACCCTGGCCTCTGCCACCGCTGCCCTCACCACCATGACTTCCGCCTCTAAACCCGCCTCGTCCCCTGCCCCTACCTCTTCCCCGCCCTCCATCCGTACCGTTGTCTGAGCCCTGACCACGCCAGTAGCCACCTCCTCGCCAACCTCGTCCTCGGACATAGCCCCTGGTTGGGGCTTCACCTTGTGCACGACTGTTCACAGAAGGGAAGGTGTTGACGGGGCCATCGATGCGACTCTGCGCTGCATACGTCCCTCCAACGGGAGTAATGATATGTGAACTGATGATAGGCTGGTCTAGGACAGCGACCGCGATGGGGACACCCTCCAACGGCAGGTGGCCCGATCCTGATGGTATAGTCCCGCTACCACCAGCCTGTTCCTTTGCGCGGGCCTCTAGACGTAGCCTTCGCTTTTCTTGCTTGGCCTTGAGTTTCTCCTCTTTCTCCTTAGGATCTGGCATGGGGCCAGGATCATAGTTGGGATTTTGAGCTTGCCACGGTACCGCGCTGGGAAGCGTAAATGTGCTGGAATATACAGCAGCTCCATCTAGGCAGTCGAATGAGTAGTATTGTGCGGGTGTCGGATTCTCCATCGCCGCGAGGAGTTCAAGGAGGTGGTTGTAAATGGCCAGACCTGCGTGAGCATCGTTCGCAGCGTCTACATTTCATCCTATCAATCAATGGATCGAGTACTATAGCGTCGATCCCGCAGCTTACATTCCTGCTGCTTGTCGCTGAGTAACGCCTCCCAATTGCTCCTCTGTATCTTCCCCTTGCCTTCCAGGGTGAATCCTTTGTATGTCTCGAGTAGCCTAGCCAAGCCTAGCGGGTGGCTATATTTGCCCTTCCAGTTCGCGTTGTCCACGGAGCGCGCAAGGAGCGCCAGCTCTACGCAGCTGCGAACGTTGATATGGTAGTCTCTGAAAAGCTTTTTGCAATCATCTGCGAACCGTATAAGGAATTGTCATGCGCCAACGCAGGAGGCTGGACGGCACCTAAAATAGCGACTCCAACCTTCCGTTGAGCGGGATTCTCGAGCAAAGTCTTCAAACGTTGGGGGAATCCTGTCGCAGTTTCAAGAGGCTCGCCCTCTCTGACGACATCGATTTACATACGTTGCATGGCCGAAACCTGGAGTAGCAGCGTAAGGGTGCTGCTGGCAATTTGCACAAGTGCCACAGGGTTTTGTGGCGCATCCTTTACGAAGACCGGCTTCCATTCGAGGTCAAAGCCAACAGGCTCGTCTGCCTGTATACCCGAGAGCACATCATCTGCTGTGATGTGGTCACGGATATAGAACAGTCTCTGCGCCGGCGAGACGGTACGCCAGGAGTATACGGGCAAGTCGGAGGGTGGTTTCGGGACCTTCTTCTTTCTCCTTGACTGCTGTTCAGACGCGCTTGAGGCCGCTATCGCAGCGGGAGGTAACCTGGTGGCCATGATGGGGAGAACGGCAGGAACGGCTCGTCTTAGACTGGCCGTCAGACGGCGGAGCTGTAGCCTCATGCGAAGGTGGCGATGTTCGATGCTGTCCAAAACATTGAGTGTTCACGTGACGTACGGGGCCCAGACTCGCCACGCTTGTGGCTGTGTAATATTGCTAAAAACAGTCCGCTTGGTCTTTTTCCATCGCAACTCTTGCCAAGGCCCGTGGCACGCAACGGTCCGAAGTCCTCATCAGCACAGTAACTGTCGCGTCGCTCGCTATCCCTACGTCCTCCCGCATTTACATCGCGAAAGGCGTCATTGCTTGTGCTCAATGCTAATCTTGAGCTCACCGATACGTATTTGAGCACTGGGCTCAGTTATATTGGAGCGCCACCGACGGACGTCCGAGAAGTCGGAGCCAAGCATAATATGGTCTTGGCATCCGTCTATCTTTGCCGGCCTGGCCTAAGTTTAGATGACCGCTCCTCTTGGCCGCCTTCATAAGGGCGTGCTCCTCTCAACGGATCGACGACTCGCTTGGCATCCTCAACACCTTGCGCAGAGCTTCCACCATGAATTCCATCGCCTCTCTCCCACAGGACGGGACCGTCGACAGAACGCTTGCTGCATCGTACAACGTTCTTGAGCAGGTAGCGTCACCCTTCCCCACATTCGTTTCAAATACTGAAAGGATGTGCCTTCTCAGGCCCCTCCTCCGACGTTGCGCGAAATACTGGGCGCTTACAAGGCCAAGGGCGATGGCGACCGCGACCTCCTTATGGCCATGCTTAATGCCAAAAGCGCGGAGGATCAGGTCGGCATCCTTCCCCCAGCCTCCATTCTTCTGTCGATACTTATTCGATGTTGGATACTCAGCGATTAGCATCGGTGGCGGCGTTACAACGTACTATGCTCGAAATTCACCAAGCACATTCAGTTTCAGCAACGGTCACGGAGTCACCCGCACGCGCAGCACACCCATCACCACTTGGAAACAGCCGTTACGACTATGGAATGGCTTCCCCTGGCTATGAACATCGGCACTTGCCTGAACGCTCACCGCGTTCGGTTTATCGTTCTCCCCCTACAGACGCCGAATACAACCACCATCCGTATTCTTCCTCGCATCGCCGCTCGCATGCGCACCAAAGTACTCGGGAGTACCATCCTGAGCCGCATACATACTCGCACTCCACTACCCAATCCGCATCCACCTCAAGGAAACGAGTGCGAGCGGCCCGTTCACCGAACCCAGCCTTAACGCCGTCACCGCACGACCTCCCACCTTCCCCTTATTCGTCTGCCAGCGAGTCGTTATCAGCAATTGCAGACTCACCCCGGTCTAGGGGCGCAATGGATATCGGTTCGCTCATATCGTCGCATTCCTCCCATACCGGGTCGCACTCGTACTCCCCGCCAGACAGGCATTCTCAGTTCCTGGCCGATTCTCAGTCTGTTGAGAATGCGACGCACCGACGCACCGGAACGACTCGTAACCGGCGCGACTCGGAGCGCGACATTTCCTGATGTTGTACCTGTGTATTCTCGTCTAGGGGCATGTGCACACGACCGGGGGAGCTTCGGTGAACTTTCGAGCACATTTTGGGCACACTGTATCTATTCTTAGCAACTGATCCGAACCACCACGCATGCCAATAGCAATCCGCACGTTCCAATGTACTATGTATGGGTACCATTCGTGAACACCACGAAACGGCACATCGTTCCCTTCAGTCATTTCAGAGCGATCGAGACTGTTTTGGAGACCGTACTATATCGGTGTACACAAGTTGCAACAAGGAGGCTAGTCCTCTCTCGTCACAACTATTACGCATTCCGGGCCTGCCAAGTATATGAACGATCGATTCCATGATGATTGATCCAGGGTATCTGAGCAGCCTTAGTGACGCTGACCCCTGGCTTGGAATCTGGATTAATACTGCTCGGAGCGATCCAAACCAGGGCCATCCAAGCTTAGAGACGAAAACTCACGCATTCCGATAACATCGACCGTCGACTGGCGTGTGATGTGCAAGAAAGACGCCTCTAGGCCACATTACTCAATATGCCAAGAGATAGAAGACTTAGATGTGCACACACATGATCATGCAGCAAGGCTACACTTGTAGACTCGACGTGCATTAGGTAGATTTTCGCGCGCTCAAGCGCAATGGCGCACGGAGGGCGTAATGTTGGCACACTCCGACCAACTGCACAGGGGCTCAGCGAGAAAATCGGGCGTGAGTTGTAATCTGAAGCTGCTGGCAGCCAACTGGCATTCAGCTATACGACTGTGGCCGTTACAGTTAAACCTTCCGATATGCATAACCCCGATACACCAGATACACCTTGATATAGGAAACAATGAGCGACATTGGTAAATATTATTGAAATAGATCAAACGATTCCTCCCAATAACGATAAAAATCGAAGTTGTCATGTCGTGAGTCATTGTCGGAAGAACCTCGAGCGCACGCGATTCTCAAGCACAGTCGGTTCGCTGGAGCCATCGGCTTTGATTCCGTCTGTCGCTAGGTCGGTATTCAGTCCAAGAGCTGTGGGTTTTACGTTGCATTGGACATTTCGTTTGCTTGGGCCTTTGGCAACAGCCCCAGTTAGGCTACTGCATGCACCATCGTCAGTCCAAACACCGGCAGAACCTGCATAGGGGCCGTTAATAACGTGGCAATGCGCGAGAGTGGATAACGGCGCAACGTACCACCGGGCGTGTCATTTTCAGTCCACCATTTGGCCGTCCAGAGATGACCACTGCGCAGGCAAGGCCGTCGGTTAACGGTTCAATTCCGCGTTCAGGGGAATACGGCAGATTTGGGAGTGGAGCAAGATGATAGGCCAAAGCTTACCTGAAAGTCACCTGAGAACCACCGGTATAAGCTATGGCCCCGGACCATGCACCAACACCGGCGCAGCTTCCGGTCGCTGTCGAGGTTGTCGTGGAAGATGTGCTGGTAGAGGTGCCGGACTTAGTCGATGAACTAGACGTCGTTGTAGTGCCTGAAGCAGAGGTCGAGGTCGGTCCCGTGGAAGCAGTGCCTCCGGAGCCCACACAGGCGCTGACTGCGCGGAAGATTACGTCTCAGATATATTGCTCACTTGGCGCGCCGCGTTACTCACTTGCGCTCCATTCACCATTTGGATCAGTGGATGGCGTACTTGAAGCAAAGAACTTGGCCTAAGTCAAAGAATGCGTCAGAGACACACGGACGCTCATCGATTTTTGATCCTGGGTTCCCGTACCTTCCAGATGTAACTGCGCAACAAATGAGTTCTGTGGATGTCACAAAAAGGCGCAACACTTACCCATTGAAGGAAACCTGTGATCCGCCCTGGTAATTCGTGCCGGATACGAAGGCCGGAGCTGAGCACGCAGGGAAAGTGAATCCAGTACCTCCTGCCGCAGTTAGTGCGCTCTTGATTGCTGCATCGTAACGGCTGTTTGCTAATAGACGGAAGATTGGATACCGCATCGGACTTCCCAAGTAAGGATGCATACCATAAGCTTGTGACGCATCCCTGATCGAGGAAAGAGCATATGAGTACATTAGGACATTCTGATAAAGCCCCACTGACCATAACATAACACCACCAAAAGACGGGAAACTTTTACGCATCTGCACGGCGATGTTGCTCAATGTTCCGATAGCTTGGTACCCAGTGCCTGCTGCGGAGCTAGAAGCAGGAGCGCCCACAAATATCTTAACATTCTTGTTGGGACTGATAGTTCGTGCCCAGTTATCCCCTGCGTTATCGTGAGCTGAAGCATTCGACACGCATCACGAATTTTCATACAGATACCGAAGTCCCAATCCTAAAAAAACATTAGACCGACAGCGACGCACACAGATATATCAAATTACCTGGGCAAGGTTGAAGTTCTGGAGCCCGCACACGTTGTTATCTATTTGACATGTCAGTCGTCGTAATGACATCGCAGTCGGCCCACGTGGGTGGCTTACAGAATTGTACGTATACCATGTCGAAGTCGGCGGCATTGAGGACGCTTCCTAGCGATGCATCGGGGTATGGACACTAAACACGACGATTAGACCGGTGACACAAGTGATGAAATTCAGGCGTGCCTGTGGAGCCGCGGAGACGTAGTAACTGTTCTCCGTTTGAGCATCCATTCCAAAGATTTGGTCGTAATACTCACGGTTTGCTAGCCCCGCTGGCAAGGCTACGAATCTTGGTGACGAAGGCCGCATAGCCTGTTGAACCTGTAATACGAAACATTCATATCGTATGACGCGTCTTGCGAATGATGCAAGCTTACTCCCGCCTTCTATGTCGAGATCCACGCCATCAAGCACTGCATCTCCAAACGGTCGTGTAGAGCTCGATCCTCCTAGGAACAGGTTCCAGATCGTCTCTGCGAAATCTGTCGCTTGGTCATCGCCCGTGAAGCCGACAGAGCTATGGATAGATGTATGAGATTCGTGTTCAGTTAGGCCCACAAACACATGGACTGACCCTGTTGCGCCGCCCAATGAGAGGGTGATAATCTTCCCCTTTGCTTGGCAAGTTTTGATATCCGACGCGAGACCAGAACAGTCGAGAAGATTGGTACCAGGGAAGGTCGTATTGCCATTCACCGAGTTGCAAGTCTGGATGGGGTAATGTCAAATGTTGAGCGCTCCGTCTGCGGGTCACACGAATGCACTAACATTCGCGAGGTTGATTGAAGGAAGGTTTCCCGTACTGAAAAAGGAGGTGAGGAAGGCAATAGGAAAGACGTCGATTGAATTGTCCTGCAGAGGAATCGCATCATTCAACGGTCTAGCAGTCCGGGCAAAGTTATTTGACTTACTTGACAGTAGAATGCCAAACTCTTCTGAAAGTTGGCCGTGTCCGCAGCATTCGCCGCCCCATACGAGTTCTGGCCCCAATATCTGAAACCCTCGCCGAATAAGTAAACATTCCGACCTCTCGCGGAGGAAGTGTGGCTTACACGGCAACCTGATAACAGAGCCTATTTAGGTTTCGCGACACAATGGCTAAGTGGGGTCAAGTGTACGTACGTTGTCATAACGTGCGTTATCAAACGCCCGTGAAAGAGGAAGGGAACCGATAAATGCTAGATATAAATAGATGCATAGCATATACGACTCCATGATATGATTGTCCAGATGGTTGCCCGGGGTAGGAATGCTCATGCGCCAGCTCTGTGCAGCTCGCCTTTAAGCGCGGAACGGGGGCGTAGCATATCTGGCCGCGCCGACTCGAAGAGGCAGTTGTCGGACGATTTCCGCACGATTAAACAGTCATTAGTCTTCATAGAGGACTCGATGGTGTGCGCACCGCGCGCATGATGCTCGCGAGGCGCAGAAGACGCCGTAAGAAGAATGCTGGAACGACCTTTGTGAGCAGTTTAGGTCCTCAATCCACATGGCGACACGCAGGTCAAAATGAGCATCTCCGGAAGAACTGATAGCGGAAGGATGGAAGAGCATGCGGCACACACGATAATGGTCATCACGTGCGCTCATTGGCTGCCAAACGCAGCGGCGTGTAAGGGCGCGCACGCCGTACGGCGCAACCTTGCGATATCTTGAGAACAGCATCCATGCCCGAAGCACTACAGTACAACGTGAATACAGTCAGCATCTCATATGCGCAGCCAAAGCGCAAAGAGAAGGATGCGCATAGCGGACAGGCGCGTGAAGTCCCGTTCCAGGGACACCGCTGATGCTCAAGCAGCCCGCGGTTCATCTGCTCCGCTCGCCGCAGTCCTCACCGGGTCTGTGTTCGGCAAGTTAGCATCGTAATGAATGAACGACGCTTCACATACCAAAGTAAGGGTGCGCCTGAGCCTCGCGCGCGGTGAGGCGCTCCTGATGATCATATCGCCTGCACGGTTGTTCAGCAACTTGCCTTCGGCAACAAGGCTTGGTAACGTACAGTAGCTTGTCCAGGAAGTCGATCGCTTCGTTGGAGATGAAGCGTTGATTCTCAGATGTGATAAACCGCGACCAAGGTTTTCGTGGGTACCTGATGCAGCGGTGAGAATGGTAAACGTACGTTCACTGCATCCAGATTCTCACCTCCCCAGTATATCGTCATATTGCGGGTCTAGTGCGATGTTGTACTTTTCCAGATAGACGAAGAACTCGTCGGTGCCGAGTACTTTAGTGATCTTGACAAGTTGGTCGTAATTGTCGTGGCCATGAAAGAATGGTTCCTTCCTGAAGATCTATGCGAGTCGGGACATGTCATTGACCGATTCTATGCGCGTCGAGAAGGATCAATGGCGGCTCACCATAGAAGCGAACATGCAGCCGAAACTCCACATGTCTAGGCTGTAGTCGTATTCTTGGAAATCGACCAGAAGCTCAGGACCCTTGAAGTATCTGGAAGCGACTCGCACGTTGTAGTCCGTCTTGGGGTGATAAAATTCTGCCAAGCCTGAAGATATGTCGGCACACACTGCGCGTTCTCATATAATTGTGATTACCCCAGTCAATCAGCCGTAACTGCGTTTCGGTGTTGATGAGAGTAGTGGCGCATGGAAGCACCTGATTCGCGTACCTTTCGCCGTTCGTGATCGATCATGACATTGTGCGGCTTCACGTCACGATGCATTATACCCTTGGAGTGACAGTAATCGAGCGCCTGACAAAAAGTTCACTCCTTTGACGAAAGATCAATCAAGCGATGCTCGAACCTTCAGTAGCTCGAGCATGTAGAATCGTACATCGAAGTCGGTGAAACGGGGATACAGGACCTTGAAGTCCACGTTGTGGATATATTCTGTGATGAGACTGGGTATCTTGGAAGTAGGATCTCGAACAACATCGAGTAGCGCGACAATGTTCGGGCCACCAGCAAGATTCTGCAGGATTTTGATCTCGCGTTTGATCTTCTTCTTCTTGACGGGCTTGAGGACCTTGATAATGCACTTTTCTTCGTTTACAATATTCACTCCTTCGAACACCTACGCGCCATCAGTCATCCAAAGTTCAGCGAAGGGATAGAGTACCGGGCATACCTCCGAGTACTTTCCCCTGCCGACCTTACGAACGATCTCATAATGGTCTTGAGACCCCCACTGAACTTGCAGATTGTCTATCGAACGTCGGTGAGATTGGTTTTGTCGCGGTGGGTCTACTGACCATATTCGTGCCACGAAGGACCGAGTTGAGCGTTCACATTAGGATATATCCTTGATACAGACTTGACCGGGCGGCCCATTGCAGATTCGTTGTGTAGCGACAAGAACCAAGACCGTATACAGGGGGTGACCGCGCCAGAGCGCGCCAAAGACGCACCGGTCTCTCACGCCCTGCTTTGCCTTTTGCCACAGGTCGCCGGAGATGAAGCTCACCGACCAGAAACCGCCTCGCTGGCCCTCCCATGTTGAATACATTCCGTCTCAGGTGTATGATCGCTCCGTTCCGCATGAACTACTCTGTCTAATCCGGGGCAATCAACTATGTCCGCCGACACGCGTGTCTTCGGTGACGATCCGACCTGTTACTGAACGATCCCATCCGGCTTTCGGGCAGTACGATCAAATCGCTGGACTTTCGAGACACCGATGTCGATGAACTTCAATAGGCACGGCCTCTTCGCCGCGAAAAGAATACCACCGCGTTCTCACATAATAGACTACGCTGGCGAGGTTCATGCCGACGACCGGCCTAGCTCGGACTACGATCTATCGTTACATCGAACTCGGGACGGCATCAGCATCGGTGTCGACGCCAGCCGTAAGGGTAACGAGGCCCGGTTTGTCAACGATTATCGTGGCATACGCGACAGACCGAACGCGGTCTTCCAGGAAGGCAGACCCGTGCCAGATGGGGAGCTCAGGATGAGCATTTGGAGCTCAAGCGAGTGTATCCGCAAAGGTGACGAGATCCTGGTATCCTATGGGAAGGGGTGGTGGCAGGCGCGGCTGCAGTCCTCCGGTGGGCTCTAGGTTACTGGTGCTGCTTGCTCGCCAGTACTGATGTGCTGTATATGCACGCTCAGCGGAAACCACGCACGAACGCGGCGCATGAGCCGCCGAGCGGGGCGAAACGATGGCCACCGTGAATCATGTGAATATATTACTTTACCTACGCGTTGTTTTTACGAACGAAAGCACCATTGGCATCAGCTTTCGTATGTCGAGACATGCATAACGTGCCAAGAACTTGCGGGTCCAGCTATGACGGAATGCTGAAGAACACTCGAGTTTATACGTACGTCACGTGATCGGAATTTTACGCCATGGCACCGACGCCCGAAGCCTGCTCCCTGCAGTGCTACCTACCTTTACTGTACTTCTTCCGACCCAAATGCCACCCCGGTTGCCTACTCAAGGGTTCCACGCATACGTTTCGTTCTACTCGAGCGCCGTAGCGCCGTCAAGGGCCCGTGCGTCACGGTCATTAACGACATCCTCCACACCCTGTTTGCGACATGCATCTACGCGGCGTATTCTCACAGGCATATACTCCTCGGGCACTGATGCCAGTGGACGGGTTTGTCGTCTCCCGTCTGCCTCTATGAGGTGATCTCAATCCCCTAGCACAGCGCGGATTCCATGCTTCATTATCACGTCCAGCACCGAAGGATCCGTACGAGGTTCTCGGGGTCAAGAGGGATGCAACGGCAGCCGACATAAAGAAGACCTACTTCTCGGTGCGCAGCATGGGAGTCTTTCGTGCGCCATCAGCAGTCTAACGTCGTATCAGTTGGCGCGCAAATATCACCCGGATACAAATCCCGACAAAAACGCGCGGGAGAAGTTTCAGGAAATTCAGGATGCATACGATGTACGTTCCTCATCGACCCTTCACCCGAGTTCTGATCTCGACTGCCAAGCATAGACACTGAAGGATGACTCGAGAAGAGCGGCATACGACCGATATGGGTCTGCGTCTCAGCAACCTGGCTTTAACCCTGATGCCTTCGAACAAGCACAAAACCCGTTCAGCGGAGGGTTCTCCTTCTCTTCTATGTTTAGGTCGGGACGGGAAACAGGGGCACGACCGGACGATTCGGACATGTTTGAAACGCTATTCGGCCCATTTGGTGGCGGTCATGGACGTCGAACGGGCTACACGGAGGTGATCCAGGGAGCGGATATCGAAGCAAGCATTGGGATAAGCTTCCAGGAAGCCTGCAAGGGAACGTCGCGCACTATCGATCTCACTCCCGTCAACGACTGTCCGACATGTACAGGTACCGGCATGCGCAAAGGCGCCAACCGTGTTACTTGCAACTCTTGCGGAGGGACGGGTACCCGGACATTTGTGATAGACAACGGGTTCCAGATGTCCAGCACTTGCACGACATGCTTAGGGGCAGGAACCACGATACCGCGTGGTGCTCGATGCGGAGCATGCTCCGGCGTAGGGAAAGTTCGCGTCAAGAGCACCACCAAAGTGGACATACCCGCCGGTGTGTTCACAGTTGCGCCGTAGCGGTTGACAACCTTCTTATCCGATATTCGTTGCAGGTGTCGAAGACGGTATGCTCATCCGGATCCGCGGCGCTGGAGATGCCCCGGTACAAGGCAAGGGAGTTAGGGGAGATCTCCTTGTCCGTGTCAGTGTCGCGCCCTCGAAGGAGTTTAGACGTCAAGGCGCGAACCTGTACTATACCGCCCGGATACCGCTCCATACCGCGTTATTAGGCGGTAGAGTACGGGTCCCGACCCTGGACGGCGATGTCGACGTCCGCGTTCCTGCCGGCACCCAGCAAGCGGAACAGATGGTTCTCAAAGGTCGTGGAGTAACACCCGCTCTCGGAGGTTCCAAAGGAGATCTACTTGTCGAATTCTTGGTCCAGATCCCTCGGTACGTGATTGAGACTGCATGTTTTCGCACCGCTGACCGCTGTCACCAGATTGCTGACGGATCGTCAACGAGCTCTTATCCAAGAATACGCTGATGATGTGGAGGGTCGCATCGCCTCCACGCAGAAAACGGCCAAGAAGACTGCAGAGGCGCCGAGCGACAACACCTCCGAGGCCAAGACAAGCACGAATGGTACGGATTTCAATTCACCGTCCCCGTCGCCGGACGAGGGTGGGCGGATCTCGCTATGGCAGAGACTGAAAAAGCTCATCGGGTTCTGATCTCCGTGTCGTATGTTGAAGGTGCCAGCGAAACTGACGCGAAACCACGCGCTTCTACTACCGAAAGAGAGGATACGGATAAGGAGAAGGAGAAAGCGACGGCATCGGCGTGAAGTGTCGAGGAGGGCAGGGGCTGGTGCATGCGAGAGGATTACGATCCCCGCTGATAGAGTGGATCACAACCCTATCCATAAACTAGAGTATATTGTCACCGTTATTTGTCCACTGTGCTGCTCAACCCCTTGCGACCCCGGCCGGCGAGCGAGAGTCCCGGAGTCGACTGTCACCGATAATATTTCGCATCTGATTGTCTTAGATATTGGACGATCAAACGCTTCTAACGTCGATCGTATAGTGGCTCGACCATCGTAGATTATGGCGTTCTGTGGAACAGCCGTCACTGAGAGCGACGATCAGCCATGCAGGCGATTAGGGTGCCTCGTGGCGGAGGATGCTGCCACGTTTCTCCGAGCCGGGTGTACGCTACGCGGCTGCTGTATCAAGCTTTCCCGAGCTTCGCAAACACGGCGTCTCTTTGCCCATGCATCCTCTCGGCACCGTTTTGAATGGGGGCAGATCTTTAGATTCGTTCTCGATGGCCCCAGCGGCGGAGACTGTAAAAAAGGTCTTTTTATGGTTTCTGCCTGTCCCTCGTTTTCTGGACGTCTTCTCGGATTCTAGTGGTCCCGACCAGATATTGCGTCTCCCGGCTTTCAGAGGTCCTAGAGCAGATCGCCTTACGTGAACGGCCTATACACCGTGGTTGCCATAATTTGGTCCAAAGACTCGCGCCCTGTGTATAATGGGGATCGTATTTATACGAGAAGGGCGTACCGTCTCCCCACTCCTGAAAGCCCTCCTTCGACGTCTGCCGCCTTCGGTGAAGCGTCCCCGTATCCCGGAGCTGTGGTACTGCCCTTATCCCTGTGGAGAAAAAAATGACAGGCAGTCGGGCCCTCGACATCGAGGCAATAGTGGTCACACCCACGCCTTCTCTGGGCCATGGTCAAAAGACCGGCTCAAGTCCTCCACCTGCAATCTCCGGTTTCACACCCGCGTCTCAACGAAACTCTACATCCTCAGTTGATGGGACTCTATTCTACGCCTCTGGAACTGCGGCATCGTCCGTTACGCGTGTGGACGAACATGACATTAATTATAGGACGCTATCCACTACTCGTATACTAATTGCTCATATTGGGTAGATATCGAAGGTCATCTGTTTCAAATTGGCGCTGGCTCATTGATATCATCTTGCAGCGCTGCCTTGTCTTTGTTTCTTGCTACGACTGACGCTGTGAGTTCCTTGTCCAAAGATCGCTACCATGGCGCATGTGCTTATCGGGGACCAATAGACTATCGTTTCCACGAGCCTGCCAACCATAGCGAAGGAGCTGAATGCTAGCCAAGACCAGTACACCTGGGTAGGCATATCGTACATGCTCACCCAGACGGCCTTTCAGCCCCTGTATGGGCGGATCTCCGACCTTGTTGGGCGCAAGGTGAGCAAAGGCGCCGCACGCGATTGTGCTTACGATGCATACGGGGGCGAATAATATGGTTTTGCAGGCTGTCCTGTATACAAGCATGCTGATCTTCGCACTCGGCTCCGCGCTATGTGGGTCGGCACAGGTGATTCTCTCCAGGCTTCGGTTCTTCTTGTGCTAACGTTTTGCACAGAGTATCAGTTGGCTCATCGCAGCACGAGCGCTTGCCGGAGTCGGCGGGGGCGGCATCGTCAGCGCCGTCTGGGTGATCACGGCGGAGATTGTCGCTCCTGCACAACGTGCAAAATGGTCACAAGCTCTCAGTATTACGTGGAGTTGCTCTGCGATCGCAGGACCGCTGCTGGGAGGACTGTTCAGTGGTTAGTCAACCGAGGATTCCTGGTGCACAATGTCCCATTTCACGATCACGATAGGCAATACTCCCGGATCCAGCTGGCGATGGGCCTGTGAGTATCGGACCCGGGGTTCTCGCCGCTGATAGCTCACCACCCTCTGCAGTCTACATCAATCTACCAATCGGCTCAGCGGCACTGTTGATTTTGAGTTTGTCTCTGCGTCCTCTCGAGTTACGGCGTGCGATAGATGCTTCCTGGTACACTTTCTGCCGACGGTTCGACTTCGTGGGGCTGTGAGTCGTGCGGTTCAACTCACTCGGCGCCCCTCATGGATCTTCCAGAGGATTGTTCATGGCCGGCACGATCTGCACCGTTCTGGGGTTTGGGTACACGACCATCGACAGTTGCAAGTATTCTGGTAAATTCTGCCTTCTTGAGCTCACGCACGTACAACAGGGTCGTCTGTGACGACAATATGCCTCATATCCTTCGGGATAGCATCCTTTGTGGGTGGCGGACTGTATGAGACTGTTACTCGGCGCGAAGCACTGTTTTCTCCTACGGCGTTCAAAAATTCCACCGCTGGTAATGACCGTTGCTTCTTCACGCCACGTGGACTGATACCGGTCTGTGTAGCAATCATTCTGGTGATCGCCTTCTTGCACCAGTTCGCTTTCAATGCCGGCACGTTCTATTTGGCACTCTATTTCCAGGTGCATCAACATCTTCGCTGACGACAGAATGGCAAGAGCTGAATCAGGAATTGCAGGCCGTAAACGGTTTAATGCCTGTGGCAGCGGGTCTCATGATAATGCCTTACTCGCTTGGCTCTTCCCTGATTTCCCTGCCTGCTGCATGGTTTATAGGCTATTGGCAGAAACGTTCTGGCAACATGGCGGCACAAAAATGGGTCATCACCATCGGTCTCGTCCTCTCCGCCCTGGGATTCGGTGCGAATATGTCTTCTTTCTCTGACACATACAGAATGTTAAACCTCCGTCGCAGGCCTGATGGCAGCACTCCGGGTTGATTCTTCTCGAGCGTGCCAAATCCTATTCCCTCTCGTCTCAGGCCTCGGCCTCGGACTGCTATTTCACGCGCCGTATCAGGTTTTTACGCGGGTCCTGGGACCGGAAGAGCTCGCTTCAGGCACAAGCGCTTTCTTTCTCGTCAGGTTTACTGGAGCCACGGTCGGCTTGGTCAGGGTCATTGTCTGATAACCTTCGAAGCGTATGCTGATCCCGAGCGTAGTCTGTCGCGGGCGCCATATTCTCTGACCGGCTTGCGAAGAATGCTCCTGGCGGCTTTATCATTCCGGGTGCGAACACCCCGACCGCTTGGACGACGCTCAAGACCCTGGAGCCGGTTACCTTCCGCACTGACGTCCTCACCGCGGTATCATCGTCCTTGCAAGTGCGTCATGTCTGCTAACTCTAAGCTCCACAGCAAGAGTCTAAACACAGTTTCATGTTTCTGATAGGCTATTTGGATCGTCTGCGCGCCTTGTCTAGCTGCAGCATGCCTGGTAAGCCTTCAACGCGACTCTTCTCGAAGCCCGCCTTCGGATGCTGAATTTATCCGGTTCTTACAGATCTCGATCTTTGTACGGAAGCTTTCAATTCGCAGCCCCGACGACTGCGCAACTGCTCCACAAAAGCGTACTCCCACCTCACAGGGAAAAGAGAATACATAATTTGCTAATGCCAAGGATAAATTCGTACTGTAATGCCGCTATGGTGTCTTTTTTGTATAGATCGTCGCGTACGCTGTGAAAATGTACGACAGGATCCGAAACCGTTTGGGTAGATTCGTCACTTGCGTTCCGTGAATCGCAAACTTATAACCGTACGGAGGCAATTCAGTACTGCTTTCAGGTCTCCCGGAACTGATCGAATGCAACAAGTAAGCTAAATAGCCGATATCGACCGCACAACATGCCGAAGGTCGTGGTACCGCTGCGTCGTCATCTGTACCCATCTGTAGCATCTTGATTCATCTTTGCCGATTGAGTCTAGCCTCTTGCAGAAAAAAAACATACGCGCGCACAGATCGATCGCAAATTACTTGACCTCGGTGAATCCATGCTCCCGGGCGGTTCGTCCAGCGAGTTTTGGGAGTAAACGACCCTAAACGACCCTGGTTCGCAGAAGGCAGAAGGCGACGAATGCGAATTCAATCTACAGATAAGTAAGCGCATCACGGGAGGGCGGGGATTCTCGCCACTGCTCCGTCTGAAGGTTCTGAGCCTTGAATTCGGGAATCGGAAGACATGCGGCGCGGAAGGGGACACGAGGCTGACGCCACGACGTTGTTATACGTCTTCACTGTGGACATTGAGCGGATTTAAGCTATGGAGGAGTGTCAACCGCTACGGGCGTCGTGCCAAGTGTGGGTGGAACGCCGAGGTATGCATCGTGCGCCGCTTGCACCCACGACATGAAGCGATGGCGATGCGAAACGAGTGAATGGCGGCGAAGAGGGGGGAAGGTGTTGTCGCGGGAGTCGATGAGAGTCGATGTCTGGAGCGATCCAATACGGCACAGAAGCGCGTATTAGGATTTTGCGGTACGAGCTAAGCCCAACTCCGTCCCTGCTCGGAGACAATGACGAATAAATGGATGGTGATACTAAACATGCCGTTGACGATAAGCAGTCGGACGACGTCGGTCAACGAGCTCAACGTGTTTTGATAGGACCTACGAGGGCCGAACAGGGACTGATTGGATACGGATCCGCCATCTTCTGTGACGAGCCGTACCTTTATATCCAAAGTTGATCGTCAGCGTACCGCGGTGAACGCGGGTGACGAGGGCGCCGCAAGGGGATAGCATGTGTAGGCGGCAGGGCATGCAGCATACTGGATCACGCGAGCAGCCAATCTAACGTCGGAAAATGGATGGGCTTCACCGAACCTTCACCTTTGCTCATCGACCACCATGTCTCCTATCCTCGGTGCTCATACAGTCTCGTCCCCGGTTCCATTACCCGGAACTTCCTCGGAGGTCACAAATCCCCTCGAGCGCAAGCTCAGCCGGTCACTTTCCATCAAGACTAACGCGTCTCGCGCTTCCTCTACTGGCTCCATTCCATTCGGAGATGTCGAAGTCGAGGTCATCACCGTAGAAGGTTTGCCTCATGCGTACACCAAACTAGATGCCAGGTGAGGGTCACAATCATGCCAGGGTCCCATTCGAGAAACACCATGATGTCAGGTCTGCGAGGGCGAACTGACCGATGGCGGACAGATCGGTCACTCTCCCCAACATGGGCAGTAGGACATATCTTACTTTGAAGCTCATGCCTGTCCTTTTTCCACCTTAGGAAGTACAAAACACCCCAGTTCCGCGAATCACTGCTCGACGTGCTCCTCGCGATACCGGTCACGTCTTGGTTAGACGATGAAATTACCCCAGACCTCGTGAAAATTGAGAAAGTCGCGGGTTCGCTTACGAACGCGGTCTTCTTCGTATCGTGTCCATCCATACCGAAAGCCCGCACTCTGTTGCTTCGAATCTACGGGCCGTCGTCTGGCGCGCTCATCAACCGAGCGCGCGAGCTCTATACCCTGCACGTCCTGTCCTCACAGTACCGCATTGGCCCGCGGATTTACGGCACATTCGAGAACGGGCGGATTGAGGAATACTTCGATTCTACTGCGCTTACTGCCTCGGAGCTGCGCGATCCTCGTATCAGCCGCTACATCGGCGCTCGCATGGCCGAGCTGCATTGTGTGGACATCGAGGCGGTCGAACAAACAACTCCGGAAACACGAGGCGAAGGCAGAGGCTGGGAAGTCGCAGCCAAGAAGAACTTCAGGACGTGGCTTCCGGCGGCACGCGACGTGCTCGAACTGCCGTCCGTCACTGCGGAGACGCGCGCGGAACTGGATCTCGACGTTCTCAAGGATCGGTGGATCACCTACATTCAATGGCTTGACCAATTCGAGCGCGAAGAGGGCCCGAGCAAACGGGTGTTCGCTCACAACGACACTCAGTATGGCAACCTTTTAAGGTTGACAAAACCTAAAGAAGGTATTCCAGAACATCGTCAGGTGTGTTCTTGTTGTCCGTCCGACTCAGCTGCGGAGCGCTGACGATTTCACACAGATAATTGTGGTCGATTTTGAATATGCGGCGCCCAATTCTGCCGCTTTCGACATCGCCAATCATTTCCACGAGTGGACCGCGAACTACCACGGCTCCACCCCCCACCTTCTAGACCACACTCGTTACCCCACTCTCGAGCAGCGCCGCAACTTTTACGCGACGTATCTTGAGCACTCGTGCCCGCCACTGCCGTCGTCCGAACAGGCATGCATCCCGCTCACCGGCAGCGACTTGGAGAAGGAGATGCAGAAACTCGAGGAGCAGGTTCGCGCCTGGAGCCCCGCGTCACACGCAATGTGGACAGTTTGGGGTATAGTCCAAGCGCGCGATGATATGGAACGCAACGATGGCCAGGCGGAGTTCAATTACATCGGATACGCGCAGTGCAGGTTAGAAGGCTTTCACAGGGAACTACAGGCTCTGGGACTGTGATGCCTAGACCGTAGGATATAGAAACCAGATACCCAAAGTTTTGCCTTCAGTGCAAATATATCCTTACCGGCTTGGTGTATTTGGTGTTAATGTTGTCCTGCTGACATTTGCAGTTGCATATCGTAGCGACTATGCACACGCTGAGTCTCGAGCACGATGTCTGTATGCATTCATAAAAGGAATAAAAACATGGAACAAGCAAGTGATACGATGCAGCGGTTGACGATGAGGAACCTCAAATACACGAGAATGAGCAAGAAATAACCAGGAAAGGGTGGTCGTGAAGGGGCAGCTACGAGGGTCGAGCACAGATTGGGCAACGGAAGACATGGGTCAACAAGTTATTCCTTTTTTTTTTGTCGAATCGGGGAAAGGTCGCTACCGATGAACGTTTACACATCTAGTCGAGAAACTGACCGAAGCAGTCGGCGTTGAAATGGCGTGAGATGTCCGACCATGTATATGCGGAAGTCATAATCATAACCTTGTCGCGGTGTGGCCTGGACGCCGGGCCTGCGGCGAATACCCTGGCGCCGGCGATAAGGCGCTCGTTCGTCATGTGAAATATCCCTAGTTGCGCCTCGAGGAGCCAATAGCTAACTCGGACGTCCAAGGAGAGGCTGTTTTCAGCTCGTTGCCAGGCACCGACGAATAGGGCGACGGCGCGGCTAATCGGCTACTCCGGAATGTGGTTGGCCAGTTGCCGGCGCTCCCAGCTCGGACGTGACCGTTGGCCCGAGGTTGTGTGTGTCTCTGCGGAGGGGAAACCGCGAGCGACGTGGTCGGCGTCGGGGCGGAGGCCACGTTAGCGAGATCGAGACTAATCTCAGTGCCATTGAAGGAATGACGATTGTTGGGACTAGAAGCCCCCTTGCCCAGGCGCGTCTGGAATGGCACGATCAGCAAATTTCGCAAACAGGCAGTTCGCGATAAGCATACCTGGTTCTGATTGAGATCGAGTCGGCCATTGCGCCCGAAATCAGGGTGCGCAGTCACTGCAATCGGGGACATGTTCGGCTGCTCGTTCGTCGGAAGTATCATACCACTATTGAACGTCGGAAAAGCCGATTTGTTCTCCTTGGACGCAGTGCTACCTAAGGCAGTCGTATCGACCCTCAAAGCACCGGGACGTGACCCAAGCGCGAACGTCGCCTGAGGGGTAACATCCACTGGCGTGGCTGCCCCGGGTACGTTCGCACTGGGAGAAGATCCCTGGTTACGCTTGGCAGAGATGCGGGCGAGCAATGACGTGGATGCGTCGTTTGGGTCACTGTTTGTGCTCATCGAGCGGGCACGTTGACCGTTGGTCAAGTTGGTCGGCGGGGGGGTTCCGTCAGCGCCCGGAGGTGCGCTTCCAGCGGGAAGCTCGGTGTGGATGAAGCAGCAGCGTTTGCCATACGGGCAAGATCCAGATACCCAAAAAGTCTAGGTATATCGATTAGCGCCATGCAATGACTATATGCGTTATACTTACCCTGCAAATTTCAGTCTTGTACTTGGGATGGCGAGCAACGACGCGAAGCTCCTCTTCGCCGTGGGCGAACTGACATTTGGTGCCGTACCGGCAAGTTCCCTTCTCCTCCCAGCTGCGACACAACTCGGTCTTGTACAGCCCTAGCTTGCGGTTGTTCGCGCTCGGACCCGACCCGTTGGGATTCACCTCGACCTGAACAGGGTTAATGCTACCGTTCAAGCCCGCAGACTGAGCGGGCGCTGCAGCATTGTAGGGTCCGGTGTACTGTGGCTGCAACCTGTTGGCTGCCACGAGCTGGGCATGGGCGGCAAGGTCGTTAATTGCATACATGTCCTGTGGCTGGTAGAACTGGTTGCCATAGACGGCAGCAAGCGGAGGCGGGGTCGTCAACGCAGGGTACATTCCCGGAACACCAGCACCAGCAGGGAAAGCCTGGAGGTTGTTGGCTGCGAGAAGTTGGGCCAGAGTAGCTGCTTCCCGAAGGGAAGCCGGGTCAGACGCAGAGTGGGAGTGCGTCGGCCGGAACGCGCCATGCTGCTGCTGGATGCGTGCGACGGCAGGGTTTTCATGGACAATATTCGGCAGCATCATATCGTACATTTGTTGAGGGGTACCCATCGAGAGCGCTTGCTGATGCTGAGCGGGATACGGGAAGCCTGCCTGGGGCGGCACCGGTCCTGGAAGTCGAGCAGACTGACGGAAGGGTATAGGGGCTAGTCCGTTGTTAGGCCTAAAGGACGGTACGCCAGGACTGCCCAGGGCAGGGCCAAGAGAATTGAACTGGCGCTGCTGCATCTGATAATCGGTTTCCAACTCGTCCTGACGAGGAGCCAACGACGTCATCACGACAGGTGCATTAACCACAGGCGGTTGCGGGCGTTGGGCCGGAACGTGGATAACCGTTGGATTACCGGTCAGTGAAGGATACGTTGGCTGATCCGATTGGTTCGGAGTCGACCACTCTCGTTGCTGCGGTTGCTGGGGCGTGGTATCTCCTGACGGAGGTTTGGCAACTGGACTGCCCCCCGCCTGCTGCAGGCGGCGGAGGTCAGCCATGGACAATCCGCCACTGTAGGAGTGCGGCCGCTCGCGCTGCTCGCCCACCGCACCGACCTGAGGCGGGGTAAGAGGGGGGACGCGGAGATTACGACTCCCGGAGTCGGTTGTATCGGCAGACGAGTCCCTGGAGTGAATGGCGCTACCACGACTGTTCTGACTGGGTTCTGGGGATGAGGATCCAGCGCTGGCGTCGGATGACTCTAGAGGGCTTGTCTCGGTGAATTGCGCAACAGCCGTGGTAGAGTTCTTGGAGTTCGGCGGAGTACGCATCTGACCTCGCAATTCATCGGCTTCGCCACCGCCTAAGTTCAATCGGACAATCTGATCCGCCAAGTCCCATTCGGGAGTGGTCTCTGCGTCGACTAACTGTCCGGCGCCGTTGAGCCGCCAGCGATCACCTCCGAGGGAAGGTAGATCGGAAGACGCGTTGCGGGAGTGCATGTATTGAGACTGCATGGTCGGTTTTTGCAACCCCGTCGGAAGGGACGGCTGACGCTGATGACGCTGAATATGAAGTATTAGTCAGCGAGTCCTCGACGGTGCAATGGGGACGTGTACCTCTACGGAGGCGGGGACGTCTTCAGGCGGGGTGAAACGACCTGCGGGAGGAGACAAGGATGTGGTGACTACAGCTTGCATTTAGACTGTGATGCGGGCAAGGGTTAGTCGCGTGAAGAACCGCGTCGGTGTGATACGAACCAGTTAATTATATGGTTAATGCACGGTCTGGTGTTGATTGCGTTCAATAAAGACTTGCGGTGTGACTGTTGAGAGCCCCGAAGAGAGCAGATAGCGGTGGAGATCGTGCGCTGGTCGTGAGTGAAGATATATGCAGCTGCGCTGGAGCCGATCGCGTCACGGAGAGGGAGGACGGCGGCAGGCGTAACCGGAACGAGAAGCGATAGAAACGTATAAAAAGATCAAGTTAGGCGTTGCGGATGGAGTGTACGGGCTGGACTGAGTGCGCTCCGGGGATGGAGGAGGGCAGAGGAAGAGGGACGAGCTGGTGCGGCGGTCTGGGTTTTGATCACAACGTGCCCTTGGAGCTCCCGCGCCAGTCACAAATCACTCCCCTCGACTTTTGCTTCCGTAAAGCCTCGCCTTCGGCTCTTCTGCCTCGCCGTTTGCTCATGTACTTATGTACATCTCTCACCAAGCATACAGCGGACGCGATTTACGTGCGGCAGGAGACCGACAATCCAACCCAACGCGCACCCGCACCCGCACCAATTCCCTCGCACAGTTCGCGCTCAGTGCGCTCTGAATGAGAACGCATATAATGCCCGGAAGATCACCATGGCGGTACAAACTAGTCCGCCTCTGCGAGGCTTATACAGCCTGATATCAACCAGATCACCCCGTGCTCTTCGCACGGCCTCTTCCAGGCGATCTGGGAACATGCGCGCCACATTCTCCTTTGCTTTTACTCCATTGTAATACGTTACATGGTATCCACGGAATGCGAGTGCATTCTTCTCCGACTCACGACCATGGCTCCTGGCCCAGCGTGTTTCCACCGGTTTCTCATATGATACTCCGTCGGACCTTTGTCAACCGACCGAGGTCCGAGGTGAGGTGAAGGAGTTTGCATGTACGGAAAACATGCTGTCGCTAGATGACAAGCGATTTGTCGAGATTGTTCTGATTATCTTCATCTTCAACGTGCAAAGCATGCTGCTCCTGGCATCTCATTTGCAGGATAACAGTGGGGAATGATTCGCCAGGATCCGTTCAGACCCCACAATACTATCCCTGCACTATCATGGACGGCGCTCTGACTGCGGTCTGAACGTTGAACCATGGTTCTTCGTGTGAGGAAGTGTCATGTAAGCCGTGACTCCATGACTACCGATGAACCTTTCTTAACTTGACTTTTGTCAGTACCCGAGCCCCAGGCCTCATGTCGTGCTCACGGTCATACCGCCGGAAATATTCCCCACCGGTACTGACTGTGTTAGCATGAATACCCACCGCTTGCGGGCGTATTTTGCTGACAGGCAGCGTTCGAGAACTGCACGTTAATGCGGTCAGACAGATAGAACGAGACTCAAGGCGCTTCAAGTCTCCGGTACCCATCGATGAGTTCTTGCTCGATACCGACAGGGTCGAACTATCACAGCATATGTCGTCTCAAGGGATCACAGCCTTGCAATTAATTGCCTGTTGACGTTTCTGGGAAAATTACTCTTCGCAAGCTTACCTCTTCAGCCCATGAACGGCGTGGACTCCGTCAGATCCCTGAAATCTTCACGCAAGCACCCTGTGATACACACGGAAACAAGACCACGGAGGGCACATCTCGGCGCCCAAAAGCCGCTTTGCGTGCCGCTGCGATGGCGATCGATCATCTTTGGGGCTCGAGTCCTCCTGGTTCCTTTCGAATCTCTATTCCCCGCAGACGGGCCGTATGGGACAGCGACCAGTAGGTCATCGACTTCCCCAGCGTCCGGTGTATCGCACGACCTTGAGCGCTTCTATCCATCCATCTGCATCTATTAATTAAAGAAGCCAACGGTGAACTGATTTGTACCTGCTCTGCCGCGCCGAATGCCAATGGGTTCGGTCTTGCACTGGAATGCCAGTTTTCGTTGAGATTACAGCAGTACCAATATCCGGTGAGTCCTTTCTCGTCGACGCCGTCTAGGCCTAGGATGAACTTCGAACATGTGTTACATTGCATTGCTCATGACAGCAAAACAGACTTTGGCGGAACTGATAGCATATCTAGCTCGAAGTAATTTCTGGTCGTGCATTGGGAGCCTATCGCACAAGGCTAGGCCTCGTTGAGTTGCTGCAAGGATAGCGCACCCCTTTGGTTTCGTGGGGTATCCAAATCCGCACCATCGATGCCCACTTCGTACAATCTGCATGTGCCGAATTAGACGGCTCGTGGGCCAAGCTCTGATAGTACTGGGAATGATAATGATTGTCCGTATTGTGACAGCATGTATATACACGATAAGAGACGGGGATAAGTCGTGTTATGCATCTGGAACTGACATGAGAACGGTAATGAAACATCATGAACGAAGACGTACAGTACGACGTCCCGACCAGCATTGTGGATAGGTTCTGTAATTGCTCTTCGTTGAAGGCTTGCTGATCTTTGTGCCAAGTATCCTGTTGTGTATGTCAATCTCGAAGCATCCGGGTGACAGAAAGGCTTGTTACATACCTGATGCGTCTTCTTGAATTCCGATGCGCATTTGCGGATTGTGGTGGATATCGGAGGTGGGTCCGTAGCATGAGCAGCAAGCACTGAGACGCGAGAGGTTAGCCAGGGTGAAAGTACCGATAAGGGTAGTGGTAGATCACCATCAGTGAGCGGAGGCATCCATGGCTCCACAGAATATGGGAAACTCTCGATTAGAGCGCAGAGCCCTAAGATTGCCGAGTGTAGGGACCGTAGTTTCCCGGCATATGTAGGATCCTGCCTCCGTGGCAAGCGAGCACTCTGCGCGAGCAAAACGAAGCGATTCTGACGATTTCAATTGATTAGAAGCATATTATCCACGAGTTATCGGCTGCTTACTTTGAGGGGTACAATCCGGTGCCTCTGAGAACATCGAACAACGCCGGATACGGCTTTCGACGCCATCTCTCGAACTTCGACGTTCTCGTCCGCAAGGCAGTCCAACAGAGCGTCCGTTACGCTCGTCAATTGGTCATCAGGAATGCCGAGCAAGTTGCGAAACAGGAACACCACCAGGGTCGGCAAAGCATTCAGGCGTATCCGCCATGCCTTAGTGTGAGAATCTATTCAGCATAAGAACACCGAAGAACGGCGACGTGGGCACCTCCGACGATTTGATCGCATTCACAAAGTGCTCCATGATGATGCCGGTGTATTCTGGAGGCGGAGTGACCGCGGAAAGAACGTATAGGACCGCGGCACTGTACAGTTGTAACTCCGAGCTGTCGTTGAGTTCCGACATTCGCAAAATCTCGGGGCTGAAAGAAGTCAGTCGGGTGACCCACGACGCTTTTTTTGCAACCTACAGTAGAGCGATAGAGTAAGGGAACACGAGTGGTGCCTGAGGCCCATGGGAGGACACCCATAGCCATTGCAATACTGAGCGAACGTTCGTCATAATTTAGATACAGGACATGCAAGCAGATGTACCCACATGTTAGACCAACTTTGTCGTACTACAACAACGCCGGTTAGTGAGTTTTTACCTACAAGAGGGCCTGCTAACCTGAGATTGGTTCACCCGCGGAGGTGGCAAGCGCTCCTCTCGCCATTTCGGCAATTGCTGCATAATATGACTTAAGTGCGGCATGAATTTGGCTTCCCTGGATTCAAATGTTAGAACTGACACGCGCTTGCAAGCGAGGAACATACCTGAACTTCAGCGGGTCGGGTGTTGCGCTGCAGGCATCGAGAAGAGCTCGCGTCGATGGGTAGGATGGTCGCCACAGATAGGTGCCAATTATGTACAGATTCTGGGAAATATGCGCCCGCATCTAACATATGGAAGAGTGAATATGTGCACCAAGACGCGGAGGTAACAGTTTCTAGAGTTCTTACTTCTGCATACCCGGTGTCCGTATTCGCGAACAGGATATCAACATACTTTCCGGCCATAGGTAAAAAGCGTATGCCGAGGCAATCGACCAGAATGCCGAAGAGGGAGAGTGTCTTGCTCACTGCATACAGAATTGAGACGCGCAATCGAAGTTTGGCGAGTGTACATACTCTGAAAGGCCGAATCGCCTTGGAAGTCTAGGGACAAGGACAACAACCACTCAAGTAGCGGCTTATTCCGCCGTGGATCCCGATCTTCCAGTATGAACTGCGAACATTGTTGGCAACATTCAGATCATTAGGTATCACAAATGCTTACGCTGAAGACGCCTTCCCAGCAGCTCAGCGTATCAGGCTTAATTTGGCTGAAAATGCCACCCAGGCGAGACGAGGTCCATCCCCAAAGGCGTTCGCGACGACTTTTTGTCCAATGTTTCGAGCCTGAGCACGTAAGTCAAATATCCCCTTACTATCGCGTCCAGCTACATACCACGAATGAGGCCAGTCAGCACTTCAGCGCCGGCACGCTGTTTGAAGCGATCACTATCAGTCAACAATGGTTCTATCACAGGCAATGCGGCTTGAAGCAGTTCATCTTCGACCATTTTTGCTATCAGTTCAACTGGTAAGTTTGGAAGAGTCGCTGAAGACATTGAGTGTGCGGACCGAGGGATTTCACAAATGTAACGTGATCGGAACGGAGTTCGATGGTACCCGTGCGGTTTGATTCCTGTGACCATAGCTCTGCCAGTTTTGCCCAGTATCCTGGTGATAGAACCTGCTCCCTGATACGCTGTAGGGCAGGCTGCGATAGGGATTCCCAGGTAATCGCGGATCCGCTTCCGGTCACCGTCTTGTAGGCCTTGACATCAGTGGTCCATGTTAGGAACCCAGTTGGCAATTTATCGACATAGAATCTACAATTTTATCAGCGGTAAAGCATCATAGTATATGATAATCGACATACTCTTCTCGCCCATCTAGATATATCGGCTTTTCCAGCTCCTGGAGCAAATTCAAGCCTGGCGGAACTGGAAGCCGCACAGATAGTGGATTTCTCCATGTGTCGAGCCACAACTCTTTTGTGGATTTGGCGTACGACCGAATCTTGATGAACCAGGCGAGTTTGGTGAGGCCACTGCAGACAACTCAGCTCAGTACATCCGCTAGTATTTGCCGACATACCGTTGCGCATAGGATCGAATAGTGGGGTGGGGACTAATTGAGTTGGAAGCAAAGAATGCAGCCAATTGCGCAGCAGGCACGGCGTCCCTTCGGATGATGTATATGAGAATTCTCGTAGCCATTTGAACATATCTCCACTAATATCACATCAGTAAACCCTTCTTTGAATAATGCAGGTAGCTCCCTACATGTGTCGTTGGCCTAGAGGCGATGTCCAAGACTGCAAACAACTGAATGATGATCAGCACCAGTAAGCCAGTCTGATTGATAGGACATACGACTTCATCGTAGTTGCGAATCCGTCTTTGGCTGCGCACAGGAGCCTTAGCCAACGCCTCCTCGAGAAGACCTTGATTAATCAGTGCTGGGCTGAACTCGCTTCGCAATGATTCAATTGCTGCCTCGACCGCGGAAATATCTTCCATGAAGGCATCGGTGTGGACAGCTTCCTCCGAAAGGTAGGGAGTAACGTCCGATGCAATGCTGCTGATGAGTTTTTGAATTGACGGCTGATACGCGGTGTGAGCCGGTGCATGTTCGTGGAGTATCTCATTCCTTACTTTCTCCTGGTGTTGACTCTCTAGAATTGCCTTCAAATATTGTCCTCGGAAATTCTCGTCTTCGAATGGGAGTACGTCAGTTGTAGTAATGGGCAACAGTGTAAGAATTGCCCACCCGCCAGCGTATATGTGGCTATAGCACGCCGTCAGTACGAACCACCACGAGACTATGGGCTACTTACCGGTTCCCTTGTTCCACAACACGTAAAGCGCCCCTTTCATGCGATCCGGGTCCGTCCCTTTGGCCAGTGCGTCAAGCAGGGCAGGGAGCGCGAATCGAGTGGATCGCACAAAGTACTGAGGAAACGTGTCCTCAGCGGCCACTGACACCTTGATAAATTCAGGACAGAATATTACGCACCCCGCAAACATTGTGCCAGATAGCCTGCGCTTGACTGCAACCCCCGTGAGTGGTGGTTCAGGCTCCCAAACCCGACAAACGCTCACCGTCTCACCCGAGTATAGGGTGACAGAGAGAGCTCTGTAAGATCAAGAAGGAGATGATCATCGAGCTCGGACCGCCGGCGATAGAGCGCATGCATGTAGACACGTCCGCTGTGATAAACCTGCGCGCGCTTGATGAACACGAGACGCGAGTTCTCCTTCTGCCTAGGCCACGCCCTGTTCAGACTGAGTTAAGGTTAGTACGTATCCAGGAGAGCAGGATAGTTGTCAGCCTACTCTCTCGCTTGACCATAGTTCTTCTGGAGGGAATCATAGGTGCCTCGAGTCATGCCGTACTCCAACAAATATACATCTATTGCCTTGGCTACCGCGATGACAGCATCGATATGGTCCTCCCCTTCGTGTTTTTGCTGTAGGAATATTGCTGCTTTGTGAACAATCTCTCCGAAGCGCCTACGATGACCAGCCGCCTTCTGGTACCGTGGGTCGGAAGGGTCGGTGAGTGTGAATCCGGCCTTGACGTCAAGGAATGAGACCAGTAATTCATCAAGCTCCGTGTCCTCGTTGATACACGGGTTGACAACGGTTTTCGGAAGGTCCTTGCAAAGAGTCGGTAGTCCACCCCATATCGCCTTGCATGCTTGTAGGTAGCTGGGGAATACGTCATCATACACGCACAGTAAGGCAGAGTCGCTGGTCTTACCGACAAAACTCGTTGCGAGCGTCGCTATCCCAGGTTGCCGTGCCAAGCAGAGCCACCACATTATCCAATGCGGGCGCGGCGATATTGTCCAGAATTTCTAAGATGAACTCGATTTCTTCGGTTTGTGGAACTGATAGACAATGAATGAACTCGTTCAAGGCGATGCACATAAAGTATCTACCATGCCACTCGATCTTGACGTCTTGTGGCGTGTATAATTTCCCCCATTGGGTATTGTGGTCCTTATTGAAGACCGGATCATCCCATTCATCGGTGTTGACGAAACGGCTGTTGAGCGGGTAGACACCGGCTAGAGTATGCAATACTCTGGTAATCAAGCGACCGGTGCTTGAGTATCCACGTTCGTTCTTCGTTTTCTCTACCAACAAACGCATCACCTCGAGGATAGCAGCCTTATGTTTAAGCAACTTCGGGAGAGTGAATATGACTGCAAGTGAGATCGTGTTGCGACCTACCGAGACACCTCCGTAGCCAAGACAACCTCTAAGTAGGGATAGATCTATAGAAGAGTCAAGACATGGCCGACAATAAGCAAAAAGAACACATACTCCAATGTAGTGTCGTGTCGCTAGGCAACGCAACGTTCGTACTTGTGGTCCTTACGCTACTGGCGCCGTGCTTCAATTCATCCTTGATTTGCGCCACACAATATGGCAGGAACTTGTCGATGGTCTTCGTCGGGTGCACGCGCGACAGGCAAGCCACGAGCTGCCCAAAAGCTCGCACCGAGTTCGCTTTGGCGTTGTTCGTGGCGTAATCGTACACCACCTTGAGCACCAAGTCGAACATTTGATCGGATAAATGCAAGCACACAACGTCCAGTGTCGATTTGATTGCCTTCAGCACGCTCTCTTCCTGCTTTCCGCCGGTGGTGTTGCGTCGCCCACCTTCTTCAGGCAGATTCTCGTATAGCGCGAAGACGCGGCGGAAAAGCATCGTCACCCAATCGGCAAATGCTGCGGTAGAATCCCGGACGAGGGCACGTTCCTCAGCTCTGCTGAATACGGCGGTATTCTCACTCGCTTCTGGCAGCTTCTCGGTGGAATCAACGTCCATCATGTCCTCTGCTGGAGCATCGCTCGATAGAGCGAGCCCAGACTGCTGGATCGAGAGGTCGCCAATCTTGATATGTTGAACTGCGGATACGATGAACATGGTCGTGCAGACGGTTTTGATCGGGTCATTCTGATATCCCGTATCAACATGACAGCGATAACCGACAAAAAGGACATGCTTACAAGATCTATACCAGGGATGCAGAGTTCCAACAAAGGCACTATGTGTTTCTGCCCACCCAGCCAGACGTGTTCATTAACGAGAGGGAGCGCAACTCCGCTGAGCATGCTGAGAACAGCAGTGGTACGGTGGGTCTCGTTGACCACCTCCAAGCCACCATAAGCACGTTCGAGCAGCTCAGGCATAACCAAGCTGGGTTCAAGTACGGCCATGTACTTCAGAGCTCCTTGGGCGTACGACATGGAAATCGGATCCTTCGAGAACATGGCCAACAACGCCGGTGTGCGCAAGATCTTGACGAAGGCGCGCCGGATGCTTAACGTGAGACGGTGGGTCTGAGAGTGTCTCTTCAGTAGGTTATCGCGAGGTATTCCAATGACTCCTCACGATGGGCGTCTCACAGCTCGCCTGTGCTTCTTCGTGCCAGCGCTTACTGAACTCCGATGTCAAACGTTGGATGAAGGTCGTCAGCTGCGAGGTTTGGTGAGCATCTCTGGTAAAGAAATGAATCTGGTTATCTCGGAACGTACAGCCAGTGTCCATGGACCCGAGTTGCTCGGGTGGAAGAAGCTTTCCGTGCTCGTAATGAGTCGGTCGAGGGAGTCGAGAGCTTTGGATCCGGCAAGATAGCCTGATTGAGAACTGGCATTGAATTGTCCAGGCCCCGGCGTGCCCGGGGCATCACGAATAGGACCGTCGACAGCCATAGAATACACAAAAAGCTTGGCCAGCGCATCTGGCTCAGATATCTGAATCAAGTTGTTCGTAAGAAAAACAGGCAACATACGGTATCTATTGATCGCCTTCTTGATCCTGAGAGATTGACGATCACCCATGGAATCTGCATGACCAGCGGTGGTACTGGCGCCGCGTGTAGCGCCGACGGGCACGTCTGAAGAGGGATCTTTAAAATAGCATATTCACGAGGGGTGGCCATCAACCTACTCATGCTACCGAGGCTCTTGCCAACCAACATGGTCCAATCCGTCTCGCTCCAGATTCCAACATCTTTCCACTCAGCACCGCCTTCACGAGTTCCACCAGAGGCTGTCGTGACACCCGCAACGTGCTCCTCAGAGAGATCGCCGACGAGCTCAAGCATACGTTCATCGATGACAGACGAATTGAAAGCTTCCCACAGCCTGAATAGAACAGGAAGGTATGTCGAGGTGTGGGTGGGTGGAAGGAAGGAGGTGATCACTGGAACGATGGTAAGCACAGTCTGAGAAAATATGTCAGTGTAGCCATACGAAGGGCACGGTGAGAATACGTACGTCCTGGGTGAGGAGAGGAAGGAACGTGTCCAGCATCGCGGGAATTTCGCTTGCGGGATAGTATCTCCTGCTGTGCTCCGCGACATATAGAAGTATGTTCACGACATTGCGGCTGAAAGACAGCAATCAACCCATCGAATAGGGATGGTATTTCGGGGTAGCTCACGTTGAATCCTGCATCTTGCGCTTCGGCCAGATTTCCTTCTGCATGGCATCCCACAGTGGTCGCCAAGGAAGCTCTAGGTCTGCAGGATCGAGCTTGCGCTTTGATGAATCCTTGTTGCTCGACAACAAACGAGAGAACATGTCTGCCCAGCTGCGGATGGCACGAGGTTCTATGCCCGGTAAGAGACACAGCTCGTAGTACAGCCGCACCATCTTGGCACGCGTTGTCTTGGGGATTGGATAACGCATGAGGAGCCAGCTAAGCATAGATTATAAGCCACAAGAGTACATCGCGGAGGACACGGCCTAGATGTACGAACCATTGAAGCATGCCATCCCAAGTAGTGAGCACAAGCCAGTTCCGGGATTTGGCACAGATCACTATCTTGCTCACGATCTCCTCGAGCTTTGCGTGCATCTCCTCGATGGGTTCGCACTCGTAGGGAAGGGAGTCGACATAACTCTGGAGGATTATCTTTTGTTTGTCCATCTCGGACTGCTCTGGTGCCGTGGGATCCAGTTCCACCGCTGGAGAGTCGAGGACAGACATATCTCCATCTCCGTCCATGGTATCGGTATGTCCTCCCTTGTTGTAGGGGAAAGCCGATGGGGGATCTACAGCAGAAAGAGAGGTGAAGATACTCAATAACGGTTGATCCATGTTCGGGAGGCGTAAGCGTGCGCTATACAATACATACGGTATAGGTCGCTTTATATGAGACAGTAGCGATTACGAGTCCCAAGCTTACGCGTCGGGGCGCAATACTGAAAAGACGCGTATGCGCTCAGATGCCTGAGTGACTGTTGCGTGATCGCAGATCCAGAGAACGACGATCCGGTTCCAAAGTTAATCACGAGTGTACAGTTAGATCCAAATGGCACAGTAGAGTCACAAGCGGTAGTAAGCTCGGATGCAAGTTCAGAGTGGCTCTATTAGCCAGAGGACCAGGCCAACGCGTGGCTTCAAGCTGAGGCGCGAGCACAGCCATTGGCTTCTCCCCAGAAGTCATCCCGATCATCCCATACTTATGCTCCCGCTCCTGAAACCTAGACCGGTCTGCTGCCGTATCCCCTTTTCCTTCACTCGACTAGGCAGGAGTAGCTCGGCTACAGCTTACACTTTGCGCCGCGGATTTCGAACAGACCGTCACGACTATGGTCCGAAGAGGTCCACAAAGATCGTTCTATTCAGCACGCTGTCTGTTGTATCGGCTGCGTCCTGGTACTGGTTCGCGTCGATGATATGGCTTGACGCGGAGTCTCCGGTTGAAGTACGAGGTCAGTATTCAACAAAGCTCTGTTGACACCGCGTAGTGACATATCAGCGTACGCAGCCGATCCCGCCACGTCGATCGAGTTCCCCAGGACCATTGTGGTGCAATCTAAAACACCCCTACCGCCGTTCCAACTCGTCGGTCTCGGTGTGCGCACAGTTTCCTTCCTGGGCATCAAGGTTTACTCTGTGGCATTCTATGCTGACCTTGCCAATCCACGCCTGAACGTATGTTCATTCGCTCTCAATGTCCCATTTTCTGGATTAACCGATTTTTCAGATCCCTATTGATGCACCGCCGGAGGAGAAGATAAACCACCTCGTCCGCAACACCGCATGCATGCTTCGGATAGGTGCGGTCAGAAGTTCTGGTCCCATATGGGTGGTGCTAAGCCGTATAGGTAGTTCCGACCCGTAATACATCCTTCACCCACCTTCGCGACGGCTTCATCCGAGCGCTCCAAGGTCGGATTGCATCGCTAAAACAACGAAACCAGATTACGCTAGAGGAGGAACTGAACGCCGGCTCGCCCATTCGCAAGCTCAAGTCTCTTTTCCCAAATTCACCTTTGAAAAAAGGCGAACCGTTAGACATTATCCTTACTGCACCCCCCGACGAAGACGAGAAGAGGCGGTACCAGAGGCTTACTGGCAAAGAGCCGGCCAGATCATTGATAGTCAGGGACTTGGGCGCAATCCAGGATGACTGGGTTTCCACGGAATTCGTGATGGCTTATTTTGAAGGGGAGGGTCTGAGTCCTGCGGTAAGTTAGAACCTGCCAGACTTTGTTTGGTATGCTTTGAAGTGACACTTTACATTACAGCTTAGGAAGGATGTCATCGAGGGCGTGTCCAATTTCGGGCGGAAGTGAAGTCCAGTCAACCATGCGAAGCCGCGTGGTAGTCAATGTGATGTACACAGATAGTATTTGAACTCATAAAGCCTTGCTATACTATCTACAATGTCGCCGACATATAGGGCCGATGACGGATATGTTCAAAATTGAGCCAACGACAGTGTTACGCAACCATTAATGGCACGTTGCACCAACGTTGCACTCAACAAATTCAAATTGAAAGCGGCATGGATAGGTGGCAGTGCCACACCTATGTCACATGACATTGGCACGCCGATCAATACACGTGCCGACGCGTCCGTTGAACGCGAGACAGGGGCTCCTGGTATAAAAACCCTCGCTAGACAGCCCGCCACCTTCAACCTGCACACCCTACCTCGCACCTCGTCGACCCCCTATCCACCACCTTACCCTACCTAAACTCAGCAATGGCCCGCACTAAGCAAACCGCCCGCAAGTCCACTGGTGGTAAGCCTGCTTCATGGTATAATCAGAAGATTTCTCACTAAGTCAATATAGGTAAGGCCCCGCGTAAGCAACTCGCCGCAAAGTCGGCGCGCAAAACCGCCGCTACCGTAAGTCATCAACGAACTAAAGTTTCAACTTAGTCGCTAACTTGTGGATCCGTTAGGCAACTGGCGGTGTAAAGAAGCCTCACCGCTTCCGCCCTGGTACCGTTGCCCTCCGCGAGATCCGCCGATACCAAAAGTCCACCGAGCTTCTCATCCGGAAGCTTCCCTTCCAGCGTCTGGTCCGTGAGATTGCTCAGGACTTCAAGACCGACCTTCGCTTCCAGTCGTCCGCCGTCATGGCCCTTCAGGAAGCGGCGGAAGCCTACCTTGTATCTCTCTTTGAAGACACCAACCTTGCCGCCATCCACGCGAAGGTATGTTAGCTATTCGCGGTATAGTACGCGGGAGCTGATTTATGCTTGCTCTCAGCGTGTCACTATACAGCCCAAGGACCTCGCACTGGCCCGTCGTTTACGGGGCGAGCGTACTTAAGCTTTCACCGTATCAGGGCTCGCTGTCACACTGTACTTGTACGACATTGCTAGATATTATTCGCAATTCATTCTATTATATTCGAGGCTCAAATCCATCGTGTGACTGTCTGATTTTCTGAATGCGCGGAAGGATCACGTCTGTGTGCATCGCCACCGTACCTGGCAGTTCAGGCTTGATCGTGTTCTTGGCCCATTCTTCGCCATGGATCTTAACGACCTCCACCCACCAGATGATTCCAGTTCCCAGTCTTTTATATGGCACGAATGGCTTCAGGTTGTTTCTGTTTCAAGCCACTTCAATTATTTGCTTGCACTAAACACATTCGCATGGAATAGGCCAATGGTCCATTGACGACCCAGAACGCGTTCGAGTATTTCGCGACGTCCAGGTTCTACGACAAGCAGAGCAACAACCAAGTTCTACGCATGCAAACCATGCATACAGGGCAAATAATGACTCCAGCACAAGAAGAGGAAGAACTGAAGTCAGTGCACATTCTTGACAATCCTCCCTCTTGTGCGTCATGATGAGCGGTTGATTAAATATGTGATAGACGATTCACCGGCGTAGAGTTTGCTCTGGTACATGCTGCTGCGCCAACACTGTTCATTATACACAAGCGCGAGCGTTTGTCGCCATCAGAAGGTGCGTTGCACACCTGAAGCCTGTGCAGAGATTTGCAGAGATTGTGTAATGCTCTTCTACAGTTCGACCCCTCGCGGTGTACTTCATCATGAACAACCGCATATATCCATCTCCCGACGTATACGCCGTCGTCGCCAATAGATTGGTAATTGGCCTTGAGCTCCTTTTGATGTCTGCTCAGTGACAGCTCTTCCTCGTTCCAGCTGACGACAGTACACTCTCTGCAATCCTCGCTTGATACCTTGCGCAGGCATCGACCCGCACACGCGCCTCGCACCGGCTTCATCTGGCCTATCGTTGAGAAAGAGGATAATGCACTCGATCAGAAGCAAAATCAACTTGAAAGCGGCGAGCCTGCCGCAACAGAACCCTTGATACGTACCCAGGACACGACGGTCCCCGACGCTTCGGCCAAAGCTGCCAAGTCAGGCCCTGGGAAGAGGATGCAAAACAATTTTCTTATGTTCAACGCTATGCGGACAACTGCTGCACATTCCAATGCCGTATTTGCGGCGCGGAAAGCGGCGAAGGATGCCGAGACGTCGAAAGCCCCGCCGCGCGAGAACATACAACCATCCAATGCGCAAACACCAGTAAGGTCAAGTGCCACACCAGCGCGAGGCGGTTCTCCGGCTAGAACGGCAAAACCTACAACTCCTGCAGCTGTCGTGGATGCGAAGAGTGAACCGGTGAAAAGTGCACCAGGCCAAGGCAAGAAAAAGCGAAAGCGTACGCAGTCGGCCTACGTTAATGAGAGTCAGATTACTCAAGATGTTGTATCCAGGTACTTTGCCAGCTACTCCAGCGCCGACATGACTTCCGAATGATAGTCCGTGTATTCTATTTCATATACGATACTATGCATTGTTACGACGTCTATGGAGTCTCCTCGCGCCCTTCACCGTGCACCAACGCCGGCAAATTTGTTTGTTAACCAGCCTAGGGGGGTCTGCAAGCCTTGCAAACCGGCGTTCACGCTGCGGCCCCCCATGCTGCTGCCTAGCGCAAGCGGGTTTGCTGACGCAAAGGATGCTTTGCGAGCTTGCGCAGATTGTTGGACTAAGCGTCATAGTTCAGCGGTTCCTAGCACGGGACATAACCTAGAGCGTACCGGAAAGATCGATCTCCTCGACATTTGTCTCAAGGACAAGTCCGCCTTGTATGATCTCCGAGAGAATGTAATGAACCTCGTCGAAGTGAAACACGAGATCCAATTCGCATACGTTCTCAAACGCCCGATCCAGTGACTCGACGAATACCTAATCCGAGATATAGCAAATAAAGAAAGGTGCAAGAGCTCCGATACGTGACTTACCTGGATCAGATCCAAAACTCCGAGCTCACTCTCCGCACCATCCACGACGAACACGAAGTAAAGGGTGGCATAACTCCGGTACACGACCCTGAGCCTTTCCTCCTCGTCCTTTCGGCCCAGATATTCCTCGAGTTCGGGTGCGTCAAGGAAGTTGCATAATCCTATTTGTCGTTGCGAGATCAGGGAAAAGATCTTCTGTACCAGGGGCTGAGTTCGGGCTTGGGAGTGCGCGACTTGATCAAGGGGTGTATAGAACTTTGTGAGACGAGGGACCCCAGAGGTGTTGACTGAAAGCAGAACAATCAGAGGTTGCAAACATCCATAACTCCGCCTGTGATACTCACAGATGAGGACAGCGTGGATCATCGTGAGCAGACCTATTTCCGTTGGTTTGGTACTTGTGAATGATAACGGCAGTATTTGTACCGTGATCCGCAGGCCGTTGTCTGTCCAATGAGGTCTGGAGGGTTTTACGCCATAGCTGAAGGCAGCGCAACGATGTCTGAGACTTGAGTCTGCGACGCGTTTTTCGAATATACGCACACGTAAACCACGGTAACTATGCTACACTTGTTCAATCATCTATGCTTCAACCACGCTGTTCTCCGAATCTGGCAGGCTGTAGTATTTCATCGAACATGTGGTCGGTCTGGCAGTAGACAAGATGTTCCACTGTGATTGCTACGGATATACCGATGCGGTCGCAGAATCGTATCTCCCAACAACCCGGCGCCTCTCTACACCCCGAATGCTGTCAAGTGTCCTTCCAAGGTGTCCCTCCACTGCTGCCATAAGTTCTGCCTCTGGTCTCTGGGACAAACTTCGACGATCGCTCGCAAAAAGTTTTGCGATTTCTGCATGTGTTCCTGCCTCTCCGACGTGAATCGGGCATCCTCGAGGACTCGTGTTCCCCGCTCCTTGCATTTTTCGCGCACGAGATCCCAGAGATAATTTCTCTCCTTGATTGCCTTTTCCGAGTATATTCCTGGCATGAGGAACGCGCCCACGGGGTCCCAGCGCTGCAACGGAACGACTGTTGCAAATTCCCAATCGATAATCGCTGTTATACGGTTTGTCTCTGAGTCCCACAGGACGTTGCCAAAGTGCAGATCTTTATGAGCCAGGCGCAGTGTTGTCCTGTCAAGTTCCGCAGCGCGCTCCGGAAGGCTTCGTTGAAACTGCTCTAGCCTAGGGATGAGATCTCGCATACAAGCCAAATATTGATGTATCTTTATGCAATAGATGTACTTTGCCATGTGCGCGGAGATGTAGGCAGTGTAACTCGGAAATGGGCCTGTAATGTTTAGGGAATCGAATGTCTCTCCAGGAAAACACGCCTCGATGTCAGGGATCTGCCAGAAAGTCTCTTCGAGCACAGGCCCGGTACCACATGCTCATTTTGAAGAACAAGACCGCCGATATGGTTCCATGAATGCTTGTGTAGTTCCACAACCACATCAAGGAGTTGATTCACCAATACGTCCTTCCGCGCGTTATCACAGGCCATTTCCGTGTCCTCCCAAACGAGATCCAGACTGCGCCCAGTCACACGCTCCATCAGAATATACTCGTGTCCGAGGGGATTTGCAGAGGATGTGTCGAAAGCGAGGATCTTTGGGACCGGTACCGCGGTGTTTTGCCGCAACCACGTAATGACCAACCTCGTTGGCAGTCTTGATTCGAGGAATATGTAGACCAGAGACTCGCAAGATCAATGACGAGGTGGGAACGCCCGAGATGATCCCTTCGGCATAGTCGAGACGGTAAATCGAGTGATACTGGGCTATGGTCTGGGACGCAGTGATCGAGGATGGTTTCGGTAATGCCAGATGCTCTAGAAGAGACGTGATCATCTGATCTGGTATCGGAGCGGGAAGATACGCCCTCGGGTTAGCCATTGCTGCAGGCAATGATTTAGGAGGATCCTGAGCATTATGCAGTTAGCATGAGCTTTGCCCACTTTCGATAGAAAACAATGACAGCATACACACGTTTTCTTCGGTCGTGGAGATGGAACAGGTTAGCCACCTATTGACGGTGAAAAACATATTCCCACTAGCCGACTTGAACGACTGACCTCGTCATTACTAGTGACGCGCTCTACCACTGAGCTAAGCGGGAGTTGTCAACGTAGCAATCTTATTCAACTATATTATGTACGTGCTCTTCACCCTCCATCACGACGCGCCCTGCCCTAAGGAGCCTCATTTGACGCGTCGCACGCGTCCCTTGCCACAGTACTCGGTCTCCTTCACACCCCCCCGTCATGTCCGGTTTTGACGCCAATCATGTATATTCCGTATCTGTGCACGATCCAGCGCCTATATCAGCGCCTGAATCTGCTTCTGAGAACGAGCGATTGCTTCTTGACTTTCTCCTACAGTACCGGGTTGGAGGAGAGTTCATCTACAGGCGCGTATCACTCTGCGGCATTCTCAGACCAACGACTGAAGAATACCACAGGGATAAGCTGAGAGCAAATCTTCTCCTGAAGCAACACCAGTTGGAGGTGGACCTTCGGCATGTCGGACTCTACCACGACGAGCTGGCACACGCAATCCAGGACCGACCGGCGGATATCCTCCCTCTGGTGCGCATAGCTGTGACTTCTTTCGGACGTCTTTAATTGGTCTTCAGTTTGAAAACGCTGCCACGAAAGCCGCTCGGGCTATTCTCTTTCCTCTGGCGGGCGGGTCAGAAGAACGAACGGAAGCCGCCGCCCAGTCCATCCCCAAAGTCCAGATAACCGTCAAGTCCGGCCTGAATCTCTCCCAGTTTCGTGATCTTACTGCAGACACTATGAATAAGTTGGTTCGAGTGCCGGGCATCGTCATCTCTGCTTCCGTACTCTCTTCAAGAGCTACCAAGTTGCACCTTCAGTGTCGAGCATGTCGATCTACCAAGATTATATATCCCGCTGGTGGACTTGGAGGCATCGGAAGTGGAGCGGACAGAGGCCTGCCTCGGGTTTGCGACGCGCCGGAAGTAGAGAACCAGAAGAAAGATTGCCCCATGGACCCGTATATGATCGTTCATTCCAAATCGACCTTCACCGATCACCAGACGTTGAAGCTCCAAGAAGCTCCTGACATGGTCCCTGTTGGAGAACTTCCCAGGCATATGCTTCTCTCGGCCGACCGGCACTTGACTGGCAAAGTCGTCCCTGGGTCAAGGGTGATTGCCACGGGAATATACTCGACGTTTCAGTCAGCTAAGAATGTATGTGTTACCACTTGTATTGGAGATCGCGGCTTACACCTTCTCATAGAAAAGCTCTGGAGCGTCAGCGTTGCGGACACCGTACCTTCGTGTCGTACATCTCGAGTTGTCTTCACCATCGGCTGCAAGCGGCTCGAACCCCTTCGGCGTCCAGTTCGCGCCTGAGGAGGAAGAAGAGTTCGGTGACATGGCTCGTAGTCCAGACTTCTATGAGCGATTCGCGAAGAGCGTGGCTCCTAGCATCTACGGCAGTCTAGGTAATCATCTTGGTAATGTTCGTCCCATACAGTGATGCTCACCTGCCCGCCACAGATATCAAGAAAGCCATAACTTGTCTGCTATTCGGCGGGTCCAAGAAGATTCTACCTGATGGAATGCGCCTTCGAGGAGACATCAACGTGCTCCTGCTCGGGGATCCTGGTACAGCAAAGAGTCAACTGCTGAAGTTCGTGGAGAAGGTTGCGCCCATCGCTGTCTACACCTCTGGCAAGGGGTCTAGTGCCGCTGGTCTAACAGCCTCCGTGCAGAGAGATGCCGTATCTGTGAGCTCTTGCATGATTCGACAAGCATACCGGCCAGTGACTGTCGTTCCCTAGCGCGAGTTTTACCTTGAAGGTGGTGCTATGGTTCTCGCGGATACAGGAGTTGTTTGCATAGATGAATTCGACAAGATGCGCGATGAAGATCGCGTGGCAATTCACGAAGCCATGGAACAGCAGACCATCTCCATCGCCAAGGCCGGTATCACTACAGTCCTCAACTCGAGGACCAGCGTGCTCGCTGCCGCCAATCCTGTTTGGGGTCGATATGATGAGGGTCGCAGCCCTGGCGAAAACATCGATTTTCAGACTACCATATTGTCTCGATTCGACATGATCTTCATCGTCAGAGACGAACATAACGAAGCTAGGGACACTGTAAGACCCCCTTGCTTGAACCAGGATCTTCTACTTACCGTATTTACCGCCCAGATGATAGCTAAGCATGTTATGAACATCCACATGAATCGGCCAACCCAGAACGCGGATGAGAATGGCGAAACGGTTGGCGAAATCGATCTCGACAAGATGAAACGCTACATTGCGTACTGCAAAGCGTAAGTTTATACGAGTCACGAGCGGGTCGCGTCCATAACCACCTTTGCCTCCAGGAAATGCGCACCCCGACTATCTGCAGAAGCCCAGGAGATGCTGAGTAGTCACTTCGTCGCACTGCGGAAACAAGTCCAACAAGTCGAACGAGACAACGACGAGCGAAGTTCGATCCCGATCACTGTTCGGTAAGTGTCAAATTTCCCTCACGATCTCCTCGCGCTCATTACGTGGTCCTCAGTCAATTGGAAGCCATTATCCGGATATCGGAGTCGCTAGCCAAGATGACGCTCACACCCGTGGTACAAAACCATCACGTCGATGAGGCAATTCGTCTCTTCAAGTTTTCCACTATGGATGCCGTATCGGCTGGATCCGTGGACGGCCTGTCTCGCGGCGACCTCAACAACGAGATGAGCAGAATCGAGAAGGAGCTCCGGAGACGGCTGCCCGTGGGATGGAGCACGAGCTATCAGAGTCTTGTGCGCGAGTTCGTTACGCAACAGGGGTATTCAAGCCATGCTCTTGAGCGGACGCTCTTTGTCTTGGAGAAGAGGGAGATCATACGATTCACTGGCCAGAAGAAGGTGGTGCATCGGTATGTCCTTGTCATTTTCGCTGGTGTGCAGAGCTAACCGACATCTCTCCATCTCAGAGTGGGTGTATGAAGATGGTTTGTCGGATATACCGTCCATCAGCACTAGTTTTCTTCTTGTATTCCTCGCTTGTATATTAGTGACCGGCTGAGATCATTTGTTCAGTCGGAATGGGGATCCACGCGGGAGGCGCACAATAGTATATCGCCCGCCTAGCTCAATCGGATAGAGCGTCAGACTCTTAACACTGATTGGTGCGGCGATCTGAAGGCTGCGAGTTCGACCCTCGCGGTGGGCTAGTACTTTTGCGATCTTTCCCCTCATCACCGCACAGCCTGCGCATACCTTTTGCCAGTTTTTGCCAGTGATTGCGAGCCAGTCAACACCCTAGTAACTTGCCTGCATGTTCATTACTGACTACGACTAATGGTATGAACCGAGATGTGTTTCGTGATGCGTCTCTTGTCCCACTATCCCATAAACAACTCGACGAAACCGAGATATGCAATGTGCGGGGGCAACCATATCATACATTGTACGTGACCGTTCGCTACTAAGCGTCCCGGGAACGAGGCCATTCCATCCATATCAGCCGAACGAGATCCAGATACGCACCCGTATATCCTTCGCCACTGGGGGCGCTTCACATGATGATGCACTCCTTGTCCTCGAGCTTTCCGCTCTGAATGCCCATCTCCGCAAACGTCGTCGGCCCCGCCGGCTTGGGCCGGTCGGGCGCGGGGCTCCCGGCGTTCGGTCGCTGCTGTGGCTGGCCACCCGGCGTAGCGGACTGCTCGCGGCCGGGACGCTGCCCGGGCGGGCGGAACGCAGGCGACTGCTCGCGCGGAGGTCCTTGTCCGGGGCTCTGCGCGCGCCCCGGCCCCGGCGCCCCAGGCGGCGGAGCCGATCCGAACCCGGGGTCGGCGAGCGTGTACCGGTGCGCGTTGGGGTGCGCGCGGGGCGGGTTCGGCCGCGCAAAGCTGGCGGGGTCGGGCGAGGTGTCGGCGTGCGACGGGCGGCGGGGCTCGGGCCCCTGGGTGGCGCCGAGAGGCGCAGGCGGCGACGCCGTGTCGGCATGCGACGGGCGCCGCTGCTGGTAGCCGAGCGGGGGCACCTGCGCGGGGGCGAGACTCGGGCTCGTGTGCGCGCTCGAGGGTCCCGCAGCCGGAGCGGGAAAAGGCGCGGGGCCGGGCGCGGGCGGCTGCGCCAGCGAGTTTTGGCGGATGACGTTGACGATGCGTTGTCCCTCGGCAGCTTGCTGCGTCCGCGCGGGTGCGGCACCGGGCCGCGCGTCGGAACGCTGCTTGGCCTGCGTCCGTTTGCGGACGAGGGTGTTCTCGGTAAGCACGTCGTGCTCTTGCCGACTGAGCGACTGGTCCTGCGCGAGCGCCGCGAGCCGCTCTTTCGCGTCGGCGTTGCCGTGGTCCGCAGCCTGCAGTCGAATGATCAGCCGAAAAGCTCGGCGAAACGGGCGCATACATACGCACCCTCGTGTACCACTTCCTCGCCGCCTGCATATCCTTGGGCCCGCCGACGCCGACCTCGGCGTAGTACCCCATCGCGAACTCGGCGCTCGGAAGACCCTTGCGCGCCGCCTTCTCCGCAAACGTGTACGCGAGCGCCTCGTCCTTCTCGAAGCAGCCCTCGGCGCCGCAGAGGAACCACTTGGAGAGCGCCATGTCGGCCTCGATCTCGCCCTGCTGACTCGCGAGCGAGTAGTACTGCACGCTGAGGAGCGGGTCGAACGGGAACGGCGCCTGCGCGAACTCGTACGCGTGCCCGAGCTTGTACTGCGCCGGCGCGAAGTTGAGGTAGGCGGCGCGCTCGAGGTGCCGGCGCGCCTCGGCCTCGCGCGAGGAGCCAGGGGGGAGCACAGAGGCGAACGTCTGGGGCGGGATCGACACGTGCGAGAACTCGTCGAGGAGGAGGAGGCCGAGCACGTAGGCCGGTTGCGGACAGGCGACCGTTGCAAGGGTTGCCGCGCGTTGGAGGAGGGGCACCGCAACAGTCGAGTTCGCGGGCAAGCCCAACTGACCCATAAGATGCGCCATTCCCATGCGCTGCAACCGCGTATATCGTCAGTGAACGATCAGCGCACGCACGCGGAGTCAGCAACGTACGTATAAGCAGCTCTCGACGTTGAGCTTGACGCCGCGCTCGAAGCAGTCGCGCGCGTGCTGCGCATCGTTGACCGACTCGTACTCCCTCCCGAGCCGGAACCACGCCGCATGGTGTCCGTTGCGCGCCGCGAGCTCGAAATCGCGGAAGGCCGTGCGCGGGCTGCGGGGGACGAGGTCCGGGAACTGGCCCGTGTTCGCGAGCGTCGCGCGGAGGTAGACCGCCTCGGCGACGTGGGGCGGCATCTGCTGGCCCGCCGCGGCAGACGAGGCGAGCTGGAGGACGATCGGGACTGCAGCGAGAGCGAGGCGTTGCAGCGTCGGGTCGGTGATGCGCGCGGGCCCCGTGACAGGGTCGGTTCCGGCCGCGGCGGAGGCGCCGCCGGCAGCGGACGCGGGCTGGAGGCGATCGACGAGGAGGAGGACGTCGCGGCACCACGCGATGCGCTGCGTGGGGTCGTGCGCCGGGTTCTGGATGGTGTCCAAGGCGGCGGAGAGCGTGGGGATGGCGGGCAGCGGGGCGGTGAGCGAGGGTGCGCCGCCGGAGAGCTGGCGCGGCGGCGAGGGCGACTTGGCGGGCGGGCCGTAGGTCGAAAACGTGGACGGCTGGCGATGGTGCGGCGGCTGTTGCTGCCCGGTGGGCGCGCCGAAGCTGAGGGCGGCCATGGACGCGGAGAGCGAGTCGTTCGCTTGTTGTTGCGGCGGGGGCGGGGAGGCGAATCCGCCTGGCCCGCCGGGGAACCCGAGCGGTGGTGATGCGCCGTATGACTGCGGTGGAGGGGGCGAACTCATGTTCCAGCCGTTCCACGCGCCCTGGGGAGGTGGGGCGGGCGAAGGTCCCCGCTGCTGCTGGGGAACGACGAAGCCCGGGTTGAGGTTGATCTGGGGCATTCCCGGGGGCGGAGGGCTCGAGTAGGGCGCGGGGGCGTAGCTGGAGGGCGGCGGAGGTGCGTAGGACGTTGCGGCTTGCTCGTCCAGCGTGCGTGCCATCTGTTTACATACGGGCTCGCGTCAGCGTTACGAACTCTGGGCGCTGGGAAGGCGATAGATGCGGAAACGTGGGCACGGGATGGAAATAGGCATCGCATCGCCCGAGAGGGAAGACAGAAGCGAGGGCTCGGATAAAAAAAAGTGGGGGGAGGGGGAGGAAGACGATCCTCACGTTGGCAGGGAGATCGGGCGTGATCTTGTGCGGCCTCGGTGCGACGAGCGGGTCCTCCCAGTGCGGACGCGAGCCGTAGTACTCGTCGTCCTGCTCGGGCCTATAGTTGGGTGGGAGCGGGGGCACGGGCGGCGGTAGGCTCGACTGCCTCGACGGGTGGGCGGCCTGCTGTTCGTACGGGTTCGGCCGCGGCGGCACGGGCGGGAGAGACATGATGATTGTCGTGCTCGGTGTGGTCGAGGGAGATCGGAGTGTCGGGATGTGCAAGGAGTGCGTAGACGAGCGCGATCCTCGCTTTTGAAGGCGGAGTGTGAGCAGAGTTGCCGGAGCGACCGACGGGGCAGCCTGTGCTGTCTGCGCCGGGAATATCGACTCGTCCTGTATCGCCTTCGCCTGCTGCGGGGGCACGCCTCTGCAACTGCCTGATCCGTTCGCAGCGATTCGCAATATACGAGATCAATGGGCCGGTGCAAGACGTCCTCGCGCGACGCGAGGGTGGCAGCCGCAGCAGTATACCATCTCTTCCTTACGACATGACACACTCATCCATCCGACATCGCAGGAGGGCAATATACATTACACTACACACACGTACTTCTGTTGATACAGCTTCGTGATTTACTCTCGCTTCTGTCCGATCAATCGCCGCCAGCCTCACCTCCTCTCAGTAGGCCACCTTGTCCGTCAAGCCGTCCAACTCCCGCTCGTAGCACCGATGAAGGCTGACTTGGTATATGAAGTTGGCCACGAACCCAGTCTCGGACGGGCCAATCTTCACGCTGTCCGTCGCCGCAGACGATGTGTCGTACTTGCCCGTCGTCACTACGCCGTAACTGGTCGTCACCGCGTCGCTCGACAGAGACTGCGCCAGCTTCACGCTCGGCAGCTGCACCGCGTCCCGCAAGAACAACACGCCCTCGCCAATCGCGCCAATCGCCTTGCAGTGACCAAACGCTTCACGAACCCAGTGCACCGCTCGACCGAGCTCGGCTAACTTCTGCACATGCTCGCCGGACGGGATGATCAACGCATCGAACAGCGTCGACCGCTGATCCTCGAAGTGGTGGTCCGCCTGCAGGCTTCCGCCGCCCGCCGCTTGGATCTTGCCCCGCCGCGGCCCGATCACGTACGAGTTCGCCATACACGACTTGATCAACGCCCGGATGCCCTGCACCTCGGCCAGGTTGAAGCCGTCCGCGACGAGGATGGCGATCCGCCGGCCGGCGACGGTGGGCTTCTCAGGCACGAACGTCGTCTGCGACACCTTTGTCTTGTGGCCTGGGTTCGGACGCAGGGGCTTCTCGGGCACGACCCCGCCAACTTTCGTCGCAACCGCCTTGGCGAGCTCGAAGTCGACGTTGTTCAGCAGTTTGGTGTACGTCTCGTACACGACCGGGTCGTCGCAATGCGCAAGCTCGAACGAGAACGCGGCGATCATGTGCGCCTTCTCATGCGGCGCCATCGAGTTGTAAAACATCTGCGCCTGGTTGTAATGCTCCTGGAACTTGGCCCCGCGCACGCGCTGCTTGATGCCGACGATCTTGGTCGCGTGCTCATGGTATCCGCTTTGCTCGGCCGAACTGGGGTTATACATCTGGTGTCGGTTGGGGTAGTAATTGACCTGGCCCCGGTTGATGGTATGACGCATGGCACCGTCGCGGTTGATGTTCATCACAGGGCAGACCGGGCGGTTGATCGGCAGCTGAATACGAACCGTTTCAGCATCTGCATGCGCATATACGACCAGAAATCCCTTACCTCTTGCCAGTTCACGCCAAGACGGGAAATCTGCGTGTCAAAGTAGCTGAAGTTGCGGCCCTGGAGGAGCGGATCGTCGCTGAAGCCGATGCCGGGCACAACGTGAGACGTGCAGAACGCGACCTGCTCCGTCTCGGGGAAGTATTCGTCGACGCAGCGGTTCAGGACCATCTCTCCGACGATCTCTACCGGTACAAGTTCCTCCGGCCAGATCTTGGTAGCATCTAGGATATCGAAGTCGAAGTCGTGCTCCTTCGCCTCAGGAATCACCTGGAGACCAAAGAACCACTTGGGGAAGGCACCGCTCCTGATAGCCTCTTCCAGGTCCTTGCGGTGGAAGTCTACGCGGTGCTCGTCAGCATCACCGGACCACGGACATACCGGTGCAGTAATAACACCTACCCGGATCCTGGCCGCACACCTTCAGCGCCTCATCCCAGACAAAGCTGTGCACGCCCAATTCGGGAATCCAGTGGAACTTGACGAAGAATCGCTCGCCCTTGGCGTTCAACAGCGTATAGGTGTTAACTCCGAAGCCCTGCATCATCCGGTACGATCGCGGGATTGCGCGATCCGACATTGCCCACATTACCATATGCGTCGCTACAGAAGCGAGTTCAGCGAACGAACTCTGTTTCAGGTTGAAAGACGCGCGTACCCTCCGGCTGAAGGCCAACAAAGTCCCAGAAGTTATTGTGCGCGCTCTGACCCTGCGGCACTTCGTTGTGCGGCTCGGGCTTGACAGCGTGTACGAAATCGGGGAACTTGATCGCATCCTGGATGAAGAAGACGGGAATGTTGTTGCCAACGATATCCCAGTTGCCCTCCTCGGTGTAGAACTTGGTCGCAAACCCGCGCACGTCACGCACGGTATCCTGCGCACCAGGATCAGCACCATAGCCTCTTTCGTGGACGAACGCAAGCTTACGGCGCTTCCTCGCGAACCCTGGACGGTACTAAAGCGCACGAAAGTCGGCGTCGTGCGCGACGAGTCGGTAAGTACGGGAGCATAGGTGTATTTGCTCGCGCGGTCGTCGTAGACCTTGAAGTATCCATGGGCGCCAGCGCCTCGCGCATGGACGACACGTTCCGGGATGCGCTCGTGATCAAACCTCATAATCTTCTCGCGCGCGATCTGGTCTTCAAGCAACGACGGACCCGTGGTCGACCCATCCTGGACTTTCAACCTACGCGCGGGTGTCAGCGATGAACGCAGAGGACGCAGAGAGAGGATGGAGAAGGCTGACCAATTGTCGGGATCCTTGATCTTCACGCCGTGATCCGTCCTTTGGACCGAGTCGCCGGTGGTGGGATCCTGTATGTTCTTCTGCAGATCGGCAATCTTCTTGGACGACGTCACACCGGTGACGAGCTCTTGGACCGCCTGCTTCACGGTGGATGCCATTATGCGATATCGTCAGCGGTGGTCGAGAATAGAGTAGTGGTTACGGTAGGAACAAAAAATGAGCCGTCGGCGTCGATTCCCCGAGCCCATCCGCACTCGCATTTTATACGGCGAGCGCCAAAGTTGACGCGTTGAACGTTTCGTTAGTTCGATGGAGAGGAGTTGCTCGACGTCATGTATGCAGCGCGCGCCAACGTCATCGGCAACCTACGACCTTTGCCACGCTTCCCGCGCGCCATCCTTGTCGCGACCAGCCAATCGGCCGCCGCACATTGACAATCCTCAGCACCATCCCGTGCGCGTCTGACCGAGACCCAGGCGGAAACTGACGCAGGGCGCTCCGTCCAACGTGACCGGGGGAACGGCTCTCCCGTGAACTGAAGGTTCTAGCAAGTGGTTGCGGTTACATTTGCATGGAGATAGACAATACTTGAAGCATACAGAGATTCATACAGACTTATATTACGACGACGCTATACCGGATCGAGTTCCAAAGCGAGCACGGACAAGGGCGCAGGGCGACGGGGGAGAAGACGAAAGGGTTACAACGCGGGACGTGTACGCGACGGAGATAGCGTCGGGCCCGGCGTGCTATAGCACAGGCAGTTCTACGGCCAAGAGTCGGGAGCGCGCGGCTCCCGTACACCGCTGCCAGGCTGAGCACATATAAGGGGGGCTGGTCGAATGCATCATCTGCCGAAAAACGTCAACACGCGAGCTCGACCGTACTGTCCCAGACAGAACAACTCACGAGCATAGATCGAGATCGGTCGTCATCCATCAGCGGACTCCTCCTCCTCATCCTCTACTTCACGTCCCGACACTCACAGCCGTAGTCGCGGCCGACCCATCCCTTCCCACAGCTCTCACACCACCCCCGGGGACCTTTCTCGACCCCGACCGCGCTCACGCGTGCGCTCCCCGTCGAGCCGTTCGAGTACACCGACGAGCTGTCCTCGCGGTGGATGCTGACGAGATGCCGGCCGAGATCGTGCTTGCGGCTGAACGAGCGCCCGCACGACTTGTGCGGGCACATGTGCGGCTTGGGTCGGTTCGGGTCGTGCGTCGCCATGTGCGTCTTCAGGTTGTACGCCCGGGCGAACGCTAGAGACCACGACGTGTAAGTGCTCTGATAAGGACCGCATCGAGCACGGTCGCACGTACCACGCGGGCAGCTCGGGCACTTGTATTTCTTTCTCGGATCGTCGCTGTGCATCTCCTCCCTGGCCTCCTTGAACGAACGCACGAGCGGGATCGGGGGCACGGCGGGGACGAGGGGGAGCTCGGCCTGCGACTGTCGGCGGGCGGAGACGTTGTGGGGCGCTACGGACGCGCCGTGCGCCGACTGGGTATTATACGCCGTCTTGAGCTGCGGGTAGTAGTCCGACGCTGCGGAGCTGCGGACGACGGGCGGAGACCTGGTGTAGTCCGAGTATGCTGCGCTGCTGCGGGTGTACGAGTGATTGGGGTTCGCGGCGGAAACCATGGGCGGCGAGCGGTTGCTCTGCTGCTGCTGATGTTGTGGTAGTGCGCCGAACGAATTGGGATCGTCCGTGAGGGAGGAGAGGCCGCTCGCGGCGGGCGAGGGCGTGGCTGCTGCGGCGTAGTCGGCGCCGGGATCGACGCGGATCCGCTGAAAGTCCATATCGATGGGCAGGGAGTAGTGGCTCGCGGCCTTGGCGTTGTAGAAGGATTCCGAGTAGGCGGAGAGAGAGTCGTCGTAGCCCTGGGAGAAGGACTCGGAGGAGACGGTCAACGTCGAGGGCGGGCCGTGGGCGGAGCGGTAGGAGTGAGTGGGGGTGTCGGAGCGGAGGAAAGCGAAGGCGTCGTTGGAGTCGACGGTGAGGAGCTGGAGCTGGATGTCGGACTCGTTGAAGGCGGCGAGGGACGAGTCGAGCTCGGACTCGAAGAGATCGGGGTGGGGTGCGAGGATGTCTGCGGAGTTGAAGGAGAAGAAGTCGATGGGGGGCGGGGAGAGCGGGAGGAGGTGTTGCTGGTGGTGGGCGGGCGGGGGCTGGTGGTCCTTGTATTCGTCGGTGGGCGGCGGGTAGACCGGCGTGAGGGCAAGGAAGGGGTCGGACATCCTGGCGAGCAGTCGGGACGGGAGTGCTTTGTATGCACGGCGCTGGGGAGGGAGGCGTTGGCAAGCAGGCCCGAACCGTCCAGGGCTCCATCGCCTTCCCACCCCTACCCGCCCGGCGGACTTTCAATCCAATATGGCAATGCATCGCCCTCATCACAGAAGCACGTGTGGCTGGGCACCATTGCTCTCCGTCCTCGTCGGCCAATCCGTCCCCTGCCCAACGCACCCCACAAGCCTCCGGAGCGTGGTAGACGACGTCTGCGTCGCGCCCGGGCGATTCATCTGTCGATGCACGCCGCGCCACGTCGCTCAGAAACGCTATCACCCATCCACGTACGCCCCGTCAGTTCCCCCACCCGCCGGCGCTCGTCCCCTCGAATTCGCAATAAAACCCGAGCGCTGCGCGCGCTGCGGTCAAAGAAGCCCGCGTTCTTCCCCAGGGTCCCCCGGCGCGTCAACGCGCTGAGTACGCAACCCCCCCCTCTCTTCATCGAGACATCAGCCCCAAACCGCAGCTTAAGCGTACTTCCGCCAGCCCCCCCTTGTGGCGCTGTCCGACTCAGATATCGCAGCACATGTCGGTCGCGGTGTGGTCCAACACCTCGCCGCCGCCCCTGTCTCGGCCAGTTTTATTATGAGCGACCCGCCGCCCGTGTGCTTGCCTATCTGTCCATCCGTACGGCGCTTCGCTCGCCGAACGTATGACTCGCATGACTAATCGGCCCCATGCCGCGACCCACGTCGCCCGTCCTAATCCAACCTAGTCCCAGTTCTGCCATCGGTTCTTTCTCTTTCCAGGCCGCGAAAACGCCGAATGAGCGCGCGGGCGCGGGCTGTGCAATCGCATCAGCCCTTTGCGTGACGAGACCTCGCCTTTCTCCCGCATTCTGCTGCACCGAGTTCATGGGCCCCCGCCTGATCCGTGCCCAATACATATTACTTTCACTTCTGCGATTTCCCGTTCACGATGCAGGGGACTAACGGACGCCACCGACCGCCGTGGCCTGACCATCGACCTATTTTTTGTTCCGACAGCCCGGCGCGCGTCCATCACCCCAACCCTCGACACCGCCTCCGAATCGCGTCCCTGGTCCGAAAACCAAAATCAAGGGCCTGCGGGTGGCGCGTCAGCACGTCAAGCATCGACGTACGCTTCACACGCTCATCTCCCCGCCTGGACGACGCGTCCTCACCGTCGCGTCCGGCCGCGCGAACGCATCATCGACCCCCCAAGAAGCTTAATAAAGGGGCCCAACCGTACGACTCACTGGAGCGAACCCTTCTTTCATGTGATCCCACGTAATCAATAGCACGGCGCGCACTCGGGGGTCCCCCACATCGTTCCTGCAGATACATCTCCCCCCACCGTCACACCTACACCTTCCCAGAGATCAACGGAGCTGACCAAGCGATGCATTAGCTCCAACATACCATATACTCGTATGCTTCAAACATAGCGCAACAGCTTTCGAAACGCTGTTGGAATACCAACGGATGAATGGGATCTCTACCACGATTCCCGACAGCAGCGGCGCGCGCCCTACTTTTCTCTCGTGGCTTATCGCAGCAAGAACGGCCGGCGCGCAGTGCCATGGCTATCCTTCGGAGTCCTTCCGGCCTATGTACGGACGCGCGCGCAGCTGACACCGGAGATCCGGATCTCGGCGCTAGCTGGTCACGGTCTTTATTGCTGAGGCAACTGCTACTTTATCCAACGCGAGCACGTCCATTCATGTACATATATTCCGTTCCAGGCAATACCGCACGATTATCATCTCGTGCAGCGTGTATTACATTTCGATGGCACGAATGCATGGATCATGAATAGGAAACGGCCTAAACAAAGAACGAAGCTATCTCTACACCGGGCACCATACGAGTGTTGAAGATCCGATGCAAGCCACGGCTGGACAAAGCCGTCCGTATGGCACAGGATCCATATCGTCCACTATGGAAACCTCGCCAGCGCGAATGAAGGGGCAAAGCACGCACTTTTGGCTCGATAGCGCATGTACCTCCGGCCGGACTTCGATGGAGCCGCGCCGAAGTAAGAAGCTCCAATACTAACGCATCTTAATCCTCGCGCGTGCATTTGCACCCTACCCGTTCCCGCCTCGTGTTGTCCACCGTACACGGAGGCGTCACCATGATGCAAGCCCCCATGACGAGAGCCATTCCATCCGCGCGATTGAGTTCATCAGCCATCTCCCGAACCACGCCTGCCCTGACAGCTCCTAGGGTATCTCAGTCCACCCTTATGCCCACTTCGACCCAAAAGCCGCTTCTGCCTCCGACGAGAAGCTACCAAAAGTGGCGCGGCTTCATACACTTTTGCATGCATCCGCGCCGTTGGGACGAAATGCCCGTTATTGAACTTTCCGCCCTTACTTCCTCCGACCAGAAGCTTGATACGCGGCCATGGCAACTAGCTCCTCGATTTGGCTCCCTTCGCTTCCACGACGGTATCCGTCGGGTGGCCTCAGGTGGCCTCCGTGGGCTGACAACAACTTCTCCCAACTTCTTTGCTGATGCGTGTTATCACGTTCTGAGCCAAACTTATCCTGGGCCTCTCAGTGGATCTTGCTCTGGGTCCGGGTCGGCAGGCTATGAAGCGTTGGTTTGATGCATATCGTGGTAACTGCTGGCCAGCGCCTCATTGGCCACTGCCTGCCCTCGTACAGACCTGCACGTTCGCTTCTGTGCCATTACTCTATACCTTGGGTCCCGGACGTCGGGTTCACACATAATACAAACTCGCATCAGCAGCGAAAGCCCATAGAGTTAGCGTTTCGTGCAACAAGTCGCGTGTTGGTACCAGTGACCAGAAGACATAAATATGCCGTTATCGCCCCCTGCCTGCGCACATAATTGATCTCGATTTACCCCTGCTTGAGTGTCCGGTAGGTAGATCAAGAATAAACAACCAAAACAAATTCGCGTAACTTACCATCCCGCGTTCGGTCGGTCTGGGCGAGGGGGAAAACAATGAATACATTTGTAGTCAGCAGCGGTGATGGCGCATCCCCGCGTTGCCCATGGGCTTGGGAAGCCAATCAATGGAATCTCGCTCTGGAGGTGGTCGGTAGCAGTATTGCTGTGAGGTTGTGCGATCCCTCCGGCTTTTGATGAGACATATGTTGCAATAGCCGTTGGACGATCCGAGGGTGTCCAAAAACAAGAGAAAAGCGCCACGAGGAGACGAACATACATGAAAGCTTGGAGGATCGTGTGCTCAAGCGATCCGGCAAGGGCGAGTTCGGGGATACCGATGAAGGTATATCTCATCCAGACTCCGCGCCTTGCAATGTTTCCCATCATCATCATCATCGAAGGCGTTGGATCCATCGAGCCAGGCCATCATGCATCAGTGTTCTGACTAAAGTCGTTCCGTGACCCAGACTCGCTTCCATACCCTTCATAATTGACCCATTCGGTGAATCAGAACAGGGCCTGTATCCGAAGAAAGACGGAGATGGGTAAATACTTAGTAAGACGATACGGTTAAACGGGAAACAATATTGATCGGGGCCCTAAGAGAGCACTATAATCCGAAGCATCCGGGATGAGCCGTGAGAGTTAGATATGCTCTGATCAGAAGCAAGATCATGAAACTGGGAATGAATGGGACGATGGATGGTCGACTGGAAGGCGAAGAAGGGGTCCTATAAGTCAGAGAAGTGCGAGTGACGGGATATGACAAACACAACGCGAACAACCCGGAGTGAAGGAGCACGCTGCGATTGCACATGCATGGCGGTCGAATGTGAAGTATAGTTGCATCAGTATGTTGTCACGGGAAGGGGGGACTGCAAGGGGGCCCGCCTGGGGCCCGCACAGCATCGAAGGAGCGTCGAAGCCACAAACAATCGGCGTCTTCGAAGTTCCCGGAAGGTGAACCCTGTTTGCTTCCGTTTGATGGCCTGATGGCATGCGGTGCACGCGTTCCTGGGGTTCCGCCCCCACGCCCCGCAATTAGACATCGCAAGTCCGCACTCCGCGAACGACGTCGACCCGTGCCGGTGCATCTGCCAGATGGCAAACAGGGCCGAAAGATGCGAGAGACGAAACGATGAGCATGTGCAAACGTAACCACATTTCCACGACGCACCCCCCCGGGCGACGACGAAAGATGTGGTGGTGGAGGGAACCCTACCGGTGGTTCAAGTTTGGTGAGACGGCGTCCCGTACCGCGATTGGCTTCCTATCGTCATGTTTCCGCGAAGCTGATGCAGACGATGAGAGACTATCGGGCGCAGTGGGTCTCTCGCGGCGGGACACATCATCGAAAATCCCAGTCAACGGGACTTCGAGCTGTATCCGTCACTGCGGTCTCAGGATCCATGGTACGAACTTCAGTGGCTATACGATCTAAGTATGTGAGTGCCCGTCCGTAAATGTGGTGTCTGTGCTTCGTTATGTTGTGATAGACAGCGCCATAAGGGATGCGCGTTCAAGCGGTGCAAAGATCCTGATTAAGACTCCGTATCATCATCAAATCGGCGTATGATTGCTTTAAATGGATAGAACCACTCTCCAGGTTGAGGTCCAGACGACAAACGCCGGCTGAACAACAATCGTGAAAAGGTAGAACTCTTGATTGTGGAGAGTATATAGTCGACCGCCGGTCCATAGAAGAAAAACGAGAGTTTGAATAATTACAGTTCAAATATACACCTTGTTTCTACCATGTGCAAGTACTGGCGGACTCGACTTCGTCTGGCCATGGGAAGCCGGAGCCCAGAGACGGTAGCAATCCGTGCGCGGTATCAAAACAGGCCGAAACCTTCTGCAGTGCCATAGAAACAAAACCTTTGAAAACAACACTCTCTGGTTCGTCGATATTCCTGGAGCCGGATCTGAGATTGTTCCCGTGGCGCGGAGAGGGTGGGGCTTCGAGTCCCGGATATCGCTTCGTGAGCAATTGCCTGTATGCGGAGGCACAGCACTCCGAAACGAGAGATGCCTGAAGCGAGCGCGGACGAAGAGAGTCGCGCAACATCAGTTGCGATTAATTGAGCGAGATCGTTCCGGGTTGCGTACATGCGGATGAGCGCATCGAGTTGGTCTTTCGACTGTATAGTTGCAGAGCGTGTACGACAGTGCCGGCGGAGGACAAAAGCGCCATATGCACAGATCTGTTGATTCGAGTGAATGAATGCCGGAACAGCGGCTGAGCTATCATAGAAGCAAGGGGGCAATCGACCCGTGCGCTATTGGTGCTTGTACACTCTTCAGATCATCTGACGCTCACTTCGTTGCAGCAAATCGCACGGTGCTACTTGCTTGGTATGAAAGAAAACGATCGCTTCGACCGCCAGAAGGGATGAATTCGGCTCGCACGTCGCGTAAATTTGGAATAACTCAGTTATCCGCATTCGTAAATCGGCAATGCTGGATGATCATCATCCTAGATCGAAGTGAAGCAAGACGTTGTGAACCGTTTTATGTTCCCGAAACGCGGACTACGACACGTATGAGTTACAAATTTCGATATACCTCAGAAATAGAGTGAAGCAAAGAGACACCCACGACCGAGCCAACGCTACTTGGAGTTTTTACCACTGCTATCAAAGCATCGATGAATGGTTTAATCAGCTCCTCATCAACGCCGGAGAATAAACCATCCAGATACCAAAAAAAGATTCCGACACAAACACAACGATAATCCTTGAAATGAAGGGCATGACTAGCCCGTCGTATGTTCGGAGCGAGGAGTCAGCGGCATTAGCTGTAACGTCATGTAAGCAGCAATGAATCATGAGCACGCACGGGTCCCGGTAGTCCCGGCATGCTTTGGGTCCGTTCGCAATCGCTTGCCAAGTATGGTAGCTATCTTACATTCAGGCTCTGATTTAACCTCTCCGCATAGAGTTTTATCCCTGTAACCAAAGTATGAGATCCCGCGCGTGACACAGCCGTCAAAGAGTTGCAATGACAACAACCAGCCTGCGTACATGGGACAGCACCCCTTTGGATGCCGGATAACAGCGGCGCGCAGTATGTTGATTCGTAACGCCGTTTTGACCCATACGGACGAGTCTTCGTCGATACCTATGTCAATTGAGCTGGCGTTGAGGATCCAACGTCGACTGATGACCATGGTTGTGACGAGAAGTCCGAGTTCGCGGAATACAGTTGGAACAACTTCATCGTCTTACTCCAGGTATCCGCAGCATAGCAGCCACCCTCATCTTCGGGAGAGTCCAGAGTAACAGTCTGGAGGTGTTCGAGATTGTTCTGGGAAACGATGATCGCACGGCTGAACAGCAGTGCCTGGTTGAAAGTCCGGAGGAGCGACAAAAGCGTATGCGCGAGGTAGCCGCTAGAACTCAATCGATTGTTTCCCGTCGGGACAGACGGGCGAAGGGGTGGTGCGTGTCAACTTTTGCCGAAGCGGGTTGTCATCCCAGTACGCTGCCTCGATGAGTTTAGACCAGCTTTTTCTGAAATACAAGAGCACAAATGATGAGATGTTCAGGAGACTGAGATCAGCGCTAGCGAGACAAAGCGCCCTTAAGGTGCCGCAATTTCCATTGCTGGGATCACGCGCTCCAATGACCGAGGGCTGTAAGTGGCGGTACCGCTATACTTGTCGTGCACTTTCATGGCCGCCTCCTTCAAGGACAGGAATCTCTTGGCCGTCATCGGCGATGAAGTGCGTTGAGCTCTGAGTTGTCTCTTCCAACGCTGTCCACATCTATGCCGACAAATCAGGGTCATTGACAGGATGTATTTGTCTGTTGTGCTAGGACTCGATCACCGGTCTTCTCCTCGCCGGTATTGGGCACATAAACGACAAGCAGAAGAAGAACTTCCTGATCGTCGATAGCAGTACGTCCACATTGTTACTTCAGTTCACGGCAGCGTCGTGCTCGTCTGTTTGATAGGCGTATGCCGGTATATGCGCAGTACTGATGCAATCAACCTCCGCAGAAACTCAAGTGTCCACCATTGAAGCGGCATTCGAAGAGTTCACTGAACGCAGCGACATAGCCATTCTACTGATTAATCAACATGTTCGTGATCCTATTGCCTGGCCCTGCACTCGCTGACACATCCTCCGACCTGTTATGGTTGCATGCAGATTGCTGAGAAAATTCGGCCGACTGTCGACAAGTACCAGAAGGCCTTCCCAGCCCTCCTCGAAATACCCTCGAAGGATCATCCATACGGTAAGCTCGGGCGCTTGTATTGCCATCGGGTTCTTAACCCACTGCGTTTCCGTTATACCCTCATCCCATGGCTCACACAATTCAATGACAGACCCCAATAAAGATTCCATCCTGAAAAGGGTGCAGAAGCTATTTGGAGAATGAGTGCTACGCATCGGATTTTTGTTTCAATTTCGGCAGATGCAACCTGGCGTCCTCGGCGTTCGAACGCCAGGAAAGCTATACTTATCATGTAATGCAAAAGTGTGGCGCCGAATGCGAGAGGACACGGATAGCCCATCTTCGAAAGGCACTGGGTTACTCATCCCTGTTGGTTGTGGATACGTTGGGCATTCGCCGAGAAAGCGGGCGCGGGACGATATTCCCAATGCGCGATCGCCGAATTGGTCAATCTACCCCGGGCACCTCGGCATCCGGAGTCAGTAGCAATCTTCCGAGGCCCCCGAATTCACAGCTCTGTAAACAACAGGACTTCATTGGGAATACCATTCCAACCTGGCGGGGTTTGCAGATAGCTTGCGAATGATGTTCCCGTATAGTACACAATGGAAGATGGAGTGGAGGTGCAATGGGCGGCGTCATGCGCCTGTACCTGGTCGCGATTACCCCGGCATGCAGGTTGTGGCTGGACTATGTTAGCGGTGTATCGGTGCAGGTTCTTATACCTGCGTCCACCGCATGACCGGCTCTGTTTCTCGTACGTCCGGCGCTCTCTCGACAAATACTCGTATGGGGTTCCGACTGCGAGAGTCTACGAGAATCATGTTATGGCTAGGCCGCAGTGAGGGGCGAGCACAAAACTACGCACTCGGAATGTCGATTAATAGGTAGCGGAAGACGAAGTAGCCCTCATCGTTCTAATATGAAGGCAGCGTTGAAGTCATACGGAGACTGCAGTGCATGCAAAGCTCGACTCACCTTGACCAAATCGGCATGCACCTCGCCTTCTGTCCATGTAACACCCGCGGCTGGGCGGGATTCCTCGCTAGAAGCACCTCCAAGCCTCATCGAGAACACTCCGAGGACGACAGTCTTGAGGAATCCCTGCCTTTCCTTCGGCCTTTCCGAAGTTGGTGATGGACCCGTTGTCGGCGGAATCGACGGCGCAGGTTCGCCTGTGAGGTACCTAAACGAAGACTTGAGCCTATCAAGTGACCGCGACGACCAGTCTTTGATGTCGTCCACAGTGATGGACGATATATCAGTGAGTGCCGCTTGTGTACGTTGGATGGTCTTGTCGACCCAGGTTTGCTCGGAGTCGGTAAACGTAGTCGAGGTCGATGATGTGGGGGAGGATGATATGTAGAAATTGAGGAGTAGGTGTTCTCGACCGGAAGCATCTACCGCTATGCGCGAATTGACGTTATGGTTTCGGTGCCGCGGGCGTGTGGAGGAAGGAGGGTTGTTGTGGAAAACAAGAGGCGCATGCAAGTATCTTGCGACCTGGCAAGGACGTCAATTCCACTATCGAGGGCCGAGTTGTTATTTGATTTACCTTGGACGACCGTCTGATCTTGTCACACGCTTCTCCATAGAGGACGGTCGGCGAATTACTGGAGAACAACTCCGAGGTGAGGGAGTATGTCAAAACCGTGAACAGCCCGGCACCGAGAAGTATGACAGTCAGGTTCGTAGTGCGAGCCGTCGTCCGCATGACTAGTCCGCATTTGCTTTAGTCTATGAAGCGCAATGGATGTGAGCGCACCCGTACCTTTACCGGTTGTACTCAGTTCCGACCATGGCTTGGGCCTCTCCTGTCCGGATCCTCGTTGAATCATTCCGAGCTGAAACGGCCCAGCAGTATCGTTGTTCAGACTTTGACCCCCAGAGGCACGCGCCTTCTGGTCCAGGGCTTGGGAAAGTAGGGATGAAGCTGGCTGTCCGCGATGCGTCGCGTATAACCGATAGTATCCAAGCAGCATTTTGCGGTGGCAACATAACGAGCGATGAGAGCGAGCGATAGATGGTCTGTACTGCAGGAAGGTATTCATCGCTCTTTGCGCCGAACGCGAGCTTGCAACCATTCTCCACGGGGGTTCGTTTCAAAAGCGCAAGCTTCTGGCACAGCCACGACAAGCATCTCCTCGACTAGATCTCTGTCAGCGTGCTATGGATATATTCAATCGTCCACCGTCGATCGCAGAGGATACTCTACAATACACTATATATCCAGCACAAGATGCAAGAGACAGCAACTCTGTGGCAGCGCTTGCGACAATTCTCCAAGAATATGTCGACTCCCTGATCCCGGGGCATATATGGCATAGGGATACATTCGAGTTGAAAATTGTGAGGGACACCGAGGTGAATCAAGGGGTGGGATTCTCCGGAACTGGATACCTTTGGCTTTTGGAGGGATGTATGCGAGTTGGGGACTGCGTCGACGACGAATGGTGTGTCGTATGGCTGCTGAGGGAGATCAGCAAACGATGGGATGTTGTCATCAGGTGCCTTTTTCGTCTATCTTATGCGTCAACTCTAGGGGCTAACTTGATTCTCACACCACAGTGTATGGGACACTGATGGTGAATTCCTGCTAATCGAGGCAGCGGAGGCTCTTCCTGCATGGGTGACACCAACGAATGCAGAGAACAGGGTGTGTGTCCTGTTATAACTTGCTGGAGATGCATTTGACTCAACATTGAATACAGGTCTGGATCTACGCCTCCAAGTTGCACTTGATACCGCTCTCACATGTCTCCGCACCTTCTAGCAAGCGGCGCCGTTTACAATCGAAATATGCACGAAACCGTGACGACGAGGGCACGGACGATCTCCTGAATGCATCGCATGACCGGAACGAGAATGAGTACCTATCTGTGCACGACGCGCTACTTCTGGTCAGGGACAAGAACGTTGATACCGAGGCACCGGTCGCTGTTACTGATGCTGTCTGGCGGAGAATTGAAGGGTTTGCTACGTGTTCTCCTCCTAGTACACGCATGCTCAAACTTGTTCCACAGGTATCCTGCTGCACTGGCGCAACACATACACAAAACCAAAGCACACCTGCCGGTTGATGTGGCACGGGCGTTATCTACCAACCCGTCCCTGGTGCAGAAAGCCGTGGAGACTTTCTATACCCGTGATGCTATCCAGCTGCGCGTAAGCAAATCCTATATAATCGTCACTCACAGGTTTCTCACCTAAACATCTCACAGGCTGCTCACAAGATGTCGCGGTTCCCCCCACAACCCTCTGCCCTCCGTACAGTCAGGATGACTCGTACAGCGTACGCCCAGTTGTTGGGCCAGAAGTTCCATCCGCCTAAGGTATTTGGCCGATGGCCGGAGAAAGAAGGTACCAAGGAGTGGAAGTGGAGGGACGTCGGAATGAAGATTGTAGGTGCTGAACTATAGACGAGGCGTACCATCGTGGACTGACGATCATGCACAGGCGTGTGGATTTGAGATGTTATATCAAGAGGGAAAGAGACGAAACGAGGCCATCACAATCAACCTATCCGATGAGGCATCAGCAGTTGGTTATGCCTCTTTTCTCGATGTGTTTGTTTTGCTGATTTAGTTGCGCAGACGCGAGCGCGTCACGATGCCCTGCGCCGAAGCATCGATTACCAAGCCTACATCAAATCACTAATGAAAGCAGGTTATTTCGAGGGCGAACTCGAAGGTTCACAGCGTTGGAACGAGCTGGAGTCGAGGGCGATCGATACGTACTTGAATGTCCGGAAAGACGAGTAAGTGCGCTCATACAGATCCTGTTCTGTTGAGCAACTCAATTCAGTGATGCAACTCGGCCGTCGTTTGCAACGCAAGTAGAGGGAGCTGTATCCCGTGCTCCGACCTTGGAAGAAGCTTTGAAGGACAGTCAATCAGACGAAGACAGTGACGATTGGCTGAACATCGATGCTGAGGACTTCGATGAGGTGCTGGAGCGAACGATGGGCAGGGGAAGCTCCTCTGGTGTGACAAATAAGGATCCTGCTCATTCTGAAAGCGCGATGGCGGCTGACGAGGAGCGTGACCAAAAGAAAAGGGAGGAGCGAGAAGAAAGGGTCGCTAAACAGCAAGCCTCGCGGCTTCAGGACCTGGCGAAGAAGGTCGAAGACTTCGTCGAGGGTAAGGGCGACCTGGACGGGGCTCGTTTTGCCGAGTAAGTGATTACCGATTTCCTCGTGCTCCTTCCTTCCTGATATCCCTTTTCAGTGATCCAGACTCGGAGTCCGATAAAGAAGATGACGCCATGAGCGACTTCAGTGATGAGCAATTCTCCGATTCTGATGATGAGGACACGGAGGACGAAGCTGCCTACGCTCGTCAACGGCGAGAGGACATGGATAAACTCGTCGCGCCTCTTGGTCCCGGAGAGTATGGCAGGATGCCCCCATCTTTCCATGAGAACTCGCAGCAATTCAAGGAGGAGGAATCGCAGGAACAGGATGGTGACGATAGTAGGGACATTGCTCAACCGCGTCAGCACGCGGATGCAGCGTCGAAGAAGCAGCCCACAGAAGAACCCGTACGCTCTCGCCCGCCGCTTTTGCCCCGCGACAAGTATGAAGGTGTCGACTCTGATGACGAGTCGGACGACGAAGCCTATGAGAATCCGTTCCAATTGGAAGAGGATGGCGAGGACGAAGAAGACCGCCCGCAAATCGTGGGCGAGATGGAGATTGACATGAAGGAGGAGGAGGAGGAGTTCTTAGAGTTTTCTAGGAAGGCTCTAGGTATCTCCGACGAGCAATGGGGAGACATCATTCGGGAGAGGAGGGGGCGAGGAGGTAAGTCTTGCTATGACCGGCTCAACATCCTGCTAACAAAGTATCAGCCTATGTTCCTGCCGGCGTTCTCGTCCCGGATAAAGCACCAACGAGAGCCCCACAAGGACCACGAGCAGCCGAACATCAGGGTAGCGCAACAGAATCTCGGCTACGTAATCCCCAGCCAGGACCGAGGCCGGATGTCAATCCTGATCTAGATTCCTTTGAATCTGTGATGCGTGCCATGGACGCCGAACTCAGCCGTATAAAAGGAGCCGAAATTTCACAAAAGAAAGCAGCGACTACGGTCACGCCCGGTAAATCCGTCAATTCATCGACAGCGAAGGGGAAAGGCAAGGCGAAATCAGGTCCGTCGGAGGAAGAGAACGACGAGGGCACGGGTATGGACATTGAGGAAGCGATGGATGCAGAGCTCCGTAACGCCCTACAACACGGACCTGTTGAAGACGACGACAATTCGGACTTTGAGTTCGAAGAGGGTGAAGGCATGGATTATGCAATGATCAAGAACTTCCTGGAGAGTTTCAAGAGTCAGGCCGGCTTGCCTGGACCGGTGGGCAATCTCGCCGGGAGGTTGCAGCCTGGTTGGACACTGCCTCGGGATAACTCGTGAACAACGGTACCACTATCTCATAGACGAATTGACTGTACACTTCTGCCGACGTACTTAGCTCTTGCCCAGAGATACCTCGTTATATAATAATAAAGTGTGACATCCACAACTCCCGCTTAGCTCAGTGGTAGAGCGCGTCACTAGTAATGACGAGGTCAGTCGTTCAAGTCGGCTAGTGGGAATCCATTTTCATGATCTGATGACCGTGTACCCGTCTTTCTTTTTGTAGCTTCTGTGCGTAAATTGCTATTCAAATAAATTACTGTGCTGAGCCCACAAGCGGCGACGGGGCGGTATCGACCGCGAGGCCGCTCTATTCCGTTCAGGCAACGGCTGGATTATTCACTAGCGTCTATTTCCGTACAACATCGCTAGTATTCCATGTTCCGGACCCACTGCTCGTCCGCATTGTATGCCTGCTCTATTTCGATCCCTGGCAGTGCCCTTCTCAACGCCCGAACCCATAGGTCCATCTTTTCCCAATGCGTACGGAGTTGTAGCTTCCTCAACGAACCCTCCTCAACGCGACGCAGCAGGGACGCAGCGAATGCCATGGCCTCGACGTCAATCCGCTGCCGAAGTGTCATATTGCCATCGGTGTCGTAGGAGTATGTACCCTCGAGAACGAGGGTGTGCAGATTTGGTGCCAACGGCTGCATGCCCCGGATGGAAGAGAGGAAAGTCGCGGCATTGCGTAATCGAGAGCCGTGTGACTTGATGCGGATGGTATCGACCCGGGACATCTTTCCGAGTGCGGCTACCAGCCCTGCTGTATGTTTCGAGAACTCCCCAAACTCCAACAGGAGCGTAGATGGTTCTGTGGCAGCAAGGTCACTTTGCATGGAGAGAAAGGTTCCATTGATGGTGTTGTTATCTAGCCACGGCCACCAGAACTCGACGTTGGGTTCTGGCTGGTCAAGCGCATGGAATACTTGCGTCCGGACAGCGTAATACCCCTCACTCCCGGGGAATCGCAAGGCGAGGACGTTGTACCGCTGACCGGTGGCAGTGAGCGTGCGCCACGACCTGGTGACATCGGAGGGAGTGATGCGTCCGCGTCGATCTGTTACTCTCGTCACGATACGGAAGCTAGTTCTGCATGTGGGAGGAAGCTGAAGACGGCTCAGGAGCCAATTCGCAGCTCGAATATCGGAGTCCTGAATCTCCAATCGGGTCATGTTCGGAAGCGGAACCTTGACAGGAACAAGCGCCTCAACGGCCCTGTTCCAGGAGGGGAGGACGTTTTCTAGCACAAGCTCGTTGAGGCCTGTATGTTGCTGAAGTACGGTAACGACTTGAGCCAGATCTCCCTTGATTGAGACCGCTGGACGATCGGTGTCCGTTACCGACGAGACCCGTAGGTGCCTCAAGTTGGCAGGCGATTGTAGCAGAGCCGAGCGCCAATCGAAGGAAGTGGCTTCCAACAGCTCGAGGTTCGTGAGGCGCGGACAACTCCAATTCAAGACCTCTTCCGGGGGCGCAGTCCAACGACAATGTAGGAGCTCGGGAAGGTATGCCACCATCGACCGAACATGGTACCAGGCGCGCCCATCAACGCCCTTTACGCAGCTAGGGTCATGCCGGAGCTCCTCCTGCAGTTGTGCGGCTAGATTCTGGGCGGTGGGTTCTCTGGGAAGTTCTGCGTGAGAATACAGGTAGCGGGGAACAGGGTCTGCTCGGCGATTCATCTCGAGTGCCGCAACAGGTTGGTGCAAATCCAGAATGGACCAGAGTCCGCGCGTGGAAAGGGCCGTAGACCGCCAGTAGTGTGAGACCTGGGCGACACGGACCCATTCATATCGTCCACTGGCATGGGATGATGAGTCCCGAACGTAGAGAAATATCATGCCGAGAATCTCAGGTGGGAGACGGCAGGCAGGGAGCATGTTGTTCCTATGACGTTGAAGTTCGAGGAGATCTTGTGAGAGGCTCGAAACGCGCGCTCTAAGCTCGTCCACCGTTAGGTGAGCCCGAGTGACGATCTTCGCGTCACAACGTCGTCGTTTGCCAGGGGACTCAAAGTCATCGGACATGTTGCATTGGCAGGTGATGCAGTAATGCCCGGCCACTGTGTCAGGCGATTCGGAGCGACGGCGCTTCTTCGACGGCTCACGGCTGGATCTGAATGCGATATATTAGCTTATTTCCCCGTCAATCGAGAGATTTACGCACAATGGGGCTAGACCCATCGCGGGCGCGGCAGTATTGATGATATCTATGGCCTTGTTCAACACGTCCGAGGTCGATTTGACCATGGACAGATCCCCGCGATCGACATCCATCATGCTCGGCAGCTCCTGCAAGGCCCTCTTTGCAACAGCGAAAGGATTGGAAATGTCACTGTCGACCGGAGGTATCGCCGCGGGCAGCCTGGGGACTGAACGTGCTGGAGCACTCCGAGACGGCGCGGAGCGTCCTGTCTCGCCTTTAGGTCGACCGGGTTTCCGTCGCGAGCGACCGGATAAGGCGGCTGGTGCTTTCTCGTGCGTCTGGGCCCGATTTTGAGAGACGCCAGTCCGTGAGCGCAAGTTATAATGACGTTCACTCATTGAGATGTATTCTGGCTTTCAGTTGGTGGTTGCGGAGGAGTGTCGACAGATAGGTTGTCTTTGGAACGCGAAGTGGGCCGCCCTTGAGTCTATATAACGACGCATTCTCCTATTGTCCTGCGTGTTCCACTTTGGCTATTGTCCTTGTGACCAATCATCGTGCTGCGATCATCTGACAAAAGGCCATCCTAGTTCAACTGGCACTGATCTGGCAGCAGTGTCGAGACGCAAGACATGGTGATATTATATGAAAGGGCGTTCATGAAGCTTGATGTGGTCGCCGGGGGTGAAGAACGAGGATAGTGAGCGCTTTTTGTGCAGCAAGTCGTACGTCTCCGTCGAGGACCGGGATCCGGACTGAGACACGGTGACGCGCCGCGATTGTGGCGGTGCGAATAGATGGCACCTGAGCGTGGCGGGGCACGCGTTCATCGACTCTGGCGATGAGCGCGACCATGGACACAGACGATCTGCCTGTAGTGCTTCCATCAAGCACAACGTCAGGTCTCTCGCTAGCACTGTGAGTGACCCGGAGCTTCTGGGTCAACGGAGTATGACTGGTCACGCTCAGCCACCCCTTGCCGATCTTGAACATATCAGAGCATCTCACGCGCCGCAAACTCCAGACGGACAGTAACTCGCCGTTCGGTATGATGCAATTCACCTTTGAAAGCCACGACCCAGCGTCATTGACTTCTTTAGTCTTGGGTGCTCTCCTGGGAACGCAGAATGGGCGTGAAGTCGAGATAGTCAACTCCTTTGAACTTGCGGTGGAGGAGTCAGACGCAGACAAGGTTGATCACGGATTCTTCATCATCCGCAGAGACCAATGTAAGCTTTTGCTTGAATCTATGTAATGGATATGCTGATCTTCGTCCTTCCAAGACAAACAGGTCTTCCCCTCCCTAGAATTCATTGGTTGGTACACTGTGGCACCGCAACCCACTGCACGTCATATCAAGTTTCATGAACAGGTTCGCCAAATAACTATCACTCTTTATGGAGGTCCTACTGAGTATATGATCCCAGTTTACAGCGTACAGCTCAACCCCTCTACTCCTCATTCTGCAACCTTCATCCCCATCCACCGCATCGACATCAGATGTTACTGCTCAAGCACTGCCATTCAAAGCCTATGAGCCCACCACCGAGATTCGGGACCGAAAGACACGCTCAGTTTTCATCGAAGCCTCGTATTCAGTAGAAACCGGTGAAGCCGAGCGGATAGCCGTTGACTGGACCGCGAAAGGCGGAGGGGGCGAGACTAGCTGTATGCATCGAATTCCTAAGACTTCCGTCGTACTGAGCGTTTCTTTCCAGTGGAATCTCACCTACAGTCTCAACGAGCTGCGGTGAAGATGCTCCATGATCGAATTATTCTCCTCGTCCAATACGTTACGGACGTACTTGCTGGTCTGTCATGCAATACCTTGTACGCGCCGTCAGTACTAATATTTCCTTGGTTTTCTTCTTGGATCAGGGCAAGAACCCATTGACCACGGGACTTTGCGGTCGCTATCTGCTCTGATCGCCTCCTTGCCGGCGAGCGAGAATCCAGCCTTCCGCACAGAATTCGAGACGGTAGGATAGCCTATCGTCGTCAGCGCCGCCATCGTTCGCTGAACATCTGTGCTAGGAATATGAGGACGTCCAGCTAACGGCGCTGCTTTCGACACTGACGAAGTCGGCCAACACGCTCAACGACGTGCGTGCACATGTTTCTTGCTCCTGATATTAATTGGTCTGATTACGCTTTGCAGTTTGTTGACAAGCACGCGGTACTTACCTCGGGTGGTCGCGATGAACGTGGTGGAGGTTCGGGAGGTCCACGCCGACGGGGCATGAGTGGACGTGGAGGTCCTATGGGAGGATCTGAGGCTTGGGAGCGATTCCATTGATGTTGTCATTGCTGTTAATATACATTGGTCTGTACAAACATGAATGCCTTTATTTGTAAAGATGGTCAAAGGTTGGAGAGTTTCTACTTGATTCATCGGACGAAGGGCCGCGAGTTTCCGAGAGTGATCAAAATCTGAACAGATCTTGCAATCAGATAGGGATAGTCTCTCAAACATCTGACAATGATAGAACGGAACCATGATCACGTCTTGTGTCTGAGAAGGCACGCGACCGCGGTCAAGTAAATCACTTGCTAGCGTCACCGCCCCGAGTGCATGGCAAAGAATCGATGCGACGGCTGCCTACACAGATACACGACTGAGAAGGTTTTAGGGTTGGGCCATATTGCCTATGAAGTTCTAATAGGCGAACTTTGAGACTTTTCCATACACCGAGTTCTCTCGGACTCAGGCCAGCCCTGCAGATGAAATGGATTCGTCATGATATTGTTACCAGGGGGGTATTCTTTCGGCAGGGGAGTAAAAAAACCCTGAACTAGGTATCATGGGTACGGGAGTTACAGGGGGCACCTATTATCCACATACGTGTTTTGACCGCATGTGAAGGGACAAACGGGACGCGGCAGGGAACGGAGGACGAATGTATGACACCTTGATGTCCGCTACGCATCGCTCGCGTGGGGAAATTCCGAACAGAACAGGGGGACCGCTTGGGGACCGCTTGCGAGCGTGTACGCTTCTCTCGTCCGTACGCTCTGCTGCCTGTGTCGTCTTGTGGCCTAGGTCTTTTAAACCTGATTTACACGTCCGTGGCATTTTTGCAACCGCTTGTTTATTCAGTGTGGCTCGCTCTGGTGCGATGGTCAATTACCTTAGTGCTTCCTTGCCCATCAACCACTCGTTCGACGAGGAGAGACGGCGGCATTCCACGGTCGCCTTTCCCAACCTGAATCACTGCTGTCGGACAGTGTACAAGTCACGGCATATATTGATATGTCTGTAGCCCTTCATCCGCGTCAACCTCCTGCGCAGGTCGGATTCTCCTGAACGATGGCATTGACACCACGTTCAGTTCGCTGGTCCGGACTCTTGACGTTTTTCCCTCTCGATCGGCTGCCCAGGACGACCATCTGTTTACTGAAGCAAGGCCATCGGCGCTGTTGACGGTTCGGCGGCGTTGAACCAGTGCAATCATCAGAATCGAGGGCACCGAGGGGGCAAAGTGGACTCGAGGATCTAACGTTTTCCTGTCGTCAGATCCCATAACTTCATGGTACACGTACGTGGACGCAATATGCTCATAATGCGGCGACTGCTGCTGGCCAACTGCTCGTCCAGGTTGCGGATCACTAGAGCATTCGCTGGTGGCCCTGGTCCGTGGGGACGTCCTTCCAAGGTACGGTAACTGCTGTTTTTCCCGCGCGACAGACTCGCGCTGACAGGTTGTACCCATCGGTAGGACCAGCTCAAGTACTGTAAAGCGCTAGTGTTCTCTTGAGCTGAAGAGACGGCCAGAACAGCGACGCGATCCGACAGGTTGTCCAAGATTTCGGCGTCAGTCCAAGAGACCCTTCATAGTTAGGGGAGTCCTGCACAGTGTCATTGTACACCTCGCCGATAAGAACGCCTCAATATGCCGATGAGGACCGCAAGCATCGGATGTGCCAATCGAGGACTTTGCTCGATGCGACTTCACATGCAGGCTCGTGAACCCTTGCACGTCTGCTAAGAGGACTGAATGGCGCCATCATCTTGCACCCGAGCCGGGTTCAATTACCTCGACCAGTCCACTGAGCAGTGTAGTTCTGCTCTCAGCGGCGGAAGCTTGTTCGGTGATGGCTCCCCGGGGCAGGAACTCGCCCAGCCGATCGCGTTGGACTCTTCTGGCCTAGTCGGATCGTCTCTGGCCTGGTTGTGGACGCGTGTCGAGAACCGCAGTCAGCGTGCTGTGATGCCTGACCCTGGCTGACGTCCATTTGTCCCCAACGGACTCTCGGAAACGTCCGCGAACTGCCTCCGCGCGTTCGGTAGACGCTCCGCCCAGCCGATATGGGCGTCCGTTTGTCGGAAGTCGACAATCTCAGCGCATACATCAGCGTATCAGCATCCAGAGGTCAATTTTCGTGCATCTGGACCAGGACAAGATTGGAGGAATTCGCCCGAAGAGCGATTTGTGCGTGGGTAATCGCTCGGTTCAGGTGGCAGATCTGCAGCACGCCGCGTCTTCGACATCGGAGACCTCCGCCATGCACGCCGCATGCGGCCTCGGGCACGCATTCGTACGGAAAGGTATGAATAGATTTCCATCCACCCGGGCCCATAAAACTTCTCCTGAGCAAGGTTCGTGATCGGGCCCTTCTTTATCTCTTTGCTCACTGACCGGTCGTCTCAAGTTTCCCGCGTCGTGGACTGCGCTTGCAATGGATACGGGTTACCCTTTGCGCCTGCCTAATTATCGAGGCTCTTGGCAACGTCGCTACCATCCTTATCCGAGGTTTCGACTCTCTGCGCGCGAGAGGTGTTTCGGGTCGTTGGTGCGTGCCAGGTTTCCCAAATCTATTGCAAACTAAATTTGACTCAAGCACGTCTACATTAGCAGCCAGATGAATACTACGACGACTCTTGTGAACGCAGCCCTGCTATGTTAATGTCAGATGTGAGCGTAACATGATACGCCGAAAAGGATGCATGTTGATTGTCAAGAAATAGCTTCCGACCACAAATCTGGATGTATCCTTCGGCGACGTGATCCCCGCGGAGCAATCAAACGACGGGCATACTCATAACACGAAGCAATCGGTCGAGCGTAGAAGTCTGACCGCACTTTTAATCGTAAGTGACCAGTTTTTCGCGCTCGAACGTTAGCTCTGATAAAATTCGTTAATTGGCATAGAACCTTGCGCTTCAGCTTGCGTTCTGGCGGCGCCAGCAGACTGTTGCGGAGACTAGGGACATACCGGAGGACACGACGGAGAAGGCGATGTTGCCACACTAGCCTGAGATGTCTTCGCTTGCGCTGACGCTAGACATATTTCTTTGTATGCATGAGGGTAGACGACATGGTATGATCTAGCGGTTGCGTGCGCGTAAGGAGTGTATTGTCGATATGAAAAATGATGCTAGTGCTGCTTGATGGTCGTGTATATCCCTCAGCTCCGATGTAAACAGGACAATGGATCACCGTCAGGACCACGGCTCGAGTGAATCACTTTCAGCTCGCATCGAACCCTTATGAATATTCCTGTCACATCTGAGATCAAAGGCTATTCCTCATTTGGAAGTGTAGATCTTCCGTGATCCATTCGCACAGGAACGGCTAGCATACATAAATGTAACGACTTGCAGGGATAGGGCGACGGTCAAAGAGTAGTGAATCTGGCAGACACATGCGCCCGTATATTTTCGACCATACGAACCAACACGGGACTAAGGGGTACAATACCCCGTTCTTGCCCCGAGATTAACTGTGCTGAGAGCCAATGCGGCTCCATCGTACTCCCGATCGGAAGGGAATGTTAGGAGTAGATTCACCAAGTCGGTTCCAGTTGGTTTCCAAGCTCCATCGCGGCTGCAAGGCTCATATATGAACGTTCGTGACGTTGTCACCATTTCGTGAATAAACAGAAACCACGACAGGAAAAGTCTGCTCGCGATACTTCGTAGGTTGAGTGCTTTTCTAGGGTAAGAGGCCCGTCACTATGCGCCAGCAGTTCCGAGCGAGATGGCAGGATGTCGTATCACAAAAGCCATGGCCCTTAAGAAGAGATTCCGAGAGTGGTCCCGTGTACGGCTGGAAAGCTGGCGGGTAGGACTGGGCAGGAGCGGCTTGATAAGGGTGGGGGAGAGCGCCAGAGGCTTCAAGAGACAAACTATATGGGTCCTTTCTGGAAGAATGCACAGAAGTCCGAGTATCAGCAATTATCAGAGGGGGAGCGGATGCCCACCGGACAAAGAGGATGCACTGATGTGGCCTCACCAGAGTCAGACGCAACACCTCTACAACTTTCGCCCGCCGCAGCAGCCACGGGCTTGACTGATACCTGCTACATGCATAGCCATCCACCCATGGACCAGTGTGATTGACCGTTTCCAACTCGACGGCCGTACGAGCTCTTCTCGACAAAGGATAAGACGGTGAAAGGTTGACGTTCCGGTTGCGGCGGGGGGTCGTGGAGTGTTTCGGCCGGTGGCTCTCCAGGGCACAGGGGTAAAATCAAGTCATCCCAGTGGGTAAAATATTTATAGAGAGAGCAGCAAACCCGTCGATCATGGAGTAGGTTGGTGCGGTTGTAATAGGATCAATTTGCGCAAAGGCCGTTGAGATTTGTGGTTGGGCATGTGCTCACCCGAGGTGGGCACTGGCAGTCCCCGCGCGCGCGTAAGTACTGCCCGCCGCCTGAGACGGGCAGTGTGTTTCCTGCCTCAACCGTCGCCGCTCGTCTGCTTTCACCGTCAGCTCGACTTATGCTCAATAGACAACTGACCTGCCAACGCATTACATTTTTGGACGGTTGATTCGTGAATTACGGTCAAGCCGGCGGAAGACCTGCCAATTACACTATATGCACAAAAAGGGTATCAGCGGCGCCAACCATACCTGCGATTTATCGACGACGTTAGGCACATTTTTGCCTAGTTTCTGGCCCGCCTAGGACATCTCTTGGAAGATACATTGTCGGATAATGGCGGATCTTACTCTCAGAATCATGCAACGCCTCTGGCCAACACGGAACCGGACGAGTTTACCGCCATAGCTCGCAAACAGCATCGCATTTTGCCCCTGATCTTGTACTTGCTATTCGGGATCATTCTTGTATCGGCGGCGCCGTGCAAGCCCCAATCCACGAATCATCTTGCGGCGAACATGAACGGAGACAGTGGCGGGCAGTCACACATGTATCCTCAGGTGCGTAGCAGTCAAGCCTCTCAGCCCATTTCTCTTCTTTGCTTGAAGATGGAAGCTTTGGCGTTGACGCTATCTTGCGTTCTGTTCACACTTCTTGGGGACGACGGCAGTTGAAACTTCTTCCGTCTTGACGGCGCTTCAGGCGCGGGAATCATTGGCACCATCTTCTTGGGGCTGATGCAGCCTTGCATGGCGGCAATCCGACAGTCAAACGTGAGCTAATGCTCCAAGTTGGATTCGGGATGTGGGGGGGGTGGAAGGCGGGCGGCGTGACTCGTGCCCGACGCCCGACATCAATCGGCGGCGTGACGCAGCGTGATCATCACGAGTCGGGTCACATTCCCGCGCTTCCGCCCGGAATAAAGCTCGCGCGTCGAACCTGACTCGCCATGGGCAGCAATGGTGATAATGGAGTCGCTAGCGAGAGAGAAGAGGCGAGAGATGGAAAATTGCTGGTCCGGGGGGGTGTTGTCGCTTTGGGAGTCACCCCGAGCTGTCTGAAGCTGGCTGCTGTAGCCCGCCGGATCCTGGTCCGAGCCCATGGCCCTGCATTTGCGAGGAGACGGGTGAAAGCGTCGATTGCTGACTTGATTTGACACAGAAATTTGCGCTTGCAGCCGCGCTTGCGAGCGGTTCAACCTCGCCCACGCGCTTCGCCTACGTGGGCGCGGTTGATGACCGCCGGATTCTCGATTGCCCGTGAATTGCTTCCATTCACCCTGGTGTTGGCGAGGCGAGCCCAGCCAAAGCAACTGTAGCTGACGAGGCCATGATGAATGTCAGAGTCATGCACGAGCCGCCAGCGCCAGCACCATGAGATTCTTCACGTCCTCCGGCGGCGGTCGGGGACCGCCAAGATCTCGATCGTTGCAACCAAAATACTTCCGCATGCCCCTATCCGTGTGGCGCTCGATGCTTCCGGTCGTAGGGCGAATGCTGGCGGCCATCTCGTCAAAAACAGCGGCAGGCGGAGAAACGACAGTCGCCGATATCGTCGAGGGATTCTAGGGAGGGTCTGCCGTCACCTTGACGGGAGCACGAGAGCGAGGGATCTGCGCGTGGGGAGAATGCAGGCCAGCAAACGCAAATTACGAACTAATTTCGTTCAGAACCCCGCCTCCGCCCTCGAATCTCGACGTGCGTCGGCGTTCCTCGGCTACGCCAGGTATATAAGACCTTTGGGCAGCGCCGTCCTCTCCTCATCTCTCACTCTCCCTCCTTGACATTGCAACTCCCCCAGATCCGTCCCTCGTTCAGCTCGCAAAACAACTTCACTCGTTTGCTATGGCTTATGCCCCGTACCAGCTCAGGCTGCCCACCTACCGCGGCTCATGGCAGCGTCGCTACCACCCGTACCCGCGGTACCACCCTTCGGTTCGCGAGCAGGTGGACCCACTCATGGTACGTTGCAGTTCGCCTGATGATGGTCCCAAATTTCATCGCAGTCCAGCAAACGGTCGATTACCGGTATTCGCAACCGCCGCCACGCCCTCCTCCCCGACCATTATTCATCCTAGTTTTGGTGCGTATCATCTTAGGCGTCGTGCAACGGCGCTTATAACCTCGTCTATAAGGCCCCGATTGACGAGGTCGACGAAACCATCGACAACCTCGAAGAGGTAGTCCGCCCCGAAAACGCCGCGCGAAGGGACAGCACGCTCAAACGGCGCCCCAGTCTGACTGGGCTCGTAGTCGTGAGTCGTTTCGCCCAACGCTGATCCATCGTCTCTGAAGCCTCTTGCCAGGATCTGGCTATCCGTCTCGTGCTGTGGCGCCGTCGCCGTATCACCGTCGTCCAGAATGCTGGACCGGACGCCAAAATCGACTTGCTGGAGTGAAGAGCGCCTCCCATGTTCGTCCATTACTTATTGCGCGTCCGCTCCATACTGGCTGTGGTTCTGTAGAATAATTTTGGCATTATCCTTTCATCATAATTCTTGAGGTCGTCATTCTTTGATTCCGCTTCACACTGTGTCCTAATGCTCGCTTCGCTCTTGAAGAACCTCGCTCCTTTCATGTACATATAGAGTGCTTTGCTTTAGTCTCGCAGCAAAAAAGCGTTCCAGTTGCTTGGAACCAGGAATACATATGTTGGTTCCACCGCGAGCAGACGGCTGCAATGCGTGACCCAAGTGCAAAAGACGAAACCGATGTGATTATAGATAGCAAAATAGAGCGTCCGGGGCCCGATACGGTAGATGCTGACACGAAAAGACAGGAATTAATAAACGACGGAAGGCAGCTCGGCTGCACGAGCGGTATACTGGGTGAGACCGCACGACGTCATGAGGGGTCACAATGCGGATTGCAAGGGTGTGCGGAAGGGTATGTATGCATATGAGCTACTACGACTCAGGCGGGTGACAATATTGAGAGTCCAGTGCGAGGGAAAACCGTCAATAGTACGTATTTACTGATGGTTGACGTCTTTCTGCCTTTACAGGAGGACGACGACGAAGCCCGCGAGGACGCCGAACGCGGCAGTCGCGACGGCCATTTTCGAGCCGGGTGTGAGGGCGATCGCGGCGGACGAGCCGGAACCGCCGGTCGCAGACGCGGAGCTCGAGCTCGCGCCGTCCGTGTTCTCCGCCGAGCCGGGCGCGCCGGACGAGAGCGTGGCAGGGCCGCCGGACGCCGCGGGCGGGTTGGTCGAGTTGTCATTGAGCTCGATGTACGCGTCGCTCATGGGCTTGTTCAAGCAAGAGATGACAGGCTTGAGCGTCAAGTTGGGCTGGAAGGCGAGCGCGTCTGGCAAGATGTAGCCGGTAGCCATGTCGACCGTCTGCGCAAAGAGGTCGTGCTCGAGGACGATGAAGCCCGTGTCGATCTGCGAGGCATTGCCGAGGATGTTGTTCCAGTTCTGGATGACTTGTTGCGGAGTTGCGAGACCGCCGGGAATGCTAAAGTCTGCAAGACGTCACCGATGACGTGAGTAGGACAGGGATGCGATTGGCTTCGTAGATCACGTACCGTTAGTGTCGAAGGTTGCGGTAGCGCTGATACGCGTCCAGATGACTGGGGTCAAACCCATAGCCAGCGAGATGTTGCGGACACGGTCACTGAGTGATGATCAGTACCGTTGCAAGGCTCAGACGGCAAAACACCTACTCGATGTCTCCGTATGGCGGGCGCATGGTATTGGGGGTCACACCGATGATATCTTTTATGAGCTTTTTGGTCCATCCGAGTTCGGCGATAATTTCCTCGTTGGTCTGTGAAAATTTGTCGGGACCTCATTTCCATCACACCGCAGGCGTGTGCACAACGTGACGACGAACCTTAGTGGTCAGCTGCGGGTGCGACCAGGTGTGCACGCCGATTTGGTGGCCCGCCATGTATTCCTCCTGGAGCGACGCGGGGAGACCAAGCGCACGCGAACCAATCGAGAAGAAGGTTGCCTTGATGTCATGCGCGTCGAGGTATTGCAGAAGGTTAGTCGAGTAAACGGACGGGCCGTCATCGTAGGTGACGCCCCAGGTGAACTTGTCTGGGCAGGTCGTAACGTCCGTTGTGCGCGTGCAGGTGCTGCACGTCCACCAGCACCGCTCTTCGGCTTCGGCGACGGCCTCCGGGTTCGCGGGGCACCCGCCGGCGACAGTGACGTTGAAATCGGGAATGGGGATGCCAGAGTTCGCGACCTCTTGGATCCACTGCTGGACCTCGGGAGAATCGGTAGGAGGAGTGACGTCCATGGGAGGATAGTTGGCCCCGATGACGGTCGCCACTGCCAAGACAACCAGTCAGCTAGGTCGCTCGGCTAGATAAGATCTTCGCTCTTACAGTTCGGGAGACCCGGGGCAGACATGTAGGTTGGAGTAGCGCCTGCGGTCCATGTTGTCGACAAAGGAATGGTCGACGGCGTGATGGTCCTGCAATTTCACGTCGCGTTCAGTTCGGTTTCCTGGGTGCAAGGTCTGTTGGCACCATACTCACCCTGACGAGATGTCGGACAAAGGCACGGCCGTCGGGTTCGTCGCGAGAAGCGAGACGGATGGGGTCGGCACGACGGTCGACGGTCCGGTCGATAAGCCCGAGTTGGATGGAACGGCAGTCGCCGCTACGGACGAAACACCGGACGACGGAGCCTGTCGTGCATGCAAGTGGCGCGCGCCGTGGGCGGCGACGAGGGGCGCAGCGAGGGCGACTGCGCCGAGGAGGGCGTACGACGGACGGTGAGGCATGGGTGCGGACGTCGGCGAACGGAGAGAGCGTGGAGGAGGTTCGTCGTGCAGGCCGCAGATGGGAGACCTCGTCTCTAATAGGCGATGCGGGGACGGCACGAGTCTTGCCGGCACTATTCTCGGTGTCGTCGTTCGAACTTCGCACCCCCATGCGGCTTCGGTCATCATTTTCAAGCCGCCGACGGCGCTGGGGTCCATATTATTATTCTCTACTGGGGTCTCACTATCATATTTTCTGTGTTCAGTTGCTCTCATTAGAGTGTATCTGCAGGTGGTAAAAGTTCTCCGCAGTGGTCAAAGATGTCCGCGGGGAGCCCCGCCAAAAAATGCAGTGTATGGTGAAAGTTCCACCCCACTTCGCCGTGCTGCAGATACACTCCATTTAGGGGCTTTTGATCGGCTTTTTGATGGCGCATTAGTTTATGACAACGGGCACAGTACATCGTAGAAGCAATTGCGAGCAGGCTTCCTCAGGTTACAGGGAGAGATACTCAGGCTGGGTATACAACAAGCAGTGGGCAGAATCTATGCCGTTTTGGTCTTTTTCGGCCGGGGCTTTTCCAGGTCAATTTCCTCGGCATCGTCGTCGGAGTCGTCCTCGTCGTCATCCGAGTCGTCCTGGTCATTCATATTCCCGAGGAAGTAGTCGATGGCCTCTGGGAAAACCTCATTCGCGATCTGCACGCCAATCTATGGAAAGCAGGACAGGTCAGCCTGAGAGGACGAATTCAAGTGGGGGCGGTGCTCAAGCTTACGTCGAAGGGATCCTCGGCGATCTCAAAGAAGTTGAAGAATGTGCCAGGCTCAGCGGGCAGGTCGTCCTCGACGTCGTCCGTAACGCGAGGGTAGCGCTTCGTCAGGTTCTTTGAGTCGTCCTTCCAGTTGATTTTGTATGCCTGCGGACGACATGCGGTGTTAGCGGCTCCCGCTCCTTTGTTCCGATTTCAGAAAACCCTTGCCTTGGGCTCGACGTCGCGCTCCCATGAGAAGTCAAGCATGGAGGCAGTGATGCCCTCCTCGTCGGGCTTTTCGTTCGCAGCCGCGGGAGGGGGAACGTACTTGAACTCCTTGGTCAGGACCTTGTCGCTGAAGAACGGGTTCTCCTTGAAGTGCTGCAGAAATAACGACGCGTTTAGGATATTGATCACCAAGAAACTGTCCGAAAAACGCACGAATTCAAGGGTGAATGCCCGCGTCTCAACGGGGTCGCGGATCATCCACACGTCCTCAAGGTAGCTCAACGCAGCTTGGTCGGTGTTGTGTTGCGCGTGGATGGCGATCATGGGGTGATTCATGAGCGCGACCGGCCAGAACTTGGGGATCGCTTTCACGACCGCCCGGCGCTTTTCGTAGGTGGTCAGGAGTTTGGCCTGCGCTTGACGCTCTGCACAACAGTCAAACCCGTATGTAAGCCGGCGAGTTACAACTGAAAAAAAATGTAAAACGTACCAAGAATGAGCTCGGCGCGCGCAATGTCCTTTTGGACCTCTTGCAGCTTGGCAGCGTCCTCGTCGCTCAACTCCACATCTGCGAGCGGGTTCTTCTCCACCTCCGCGCCGGCTTCGCGTTTGACACCCATTTTTTCTTGTTAGTTTTGTGTTGGACTAGGAGGTGTTGGGAGGAGGATGGGAGCGAGCTGTGTTGTTTCAAGCCGCAGAACAAATAGCCCTGGAAAGTCGGCAGCTTTGAACTTTCACAGTACACCGGCATCCGAAATTTGGTGCACCGCTACGCCCTCGCACGTGAGTGGCGTCACCGCAAAGGATTCCCCTGAGTCCGGACTCCCGTGCGTACGGTTGTCGCTTCTATTACTCACTTTGCTACTTATCTTCCGGGGCTTGTTCTGTCCTGCTTACGACTTCAACCACGACTACGACGACGCCATGGCCAAAGCACTGTACCTCACATTCGCCACCCTGACAGACATCCTTAACCCCAGGTCGTTGTACTTGGTATTGTACGGATGGCTGCTCGGCATGTGTACGTCAACCTGGCACGCGGTCATCCCGCATATGTACTAAGCTAACAAACATATTGCACAGCGCTTTGGGTGACCTTCTTTGGAGGTTCGTCTGATGTTCTAACATTCGGAGTGTGTGTTGCCGTCAGGATTCTAACCCGGCCGCACCATGATCAGGTTTCATAGCCCTCAAAGCTTTGCGTGAGTCGAACTGAACACCCGCTTGGGCATCTTCGCTGACTCGCAATGCATCTGCTACGCGCATCCAGCCCGCCACCAATTCGGCGCACTCCAGCACCGGACGTTCCCGGTTTACTTCTCGGTCTCGATAGCGCTCTCCACCATCCTTCTGCTTATGTGGACCACGACCCATCCGGACGTACTCTCGTACATTGCCAAGCCCACTCACGTTGACGTTGCCCAGGCATATGCGCTCGCCTTCGTCTTAGTCAACCAAACTATCAACCAGTTGGTCGTTGGACCTCTCACGAGCCGGTAAGGGTGTTGAAGGCGTGCGCCTGCGTAGAGCTATCCAATCTGACTAGCACGGCGTCCGCAGAACCATGTTCCAGCGCCACAAGCTCGAGAAGGACGAAGGCAAGAACTACAATGACCCTGCCGTACGTGTACTCAAACCTCTCTTCGCCCGAGCCCTTCTCGACGCTTCCGCAGGCCTCGGACGCCATGAAGGCGCTGAACCGCAAGTTCGGCATGCTGCACGGCGTTAGCTCGCTCTGCAACCTCGGCGCCAATCTCGCGCTTATCTTCCACGGTCTATGGCTCGGTCATGTCAACACGGCTCTCAAGGGGTATTGAAAAGGGTATTTGCATATCGTGCTTGTCTGAATGTGTGAAATGAACCAACCAGTCATTGAATGCGCATCTATTCTGTACATTAAAACTGATGTATATATGCTGTGTGTCAACCGAAGGAGCTGGTACGTCACTGACTATGTGTACAATCGAAAGCAAGGGCAACTTAACTAGCATCAAGAACTTTAGTATACAAAGGCCAAGGGAGTGTGTGCTGGGAGGCTTGAGACTTCTGGAAAGAGTCACGACGCACGGGAAGGAGTGCACCTGAGGCAAACTATGCGCTTCGAGAATGATTGGTGGGGTTCTGCGTGCCAATGTTCGGTCACCGAGTCTCACTGGCGTAGAAGGGAGAGCAGCGTACAATCAATGAGTTCGGGCTCGGCAATCCTCGGTCCGCAAATCTGGACGACTTCGTGCCTATCGCCGTGTGCCAGGTAGAACGACGCGCCTCCGAGGAAGAAAAGATGTCCGAACGCGGCCCCGTACCCCCACGAGCTGAGGATATCGTAAATACGCGTCGCGAGCGACTTCTTCGTGTCGTCTTGCTCGGAGACCTTTCTGGAAGGTCCGGGCTGCATAGAGGTCGTTTCCTGTGTGTCTGTCGCATTTTCTGCGACAGGGGCGTCTTCGGGAAGCGTAGGCGAATCCGGGCGATTGGTCGCTTCCGGGAGCTCCTGAGTGAGGGGCTAGAAGGGAGATGAGCGAAAGAGGTGAGACATGACCGAATGTCCACTTGCCACAGTAACAAGGAACGTGGGCACCGGCGGCAGCGGCTCGTAGCGGTAATCGACCGTATTCTGGCACACCACACGTCAGTCGGGGAGCGCCGATCATCGAGAGAGATACGTTACCATGACTGGCGGGGAATAGATTCTCTCCCTCGTAGAGACTTGGTAACGGGGATACGGGTGGTACCGACGTTGCCATGACCCACGATAGGCAGGAAGACGTAGCTGCGACTGTTCCTGGGCCATTGAGAACGCAGGAGTTTTGCTGTCGACGTTGGAGAATGGGCAAATGAAGAAAGCTGAGGGGAAGGGACGATAAGGCCCGTCATCCCCAAGGTTCCCCTTATATTGCGAGTTAACCGAGACCTCGCACACATGTTGCCGCGCCGAGGTGAGAGGCGGCGTTCTGAGCGAAAAAGGTTAGAAAATTTGCGATTAGGGCCCGTCTTCTGCCCACGCGTCCGGATCCATGTCACCGCACCGCTGCTCGTTTACGGCAGCCCCCTGGACCCCGCCTCTGGAACTTCCGAACTTCAGGTCGGGCTGGCGCCGCAAAGGTCTCGAACTGTCGACGGATTTACTTGCGCGACGGTTGTCTGGGGTTGCCCCTCAGTAGAGGAAGCGGAAGCAAATACGCAGATACGATCGGGCCGTTGATGACGATGGTGCCGACCATCGTACACGTTCCTCGACGCGACCGCGCTGAGGAGCGGGACTGTATCACTCTGCACAACAGATTGTGTCAGCTAGGAGCTCATGCAACGTTCTCTGGATGCTCAGGATTCTGGGAGGAGTCGCGGGGACGTGGCCAAAGTTCCCCAGGACTCAGACTATCTCTTGCATGCATCCCGAACCCGCACGCGGTAGCACCTCCCTCCGCCGCCGTCCTCAGCAAGAGGCTCTTCTCGTCAGCCACCGTCTACGACGACGCACGTAGCAGCATCGCCCGAGGGACAACGGCAGCCCGTCGCGAACGACGCACACCACGGTGGAGCATGGGACGTGTGACTGTGCGCGTGAGCGTTACATCACGTGTCACGCTCGCCCATTGATGGCGGTCTGGGGCGGCGAGTCATCCTTCTTCATGAACTCTACGTTCCGCATGCCAACGCCGCCAAACACAGACCCTGTTTATCCTGCTCAACGAAACGAGTGTGCGACTGCTTCAAGACGGAAGAAGAGAAAAACAAGGCATCCACCCATGAAAACGAAATGAAGGCTACACTTCAGATGTATCCGGGAGTGTGAAAACGCCATCAAATAAAATCAAGACACCAAGACCAAAAAGCAAGAACAAGAGAATGATCAAAGACAGCGGGATGGCACACACCTAAGCGTCCTTGTAAGATCGCCAGTCGACGTCGGCTTGCTGCCCTTCCGAAGCGGGCGATGTTCTTGAAATGCCTACCCGGCGCGGGGTGCCAGCTGCTTCCATCCAAGGCCAAGCAACGAAGAAATCATCGAGTTGTAAGCGATTGCTCCCCGCAAAATATCCGGTGCCTTGGTTGTCCATGGCTGTCGTCAACGGTGGACAAGCCGGCATGCGAAGTACACAAGATAACCGTCATAGAGTGCATCAAGCTATCCAGATCTCGCGGTGAATGTCCTCGTCTGGACCTCGGAAAGTCGTCTACGTGACGCGGGCGGGTGTTGCCAGTTGTCCGTAATGCAGGCCTATTTTCGCGCAGGTCGGGGGTGGCATCACGATTTGTCGAAGACTTGACGGTTCAAAAATTGCAGGTACACATCGACGAGCTCTCCGTCGATGGTAGAATGCGCCCGACAATATTGCAGGTGAGTGTCGCTCGTTGAGGTTGAGGTGAAGGTCGACTACACGCGACGGCGGAGTTCAACTTTCTAGCCACAGTCAGACGGGAACCGCCTGGAACCGCTCGCTATCGATGACCTCTCAGTGAGCTCTACGCCCTGCATCTGCTGCTCAAACCTCAGCCCCACTCGCTGTCGTATTGGGAAGGCCGACGCCACTTCTCGTGCCAATTTTACCGGATTTCTAAGAAGAGCAATGCCGCCCGCAAGCGGTCGGCCTACCTACGGACGGTGACTACGACTCTCGTGCTTCAAAATCACCGTCTTTATTTCCTCCTACGTGGACCAAGAAGAAACAGGATCGGGGGCCTAGTCAGCGGCCGAAAGTCGGTACTGGACAGATGTGTTGAGTGGGACATGGGGAAGGCAGGGGCGCATGTAGCACCGAGGAACTGCACGTCGAGTGCACCCTCCCGGAGGCAGATGGATACTACTCATATTCCGGACAGTCCCTATATTTTTTGACCGCAATCAGATAAGTTGCCTGTTGCTCGCATTCGCACATTTTCTCTTCCTTCAAAATGTTCCCTGTTCGGATCCGTTTTCCAGGCAAGACGTCTTTGTCCGCTGTCCTTGTACCTGCATAATCATTTATTGAGATGTTAACCGCCCTATGCAATAGACACCATCGACTCCTGCTACCGTTATCTACGATCCGTACCAGTAATGATGAGAAACGAAGTCACTGAGGATATCCCTTTGGTATCGCATTTCCGAGTATGGCAGTCGAATCAAACATCCGTTCCCAACGTCCCTACGTCCCTTGGCTATGTGCAAGTACGCCCATCCATAATACGATGCGACTACACTGTCGCTTCTGTGGCGGCGGCCATCCCTCATTTTCTCTCGGTGAGTCATTCTGATTCGGTACCGGGTCCCAGCGCGGGCCGCAAGTTCCCGAAAAAGGTGTTCGTCGGTGTACTGGACCTGCACTTTCTTGCCACCACTCCGAGGGACACGAGACCGTTTGGTCCAGCTACACGGCCGTCGACGTATTTGTTGGTCCGCCCTCCTGAAACAATATGCCCTAGTGCGCTTCGCCTATCGACGCAGCGCGAAAAATCAAAACCTTCGCGGAATATTTCGAGTGTCATAAAGTATGACAACAATATCTGACCATGTACTTGCGATGCGACCCTTGTACGACGCGATGATGCAGGGCGAGCTTATAAGGACAGGAACGAAATATAGTCTGACGGTCGCCCCCCATGTCCGCGATGACCATTGAGCAATGGCATGCATGATCAACGCAGTTGGTGCAAGTGTACACGCAACGCAGTGTCCGGAGGACCAATAAATGCATATGATCATAATGATACAAAGGTGATGCGCTGAGCGCAACGGATGAAGCGATCGTACGCAAAGCGACGTCACTGGTATCGAACACCGTCGGGGCGATTGCCATCTGCTTATCCAAAAGACACACCGGGCCATATCTACAGAGGCGCGCGGGGCCGGACACACTGGGCCTGAGACGAAGGCGCACTGGGCCGGAAGGAAAAGCCGCTGAGCTTGGCCCGCTGGGGAACACTGTCACGATTTGGTCGCCTTCGCTACGGCGTTGGCCGCCGCCCCCCGCGCGCTTGCCGTCTTCCTGAGCAGACTGGACATAACGCCGGGCTTGGCACCGGCAGCACCGGCACCAAAACTGAATTTGCGCCATTTGCTCCCCGATGCGGAGGAGGATGAGCCTTTGCGCGCGTGTACGGCCGGGGGCGCTCTGGAACTGGAAAGCGAGATGGAGGAACCCGAGGACGTCGAGTGCGTCGATGGCGACGTAGAAAGCTGCGGGAGGGAGGAGGGCACGCCGAGCGTGTCGGACTCCGGAGTCAAGCCTGGCACGTCGGATGACGGCGGGGAGGGTAGATGGACCAGCGAGGCCGCAGTGGGCAGCGGTATAGGGACAGGAGCGACGGACGCCGTGTGCGTGAGCGACACCTCGTGGACGTCAACATCTACTCCATCCTCCTGGACGCCCCGGACAAGCTCGGCTATCCGACGGTCCGCGGGTGACGTAGGTCCAGGAGCAGGGCCCGCACTCGATGGAGACGACGACAGTGGGTCGACATCCAGCTCCTTGATCGGCTCGGCGAGGATGCCACTGCCAGCGAGGGGCTGGTCGTCGTCGGTATCGTGCCACGACACCGCGCGCGAGTGGGACCTGCTAGTAGCGCCGCTCCGCAACCCCACTCCGCTACTTATACTGGGGATGCTGACACGCGAGTCACTCCGCGGCATCCTCCCGCGCTCTTTCTCCGCGCTGCGCTCCCGCTCGTGGGTTACGGAAAGCGCCTCTTGGCTCTGGATCGAGAACCGATGGCGGTGAGCGGACGACACCGTCGGCGGCTGGCTGTGTCCATGTCCATGTCCGTACACGGATGTGGTCGGCGAGAGCGAAAAGTCCCATGAATCGATTGAGGTGCGCGTGTGCACCGAGGGCAGCTTGCGGCGCTCCTGGCGCTGCGCGAGCGGGGGGAGGCCCTTGAGGACGGTGTGGACGAGGTGCGACTTGCGCTTGGCGGACTTGAAGAGCGGAAGCTGCAGGAGCGCGGCGGCGGTGGGACGCGCGGCGGGGTCCTTGTTCAGGCAACTTTCGACCATCTCCTGAAACGCGCGCGAGTACTTGTGCGGGCCGGCCTCGCGCTTGAACGTGGGAGGCGCATCTTGCACTCTGCGGCAAGGGGAGGAAGAGAGATGGAGGCCGCTGAGCGTGGAGTGGTGAAAGATGGGTTCTGTCTCACTTACATTTGCAGAAGCACCCGATGCGAGGATTCCCTCGAGCGTGGCGCCCGACCCTGGGCGAGTTCGATCGCGGTGATGCCGAAGGACCAGATGTCAGCGCTGGCGTCGTACTGTTTACCACGGATGACTTCGGGCGCCATCCATGCCGGCTGGTCATCGTTTCGCGTCAGCGTTCCGTGCAATTTTCGGTAGCATTGGTCAGATAAGAGACAGGGGGCTCAGCACAGAACGCCGGGCAAGCGCCCCGACGGAAGCGGAATGAAAAATTCAAGACGCAAATGCATATGCGCGGGCAATTTCAAGAAGAAGAAGGACGGAAGGGCACCATTCGGGCGGTAGAAGACACTCAGGAATGAATATGACGCGAAGTCAAATGGACGCATCGGTCGCCCGCGAAGCCGGTGCCTCAGGACAGCCCGCAGTGAAATGAAACTCACCGTGCCGACGAAGGACTTGCGCTTGCCTATCCGCGGGCGCTCCCTGACGGGCGCATGCGCGTGGGCGTGGGCGGCGGAATCAAAGCTTACAAGTCGCCGGGGATTGGCGCTCGTCTCGCCTTTCCAGGACGTGCCTGAGGATTCGTGCTCTGTTAGGTCGGCGGCGACGCCAAGATCGCCCAGGAGGACGGTGCCGTCGTCGTCGATGAGAAGGTTCGCGGCTTTGACGTCCCGATGAATGAAGCCGTTCACGTGGAGATAGCTGTACGGCATGCGAGTTAAGTAACACGAGATGCTTCGAGATGGATGCCCACTTGAGACCCTCGAGTGCCTGCTTGAGGATGCAGACAACGACATCCTCCTCCATGCCGCCGGGCCAGGCGTACCTCATGACATCCGCCGCGCTGCCGGCATTCATGAGTCGCAGGGCGATGTAGAGCTTGTGGCCGTTCATCCAGCTTCCACGGACACGCAGCACGTTCGGGTGTTTGGAGAGCGACATCAGCCGGGTCTCCCTCCGCAGGAGGCCGAGGGCGTGGGGCGGGAGGGCATCGAGGTCGAGGACCTTGACAGCGCACTGGATCTCGAGCGGGTGGTAGGTGGCGGCGTAGACGATGGAGGAGGCGCCAAAGCCGATGGGAGGGCCGATGGTGTAGTCGGCCGCACTATCGCTGGGGGTGGTGCGCCAATGAGATCATCGGGATTCGCGAGGGATGTTCGTCGGGAAAGAAGGCCCCGATGGAGAGCGAGGCGTCAGTTGATGCGGCAAAACCTTCGCTGTGAGAACGCGAGCCCAGACCTGTAGAGTTGCCACTCGTCCTCCACGGCGCCGATGAACGTCTTGTGCTTGAGGTGGGAGCCCATCGCGACGGACGGCGGCGGGGCCGTGGTGATATTGCTATATATCCGACGGCGGTGCTCTGCGGAGGATGCTCGCAGAGGCCGTCGGATGCGTAGTCATCGAGCGCCGAGTCGCGCATTGCTCCTTGCGGTTCATTATCTGGCGATTGCCGAACTGGGACTGCGTGCGCGATCTCCGTCACGTGGCTGCACCCAGGGCGAGTTCGGGTGGGCCGCGCCACAGGCGAAGGGCTTATCAGGCTGACAGCCCGCGCTGACTCGCGCACCGTCCGACGCTCGTTTGCCCGCCCTTCACACTCCTCGGTCCCGCGAGACATTCCCCAGGTGAATGGCATCAAAACAGGTGCGCCCCCGTGTCCGAGCCAGCCACGTCCGACGCCGCCCTGTGCTCATCGCCGCACGCGATACCGTCATCAGATTGCCACCACTCAGCAGCAGTGCTCCAAGTACAAGTACGTCGTCACCCCCACCGGGCCCAAGATCCTCCCCGTCCCCGAACCTTCGTCGAAGGACGAAGAGTCCCCCGCAGAATACAACTCGGGAGGTTACTTACCCAGTCCGTCTCTTATCTCGTGTGCCGCGGAAAAAACGGTTATCGATCCTCCTTTCCTGTTTCAGTCAAGGTAAAGGATACTTTTAAGGACGGACGCTACCATGTCCTGCGCAAACTAGGGTGAATACAAACCCCTCTCCCCTCTATCTCGTCTTCTTGCCCATTCTGACGGCCTGCAGTTGGGGCCACTTTTCCACCGTGTGGCTCGTCAAGGACACGCGCGAAAACCGCCACTCAGCCCTCAAGGTCGTCAAGTCCGCCGGCCGCTACGCCGAAACCGCCCGAGATGAGATCAAGCTCCTCCGCCGCGTCGCCGCCGGACCAACGTCCCATCCAGGCCGCGAGCACGTCGTCGCCTTCTTCGACGCTTTCCAGCATGTTGGTCCGACCGACACGCATGTATGCATCGTTTGTGAACCGCTAGGCGAGAACCTGTTGAGCTTGTTGGAACGCAATAAGAAGAAGGGCGTTCCGATCAATCTCGTGAAGGTCATAGCCAAGCAAGTGCTGCTCGGCTTGCAATATCTTCACGATGAATGCGACCTAGTACATACGGATATCAAGCCGGAGAATATCAGTGAGTCACAGATTTTTATGTTTCATCCGCACAGACCGTTCTTAAGCCCTGCCGCGATAGTGATTTCCATTCCGGATGTTGAATCGCACATCCAAGCGGAGCTTTCCATGTCGCCGTCCCCGACTTCGCGGCGCGTCGGTGTGCCCTTGCCGACCAAGACCCGATCTGGTGTGCGGATTGCCCGTCCCGCCAACCAGGCACGCGACGGCCATTTAGCCCGGCAGGTCGAGATATTCGACTCGCAGCCGCTTTCTTCGCCCTCCACCTCCGCCGGCTCCTCGCCGCACGTTCGCAGAGGCCTGCAGATGTCCAGCCTGAGTCAGAGTCATACCGCGGGCACCAGCACCGCGAAGGCCAACTCGCACTCGGCCCCCAGCTCGGTGAGCACGACGCCGGCGTCGATCGAAAGCGTTCTGGTATCAGCCTCGGTGGCCGCTTCGAGCACGCCACCGACGTCGCTGGGGAGCGAGATGTCCAAGCTAGCGTTGTCCTCTACCAGCCCAGAGTCCGTTCGCCCGACATCCGGCTCTGAGGCGTCTGTTTCTCCCGTTGAATCTGCGACCGCCATACAGCCACACTGCAGCGAAGCGCTCGCGAAACCTTCGGGGCCTTCGCTGCTATCTCAAACCGCCCCTTCACGCGAGCACCAGTTAGAAAGCGATACCCTAGCCGCTCCCACGCCCTCTGTCGCCACATCCACCACCATCACCCCAGTTGGCACCACCGCACCCACTCCCGTGCCAGCGTGCGAACCGACCCCCGAAGAGACCCTCCCGCTACCTCCAATTCCGCCAATATCCGTCAAGATCGCCGACCTCGGCAACGCCACGCCTACCAAGAAACACTACACGGAGGACATTCAGACCCGCCAATACCGCTCGCCCGAAGCGATCGTCGGTCGTTCCGACTGGGGCCCGAACGCGGACATCTGGTCGCTCGCCTGCGTCATCTTCGAGCTCCTCACCGCCGAGTTCCTGTTCGACCCCCAGGGCCAGGGCGAGCTATTCACCAAGGACGACGACCACATGGCGCAGATCATCGAGCTCCTTGGCGACTTTGAGCTCGAAGCCAAGATGCACGGGCGATACAGCCGCGAGATCTTCGACAGCACTGGCTCGCTGCGCTACATTAAGACACTCAAGGTGTGGCCGCTCGACCGCGTGATGGTCGAGAAATACCTCTTCAAGGAGGAGGACGCGCAGGCGTTCTGCGCCTTTATGCTCCCCATGCTGCAGCCCAACCACAAGAAGCGGGCGCAGGCTAGGGACATGATCGACCACCCGTGGTTGGACGTGAGCAACGTCACATTCGATGAGCCGTGGTGAACACACAATCATGCTACGCTGAATGCCGAACAAACAAACAAAGAAATCAGCTCAACGCGCAACCTACCTCCATATAATTTATTGGGTCCTCTGCGCGCCGCTTTCCTGGTCTCAAGCCACCCAACGACGAACGACACATTCCGGCCCACGACACGTACCCTAACCTGTACAGGTAATCCGTATCTTATTCGCTCCGCCATTAGAGCAGCTCCCGGGTGGTGCCGCGGCGGAATAGAGACGCCGTGCACCCCGCCTCCAATTGTTTCCATAACGCCGCTTTATTATTTGCCCCCCATTCCCCATTTCCCCTCCCCCCTTTCCCCTCGAACCGACCAGGTGTTCCGATGTCGTCGCTCGCGCGCTGTTTTATCGTTATTCCCGCGCTTTTTTCTTCTTCTTCCTCCTGGGTTCCCCTGCAGGTGCTTACGAGCTGTGTGGTTCGCGATAGACTTTCTCCGTGCCTCCGCCCCTTTAGAACTGTTTTGCCCTTTCCTTTTCTCTATATACCTGGGCCTTGCGTACCCTGCGCGCGCGCCTGTGCTTCTCCTTTGTTGTTTATTCCTTTCAGTCGTCTCACGCTTCTCAAACAGTCTGCGCATTGTTGTATCATGCCAATTCCTATATCGTGCAATATAGTTTTGATTATGCTCTACACCTGAGAAATGGGTGGTAACCTGATGTTAATTGGTCACATAATCTTGCAAACGATGCTGATTTCAACTCGGATCCACGGCGGTAATGCAGAGTATTTATCGCTGCGAGCTAGACGGTGATGACATCCGGGGCGTCAACATGAGATGGGGAATGACAGACAATGTGGTACCCCGGGACGAAAGCCGGTCCAAACAAGTGTTGATAGAGGTACTCTGGCCTCGGTTTGGCCAACGACCAGACAATGAAACGGACGACTCAGCTGATATCATGAGGTTGGGGAGACCGAAACTGTGGTGATGACTGTCTGTGTGGTGCTCACGGTGTGAATACACTATTCAGCGAAGTTGGCGGGTTTCTGTACTTGCGCGAGAGTTTCTGGTTGGTGCGGGACCGGGGAGATGGGAGATTCTGAAAGGGCAGTATTGAGCGAAGGCACGTCTGGAAAGAGAAGAGGCAGAATCGCATATCTGTTGGGAGGGACGGAATCGCATATATGGACAAAACTCGACGATTCGTACCAGGCTTAGTTGACCTTGCCCTCGCATTTGTGTCAGAAATGTTCAAGCCACACAGAGCGGCTGCGTCGCTCTTCTACTCCGCACGGCCCGTCCGCTCCTGTTCGCTGACGGTTGGATCTGCTATTTTCGGCAGGTTTGACGGGTGACGGGCGTTCGAAGTGATGTTGACTTTATTTTGGCCTGCGTATCGAAGATGGCACGGTGAATGGGCAGTGTAAGAGGCAGGGAGCTCGCGGGGAGGAACAGCGCCTGACGGGAGGAAGAAACGCCTCCTGCGGAATTTCTCCAAGGTGGCGGCGACAAATATTCTGGCAGCGAGAACGAAGCGGCGAATCAGCGTAGAATTGTACCAGGAATTGCAGGGGGAGACAAAGACCGCAAGGCCGCAGAGAGCGAGGGGGTTTGGCCCCTATCAACGGGCTAAAACGTTCAACTCCGCCCTCGCGTGGGGGGTCGATCTTGACCTCGACCGCGACGAGCGCACCCGCATCCTTTTGTGCTGGCTGCTTTGGCTGACCGGAGGATAGTCTGTTGCCATGCGCTTGCAATTTTTGAGCGGCTAGACCTTCGGTAAACGGGCTCGCCACCGACACGCATCGACCGAGCGCGGACCATGGGTCGACGACGCTCACCACGACCCGGCCGTTGACTGACCAATAGATGCCTTCGTTCTTGCATTGGGATTTTTGCTCTTGCCTTTGACGCACTCGAAGCCCGACGTCTTCTACCAGCGCTGATACCAGCTACCGCCAATGGGACGGTAACGGACACCAGACCAACTGGACGACCTGGTGCATCGGACGAAATACTCACAAACCACCGCCGAAATATTGCGACCGGATATCGTCAAGATCCATTGGACAACAGCGGCCAAGAGCGGTCTCAGCTTATCGCCCGTTTCGAGGGGCAGGACGGTGCACTGGCGTAGAGGCAGACAGGGTCGGTCTCACAAGTCTCTTGAGGTATGTGCCAATATTCTCTTGCATCTTTCTTTTCAGTCGGCGTTGTTCTTGCTCTTGCGTCGAGGTACTTGACAGCCTCGCGCCATTGCACGTCACACTCTTCAGGATGTGTCCTTCTGTCCAGTTTCTTCATGGCGTTTCTTGTGCTTAGGATTGAGGTCGCTACCTCGTCTTGCGGTTTTTCGGGCAACTCAGCACGAGTAGGGGTGGGGGCCATGGCTGGATTACAGGGCGTCGTCGTGGTTGGAAAGCAATGTGACGCGGTCCCGACGCCCGCCATCAATCGGCGGTGCGTGACGTGACAGGGCGCACGTCGAGTCACGGAATTCCCAGGCTCGGACCCGAGCGCGCGTCGGTGTCCCGTATGGCGTGCAGAGGTCCAGATGGCGATGAGGGCTGGCTGCAGGCTAGGGAGGACCCAAGTGGTCTGTGATGATGGCTGGAGGGGTTCGGTTCGACCGCCTCTGTGGAGTCGGCTTTTCGTCAGAAAGCCCTGTAGTCAGTGGTTGAGCCCAAGCTGAACCGGGCTCTAGCCTCCAGGAGTTGCTGCAGGCGGCACGCGTATGCATGACGCTGACATATCCACAGGTTCCAGTCAGTCGAGCTCGTCGCCATAGAGTACCGACTCGCCCATGAGTCCGCCCAGTCTTCGCGGTTGTCGCCAAGGGCTTCTGTCGATTTGCTTCCGCGCCGCGCCAGTGACCGGGCCCCATGTGGCGTGTGTTGACCTCGCGAGGGCGTTGAGAGCCAGACACAGAGCCAAGTCGATGACAGTCTTGGGAGCCCTCAGTCGTTGTTGCCAGAGGGAGGTGTCGTAAACGACGGCGCGCGGTCCGAGCATGGCAGATCTGCGTGGGTGGAAGCCGGGCTCGGGCGCAAATTCCGCACCGTTATGGTTTAGACCGCGCCGCCGATGCTCCCCGGCAGTGGGTTCGCGAGCCTCGGCTGGCCATCTCGTAAAACGGCTGCCAACTTGCCAAAATGCCGCCCTCTCTTTTTTTCTCCCTCCCTCCCCCCCTCTCTCTCCGGCCTTCGCCTCCTTCATCGTTCAGCATGGTTTTGGAAGTTCCCGAAATGCGGCTCCCCAGCTATAGGAGCGCATGGCAGCGTCGCTATCACCCTTACCCCCGTCTCAGGCCTTCTCTTAGGGAACAAATGGGGCCGACTGAGGTTTGCGTGCCTCTCGTTTGTTTATATGCGCTCTGTGAACTCGTCTTTTCGCACCAGCGGCCAACGCTCGATTATTTTCCGCAAGAGGCGCCGCCCCCTCCGCCCGCTTTCTTAGTGACCTTGGTAGAGGAACATTGTGCACTGGTTCTATCATTCACTTATTCGGATGATTTGCAGCCCGTCATTGATGAGGTCGACGAAGAAGAGGAAGATTCCGAGGGTACTCCGCCATCCGACACCGATGATATGTCGAAGCTCGGGGACACGAAGGCTCTTGCGCGGCGTATTCACGCCATACTCAGCTCGTGGGGGTACGGCGACGCATTTGGTTGTCTCTTCGACTTCGGGAGCGCCACGTTCTACTTAGCCCAGGGATGCAGACACGAAGTCGTGCGTATCTGTGGGCCCAGGGTGTCCGTACCGGAGCCTAGCCCTTGTGAGTGTACGAGCAGCCGCGTTCTGCCTTCCCATACTAAGTCGCCGAAGACAACCATAGTAGATTTTCATTCGCTCCTTGCCCTTATGAAGAGGCGTAACGGGGACTACGCTCGACGTCATTGACGTGCCACTGCAACAGCTTTCCCTTGCGTTCGTAATAGTAATCACTCTGCTCTTTTTGCTTATCGTCGTACCGCCCAGAAAATCGTAATGTATCACAATGTCTTGCACCTACACGCTCCTTAATCGTGTATATTATGTCGATAGTTGATAAATCTGCTTGTTTCGTGCCCATTGACCTTAGCTCAAGTCGCGGCGGTCTGATGACCCAACTCGCAATGCTTCCGTTCGTGATTGGCCAGTAGCACTTCTTCCGTGTCGGGCACCGATGCAAGCTCTCGTCAGTCCAGTCGAACAAGCTGTTCTAGTATTACCGGGACATAGTGCAGTAAATACTTCCGTGTATGCTCATGTTGTCTATCCGATGACGAGTTTGCCCTCCGCATCGTTGAACGAGTACTCGGGGACTTCGAGGTTGAGAGGAGCAGGCCCCTTACGAGCACGGCCAGCTGGAGCGGAGTAAGTGACCGGAAGCCGAGGGAAAGACGTGGAAACGTACAGATGTCGTAGTGAGAACCGTGGCAAGGGCAGAACCATCCTCCGTAATCGCCAGCCTCGCCGATAGGTACACAACCCAGATGGGTGCACACACCCAGCATCACCAGCCATTCCGGCTTCTTAACCCGGGCTTCATCCGGCTGCGGGTCCCGAAGGCTCTTCCAGTCAACGGAGCGCGCCTCCTCAATCTCATCCTGCGTCCGGTGGCGGATGAAGACGGGCTTGCCGCGCCATTTGATGATGACATTCTTGCCCTCGGGGATGGAGTTGATGTCGAGCTCGACCTTGGCCATGGCCAACACGTCCGCAGAGGCTGCCATGGTGCCCAAGAACTCGGTCACGGTCGACTTCGCGACTGAGGCGGAAAGAACGCCGAAGCCGCCGACCATCAGGTACTGGACGGCGCGGTTCCTGTTCGGGGAAGCGGCTTCATAATCACGGAAGTCGGGAACTTTAGGGTCAACGTTGGCAGCAGCGGTGGTGGAAAAAAGGCGGGCGCGCTGAACAGTGGGTGCGGCTGGATGATCACAGAAATTGTGGTTGAGCGGATGAGCCTTAAAGGGGGGGTCACATTGGGCAAAGCGTACCATTAACAAAAGTCTTGGAAACCAATCCCAGCCCGGACTTCCTGGCAACACCGCCGGCGAACTTTGCAGGTGTATCTGAGCGAGGGCCCGCGGGTCCGTGCCCGTGCCCGTGCCCATGGCCAGCGGGGGCGCGAGCGTTGAGGTCAACGTAGAGCGCGCTGGGAGCACCGTTCGCGAGGGTGCGGACGGTGGGAGGTAATGTCACCGCCTTTTTGACGACGTGGAGAGCTGCCGCCATTGCGAAGAGAGGAGAGCTGCGACGACCAGCGGGTGGAGAAATGAGTGAGGTCAAGTTCGTGCAACGGCGGTGGCGATGGCGGGCCTTCCCGATTCGCTCCGGCCGCGAATCAGCGAACGTCCTTTACAAGCGCATGCAACGAGCAGCACAGGCGCGTTATGGCAACATATCGTCACCCATTACACCTCCGATCCATGTATACATGTAGTAGCATATGTAGTGTAGATTAACATCAATCCACTCTCTTCTTGCCCTTTTCCGCGTCGTAAGGACGGTGCCCCGCGAATTTCCGCCCTTGGAGCATCCAGCTCGCCTTCTTCTCGTCGAATATGGGCACACTCAGGTCGTTGCCCTTGTATCTGGAGCGGTATCCGGGACCAACGTATAAAAGAACATCGGTGGGAGGCAATAAACGCGGCCACGCGACGTATTCGGTGCCGTGGGCCAAAATAAACACCAGGGATGCGGTCAACAAGGTGAACCAGATGAGGAAATAGTACAATAGGGAGTACGCTGAGGGAGAGCAACAGTTCAGCTTCGTGTATCGTAACAGAATACCGTGGAGCAACGTACTGGATGTGCGGGGTAGTGTCAGTCCTGCCAGAATCATGAATAGCGAGTACCAGGCCACGTATGGCATCTGGGTTGTGTTGAGTTAGTAGCAACGAAGTGATCACGTAGCACATACAGCGCGGATATGCAACGGACGACTATCATGCACCAAAGCCCGTGCAGCCCAGGGTGCTTTACCGGGTGTCCACCCTCCGGTGACCAAATCGAAAGCATCCTATGGAAACTGTCAAAACTTAACTCCTGCACGAGACGATGCTCTTGCCTGTCTTGGACCGTCAAAGTAGTTGTTCTTGAAGTACCTTCCTGCGGACTTCAGGAAGTCCTCGAATGCTCCCTTCTTCGTGCGTTTGCCCGTCCGCGTGAAATCAGTTTTCAACGCCTCCGTGCCAGAGTAAGCGCGAGATATGGCGTCCGCATGGTTCGACCACACTGCAGGGATGTATTCAGTGTGTATGTTTCTTCCACGCCAAGGAAAAGGACTAACGGAAACGGAAGTCAAAGCTTAGGTCCTCATGGTTGTCGACGTTGTCATGTTCCGCCATCACACCCACAGCCTTCAGCTGCCGATTCAAGGTCCACTTAGCAAAGGCGGCCTGAGCGACGTTCGTTCGATCCAGGTTATCCATGCAGTTAGTCCTTACGACACCCGTTTGAAGGAGGACCGGCTTGTCTGGGTCATTGGAATCGAGGTGGAAGTACCTACAAATTGCAAATGAGCGCACTTGCATTTACCCCTCATACTGTGCCTACAAACCCGTGCTTAATTAAGTCAGGTTCCATTTGCTCGATAAGGATACTGATACGGTCCCATCGCATGCGGCTGCACTCGCTATGGAAGTCAAAGTATTGATACTTGACATCAGGCATTTTCTCTTCGACCTACGAAGGCACAATTGATTGGCGATGCCAAACGCGCACTGACAGCGCTCCACTTACCTGTGTCATGTACTTCTCGTACGCCTCTTTGATTGGTTTCTCATGTCCCTTGTGGTTGATGAGGTTGATCAACGCAGTCTTCCCGTACCGGGAGACCTGATCCCGCAGATGAGCCTGCAGCGCCTCCATCTGTGCCATGCATCAAAGTAGTTCTGCGCTCTCAGATAGCAAATTTAACCGACCGTATCCGGAAGCTCCATGATTTGGAGATCGGGCATATACCTCAAATTGTTGATCTCTGCCCAGAAGATCGGTATGCTTCCTCGTATTTGCACGAAGCTCATCCTAGTCACATTGTCGTCTTTGCCTACGCCGCCGAAAGGACCCCCGTGAGCATCGTGACGATGACGACGGCAAGAACTGTATTCTACCTTCGACGGTGAGAATTTGCTCGGTCTCGTTGAAATTGGCGGCGTGACCTTCGTGGTCGATTCCGCGCCGGAAGTAGCGCGTACCAGCACGGTACCGAGACCTACGGGAGATCAGGCACAGATTGACCTTATGTCCGTTCAGAGTGGCGGGGCGTATGTCGAAAGCTGTGCCATGGCCAGATGTCAATGCAAAGACACGGACTAGGATACGTCGCAGACTGACTGCCGAAGACCAAGGGCAGAATGTAGGGGCTGAGCTACAGTGTTTCTCTCAGAAAAGGTTGGGAGACCGCAAGCTGAAGAACTTACATCATGATTAGGTTTTGTGACAGTTATGTCTATGAACTTGGACTGCAAGAATCTGCAGATTATTTAACAACTGTCGCAGGATGGGTTAGAGAATAATATATACCTATTCCAGAAGAACCGATCGTCCGCCTAACAGCCATTGAGTGGATACCACCGGAGCCGGCCAATAATGAAACCACGTACCACCTCCCAGAGCGCCTTGCCCTCATCCTTCTTGTTGTTCTCCCATTGCGCTTGCAGCCGCCTTGTCAGATCCCATGTATAGCTGAACAAGAAAGTCCCCGTCTTGAGGTGTGACTGGAGCAACGCCAAGAGGTGCCCTTCAATAGCATTAAGAGGATGAATCACAGAGGCGTTTGCGTCAAGCGGTAGGATATCAAAGCCGGTAGCGCTGTAGATGTCCTCGCCCCCAAGTCGACCCCGGTACTCGCGTTGTGTGATGACTATGAGGTATTCCGCTACACATGGGCGATACATGAGTTCGAGCTACCCAACGGCCCAGGGTCACTCACATAGCGAGAGTGATATTAAACCGGCTATCCCGAAGACGGTTTTGGGCGCGCGGTGACTAGGTACATTCTTCGGGGCTACAGCGTTGTCAACTATGCACAAGGGAGGTTATAGCAGCTGACTCACAAGTGAGGGTAATCTGCCCTGTAAGCCTCTGTATCGTGAGCGGTTGCGCGGCAGCGGCTCCGTCAACCGGGGTGAAGACGTAGGCTTCATTGCCATCCACGTAACTGCAGCAATATTCGGCATCTATCAAGCAAGCAATACATAGAGGGAACATACGCACAGGTTCAGTCGTTGGTGTAGAGACTTCATGGCGGGGACGAGAGAGGACGCGGTCAAGTTACATCATGACCAGCGCGGGCGAGCTGAGGCGCGCGTGTTCGCCGCCGCTCCTTCGCGTGCTGCCGACGCCTCCTTAGACGATGAAGCTCACTCCAGAGGTGCTCGCGCAGGCGACCTCAGCAATCAACCCGAACAAGGAGCGCCAGCTCGATCTTCGAGGTGAGCAGTGCCCCGCCTCGCTCCCATACGCCTTACAAACCGCTCACAGGCTACAAAATTCCTGCCATCGAAAACCTCGGTGTCACTAGGGTACGAAACCGTTTTCATACACAAGCGAACATGTACTGATGCGTCCTAAATCATAGGATCAACACGATGCGATAGATTTCACCGACAACTCAATCATAGTGCTGGGTAACCTGCCGCTTCTGCGGCGCCTTCAGACGCTCCTCCTCGCCAACAACCGAATATCCTCAATCTCCCCCTCCCTACACCTCTCCGTGCCCAATCTGACGTTGCTGGTCCTTACAAACAACAACATCTCCGAGCTTGGTGACCTGGAACCGCTCAAGGACCTCAAGAAACTCACCTACCTCTCCCTGCTGGGCAATCCCGTACGGGAAAAGAAATGGTACCGCGAGTGGCTTGCTTGGAGGCTGCCTGCGCTGAGAGTTTTGGATTTCCAGAGAATCCGGGACAAGGTGCGCCTCATGCCTCGCCCTTCTACCCGTGTCAGTGCGCTCAACCCGGCGTTCGTTGTCGCGTTTGTGTTCGCGATCTAGGAGAGGAGCACCGCCAAAGGATTATTCCTTACAACGGACAAAGTTCCAAACGCGCTCGCTGAGAAGATCGCGTCGACGGTCTCGAAGCACGCGGGCAAGCCTGCGGTTACATCCGACGAACCTCGGTTACCGAGCGCCAATGGCAACTTGAAGGCCGGTAGGTTGATGTCGAAAGAGGAGCAGGAGAAGGTCAAGGAGGCCATCGCAAAGGCTACCTCGGTTGAGGAGATACGGAAGCTTGAGAGAAGCCTTAAGGAAGGCTATTTACCCAACATTGAGTCTGTTGGTGCATAACGCAGCTGCGTCCCTTCAGTCAGAAAAAATGTACATAGTGTCTATCATTGTATTGCTCCCAGCTGATATCGCCTGTTGTGATTTCGATAGTACGATAGTATCGAGCAATACGGTCCTATGACGGGGTATTATGGTCCGCGTGAACGGTGGTTAGTGAAGGGGTATAATAGCATCTATGTCTACTGTAATCTCATATGCTCCTCTAAGCACCGAAAGACTCGCTGCTTCGGATATTTCGGTGCAACTGTATATCCTTCGACCTTCGCCCAACGGCGGACAACATTAGGATCTGCAGAAAGATAGTCAGCATTGGGATGGTTCGTTCTTCCTGAGCGGCTTACAATCGGTGATAATGCCATCCACGTTGAGTGCTGCGATACGCTCTACCACATCCAGCGTATTCGCCTGGAGACAATATTGAACATAGTGGCCACGGTACACGCGAGATGGCGTACAGTCCAAGGTTTGACACTTAGGTTCAGCCTATGCGCCTCTTCAACCATGTCTTTCGTTACGAACGAGGCGTATTCCGAGGCCTGCATAGATCCATCCAGGTCCGAGTACGTAGAAGCGGGTGAGAGAACGTCTGCGCTAATATCGTGTGCGGCTTGTGCGATACGCTGACCAATTGTTTCTCCTGGGAAAGCGTCGATACGACGTCCTGCTAGCCATGGAGATGGGGATCCGTCGACGGTGAAGGCATTATCTCTGCAAGGCATTTTGAGCTATAATGCGCCACATCTTGCAAATGGTGGATATGCATACTCGTCTATGAGAGCTGACGTAAGAATATTCCTGTCCAGCTCCTGATCCGTTAGCTTCAATATATGCCTCCTTTACATACGAGAAAGGACGGACCTTCATGGCTACAAGGGTCCTCCAGTCGAAACTTTGGTACTGAGCAAAGCCCGGCGATTGGCACCACGCGAGGGAACTGGAAAATAGCGCGTAACATACCGTGATCGAATGCCGATACGGGCTGCCGGCAAAGATTGCATGCTGTCTTGTAACGAAGTCGTCAACACTCCGCGTGCAATTTGGTTGTGCCGCATTGATCTTCGATTCGATATTCCATTGAATCTGGTGCGTTGGGTCGGCGCACTCTACAAAGCCGAATACTTCCTGCATGGTAGAGATGCGTGCACCTGGATAGGTCACCTGCATAGCTGAGGAAACAATGAGGTCGGTCATGAGCACACAAGCGTGGATGCCTGGTCTTACGGAACGCTGACTGGCGCAAAGACCCACAGTCCAGAGTCCGGATCTGCGCCAGGGTCAAGTTGGCAATGAACTTTCCAACATAGGGAAAGTCGGGGTCGTGTGGGAACTGCCGATGGCAAGCATAAGCATAGAACGATACGGCACATAGAAGCAAAGAAGAGCGATTTACCGCGGGTCGGGTGTCGCGGCATTTCTGTGCCACGACGCTCTCGTCATGCCAAACAACAACATGGCCGTCCTGCACACGCGATTAGGTTCTAACAGCCACCTCACGCGAGGCTCGGCGGTGGGATAATGACCTTCGTGATCCCGTTATCAAGCTCGAGGGTGGTAGAACCGTCAATCAAACCCCTTTGTCACGCGATCGTCAGCACAATGCTAAAGCATATAGAAGCGTAAAGCAAGCGCACCAGGCGAAACTTGGCAATGTGCTTTCCACCGTATTGCCTCGACCTCCACGATGAGCCTGCAAGGCAAAGAACGCGTTTGAACCGCGGGTCTTAGGTGGTGTGAGTACGAGAACGGCACCTGTATGTCGTAAAATCGCGATGAGCCTCGATTCGGTTTGACTTCCCATGCTTCCTGAGCGGGCGATGCCTGGGCAACGTTGACCGCGAGGAGTAAGATGGGAACGAGCAAACGGCTCAAGCTAGGTAACGGCATGGCGCTCGTAGATGAAGGCGGCTCGCAAACGGGAGGGTCTCCAAGGTCGCCTGCGACTTCCAGTCGTTTGTATGAGCAGGACCGGCGTCAGACTCGGACCATGACGCTGGACAGGCGAGGTTAGCGGAGACAAACGTGCGCTGGCCTCGGTTGCTGGCATTGCCCACGGCAAGGCGCTTACACTATTTTCAACCACCACCGTGACCACCTTCGGGAAAAGGCAGGCCTTTTGCCCTCACAGGCGGCCCGCCGGCAGAATTGCAACCCCAAGTGCGCGGTGCGTCCTGGACAACGTGCGATGGGGATTTCTCCGCATCACAGCGAGGCGGGAACGTTCGTCGAGAGACTTGCGTCACAATTGGGGCCGCGAAGGCACAGCTCGTTTACCCGCAAGGTCTACTACGTTGCCACGGCAGGCTGAGAGCCCACACGCAGCGGCAATACCTATGCGGCCGGGAGAAGGTGCAAGTGCATGGCCAGGAAGAATTGCGGCGAACTTCAAGCCTAAAACGAGTATCGGCGAGCACGATACCGATCTTTGAGGCGATGCCGTGCAAGTACCACTCTCATGACCTTGGTCTTCCTGCCTCACTAACTGTTTGTTCAGGGCTGTGATGGAAACAAGTGTTTGGCTTCGGCTTCCCTCCTGGATACAACATCAGCTGAAACCTGGAGGCGACAATTTCGGCGATGTTCATCTTCCCTCTTGCCCATGGCGTTCGATGTGAGGCGTGTCTTCCAGCATCCGCCAGCCGGAAGCGATGCACTTCATGACCAGGTCGTGATTATCATCGCACGGCGATTTGGAGCTGTCTGTTCTTGATACCCATCTGCGCTGAGACGGCAGTGATTCATTGAGTTCGAACAAACGATCGCTTCTCCCATCAAGGTCAGTATTAATATGACGTTAGCGCCCTCATATGGCACCCTTACAGCGCATTCTTCCTTACTGGCCATTCAGCAGCTTCCGATGCGAGGTTCGCTGCGACTCACGGCTATCCAGGGTCGATGACTGAGCGTCGGGTGCTGGCCGTGGTGCAAGCTTGCCCGCATGCAGCCGCTTTCGGGCCACCTGGGGCCGATTTCCAAAGAGAAGGCTACAGAAAGCTTAAGCTTGATTTCCCGACTCCGAACTGGTGCCTCATGCGTTGTGTCCGTGGAATATCAAGGCGGAAGCAGTACGCAGTGCCGACTGGATTGACCAGGATCGCCAGATCATACCGAACTCGGTGGACGCCTGTGTATGCTTCTGTGGCAACCCCTGCCAAGGTCACCGACTGCAGCTTACGATCCAGCTGTACATACAGGGTCGTTGTAACTACGGAGGACTACAGAGGACTACGGACGCGCCGTCAGTGCATCGCATCTCGGATACCCGTTGGACTCGTTCTCACGCGTAGCTCGCAAGCGCGACTACCAACTCAATCACCACAAGTACTTATCCAGTTCAGGATGCGGACGTTATCATGCAGTAAAGCCTGAACGGTCGCAGGTTTATTTTCGGTTGCTAGGGGCAACGAACTGTTACGGCCTACGTGTTATTCTCCCTCGACACACTGGTAGTGCGCGGTATAAGGTGGAACCGTTAACACCATTCACGGCCTTTGATTTGGGAATGAAATTCCGCGACGATCTGAAACTATCGACGCCCTGTATCCTACATCAACCCTTGTTCACAGCTTACGCATGCATCTGAGCGTAGATACGTCAGCATAGTTTGCGTTCAGCTGCTTTATATAGAGTGCACTTGCGAGCGTGACAATGTAGCGGACATGGTTGGAGGCAAGTGATTCTTGAGCTGGCTGTGCCGTGGCTTCTTTCGTTTCTTTGCACTGCCATCAGCGGACCCAGAGCAGACGCGGAGTCCTTCAGTACCTGCCCTGACTATTCGCGCGGTCGACCCGTCGGGACGAACTCATGGCCATATTCCACGGTTCACTAGCTACACCATTGCCAATCACTCCAAAGCGTGAAGCTCTCGAGCTCGGGATCCCCCTGGTTCCTTTACGCAAAAGAAGACGCGTTCAGGAAACTGCTGCCGGCGACGCGCCAACACATCTCGCCCCAGTTCATCTCCAGGAACTATGGAATGCGTGGCACTCTGATAGCCGTGTGCCTACTGTGGAATCTCGCCGTGCTTGGGCGGTCGCGCGGAACGTGGCTCCTGCTCACGTTCATACGTGGTTCAATCGGCGGAAGATACAAGCAAAGAAGAAAGGGACGGTGCTATCTGACGGGACGTATGACCTCCTGACTGGCTCTCCCCCTGATGTCAAGCGTCTCGTGGCAGTGAAAAAAGAGGCCTCGCCGGAAACGCCGACCAGAAAGAAGGGGAAGATGAACCGGACTCCTTCCCAGCCTGATACATCTCCCTTTTTCACGCCAACGACCTGTCTTACGCAGCTCTCCTCCTCTGCTTCTGCTCCAGACTTGATCCCAGCACTCCTACAGTTCTCTCTACAGAGGCCAACGGACGACGCATATACTCAGCCACTGAGCGAACCGGATTACTATGGCCCATCCTCCGAGTCTCCACTGCAGCTCAGGTCTAGCTGTGTTTCTGTCCCAAATGCAACATATAATTTACGGAATGTGCGCTCTCAGCTTTTGGAGATGTCGTCTACGAGGAATTCCCAGAGTGCACCTGTTTCTAGTCTTCCGCCGTCTTCCCCGTGCATGCCTTCTTCGTCGGAGTACGAATATCAAATAGGAAGTGAAAGCACTGCGGGGACCTCCCCGGCACCTTTTCCCCACAAAATCGATGACCAAGACGAAGCGATCCTCGGCATCGTTGACCCAGAGGCTGCGGTGTCGGGGGTTCAGCCATCCGTTTTCATCGATGGGGGTTCGTGTGATTGGCCATTCCCCACCCGTCTTTCTTTGATACATGCGCAAGCAGACTCAGATACACTGCCTGCCCAACTTTTGCAAGACGCCGAGGCGCAGATACATGCACACGACACGATAAATCTAAATCACATCTGCAACCAGGGTGTGCCCTCACGGTCCGACTTCCGGTGCGACCTGTGCGCGATGGACGCCGGTGAGATTCGCTGAGTCTGGCATATCGATTTGGATGATGCTTATGCCGCTCAGATACATTCCCGGACCTTGCCCGTTTTTTCTTAGATGGAATTCGCCTCAGTCTCGCATCTCCGACGTACGCATTAGGACCCGCGTCCGATGATGCCACAGTGTTCTTGTCTTCGGATGGTTTCATTGCTCCGTACTGCCCTATCTCCCCATGAGATAATGTTCTGCGCCAGCCGGCGGAAACTGTATCTTGCAGATGGAGCCTCGTGAAATTTTCACGTTTGACGCGGCTCTCGCCCATAACGTCTGTGGACTATTACACCACTATTTGCCGATTCGGCGAAGATCTGTAGGAATGTGAAGCTTCACACTGCTCGGGATACCTCTCAAGATTAGCTATCAGATAGGCTCGCCGGCCACAAAGAGGGACCTTTGGCGCACCCTCTTTCCACATACAGATAACTCTCGCTTTCTGATGTTGTATGACTTCGGTTTGTCGTTGGTGCTTAAAGAATGCGTCTTGAAACTGTCCGAGGCTATAATAAATCCTGCGTTGCACATCATGTCTGTAGAGCCACACCCTGAACGCTAGCACAGAATTTGACCGCAGCAGAAAAGCTTAGGGTCATAGGGTCAATTCAACAGAGCGGATTCACATCCATGCATTTTGCGCTTGCATTCACATGGAAATATGAAATTCAAGTACTGCCTTCATGCAATGAATTGCGCCTGCACTATGTTTACTATCACAATCTATAAAAGCGTATATCGTTCGGGAAGGGTATAAGTGCGAGAGGCCGATAGTGGTGGGCTGAGATTCAACATCAGCGGGAGGGCATGCAAGCGAAGTTCAGAAACTACTCACAAGAACGGATGATCACTTGCGAGGCGGTGCCATACCTCCGGGGAACCCTGCGTTCATGTTTGGTGCCAGAGCGATCCCAACCGCGGGATTGCCGCTCCCCCCTCGAGGTCGCCAGCCTGTAGACGGTGGCTGTGGTCTGTGGACAGGCATCACGGTAAGCATATTTGGATCGCCGGGAGAGTGAACATCATCAACTGACTTGGCACTGCCCTGAGGCTTCGACTGACCCGTGCTGCTCGGAAGGATTGGAGTGGGATCTTCAGTACACGGTGGCATTGCCACGATCAAAATGGAGACCTACCTTGATACCGGGTACGAAGAGTTGGTCAACGGCTTACCCTGACTACTCATACTTGAAGGCTGTGCCGGAGGGTCAATGAGCGCCGAAGTTGTATACATACATCACATAAGTCGGACAACCCTGCATGGTGCTACCACACGAATGTCCAGCGGTCGGATGCGCTGGTGTAGGGATCCATGCGCGAATGGTCGTTAACATATGGAAGCTCACCGAACGCGTGTGGGCACGGGGGTGGCGTCCTGAGATGTTGGGTACAAATCTTCGAGGGTATAGAGGACGATGGATTCGAGCCAGCACCACGAGAAGCTTTATAGGTTGTCGACAGCTGCCCCGAAACTCGGAACGTCACAGTCAGGCAGTGCAATTCTCAGGAAGCGCGTGGGCGAGCCATTTGAGTTCCAATGAAACGGCTGGGTGCCGAGGGTAGTGGACACATGTGCCTTCACCTCCGCTAGATCCCTGAATTAGTCTTGCCAACCCGCATCCGTTAGGTACGAGATGATCGCGGAGGAAAGTTTCGTCGGCTATACCTCGATCCAAACGCTGGCAGTAATCTTCCTGAACCAGTGGCTGCAAATCAATCATACATGCCATGTCAACTAAAGGCGATGAACCGGCAGCAAATACAACGCGGGGGACCGTTGCGCGATGGTGATGACATGGAAACCTGGAAAATCATCACCATCAGCGTGGATGCTTTGAGGGTGGATCGGCAGACTCGTGTGTATTTCACCTGTAGGCATGGACGGTGCGTCGAATGCTCCGTAATTCGCGTGCCCCGCCAATGCTACTAAGAAAACCTTTCCCCAAGTAGTTCTACGTAACGACCTCGTCGCCTATACAGCGCCGGACTGTACCAAGCTCCGAGAAGTATGCCACCCGACGGGTGCAGTGCAAAGGAGAAAAATGAGTGCTAGACAACCATGTCAAGCAACTGTCCGGACAAAGGCGCCTCCGATGTCGGACAGGCCATACATCGCCGCTGGGGTTGCGACAGACGTACCGCTGCACTGCGAACTCAACTCCGTACAATGCGGGCAATGAAGTCAATTGACCAGTGAAAGCGGTAGTAACGAGCAGACCAAACATCCCAGCCTTTGAATTGCCGCAGGGAGAAAATCAGGATAATCTCGATGGCGACAACTCTGTGCGATAGAACGATGGGTCATGGATGTCCAGTTATTTGCAATATAGTATTCTGTATGGGCAACGCAGAGGGAGGTTCACATGGCGAGAATAACATCGCCAAGCGCCGGATATGTACCTGTTGTTTTCAGCTAAGGGCGATATGACGCAGAGAAAAGGACGAACCAGCCATCAGAAGAGCCGTCGGTTCCTAGCCGTAGACTGCACATGCGACATGCGTAGTACCCGACCGAAACGCGATGTTTTTATGTCACTACCCAAGGCAAAGTCACACTTGCTTCGCGGAGGGTCCGCACCTAATCCTGCCATGTCTTCGTTCCATTTGTTAAACAAATAGAAAACATGGTTGCGTTCGAATGTCCAACCAAGTCGAAAATGCGATGTACTTCGTGAATCGCGTTGCATCAAGAGTGCTGCGCATATATATGCCGGCTGTGCGCGCTATGATTGCGGCCCCAAGCGAGCGTCGTGCTTGAGACCATCAGGTTTTGGTATGAGAAGGGAAGTAGACACACGGTGCATACCTCTGATTGAACGTAAATGGATCCCACGACATCTACGACATTCATACCCAGTCCGTCAAAACCGTCCATGGGCGCCATCCGAGCGCTATACACAGGGATGTGGTGTGATCGGCGTTCGACTTATCAAGAAAAATATGTGATGATCAAGCTCCGCAGGTGTCGAGCCGAGAATAAAGGTCGAACATTTCTTGTCTGCAACAACTCTTCACTTCATAATACTATTTCCGAACTCTCCTGGTGCCGCCATATATATGCGTGAATCCGTATCGTTTTCGGCCCAATGTAAGTGCACCGCACTCCGGTACATTCGTAACCGTCGCCAAGAGATTTTTATCGTCCGGGACTGAGCTTCCGCTATCGTCTTCCGCAGAGCGCTAAGCACCCAAATACGTATCATTCAGTTCGCAGTAATCTTGGTCTGAGATGGAGGGCTGCGGCTAGGCTACTAGTGATCCAGTCATGTCTTAGCTGCCGAGCCCACTGGACTGACGGAGTCTTGCTGAGCTAGCCTCGTACCACCGCCCTCTAAGTTGGCCATGCCCAAGTTCTTCCATTCGTCGGCCGCCATGAGCCCTCTGAGCAGTTCGATTGCGTCGGACACGAGAACATGCGGGTCAGGTTGAAAGGAGCGGAAGACCAGGGAGTGACGCACTTCGTCATCCGACAGTCCAGATAGTCCTTGCTCAGTAACCGACAAGGTGTCGAATCATGCCCATTCCTCTTGAGGCAGCCAAGATAGAGCATCATCTGATTCTTGCATTCGCCTCCATCGCAATACTCAATATCGCTTTAGTGAATAGGAGTGGACACCCGAGCGAACCTTCATGATCTAGGGGGAAAGACCCGCGGTCCGGAGGAGAGACTTGAAAACCAGCGTTGCCTGACGGAGGGCGACCGAAAGACATTTGCGCCTTCCACGTCACGAGCGTTCTGGCTTCTGTGACACTGTCACGTGCTTATGTCCGCATACGTCACTCGCTTTCGTCGACGATAGCGAACTTCTGCAAGCTTTCTGTGAAGCTTCAGATTCAAGGCTCACAGTGCCAGTATTCGGTCCTGGGCTTTAGCAGTATTGGTGTGGGCATGCGAAATCTTTGACCACATATTTCGTACAAACAGCATAAATGTTCAAGCGAATGCGCGACCGCTCCGGAGTCCGCAACCCACAATCAGCGTACTGCTATCGACTCGCCTTCGATGAACTCTCTGGTTCTTGCGGCTTCCCATCGAACTGAGGCGTCTGACCTGCCATGGTCTTCCCCTTTAATATGATGATCTCCTTGAGCCAGCCATTCTCCCGTCTGAGGTCTGCCGCCTCTCGTTCCAGGTCTTCGGCCCTACCCGTCAGATCTGAAATGGTCCGCTCCAAACTAAGTATTTGGCTCTTCTTCTTGTTCCGAAACCGTGCTGAATATCCAATATAAGGTCCGTACCTCGATCATATGTCCTTGGACATACCTGATGCAGCCGTATTACGTCTACGCTTCTCCTCCGCTATCGATGCTCTTTGGGCATCCACATCGACGCCGTCCGCTGCGCTTACAGAACTAGTCGCTCTGGCGCGTCTAGGTCGAGTTTCATCCGCGGTGCTACTAGCACTCCGAACTGGCTCTGCGGAGACAGATCGCGGATTAGGTACGCCCACTGTAACTTGTGGTCGCACGGGTTGCGGTTCCACGTTACGGCCAGTGCTCGACGATTCTCCAGCGTGCACCCAAGGGTACGGAGGAGCCATCGGGTCAGGATAGTGCCCCATATGTCCTTGGCCACTGAGTTGATGAGGATGTATATGGGAGACCGGCCGATGTTGGGGGACCGGCGCGCTGTAGCTCGTCGACGCAACCGGCTGATTACCCCCTGGATGAGGGCCCGGCGGGTATTGACTGTTGTTCGTGCCAATCAGCCCCATAATTGCCTGGAGTAGTTGGGAGTTGTCCAGTTGCTGAGAGGACAATCGTGGCTCAGAGCTAGCTAACTCGGCCAGGCTCTCTAGCTGTGCCAGGATGTCGTAAGCGCCGTGGATATTGCGTTGCAGAGACGCATTCCTCACCGTATTCTGCGCATTGGACTGATTCATGAGCGCCCTGAGCGCGTCCGCGTTGGTGTTCGAATGGGGTTCGTGGTTGGGCGCGTGTTGGTTAGGCATCGCGTATTCTTGCAGAAAAGATTCCCAACTGGGATCCGGAGCTCCTGGCGACGAGGTATTGCTTGGGGGAGGATGAGACGGGAAATGGGACATGATGGGATCTGCGTAACGAGTGTATTTACGGTGCTGAAAATGACTTCTAATGAATGCCGGGCAGGGTGGAGTGGGCGAAGAGAGGCTGTCGACGGTCTTCTCATATTCGCCATTAGTCGCACCGTATTGCACAATCAGCCGTTTGAAATAGAACCACGCGACGTGATAGCGTTCTCCATCCTTCGTCCCGCGTACCAACGACTACGCAGGAGTGACAGGAAGTCAAACGATGCAAAATCGGCCGTGCATGCGTTCTTTCTGACCAGCCAATCCCAAGGAGTCTGCAATTCGGAATTGACAAAGTTCTCAGCAGGCCCCGAATCGGGGAGCATAGCCACTATTCTGCCTTATTAGGCAAGCTGGTGAAGCGCTTGTCAAAGCCGGATCACGTGGCCAGAGGAGGTGGCTGAAGATGACGCGTCTGGCTGTCGCAAGCCGCGCAAGGTCGTGCACGTTCAGTACCTTCCTCATCGCGCAGGATGGTGAGCAGCAAACGTATCAACGGACAGGACAGATCTCATGTATTATTGTTAGCTTCTACGAATACGATCCCGGGATGGAAACTTCCGATTTGAGCTCCAGCCGACCTCAGATATCTCAGAGCTAATTGCCAAAGTGAGTGTTCAATCGTCTTCGTGTATAGTATTCAAATCTCAATGCGCACTTCTTCAGATATCAGATACCGCTCCAGATGCAGATCAGTCGACACTTACCATATCGAACCAACCTAGGGGCAATGAAATCTCCATGTCCAGCCTCAAGGGTCGCAACTTGCAAAGTTTAGGTTTCAAGTACGTGCTTCATGTTCGCTTGCGATGCGTAACTTCTACGCCTTACTTACTTCACTCAGACACGGAGATCTTCTCTTTGTAGGATATCAACCACGCGCCGCTCCTAGCAATGTTGTCAACGAACAAGCCCCATCAAGATCGGGTCCCTCTACGAGCACTGTCTCTGCAAAACGACCGTTTGAAACCGTCGAAGAAGATGCCGTTGATCACTATTGGCGATCTCAGGACGGCATGATACCACGAGGGCGTGATTCTCGGTTCTGCAAACACGGCGCGAATGCCATGTGCGATTATTGCATGCCCTTGGAACCCTACGACGCCGAATATCAGCAGAAGAACAACATCAAGCATCTCTCCTACCATGCATACCTCAAGAAGTTAGCTCCGAAGACGAGTTCGACAGCTGCAGCTTCGTTGCCTCCTCTCAGTCAACCTTCGTACAAGGTACAGGTGCCCTGTCCTACCGGTCATGCCTCCTGGCCCGCAGCCCTATGTAGCACGTGCCAGCCATCAGCCATCACACTGCAGTCACAAGAGTTTCGCATGGTGGATCACCTCGAAATTGCGTCTACAGACGTGATCAACCGGTTCCTGCAGGCATGGCGCGTGACTGGACTGCAGCGCTTCGGGTGGTTGATCGGCCATTACGAGCCGTACGACAAGGTACCAATGGGCATCAAAGCCGTTGTTGAAGCCATCCACGAGCCACCACAGGAAGGGGAGCTTGACGGTCTGACGCTTGGGCTCCCGTGGGAGGACGAACCGAGGATTAGACATCTCGCTAAATCAGCTTCCACTCCGCTGAGCATCGTCGGCTATATTTTCACCGACATCACACCTTCTCCCGACGACGTGACGAAGAACCTTTTCAAGCGCCATCCACAGTCATTCTTCCTGTCGTCTTTGGAGGCCATTTTCGCGGCGCATGTCCAGAACGCCAACCCGACGCCCACTAGGTCCTCACCCACGGGTAAATTCGCTTCGCGACTGGTGACCGCGGTCTTGACAGGGACGGAGGATGGTGGCATCGACATTTCGGCATATCAGGTCTCTGAGCAGGCGTGTGCGATGGTTGACGCGGACATGATCGAAGCCAGCGTCGAACCGGGTATCGTACGGGTAAAGGAAGAGGACCGGAGTACGGATGTTGCGCGATACGTCCCAGATGTTTTCTTCCGTTACAAGAACGAGTACGGCATCGAAGTCAAGAGGAGCGCCAAGCCATGTTTTCCTGTCGAATATTTGCTTGTGACGGTTAGTAACGGCATATTCTTTGATTCTCAGCACACTGAACCATCTCGGGTTGCAGCTATCTCACGGCTTCCCTCAAAACCCGTCGCCTGTCTTCAAGTCGACCAATTTCCACATAGAAAACAGACCTGGATTAGAGGATCAGACCATCGAGAAGGTGATGCACGAGCTCGCAAGACTGGGAGCACCAGACATCGAGGAGAGCCGCTTTGGGGGTGATCACTCGAAGCGGCTGGCTCTCGCTCAGTACCTTAGCGACTGGCATCTTCTAGCATTCCTCGGCACGACACAGCTTATATCCGAAGAGGATATGGGGACGCTCATCCGGACGCTGACTTCATCGGACTTCGAGAGTCCTACGCTCTTGGACCCAATCATATCCTCGACAAGTTGGCAAACGTTGATGACCTTCACGAGGGAGTCAGTTCGTGAGTGCCGTATAGCCACCAACCGATCTCTATCGATCACTGAACTTTGTCGCAGCTGCTCCTCGACCCAGCGGTCAGACGACGGGGGGCCCGGCACCTCCAAGTGCTATGGACGAGGATATCCCCCAGGAAATTTTGGACCAAATCGCGGCCGCAGACGCTGCAGCCTCTGGAGGATCGAGTGGGGCGAGTATACGCATTTGCCCTCACTGTACGTTCGAGAACAGCCACAGTGGGTCGGATTGTGAGGTTTGCGGACTGCCTCTTGGTTGAAGCGCGTGGTTATCACGAGACAAACCGACACATACTGTACTCTTTCTCTGCACATGTAATCACCGAAGCACCCAATATCAGTTTAAGTTAGACGCCTGCGTTCTTCTCAAGCGCCCATGGGGAACGCCAAATCATGTGACCGTTCTCCCCCAAGAGATTTGAATATGACGCCTGGGGCGGGCGAGGCTAAATGCAATCCACAGGCCCGAGGAAGCGGGGGTTTCTCCTTTTCCCCCTCTCCGTCGATGTCGAAAGGTGCATTGATATCTGTTTGGATTGGCCTATCGCTGATGTGCGTTATGTCAGAAACCGTACCCTCGATTACGCCCCTGCTCGCTCGGGCTTTGCACCGGATACGTTCCACACCGCCCCGCATTATCGCCTCGCCCGCGACTCGTACGTCTTGCATTGTATGATCTGTGCCCAACGTGCTCACGGACTTGCAGAACCGCGCCGTGCAGCAGTTGCCCTGATCGTCCGCGTTGTCCCGTCTCCTCACTCAGGACCGATAACAACCCCATCGGCACCTCCTTCCTTAAACGAATTCTTCGACCTTGACTGGGTGAGGGACCCAGGCGCACGACCAGAAATTTTGTTCTTGCGTCGTGAGAAGCCCTCCAACGACGAAGCTGCAAATAGGCCGGGTAGAAATGGCGAAGCGCACGTTGCATTCCCAGGGGGCCGCATGGAGGACGGAGACGAAGGTGGACTCTACACAGGTGCGAGCAAGACATTCAGATCTGAACGCTCAGAGCTAACTTGTCAACTCTTAGCTATGAGGCAAACGTGGGAAGAGATAGGCTTGGATCTCGCTGAGCGAGATTACACCTGCATTGGTCAGTTGGACGATCGGGAGATAACAACCTCCCTGGGCAAGCGTCTGCTCATGATCCTGTCGCCGTTCGGTCTGTTTGTTTCACCTCCACGAATCGATAGAATACTGATTCCCTATGCTCGCACGTAGTATTCTTGCAACTTACACCAGTTACTCGCGAGACAGACCCGGCGCCTGGAACCACTTTACACTGGGTTCCCTTCTCTTCCCTCGTTTCCTTCAATGGACAGCCAGCGGCTTCCTGGTCGTACGTGACCGTAGATGCCGCTTCGCGTCTCGCCTCCCGTCATGCAACCCTGCTGCGCCTCCTAGTCCGGTGGCTGGTTGGCAGTATGCAATACCCCGCTATCATCCTGGATACCAACGTGCCCCACTCCCCTTCGGGCTCGCATATAGTTGCCTCCCAGTCGTCTCTGCCTACGCCGGCACCTACGCCTGCCAACGAAAAGGACTGGGATCGCAGCAGAGCGATGCTTGAATCAGGCAAAGCAAAATTGGATAGCAGGAGTTCTCGCTGTTCCGAGGAGCTCAAGCTTTGGGGACTGAGTCTCGGCATGACGTTGGACCTCATGTCTTACATGACGAGCCCATCCGCTTTCGCCAGTGCGCTGCCCTTCGACGCGGACGCCGTCAACGTCATGGGCATCAGCATGGGTGCTGGTTTGGCCCCGCCTAGTCTCACGAGTGTGTTCCCTCGATTCTCCTACCCTGATGTCAATTTCTGGATATGGTGAATTTCTCCTGGGTTCCCCTGCATACAGCTCTGTTAACATCGATGACAGGATGTTCGGTAAGCGTTACCGCGAGGTAATCCGTGGTTGGGAGGCCAGCGTCCGAACGGGAGGGATGAATGATCGCCGGTATGAGTGCAGTCTTACGTCTGTTGCCACGGATGTTCACCCCATCACGCAGGATCAACTGGAGCGGCTCAGCACTTAACACGTTCTACGCTGCTGTGCGAAAAGCGCTCGTGGTTGTCATCGTCGCGCGCGCTCTCGGGCTGATCTTCGGGATAGCCTTCGCAGGATGGTATCTTTTCTTCCGGTGATACACATTCCGACGCTATCCTTACGTTATGGGACTTGGGGCGACATAATGATGTGCAACTCGACGTAACACTGATAGAGCAAGACTGTATTTTAGCAATATACCAGCATAGCCAATAACGACACTCTTGTTTATACACTTGGTTCATCTATCTCTATTTGTCGACCCTGCGTGTCTCTTCGTTAGGTTGCATACGGTATATCAAGGGTATCATTCCGCGGTCGGTGTCGTTCCTGAACAAGACTGTCAAAACTTCCATCCCCCCGTCAGACCCATAACATTGTCGGGATCGTATGTTCTCTTGATCCGCTGTAATTCCGGCAAGTTGTCGCCATATATCTGTTCGAGAGGTGTCGATGCGATCGCGTAATTCCCATACTTTGCATATCCCTCGGCAGGTGTGACCGGTTGCCCTTCTGCCGCTGCCTTGATCCTCAACGTGCGATACGTCTGCATGATCGAGTCGATGAAGAGGCTGTCTTGGCTTGGATCGGTCCAGCCGAACGTGATCGAGGTCGGGAGATAGACGACGTCACGGCGCGGAGGGTAGGCGCTTGGCGAGGTGTTGTGCGACAGGATGCTGGGGAGGAACGGCTCTACACTGTATAGCAGCGTGGAGAGGGAATAATCTTGCAATGCATGAGACCAAAACTGTGTGCAATTGCGTTGGCTCTATTAGCCATGTGTTTTTTCATACAAATGAACTGCTTGCATACAATAGTCTCGTTCACCATGGCATCTAGCATCACAGGGCTATAATCCACAACCGGCACAGTATCGAGGACACCACTGGGGCTATTTGTCAGCGAAAATCTTGCAGGAGGAGCAGTGTACGAACCGATGGGCTGGACTGACGAGGGTCCGAAAGAACGACAAGAAAGATCGGGTGGAAATGTCCGAGGACAGTGCCGGTATGGCCAGGAATTGCTCGAATACGCCCGGCGGGGGAGTGGGTCCGTCATAGAACAATATGACGCTTGAAGCAAGCATGCCCGCGGTGTACAAGAACGACGGTAATACTACCGCCTTTGGGTCGGTCACGGTCGCGGCGAAGTTGGCAGTGGCATCGACCACGCTCCCGTACTGCTCTGATGATAAGAAGATCAGACCGCCCTTTCGATGCCGTGAGTGACGGTGATGCTGAGAGCAAGAATAAGGATTTACCCATATCGGTCCTTGCGGAAAAGCTCTCATGACGACTTTGGTGACAATGCCCTGAACGATGTCCTCGTCTGATCACGATGCAAGGAGAATCGGTGCGTGGAGCTCACGAGATTATTGCTTCCTCCCTGTGTTCATGGTCAGCCTCGTGTGGTATGTATATTCATGATTGGAAGGCGCCGACCTTCAAAGCAAAGAATAAATCGGGATACGACGAATCTGTCGCAGTGACAATATCACCTCCTGGCAACACCACTTCGAACTCGACGACCGTATCAACTGCAAGTCCGTGCTGATTCGTTTGCCAAGAATAACCTTAGTGGTGTTCAGTGGACCGTCCTTGTGCGTTAGGTGAGAAAGTACCTCCGCCGAGAATAAATCCCGCGACTCCGATGCCCACCACTCTTCCCCCTAGGCAGTTAATTCCCAGAGAGTCGAAGGCAGCATATACGTCGTCCCAAATGAGTCCTGTGCCGAGAGAAACGGTCTGTGAGGTCGCATCGTATTGTATGGAATCGAAGCGTTTCGTCGTTATTTGGACCCCCGGGGTCGAGCTGAAGCCCGGGTTGGAGGCGTGTCCACCGCTTTTGACCTGCGGTACGTGAGTGGTGCGCGTTCAAATAGAAAAAATACGCCCACTGTATCGACTCACAGCGAACGGCGTCCTGGTCTGGCCAACTATTCGAAGCTGCAATCACGTCAAGTCAATCACCTCGACGACGAGGGTGCATGATCAGCCTCACGATGATCGCCACATCTTCTGCGGTGCCTGGTTCGACAGCGCATGTCGAGTTTCGGCTACTAGATTGGAAGTAGTGGGATATATCTTGGGCGTACTGCGTAGATCCTTGAGGCGACAATAGTCGGTTGATTCGGCATACTTGGGCTGCATGGGAACTGGACACGCACGTGGATAGAAAACGGCAGAAGCGTTGGAGACGCTTGCTTCTATGGTGTTGCAGGTGGCAAGGTAATCCGGGTCGGAACTCAAGACGCTCTCTTCCGAGGCGTGTATGGCGCAAATCGTTGTTAACAGTATAAAGAATAACGAACTGTTGGGGCGCATGTTAGGCAGGTAACGCGCCGAGCATGAACCAGAGGCATATCGACGCCCGCCCTGGTAAGTATTTATGTGGGACACCGAGAGCCCGATGCCGAAGTGCAAGAGCCGGCGAGGAGGCCTGGAAAGGGTGATGGCTGATGCGTGGTCGAGCGCTTGAACCCCATCAAGGCATACTTTCGCGCCTCCCCTGATCGAGGATTGGACGCGGGCAAGGTCAGCACGGCATTTTTGCCGAAGACCTCGATGGTACGTCTATATCTGCGATATGAGCGTGCTTCCCGGCGAGCTCATGGGCGAATCGAGCAGGCGGAGTGCCTTCCTTGGCCGGGGCACGGCGAGCAACTGTCAGCGCTCGATCAGCTGAGGGCGCCAGGGTCCAGTGGGCAGGCGGGAAGAGGACGATCATGAATGGCGTTGACAGCGGTGATTACGAGGCATCCAGGCCTGCGAGAAGCAGGAGAACCGCAGTCCTGCGATAGCTCACGGTTCGCACGGCCATGTACGCATACATTCCTCAGGGGCGTTCATTGTCTGTATAGACGTGGGCGCGCGGAAGACCGGTAAAGCAGCACGACCCGTCTCTTGGCGAAGGACATGTTCCGCGAGATAAGGGCACTGGATCACAACGTGCAGCACCTCGCCGACGTGGACTGATCGTGGCGAACTTCGTAATTCGCATTCGCATTCGTCGTCGGCGTCGCTTTCTCAGATAAAAACCTTAATCGCGCCCGTCGAGCGGTGAGATGCGCATACATTGCTTGATTAGTGCACGAGCTATTGCGAAAGAAGCCGGAACGAATGATAAAGTAGCGACGTCACCTAAATCTCTGCCCAACCCCCGTCCCGGTCTTCAGAGCCTGTCAGGGCGCCCAGGAGGAACACGAGTACGCTCGCGCCGAGCCGCATCCCGAATCCGCGATATAGCTGGCCAAGGCCGCTGCGCCTTGACCAGCTCTGGTCGTCCGCCTCCGAAGCACCGTGCCCCTGCTCTCTGCCGTTGGTACTCGGCCGACGCATCCTGCTGTGCCGGTTGTCTTCTAGTGGTAGATCGGACCGCTCCTCCGTCAGGATATGCCAGAACGCGTCGACGATGCCGTTGTAGGGCGCCGGGCGCGTCTCCACGCACGTCTTGATGGGCTTGGCCACCCCCCGCACTTGCACCTGTAGCCGCCTTCTGATCGTCTCGAACGGCAGCGTGAGCAGCAAACCACCGCAGCTGGCCAAGAACTCGACGAGGCCCCAGAGGAGGGGATGCGAGTCCTCGGAGATATGGGCCGCGCCGAGATAGGAGGTGAGGATGCCCGGGAGGGCAAGGGAGATGAGCGGGCGGAGGGTGCTGTCGAGAAGCGTCGGGATAAGGAGTTGCGGATGAAGATATATCCCCTTCCATCCACCTTCGTGGCGTAGGATCTGTGAGAGAGCATCGACCGGGCCATTGTAGGTCCGATGTTGGGGTAACGATGACTGCACGATGAGGCGCGTGCGGATCAGGTCGAGAGGGGAAAGGAGGAATCCGGTGAGGAGGTGAGATGCAACGGGGAGGAGAAAGTGGGGTTGCTGGAAGAGAGATACGGGGGTAACAAGGGCTCCCTGGAGAGCGTAGAGGATCGTGGGTTGTAACGTCGTAGAGAGCATGTCGTGAATGCAACTGGTGAGGAGACCTGATAAGCGTCAGTCTATGTCCCAAATTCGTGAGGCTAAATTAAGCAAACCTTTTTCCAGAGCGAGCCAACCTTCGCCCCGAAATCGGCCAACACGTTTGATCATTCCCCATACGCCGCTTGCACTCCCCACAGGGATAACATACTCTGGCTCTACGAGTCCGCCGGCGGCACCGGTATGTCGTGCTGCACCACGACCCCCCTGCTGGCTCCGATAAGCCCGAGTGGAATCGGGGTCCGAGGGATCTGCGAAGTAAGAATCATCCTCAATCGAGGATTCACTATCCTATCATGTAGGTGAATATGGCGGTGAACGATTATGATAGTGGCGGTCTGAGGCATACCTCTTCCTCCTCCTCGTTGGGCACGCTTTCCGAGGCCGCCAGAGCGTCCGCGTCTCGTGGCACCCATTGTACCTGAAGCAGCATCTTTCCCACCTCCCATGGCATGGCGATAGCGGTGCTCCCATACTGGAGGAAGGCAGATGCCACTATACCCTTGAGCAGAAGGGTCGCCGAGACATAACCCGGATCCATGTCTAGCGCTCCGGTAAGCTCAAATATGGAGTTCTGCGGGACGCGGGCTCTCCATTGTTGAGGACTCGGAGTCGTGGTTGACGGCACAGGTGCGGTGGGTTGTGTAGTGGAAGGACCAGATGTCTCGAATGACCAACTCGAGGACGGTGCAGCGTACAGATCTCGCAAGGAGCCGTTAGCGCTCATGGAGTCATACGTAGGTCGCGCAGAGGGGATGGTTGATCCAGAATGAAGCTCAAGTGAGCTAGAAGCCGCCGAGCTTTGTCGCAAACAGCGACGATGTCAAGAGAGTTCGGTGCAATGAACGGACTGTGCCGCGCCGCGCGCGTCTTCGCGGCGCTCAACTCCGCCGAGAGCGCTGAAGCACTTTGCATACTTACTCCGCTCGCTGCCTGATCCGCGCCCAACGCCGTGCCCGAGAAGTCGTATCGTGAACATCGCAAGACATCGTTTCTTTCTTTGAGCGCACAGATGCCGCTCCCGAAGTTCAAGACTGTGAGATGCAAAGTGTGACCGATTACCATCTCAGCCATGGACGCTATGCTCAGTTAGTCACAGTATTACGATTTGAGGGGGAACCCGATCCATGGGAGCTGCCCTTACAACGACAACACATGCAACTTCGTCCACCCGTCGAACCGTGAATGGGATCGAGTCGGGCGGCGATCCAGAAGTCCCAACCCGATACCGCGGCCGCGACGCAGCCCGAGCCCCTCTCCACGCCGCCCCGCAGGCCCGAGGTACGGAAGAAGCAGGACTCCTCCGCCACTACACGTCCGCTCGCGCTCTCGAGACCGCCCTTACGCCCCACCAGCGAGACGCGAAGACGAGCGCGACCTGAGCCGGACGTTGTCGCAGGGGACCAGGGGCGACAGGCCGGCAGACGCGCCCAGACCCGTCTCATCTTCTGAAACCAGCGCGGCTATCAAGGACAAAAGCCTTAACACCATGTTTCCCGATGCGATCGCGAGACCGCCCCAGAACAGAACCGCGTCACAGGCGACAGTGACTTCGAGGCTCGCGCAGCCGCCCGTCGCTGGTCCGTCGTCGTCCTCTATGGCACCAGCGCCTGCGCCGCCTCCACCGACGACATCGGCTCCTCTCCTTCCCCCCGGTCCCCCGCCTGCTCAGTTTCAACCCATCACATCCAAGAGATCCCCGCTGCCCGAGCCCAGTGAGGAAGAGAAGCGTGCTGCATGGGGAGAACGCATACCGTACGTCATTGATGCACGTCCCCCCATCTCGATCTGACAAAACGTGCCCTCAAAAGACTCTTTTCGGAGGCGGTCAAGAACCACGACGCTCGCAGCGCCCTCGAGAAGGAGTACAAGCAGGTTAAGGCGCTCGCGGGAAGCCCACACTTTGCACGCCTCCCTCCGGATGCGGCGGAAAAGATAACGACGCGCATCGCGATGCTCGAAACACAGCGCGTCGCGTTGGCCAATGCGAACAACGAGATCTTGACCCGCCTCGTGGAGACCAACTTCTGGCCCGTCCTGTCCAGCGCGGTTATAATCGACAATGAAGCCCAAGTGGCCAGGATCGAAAGCTTCGTGGAGGAGATCAAAGCTACAACGGCCGAACTGCACGTCAAGTCCGATGCGGTCGTGGCTGCTCTCCAGGCGTCGCAACGAGCCACCGTCACTGGCAGTACTACGGGTGACGCCGGTTCTTCGCGGCCCGCGAAACGGAGACGGGTCGAAGACGACGGAGCGGATGCTGACACCATCATGGATGACGTGGGTTCAAAGGAGATAGCAGAGTTCCAATCCCATGTCGCCAAGCTAGAAGACCGCGTTCTCAGCTTGGAGAACTACTGGATCCAGTACGAGCAAGATCTCGCCGACAACCTCGACGTACGGATCGCGGAGCAGATCGAGGAACATAGCGAGACTCTTTACAAGCAAGTGGCAGAGGTGAGGGAACAGCTGGTCGCCAAGGTCGCTGCAGATCTCGCCGGAAAGTCCTCGATACTCGAAGCCGACGTCGTGCGAATCGATCAGGATATCACCGACCTCGCGACCGAGGTGGCGAAGCTTTGGCACGACAGTCAAGATGACGGGAAGATTAGCAGTCTAATCCAAGATAAAGAGCAGCTACGAGAGCAATTCGAAAAGGTATGCACCCTCCCCACCCCCCGGAAATACCTATCCCTATCAACGTTTTACCGACGAGCTCTTCCGTCGCAGCTGCAAGAAGAACATGCAACGTTGATAGCCGAGGAGGAGGTTAATAGCAAGCAGATCGATACGATCAAGTACCTGTTGCAGACACACATCCAGAACAGGCCCAAGTCCCCTTCACCTCCTCCGGATCCAGCGCCCCTGCCCTTCTCGCCCGACGTACTCTTCGAGCACGTCAAGGAGCCTCTGCTCATCTACATTCGCGAGTCTGTACTCCCTCTGCTGCATGCGCTGCGCCAGGAAATCGAGACCATGATGCAGGCGCACCGTACAGAGATATTCCAGACGGTGTGGGACAAGCTCGGCCAGACTCTGCGCTTCGTCGATATCATCAGCAAATGGATGCAACGGCAGCAGCAAGCTGTGGCCAATCCGCAGCAGCAACAGCAGCAGCCACAACAACAGCAGCCGCAGCCGCGGCCGCAGGGACAAATGCTTCCACCCCCCACCATTCCCTCAGGTGCACAGCGTCGTCCTCCTCCTTCGGCCTAATTGCCGGTGTAATCCTCTATTTACATCCCGCTTATTGTAATTCCCCTCTTGCATCCTGTGTTGTCGTCCGTAATCTATATCTTAATGGTGTACCCGTTGACCGTAATATGAGCAGCATCATTGCCTATTGATCGTCTCGAATACCAGGATCTCCCCCTATCTCCCCCCCATAAGTCGCGACCACCAACGATGGCCACAGCGCGGTCACGTGTCATACGCGAGGCGGTCACTCGTTCTGGCAACACGCCGTAGTTGTGCTCCAACCTCGGTATCCAGATCTTGCGCCCATATTGTCTTCTGTCTCTGGTCTTGATTACGATGTCGGGAAGACCGGGAGCTGCGACTCGAGCGTCAAGCCGGAGCAGATCAGTACAGCCCACGACAGCATCGTCAACAACTCGCTCCACCAAATCGACAGCGAAAGCACCGGCAGTCAAGACAGCCACCACAAAGGCGGCGCGTCAGCCCCTCGGAAACGCAGAAAACTCTCCAGAAAGGAGGTCATACCTACCTATGCCGAGCCCTGTCAAGCCGTCGAAGAAGGCGGCTAGCAATATGTCCTTCGAGTCCGAGAGAGAGCCGATTAAGGTACGCTTGCTACATGTATCGTAGCATAGACGATCTTCATGCGTTTCGCTATAGGCATATCTACGAATCCGGCCGCAAGGGAATGCGGAACAGCTTTCTGCGCCCTATCTTGAACCTCTGTCGGACACTACGGTGCACATGTCCAACCCTAGCCATACAGAGGCTGCTACGCACACCCGCACGTCCACGGCTCTGGCCGCCGCTCCGACGACATACACGTTCACGCACATATTTCCTCCCGCCACCTCCCAATCCACGTTCTTCCAGAAGACGACGCTTCCGTTGATCAGAGCCGCTCTTTGCCAAGGAGAGAACGGGTTGCTGTTCGCCTACGGCGTGACGAACTCTGGAAAGACGTATACAGTGCAAGGTGCTCCCGGAAAAGACAAGGCAGGAATATTGCCCAGGACGCTGGATGTAATCTTCAACAGCATCTATGGTCTCCAGGGCGAGGCAAGGGTAAAGCGTTCAATCTTGTGGTAGTCGTCCTAGATACTAATGCCAATGCTTACAGTACCGCCCCGTGCGATTGCAAGGGATCGAACCTGCCCAACCTTCGGACAATGCCCCGTTGCCAAAGTTTCGCGAGCCCGAACTCGCAGAAGTGCTCGGCGACGACACGGACTCCGTCGATACCGACGACATGGACTCCGATCCCTCATCCATCGAGGTCGATAGAAACTACGAATACTCCATTTGGTTGTCCTATGCCGAGGTGTACAACGAGAAGATCTACGATCTCCTCGCGTCTACAACGCCCGACGCCGAGCACGACATCGCGAGCCGCCTGCCCCGACCTGCGGGAGCACCCCCGCCGCCTTCCCATCCGTTGCTCCTAAAGCGAAAGGCTTTGTCGCTCAAGCCGTCGCCTTCCGCGGACGCGTTCGATGACGACACGCCAGGCTGCACGGGAAAATATGTGGCCGGCCTGAAGCAGGTCAGAGTACGGTCTGCAACGGACGCCAAAGCTGTCGTGAAGATGGGTCAGCTTCATCGTCGCGTATTCGGCACACTCGCGAACAGCCAAAGTAGCCGTAGTCACGGTGTCGTCACAATCAAGATCTTGAAACACCACCGGGGCGAGAAGAACGTAGGTAACCGCTTAGTCCCGCCGAGTTCCACTATTTTTATTCGTCATAGGATCCAACAGCCATTCAGACTTCGAGGTTGACCATCGTCGATCTTGCAGGGTCTGAGAGGACGAAGCATACTCAGACGACGGGCGACCGGCTCAAGGAGGCGGGCAACATCAACAAATCGCTCATGGTCTTGGGGCAATGTATGGAGATCATGCGTGCCAATCAGAAAAAGGTTGCCCAGAGCCTGGCTGTTGCGGGAAGGTATGGTTTTGGTTTCCGTATCACGAGTGGACGAGTACTCAGCTACTGCGCAGGAGCGATACCCGGGATGTCAAGAAGACGCTGGGCGTCATACCGTTCAGACATAGTAAACTGACTGAAATGCTCATGGACTACTTCGTGGGCGATGGCCGAGCGGTACATATCTCCTTCTCAGAAGAACGTTTAGCTAACTCGATGGTGCTATTAAGGTGATGATAGTCAACGTCAACCCGTACGACACGGGCTATGACGAGAACTCTCACGTTATGAAGTTTGCCGCCATCGCTCGTGAAGTGCAGATCAACAATGCACCCGCTCCCGTGCGGAATATGCCTGCGCCAGCTCCTGTGGCACCGAAGCCCTCGTCCAAGAAAGCTCCGGCATTACCAATCAGAATGCCCTCGAAACCCAAGGAGGTTCATCGGAGACAAGTTACCATCTCCAGCGGCGGCAAGGGTGGACGGGTATTGAGCCAAACCCAGCTGGAGGTTCTTGAAGGTAAGCCTAGCCGTGACTATTCAGTTTGTGTTGATACATGGTGAAACTCACGACACCGCGAGTGCAGAGGACGAAGAGCCAGGTGATGGCGAGGACGACGATGACAGTGACTCGAATAATCCACTGGTTGATGCCCTCTTCGAAGAGATCGAGAATCTTCAACATCAGGTCGGGGTCCTCTTGCAAGAGTATACGACGCATCACTGATATTGTACATATAGCTCTTTGAATCTCAGATGCGTTGTGCTATCGTCGAAGCGGAAACGCGCGAAGAAGTCATGCGCGAGATGGAGGAACGCATGCTGCAGATGGAACTCCGATACAGAAAACGATGGGAGCGTGAAGTTGAGCAGCAGGAAGCCAAGACGGATGCCAAGATCGAAATGCTCCATCACGCTGGAATGTTGACACCATACGGACATGGACGAGTCGGTAAGGCTCTGGAGGATGTGGAGGAAGAAGAGGACGTGGAAATGAGTCTGGTAAGAAGAGCCTTACCCTGCGTATGACGTGAGACCATACTCATTCCATACTCAACAGCGCGTCGACGAAGGCGATGTCGAACCTCAAACTCCGCACCATGCATACGACGAGGAGCCCGAGGATCGCTCGCCTTCGCCGCTGGCCGGTCGAGGGGCACGCCGTACCATGGACCTGGACGAGCTTCGTCCTCTATCACATCAGTCAAGACAACCCTCACATGAACCACCCGCGCCGTTCGGCTTCCAGCCATATGATGACGATGATGACGATATGTACATGGATCCCGGTTCTCAACGTGGCAGCCCAGCACCTGATGCTGCACGCCAAAGCAGCGTTAAGCCTGCAAGCTCTAGCAAGGGCAACTTGTTCATCGCGTCGAGCCCTTCGCGATCGCCGTCACAAGGCTCAGCGTCTTCCTCCAGCTCAAGTGGCCACAAGCGCAACCACTCGTCTATCGACGACCTCGGCAAATTGGAACTACCCCCTGTGGAGGTGCCGAAGAAGCCGCGAGCCCGTCGTGTGACCCGTCCCGCGTCGGACGATGATTACGAGGACGACGATATTCAGATCATCGAACCGCCCCTGAAGCAGGCGAAAGCGCGTTCGACCAGAGCTGGGCGGCATACGGGGACGTCATCTCGGCAGGCAATCGACATCATCGACGTCGACGAGGACCCTTCTGAGGCGGCGGTTGTCATCCCCAACAAGAAAGCACGACAGGAAGCCGTCGCGAATGGCGGCCCTAATGTCGAATACGTTCCGCGGAAAGGCGAAACAGATACCGTAAAGAAGAAGAAGCGGTATGTCTTGAAGCATCGATGCTCGTTGTAGGCTGTCGACTGATGAACCGCCAATCAACAGGCAACTCGGCAAAAAGCCTGTTATGACGGAGGAGCAGATCGCGTATATCGCGTCCCAGGAAGACCCTGAAGCTGGAAAAACTGTACGACGCGCGAGGACCACACGCAAGTTCACATAAGGGCGCATTGCTGGCGGCCTCCAAACCATTTCCTGTGCTATACTATGCATCTTGCATACCAGCCCTTCAACGGATACCTTCATGCGAGCTTAAGATACCTGCGGTTTTGTTGCTGTTGAATTAGTATCCATGCTATCTAATCACGTTGCTATGCTCTGCACATGCGCGCACGTTCGCTGCTTTCTCATGCAGAGTATCATGCCCTCCTCGAAATACAACTATGTTGTACGCGAATACGTTCTACCGTAGATCTACTACACATTACGTGCCATTGCCGTTCAAGAAACCCAACGGATCTGAAAAATGCAATAGCCGCCCTCATCTGCTCTCCCAATACCGTTGACGCGACCCAGCTCTTCCTTGCTCACGATGGCCAGCTCCTGCCCTTGGCGGTTCTCCGAGTGAACCAAACCACTCGCAGCAGGGAACACGCTCTCGACAGTGGCCGCCATACCCTCGTGCCGGCCAGTGCTTCTGACAGCGACGATGAGCCAGAACACGCCCGCTGGCGAGAGGAGTTGCTTGACGCAGGACTGAATCCAGGTGGCGTGATTTGGGTGGTATACAACGTCCGCGGCGAGTATCACGTCAAATGGCTGATTCAACGGGCCATCGAAGCAGGGTTGAGACCAGTCGAGCTTTTCGACGGCGACGGGCTGCGGACGACAATCCGGGAAGTTGATCTCCACGTTCAGCGCGAGATTGCGGAGGACGTCTTCGTGGAAATCCGTGGCGACGATCGAAGATGTGGACGAGGCATTCTGGCGCATGGCCAATAGCTTCGCCGCGATGATGCTCAGCAAACCCGTCCCTGCACCGAGCTCGAGGATGCGGATGGGTTCGTCTCCTGCCATCCCGTACAGATTCGGGTGCGCGCACATGTGCTCTCCAAAGATGACGCAGCTACCCCAACTCTGGAGGCCGACGGAGGTGTGGTCATCCTCGAGCATCGGCGCATCGTTGGATATGACTTCCACGACGGCCGGCTCTGCGCTGTCTTTAGATGCGCCGAGTGTGAATTTGAAGCTCCTCGTGATCGCCTCCTCTTCGACGGGTGGTTCTGTGAATGAGGCGAGAAGAGTGCTGGCAGCGTCTACCGCCCGCTCTCGTTTAGTCGCTTCATCGTCCATTCCGTCAGTTTCATCGGGTACTTCGTAAACCCACTCATCGGAGGTGGCGATGAACCTGGTGAGCCATCCAATGGATAAATCTCGTTCGAGGGTATCGGCCTGAAGGGCTTCAAGTTCGGCGGAAGCCATATAACCTATAGTCGGTGCTGATTCAAGTTCATCTTCGTCGGCTGACGCGTATCCAGAGTCAACAATTGTGGCCTCAGATCGGAGCTTGGGTATCCTGAGGTTGAGGGCGAATTGCTTGTTTATGTGCGACGAGTCACTGAGCGGCATGTAGATCGCCCGCAGATTATCCAGGGCAAGCAAAATATCTGTTAAAGATGGATTGTGTCCACGCCGCAAGGGGGGAAGAAACGTGGAAGGGGGTATTGGACTCGTTATCGCCATCAAGCCGAAGTGAAATATCTATATGGCCCACAGGTTGTATGGAAGACCTGTCTAGTGTCTAGGAGCGCAGTCGTCTATAGCCAAGCTCTAGATTGAGAAAAGAACGCCGGGGTGAATGCTACCACGGAGGGAGAGCCATGGTGGTTGTCGTGAAGCGGGCGGGACAATTCCGTCTCCCCCGCAAGTTTTTTGTGATCCCTGTCGGCGCGCAACGCGGGGTCAAGCACACGTTTGTCACGTCACGGAGCATGACGTGACACCGAATCAGGTCGTGCTTTTCCCACCTTTCCTGCTTCGTGCGCCTGTTTGCGTCTTTATGCGCAAGATAGGAGCAATATCGGCTCTTTTGCTATGATACCGACGCCGGATCTCTCCCATCTGACGTCGAAGGACTTCGACGAGGTGTATGAGCCTGCTGGTTGGTTACAGCCAAATCTAAAGCTTAATTTCTAAGCAAAAGATCAATAGAAGATACTTTTCTCCTACTCGACGCACTAGAGGAAGATGTCTCCAATCTAAAGCAGCTGAACCCGCGTATCTGTCTTGAAATAGGGTGTGTCATCTTGCTGTAGCTCGTGCGAGCGCCTAGGGAATGTGCGATTCCAGATCAGGTTCAGGATGCGTTTCCAGTTTCCTGAGCACATTGCTTGGGCCCTCATCAGCTGGTCAGTCTCGTATTTGACGGATATTCTTGACCATCTCAGTCGTCTCTCCCTCGTAGTTTTCCTTTGCACGGACATCAATCCGCACGCAGCGCGATGCACCGTCGCGACCGGGAGACAAAACAAGGCAGGATCATTGCAAATCCCACGTAAACCTCTCGTCTGAATCATTCCGCAACAGTAGACCCCGCTCGATTCGGTCAACACATGGTTGCATTTACCTCTATGCAAACGTCTAGCAGGTGCCGTCGATGTGCTCCTGTTTAACCCACCATATGTCCCGACTGCGGAGCACGAAGCCTCGGATGCCCAGCGTGCACGAGACATCAGCGGCGCATGGGCGGGCGGCACCGACGGCATGCAGGTTACAGACCTACTATTGCCGCTCGTCAAAGTAAGGCATACCAGTAAACGGCACTTTGCATGGTTTATGTCATCCGTTACTACTCAGGGCTTGCTGTCGAGAAACGGAATATTTTATCTCGTGGCTCTGAAACAAAACAACATCCCTCGCATCCAAACTCAAATCTCCGGCATGTATGGTTTGCAAAGCGAGGTACTACCTGGTCAGCATCTCATAGATGACGCAACCCTTACCTTTGAGATAGATCGTCATTCAACGACGTGCAGGTCGGGAACATCTACATATCCTCAAAATCCATCACAAAGATGGGATAGATACCTCATAGATAGAGAGCAATACGGGGTATCGTATTTCTGTACAAGACATTTGTAGATGGATACAAGGAGGAGACTTTATATTAGTCCTTACGATAGAACTGGTCAGGCTGATAGTTTGCATGGTGGATGTAACAAGGGAGGATGGGAGCAACGAAAGTCGGAGGATGGGGCCAAACCAAATACAGGGCCCGATTTTAGCCAAACAAGAAATGATATTTACTCAGTTTCGGGTGCCGTCACGCGTCGGCGGCTGAGGCTGAACCTCGACGGCGAACCGAGGGTCCCGACTCGATCCAACGAAGATTGCGTCGAGTGCCGCTCCGCGCTCAGCTGGTTATCAGCGTCAAAGTCGAGCCGGAAGGTCATCAAGCCGGTGCCGTTCCTGAGCTCCAGGAAGACCTCAGAGGACGTGTTTCCGCGAGGTTGAATATGCCGCCATATCTAGGAAGGAGCAGTTTTAGGAACGCGATCGAACGCAAATCGGTCTGAAGCCTTACATCAATTTCACCCTCTCCTAGAAGCTTGTCCTTTCCGATGGTTTTGTGATCGTAAACCCAGACGTAGATCTTCGACGTGTAGGGGCCAGCAGAGAAGTTGAACGACTCGTTCCTGAACAACACGCGTTAGTCACAGAGTATCACGCGATGCACCGGAGCGTACCATTGCGGTGCGGGGGTTTTCTGGTTCTTCGTCTTGTGTTCCTTGTCTGCGACGCGGAGTACAACGTATGGCTTGGTGTCGCTGACAGACAGATCCTTGGCCTCCACTACCGTAACACGTAGAGTACCCGATTCATTTGCCGAGCCATTAGAAGCCCCATGGCCGTTGGTCGACGCGGAAGGGAACGTTTGCGCTGTAGCAGGCGCAGTCGTAGGCGGCACGTCCGGACCATTTAACGGTACAGACGCCTGTCCCGCCGGAGCATCTTCTGGCACCGCCAGCTGGGTCTCCGACTTGTGGTCCCGCTTGAACAGGTGGCCTATGCCGCTTCCCACCTTGCCCACGCCATGCACGACTTCTCGCCCACCGGCCAACGGCAGACCGCCGACTTGCGTAACAGCCCGCCCTGCAGTGCTGAAGGTCGAGGTCTTCGTGCGCGTCTTGGCGATGATTTCGGGCGAGAACAGGAGACGGACACGAAGGTGCCCCTTGTTCCCGTGCTTTGAGTGCGACAGCTCAATAATGCGTTCGGTACCTTCCATAGGCTCGAGGTCGGCCAAGTTGATGCTTGCAGAGCCCAAGGATTTGGCCTGCTCGATTTGGTTCCAGTCGAACACTTCCACCTTGAAGTCGGCGCCGACGCGAGAGGGCTAAGTCGGTGTTCAATCAACCCAGTCCGCCGCATCTTTGGGTTGTGGCACGTACCACGGAGACAGTAAACTGCTCGTTCCACTCGGGATTGAGCGTCTTCTTCTTTGTCTGCGACTTGAAGATACGCTGACCGTTAAGGGTAAACACCGCGAAAGGATCGGATTTGCCTGTGCATATTGATGAGGGTCGTGCTCGATCATGCAAGTGTACAGGAACTCACCGCCGCGGTCGGCCGCATGAATATCACGTCCGTCCAGGAGATCCACACGAAGTAAACCCATATCTGATATAGCGATTCGTGATTATGTTTTATATGAAATACATAGCACGTACTGTTGATGCTTTCCCTCGGCTCGAGCTGCACGGGCACAGGGACGTAGCGAGTCTCGAGGAGCACAGTGGACTCTTTCTCGCCATTCACGTCAGTTAACGTGAAGGTGGTTGGTCCATTCTATATCCCCCATCAGATGTTACTCGCGGCGGCGTAAAGATGCACACATACCAAGGTCTTTTGCAAGAACTGCTTCGCGTCTCCTCTCCACTCACAGATGACGTCGTCCTTGTCCCCTTCGTCCGCCTCATTGAGGCGGAGCCACACGCGGCCGAAGTCGAGCTCCTTGAGGAAGCCCTCGCCAACCGTCTCCCACTGCGCGTGGGTACCGCGGGCCTTGATGGTGCTAAACGCAGGCCAGTAGCCGTCGTCCAACAGCACCTCCAGACGCGCTTTCTTGTAGATATGGCCCTCGATAACATTGAAGACGATGACACCCGAACCTGTCTGGTATCAGCGTCCGTACACGATGCGCATCGGACACTAAAACCCACCATATTGCAACAGCTCTTCTGTGGACAGTTGCACCCCGATTTCTTCCGGGCGCGTCTCGGCGGTCTTCTCCGTCTCCGTCTCCTTCGTGGACACCGTGTTCGTCGTCTCCGTTGTTTTGGTTGTGTCGGTCGACTTGGCGTTCTTGACGTGCCGCTCCTTGCGCGGGTCGTCGCCAAGCGGCCGGGAGACGGTGACCCCTTGCGGAACGGCCTGCGCCTCGACGTCGCTCGACGACATCGAACCGCTATCGTCGACCACGACGTCCCCATCGTCATCGCCCTGACCACCCTGCGCCGCGCGCTCCAGTTGATTAGGCCCGGTCTCAAACTTGACACCCTGGACAGCGAGAGCGGGGATGAACTCGGCGACGTAGTGCAGCTTGCCCTTATACGCGCCCCGGTCGAGCTTGAGCGGATCCTCGACTTCGCGCTTGCCCGTCGACGCGTACGGGAACCGCTCGTCGTCCGAGGGCGTGCCCAGGTCCGAGACCTTGAGTTCGACGTTGCCGAGCGAACGGTCCTTAGTCATGTGCTGGTAGTCCATGCACTCCAGCAGCATTGTCTCGCGAAGCGAGTGTACTAAAAATGCGCATAAGGATGTGCATATACGGCGTGATCCAGAGCCCACTCACCAGGGATGTAGATGATCTGGTCCCATTCCGGGTTGAGGTCTGAAAAGTGATGATCAGGGTTGACTCTGAACAAACGTGATTATGAGAACGTACTGTTGTTGATGACCTCGGTCCTACCTTGTGTAACGTTGTTGACCAGAACGCGGACGTATGGGTCACTCTGCGATCCGATTTATCATCAGTAAGGGGCGACAATGGGTCGAATCACTCATACCTTGCCACCGAGCGTCGCCTCGACGTTCTTCACGTCCGTCGCCTTCTGTATCCACAGCCTGACAACGCCGATCGGCGGGGTGTACTGGTCCGCACCGTGTAAGCTGCCCGCGAGGTCAAGCGGCTTCCACTCAGCGCTCATGCGCACGCGACCGCTCTTGCAGCCACTAAGTGGCCACCAGTCGCGGCCGCCCTCCTTGGTCGCCTTGACAAGGTCGTCAATCTTGACAGTGAGGTAGCCAACGACGGGATCCTTGAGGAAGTCGCGGTCGTCGATGATCTTGACGGTGACGACAGCTGATGACCGGTCCGAGCACAAGAACTCGGTTGGCGCCTCCCAAACGGGGTTATTCGTGTGCTTGAAGCGAGTCGTGGTCTGGATCGCGTGTGGGTCGTTGTTGAGGAAGACCTTCGCGAACGGGTTGAGGTCGCCGGACATGGACTTGGTCGCGTCGAGGTCCTTGGCCTGGTGTAGCGTGAGGCGCACGATACCGACGTCTAGGGGTATGCAAATGTTAGCGCAAATTATGCAATGCAGCGAAAAAATTTATCCCGACTTGTCTCTGGAAGCTCTTCTTCCGCGCTATCGGCGACGGCGGTGGGCTTGAGAACGGGGTAAAATGAGACGTCGTAGCGTAGCGTGCCCTTCTCCTTCCCGTCCTTGAGCACGGGACTCTCGAGGCCCTCCTGTGTCGCGTCCTGTCGGAGCACGCTGAGGTCGAAGAGCACCGCGCCGAGCTCGGTATTCTTCCGGTGGTCGTTGTAGTCGTACACGGTGAGCACGAGTGAGTCGGTGAGGTTGTTGATGAGCAAGAACTTGGTCTCGTTCCAGGTCGGGTTGTACGTGTTGTGCTTGTACTTGGTGCGCGCAAGTTCCGCGCGTTGGTTAATGGAGAGCGAAACGAAGGGATCGGGCGATCCGCCACCGAGCTTCACGCCCTTTAGCGAGCGAGCGTTTTGCACGGTCACCTGGAGAACACCGATGGCCGTGTCGAGCGGCGCGCCGGAGAGGAGTTGCTCCAGGTTGAGGGTGAAGACGTTGGGCTCGTACATCATGGGACCGAGGTTGTTGTGTACCATGTCGCGGATGAAGGACGATAGGCCCGGAATCTACGAGTGCTATCAGTCCCGGTGTTCTTGAAATGCTACGAAGCGCCCTACATGTGCAATGTCGAACCCGAATGTCTCTCCTCCAATAGGTTTAAGGACATAGTCGATGGTTGGCTTCTCTAAGAAGCTAATGTCCACGATTTGTACATGAGGGAACGAAGTCATCAGCTTCATTCGTATCCTCAGCAAGCCCTTGAACGTGATATCCTCAAGGAGGACGGGCATTGCGCCGGTGACGACACCCTTACCAACGCGGATGTCCAGAACGATCTTGGGGTTCACCCGCGCCTTGGCTTGCTTCTCGGTCATGTCCGATGTGTCGTTAGGGGTGAAGGAGAGACCCCAATCCATCATGACGATATCCTCCGCCGTCTTGGGGAACGTGCGGACCTTATCGATACGGGGAGCCTTAGTGCCGAGGGTGAAAGTGCTGAGTCGGAGCGAGTCGAGGAAGGGCGGCGTGTTGGCGGAGAGGGCCTGGTCGACGGAGGAGACGACGGTAGCGGCGAGGACGGGCTCGTAGATGATCCAGAAGCGGTCGAGGAAGTTGTTGATCCACTCGGCCGACTCGTGCTCGGACGCCAGCGGCTGCTTGACGAGCTCACGCTGTATGTCGTCCCGCGCACGGCGGCGGACGCGGACCATGGAGGTGGTATAGTACGTGTTGCAGACGGAGAGGAGGATGAAGAGCCAGCCCCAGCCGAAGCCAAAACGCGTCAGGAAGTGGGACGTGAACACGGCCTGTTATCGCGCGAGCGCGAAGATCAATCGTCGGCAGACTATATGCACGCATACGAGACGTACGAAGAATATAAGTGCGGCGTTGTGGTACCAGTCGCCGTAAAACTGCTCGGCGACAAACATCTCGAGCACGGTCTTGTCGCGTGCCTCGTCGTCGTCGAGCGGGCCATCGTCGATTCCGGACACGGCGCGCCAGCCGACCTTGTACCAGTCTGGGATGGCGGGCGCAGCACCCTCAGGGAAGCCGCCAGGTGGCTCGACTTGCGAGGCTCCGGTGACGGCGCCTGGTGCGGTATTCGCTGCTGCGTCTTCGTCTGCCTGGACCTTGTCCGCATCTTCGATGGTGATGGTGGGGAGGACGGTCGCGCCTCCGGTCGTGACAGGTAGTTCTGCGACATCATTCCTTCTCTTAGCACCCGCGTCTCTGTGCCATGCGAACACGGATGCATGTCGTGTGCTCACCGTGCGCTCCGCCGCCGTTCTGCTCTTTACCGACCCTGGAGAGTTGCTCACGGCCTTTCCCGGCCGCGGCGGCCTTCTGCTCAGGGCTCGCGTTGGCGTCGAAAGTATGGACGGCGACGCTGTTCTTCGCCGCGTCGTGGTTGATGATGCCGGTGACCTCGGCCTGGGCAGCGAGGGAGGCCGCCATGGCGGGCAATGTCGGGGGGAGAAATGCTAACGAGGGACTAGTGGGATCGGGTGCGTGGGTTAGGCGCCGTGCCCCGTTATTAGACCAAGGCTTTGGGGTGATGTCAATTGGTTGCGAGTCGTTGGCCGTAGCCCGACACAGCCATCCGGCGACTTGCCTCGCTCGACCTCAGTTCGCTGGCTTCTGCGGCGGGTTATATCGTTCTTGCCTTCTTTCTCTTTGCGTTCAATCTCGCGATCCTGGTCTAATTGCGATCGGCGCAAGGCGTCCTCCCAGCAAAAATGTCGACGGCGGAGGAGAGCACGACGTACTACCACTTCTTCGTCGTGGCCAGCGTCTATGTCCTCAAAGCTCTCAACGGAATCGTCGATGAGCCGTACATGGTGCGCATTCCTCGTTGACAGGAGCGATGACCGGTCATTGAAGCTCCGGACAGGACGAGCCGTTTCACGTCCCGCAGGCGCAGGCGTACTGCAGGGGCGAATTCGACGTATGGGATCCTAAGATCACCACCCCGCCGGGACTGTGAGCTAACCTTCACACACGTATCTATCGTTAGTCCGACAGAATGAAATTTCAATACAGGTACATTCTGAGCACCATCCTCAAACGCATCTTCCTCCTCAAGTGCACACTGCCCGTCCTCCGCCTTACCCCGCTCCTCACCCTCATCTTCCTCCCGCCAGTTCTCACCCTCCTCCTGGCCTTCCACAAACGCATTCGCGCGCCACCTATCTTCCCGCCGTTCGCCAATTCCGAGGCAACGATCCTTGCCTCCTTCCCCGTCGCGTGGTTCTTCGGCTTCCTGTACTACACCGAGGTCCCCAGCCTGCTCACCGTGGTCGGTACCGTCGTTGCGGCTGGTAACCAGCGTCACTGGCTCGCCGCCCTCGTGAGATATTCACGTGGTTTTGGAGCAACAGCATGATGGGCTGACGGCGCGCAAGCAATTTAGCTAGGCCTCGTCAGTTGCGCCTTTCGCCAGACGAACATCGTATGGGTCCTTTACGCCTTTGCCGCCGGGGCCCTCGTGCAGCTCCGCTTCCAACGGGCTGTTTCTGACGTTAAGGTATCCGAGAAGCCATCGTCCAAGGGTTCAGCTCAGCTGCACGACCCACTCGCCCTCGAGGCTAGCATAGGTTCGCAGTCCTCCCCTTGTCTGAGTCTCTCTGTCACGCTGACTAAGTTCTCCTAGATGACCTGCTCCCGCTACTGAGATCCATCCCGCGTAGTGTCTCCACGCTCCTGCGCACGTTCATCCCCTACTCGCTGGTGCTAGCCGCCTTTGCCGCTTTCGTAATCTGGAACGGCGGCATCGTCCTTGGGGACAAGGCGAACCACGTTCCCGCGCTGCACGTCCCGCAGTTGTACTATTACTTCGGTTTCGCGACCGCGCTCGGATGGCCTGTACTCGTTGGCGGCGGGGACAACGCTCTAGACCTTGCGCGCGAGATCAAAGCGCGCATGTTCGGGTCGAGGCGGTCAGTCGCATATCTAAATTTCATTCCGGGATTATATCAATACGTTTAGCTTTGCAGACGCGTGTTGGTAACGGCGGCGATCTCCGCGTTGATGGCGGTCACGGTGCACCTGTTCACGGTTCACCATCCGTTCCTGCTCGCCGACAACAGGCACTACACCTTCTATGTCTGGCGAAGGGTGTTCATGCTCCACCCCCTTGTGCCGTACCTGCTCATCCCGGGCTATATCGCGTGTGCCTGGGCCTGGTTCCTCAGAGTTGGTGCGTTGCTACTCCTTTCATGTCCCGCAAACGCTGTACGACTGAATGCGATGCGATGCAGGTCACGATCAGACGCTCCTGCAGACGCTGATCCTGCCAGCATGCCTGCTGCCCACCCTCGTGCCTACACCATTGCTTGAGCCGCGCTACTTCCTCGTACCCTACATCCTCATGCGGGCCCAAGTCAAGGACATGCGCACATGGGGCCTCGTCGCGGAAGGCGCGTGGTATGCGGCCATAAATGCTGCGACGATGTATGTCTTCCTGTGCAAGGAGAGGGAAGGTGTTGGCCGGTTCATGTGGTAGGCTCCGGCCTGTCCGTGATGTGTAACTATCTGCAATGCTATATATCGCTACGAGCTATTTATCTATTTATCGCCTGGCTGAACGTACATAGATGTGTACAATCGTGGCTGCTGAGAAGATCACCGTTTTCAAATGCCACGATACCAAATTTTCAGGCCACCGATGACGAGAGAGGAGACGATCGAGTAGTCCGGACACCCGACATATATTGGATAGAAGTCACTAGTCGGCATGTTCTTTTTGGTGTGTATGCGCTTCAGTAAACATAAACTAAGATATCGGTCGCCATCGTCATCTATGCCTTGTCAAACACACCCAATAGGGCAGCCCCGAGCAAAGCGAAGATAGGAGCGTAGGACCAGTGACCCCACTGGCCTTGACCCCAAGTCCAGCAAATTATCCCATCAGCGAATGCCACCGCGCTACCACCGACCAGAGTCCAGCCGGCGGATTTAGGGGTCCCATAGGCAGCGGCGATCCAGGTCGCGAAACCCCAAAAGATGTCCCGGACACCGTATGCGTACAGGAGGCTTTCGACGAGTTGCCTCTCTGCGAGAGTGGTGGGCATCTCCCACTCGAAGAAACTGAGGGCGTGTTCAGGGCGGAGTAGGGCGTTGACGCCGAATCCAACGGCGATGAGGGCGAAGGCCTTGGCGCCAAGTTGGAGGCTGGGACGCTGAGACAGTGTGTTGATTGACGGTCAAGCTTTCAAGTGTCAATCGAGAAATCGTTGTTGTTGGGGGTCGGTGTGCTTACTGGGAAGAGCGCGACGATGATGGGCAGGGTGAGTTGACCGGATGTGAGAAGTTACCTGAGCTTGCTGCAGGAACTACGTGAAGTTGAACATCGTGTGGCGCTGCTGCCCACATATGGACAAGGATGTTGATCGCCGCCACAGTCGCGTCTGTTCCTCCTCAACGCGCATCTCGTCGATGTTGACTTGAGGCGTATATCCTGCCCATTCGTCCGCGCCCCGGTATAATCGCACACGACGGTCTCCAAGCCTCGTTGACCCGTTGGCCCGATCAAGCCGATTTCTGAGAGTTCGCGAGCTTCTGTGTAACGAGGAAGATCACGTGTCCGTTCGAACCCGCTCACGACGACCACGACCATCCAACGACCCCAAATCTAATGCACACGTACTGAACACACCCGCACTATACTCAACATGCCGACCCCCACCAAGGCAGCCACTGCAAGGACGAAGGACGCCGGGTCCAAGCCGTCCACACGCGGTTCTATCCGCCACTCGCTCAACCTTGCCTCCATGGGCAAGGCCCTCGCGGAGGTTATGTCCAAGGATTCATCTGATAGGCCGTCCAAAAAGGTATCCGCAGCCCAGAAGGACTCCAAGGCGAAGGCGCGCGACAAGGCGCAGGAGAAGGAGAAGGACCAGGACCTGACGGCCACGCGAAGGCTCAGTGCAATTCATATAGGGGCCCCGCGCCAGTCGATGGGCTCCGTCCGAGAGAAGGAGAAGGAGAAACCGAACCAGCTCTCGGTGAAGTCGAAGAAGGACTCGCCCGACACAAAGACGATATCGCGCACGACGCGCTCTATGGCCAGGAAACTCGCCGAGGCAGCTGCATCCCACTCGTCCACATCGGAAGAGAGCGCATCCCACCCGCCAGCGGGACATCCACCAGCCATCATGCCCTCCTCTCGCTCTGCCACCCTTCGCCCTCGCCAGAACGCCGCCGCCACTAAAGACTCTGCGTCGTCGGCTTCTGCTTCTGCCTCCGCCTACAGTGCTGCCCAAGGGAAAGATTCCATCTCTGCCCTGCCCAAATACCGTCCGCGCTCTATGCTCGTTGAGGCCAACAATGTCCCCAATGCCAAGAAGCCGCAGCAGCCACCCTCCCCCGCGCGTCCCGGCACCCGCCGGCGGCTCGACAGCACCTCCTCCGCCTCCTCCTTCGTCGTGGACAGCATTGCGGACGCTCGTCATGCTCACGCGCCAGACCTTGCCGCTCGTTCTATCAGCCCGCTTCCTCGCCGGACCGGGCTCAGAGGTACCCAGAACCAGAATCAACCGCCTGTGCCGGTGTTCCACAAGCCGCTGCCGCGCGCCGAGTCCCCCGCCCGGCCAGCGAAGGCTGCCAAGGGGTCCACTTCTGCTATTCCGCGCCCGCCTTCCGCCTCGTCCTCTTCCGTGCTCGCTTCGCCCCGCACGCCGAAGCAGACACCTGCCTTCAAAACGGCCAACAGCACACCTTCGTCCACCCCCAGTCGCAAAGGAACTCTCCGTCAGCCCGGCACCGCCGCCCTATCCCGAGGAAAGGCGACCTCGTCCAACACACCCACCAGCACCGACTCCGACGTCGGCACCGCTACCACCTTCACGACGGTGAATTCCACATGGGTCGAAGGTAATAGCACAGATAGTGCCGGCGACGTGGAGATGATGCTCGCTTCTTTTGCCTCGCCCACCGCCCCTACCCCAGCGCTCCCTCGGATCCGCCGCACCGCCATGCAGACATTCGGCCCGTCGAAGGCCGAAACGCCTTCGCGGCCCCAGCCCGGCGCTCCCCCCGCGCGCGCCCACCTCTCCTACCTCTCGCCCGATCCGGGCTCCTCGCCGCGCCTCCGCCCCGGCGCGTCCCATCTAGCGGCGAACGCGAGCACGATGCGGGGTTCGATTCTCTCCTGGGAACAGCTCGCCGCGGACGACCATACGCTCGGTCGCGGCGAGATCGACACCCTCCTTGCGGAAGTTCCCGCGCCATTCCGCTCCGCCGCACCGAGCCCGAGCTTAAGCACGCCCACTGCGAGCCCATCGAGCCCAGCGCTGAGCGTGCTGCCCTCGCCCGGCGAGTACGGCAGCATCTCGCAGGTAATCCTGCCGGACATGACACCGTCGCCCGCGCCCGCCGCGGCGCGGGATGTGTTCCATCGACAGGGACACGGCGACACGCTCGGCGTGCCCTCGCCCATGGACGGTGGCACGGCGACGCTGCTGCGGCTGCAGCTCGCATCCGTTGAGGCGCAGGCGGCGGAACGCCTTGCGCAGGTGCGGCACCTGGAGGAGCAACTGCGTATGGCGACGCAGGCGCGCGCGCGCGACGTTGCGGAGCTCGAGGGCCAGATGAACGAGCTGGAGGAGCAGCTCCATACCAGCATGCAAGCACGTAACCGAGCGGACGATGAGCGCGGCGCTTACGTAACGGGATTGGAGGAGCAGCTGCACGCAGCTGATGAGGCTCGCGAACGCGCGGTAGCGCAGGCTAGCGAGCATGCGCGGGCGGAGGCGGTCACAAGGCAGCAGAAGAGATGTGAAGCGGCGTGTCGCGCGCAGGAGATCGCCGGACGGTGGGCGGCCGTGCGCGAGATTGCGGACGGCGAGCTAGAGCTCGTGCGCTCGAGCAAGGAGACGCTAGGCGTACTCCTAACACAGATGAACGCCCTTCTTCGAACTAAACGCACTTCATGCAGTGAGTCCTGGTTGAACTCGACGTCGTATCCCGTCTGACGGGTTTCGATCTAGCATAATGCGGACGTCTTACGATCTGGCACGAATTAGAACCTTTCGACTTCCACTTCTTAGGGACTCATCCCTTCAAGAGTTGATACCACCTCACGACCGTGTATATATCACCGCAAGGGACCAACGTCACAGCATCCCTGTGTATTATCAATATATGCTAGTCATATCCGAGCTTTTCCCAGCATTATACAATGGTAGTAAAGGCACTTGCAGTGTAACAGTGAATATATGAGATGGAGTCTTGAGGCCACTCCGACCATTGCGTATGTGCATACAATACGAGCATCAATTATCGATCACTGGCATGACTTGATCGCTTCTTCGCAGGCTTCGGAGAAGCAGCGCGGATTGTCTGCCGGGTGATTCTGCTGGAGGAAATCGAGCAGGATCTGGTGAATATTCTCCGGCCTGCCAGAGGAATCAGTAGGAACAACGACGGCATGACCTAAAGAACGCACTTTAGGGAGCCGTAGGCTACCTTGACGGCTACTGCGATACGCTCTGCCTGTTGGGGCCATGTGCACATTGTCTCCGTGTCGACGGTGAAAGAAACCAGCGCCTTCGTTCTCACGCGTTCGAACAGCAGGGACACGGTGACCGCAAAGCTAGACCCATCTGGCGCCACCGCGGTCTCGTACGCGTACCTGGTGACTAGCAAATGGAGTTGCTTGCGCAACAGCGCACACACTGCGAATTGGTCGGACAGAATTTGAATAATCTGTGATACCATCAGCATCCACAAGCACGTCGGCTGTGCGTTTGCTCACATCGCGACTGTGTCTCAGAATAGCTTTTCTGCTCGCCACCTGTCGCTGAGCTGCCTGGAGCACATGGTCGTTGTAGGCCGGGAACCAATCCTTGCGCACCGGCAGCTTGTCCTTCACCCTGGACACCTGAACGTGTTCCGTCATAGGCTGAAAATTGCGACATGGGATGGCGACGCGGATGCAGGAATCGTAGACGGCTTCCAAATAGTCCGGATGAACCTTGACTATTCTCCACATGTGTATGTCCTGGATAAATTCAAGCTCGTCTGCATGGCGCACGTCAGCGAACAAGTCGAACACCGGTCAAAAACGGCTATCAACCTTGCATGCGCAAGACCTCAACAATCGTGCTGCCTTGCTGGACGTCCAGCACCCGCTGTGCCTCCGCAATGGCACTGTTGCCTTCCTGAATCTGCACTCGAGTGTCCGCCAGCTTCTCGTTGAGCCGCTGCAGTTTTGATTCGCGGTCGGCGACGTCAGCTCGGTATCCTTCGATCGCGAGACTGATAACAGAGCATGATTAGCACTTCAGCAGCAATCTAGCGGGCAGACGAATTTCGTACTTCTGTTCCGCGATCGTCGCCTTGAGCTCCTCCAAGTAATCTTGGTCGCAGTTCTCAATCTCTGCCACCGCGGCTTGCTCCTCCGCAAGCTCGCGCATGACGGCGTCGTATTCCTCCCGCAAGTTCGGCAGGATCGCCGACGATTTCTCGACAATTGTCGACAGCACTTCTGCGTCCTAGAACATGATCAACGATCACATCAAGCCGCATAGGAAGTCCGATGCAACGCACAGCTTGCAAGCTAGAGAGACCCCGCTCCGCGACTTCATGGAGATGCTCTACCCATTCGGTCTTCCAGTTGTACCACTGCGCTTTGCTCACTTTATGGCAGTTATCTTTGATCAGCTTGAGTTCGTGCTGCAAGAAATGGAATTAGTCTCGATGGCCAGAACATCGCTGACCAACCTCACCAGCAGGAAGTTCTTGTTGTCCTCATCCGCCTCAACATACTCCTTGAATAGTTCTGGAGTGTTGTTCTTCGCCTCTTCATTCACTTCGGTGAACGTCTGCTTGCTATGCTCGATCCCAGCCTGCAGCTGCTTCATCGCGTTTGAGTACAGCTCTAACTGCGGAATATCAATCGTCATCGCAGTGAAGTAATCTTGCAGAGACGCTTCCTCAGACGATGTGTCACCCCCCAGACTGCGGCGGAGTTGGGAAGGACGGATCGTTGACCGCCGAGGAGCAGTCAACTCGTCCATGAATTTGACACCCGTCATCTCCATGAACTGCTCGATGGAGATCGAAGGCTGCATCATCGAGCTCATTGATCAGCATATGGACGCAATAACATTCGCAGCTACACGTACCCCATTTTCAACTCCATCCAGGCTCTCCTGGTGCACACCATTCCGCCACTGCACAGTCGGATCCTCAATCTCAATGTCATCCTCCAGCTCAATCTCTGCGAGACTTCGTCGCCTTGGCTTAGAGGGCGATGGCTGCGCCCTTGCAGCAGACCTGGCTGCTGCGGGAGACTTCGGACGGATGGCCTTCCCCGGAGAGGCCGCCCACACGCCAGGAGACGGCGGTGGTAGCGCTGACATCCTACGGACAGGGGTGGGAGGCACTTCTTGCTGTGCAGGAGGTGCAGGAGGCGATAGATTCTGCTGAGCGCTACCAGGCCCTGGCTCGGTATCATGGGACTGTGGTGGTGTTGCAATGGCTGGTTGGCCCGAAAGTGACGCAGCGCGGCCAACAGAAGGCCGCCTTGGGCCGGCGCTGCTCGCCCCGGGTGTAGTGGCAGACAATGCATCGAAAGACGCACGCTTCGCTGCCGAAAGCGAAGGTCGCAAGAGCGCTGGCGTTGGTTCCGCCGGAGCTTGCTCGGTCGTAACGTTGCTATCTGGTATCTGCGTTGATAGTGCAGGCAGCTTAGACGGGCCAGGTCGTTGTACCTCTGTCGCAGGGCGTTTCGGGGCGTTGTTCTCAGCGTTTGTGGCCTGTCCCAGCGAGGCACGTCGCATGGCGCCGGGTTCCTTCCTGGCTGACGGAGGGGCGAACGCCGCCGAAAACTGCGGCGCCTGTTGTTTGCTCGGGGATCCCGAGACGGTGGGTTTGTTGGACCGCGGCGTAAAAGCATAGCGCATCGGGGTCGGGGCAGCCGGTCCGTTCGCCTGCGGTGGGGGTTCGGCGCTGGCTTGTCTCGAGGGACGGGACTTGCTTGGTGACTTGATCGGTGATGGAGGGGCAGAAGTTGCTCTTGGGGGAGGGGCTGAGAATACGCTCCGTCCCAATGCTGAGCCTGGTCGAGGTGGAACTTCACTGGCGGACGAAGTACCCGGCGCCGAGAAAACGCTTGGGTTGGCGACTCTGCCAGGAGCGGAGAATATGCCCCGTTTCTCATGTAGAGCAAGGTCAGTTGAGGTTGCAGACACTTCACCGCTTGTAGATGCCCTGGAAGCAGGGGATCCGCCCCCAATCATACCTGCAGGTTCAGGCTGACTTGCAATTTGGCCGTCTACTCGAATCGACCTAGACATGGCGGCAGAAAATCGACCAGGGCTGGGAGGAGGCTTTTCGAGGGCTGGCGGATCCCTGAAGGGTACAAAAGGCGCGGGTGCAGGCGGGGGTGCCGGTGCCGGTGCTGGAGGAGATTCTTCTATACCAGACAGATCAGGATATATCTTGTCCCCTTGCCAATCTTCGTCGTCCAGGCTCATGGCGGACTCTGCACCGACGCTCATCCGGCCCAAGCTACGCCTCTTCATGAGAGCAGTAACGTTGAGCGTCTGATTTCCCTCGTCTCCGTCCTCCGCACCAAAGCTGGAGTCAGAGAAATCGTCGTCGTCCGGAACGAAACTGGGCTCTCCTCCATTTTCGTCCAAGAAATTCCGGGGAGAAGGATACTCTTCGGCAGCAAACCCCATCGAGTCTCTTGCCTTCCTCAATCGGGAGAGGGCGTCATCGAGCTCCATTCCTCCCGCCTGCCCACCTTCGTGGTCGCCATCGGCCTCGTCGGAGGGAGGATTGATTCCGCTGTGCGTGGCGGATTGGAGAGCTAGCCACGCTTCACTTGGGGGTTCCGGCTTTCTGAGCGCTTGGGCGAGTGGCACCGTAAACTCCATAGGACCGGCAGATTCGTTGCCGACACTGCCCATGGACTCATCTCCTCTTGAGTTCTCCGCAGATTCCATAGACATATCTACTTGAGACGTGTCGGCACCCTCATCTGGGCCGGCGGACTGCTTGGAAGACAAAGCTGCGCGACGTAGTCCGATGCTAGACCGTCTTCGCATCGCAGCCTAATACTCGCTTGTAAATCACGCATGTGCTTGTATATATGCCACTCACGTTGGACATTGGCCGGGTCTCTTCCATGTCTTCGCCATCCTCACCCTCAGCGTCCTCGTCCGACGAATCCAAAGCAGAACCCACTCCTGCGTTTCCAAATGCAGGAGGAAGGTCGCCAGTAAACGTATCATCCAGATCCATGGACTCTTCGTCTCCGTTACCGAGAGATGACATACGCCGCCGTCCGTTGAGCGAGCTACGCCTCCGTGCGCCCGGGTACGCATTCTCGTCATTCTGACCACTGGTGGACGGTTGCGGATCTTCGTTTCGAGAGGGTGAGTCCTGGGAGGAGACGCTGGAGTCTAGATCCTTCCTCGCCGCGATGAGGCGGACGCTTGCAGTTGCGGCGAAAGAGACACGTCTGCTGAACGATTTGCGGGAGGTGGTGTCGCCCAAGTTGGTCGTGGCGTCTTCCTCGTCGAGGACAGGAGTGGCTAGCTTCAATATAGACTTCCTAGGGGCCTACGTTTCTCGTGTAAGGATAGATATCAGTAGGGAACTACCGATCTCGTACCAATCCACGAGCCCTCGCTCGGGGGCTCAACACGTCGCCAGGGGCAATGGAGTGAGGACGTCTTCGGTGGCCGACTGGCTGAGAAGTGTTGAGCACGGCAATAGACCTTCGTCTGTACGGATTTGGGGATGCATGTTTAGCCACGACCATGACTAGAATGAGTACAGCCCAACACTTTCGTGAGTGTTGGATTAGGACTGGACAGTAGTGATTAGCACCGACTTCACATGACCGCGTTTGCCTGAGGTGCGTCGGCGACAGTGTCACGTTTTCATTGATTCGCCGAGACTGGACGCTGCGTCACTTCGCTATCCCATTTCATCATGATATACTCGCTGGCACTAAGACGACGATATCAGAGTGACGCCATGTAAACTTCAGTATATTAAATATCGCATTAATTGTCAAGACACTAGATAGAGTACACGTCCAAACAGAAATATCGGATGGCCTGCCGCATGCTCAAGGAGAGACAGCATCATCGACAGCAGCTGAAAGACGTTCAACGCCTTTTCCCTTCATGTCTGCCACAGCCGGCGGTAGACTCGATGACGGACTTTGGACATTCGGTACAGAATCGCTTGCGCCCGCAAGCTGCCATGCAGGTATGGACGGCCTGCCAGACAAAGGAGGTAAGGCCGAGGGTGTCGACGGTAGACTTGGTCCCCTGCTCAAGAGTAGAGCTTTTAGAGACTTGAGCTCTTGCTGAAGCTCCGCGAGCGATTGCGTCTGGCTTTCCTTATTTTTGTCGATCATCTATACGCCTTGTCAGAAAGTCTGACGCGCGCAATTCATGTACCGTGGTCAAACCTTGGGTAACATATCCCTTATGTTGTTGATTTCTTCCCGTATCTCGTGCAGTTCATCGCGAGCCCTTGCCTGATTGTCGTGCATCTCCTTCACAGCCTCCTCCACTTCTTGCGTCGCTTTGTCCACACGTTCCTTCTGGGTCTCCACCGCTGTCTTCACAGCGGACGTTTCAGCCTGGATTTCGCGTAACAGCGCTTCCGCGGCATCAAATTGCGCCGTCAGGGCATCCCTGTCCTCCTCATACGCCGTCTGAGTCGGTGGCCGAAGGTGGGGGACGAGGTATTTCTGGCATGTGATATCAGTCACCGAGTCCCGGTATGCAAGTAACGGTATTCATCTTACCCGAGCGAGAGCAACAGCGCCATATACCAGAGAGCCAGATACCACTGCTCCTATCTGTCCAGAGCCAGTGAGCGGGTTGAGTAAGCAAACGAAATGGCACGTACGAAGTAATCTCGCCAATCCCAAGGTTGCGCTGCCGGAGGTACTAATGGATATGGGGACGGTCCATATGCTGGACCATAAACAGTATACCTCGGCGGTACTGCAGTCGCGTTCACAGATGCTTGTCGCAGGGCCTCCTCTATCTCCGCACTGGTGAGGCCCTTTGCCTCGAGGAACTGTATTCTCTGCGCAAGGGGTGACACTTGTGTCTATAGCTTGCGCTCCGTGAGGTACCATACGACTCAGTGGCAACATTTCGCACCTTTGGATCCGCAAGGAATGTGACAGCGTTTCGTATAAGCTCAGCGCGGTCCGCCATACCGTTCGTCCTTTCCCCAGATTGCTGTCGAAGATGAAGTTGCGGCGGAGGCAAGTCCAGCCGATCACCTGACCGGGACACTTCCGAATTTTTGGAAGCACCCCGTCCGGCTCGCGCCCCAATCCCGTCCGTCCCTTTCCATCTCGTCGTCCTCTGACTTTGCCATGTTCCGTGCACAGCTGGCTGCTAGCAGGAGCGCCTCGCGCAGGCTCTACAGCTCACGCGGTGGGAATCCGCCCCATACTCTCGTCTCTTCGACGGGAAATTGACCAACTTTGCCAGCTGTACAGTCGTCGTTGCTTGCTTGCACTCGCGCTGCGCCCCGGGCTGCACCTCGGTCTGCCTCGCTACCCAAACGCATTCCCTCATTGAACTCTTTCGGTACGAATCTGGCAAAAAATGCATGACTAGCATATTCAATAGTTTGCGCAGTTCAGCACCGGGGTTATGCCGTCTTTGACCGGACAAAGACGCATATGAACATTGGTACTATCGGTGAGTATGGCGGTTTGCCTGTCCTCCGCACTCGTATTAAATGCAACGTCCCGGCAGGTCACGTTGACCACGGCAAGACCACCTTGACTGCCGCTATCACCAAGGTTCTCTCCGAGAAGGGCGCTGCCAAGTTCACGGACTACTCCCAGATCGACCGTGCTCCCGAAGAGAAGGCTCGTGGTATCACGATCAACTCCGCACATGTCGAGTATGAGACCGACACACGGCACTACGGCCATATTGACTGCCCGGGACACGCTGATTGTCAGTCTAACTACCTTTTTCCTCAGCGGGCCAAATGTCTAACGTAGTTTAGACATCAAAAATATGATCACCGGTGCTGCGCAGATGGACGGCGCTATCATCGTGGTTTCTGCGACGGACGGTCAGATGCCCCAGACTCGCGAGCACTTGCTCCTCGCGCGTCAGGTCGGTATCAAGCGTCTCGTGGTATTCATCAACAAGGTCGATGTCATCGACGACAAGGAGATGCTCGAGCTCGTTGAGATGGAGATGCGAGACCTGCTGAACCAGTACAACTTCGAGGGTGACGACACCCCTATCGTCATGGGCTCTGCCCTCGCCGCCTTGGAGGGACGCGACCCGGAGATTGGTGCGAACAAGATCCACGAGCTTGTGAAGGCTTGCGACGAGTGGCTGGATGTTCCTTCCCGTGAGTGCATTTGCCAGCACCCGACCATGAGACATCGTTATAACGCTACCCCCAGGTGACCTTGACAAGCCCTTCCTCATGGGTGTTGAGGACGTGTTCTCTATCGCCGGCCGTGGGACTGTCGCCACTGGTCGCGTCGAGCGCGGTCAGGCAACGAAAGGCACGGATGTGGAAATCATTGGCTTCGGTCAGAAGATCAAGTCGACTCTTACCGGCATCGAGATGTTCCACAAGGAGCTTGATAAGGCGCAGGCCGGCGACAACATGGGTGCTCTTCTTCGTGGTGTCAAGCGCGAGCAGATCTCCCGTGGAATGGTCATCGTTGCGCCTGGCTCGATGAAATCTGTGAAGAAGTTCCAGGCACAGATCTACGTCATGACCAAGGACGAGGGTGGACGGTACACTCCTTTCATGCACAACTATCGGCCACAAATGTTCTTACGGACGGCTGACGTGACTGTTGGCTTGTCCTTCCCCGAGGGCACCCCTGATGCTACGGAGAAGATGGTCATGCCCGGTGACAACGTCGAGCTCGTATGCGACCTTGTTCATGATGTCGCAGCGGATGTGGGAACCCGGTAAGCAGCTACAAATATCCGTACAATTTGCTCGGCCGTTGACGTCTCCCCGTTGCAGCTTCACCCTCCGTGAGGGTGGCAAGACCATCGGTACTGGCATCATCACCAAGATCATCGAGTATGCGTAAAGCATGCCACCCGCTTCCGCTGTTCTACCGACGTGCTGAACGTGGATAGAATATCGGACCTCGTAGTCATCGTACATTACATTACTTATCATTTCTGCTCTCGCTCTTGCATGCACGTACACCCCGCTCAGCACCTACAATAGAACCATGCTCTCAATGCTGTCACAACGAAGATGAGTGATGCCCATTACGTTCAGCATACGTACAGGTGGTGCGAGACGGGATAAGGGGCAATTACATATGCACTGAGCCTGAACGGATTGAACGGGCTTCCGAGCCATTTCGGAGCTCTGGACAACCACTCATAACGTTGGTCCACTTTTCCCTATTATATTTTCCCCCTAGGGTCGCGTCCTCGGTCCTCTCAGCGTTCAACATGATGTTTTCTGCTCTACGTCAAGCATCTCGCTGCTCTCTTCACCCCGGACGTCTGTCCGCAACGAAGACGCGGGTGCTACCCAGGACGGCTTTCGTCCGGACACTCGTTAGTGCGTGGTATCTCTTCAGCGAATAACGGCGAGCTACAGTCTGAGTCCCTCATCTTGAACTAGCCAAAAAGTACACGAAAGATCACGAAGCCGTAGTGTTCGACGATGGCACAGGCGTCGGAACCGTCTCCATCACGGATTACGCCCAGTCCAGCCTTGGCGACGTAGTATTCGTCGAGCTCCCTACTGTGGGGACCAAGGTTTCTCAAGGAGGCGCGTACGATTCCGCTCTGCGCTCATTCTTATCCCGACCCTGACGAGGGCTTAGACCAGATCGGTGCTGTGGAAAGCGTGAAAGCTGCGTCCGACATCGTGAGCGTGAACATAGGCTATCACTCTGCGATGCTGATGGACTGGTTCTTTCTTACGTTGACAGTATGCTCCCATTTCAGGAACCGTAGAGGAAATCAACGAAAAGCTGGCTGAGCAGCCTGGATTACTCAACAAGTCACCCGAAGATGCTGGTAAGACGGCCTTGCAGAGTAAGACAACGTTGATCTCAATGTTTTGGCAGGCTGGCTTTGCAAAATCAAGGTATCCGACGCGACGGAGGTAAGTCAACGACGTATCACATCGAGCACATCATACTAACGCCCTCCCAGATGGGTGCACTGCTGTCCGAGGATGCCTACAAGGAGCATTGCGAATCTTAACATACCCGCTGCCATGGCATCTATAGAGCGCTCCTCAACTGAGCACACACGTTATAGTCCTTCTAGTAATCGATATTCCTTGACACGAGGTCATAAGATGCTTAATATACAGCGAAACAATATAGACCGTCCCGATGCAGATGTCTAACGGGTGATGAGGGTTGAGATGTAAGGAGTGCGTGAATACCCGTCTCATGACGAGGACTTGTATTCGGTCTTCTCTCCGCGAGCCTCCATCCGCTGCTTCGCCTCCCGGAGCGCCCAAGTCTGTATGCTGAATAGCGAGATGTGACTCAGTTTGTGAAAGTGCAAGGCAGCCGGTGTACACACCTGGTATCGGGCTTATAGTACAGCAGCACACTGGCGAGCCCCATGCCTCCGAACATGCCGAAGTACCAGATATTCTCCCAGCTCTCTTTTACTCGCTTCTGACCAGGTGGAGGAGGCTACAAATCGACGTATTGAGTCCGTTGAACAACCACCGGCAGGGGTTAAAATACCCACCTGCTCGCCGAAGAGCAAACCCGTAGGCTCATTGTATTGAGGAGCGCCATGGGACGCGTAGCGCCTCGCAGAGGTGCATCTTAATGCTGCAGGTCGAAGTGCGCGAATTGACGTAGAGGATAGCATAGTAAAATAATGCGCTCCGGGTTTGAGCGGCGGAGTGGTGGTCGGACGGTGACGGTTAGGGCGAAACGCTCGTTCACTCAAAAAGGCAGGTGTATTCTCGGTCACAGCAGTCACAAAGGTCATCCGCGCACATGGACGTCTACGTGCATTTGTATCTGTGGAATCACCGATGCCGCATTTCAGCTATCGCTACTTGAAGCGCCTCATAATCATGAAGCCCGCCATGCTATCCACCGTACTTCGTGAGAAATTTTCGAACGCAAGGAAGGAGGTGGTGCGTCATGCGAGGCAACACCAATCACCACCCTCCCCCTTTGCACGCGGACAAAAACGAAATCGCCTTTCGTTTCGAGTCAGCGTAACCACCACTTCCACCAAGTATTCAGGAACTTGCGGTCTCGTCTCATCGGATCCGACCTTGTACACTTCGAACGGGACTGGCAGGAGGATAGTAATATTGCCTATGAACTTGGATCAGCTTCACAGCACACATCATGCTTTCCACGCACACCTAGCCGTGATATCCTAAGTTCTACGGCAATAAACTCCTATAGAGATGGCACCGCAGCCCCCAGTAATGCTTTCGATTCCTGATGTAAGTAAGGCATGCATAACGGTAATTAGGGGGCCTCAAAGTTGGCGATTATGCACTGATTCTGCGTCGGATTATGTGCGGATTATGTGTCGATTCTCCTGTCGCTACACGACCATAATCCACCTTTCAACTTTGAACCCCCCGCTACAACTCCCGATTCTGTCTGGATTCCGTACATGAATCATCTCCTGCCGACGCATCGGCATGTCCTTCTGAGCTTGAAATCAGAGTTCGGCCGCACGGCTGAGCCTGCATTTGTGCCCAAGTCCAAGATAGCGCGACCTAAGTAACCTGACGACCTAAGTCTGGACGGCATTCCGACGCCTCTGTGCCCACTACAATCAACACGATGGATTGCACCCACAGATCTGATCATGCCAGTTCAACAGGTATATGTGCTATGAATCT